TGCCATGTCCTTCCTTCCGCTCTCCTCTATTACAACACCCGAACCGAACCCAGTCGCTTAGCCTCCTCGCCCGACTGCCGCGACAAACCGGTCCCGGCCCGTTGGCTAGTGCCACAATCATGCTTCTTGTAGCGCCGAGCTTAGGTGCGGGTGACAGCATGCTTGGTTGGAACAAGGAACGACGACCTCCAACGTCGACTGTCTCTCCAGAACAGGCCCCGTCGATTGTCGCCCTCTCTGCAACACCTTGAAACAGCGCGTCGATGAAACACGCACAGGTGGCGCGTGAGCATGCACGACTAAGCATTGCCGGCTGCTGTTCAGGGTCCATTATTAATGCCAGCCCTGCCAATATCAATACTGTTTTCTCGATGCCCTTCGCTGGCACCTCACGAAACAGCGGACGCGGAAAACGCCACGGACCACGACGCAAGCGAAGCACCTCCTATCGTGTCTCGCGTGCGCGCCTGACTCGCATCTCCACTCGCTTTGCTCTGCTCGGGCAGCAATTCTCTCATTGCCTGCAGGCAGAAAGAAATGCCGTGATCAGTCAGTAACGCTCGCTCCACATGGCTTGATTAACTCAGCCTCGCTTCGTGATTTGGAGAGCAAAGCGGCGGAGCCGTGACTTCCGCTGCCTCCGTTCCACCCCGCACCACCACCACTCACCACTTGAGCCGCGAGGCGGCTTGACCGCTCAGGTCATGCTTCAACAGTTACCTTCTTTTTGCCTCGGTTTGCCTACGCGCTCGCTCCCAAGGACCGTGCCTCGCCGCCCGTCTTCAACCAATATCAACAGAATTGGATTTCCCCAAACATTCTTGTCGGAAGCACACGTTGTCTTTCCGGGACTAGCTGAATCCAATGTCTGGCTATCTGGACGATCCACACGTGCGCCCAAATGTTTGGTTCAGATGCCAGCGTCCGAGGAGTGTACCTTCTCCGCGGGACAGTGGGCTCGAGCTTGAATCTTCCACAGCCCGTTGTGCTAAGCCCCGAATCCATGTAGCTTACTTGGAAGCTCGGCATGCGAGTAAGGATTCACTCGACTGAAGACGTCGGCGGCGCTACTTGGTTCTATCCCGCCCGTTGAGTACGGACTCGGCCATGGCCCAGTTGGGAAGGGGGACAATACACCACTGTCAGTGTCACCCTAAGCTGCTCCGAGCTGAACTGGGGAGTGAGAGGCCATCATGAGTCGCGACAATAAGCAGAGAGAAAGGTCCAAGCAGCGCCGTGCTTCTGGGCACCGGCAGTTGGAAGAGTCATTGCGCACTGTCATCTTTTTCAGACCACACGAAGCGGACGGACGCAAAAATACCGGTCAGATAAAACTGGCCTGTTCATCTCGGCAGTTGCCCTTTGACGTGCGGTACTTTGCTGATGATCGTCCAATCGAGCCGTTGCGTGCTTTCAAAGCAAAGAGGAGGAAGATAGGAGGCTTCGGTGCGTGCGCGACTCGGGTTCATCTCGTCTTCCAGCACGCACGACTCAGCGCATGAACGGGATGAGGTGCGATTACAGTTGCTCCTCCGCCTCCTCTCACCGCCTTCCCTCACCGTCTTGTTTGGCTATGCATTTGGTTCTGACATCAGCTGTGGACTGTTGTAGGTACAGCAGCAGCCGCATCTTACCCTGCCAAGCTGTAACTCCTTAATTTTTTCTTGTTATTTCTTGTTTTATGCGTGTTCATGCACCACGGCACTCTACTCATCAGCCTTACGAACTTTACGTGTAGATCACAGCATGCATCGAAGCCAGAGCGGGCTGTAAGCCAACGCACGTGTCCGGCAGTTGCGATGGTGCGCGGGCCTGTCAGTCTGAGTCGAGAATCATCAACAGCCACGCATAGAAAGGGTGGGCGACGCATTCAGCGCACCGCCCATCCGCCCGCTGCCGCCGGCTCCCGGCGGCTATCCAACGGTCAGCCTTTTCTCGCGGTTGCACCGTGCCCCACGCACACACACACCAGCACCTTGATGGGACGCGGGAAGCTTACAAAGGCGAACTGACTACGATCGAGACCGAGCTTTTCGGCATCTGAGTTATAGTTTTCTTGGTCCTCACGGTTCCTCGGCAGTTGGGAGTCGATAGCTCCTTGTCGCACATACATGCGCGTGATTGGGATTGATTGACAAACGGCCGTCGGCCGATCATGGCGCACGCGTGATTCGGGCCACCTGGGGAAAAAGATATGGCGGGGGTGGTGGGTCTTGTCAGTCCAGTCAGAGAGGGGCATTGGAAAGAAAGTGGGTGGGCAAGGACCGCATTGTGGTTATCGCGGGAGCGCGGACGACCGCACGCACGCCTTGGTATGTGCACACACCTCTTCTTCCCTTTTTCTTCTATCCTCACGCACGTCCTCGATCTCTATTTCTCCAGGACGCCTGAACACATCGCCCAAAGAAAAAAAAGGGGCCAGAGCTTCAGGCATCCTGAGACTCACGGACTCGGGGAAGGGGGGAAAAAGATAGCAAGAGAGGGGCCGATGTCAGGGCTTCTAGGCTTGGGGTTTCGATGTGGTTGTGCCCGGCCCGCTTTACCTACTATCCACGAGCTGGCAGTGCAGGGCACCGCCTTGCTCCGTCCGCCCTACCTGCGCACGCTGGTGTGGATCGCCTTGCTGGCCACTCATCACACCTCATCTTCAGCTCCTGCCTCCCGTCGCCCCGCGCGTTCGTGCCGTCCGCCTTGGGAGCCCGCCGGATCGACCCTGTCTGCCAGCAGCCAGCGCACGGACCTTCGCCCTTTTTTTTCTTGCGTGAGTGGCTGCGCCTCCCCTTTAGCCTTCGTAGCCCAAAGCGGGTGGCTGCGTTCGGGGGGACGGATCAGGGACGCCTTGAGCCTGGTGGTCCTCGCGCTCAAAAGGAAGGTGGTGGAAGGCCAGGAAGTGTGTGGTTGGCGAGTCGTGACGACCCTTGGTGGCGCTGTGGTTCGGCTTTGGCCGGGAGAGCGTGGCTTGTTCGGCAGTTAGGAACAGGGATCATCACAATCGAAGGAAGGGGACACGGGCGTTCTATGGAAGGGCAATGGAAGGAATCGAAGGGCGGGCAGTGTGGTGCGTGCGAAATTTCGGTGGTCCATGAGTCGATGGTCCCTTTTTCTTCACCCTGCCTCCAGACGTTTCCTCTTTTGTGAGCTGAGATGGTTGATGATGGGGTAAACCCAGTTTCTTGGTGGTGCGTGCGCGCGCGCGTCCGCTGCCCCGCGCTATTAATCGCTGCTGGGCTTTGATTCAACGTTCGTGTATGTGGTGCACTTAAGCACGGGGTCAGGGGAGTGCATGCGGTGGGGCTCCGTTATCCTTTAGGTAAGGTGGTGAGGGTGTGCGTGCATTATTGGGTTGGACTTTGTCAGCTTCCTGTGTCCTATGAGGGGCACATGGTGACGACGGTGCTTGTCCGTTGGTCGTCGTCGATTTTAAGTTTTATTTAACTTTTCTTTCTTTTCTTTTTCCTCGCTATTTTGAGCGTTGAGAGAGTTTTTGCTCGATGTGGTTGACCGTTACGGATACGGGTTTTGGGGCTGGTCCAACGGCGCGCGTCGGCGAGGGGCGCAATCAGTCCATTTTCAGATCGACCGGTCGTCTCGAGTGCTGCGGGTAGCCAGATCGGGCGAGGTCTGGAAAACTATGGATAGCCACCGGCGACTCTCTACGTGTTGCATGTGAGAACCGGACCGTAGATAGGGGGGGGATGATCGCGTCTGGGAAGATGCACGAGACTCGTCAACTTGAGGGTTTCAAGGCCCGCCGATGCAGTGATCTTCCGCGCGTCTGCTAGTGCTTACGGTTGAGGGCATGAACTGCATCCTCAAATGTTTATGGTGCTGGGGGTGAGACAGTGCAGTGGAATCAGTTTGATTGTACGGTTGCAACCTCCTTTTTTCTCTGGCCAGTCTGTCGGGAACACAACAAGAACCAGACTGCCGGGTTAGATGTGGCCACGTGTGCTAGAGTCCGGATAGCTTCTGTAAATTGGCAAGTATTGACGTGGACTATCGTTTGGGGTTTTCTGTTAGCTTGGATTCTCTATCGGGCAACGTATGCTTCTTTCGCTCCTCGGTGACTTTTGTTGTAAGTAGACATATTCAAATGTCAATTTGCTACAGTTTCATTGAGGCAGTAGACCATAGAGTAGTTCAAATTTCTTCTTTACAGTTCAAAATTCAAATATGAACAAGTGAAGCCAACGTCTGATAAAGAATGAGTGCCAAAATCCCCGCACCAACAGCACCTGCGCGCAAATCCAACGAGAATACATCATCCGAGCCTTTTGACGAACCGTTGAATCCCCTCTCAGCATTAAACAATATCAATTATTTGAAAATCGAGTCCAAGTTGCAAAGCCTCTCCATGCATGATGCCGTGAACGTACGTCTCCCCGATCAATACCCACGAATTTTCCAGTACCATGTGCGGCCGGAACAGATAAGGGACCTGCGTTCCAGGCAAGACCATCACAGAATCCCCACGTCTGACAGTACTCGGGCCGAGACCGTAGTAGCCCTTTTCTGTGACGAAGAACGCCCTCGTTCTGGCAGCGGCGGTGAGTGCACATCCGAAGAAGGACATCACTTTCTCTGGCTCTGGCTCTGGCGTGCAGTCCAACCCAAGGTATTCGCGCACTTCTAAGGGAGGATCTTGGCGCGCGAGCCATCGGATGAAATCGCTCTCCAAATTTCTGGGTGCTGGGTGTGTTCCATACCATAAGTCGCTGAGCAAAGTCCGCCAAAAAGCGGAGAGTATACGCTGACCAGTGTGCTTGTAGATTGAGTTGGGTCTAAGTTTTTCATTGAAGAAAGGTTTGACCTTCGACCAGAAGTAGGTGTTGGTCAGTTTCGACTTCATCTTCCCTTGCTCCTTTTCAAAATTCGTGCGATCGTACAAGGCATCCAAAGGCCAGGTCGGCATTCCAATCCCGTCTTCGCCACTGGCAACTAGGACTTGGAACTTAACAGTATCAACTTTCGCTGATGAGACTGTTAACATACGCCCACTCTTAGAAATCGAGAATGATGATTTCATGGAAGTAGCGGTTGAAAACACGTTGCTGCCTCTGAGGTAATAGGGTTGCGTCCCCGGAACTGGAAGCAATTTGGGTACCCAAGATGGGAACGCATCGATCCGAAGCCCATCCAGATCAGGCCACATCTCTATTCGCCATCTTCTGTTATCTTCGTTGAGGGACTTGTCAGGATTGGTAAGGCTGAACGTATGTTTCGAGGAACCACTCTCGATTTCTTCTGTCCATCTGGGACGAGCTTCTTCTGCATTGCTTACTAAAGAGAGAACTGACAGTCCTATCTTGCCGTAAAGCAACCGTCGGGCAAGGTCAATAAAAACCTCATCGAAGGGCTTTCCATAATCAGGTTCCAGGATATCTCCTGAAATACCTTCGATTTCGAGCGAAGAACGCTCCGTCAAAGCGAGAATGCCGAACACGTGGTCCTGTGGCTTTGTGGAACTCCTTGCTGCACTGATAAGGACACTTTCTGAAATGTCCAGAATCTTTCCACGTTGAAATTGGTCACGAAGCTCAAATATCGGATATGCCCTTCGGTACCACACCTCTTCTCTGAACAGTGGGAACATGAAGGCTTCAGGCTGCAACAGTTGTGACCACGAGACGGCACTCTCCAGGTAGTAGGTAGGTATTTGGTACCCATCGTGGTAAAATCCGAAGTCTTTTGCACACACAAACTCCTGTAACGTCCACACACTGTACGTAATCACATATGATTAGCTGATTGAGCTCAATCAGTAGGTAGCACACTTACCGCTGAAACCATCCATCAAGAAGGAAGACTATTGTGGAACACCAGATGAACCCAAAATAGTGGGAGGACCCCATAACGAGTTCTTGGGGGCTGGAGAACTGCCTTCCATCGAACATGATGGGGATGTCCGCGGCAGACTTTGGGTACTTCGGGATTCTCTCTAAATGAGGGAGTACAAAGTCACGATTTGGATGTCTTCCACCAAGCCAGATGAAAACGTAGGCGGCTCCGCTGTATATATCGGTCATTTTCGCCACTTGAGCGCTTTGTTCGCGCTCATCATCTTGATTGATACAAATGGAATCGATCCAAACGTATCGTCCGTTCAGGTCTTTTCTCAGCTTGGAAATCGCAGCAAACACGCTCGCCTTCACCTTCAGGGCCTTTCCATTGCAAATCATGGTCCGTTCCTTATGTGGGTTGAGTTCATCTTTGTTTTGCCTCTTCTTGTCGTTTTTGTTCATGATGGGCCCGTAGTCTTCCCATACATACGAGAGCGCAGTATAGTGTGGCTTGTCCGAGAGCCGGACTTCCTGCAATGAACATCTGACCATGTCATCGTGACCCACATCGTCAAATTTCAAAAGTCGTATGGAATCGAGATATTGCAAAGGAGAATGCAAAAATTGTGGCAGTTGCTTGATCATGCCGATTGAATGTCAGCGGATCCTATTAATCTGGAAGAAGGCTTACCGTCCTGAATTCCTTCCACTTCTGAACACGATCATCCCACAGCTTGTCGGAATTTTTTTTCCGCCAAGACGTGTAAGGGCTACTCTGTCCGTACGTATTTGGCTTGATAAAAGATGATAATACCTTGATCAGTGCTCGAACAATGCCCTTCTCGAGGAGCCTATCAAGATCTTGCGAGAGACTTTCGGCATAAGAGCGCGCGATCTCCCCTGGGGCTGGTCGTACGGTGCTGGTACTGGAAGATGGAACCAAACCGATCGGAAGAGCGGGTCCAGGTGGGAGTGCAGGGGTTTCTCCGGCATCATTATCATTATCAAAGAACCGGGCTACTGCAATCTTTTATAAATTTAGCGCAAGATGATTGCAAAATTTAGATATGAGCGCTGACACACCTGAACATCCCACTGGTGACGCTGCAGTAGCGGAATGGCTTGTTGGACAGTCTGCGTTGTCTGCGCAGTGAACTGCTCGAGAGCTAGTCGCTGGGCTTCAGAAATCTCGACCTCGGGAAGCTGGTTTCCATCAATGTTGGAATCAGCCATGGTGCTAAAGTGAGTTGCACAGAGCAAGGCTGAGGGGAGACTTTCAAGGCTACAGCGCCAAGCTCTCTGTACAGCTTGCCACTCTTGCTTACGTGTGTCGCCCCCACAGACGTTGTTGATTATATCTTCAGGCAGGCAACATTATCTTGGCATGGAACTCTAGTCCCAATAATGTATGGGAGTTTGTTATCCCAAAGCTGGGGTGAAGTTGGTTTTGTGGGTTGATGTGATTTTGATTTGTGACAACATCAGAATGCCGCCAAGACTTAATTCAGAACAGCATGAGGTACATGAATAATGTCAGATCATCTGATCAATCAGTCTGGCTGTCTTTGCACGTGAAAGACAAAGTTCGGCAAGACAGCAGTGGTCGGCAATGTGACTCTGCACGTGGACGGGGTTCTCATCGTTTAGAATGGTATAAAAGTGCATCTTCTGGAGTCGAATGTGATAGATTTCGGTAGAGTGTCCGACTATCCTATCGTTCGGACCTAAAGGAAATCAAAAACCTAATCTACAACTGCTCGCGGGAGTAGAACGAGCACATAAACTAGTGACTCTTCTAGACTATTAAATAGTTTGGTTATACTTAACATTTTCTTTCGTCAATTTGAATCACCACTTTGTAGAATGAAAGATGCTGTGCACCATCATATCTTGATGCTGCGGTGCACGTATGGGGAATTTCATGATTTACACCTCGCAAAGCTCAACGCAGCAACCTCAAGCGAACCCTAGCCAAGGGGAAATAGATAAGCACGCGAAAACGAGTCACTCCTTGTATATTCCGCTTCTGAATGCACAAGTGAAGTCTTCGATCGCGTGTGCCGATACGTAAGTGGTGTGGATCCACTTGTCTTGGACAACGAAACAAGAGATAGGTATTAAATAAGCGGACGCCATGTTTGAAACAATAGAAATGGCACACATCACATGGAAAGTACCATGGATCTGCTGACTTCTCTTTCATGCGCACGATAGATTCGTTTCAATGGAGCACTCGGGTGACACATGACACGGCACCAGGTTTCAACCTGGGGGCGCGTGTCTATTTGACGTGTGAGTAAGGGTCTGCACACGATCTTGGCACTTGAACAGTATGAATGAGGTATATAATATTGGGAGGCTCTGATGTGTATGATTCTGATATTGCTACGGCAGGTTACCTATCGGGAGTAGTAAAGGTCCGTAGGAGTAGGGCTGCCACTCTTGTTTCTGCCAAGTGACTGGAAGCTACCTCGGAACTGTCGTGTTTTAGCTATTAAGGCTAAGTTTGATACTCAGACCTACCTTGAATGCTTCAATTTCAGAAGGTGAGGGACATCGCTTTGCTGTAATGTGAGAAACAAGCGGTGATAGACGTTCAACACTTTCCGCAGTCTTGAATCATGATGATGCGCATCGCGTTCCGCTTTGCGATACTCAATTACTTAGGAGAAGAAGCGGCAGTGACGGACATTGCGACGGAAGAGACGCCGACAGTGAATTTGTCCGGCTTTTCGAAGCATAGTCTATGGGGCCTTAGTAGACCCTCAGCTTGCCGTGCAGATGGGGGAGTTGATCGCGGGGTACCTCTAGTTTAAATAGTGGGCGCGAGTTTCAATCTACAGAAGATGTGTCACACGCTACACTGACGCCAGTCATTTGCGCCTCCTGCCACACAACCTCATTCAGGTGGTTACCTTCCGAGCCAGCTACGGGTCAACCGCATTTCTTGTCAGCCATAGTTTAGTAGTTACGAAAAGATGATATGAGCATGCAACTGAAGGTGAGTCGGCGCCTTCGTGAGAGCATTTCTTGTTGGTTTATCGCTTACGTTTCGAAAGTATGTGGATACGAGGAACTCGCGAGAGTCGCTCCCATTGCTCGTTCAGTCCAACAGAGAACACAGGTGAAAGTTAGATTACAATCCACGAAGTAGTTATGCTGAGTAAAAGTTTGAGCCACTGCTAAGTCTCAGCGTTATATTGTACTGCTGAAGATCAACATCATCACAAATGAATCGAAAGCCTGACAATTTTCATCACAGCAAGAAAGGAAATAGAACAAAATCGGTGACGAATGTGTAAGTACATGGCCGAGCGCCAGTGTATCGAGTAAAGGTCGGGAAAGATACAATATCTGAGGACAATGAATCGTAAGGAAAGAAGCACAAACACAACAGCACCAACCTCACCCTTTTAAACCCCCCGGCTCCAACCAACCGAAACCGGCAACCACTTCGACCAACCCAACCAATCAGCACGCACCACCTCTCCCACCCTCACCCAAACACACTCCCAATGACCATCCACCCAACACATCCAAGCCTGACAAAAGCCACCTCACAACTGGCCGCCCTCCCCTAAAACACCCCCATCCGCACGCACCCAGAGCCAGCCACGTAGTAAAAACCGCACGGCCCACCTCACCCCCCAAACGCCCTCCCTTTTCCTTCGTTCGTAGTCGTTCGCCCACGGACACTTCGTACTGCCACACAGCCACGGGCAACGAGCCACGACCACGAAACCACCACCACCACACTGACCACCACACCAGCCAGCGAAAAATGTCTCCGAGCGAGGTGGTCCGCCCTGCCACGCTACATCCACGGCGAACAGTGCGCACCCGGAGAATTACTTCAGACGTTCGAACTTGCTGCGCTGTCGACGCCCGAGCCTCCTCTCATCATCGAGGGAAAAAAAAAAAAAGGGTCCAGCATGGCTGGCTGGCTGAACGCCATATGTTGGTTTGTGCGTGCGTGCATGCGTGCGCGCGCGTGCGAGCGCGAGCGCGAGCGCCGCCAGGGTCCGCCGCCGCCGTCTGTCCGTCCGTCCGTTCATCCGTCCGTGTGTTGTGTGGGCGTGCGTGCGGCGGCGGCGCAACCACGCGTAAATCTCCCCGAACGTAAGGTGCGCGCAAACACCAGGAAGACGATATCCTAGCGTGAGAGCGAACTAATAAGCGTCGGGCACGAACAACGAACAAAGAGACGGGGGCGTCGCAACGGCGCCGAAACTAAAGCGACGCCAGAGCTTGAAGGAGGAAAACGTGCTGGTAGGTACGGACGTGGATGGTAAGGAAGGGACCGAAGTCTAGTAGTAGTACTGCGTTCTTTGATTTTCTTTATCTTTGTTTTTGGTCGAGGTCGGTCTGTCTCTCTTGACCGCCATTCCTTCCCAAAATGCTATGTAGTTTCTTAGCTCCGTGTGAAGGTATCCCCAGCCAGCCACATGCACCATCTTCTAGAAACATGGTAAATCCCTCGCCCTGTGGCTCTTCTTCTTTGCCATGCAAACCCAACACGTCTAGCCTCTCTGATCCCAATCATCTTCATTGCCCTTCTCCTCCGGAACCGCATTTTTACGAGAACCCTCAGACCTCCTCCCCAAACGGATAGTTAAACTTCAACAGCCCATTCAGCCCGCCCACCCAGTGATCCTCGCCAATCGACACGCCATTCGTGCCACGCACGATACTCGGAACGCCTCCAAGCAACACTCCCGTCTCCCCGCGGCCTAGCGCGCGCAGCCCGACATCCTCTCCCGTGATGCGCACCTCGCCGCCGCGGCCGAGCGGCTCCTCGAGGCGCATGCCGTCGATGCTGACGTCCACGCCCTCGGCGCGGTTGCGCTCGGCGACACGCAGCGCGACGTCGGCGTTGGCGGGCAGGACGAGCGGGCGGAACGACAGGCTGCGGGGCGAGATGGGCGTGAGGATGAGCGAGGGCACGAGCGGGTGCACGATGCAGCCGCCTGAGGAAAGGGAATATGCGGTGCTGCCCGTCGGGCTGGCCACGATGAGGCCGTCGGCGATGGCGTCGGTGAGGTGCCGCCCGTTGACCGTGATGCTGATGTGCGTGAGGTGCGGGCTGCGGCCGCGGTGGAGGATGATTTCGTTCAGGGCGTAGAGGGGGGAGGGGGGCAGTTTGGGGTTGCCCCGGGCCAGGGTTTGCGCGGTGGCGAGGGAGGGGTGTTTGCCGGTCAGGAGGGGCTTCTTGGGGGCGGGATTGGAGGTGGATGGAGAGGTTCCTGTGGAGGCGAGTCTGGGAGGGGGATGAACTGATACTTTGAGACGGTGGCGGAGGAGGATGCGGGCGTGTCGGTTTGTGCCCATGAATTTGCCCCGCAGTGAAGCCCATGGATCGTCTGCCACACGGATGATATCCTCAGTGTCTGTGGCTGAGGGCCGGCCAAGCATTTGCTCGGCGGCTGCGCTGGCACCGGACATGTAGACCTCCCTGAAAGCCCGTTTGTACTCGGCAAACTTCCACTCTCCTAGGAAGCCAAGCGTTCCCATGCTGAAAGCAAGGATTGGTGGAACCTGCTGGGCGTTGGCATACAGACCTGCCGCATGGAGGATTGTTCCATCTCCGCCCAGTGTGGTTATGAGATCGACGTTATCGTGGAGCACCTTCTCGGCTTCGCGTTTCTGGAATGGCAACGCGTATACCGGAGATGGTAGCTTATCGTGAATTTCACACGCGACGCTAGGCTCGAATAGCAGATTCACGTCCGGATATGTTGTTTGAACGTGGTAGGCGAGTTCGATGAGTGACTCAGTGACGTGCGGCGAGTCTTCTTTCTTCATAAGCAGCACAGTGCGTAGCGGAGAATGCCAATGGAGGCCGAGGAGGTCATTCTGGCGTGTTGCTGGATGAGATCAGCTTCGGGGGTCCGATTGTCGGCTCCGAGCGGAGGGAGGGAGATTTTGGGGCAGGAATAAGGATGTTGAGCTCACCATGTGCGTATAACGCCTACTGCTCACCTTGGTATGTGGGAGGGTCGCGCTCGGGCAGCGCACCAGCTTGCGGCAACTCGATGACTTGCGAGCGACGGGCAGTGCACGAGAAGGCCCTTCGCGCTGGCGCAAAGCGTAAGCGGAGCGGGAGTCGTGGCTGCATCATGGGCGTTGGGTCGCGACTCGGAGCGGGAGAGCAGCCGGGCGGGGTCAGGGAATGCTCATGCTCGCACGACGGATTCGGCGGGGACAGGTCATCGCATAGCGACGGTTTTGGAAGAGCGGCGTTGGTGATGGAAGATGGCGGCGGAGAGCTGATGTCAAAGGTGGCCCATGCTCCTCCGCGCTCCGCGACGATGCAGCACATCCGCGTCCCACGTCGTTCGCAACTTGCCGGCCCCGTCACAACGCGCCTCACCGCATTCGTGGGCTCCTGCCTGCTCTCTTCTTCTCGGCCCTTCTCCTCCTCCTCAGCTCCCGTCGACCATGCCTCTTGCCATCTTCCTCCTCTGACCCTAACCCCCGCCAGTTGCTCCCTCGCTACCGCCTAAGGCGTCGCGTGCCCATCAGCCACAATCCCTCTCCTCCGCTGTTAACTCCGCAACCGTCCACGCGACAAGGCAGTCACCACCAAGTCTCTCTCTCTCCTCCATCCGCACCGCCGCCATGGACGCCGACGGCCTGAAGCACCGGCCGAACGCTGTTACCAAACCCATACCTCCCGAGGACCTACATGAACACGGCGCTGATGCTGGCAAGATCGTACACCCGGCAGGCCCCGTCAAGCATGGCGGGCCCAAGCAGGCCTTGCGCATGTTCCTGTTCGGCGTGTACTTCATGGGCAGCTGCGTGTGGTAAGATACATATTGGCTTCCCTCCGCTTTACTAAGAGAATAGTGCCTTACTCGGTCTCAGCATCAACATCACCCAGCTCATCGGCGCCCCGATATACTTTTACAGCAAGGATTGGTACTATGCCTGGATGGCCGTCACCAAGCAGCACTTCGGCCTGCTCATCACAACCATGACACAGTGGTGGTCGCCTACCGTTGTGAGGGTCAGCGGCGACGAGAGCGTGCGTGGCCAGCTCAGGCAAACCGAAGACGGCCGTTTGGAGTGCGATTTCCCCGACCGCCTGCTTTTGATTGCGAACCATCAGGTGCGCCTCATATCCTGCTGTGCCGGAGGAATACCACGTTGACAGGTTGCAGATCTACACCGATTGGCTGTACTTGTGGTGGATTGCTTACACCTCGCGCATGCATGGACACCTGTACATCATTCTTAAGGAGTCGCTCAAGTACATCCCCATCATCGGCACCGGCATGCAATTCTTCAGCTTCATCTTCCTCTCGCGCAAGTGGGCCACGGATAAACCCCGCTTCCAACATCGTCTGCAGAAGCTCAACGCTCGCCACAAGGGCCCAATGTCTGGCGAGCACGATTTGGATCCCATGTGGCTTCTCATATTTCCCGAAGGCACCAATCTGTCTTCGAATGGACGCGAATCAAGCGCACGCTGGGCTAAGAAGAGCGGTCAGAGCGACCTGAGACATGCGCTTTTGCCGAGAAGCACTGGCCTGTTTTTCTGTTTACAGGAGCTGAAGGGCACGACCGAGTGGGTCTACGATTGCACCATGGCGTACGAGGGCATTCCGTAAGTTTTCATGTGATTGCTATGGGAATCTTTCCTAACAAGGAACAGCCGGGGTCTATACGGCCAGGACATCTTCACCTTGAAATCCACCTACTTCGAAGGCCGTCCCCCGCGGTCAGTCAATCTCCACTGGCGCCGCTTTGCCGTTAAAGATATCCCGATATCCTCGCAGCCCGAATTTGAGGAATGGATCCTCCAGCGTTGGCGCGAGAAGGACGATCTTCTGGAGATCTACCTGCAGACCGGTCGCTTCCCTGCCGATCCCGAGGGTATTCGCTACGAGACGGCCAAGGGTCTCAATGGCATGCCAATGCTCGACAAAAGCAAGACGCTTGCTGAAGGCAGAGGCTACATCGAGACCGAGGTCCGGCCGAAGAGCCCGTTCGAGTTTCTGCAAATTTTCATTCCCGGAGCTGCTCTAGTGCTGGTGGGGAACGTCGTGGCCAAGACGCTGAAGCTGGTGAAATCTGTCGCCAGCGGCGCGTAAGATGGTGGTCTCTTTTTCACATGCCAATTCTTCCACCCTCACCTCATGCATCACCTCATATCCGTTACGATCCGGGATGATTCCACATTATTATTTTTTTAGCCGGGGGGATTTTGTGATCAGCCGATTACCGAAGGCTGCAGCGGATGCACGTTCGATCCGTAACCGAGGGGCCGTGTGAAGCGAGCTTGTCCGCAATGGTTATGACGACTGTTGTATATGAAGTTTCGGCTGGTCTAAACTTCTTCTTTCCACTGCTGCATCGCTACCCTCACGTCGTAATTATTTCCTGGCTTTCCGTTGCTTTTTGCGAACTGAGACATCTGCGTCATACCCCAGGTCTGCTTCATCGGTGTAGTAGTAGTAGTAGTAGAACGCGCTTGTTTGGGTCAGCGATTGGGTTAGAAGACGACGACACTTGTTGTTGAGGCATTCCTGACGCGGGATCGCCACTGGGGACTATACATATGTTGAGAACAACCTCTTTTCTTCTTTGGTCTTGCTTTCTGTTTGGCCGGCGTACACTTTAAGAATTGGAAACAAGAGGCGGAGGGAATATTTACGAAGACGATGCCGCGAGGCTAGTGTGTCTTGCACACATATATATCAGGTAAGATGAACGTTGTTGTTAGTTAGACGGACGAGAGAGAGAGAGTCCGCTCTGAAGAGAGATCAGGCAATGGTATGCAATTTTTATGATGCTGTGGCGAGATTTCTCGATTCGACCATAACGTTATTGATATTGACGTCATCTTCAGGTCCTTTTGTTGATTCGTCACGTCAAAAGAGTGAACGTTCTTGCAAGCAATGCAGGAACTGGTAGCCACGCTTCTCCTCCCCTCCTCCATTGCTCGCCACACAGACAACACAAAAAAAAAAAAAAAGCTTCGAGCATCCCTTCAACTTTCTTTCCTTCTTTCCTTCAAGCGTCCCTCGCATCCAACTCAGGCGTGAACTGCATCAGCGCATCGACGCCGCGATGGCCGACGCGGGAGTAGGCCTCGACGAACTTCTCGCCCCAGTCGCCAACGGAGTTGTCGTACGTCGACTGCGGCTTGGTGACGCACAGGCCGCACATGATCTGCTTGACTTCGCCTATCAGGCCCAGGCGCGGGTAGGCCTGCACGATGGCGTCGTACTCGGGCCAGGTGATGAGGATGTCTGGAGGGTTGGTGTGTGTGGGGCCTTGAAAGTCGGCCCAGCTGGTTTTGGTATCGCGTTAGTATGGTGTTCCTTTGATCCTTTTGGAGGTGCGATGGAAGACGAGGATAGGTGGGAAAAAGGGGAGGGACGAGAGAGAGAGAACAACATACATCCCCGTCGCAACAACCGCCGTAACAGGCTCCTTCTCAAACGCCACACTCATCGTCGTATGCAGCGCGCACGCATCCCACACCCGCTGTGTCTTCCTCCCCTTATACCCGCGTATCCCTACAAAATCCTTTCCCTCCTCCTCCCCCTCCCCCTCCCTACACCCTTTCTTCCCTTCCCACCCCGTCCCCTCCGTATTCCCACCCGCCAAGACCCCATTCCCTTCTGGAGACCCATCATCCCACCCCTCCGGCGCATGCGCCGCCAAAAACGCCACCGCCCCATCCGCCCCGTCCACCTCGAACCGCTTCTCCGCGCTGGTAAACGCGCCGCTCGGCGCCCACGCTAGGTCGTGCAGGATGCAGGCCAGCGCGACGACCTCGTGGTCGAACGACTGGTGTTTGAGCGTCGGGTGGGACTGCGTGATGAGCGTTGCGAAGAGCCAGCTGCGCACGACGTGGTTGTAGGCGAAGGGCGGGAGGTGTTTGTGGGCGTGGGCGAGGGCGGCGTGGATGAGGGGCGTGGAGGGGAGGAGGGGGGTTAGGTTCGGGAGGGTGGGGAGGGAGGGGAAGAGGGAAGGTTGAGTGGTGGGAGGGGGCATGGTGGATGTGGTGGTGGATGGGGGTCTGGGTTTTGGTGTTGATGGTGGGTTGATGGGAAGGATGTGTGGCGCTTCTGAAAGATGCTCAGTTCAATGCCCGGCTGGCTTTGGTTGGAAGTGATTGTGATTGATTGTGTGATTCAAGTGAGGTTCCAGCTGTCTTTTATGCTCCTACTACGTAGTACTAGGTGCGGGGGATATGCATCATCCTTGTCGGGATGCCTTAAACATTGCTTCTTTCAGTATAGACGACCAAGAGTCTTCCCCTCACATAAGCTTGTGGCTACCACTTGGCTATTGCGACAACCACGGTACAGGGCCGGAGGCCCATTCTTGCAAGTGCACGTGTAAAAGGATCTTAGGATTAGAAATTATTTTCCGAAATGTGATTTGGAAGTCGCGAGGCGGCCAAGTTCAGAAATAGTAATCAAAAGGGTCATTGCAGGTGCGTGAGACTGGGTCATTATTAATCATACTAAAACCAAGAACATAACGCCGAAAGGAAACCTAAAGTTGCTATCTCCACTAGCCTCCGAAATACACTCTGGGGACCTGAGTATTATGATGCCGGAAGTTCTCTTTTGGGAAGTTGCTCAAGTGCGGTGTAATCTTGGTTCAGCGCGAATGCTACACAGCATAGACGCAATTCGGCCGGGTAGCTCAGCCGCACCGGTATCCCTTCCCAGTGGTTGCACAATGATTACATCGGTCATGTCTCGCTCTCTGATTCACTGACAGAGGCCGAGGTAGAGCGCACTTCAGGCTCTTCACTGACAGAGGCCGAGTCGGAGCGTGCTCCAGGCTCTCCACTGTCATGTGGTACGTATTCTGGCCCAATTTCTTCCCACCCATGATCCCGATGATGCGAGTACTCTCTTACCGGATAACACTTGTAGCAGAGATTAACGTTATTGCAAAGCTTGCATTGGTAATTCAGACCTTCAATTTTCTATGCAACCAAAACCTATTAGTCAACTGAACACAATCGATGACGTCTATTGTCCAAGTCGGTAGAAGAAATACTTACAGCAAAGCAGCAATCGCAAGTTGTGTCCTTTTTATGGGCCCTCCTGATCTTCTGAGAACCATCTGACCAAGATTGACGGGTGTCGTTGATTGCATTTCTTGGCATCAACAATTCCTGTGTATCTTGCCTGGCGCCATGGAATTGGGCCAGCATCGCAGGTGTCCACCTGCGATTTGGGCCGCTGCTGCATGCCGTAATGTCGGAGCCCTGCTCGACCAAGAAAGAGACGATTTGAAACTGCTCTTCATCGTCATTCTGGTTGCGGCGTTCTATCCTCTTCTCACGGTCGAATACGTCGTAATCTCTCGCGGCGTAATACAGCGGAGTCGGATAGTCTTTGATTATGTCCAGAGGGACCATTTGAAACTGCTCTTCTTCAGCTCTCTCGCCGCGGCGTTCGATCCTTCTCTCACGGCCCAACACGTCGCAACCTCTTGCAGCGTAGTGCAGCGGAGTCCACCCATCGTCGTCGGCCGCATCAAGTAGGCTCTTCGTCACTCGAAGCACGTACTTCACTAGGTCGACATTTCCACCCTGTACCGCACAGTGAAGAATGGTGCGTCCCATCTTGTCACGCACGTCAAGGTTGGCTTCCGCTTCCTTGAGCCTGTGGAGATTTTCAACGGTGCTGTAGGCTGCAAAGTGAACGGGACGGCGACCGAGGGGTCCTTGTAGGTTGACGTCCGCCTTAGCGGAGAGAACAAGATCGATAGTCTCAGTTGAGCCGTAGTAGCAAGCCATTCCAAGGATGCAACCGTAATCGCCTCCGATCCGATTGACATCCACTGTTCTGCCGCTTTCATGCAAAAGATATCGCAAGATATCGTTTGCTTCCTTTTGCGCTCTTTCGTAGTCGTCCATTTGGAGCACCCGATAACATGCGCCACAGGCGGGATGACCTGATTTGGTATGCATTTGCATGACGTCGGCATTGGCTGTTACCAATAGCTTGACAGTCTCCGGTGTGCCTAACCAACAAGCCACATGCAGCGGTCCTCCAAGTCTCTCGCTAATGGCGTTGACGTCTGCACCGAGCTTTACTAATAACCGTGCAATATCCGGTGTTTTTTGAGTTGCGGCTCGATGAAGCGGTGTTATGCCGTCTTTGTTCGCTTTGTTGATATCTGACCCTTCGAGAACTAGCATCTGAACAATGCTAAGTTCTGCTCCCTCAGAAGCCAAGTAGTAGTTCAAGGCAGTATTGCCTCGATTATCAGTCAAATTGATATCCGGCTCAAAGTCCAACAGCATCTTGAGGAACTCTTCGTTGGAGACACCAAGGTGGAGAGTAGAGTGTCCACCAGGGCTGGTTCTCAGATTGACGTCTGCGCCGGCTTCAAGAAGCTTTCTGGCAATACCGGTATTGAAGTTTTCGGCGGCAATGTGTAAAGTTGAACTTTGGCCTTCGGCATTCTTGTACAACTGGTCGACTCCCGGTGTGTACTCCAGCAAGACCTCAACCGCGTCCATTTCGCCCGCTGACGTGGCAATATACAAAGGAAAATTACCATCTCCGTCTGTAGCTTGGTCGATGCAAGCACGGTCCGTCTCTGCTAGTGCTCTGATCTTTGCAGGTTCCAAGCAGGCAAAATGTATAGGTGCCAACCCGCTGTCATTGGGAGTCATCATATCGGCTCCTGCTTGGAGAACCAGTCGTAGTATCTCAACATTGGACCCACTTATGGCAAAGAATACCAAACGTAACATCGCTTTGGAATCGACGTCTGCGCCATGTTCAAGAAGGTATCTGACCATTTCGACGTTTTTATTGTTGAGCACAGCGGCGAGAATAGCATTGGGGGTTTCTTTATCCATTCGGGCATTGACTGCTGCTCCCTTATCAATCAGAAGTTGCACGATGTCAAAGTGGCCGAACATCGCGGACTGCGCAATGGCTGGTCCATCTTCCCCTCCACCGTTCGCGTTTGCTCCATGCTCAAGAAGAGCATTGACGCATTTAACGAAGCCATGGGAAGCCGCGACAGCAAGTGGCGTTGTCTTTTCTCCCGGAGGTTCTGTCTCAGCTCCTTCTTTTAGGAGGACGCTGAGAACTTCGTGATTACCCCTGGAGCAGGCTACTCCCACGGGAGCCACAGCTCCGCCATGGCGAGCATCAACCTCTTTGCTGCTAGTAAGGAGCAGCGTCGTCACCTCTGGGCGCGCGTTGTTTGCAGCGTATCCCAGAGCGGTTCTTCCCACATCATCCACCTCTTGGAAAAGGCTCTCATCTTTGCTCAGAAGCATCCGAGCGACTTCCAGGTGGCCATTAAGTAGCGCCGCTTGTAGCAAGGTTGGTCCGTCATAGTACTCGCCCCGGATCTTGATACTTGCATTGCATTGAATCAACGTCTCGACCAAGCGAGCCTGACCAAGCCATGATGCACGAAAGATCAATGGATCCGGCCAACTGAAGTTCTCGAGATGCTCCGACACATGTGAGACCAGAGAATTCTGCAAGTCTTCATTTTCGCCGTAGCTTACCGCCGCCAGAAGGATAAGCTCAGCTGCTTGGGAATTATCCAAGTTGACGGAGTGAAGAATGTCATTAGCCAATTTAGCATGTCCGTTCCTCGAGGCTTCAGCCAGGGCGAATGGCAGATGTGAAGTTGCTTCGCTTGCGGAATGTTGCTTCTCGTCCTGCAATTGCTGATGGAAAACATCGCATAGCCCAGTGGATGCAATCAGGGGCAGCAATGATCTCAAGTAGCTCCTGTCTGTTCTTGAGATGGGGTTTGTGATAATCCAACGAGCCGCTTCCCATTTTCGGACGATTTTTTCGGATGAAAAGAATCTCATCACAAGATCGAGCAAAGATGATTTGTCTGATGCAAGGCTGTAGTGTTGCGGCCAGTACTCTGTGGCGTATGAAGTGAGGTCGTTTTGAGGCGTGAAAACAGGGGTTCCCCATATGCCATGTTGGGGATTACAAAGTCCCAAAAGAGCATCAAGAGATCCGGTGGAGCTCAGGCTAGCCAGACAGACTCGGGTGATTTGATCATGAGCCGTGTGTTTAACGGCAAACCACACGTCTTCTGCACGTTCGAAGAAATTGTGGAGCCTGCGATGTGAAAAGCGCACTCTGCGGTTGGAGAAGTCCAGCATTCCCGGAAGGAGCTCATCAAGAGCCGAAGCCAGATCGAGAGACTGATTGAATATTGACTGTCCCATCATGAGGACAGAGACAGACTGCAGCTCGTCGAGGCTGAGCGGACGTACGGCGCAAATGATCCAGCTGAGTACATCCGATACAAACGTTCGGTCTTTCTCAGGGACTTCAATCATCGTTTCTTCAGCAAGCTCTTCCGGAGACACATGCTGTAGGCGTTGAACGAAAGCTTCGAATGATGTACCAGTCGGTCTTCGAACAACCCTGAGAAGCTGCCCTATCATAAAGGGAGTCAATCCGATATCTCTCCAATTTCCCTTGCGAATAGAAGCACCAAGTAACCGCTCCGATATCCGCAGATCACGGAAACAGAGAAGCTGCATATGGTTAGGTAATATTGCGTAGTCCACATCACTGTCCAAGCCTGGACGTATCTCTTGTTCATCCATGTTGATCCTAGGCCAATGTGAAAGCCTTTCATGCATCTCGTGCCCTGGCTTGGTAAACAAGATGAATTTCCAAGGACCCGATTCTTGACTTTCAAAATGGAAGGCCAAATGTTCCCAAAATGATGGGTTCGTGTCTTCGCTTTCATCGACATTGTTGAGTACAAAGAAGGTTTTCGTCCGGAAAACAGAAGCAACACGAGTAAGCATCATGGTCCAGGTGTAAAGAGCGTCACTTTCGGTAAAAGATCGATAGTGCAACAAGTGAGGATAGCCTGCATTTTCGCGTAATGCACTTGGCCAATTTTGGGTCCACTGTGACGTTGCCGCGTCCAGAAACGTTCGTATGCTTCTTCGACGATTGTCGCGGGAGTCAAAAGAGAAACATATGGAGTTTTCTGCTTTTGCCTCTGTAATTGTCTCGAAAATTGACCCCGAGATATCGTCAGAAAAATCTGATGTTTGAACGATCAGACCACCTGAACTGTTGTTGTTTCGCCACGCTATGAAGTTTTCATGGTTCGTGAGCCAGCTCAACTCCACAGTCGATCTCGTTGTGAGATATATTGGAGGACTTGAAAACGCGCTCAGATCTCGATTTCGGTCGTCTTCCATCGCATACTCTGAGGCGGCTTTTATAAGTTAGTGGTTACTCTCTAAAATGGGTGACTGAAAGCTTTCAGTCTGTAACATACTGTGATCGGTTTGAAAGTCTTCAAGTGCCATGGAAATAGTCCACCAAGTGTCCAATTTTGCTGGTGCGCAAGCCAGATTCGCATGTAACTCTGGGTTTGGGATTTTGACTTCACCAACCAAGCCTGTTGTCGCCATCCATTCGTCAAAAATCTGTTTAAATGTGTGAGATCAGTAAACAATGGGTTTTGAAAGGAGGCGTACGTATTCACCAGGGTTCGCCTTGCTAGAGTAGATGTTGACAAAGTTCGCCCGTAGCATGAATTTGGCTTCTACAAACAAGTCATTGCAGTCGATGATGGTCTGAGCAAGGTCGATTATTTGAAAAAATGACATGCTCAGCGAAGCAAAGTCCGACTCGAGCAGGACATCTCGAGCGACCGCATCGACCATTTGCTGGATATTTCGGCATCGATGAGGGTAACCGAAGAAAATCTAACATTTTACAGCCAAAATTAGTTTTACGTATTCTTCGAGCTGCTAGGTGGAGGCATTCATACCAACAGACGAGTCGAATGTGCTATACTTGCATATTCTGGATCCGTACTTGCTAAGTACAGTGCCTTTGAACGTCAGGGCTGAATTGTAGATGAAGCCATGACTCATACCCTCTTGACAATAGCGCCTCCTATATCATGAGATACAATGGCGATGGGGCGATGTGTCTCCTAATCCTATTGTAAGTGCTCCCGCTTGCAAAACTTGAGCTCTATGTTTAGGGAACACATACCGGCTCCAGGTAACGCCTTGCATTTGAGATGTAACGCAGCAACTTCGAGGCTTCCAGAATGATATCACTTCCGGAGAATGCCCCAGACCGATTGTAGCCGTAGTGTAGAACGCGGCACTCGGGATCGGATTCGAGCGTGGGGATGCCATCCAATTTGCCTCTCTTTTCTGGATCTCGAGCCTCCCAGGTACTCTGGCTATCGCCGTGAAGGCCATGTACAGTGATTACACTGGGTTTGTACTGTGTGAGTCTTTCAGAACACAGCAAAAAGGGCTCTGTACTCACTCGAATGCGCCTTTCAAGGCGGTCTGGTCGACACCCTCCTGATGGGAATCTTGAGCATTCTTGCTGCGCTCTCCACTTTCAGATTGACTTTCAGAAGAAGAACTCATGCTGTTATTTTTCTTCATCGGTTGCGCTTTCATGGCCGTTACAAGTGTTGCTGGGGAAGGAGAGATAGCCACCCAGAGTGTACTCTGCCCGCCGTTCCGTTTTCAGCAAACCCTGACATCGCACAGTGTTGCCATAGCTGGGAGCGTAAATACAGCAGAATGTTAGCCAAAGATTTTGAAGTGCCGAAAATGCACGAGGTCTGCGAGTAGAACTTCAGATACACATTGCGGAGACGGATTCAGGAATGACGTGTAGTTCAAGAGCTAAAATTCACGTGTCATCAAAAAGGTCTGTGCTGGCGCAGATAGCTTCAGCGGGACGGTATTTCAGCCGAAGGCTAGCGCGAAGAAGAGCAGGGCCTTGGAATAGGGGGTATCTGCGGCTCCCCGGGATGGATGATTTTTGTAATAATCGTGAGGAATTATTCGCCTTATGCGGGCAGTTGAAGCTATCTTCCGGACGTGAATGTACAATTTTTAATTCGACATCTGCTTCCAGACGATAACTTCAACCTCTCATCATATGTGCACGAAATTGCCTGCATGAATTGGAGTGGATATAGCTTGATCGACACGTTTGAGAACATAGGCTACACATTCTGGTTAGACATCGAGGCACTCGCGTCAACCACAGACGAATACATGAATCCCAAGTCCACTGATTATATATGCTTGACTGCGTTGTCCTGAACCGTCATGAAGGTAACGTTTGCCAAACGTTCAAGATTAACCGAATCCAAGGCCTCATGATCATAAACTTGAAGCCGATTGGTCGGTTTAATGCGTGGGTCGAATAACACAGGATCGTCTCTCGATCTGGATCCGACCAATTTTTCGATAGAACTCATCCAATCGACGGTCGCATGAAGTTTGAAGATGCACTTGAAGGGGCTGTTATCCTCTCTGTTCAACAAGATCGATGCGGTCATTGATGTGGGAACGCCTGTCTTGGTGGTTCTGTTCTCGACCAATGACCAGGACGCACTGTTCGCATTCCCGTAGTTCCTGCCGATCAAGTCCATCGAGCCGATCAGCTTGGTGGCATCGGTAGTCTCACGGCTGACGCTCTTGTCCCAGGCCAGATTGACACCAGCCTGAACGCCGAGGAGAGGCGGCGCCCCGATATTTCCTCCAAGACTGAGCTTCTCGTCTTCTTTCTGAGATGTCTGGACGAGAACCATATCTCCGTACGGGGCGATGTTGATGACTTCCGGGCACGCGGCACCAGCCTTGCAGCCCGCAAATTCTAAGGAAGTTTGCACTTCCAAGATCCTTCGCCCGGCCTTGCGACTGCTGAATGAAAATCTAAGGACGATCAGAGTCGCGAAAACCTCAGCTTCGGGATGAGGGAGGCCGTGAACCACATCCACGACTTGGCAACGAACGTCAACTGCACCTTTGCGCTCAGTGACATTCTGTCGCTGGTACAGTGAGGCTGGATCGTTCGCAGTTCGGAATGAACTCCCCTCGTCTCCGGTAGGACTTAGAGAAATATCGAACTCTTCCTCAATCTCGTACACTTCATCAAGATCGTCCGTGTCCGAGGCAGGCATGAGGTTGGTCTGGTACAACGAGCTTGACTTTTCGATGATGACGAATGTTGACATCAGTAAGTAACATCTGGGGGAGGTTGCTATATAATAATGCCAGCAACTGTGCTTACGCTCCAAAGCCGGTTCATGGCTCGTGGACAGTGGAGCAGCGCCACCTGCTTCACCGTGAACTCATCGCTGCTTACGCCGTGAACCGCCCCCTTAGCGTAATTACAGTTACCGGCATTGCTCCAACAACGTCGGATGCTTGAGTCAGTTGGATCTCAAGCTCTTCTACTCATGCTTTCTCCAGTAAGATATTTGTTTTTTCTTTTTTTCAGACTCACGCATCTTTGTGGTCTAACTAGAGCTGATTCCTGCATGCGGCTTTGTCACGGAACGGGCGTGGCGGACTAGTAATCGAAGGATTTATTAGCAAATGTTGGACCATACCTTCGGTATTCACATGCACCATCTAATTGGGAATAGTATCAGGGTTCCTCACAGTAAAATTTCAGGCTGTTCAGCAGTCGAGCAGGTGTGAATCACTCCTCGGCTCGCCGGAGATAGTATAGCGCTCGCGGAACTTCCCGAACTGGGCACAAAATGTGCCCCCAGGAACGATGAAACTCGTCTCTGCTGTTGAATTCTGCTCAGGGATCATTGTAGTACCCTAGTTCCATCCAGTCAGACAAACCGCCCACGGCACGGCACGCGTTTTCAACTCTTACGGAAACTACTACTTCTGCATGATCAGAGTGACCACAGCCTGGCCAGACCACGCTGGAGCAGTCACGCGCCACGGATGACGTTCACCTCCATCCACCTCACCACAAATTCCCCGCATCACTCACACTCCCTAATTTGCAGCGTTGGTCAGATGATATTACTCATTATCTCGTCTGCTACTGGAGGTCCTTATGCCCAAAGCTCAATCGCACTACCCCTCGTCGTCTCTCAGATACATTGACACTCGTTAACCGCTCGACATGGCTGCGACAGGCGACGGCGTTGGTGATCGCTCGGCTTCATGTTCAGAGAGCGAGGGAGAAGGTGAGCGGGAGAATGATGACGAGGTACTGAGAAAGAAGTTTGAAGAGATCATCGGAAAGTTGAAAAACGGCAGGAGCGATGATGCGAAAGATCTGGCTGAAGAGATATATCAGGGCTATAGTGACTGTTTGAGCAAGGTCATGAAAGGAGAAGACCGAAAAACTATCCTTCACATGATAGCCGTTTCGGCACGCAGGAAGGATATTGAGAAGTGGTTGCCTATCACGAGGAAAATCATCGAAAACTTCCCCGAATTGATGCAAGAGACGGACAAAATGGGAAGAAATCCGCTGCAAAAGGCTGTGCAGGGAGGAAGATCTAGGCTTGTCACTACCATGTGCGAAGCAACCCCAAAGACGGCTTTCGACAAGATCGTGCGCATGAAAGACTCCGATTCAAACAACAGCCTTCACGATGCTCTAAATAAGGAGGATCCCTCGAGGATCGCACCAGAACTCATTCAAAAAATCAACAATCCAGACGAGGTGCTTTGCGAACTAAACGGAAAAGGCCTCTCTCCTCTACACATCGCGGTCGAGTACCAGCAATGCACGCCTTCTCAGCTTGGAATTGTCAAGGCCCTCATTGAGCGCAGCAACAAAGTGCTCGAGGTCAATGTTCCTCCAACAGAACCGGGCCAACGTTCCGTCTATCTCCATCACGAGAAAACACGTCGAGAAGCCGAGAGGACTTCCCATGTCAATCTGAACGTGGAGAGCCGACAAAAGCCAGGAGGCAGCGTGAACGACAGAGAGGTGCTCAATCCACCCAAAGAACCACCGCACAATAACCCTATCATGCGGAGTAGTGCAGCTCCACATAAAACAACCTCTACAGAGACAAACCTGTCTTACTTGGCGGGCAAAATGCCTCAGGGCTTCGAGAACCAAGACTTTTACAAGTTTCGACGCTCTTCCATCACAAAGAACATCGCATTCACAGACAAGGGCATAAACGAAGTAGGCCAACTGGCGGATGCACCTGGTCAAACCAAAGCTTGGATAAGCAAACATGAAGACAAAAAGGAGAAGGTCACGGAACCGTCCGCGAATGCTATCAGAGATCTGCTGAAGCTCCGGTTCATGTGCGGCCAGAAGAACTCTGAAAAAATTGACTCATTCTTGTACGGACCAAATCCAGGTAAGAAAGCCCGCAAGTATGAAAATCGGGTGAGGGGACCGGCTAAAGAAAATTAGAGAAGGAAATACAGTTCATTCACCCTGAAGGGCCCAATGCCAAGACCAGTCACCAAATACTCGAAGGGATGAAGCCCTACCTCCACTTCGAAGACACCCTCCAATACGTCAAAATCCCCTTCCTGCGGGCCGAAAAGTCAGTGAGAACTTCCTCATTGAAACTTTCGCCCCGTACGAGTAGCAAGGGTCGGGACGACTACCTGGCTGTATTCAAATGGCTCAAGGACAAAGGAGTGAAGCGCATCGTCGATTTAGAAGTTGACGATTACAAAGAGTTCTTTCCCGGCGATGAGAAGGCAGTTCCTTCTCACAGCGATGAAGCGATCGAGAAAGCTCTTGTTGGAATTGAAGTGCTCAGATCGTGGACCTGGAGGAAGCCTGATTTGAGTTCGGAGCTTATATTCAGAAGAGCGCCAGAAATAAGCCAATTGACTCTGCATTGGTCGGGCAATGATGCTATCCTGCGCAGCTGGAGTGAAGTGGAGGGCCTGAGGAAGCTCCAAAACCTCAAGAAAGTGGTAATACTTGCACAGCAGGTATGTACGCAAATGCCGTCCTCAAGTTATCACACGTGATTGACGAATTATAGGGACTCGAGACACGTGATAGAACAGAAGAAAACCTCGAGCAGTTCAAAGACAGACTAAATGCTGGCAGGCATGACTCCAAGATCGAGGTGGAACCGAAATTCGAAACCCACCGACCCACTTCCAGGAGCGAAAAACAAGTGTCACTGGAAAACCGCCCAAAGCAACAACACGAGTGGTTGAATGTCATGGACAGATTCGCAGACTTCATCCAAAACGTCGACGTCAAAGACATACCACGGTTGGTCGACGAGCCCATACGAGTGGCTCTCATTGATGATGGTATCGACCCGACGGAGAAGACGCTTCTCGGCAAGGTGGGCGGCGGCCGGAGCTTCTGCAAAAGCGATGACATGAGGACTCCCTTCTACGTTACAAGCGGCTGGCACGGGACGATCATGGCCAGCATGATCTGCAGAGTGTGTCCCAAAGCGCAGTTGTGGGTCTACAAACTCGAGGAAGGCGCCAGCGAAGACAGCAAGAGAACCATCACAGCAGAGAGCGCCGCACAAGCCGTCGAGGCCGCCGTGAACAAGAAGGTCGACATAATATCCATGTCATGGACCATCGAGAAGACGGGCGATAACCAGGCCAGCCTCGGCAAATTGAAAGCCGCGATCAACAAGGCAGTCAACCAAAACATACTCCTCTTCTGCGCGGCCAACGATCAGATATCGGACGACGAAAGCTATCCTGGCTACATCACACGGGAACAATTCAAGATCGGAGCGGCTACCGAGTTCAAGAAAGCGTGGGAGGGCACCGGCGAAATTCCCGTCAACTACATTCTGCCAGGCAAGGATGTCATCATGGAGCGTCCAGAGCTGGACGTTCCGCTCGACAAATGTACCAAAGCCACGGGCTCAAGCGTCTCGACGGCTTTGGCGGCCGGGTTGGCGGCTCTCATTCTCTACTGTGTGAAGATGGCTGCCTGCCACTACGCCGCGTCGAACAACCAAGAAGGAAATCCCATCACCTTCAACGACTTTCAGAAATTGAAGAATTTCAACAGGATGAACGAAGCTATCAGTAGGATCGGGCTAGAGAACAGATACATCAAGGTTGACAAATTTTTTAAATTCAAAGACAATCCTGGGGTGAAGTCTAAGGAGGAAAAGCGCGAAATGGTCAACAAGATCGCGGGGCGCCTGATCATGTCTCAAGAACCCACATTCTAAACTCTCATCGTAGGTTTCCCCTCACCCCACCTTTCCTTCCAAGTATTCTTATCCATACTGAGGGCGACTCCTGCGACGGCCATGGCGTTCTTGATGTACTTCTCCAGTGTAGCCGTCCTGTTTTTTTCTAGATAATGTGTCCTTGATCAGCAAGACCTTTCAGATTGTCTCTCTATCAAAGGATCAAGAAGACGCACAACTCATGTCGGGAGATAGTCGATAGCAATTAAGCAGCCGTTCAGCCTCTTTAAAGCAGCAAATCCAGCATAGTCACAGTATTAAGCGCACGTGGTATCCCGTACGTCCAAGCGCCGTTCCCGGATATAAAAGCGACATCAGAATCGAAAATACGGACGCCTTCCGTTAACGCTAATCGGTTGGACCCTCAATGATCGTGTTCTGCTATTGTTGACTTTTTTGCTTCCTCCTCGTCGCCGGACTGGTATCGAATATCTTCACAACGTACTTCGCTCATCGACACATATAGCATTGCGCCCCAATTGCTGCCCTGTATCAGCAAATACCAAACGAAGACATCACCATTGATTGACAATCACGTTGCGCTTTCTATCGCTCCGCCGCCAAACCCGTTCCCCACCATTAACAAATCACATGTGTATGAGTGCTTCTCCACGAAGCGAGTATGGTCGTAGATGCTTAGCGTGTGTTAACCCACGAGGTTGCTGTCACTGCCATGACTATGGGAAAGGATCTGCATTTAAAGGTCGGAGCGGGTAGCTAAAAGAAAAGCAAGAGAGAGTCACCTGACCCAAGCACGATTTCGCGCTGCCAGGTGCCGCTTCTGAGAAGGGCGTGTGACTTCATGTTATGACGCACTTGACCGACGCCTCAGCCGGACAGGCAGTGAGTGTCACACATATCTTACCGACGTTGTCCGGATTTGAAGGAGTAGATCGGGACCAGTCTCGAGTAGAACAATGCGCTTTACACCGCAGCTCGCTCGCACTGGCCTGTTGTCGTTCGACCCGCTTCGGGACACTCGGAGGTCGCTTGTCGGGAATCAAACAATCAAACCGCAGGCACCAACTTAGTCACATATGGGACCCCAGCATCATCGGGACGAAACGCTGAAGCTGATCGACAGATTTACCTGGTATCTTTCATCATAGGTGTAATGCGGGGTGTCGCACGACTGTGCTGCACACTGGTTTCACCTGCACCTCTGATGGAACAAACCTAAGAAGCGTACACTCTTGCCTCCACAACAGACAAAGTCAGCAGCCGTAAGAAAGGAAGGCAGCTTTTCCCTCTCTCTGCTGCTGTCAGCTTCTGAACTCCCCAAAGATGCCAATTGCTGGTCCCGAGAAGACGCAGAGACTCAATGTTCTTTAAGTAGAATCCCTCACCTGCCACCGTGAAGGCTTGCACGAGATGACAAGACAGGTGAGGATTTTTGTGTTTAAAAGGCCAAGACGTGTATTCCTGTACACATTGCATGTTGCTCCATATTTTGCTGGTGCTCTACGATTCAGAAGCCAATCTAGACTTCCGTCTTTTTCCGTGCCTGGTACACATTTGCCTGCGCATTCGTCAGCTCATCTTAGATATTTATTAGTCACACCGAATGTGGAAGTACCTGCCGTGCATCGACAGAAGAATCAGAGGCCCTTCAGCATCAACACTTAATGGTGTAGCGGCTTATCACTCACTGACGTCCTCAGCAGGCCCCTCAAAACAAAATTCAGTTGGCCATAAACTCGGGCAAGCCGGCGCACACCGACTGAATCGAGCGATGAAGATCTCATACGCAGACGACGGCCAGTGATCTCCTCCGGTTGATGCATTCTCCCGCGGAGTATGATGTTCCGGCATCGTGGAAAATGCGATAGCCAACGCAACGAGAGCCCGTTTTTATCTACCTCCCGACGGCTCAATGGGCCGTTGCCGCGAAGGCACATGCGGATGACAGGGTCTTCATGGCACAAGGCCCGTGAGACCCCCGACTGGCCAGAAGCTGGATTATTAAACAAGCGTCATTGAACTCCAGAGCTCCATCGTCCACCACTCACCCGTCTTCTTGCACTGAGTATTTGCAGGAAAGATAAACTTGCCTGACCAATCCAGATTTTACTCGTTTGGCTCGCTGACGTGGATAAGTTTTGCAGAAACTGCATATTCTAACGCCTGTTTTACCGTGGAAAAGAATACAGCACTACTGCAGGGCATGATGCCATTTTCGATCATTGAATCAAAATAATGTGGCCCATCACTGCCGCTGTCCCCCGCATTGGACAGCCAAGTTCCATGGCGACAACGGAAGAGAAACCTATGTCTTTAGCATCATGTCACATCCTCCCCACCCGCAGCAACACCGTCAACAGATATCAAGATAATCATCTTTCTATTCCGCCTACGTACTTCCAGTTCCTACCATGCGCTCTCCAAATTCTCCCTTATGTACAAGCTCCGAGTCACGTCATCCAACCCAACATGCGAACCGTCTTCCCAAGTCCACGTGAAAGGGAATCACACCAAGTTTCCATCGTTCACACTATTCAACCCGGCCGTTGTTCATGGAGAGTAGACATCATTCGAATGCTCCCAAAGGAAACAAAAGGAGACAGAGCAAGGAAGACAGGAGGAAATCGACCAAATGCACCGAAAGATGACGACGACGATGAGAGTACGAGTAGCAGACACTAGAAGAGAGTATTGGATTGAAAAATGACTAGACACAGAAAGGAAGAAGGGGAAGACGGAAAAGGACCACAATGCGTATACACCATAAAGAAAAGAGCAACAGAGCCCAAAAAGACCAAGGACTAGACGAAAACCAGGCAACGAAAATGCACAAAAAAGCAGCCACGAAAGACAAAACAGCATTCGGAACGACACCCATTGCTTTCTCTAATACGAAAATGAGCACACCGGTGGTATCCCCCCATTTTCCGTAACTGGATGATCCTATCCCTTAATGATAAATTTTTTTTCTTCTTTTTGTCCATTTTCTTTCAGTCTTACCGTGTGATGTTGAAACCCTTTTGAATTTTCTTTCCTCCCCTTTCCCACGCTCCTTGCTAACCCGTAATCATTCCCTTGGTCCGAAAAAAAAAACAACAGAGAAAAAAACAAAAAAAGCAAAATAATCCAATGCCCTCCCTTCCCTTATCCACAACCATCATCATCATCATCATCCCCCACACACACATCTACCTCCCAAGACGTCTCTGCACTTCTATACCTATCTGTACAAAGTCCGGCCGGGGCTGCTCCTCCTCCTCCCCACGACGATCGCTCGTTTATGCACGTATTCATCACCCCCTCCCTTACTCCTCCCTCCCATCCACCAACCTCCTCGCCTCACTCGCCTTCCTCGCCTCACGCTCCAACACCTCCAAATCCCCACTCGTCTCGCACATGCCGCGGAAAACGCCCTTCTTGCGCTGCATCAGCTCCCACGGGTCGCCGAATTCGATGACCTCGCCGCGGTCGAGCACGAGCACCTTGTCGTAGTCGCAGATGGTCTGCAGGCGGTGGGCGATGGTGATGGTCGTGTTGCGGATCTCGCGGATGGTCTCCTGGATCTTGGCGTCCGTGGCGTAGTCGATCGACGCCGTCGCCTCGTCCATCAGCAGCACCTTGGGCGCCTTGAGGAGCGCGCGCGCCAGGCAGAGCAGCTGCCGCTGGCCCTGCGACAGGTTGCTGCCCGACTCGGATACGGGCGAGTTGAGGTTGCGGAAGATGTTCTTGTTCTCCAGTATCTCCGACGACGGGGTGCCCGGAGTGGAAGGCTCTGAGGTGCCGTTGGCAGTGGTGGCGCCGGCCGCGCTCTTGACCGCCGCGACGGCGGAGCGGAGCTGGGCGTTCTTGTCGTTGCTCTTCTTGGACCGGACGACGCCGTTGGACGAGCCGGTCGGGGAAGGCGGTCTTGTGGTCTGGGCCGAGGGAGCAGCGGACCCGACGAGCTGGACGCGGCGGAGGGCGGTGAAGATTTCCTCGTCGGTGAAGAGGCCGAAGGGATCGAGATTGCTGCGGATGGTTCCGCTGAATAATGTCGGATCTGGCGGCTCAAAGTTAGTCTCATTGTTGACCCCGGAATGCATTGTTGTGCAGAAAACGTTGAAGAAGAAGAAGGAAATCTTACCTTGCGGAACCATAACAATGTTCTCCCGCAGATCCTGCAATCCGATCATGCCAATATCGACATCGTCAACAAGAATCTTGCCCTCCTCGGCTTCGAGCGCGCGGAACAGGGCGAGTGCCAGGGAACTCTTGCCAGCACCCGTCCGGCCCACGACACCGACCTTTTCTCCCGGTGCGATCTTGAACGTGATGCCCTTCAGGACGTAGTCGAAGTCTGCGCGATAACGCGTGCTGTAGCCGATGAACTCGACCGAGCCTCGGCTTGGCCAGTTCGAGGGCGGACGGTTGTCCTCAATGACCGGGGGCGCCTCCTGCTCGACGTCGAGGTACTCCTTGATACGCTCGACCGAGTTCATGTTCTGCTCGTTGGCCGCATACAGGCGGACGAACCAGAGCACGTTGTCGGTGAAGGTGACGGCATAAGTCATTGCCAATCCTGCGGCGCCAGCGTCCAGACGGCCAATGCTGAGGATGACGAAAACACCCGAGAAAAATGAGACCATGGAACCGACCACGTCAACGCGGAATGCAAGCCATCTGTTGGCTGCCCAGAGATAGATGAAAGGTCGGTTGTGAGTGTTGACGCGGGTCAGATTCTCTCGGATGAAGCGGCGTTCGTCACCGTACGCACGGATGGTTGTCATGCCAGAAAGCGTCTCTCCGAATTGCTGGTAAAGTGGGCTGCGCTGCACGGACTCCAGACGCTTCAGATCGCGGGAGGCATTGATGTAGAACATGCCGATGAAGAAGAACAGCAAGCTGATGAAGATGCCAGCGATCAGGAAAGCGGGAATGATGATGGAGATGAGGGCGACGACGGTCAGAATGGAAGCGAAACAGTGAACAACACCGATGGCGACGGGGGCAATTTCCTGGTCAATGGATTCGATATCCTTGGAGAAGCGGTTCATGAGCTGTCCAAGAGGCGTCGAATCGAAGAAGCGGAACTTGGCGTGCATGACCGCGTTGACCAGGCGTTGATGGATCCTCCTGGACGCACCGAGGGAGCCCCAGAACAGAACGGCCTCTCTGCTGAGAGTGATGATCATGAAGATTATTCCCAGAATTGCGTAGATGCCCAAGTAGTACCCGGCGTCAACCTTCGAGTTGCTGTCTGAGACCATCGACACCTGGAGCCCGTCGTGGAAGTTGTTCTGGCTTGCTTGGGAAGAAGAAAACCAGGGGAGAGGCCAGACACAGCTTCCGCTCGTCAAGCATGAACCAAGACCAGTCACGACGCTGGTGTGCGTAACATGGCTGGGCTGCTTCTGCACGCCGAAAAGGCTGACCTGCTTTGTATCGTACGCGTTGGCCCACTGGCGGATCCAGACATTGGTTGCAACAGAGGAGAGCTGTTGAGCGGCGAAGGCAATAAAGGCGGCAACCCAGTACCACGAAGAACCCATGGACTTGAGGTACATAAGGATAATTCCCATCTTGACTCCTCCCACAGCCTTGGTCTCCTCTTGGGATTCCTTCGGCTTATCAGTTCCATTGGCATGGCCATTGGCACCTCCGTTTGCGTGTCCGTTCTCGCCGAGAGCTTCTTCACCTCCAACATCAGAGGGAACACGAGATGCCACTCTAGAAGGACCGCGAGAGACAGGGCGAGACTTTGAGAGATCTTCGCTAAGCCTTCCAGAATCGATGAGATCATTGGGCGTGCCTTGGACGGCAACCCTTCCATTATCGAGGAGGACAGCGAACTCGGAGTGAGGCAGGCAAAGCTGGACATTGTGGGTGACCAAGATGCAAGTTCTGTTGTACATGAGAGGACCCAAGAGCGCCTGATCAAAGATCCACTTGGCAGTGTGCGAATCAACCGCGCTGAGCACATCGTCCAGCAAGACGTGACGTGCCTTGCTGTAGAGTGCTCGAGCAAGAGAGATACGCTGCTTCTGACCACCAGAAAGTGTGACGCCCTTTTCGCCGACCAAAGTTTGATCACCTGCATCCAGGATTTCCAGATCCCTCTGCAGCGAGCAAGCCACGATGACGTCCTTGTAGCGCTTGGGATCGAACGGACTGTTGAAAACGATGTTCTCCTTGATAGTACCGTTCATCAACCAAGCCTGCTGCGCGCAGTAAGCGACGCTTTCAGTGAGACCAGTATCCGGATCAGCAGACAAATCCTCGCGGCAGCGTCCGCCGGGAAGGTAGACCTTTCCTTGGACGAGTGTCATCTCGCCCAACAGAGCCATGAGAAGAGATGTCTTGCCGCAGCCAGTAGAACCAACGATAACGCTGAGCTGTCCAACGGGGAAACGGATGTCCAGATCCAGCATCTTGAATGCATCGTCCAACTCACCATCCTTGGAATCTCCAGTACCCCAGCTGAAGGTACCGTGATCGAAACCAATGAGGGGCTCGTCATTCTCATCGAATTCCTCGCTCTTCAGCTGCTTGTACTTGTCCGTCTCAGGCTCGTTCAGGTACTCTTCAATACGATCCACCGAGACCTTTGACTCCTGAACGTGAGCGACCATGTCGGCAAGCTGGTCAAGAGGAATACGGAGCAGCTGGAATAGAGACAGCGCAGTGAAAGCGACTGATGGAACCAAGTCCTTCTTCTCGATGATGGTGTAGAAGAAGAACGAGAGGAAGGTGATGATGATGGGGGCTCCGGACCAGACAGTCGCGGCAGCGGCCCACCACTGGTACCTGCGGCGGAGATTGGCGAGTTCGACGGCACGTTTCTCGTTGACCTGGGCCATGAAGCGTTGTTCCCACGCGAAATACTTGATAATCCGAATGTTGGTAAGGATCTCATTGGTCGTGTGGATACGGGCATCGGTGGCTGCAAGTATCTGCTTCTGGATAGCGGCGAAACGTTTGGAAATGAGCATGTTGATGGGAAGAAGGAATATCATCATGCCAATGCCGGCAACAGAGCTAAGACCCAGGATGCGGTACAGGAGCAAGACCGACACTACCACTTGGACGGGAGTGTTGGCCCACAGGAAATGGAGATAAGCGGAGATTTCAGCAACCTTGAAAGAATCCACTGCCATCAAGTTGATGATGGCTCCAGAGCTGACCTGCGTTTCCGAACCATTTGCGGCCGATGCACTCGGCTTCGTAGCCTCCGGCCTTGCCTTCTTGCGACGGAAAGACATAACCCTCTTGAAGCGATCCTTCTTTGACTCCGTCCATTCCGGCTTTTTCTCACCCAGAATCTTGTCTCCACCCGAGGCCGCCCTGCGCTTGAGAGCCTTCGCATAGATTTCTCCAATAATGATAGCTCGAAGCCTGATGCAGATCTTGCGTCCAATCCAGAGCGCTTGACCATCGGCGAGAGCAGAGGTAACGCCAGAGAGGAAAAGCAGAATGACATAGAACCAAGCAGCATTGCGGGGCGTCGAAGCGGGGTTCTCAACATACTCGAGGATGAGCTTGAGGAGGATGGTGGGGACGAAAAGGAAAAAGCCGGAGCAGGCTGCCCAAGCTGCTTGGATTATGAGCTCACGGCGGAAGTAACGGAGCAAGTGCCACGACAGGGCCTGAGTCTTCTTGAATTGCCTATACTGCGCAAGGATGGCAGCGGCCTTGTCTTTGGGAGCCAGGTTCCAGACATCGGCCATCTCGAACGTTTTCTTGTACCCTTGCCACACGATTGCGTCAACCCATCCGAAAGTGGCAATGGACAGCACACTGGCGGTCTGCTCCTTGGAAGGCTGAATGTGGCCTTCATATTCCAGCTCCACCGGGCGGTTACCCTTGCGCGAAGTGAGCGCAATAACCGCGAGCAGGGTTGTAAGAGCGAAATCGGCGATAGTGAGGTTACGTCCGAGCTTGGACTTCGGGTGGATGATGGCTGAGCGGAAGAGGAGGATCTCGAAAAGCCAGAGGAAGCAGTAGATTGAGGCGGTATGGAACCAGAGCCTGGGGAAAGACAGGCGCTTTGTGTTGGAGAACAGCAGTCTCGCGGAGGCCAGAATGGTTACGTAGGCCCAGACCGCAACTCCAGAAACCCTCGACACAAGCGTTCCCTTGCCTTCAATCAGAGCCGCGACATGTATTGCCAATTCGCCAAGCACCGCAAGTTCCTCGATCACGACCAGAAGCACCTCGCCCTTCGGTCTGTCCAGCTCCACGAAAGAGTCGTTCGTCCGCGTCGGGACCAGAGCGAGGTCGGCATTCCGTTCGAGCTCGTCCTCAGTATCCGAGTCGTCGTTGTCGAAAGGGTTGGTTCCCAGGCTGTGCTGGGCCGGACGAAAGGACCAGGCATTGCGCCACGAGTTTAGGGAGTGGTATGCCGTGTAGTGCTTGGATTGCTGCCATGCGCGGTAGATTTGTAGAATGAGGTACAGGAAGGACACGCCGCATATTATCAGCGGGAGGAGCGTCTGCAGGTAACTGTTGCGAGCGTCAGCGCAAGTCGGCTTCACAAGCATGGGCGCACCCACTCCTGCTCGAAGCACTCGGTGAAATCATCGACGCGCCATACTGGGCTGTCGCAGCGGGCGAACATGGTCTCGCTCTCTGCGGTGATGTTGCGCCAGTAGTGGGGGAATGCTCAACCACCGCTCCGCGCCTCTTGTTGTGCGGGCTATCCAGATAGCATGGACAGGAGAGGAAGCCGTCTTAGGGATGCTGGCGTAATGCGCCGAAGGCGGGTTGAAAGGCGGTCGACGAGGCGAGGCGGTCGCGGCGCGCAAATATAACCCAGTCGACGACGTCGACGCCGCTAGTTTGTACGTCACCTGTGGTTGCCGAGCAGCACAGGCGCGATCCTGCCCTAGCAAGCAGCGGAATCCCGGTCGGCTCTTCGGACAGCGCAGCGAACGAGTTTTATTAATTGCTATGTAGCAGCGGCGACGAGGCTCGCGGGCAGGCGCTGTGGTGGCGGCCCCAGGCAGGCCGCGCGCAGGCCTTATCGCCCGCCGGCCGGCAGTCACGATGCCCGTGAATCGCGTGCTGCATGCAAAATCAGCGCACCGCCTGCACACCGCAATTCAGCACCGCCCAGCATCATCCTGTCCGGCTTGCGCCCGCGGCCTCCGACCGGCGCCGGCTTTGGTTCCGTAGCGCCGTACCCGGCGCGAAGGCAGAGACAGCGGAGCGCTGCGAGAACAGCAGAGCAGCAAGCGTCAAAGCCCACGATTGTTACCCCACCTCGATCTGACCCTTGTTCCGAGAGGCGCGAGCTTGCAAGCATCAATGCACATCATTGGCGCTAGGCGCTCTGCATCCCAACCGTCGTGCAGCACAGTAATCTCGATTCGCGATCCTGCCTGGGCATTCACTCAGAATTCATCTGTGCTCACACGCGGCTGTTGCTGCTTCTGACCGGAGGACGGACCCGTCTGAGCCGCCAGCTCTGCTTACAGCGCCGCAGTCGTCAGCCGTTGGGCAGAATGCGCCGGGGCCCGTGTAAGGCTAAAATAAAGTGGTTTGACAACAACGCCTGCGCCCACGCTATCTGCAGGATCAGCTTAGTCTCCAGCCTGGCCTACGTAGCCTGGCGCTGAAGAAGAGCACATGTTCCCATCGCTCAGGTACCGCAGTGGTCCCGGACCTGTCGGCCTTCCAGGTTCCCAATCCCTGCAGCCCACCAGCTGTCTACCTTTCCCCAGCGGTCGATAGCCTGACGTCTGGAACACCGGCGGTGCGGGTGCAGGACGCCTGCAGATAGGCGTTGTACACCGCTGCTCTGTGATATTGTGCAGGGGCTCATATACCTACCGTACTCATTGAATGCAACCCTGCTCCCAAGTGCAGCCCGGTGCATGAGATTGGGCCACAATTGTTGCCTTCAACTGAAGTCGCAGAGGCCCATGCCCTCGAACTCTCTTTCCGAGGTTGCCAACGTCCACACAGCCGAGCCGATATCTCCGAATGGCTCACGAGGCTCCGTTCCCAAGTGACTGTGTCGGGACCGTTCGTTGCCCTTCCGTAAAGCTCAATGCTCAGTCAGATGACGCAATAAGCTTCGCCCCTCTGAGATTCAGATGTTGATTTGCTCTGCTTGATTTAAGGTGCCGGAACAAATGGGCCAAACTCTTTCTTTCTATGCGCTTTTGCGGTCCCCCGCACACCAACCTTACTGCCTTCGGAACGTTCAACCAAGAGCCTTTTACTGGCACAGAAAAACCGGTCTGAATTGGCGTTATATACACCTCTAGAGAGTAATGAAAAAAGGCTTTCCGCCTTTTACTTGCGCGCCGCAGCAACCGGAACCCACGGCTGGTACTTGGCCTTGGTCCTAAGCTTCCTGTCAGCATCCTCCAGCATGTCCAGAATCCTTCCACATACGTGCTGTAAGTCTTGAAACCGGAGCGGCTCCAGGTAAGCGTCGGCCTGTGCTCCTTGGGCTCCCACGCGCGAAGCTGCCTCTGCATGATCTTATCCTCAGTCGGGGGCTTGTCCACCATGTAGGACATCCAGGCGTGCCTTGGAAGGGTTAGTCGAGGGACCAATTCCGCGAATAATTTAGCAGCCTACCAGCCAGGCTCAATCTGAGACCTGTCACATGTCAGCGAGCAAATCCCACGCTTCAAGTGCCACAGATCTTACGGGTCGAATTCGTGGTCCTTGTAGTCCACCCATCGCGTCCTCACTGCACCATCTCAGGTCAATTATTGTCGGCGAGTGCGGTGAGGCTCTACTGACGAGGCAATTCCTCCGCAAGGTTCTCGTAGTACTTGTTGCCGTACCGGTCCGTTCCAATGAGAGCACCGGCCTTGGTGTCGCCTGCCCTGGCGTTAGCTCCTGCGCCATATCCTCCCAAAACCACATTGACTGACCGATATACTATATCCCCCAAACATCACCCGTCAGCCCGGAGCGCGAATGGAGGTAGGAGGGCTGGTGGAAGTCATACCTGCATCTGGTGCCAGGCGTCCTATTCAAATGCGGGTCAGTAGCTGTAAACCGGAGTCGCGGGGCGCATGGCGAACCTTGACGCCGACTCTGCGCAAGTTGCGCAGCGTACGGGTGATAGTCGACATGGTGAGCTGGTGTGGTGGTTCAGGGCCGGGGAGCTTCAATCCAGGACGTTGGTGATGCGGCAGGGCAGGCGGGAGTCTTGGCGCCGATTGCGTCCAATGCGAGCTAGCGCATTTGTCCGTGGTCCTCTTCCGCCCCCGGCTTCCGGAACCGAGTCAAGCGAGAGAGCTTGCAGCAACAAACACCGTCCGCCCCGTCAGGAAATTCTGCAGCAACTGGCTGCGAGCGCATCTACAGCGCGGAAGATAATGTTCGCCCGGTCTGCCATACGATCCTCCAGGTCCAGGATTGCGACGCCTTTGCGCCGGCCCATTTCTCTAGGCCGAACTGCACGGAGATATTCGACCTCCAGTTCTGCGGCACCGGCTTCCCCGCCAGCCACTCAATCGGGCGCCGCCATGGTGGCTAGCTTGACTTCTGAGCTTGATAGGCTCTCTCCTCGCTTCGAGGTTCAGCCTACGCAGATCGAAATCCTCTCAGACCCCTCCGAGTTCTACGAGACTCTCAAGGTCAGTGAATTCTGTGTTCCCAAGCTATCGAATTGCATCTGTGTTGGCCAGACTTCAACCCCCCCTTTTTGCCTTTCAAATCATGAGTGAAATATCCTGCTATATTTGTGATATTCATGATATATCCTAATTGATTGAATCCAACTTCATGCCCATGACTCAAGCTAACTATACAGAAGTAGACCAAAATCTCCAACGCCAAGCGGAGGGTATACCTCTCCACTCTATACATCGGCAAAACCGAGCATGAGTTGGTAAGTCGCCTTCATTTGCCATCTCGCCAGCCGTCTTACCGTTCCCGCAGATCTCAGTCATCCGGGATTCTCTCCAGCGCAACCCAGACCTCAAGGTATCATTCCTGACGGACGCTCTCCGCGGAACCCGCGAAACACCCAATCCGTCATGTGCATCTCTTCTAGTACCCCTCGTTGAGCAATTTGGTCCTGACCGTGTGGAAATTCGCATGTTCCACACGCCGAATCTATTTGGCCTGCGGAAGAAACTGATTCCTCGCCGCATCAACGAAGGATGGGGTCTACAGCACATGAAGCTGTACGGCGCGGACGATGAGCTGATCATGTCTGGGTATGTGAAAGAAATGGTTCCTGCAAACTAGACCACAAGAACTGACAGAACATACAGAGCGAACCTTTCTAACGACTACTTCACGAACCGTCAAGATCGCTACCACGTCTTCTCTTCCGCCGAGATCACTGACTACTACTTCCGCATCCACTCCGCCATCAGCAGTCTCAGCTACCTCATCTCGCCCTCGCCCTCCTCCCCAGGCGGCTACACCATGACGTGGCCCAGCACCAACGCCGCCCCGTCTCCCCTTGGCGACCGCACCGCCTTCAAGAAAGCCGCCTCAGACCTCCTTACGCCGCTCATCCGCCCCGCCGCAACGCCCCTCCCCTCCACCTCCACCACCTCGACCCTCATCTACCCGCTCCTCCAATTCACCTCCATCCTACCCCCCACCAACGACACCAGCACCGAGCTCCCCGCCATGACCTCTCTCCTCACGCACCTCACCCAACCCGCCTACGCCGCCAACAGCTGGACCTTCACCGCCGGCTACTTCAACATGACGCCCTGGATGCGCTCGCTCCTCCTCAGCACCAACCCGCGCCGCGGCACCGTCGTCGCCGCCTCCCCGCAAGCCAACGGCTTCTACGGCTCCGCCGGCGTGTCGGGCATGCTGCCGGCCGCCTACACGCTGCTGGCCCGCCGCTTCCTGCAGGCGGTGCGCGACGCCGGCCTGGCCGACCGCATCCGCCTGCTCGAGTGGCGCCGCGGCACCGTCGGCGAGCCCGAGGGCTGGACCTACCACGCAAAGGGCTTCTGGGTCACGCTGCCGCAGGAAAACAAGCAAGTCGAGCATCCCACCACCACCTCTTCCTCATCAACGTCGGAAACAGCAACACCACCAGCCGAAACCGAGGGTGGCCCCTCCATCGCCATCATCGGCAGCAGCAACTACACCAAGCGCAGCTACGAGCTCGACCTCGAAGCCGGCGCGCTCATCGTGACGGGCGACGCGGGCCTGCGCCGGCGGCTGGGCGAGGAAGAGGCAAGGCTGGCGCGCGGCGAGTGGGCGCGCGAGGTCGGCATGGAGGAGTTCCAGCGCATCGAGCGGCGCGTCGGGCTGCACGTGCGGGTGGCCATGTGGATCGTCAAGGTTCTAGGGGGTGCTTTGTAAGAAGTGTGTTGATTGACGGTGGGGAAGAAGGGAGGGAGGGAGGGAGGGAGGGAGGGCGAAAAAAAGGAAGGGAAGTGTTGGGGGAAGGGAGAATATCATAACACTGTATGATAGTGTACTAGAAAAAGAAGGATGTGTGTGTAGTGTGTGTACTAGAATAGGAACACGATGCAAGGGGATTTGATCTCATCTGGCGGAGAGAGACGTGCCGCTCAAGATAAGCTCGACGTCTGCCCAGATCAGAGAATTGATTCCAAACGTCTTTAGCACCCAAGCAGCCTCGCTGCGGCGGTCCCCGTCCCTGACTCAACCTCGCAAAGCCTGATCTCGGGGTAGATCCAGCTCAGACCCAGTCCCACCTCCCCGTGGATCGTTGAACAGTTAGCTTTCCGGCCCACGGAACTGAAGGTCTGAAACTTCTATGCGGGCACCCGCGCAGCGGCGATGCGCATCGAGTCCGAGGGTACTTTGACCTAAATTGAAACATCCATCACCCAGGCGAGAAGAACCACGCACTGCCACATAAACACACACGAGACCACACCGTTCATTACACCTGGATTGGATTTTCCAGAGTCCTCTCTATGGTATGCCATTTCTTTGCAATGAAGCTTTTCCCCACGAGTGAACCAGCTCCGAGAAGAGGGAAATTTCCATCCGCAGGGGAAAGGAAAAAAGCAGCAGCTGCTGCGCTACCCGCTATAATCCGTGTCTCTGGTACGATAAAAAAAAATCCTTAGAATAGGAGTTTTTTACCCTATCCCAACAAAACATTTATCGAGAGAATTGATGGGAATAAAAGAAAGTGATTTCCCCCCCGACGCCGATTGAGAGAAAAAATCATTTCCGCCGTGAATGCATAACCAGCGCATGAAAAAAGCAAGCAAACCAAAGAATCCCTGAGTCGCCCCGGATTGATCTCGTGGTACTATCTCCGGAGCGTTTGACTGACAGCATAACCGTTTGGCGCCTCGTTCATGGGTGAGGTCATGCGGAGTGTAACATCGGCGGGGATAATAAACGGTGTTCCGCGAGGATTATTCCGAGTTTGGCCGTTATCGGGGGGTGCCGGGGGGCGACAAGGAGCAGAAGGCGGGGGAAAGCTTAGCGATCCTCGGCCCACTCGTTCTCGCGACGGATCTGGTCCTCCTCCTCGGGAGTGAAGTCGTTCTGGATGTTGAACGTCTTGCGGATCTCATCGGGAGACTTGCCCTTGATCATGTTGGCAACAGTCTTGCAGCCGACATCGAGGAGCGCCTTGATGTCGAGGTAGTTGGCAGCCTGTGTTGGTGGAAGAGTCGCAAGTTAGTATGCAGTAACGTTCTAACGTGGGTGGAGCTACAGCCAGACCCTGCGCAGGCGCGGGGCGAGGCGGAGCGGATGACGAAACTGACCAGAATGATCTCGAACAGCATCTCCTGGTCGACCTGCATGAACTTCTGGTCCCACTCGTCGATGTCGGTCGACTTCTTGCGCGAGTCCGAGTCGTCGTCGGCGGACGCGGGGGGGTCCTTCTTGTGCTGCTCGCACCACTCGATGACCTTGCGCATGACCTGCTCATTGACCTGTTGTGCGGTTTGTGTCAGCGGGGAAACGAGCTCGCCGGGTGAAGGGGCGATGGAGAGTTAGCGTACGTTGGGGATGGGGATGGGCTCGCCCGACTCGGTTCCAAGATCCTCAAGCAAGTTCTTGATCAGGATGGACCTCTCGGCGACCTGGCGCTCTGTTGTGACTCGGTCAGCTTGCAAGGTCTCGAGGCGCGGGGCGGGGCGCTCGCGCACGTACCGACTTCGATGTCGACACCGTCGGAGGTGGTGAGCGTGATCTTCTGGGTAGACATCGTCGGGATGCGATGTGGCAGGTGTCGGAAAGGTGATGTGTGGGTTGGGGAGTGACGGTGGAACGGCGAAGTGCGGTGGTTGAAGGTCGGTCGTGGGGCGGCGGAGCTTAAGTTCGCCGACGGCGGTGCACGGGAAAGCTCGGTGAGGTGGAACGGCGCGAATGGAAGAACCACTGGAGCAGGCGGGCCCTTTTAAAAGATGCCCAAGGGTCCAAGCAGGGAAAAGGCAGATGACTGGATCGCTTGCACGCGTGGGTACAGTGGTGAAGGCGGCAGGCAGAAAGCCAAAAGAAGGTAGATGGTTGCTGGGAGGAACCACCGATGGGCTTCTAGCGCGTGTGCATCAGGCAACCACCAGGCTCCAACAATAGATCCTTTCACCAGCAAAAGCAGCTGCGTGGAGCAAACGATGCGATTGCTCCTGGCGTGCAAACCCTTGCTTCCATGGTTGCACACCATGCAGCTTCTCTACACGGTCCCTGAAAGATCGTCCGGGCGCCTACAGCGGCGTGGCTGACTCAGAACTTGTATAATAAGTCTATATCGTGTGGAATCAACATGTCATATACGGCAACGGGGTCTACTAATAGGTGATGTCCTCCGGTGGCAAAGGTGTTGACGCTTGCAGCCAGCAAACGTGACAGCAGCGGGTCTCAAACAAGCAGCACGCAATCTAACGATCCAGCGTGTCGACCCGTCGGGCCTTGTGATCGGATCACCCTGCTGTCCCGCTGTGCGAAGTGTTTCGGATGCGTGCTGCTTTGGGAAGCCGTAAGGCTGGAAGTTCGCACGTGACGCGGTCCACCATCCGTCGAATCCAGGCCTTTGCTGGAGCTCCAACGGTACCAGCGTGGTGCACCACGCGGAACAGTCGCTCCAGTCATGGCCGCGACTTGCCGCAACCTCAAACCGTCCCGAAGCTTAATCCGCTCGAGCGTTGAGCAATAACAACCTATCGCAAGGGCCACTCCTTATCCTTATCGAAACGGGCATCTCATTTGAGAGACGTGGTGTGCGCTCAGCTGTCGCACAATTTAAAGCACCATCTCCCCAAGCTCCAGCTTCGACGCCCTTATTTCCGCCGTCGATGCGCTCCCTCCCCACCGTGCTACCACTTCCGATGAGCTGAAAACGCAAGACAATCGCAATGTGGCGGCGCGTGTATCTCATCTTGCTCCTGGTGCGCCTTTGGTTCGCTCTCTCCCCGAGCTACCTGCACCCGGACGAGAACTTCCAAGGGCCAGAGGTGATAGCTGGTAGGTTACATCTGCGCGCTTCCAACGAGCCTGGCTTGCTGACACGGTTGCCAACTAGGTCGCGTCTTCGGCTACCCGGTCCATCTTACCTGGGAGTTTACGTCCAAACACCCCATTCGCAGCTCGTTCCCGCTATGGATTTGTTACGGCATCCCCATGGCCGTGTTGCGCGGCATTGGCGAAGGGATCGCGGAAGAAGTTCCACCATACGTGGTATACTGGACACTGCGCGTCATGATGTTCGTCATGAGCTTCGTGCTTGAGGACTGGGCGATCCTGGAGCTGGTGCCGCCGCATCAGCGCAGCTCTGCTTCTATGCTTGTCGCATCGTCCTATGTGACGTGGACCTTGCAAACGCATACCTTTTCGAACTCACTGGAGACTCTTGCGCTCATTTGGAGTCTTGTTTTGATTGGGCGCATTCTGGAGGACAAGGTACGGCGACCTCCCGGCGCACCCTGATAGCACAACTAATCCCCGTCGCAGAAGCGCTCCAGCCTCATGGCAACGGCGCTGCTGGGATTCTTCTCAGTGGGCGGCTTCTTTAATAGGATCACGTTCCCGGCATACTTGATAGTTCCGTTGCTTCAGCTCATCCCGCATTTCCACCGCAAGCCGCTGTCCCTAATCGCGCTCCTACTCTCCGCAACCGTCACGGCCATAATCGCTATAATGTTTGATACGTCCTTCTACCACCCTGACGGCCTTACCCTTACGAACCTCGTCCACCACCCTATAATCACGCCTCTCAACAACTTCCTCTACAACTCCTCAGCGCACAACCTCGCGCAACACGGCCTACACCCCTACTACCAACACATCGTCGCCAACCTCCCGCAGCTAATCGGCCCCGCCTTCCCCCTCCTCCTCTTCAGCTACCGCAAGAACCTGCGCCTCGCCGCCGCGCTCTCCGGCGTCGCCCTGCTCTCCCTCTTCCCGCACCAAGAAGCGCGCTTCCTGCTGCCCGCGGTGCCCCTCATCCTCTCCTCCATTCGCGTGCCCACCACCTCCCTCCGCGTGCGCCGCGCGTGGATGGCGGCCTGGGTCGCCTTCAACGCGGCCATGGGCCTGCTGATGGGCGTGTACCACCAGGGCGGCGTGGTGCCGGCGCAGATCTGGATCGCGCGCTCGGCCGAGCCGGCGCTCACCAGCGTCTACTGGTGGAAGACGTACAGCCCGCCCGTGTGGCTGCTCAACGGCAAGAACGAGGTCGTCGACACGGTCGACCTGATGGGCATGCGGCCCGAGCTCATGGTCGAGCGCGTCGCGAACGGCACGGTGTGCTCCAATGCGGAGCTGGAGGGCGCGGGCAAGCGGGGCGACAGGGCGGTTACGTACCTCGTTGCGCCGAGGAGCGCGACGTTTTTGGATGCGTTTGTGGCGCCGGTGGTTGAGGAGGGCGGGGAGAAGAAGAAGCCGGCGTTTGAGCTGGAGGAGGTTTGGAGCTATAAGCATCATCTTAACCTCGACGACATGGATTTCGGCGACGATGGGGTCATGCCGACGCTGCAGCGGGTGGTTGGCAGGAGAGGGATTGTGGTCTGGAAGGTGAAGAAGCAATGCGGAAGTGACGGTAAGTCGGAGTAATGATTCGTTGCCAGTGGGATACAGCGTAATGACTGAAGAGACGGTGTAGGCTTCTGGGAAAAATTGTTTACAAGCATCGGTGGCGGAAAAGGGTCATCGAATTAGCAATACTTTGTCCTTGTAATGTTGAATACCCCGCAATGATAGTAATTCAATTCGAAATTCAGTCTGGAAAGATATTTACTCCCAGTCCAACCGCGTTCTGGTGGTCCGTGCGGATGTACCACCCAGATGTGGGTGGTACATCTGGTGCTGGAAGCCGGAGGCGGACGCACCTGTGATAATTACATACAGATAGGGCCTGCCTCATACAAATACACTTCGTCCGTATCAGTTCCATGTTGATTACCCCGCAGTGATATTACTTTCTATCCGACCTAATCTCAAATGACATACGCTTGCACGAGAGTCTAAGAGGTTGTAGCAGCATACTACCAACCCAACCCAAAGTCTCTAGCTGATCATTTTGCAAGTTCTCAGTTCAAATTCGAGCAGATCCTTGAAGAAACATTTCATTTATTCCCATTTATGTTGCTAGAATTTTGTAGACCAAGATACACCAGGCCAAAGACAACGCTTGCCTCATCCAATCTCCCTTACTCATCCGTCAATTATCCTTCTTACAACTTTGCCTTGCCAGTACTCCTCTCCAAGCTCAACGGATCAATCCTGGTCATCCCAGCCTGCTTGAACAACTCATCCGCCTTCGCATCCTGCGCCGCAATGCGCTCACCCAGCGGCTTACCGCGCTTATTCTCATTCCTCCCGAGCTGCAGAATGTGCACCTCATCCGGCCCATCAACGATACGCATGGTGCGGCCATTCGCATACATGCTCGCAAGCGGCGTGTCCTGGCACACGCCGGCACCACCGAAAGCCTGCATAGCGCGATCGATGACGGTCAGCGCCATCGTCGGCACGAGCACCTTGGCCTCAGCAATCTCCTTCAGCGCCGCCTTCGCGCCCTGCAGATCCATGCGGATGGCCGCATTCAGCACCATCAGGCGGGCCGCATCGATCTCGATGCGCGACCGCGCCACGCGATCCAGCATGACGCCGTGCGACGACAGCAGCTGGCCGAAGGGCCGCTTGCGCGGGTCGTTCAGGCGCGCGAGGAAGTACTCGAGGGCGCGCTCGGCGGCGCCGATGGAGCGCATGGCGTGGTGGATGCGGCCGGGGCCCAGGCGGCCCTGGATGATCTCGAAGCCGCGACCGGGCCCGAGGACCATGTTGGCGGCGGGGACGCGCACGTTGGAGAAGGTGATGTGGCCGTGGCCGTGCGGCGCGTCGTCGAAGCCCATGACCGACAGCATGCGGTGCACCGTGATGCCCGGCGTGTCGGCCGGGACGAGGATGACGGATTGCTGCTTGTACGGGTCCGCGTTGTGCGGGTCCGACTTGCCCATCACGACGTAGATGGCGCAGCGCGGGTCGCCGGCGCCGGAGGACCACCATTTCTATAGTGTCGAGGGTTAGTCTGGGTTCTGTGGAGAGACAACCGTGGAGAGGGGTCCAAATAGAGTAATTGGGAAAACAGCGCAAGGGAATGTAGGGAACCCACCTGTCCATTGAGCACCCAAGTATCACCCTCCAACCGCATGTTCAGCTCGATATTCGTAGCATCCGAGCTAGCAACCTGCGGCTCCGTCATGAGGAAAGCGCTCCTGATCTTACCCGCCAGCAGCGGGTCGAGCCAGCGGCGCTTCTGGGCCTCGTTGCCGTACTTGGCCAGCACCTCCATGTTGCCCGTGTCCGGGGCGGCGCAGTTGGTGGCCTCGGAGGCGGTGCGTGACTTGCCCAGCAGTTCGGCCATCAGGCCGTACTCGAGGTTCGAGAAGCCGGCGCCCTCCTTGAAGTGGCCCTTGGGCAGGAACATGTTCCACAGGCCCAGCGCCTGCGCCTTCTTCTTCAGCTCCTCCACGATCGCCGGGTGCGCCGAGAAGCGCTCCTGCGGCGTGTTGCCGATCTGCTGGTGGTACACCGAGTCGGCCGGGATGCATTCTTCTTCGACGAACTTCTCGACCTGGTGTGCAATTGGTTAGATTGGGGGGCTGTTCAGGGGAGTTGGTGGTGCTGCGTTGGCTCACAATGTCGAGGGTCTTCTTCGCCCGCTCACTGACGTAGGGCAGAGCGATAGGCGGGATGCGTTGCGAGGCGGGCACATGGCCCTTCTCACTGTTGATCAGCAGCTTTGAAGTCGACATTGCTGGTGCTTCAATTCGTCAATGGGAAGGAAGGAGAACGAGTGAGGAGAAGCTGGGGAAGGGCTGAATCGAATAGCCGGGGCCCCAGAGTAGTAAGTAGCTCGTACCCGGAGGTGTAGCGGCGATTAGTCTGCCTGTGGACCCTCGGCGTTCAGTAGCTGCGTTTGCGGGGAACGTTGGCAACTACCGAGGCCCCTTGACATCACGCCCCAATCGAACCACCACTACCGCCATTTTCGGCACAACTAAAATGCCAACCCTCAGACTAATCAGTGCAGCAGTCAGAAGAATCTGATTGCAGGCTCGAGCTTCGTATGAAATTTACATTCGGGCTTTTGAAGCCTCTACCAGCCGTATCCGGCAATTCGCAACCTTACTTTTGAGGCCATAAATCTGAACCACCATTCCCTTGTTTGAAATAGTATACCATGAGATATGACCAGTCATCAGCCATCCGTCCTATCAGTAATCCGAACCGACCAACGCCAAAAATGCTGAAGCCTTGAAACGACCAAATATCAGACCATAGGACAACCCTGCCACTTGTTTACTCGTAACCACCTCCCTGGTTCCTGACCTTGACCTTCCTCTTACCCTTGAAGTGCTTCTTGCTCTTCTTGAGCTCTGAGGGGTCAACATCCTTGTCCAAAGCCTCCATTATCAACGCCTTGCGTCCACTCAGCTGCTTCCCAGAAGCCTGACCTTGCTCGGTGTACTTGTCGTGGAACGGCTTGTTTAGATGGCCGCCGTTGCCTTTCGGGGCGAAGAATCTGTTGTCAATCTGTCGGCTCTTCTCTCCCTGCACCCTATTCTTTCCGAGGGGGATGACGTCGGGGTCGTCCATCAGCGAGACGTTGTCGCTGGGTGCGCCTGCCACGCTCGACTCTTCGGCAATGGAGAACGCGGCGCGGCGCTTCTCGGGGAGGTGAGATGCGTCGTACAAGTCGCGGTTGAAATACCTGCCATCGATCGGCGGCTCGGCCGGGGGCGGGTGGCAGTACAGGAGCTTGCCCTTCACGTAGTCCTTCAGAACGATGCGAGCGGCGCGCGAGACATCCGGTTGGCCGAGACCCTGTGTCGAGAAACCACGGGCGGTGGCGTAGGCGGCGAGCATCTCTTCGGCCGTCGGAATGCCCGTGCCGCCCTCCTCCAAGGGCCTGATGTTGATCTTCATGCCGTAAATGGCCTCCATGAAGGCTTGCGGGATGCGCTGAGCCACAAGCGCGGCAGGGCCAGTGAACTCCCTAAGCTGGTCAATGGGCAAGACACCGCTGCAGACGAGTTCAGCCTTGGTGGATGCGAAGTTGGGGAAAACGAGACCGGGACAATCGCAGAGCACCACCTTGTCGCTCAGGTGAATGGTCTGGAAATGCTTGGTCTTTCCGGGTGTGGCGGAGACAGACACCTTCTTAGCGCCGATGAGAGCGTTGATGGTGGATGATTTTCCGACGTTGGGGTAACCAACAAGACCAATCTGGGTCTTCCTGGGCTGACCGTCAGGGCCGGTGGCCACTTCGGGTGAATGCTCAAGGAAAAGAGCCTCCAGCTCGTCGGTCGTCAGAATCCGGGTAGCCTCAGAGCCGGTAAGAGGGACACCGTTCTGCTCCGTCTTAACTGTCTCTTCCTCGGAACTTGGGAGAGGTACGCCGTTCTCTTCCACATTTACGGTCTCCTCCTCAACCCATTTCTTCTCTTCATCCTCCTTATCTTGAATGTCCAATTTCTTGGCCTCTTCAGCCAACTTATCGCCCGTCTCAGCCTCGTCGGACTCAAGCTCCTCCTCTTCTTCCAAATCTTCGAGATCTCTTGCCTCGTTCATCTCCCGTGCCAGCTCAGCCGAAAAGAATCTGTAGTTGATCTTGTTCTCCACGAAATAATTCGCCCACATCTGCCTCTGCTCAAACGTCATCATATCCGCCTTGTTCACCAGCAACAAGTTGTTCTTCTTCGGATCCACTTCCTTCACGTAATTCTCCAGGTCGTCGCACCTAAACAGCAGCGGGTTGCGGGCATCCACAATCTGCACAACGAGATCGGAGCGCTCGATGACACGCCACAGCTGGCGCCAGACCTCGATGTTGCGCTCAAAGGGAGTCATGAGCAGGTCATTGCTCTCCTGCAGCTCAGCGAGGCCACGGCGCCACTGCAGCAAGCTCTCACGCTCGCGCTCGTCGAGCTCGCGCGGCGTCGTCTGCGCGTCCCACGGCGGGCGGCGCGGCACGGTGAGGTTCTTGCGGTGGGCGTTCTGCTTGCGCACGGCGGCGCGCTCCTCGGCGGCCGACAGCAGGTACGGGTTCTTCTGGTCCTTGTGGATGATCTTGACGTTGTTCATCTTCTCCGCCGTGAAGTCGGTGCCCGCCAGCTCGGCCGTGCTGAGGAACTCGTCCAGCGCCGCCTGCTCCGTGACGCTGCGCATTTTGACCCATGACGCCTCTTTCTTGGCGTTGGTGATGTACTGTGACGGCTGTGTGAGCGAGGGCAATGCGGGCTGGAAGGGAGGAGGTGCGCGCATACCTTCTCGCCATTCTGACCTGTCCGCTCAATTGCGCCATTGTAGTTGCCGCGGCGCATGTCGGAGCCCTTGCCTTTGCCGAAGCGGTCGTTCATCAGGCTGTTGCCCAGTCCGACCGCGTTTTTGGACTTTGGGAGACCCATGTTGCCGGTATTTTTGCGCGAGTATCCGGTGTAGAGATCTTGGTCGTGTTGTGTATTGTTTGCGGGAGGGACCGTAGGATGGAGGGGCCTTGATGTTTCGCGAGCGGCGACTGCGTCACAAGTCGGATTTTTCTCGTCCGCCCGCAACTTTTTTTTGTCAGCATCGATAACGCGAACATTTCCCACACTCCACACCAACCCGCGCCTTAACTCCGCGCCACCACCCATTCGAGCAACCGCACCCGTTTTCGTTCTCCAACCTTCTCGAACGCACGTAGCCCACCATGCCGCCGCGCCGCAAGGTTTTGTAAGCTTGAATTTCCCCAAGCTCCCCTTCACCGACTGTCTCCGTACCACCGCCCAAGGACGAGCGGGGGAGAGAGAGAAAAAAAAAATCCCGCCTTGCACCCGCTAACACAATGCACCACACCCAGCGACAAGAAGACCGCCCAAAACTTCCAGCTCGTCTACCGCGCCCAAAATGACCCGCGCATCCACGACCCCGACGCGCCGGACATGGTCTTCGCCGAAGTAGCGGCGCCCAACTCGAACAAGAAACGCGGCGGCAACGACGGCAGCAGCCAGGCCAGCGGCAGCGTCCGCGGCGGCAAGATCCGGTCTCGCCATGACCTCGAAGACGAGTTCGGCGGGCGCGTGCGCGCCAACGAGGGCGAGGCCGCCAACTACGGCATCTTCTACGACGACTCCGAGTACGACTACATGCAGCACATGCGCGACATCGGCACCAGCAGCGATGCGACTTTCATCCCGGCGAAGGACAGGGAGGCCGAGCAGCAGCGCAAGGGCAAGGGCAAGATGAAGCTCGAGGACATGCTGGCGGGGATGCGGATGGAGGGCGGTGATGATGATGGCGTCAGCCTGTCGAGCGCGGCGAGCGAGAGAAGCGCGGCGGAGCTGTTTGGCGAGGATCTGGCGCCGTCGGAGTTTTACAGGAAGGGGAATTATCAGGATCAGCAGGATGTGCCGGATGCGATTGCTGGGTTCCAGCCGGATATGGATCCGCGCCTGAGAGAGGTGTTGGAGGCGCTGGAGGATGAAGCGTATGTCGAGGATGAGGACGATATTTTCAATGAGTTGGCGAAGGATACGAAGGAGGTGGATCAGCAGACTTGGGAGATGATGGGGGATTTCGTCGACGACGATGACGATGGCTGGGCGACTGATGACACCGTCAAGGCGGACAACAAGACCAGCTTCGAGGCACCGTCCCCAACGGGTGCAGTGTCTGAAGAGGGAGTCAAACTGCCGCCAGCCGAGGGTCCCGCTGGCGAAGGCGAGGACCACGGGGATGGTGACTGGATGGCTGAGTTCAGCAAGTTCAAAAAGGACGCGAAGGCTCAGAAGGTTCAGAAGAAGGCTGGCGCTCCCTCGGATCTGCAGTCCTTCGTCACCGGCGCTTCCTCAGTGACGGGCGGCCGGCACAAGAAGAGGAAGGGCGCTCTTACGTCCACCTCCAACTACAGTATGACTTCTTCCGCTCTGGCTCGCACCGATCAGCTGTCGCTGCTAGACGAGCGTTTCGAAAAGTACGAGCAGGAGTACGCCGACGATGGCTATGGCGCAGACGACAATATGTCCATGATGTCGGGCATGACTGGTATGTCGGGAATGTCCGGTCTTTCTGTCTACAGCAAGGCATCGACTTCGAGCCAAGCGCCGGGTCTGAGGAGCGATTTCGACTCTATTCTGGACGAGTTCTCCTCCAAGAACGGCCACATCAAGAGAGGGAAGAAGCACAATGGCTACAAGGATGGTCTGGCCCAACTGGATGAGGTTAGGAAAGGACTTGGTCCTGCAAGGCTCAAGCAGGGCTCAAAGGCTCGCTAAGATGGTAGTAGAGCAAGGTTTCCATCGCATTTGCTGCTGGCGCAGCTTTCGGTAGGCGTTTCGGGTTACAAAAAGGGTTTTGGGTAAAGGCGTGGGGCACAAAAGTGATACCTAGACACGCATAGGAATGAGTATAATGAGAATTTCAATCAATCCCATCACTCGAAGGTGCGTTGTAGAAGATTCACTCCATGTTTGCAGTAAAGAGCAGGTGGCACAGTTGGTTCGGGTTGTGGGCGTGACTTAGTCAGCACTCATCATACTTCGTTGAACTGCAATAGTGACTGAGGTCTTCGTGTTCGCCCAGGACGGGGGCATCGTCTCTATTTCTTGAGATCAGAGCTCGTCTACCCGCAGTAAGTTCAGCTCCACCTGCCCCACAGATTTGCGGGGAGTTGCAAAGGGGCAAGTTGTGACACCAAGCTACTTACGGCATGCCGTTTCGGCTCCACATTGGCGGAGCGGCTGTGGCTGTCGACTTCCCACGAAATACTGGCTATTCCCACCTCAATGCACAGATCAGATCAGCCTCCATCCCAATGGGGCTCTAGTCAGTGTACTGTCATTACGAGTGCTCTTATTGGTCGCTGGCCTTACAGCGGAGGTTAGTGGGACCTCGCATTTCTATGACCTCCCGCTTTGGTCTTGAAGATCTACGATAATACAAGCTTCGGGTCATTCGGGGCAGTAAGTCGTCCGACCTCCGCAAAAAAGGATCAAGCGGGCTTTATATATTTATTGGTATCGTTAGTGCTGAACCGGTTGTGACTCCAGGCCTTCTCTTCCTTCAAGCCATTCTCTCTGACTCATTAACCCTCCCGCTCTTCTTTTCTTAAATCTCGAAATCTCCTACTTTCTAGTACCACAATATTTTCCCACCATCTAGGCAAAATGGCGCCCCCGATTGCTCTTCAGAGCTCCCTAGCCAGCTCTCCAACATCAATGGCACTCCTACTCGTCGGCATCACCACCCTCATCTTCATCCTGCAAGTAAGAGAATCCTGCCGCCCCTCTCTTCTATCCATATATCCACACCTCCTTCAACCAATTAACCAACTAATCAAAACCCCCCAGAAACTCCACCACGCCCTGACCACACCCCTCCGCGCCGTGCCCGGGCCCTGGTGGTCGCACATCACGCACTACCCGCTCAAGCTCGCCAACATCCGCGGGCAGCGCGTGCACTTCATCCACTCCCTACACCAAAAATACGGACCGGTCGTGCGCATCGCGCCGGACGAGGTGGCCATCGCCGACGCGGACGCAGCCAAGACGATCCACCGGCCGGCGTCCGGGTACGAGAAGGCGGCGTGGTACAAGCAGTTCGTGCAGGGGAATGCGGATGGCATGTTCGATATGACGGATGCGAAGAGGCATGCGGCGCGCCGCAGGCTGTTTGCGAGGGCGTTTGGGAAGAGCGAGATTAGGGGGAGGTGGGAGGGGATGGTGAGGGGTGAGTGTTTGTGATTTCTTTCTCTTTTCCATTTTTGTTTTGACCCGTACTGCTGGAGTTCTGGTGGTTGGCTGGTTATTTCTTTTTTTTTTCTCTTTCGGTTGAAGGAGATGCTTCATGGATCTCTAGAAGTGTTTGTGCTGACAGGTTCATTTGCAACGTTGCAGAGAAGGTAGAACTGGCAGTGCAGAGGATGGGCGAGGAGATGCGCCGAGGCGAAGAGACCGACTGCCTCAAGTGGTGGACGTTCCTGGCCACGGACGTCAGCGGGCATTTGATGTTCGGTGAGAGCTTCCGCATGCTGGAACTCGGAAAGGTAAGAGAGCAGAAACAAGCCTCCTCCTCCTCACACGCAATCCCCCCCTCCTCCTCCTCATCCTCCTCTTCAAACACACACTGACCGAAACCCCAAGAAAAACGACTACATCCACACCCTCGAATCCACCATGCAAGGCTCCGGCATCCGCGCCGAGCTCCCCCTCCTCGCCGCCATCGGCAAGCTCCTCCCGCACCCGACCCTGCAAGCCATGTTCAACGCCAACGACCGCCTCCTCGCCTACGGCACGCGCGCCGTCACCTCGGGCAAACAAGCGTCCGGCGGCAGCGGCGCCTCCATCTTCGCCCAGCTCGATCCGGACGCGCAAAAGGAGAGCCCGTATCCCTTTACGGATCTTGACATCCGCGTCGAGGCCGGCAACCTCATCGTCGCGGGCGCCGACACCACGGCCGTGTCGCTGACGTACTTGACGTACGCGGTGCTGGCAAGGCCGGAGTTGAGGGCGCGGTTGGAGGATGAGGTGGCGGGGTTGCGGGGCGAGTGGGGCGATAGGGAGTGTGAGGCGCTGCCGCTGCTGAATGCGGTGGTGAATGAGACGCTGAGGTTGTATGGCGCGGCGCCGGGGAGTCTGCCGCGGGCGGTGCCGCCGGGCGGTGCGGAGCTGGGGGGGTACTTTTTGCCGGGCGGGGCGACGGTGAGTACGCAGGCTTGGTCGTTGCATCGGGATGAGAGGCTGTGGAGGGATGCTGAGAGGTGAGTGGCTTTCTGGTCTTGCCCTTGGTGAGTGGACGGTTTGCTTATGCGGATAGTAATAGGTTCGATCCTGATCGCTGGCTGTCGCTGCCGCCGAATACGTCGCCTTCGTCGATGAGCTTTCAGCCGTTTGGTGCGGGGACGAGGATCTGTTTGGGCTTGCATCTGGCGCTCATGGAGCTGAGGCTCGCGGCTGCTCTGTTTTTCAGGGAGCTGAAGGGTGCGAGGTTGGCGGAGAGGACGACGCCGGAGAGCATGGATGTGGTGAACTACTTCTTGATTATGCCGAAGGATCATCATTGCTACATCAGGCTGTGAGGTTCACGGCAGGACTGGTGAGGTGAGGTCGGACTAAACAAGGCGGGTTGAGCATCATGTTGTCAGGGCTAAAGGACACTGTGGGCCTTCTGTGTTTTAATTTGGATAATCTTTTACAAGACTACTGTTTTGTAAAACTTCTTATGATGTCGCAGAAAATATTGCCCCAAAAACCCTGCATCACATCAGCTACTGCAAACAGTTTTGTGATGAGCATATGCCAGTATCTGGCTACGGATAATACTAGAAATCTCAATTCTGAATAAAGGAAAGCCGACTTACTTCTATCTTACGCCACCTAGAATTGTTGACAGTAGACAGCAGCCATACGATATTTAAAAATACTTGACAATGTTGCAGTTGCGTACATCTGTACATGGCTATAGTTGACGAAGGCTAGCATGATATCAAACGAAAGGGGAAATGCTATTCTTGACCTAGTGTTGTGGATTCATAGTATCAAAAATTGAGCAATTAGATGTATTGTTGTTTGAGCTTGGCGTTCACCGCTCCACCTGAACAGTTCCCTTGTAAACCACGGTTACGAAGAACAAAGTGTTCGGTGGCGGACTATAGGAATTGTACTGACTGCAGGTATGTACGTAAGGATGAGGTGAGCCCTAAGCAGGACAGTGCTGACGGGTGGTCGGGAAGGTCACACGTGGTCAGGGCGTACCATGGTTTCACGCGAAGCTTGGTGACGGGAAGGCAAAGCGGAACGGCAAAGACGAGGAAGAGAAAGTGCGGGCTAGATGAAATTGGCTTAGACAGGCGGTGCGGCGAAGAATGGAATAAAAATAGGGCATGAACAGCTTCCTGGAGCCGGGTGGCAAGCGAGGGTTCGGGATTCTCAATAAGATTCCTTACCCTCGGCAAGGACGGTGCATAAGTTCGAACGTCTGCGCTAGAGGGCTTGGCGAGTTGGTCGTCTTGGCCTCTTGGCCGTTGCGAGGTTTCCGTGGTGTTTTTTCGTGGGGAAAGCTGGGCGTCCAAAGTCCCTGAGAGCCTGGCCGATCGATGCAGGGCGCCGTATCGGCAAACGAGAATCGGCTCACAATGCCGTCTGCAGCCGCCTGCACGCTCGCAAGGGAGTCGAAGGCTCTGTGAGAACACGAACGAAGCATGCGAGGCCTGCGTCGGACATAATTGGCATGCTGAGCATGTGTAAAGCAGAACAAAGGGTGATTGGACGCGCGGCAGGTCGTCGGCATACGGGTCCGTGCAGGGTGGTGCTCGCGGGTGTTGCTCCACATAATAACTGCAGCACCACCTGCAGCCCGAAACAATTTCAGACAGTCATCTTGGTGACATTTCCGGGTGGCTGCATGCGCGTGTCGATGGGGCGGAGTTTTATTATTGCAGGAGTTTGACGTGGCCGGCCCCGAGGAAAGGGACGACCAGGCCGATGGCGTGCTTCCCTAATCATGACGTCGTCGTCACCCGCTTAGTCCTTATCATCAACCACCACGCCTCTCGCAATTTCACCCCCGGACTCGCCCACGGCTGATCATCACGCCTTCGCTGCATATTTCAATTGCCGCCTCCTAAATGTGCACTGGCTGTTGATCCGCCTCTGCCGCTGAGCTCCCTACCGCGCCGCTCAAACAGCAGTCACGGAGCTATCCGCGTCTCGACTTCCGCCTTGTCCCCGGTGAATCGTACTTAAGCGGCTCTGAATTTGTCGATCGGATTCTCCCTCTTCCACACCGGGTGGTCTACGCTGTCCAATTCTCTGAGTGCGGTCGCACAACAACAGCTGACGTCGTACGGCTTCAGCGGCAACAATGGCGCCTTCATGGAATAAGCTCGCCAACACCCTTCAGATATCCGCCGACTACTCGATACCACCCGCCGGTCTCCAATGGCGCAGCAACACCTTCTTCATCATTGCAACCGTTGCCATTGGTCTCTTTACCGACCTGTTTCTCTACGGCTTGATCGTCCCCATTCTCCCCTACATGCTCAATGACCGCCTGGGAATACCTGAATCCGATGTCCAACCCTATGTTTCCGGTTTACTCACCGCCTATGCCGCTGCCAGTGTCCTCTTCAGTCCTGTTGCTGGCGTGCTGGCTGATCGCGTGAGCACCCGTCAGGCACCATTTCTGCTGGGCTTACTGAGCCTACTCGCCGCAACTGTGCTGCTGTTCTTCGGTAACAGCATGGCTGTGCTTGTGATTGCTCGTGTCCTGCAAGGAGTGGCTGCTGCTGTTGTGTGGACTATCGGATTGGCATTATGTCTGGAAACCGTCGGCTCGGAGAATCTGGGAAAGACCATTGGATCTGTGAGTTGCCCAGCTATCCTATGAAGCTATTAGCTGACTTTTTAAAGATCTTCAGCTTCATCTCTGTGGGAAATCTGGTCGCCCCGATATTGGGAGGCGTACTATACGACAAAGCCGGCTATCCCGGCGTCTTCGGAATTGGCTTTGCAATCCTGGCAATTGATTTTATCATGCGGTTGTTGGTCATCGAGAAGAAAGTTGCAGCACGCTACGAGACCAAGGATCCCACTCAAGGAGATCTGGACCAGGATCTTCAACACGAAAGAAATCGTCGGGATTCTGCCAACGAGGAGAACGGTGACACCGAAGAGACTCCACTCCTATCCAAGAAAGAACAGGACTACTACTACATCTCGCCGGACCAGCCCCCGATTGTGCAGAAGTTCAAGTTGCTGCCTTGTCTCAAGCATCCCGGTTTAGTCACTGCCTTCATTATTGCCGGAGTCCAGGCATTCCTCCTTGGCGCCTTCGACGCGGTAAGTCACCCATTTCCATACACACCGATCTCTCGCTAATCGCATCCAGACCGTCCCCACCGTCGCACAGCAATACTACACCTTCTCCCCGCTCAAATCCGGCCTCCTCTTCCTCCCCCTCGGCGTCTCCGACTTCCTCCTCGGCCCCGTCTTCGGCTGGGCCGTCGACCGCGCCGGCACCAAGCCCGTCGCCACCTTCGCCTACCTCTACCTCGTCCCCATCCTCATCCTCCTCCGCCTGCCCCGGCCCTGCCCTTCCTCGCCCTCATCCCTCTCCCTCCTCGCCTCCATCAACCCCCGCGAAGCCCCCACCTCCGCCGCCCTCAAAACCCTCGCCGCCTGCGCCGACCCCAACAAGCAAATCGCCACCTGGTCCGCCCTCCTCTTCCTCGCCGGCGCCGGCCTCGCCGCCACCAGCGCCCCCAGCATCGTCGAGGCGGGGGCTATCGTGAAAAAGTTTCATGAGCGCAACCCGGCCTTTTTTGGTGCGGACGGCCCGTACGCGCAGCTGTATGGCTTGAGCAGCATGGTGTTTAGCGCTGGCTTGACGGTCGGTCCGCTGGTTGCGGGCGCGTTGAAGGAGAGGATTGGGTATGGCGATATGAATGCCGTTATCGCGGCGGTGTCGGGGGTCACGGGCGTGGCGGCGTTTGTGTGGATTGGTGGAAGGGTGGGGTGGGGGGATGTGCGGAGGATGCTGGGGGGTGGGCGGTGGACGGTGGAGAGGGCGTAGGGGGCGGGTAGGAGATATTGTAGGTTAGGTTGGATAGTAGAGGTTGGTGTGGTGGGAGCTGGGGTGATGAGTGAGGTTGTGGTGTATGGACTTTATGGCTTGGCTGGCGTTTTTCGTAAAGATGGCTTTTGTGCGGGCGGGAAGAATGGCGTTTTGAGTTGCGGTCAGTAGACTTGCATGACTGGAGTTGAAGATGGTGTTTGGTTTTATGCATTATCTATTCAGAGATTCGAGCATATTGGAGCGTACTTCTTCGATTATTATTTATGAGAAGAAAATAAAGACATGACTAAGTAAACCTTTGTTTAGTCATTGGGTTTTTTGATGGTGTTATGCTGGCCCGGGTACACACGCACTTGCAAATATTTTGTCCAGTATCACAAGGATGAGCCACTGCCGTCGCGTGCGCATGCGACGTCATCTGCTGGAAGATTCACCTGCTGGCCCTGCTCTTCAGTCATCACTTGCAGGGGCAGCACGTGTCCTGCTACATCATGTGCCGCAACGAGAGCAAGATTCCTTGGAGCTGGCCTACATATATAATCCACACCAAAAAGGCCTGAACACCATTTTTCCCTGCACTAAATCCTGGAATGCATAGCATTCCTCGATAGGGGCGCTCAAAGCCGAATACACTGTGTGTTCTGGCGGCTGCCCTACATCCCTCACCTCACTTCCGCGGGAAGCGCGCAGCAGCAACACTCGAGCGCCGCGCCGGCGTCTGGTCCATCGACTTGCGGAGACTGTGGAGAATGAAGGTGTCCTGCGTTGTTGCGAGATGATGCGGCTCAGCATCGTGCTCGGATGCTGGACAGCATCATGATTTGTTTTTTTTTTGTATTCGGTGCTGCTGCCTTTCATGGCTGCGGCGAAGTGCGAGGACGGGACGAAGCGGAAGGAGTGCGGTCACAGCATGGTGAATACCAGGCGAGGCAGTGGAATGTCAGCCATGGCGTACGAAAGAGGCGAGGCAGTGAACGCGTACTTCGTTCGGAAGAGGGTTCACTGCCGCCCTTAAAGCCATGCTCGCAGAGAAGAAAGCTCAGAGGTACAGTGATGCTGTTTTTATACAAACTCACCGCTCGGACCTCGAAGGAGAGCGCGTGCCGGCACTGTCAGCTGCTCGTCGCCGCCGGAGCAAGTGCGTGGTGGGCTCGGGAAGGGGTCAATGCAGGGTCTACGCGTGCTTCTCTCACACGCAAAGGCCAGGTGGACACGCAGTAAGATTACACGCAAGAAGACACGATGGGCATTGTTCTTTGCTTCGTCATAAGAAATACCATCCTACCAAGTGAAGAAAAGTCGCGCGTCCACACCGCGACAGCTGGACCACCCCATCCACATGGCACAACTGCATGAACGTCTTACAGGCCTGTACTCGTGCAAAGAAGTGGAGCTGATGCGAAGGCGACGAGCAATTGAGAAAATAGGAAGTACATGAAAGCCACACCGCCCACCCGCACCCTGGCCGTTCTGGGTTGAAAAAAGAAAACCCTCCTCCCATGCTTGCTTTGCTCCCGCTATTCTTCTTCTTCTTCCTCATAGGACTTCTTGTGTGTCCCCAGCTCTGCCAATACCTCCTGGACGTTCGCACCTGCCGAAAATCCCCACTGCCGAGTCACTTCTCAGCCGCCGTCCACAACGCCAGAATTCCCCACCACCACCGATATCTGCCGTGCTGAGTGACTGCTGAGGTGCTTGATGCGCAGAATTGCAGCCGATGGCTGACGCGAGAAGTAGCAGGATCTTCAGATCTGGGGTAGCCATGCGTCAGCCTTTTCTTTTTCAAAAGTAGTAGATGTTTTGGTGCCAAATAATCTTAGTGTACCCCGAGAGCGTGTTCGTCGCTGTGAGCACCAAGGATGGACAGCAAAAAGTGACATAAGGGCGTCATTCCTAAGCCCCAGCCCCCAGTCAGAGCGCCGAGGGTCTCTCAAAGACCAGCGATCCTCTACGGTGACCATGGCAACGGCCGAACATAGGACACAAGGCAAGCGAAGGATCCAGAGGCAGGGACCAGGGGAAACGCAGAGCTTCAGCGTCACCAGAACCCAGACCCAGCGCCATGGACGAGCACCACCGAAGATCTGACAAACCCTTCCAAGTAGACAAGCTGTTGTAACAGGTCTGGAGAGACGGCAGCAGGGCGATGAGGCGTAGCAAGAACCGGCCATCCGACGACGATAGCGACGAGGATGGCGAGCGACGTCCAAGGGAAAGATTCAGTGGATGACAGTGAAACAATCGCCTTTGGGAAAGAGGCTTCGGGTCTTGGGCCAGCCATCCAATCTCGAACGTAGGGCCGTAGGTGTAAATCTCGGTTGATACCGGCGCTGATGTAGACTGCCAGACGTCGTGGTCCTCGCTGCTTCGGTTGTCATGAGCCTCTCGTTTCTGTTTATCGTCGAGTAGCTCCCGCTGGACACTCTGTAGCCTTCTTCATCCCCCGAAGCTCGCAAGCGCAGAAATCCGTGTGCTTCAAACGAGTGGCCGAGTGATGGGTGGTGCTTCGTGGAGACCGGGTACAGGAAGGGCTTGTTGCGCCAAGTCACGAACGAGGAGCCAATGGCGTCAAGGGAACGAGAAAGGTTCGGCAGGACAAGAGTGTCGGAAGATGTGCCTGGCAAGAAGGACGGCGAGGAGGGCGTCAGGATGGGGACCGCAACAAAGGTTGAAGGGACCGGCAGAGGGGGCAATCGCGTGCTTGAAGGTGCTTGATGTGACACTTGCTGTGGCTAGATGACGTCTGTCGTGGTATTTGTCATGGCTGACGATGACGTTGATGCTTGCCGTGCCTGTCCATTCCGTGTCGGGACGTGAGAGAGAGGGCGTATTGAAACTGACTTGCCGCTTGTTCGGTGACTGGTGCCGGTAGTGCTGCTGCTCGCGGTTCGCAGGTACGCAGCCTTCATTGCCACTGAAGCCAACAGGGGCGTGTATGTTTGACATCGTCTGTGAACAGTAGAGCCGCCGACCTGGAGTGCATGTGCCACAAAAGCTGTCTCCAACCAAGTTCCCTCACTGTGGCTGGGTATCGACAGTGCGTTGAAAGCTCGATATGTGGATGGCGGCGGCCGGGTGTAGCTCGGCGAAGGGAGAAGGGAGTAGAAGGTCGTGTGCAAGCAGAGCCTTGACAAGTGTCGTGACTGAGTATGTTCTTGAGGGGCAAGACCTGTCCACGGTTTCGTCAGTCAGATCCCTGCTCTGCCTCCATCGCTGGGAACAGACCTGTTGGTTTCTCCCCAGAGGGGATTTCGGCTCCGCCGCCACGTCGAGGCCAGGTCTTTTGGCGGAGATTTTTTTTTGAACGAGTGAGAAGAATTTTTTTGGGGTTTTTTTGTTTTTATGTTTTTTTTTTGTTTTTGTTTTTTAACGAAGCTCTCAGATCCTCTCGGACTGCTTTGGCTAGAAGTGTGTGTTTGCGTTCAGGCCGTTGGTGGTGGGTTTTGCCGGGCGTACCATTCGTCCAGGGCCTGTTAAGCACTGTCATCAGCAACTGGCGAACATGAAAAGATTAGTACTTACGTGGCGGAGCTTCTCGAACATCTTGGTGGCCGCTTTCTCAATACAGCGCATCAACGGCTCCACCACCCATGGACTAGTGAATGGTAGCCACTTGACCACCTCAGGCCGAACGACACACTGCCAAAGCCAGTCCTCGAGGATCACGAGGCTGCACCACAAAAGAAAGTAGATAATATTTATAGCGACCGGCATTGTGTCAACGAGCGTCGATAAATATATTAGAGAGAAAAGAAGAAGAAGACAACAGCCAGAAGCCTGCGAGGAACAAGTAGCCCACCGCCGTAGCTGCCTCCCAGTCCACGCCCAGACAGCAAGAGCCGTCAGCAGCGCAGCCAGTCGCGGGCAGCGCGTGTCAATTCGGAAGGTACACTCACGAGGCAGCTCCCTCCACCCAAACCAACGACCACACCAAGAAACAGAATTCGAGCGCGAACTGAACAACACCAATCCTAACAGACTCATCCCACGGCCTCTCATCCACCACCTCCCCGTATTGCCGCCGCCGCCGCAAGCCATCCCTTCTCGCCCGCTCGCCGAGCATAGGCAGGTCAAGCGGATCCGGCTCCACGCCGTACACCTTGTGCGCCAGGTGCCATCCGAGCACCAGCATAACAACCGCGATCACGCATCCCGCCGCCTTCTGCAAATCGCCCTGCATCAGCGCCAACACCATCTGCCTCTCGTGCCACCCCAGGTACGAGCAGCCGTACTCGCCGCCGCCGCGCCGCGCATAACAACAACTCTTCCTCTCCTCGTAGCAGCACCCTCTCGGATAATGCCCCCCCACCACCACCGCCTGTCGTTGTTGCTGCTGCTGCTGCCCTTCTTCCGCCGCCACCGCCGGCCGAAACCACACCCCCACCACCGCCGCCATCACCACGAACAAGACATCGAACCCCACCGCCACCGTCACCACGCCCTCCCCCCACCGCGCCAGCGGATGCCGCACCGCGGCGCAGCGCCGCTGCCGCCGCGCGGTCCACGCGACGCCTTCGTCCAGCAGCAGCAGGAAGAGCGGCACCGTCGCGGCCACGAGGAGGGCGGTGGAGGCGGGGACGGCGGTGCGCTGCGTGGTGCACGACGCTGTGGAGGTGGATAGGGGTGGTCGTGTCGTTTCGCCGATGATGAGGGCGGAGAGCGTGGACCAGGTGAGGAAGAGGCGGGGCCAGGGGCGGTTGAGGCGGGTGGTGGTGGAGGTGAGGAGGGTGCGCAGGGTGTGGGTGAGGAGGGGGAGGAGGGTGAGGAAGGTGATGACTTCGGGGGTGAGGCAGGTGGGTAGGGTGGGGGTGTAGGTGTAGGTGGGGAGGAAGGAGTTGAAGTAGGAGGAGGACATCTTGGGTTTTCGTTTGGGGGAGACGGGTTGCGTGGTGGTGGGTGGTTGGGTGGATGGGAGCGTATGAGTTGGACGCTGGAGGAGGAGGAGGAGGAGCTTGGGTTAGAGATTGCGGGAGGCGCGCGTGTATAAGTAGATGTTGCGTGGTCTTGGTCGGAAGTCAAACGTGATTCCAGGGTCTAGCCGAAAGTCGGATTTGACACCTGTCGCCATATTGTAGATTTGCCGGAGCGGTAAAAGCTTTTCACAGTCGTAAATCAAACGTCTCTGCGCACCGCCGCGGCAAGCGGGTGGCGGGCTCGGAGCGGACGTATGCAGGGGCTGCGCGTGATTGAGCTACGCAGACGGCACGTGTTGGAGATGCCTTAGGCTGTGGATGTCAGTTGCGGAAGTGCGGGTTGGAAGTTGGAAGCCTAGGTGGGATTATAAGAAGGGCAGTAGTGGGTGTGTGGGTCCTTGTGGTCATCAGTTGAGCTTGTGTGGTTGGTCGTAAAACCGAGCGTAGCTAATTCGAAACTGACGTTCGCCCATCGAGAGAGAATAATACTGGTAACTGGAGGAGTCGACCGAGTATAGTATGGCACATGAGTTTGGTTTCTAGGTCGATGGATGTAGCGTCAAAGAGTGGTGTAGAGCTTCATCGAAACGATAATGAATGTATCATCACCGTCAAGCCTTGGTGATGACGTTCATGAGTTACCAATATCAGTCCTTGTGCTAGTCTACCATGGGTAAGAAGCGTAAGTAATAACGACAACGGCAAGCGGCACCAGAGTGGGGACTGTGGGACCAAGGGTTAGAAGATTTTTCAGGCTTGCAATATGGTTGTGGCTGCGGAAAGCAAAAGTGTCGTAGAATGTAGAGCCTTAAATATCCCTCTTCCCCTCCTGTCGTAGGTAGCGCAGGTGCGCACCACGCTTCCGCATGTTCATTTGACCTGTGAGTATCCAGCACGTGCCTGAGATGCGGAGCTGGGGAATCTAGTCATAAGCAGAAGTTAGTGGCCGTAATGCTTCTTTCACTTCTGAAGCAATGGACCGCTCTAAGCTGGAGAAAAGCCGTGGGGATCAAGAAGCACTTTTCTGTGTTGGCTTGAGCCGCACAAGATGTTGACATACTGCCTAGTTTTGATCGACTCACGTTCTATCCCATCGCTTGTGTAGAGCCAGAGCTCCATCAGGACGATACTGGCGCACATCTACATCACTGATGTTGCTGATAATAATCGTTTATTGACAATGCTGCTACTGAACTGAGTGAAGTAGATGAGTAAATGAGGCGTTAGAACACACGAGAGCAAAGCTGCTGAACTCTACAACCCATTCCATAACCAAAGGTGAAAGGATGTTATATGATGATCAGTACCATTCCCCAGTCAACAATTTCGTTGCACCATGATTTTGAAAACATGATATAAGATTTGTTAGCTGTTGCAGGCCTCAACAAGTACCGAGAATCACATGAAACTCGAAATACTCATCACTATCCGTTGTGGTCTAGTGGCTAGGATTTGCCGCTCTCAGTATTGGAGAGTCCATCTCACTTAATCAAAGTGCCGGCAAGGCCCGGGTTCAATTCCCGGCGACGGAATATCCTTTTGCTCTCGCTGTTGAGAAGCGCCGAATCTTTTTTGAGGCCTTTGCGCTTTGTGGTTGGTGTGGAGGAAATTTTCGGTCGTGGTGGTTGGCGCCGAAAAGAGACCGACGGCTCGGTTCTTTTTTTGCACTGGGCTTGACTTTGGCACTGGGCAAGGAACTGCAGCTGGGAATGGGAAGCAGATGACCGTGTTGTGCTTTGTGGTTGTGGAGGAGTGCGTGATGTATGGTCTCATGAGTCGATTCTGCGAGGTCTCCTGCTGATGCTGCATTCATGCATTTTTGGATAGTATTTTAAGTGATAGAATGGGGAAGCTGTATTCTTCTGTTTACGATATCAATTACTGCTACGAGTTGTCGAATTTACCAACGTTATCCTAATCAACACTTCGGGCTGGAGCTGAAACCCGATAATTAGAAAATCCCGAGAACGATACTTAGTCACGAAGGACCGAGCTCGCCTAATGACTGAAGTGTTTCATCACTGTTCAAAGAATACAGTCCTCATCATCACCGCGCTGTAATGGTTCTTCATCTTCGTTCTCATGGTGAAGTGCTCACCAACACCGCTCATATCTTTCTTTCCAGCCCCGCAACGAGTAGCTGAGAAAGTAGTTCGTTGGAAGACAGTTCGCCTCACGCAACGGGTCTTCACTGGCCGCAACCCATAGCCTCCTCTCTGGTTGAACAACGGCGGGAGAGGCTCTTTCGCCAACGCTTTTAAACACACGACCTTCTGTTCCAGATCCCGCTCCGCCCTCGAAGATCCATCACCAGGTGCATGTGCCACATGCTCCTCCTACGTGGCGGAAGTTCCCCCATTCGCATGTGCTTGACCGTGGCAGTAGACCGTGCCCGCACAGCCGCACACACCGCATGACGTCCGGGCTATCCCGGCTTCGTGGTTACGCCGTCACGAGATGGCGGCGGAGGATGCCCGCGTTCGTTATAAAGTACCGGTGGTGTTAGGAGTTCTGAAAGGCATCACTTTCAACTCCGTGGCTGTCAGAGCCTCATCGGAGATGGTTAGGATTACTACTCTTCTTCCTGCGGTTTCCAGAAAGCGGTGAGCAAGGGACATTTGATAGTGGTGCGCAGTTCCAATGACCTACTTCATAAGATGCTAGACTGTTTCGATATGAAAGAATGATGCACTCCATCATCTACCGCAACCGTCCACTTGCAGCATCATTACGAGTTTCGTCTGCATAAGTAGCCTTACTCATTCACATCGGAAGCTCCTCCCGGAACAGCCAGTGTTGCTTGGATATGTTAATGTTATCGTAAATTTCGCATGGGAGCTTTCCAACCATGTCGAATTGCTTTCCGACCCGTAGGTGGGATTCTTTTATATTGCTCACCGCACCGCCCCTCGCCTCACAAGCGGTGTCAGCTAAACCGAGTCTTCCACACCGATACGTGACCAAGTGATGTCATTGGTGCTGCTGGCTCGTCATCTGTCACTGCTGATCGGTGCCACCACCGCCGCCTGCGAGCACTTGATGAGCTGTGCACGTATGCCACATGGCAAGCGAAATGGCGGTTTGGCAATCGATCGCGTATGACGAGCGAGCAGATCACCAGGCGGGTCTGCTTCAAGCGACACGTGGTGGCTTCCGCTGATCGAGGGTTGAGGCGTAAGGATGAGCGGGTGCTGTGTTGATTTACCAAGGGGAAGGGTTGCGCCAGATAACCTCGGCCTGACGCAATTGATCGCCAACAGGTACAATGCGGTGAGCTGCAGACAAATATCTCTCGTGTGTTGCAAGTGTTACTCACTCTTTCTATGTCACGGTGAAGTCAAGTCAGTCAGGGCAGATAGGAATATCGTACAAGAGCATTCAGCGAGGCCCATCTCCCCAGAGTGTCAATCCAAAAGTCTCAAAATTCTTTGAATCGCGGTGTTGACAGCAGAATCCCATCCCCCATCCACTATTCACCATTCACTCCAAAGCAGCAAGACCAATTCATACGAAGAAAAGATAGTAGGATTTATATTTTAGGAGTTACTCGATGATAGCAATAGCGATAATCAAATCGTCAACAGCGTAAACAACGGAAAAAAAAAGAGGAAAAACAGAAAAAAGTTTTTATAAACAACCGAAAATATTCGCAGTGTTCGCAGTTCAGCTCATTCCCATCACCCACCGTGCAAAAAAAGCCAGCGGTAACCGAAAAAAGAGAAAATCCGGCAAAAGGACCATCGAGCCAGACTCTTCCCAGTCTCCGTCCGCCCCTTCTGCACACCACCATCTCACTCATACTCATCACTCATTTTCCCGCGTGATTCCCGCTTAAGCCTGGAAAGGCTTGCCCTCCTTAGGAGGAAGGGGCTTGCCGTCAGGGCCAAGCTTGGGGGCATCACGAGGAGCCTTGGGGTCCTTGGGAGGCAGAGGCTTGCCGTCGGGGCCAAGCTTGGGAGCGTCACGGCCGACGTGGGCGTTGACGTCGACGAGGCCGTGGGGGTGGGCAGGCGGGGGAGCCGGGGCATCGCGAGGAGCCTTGCCGTCCTTGGGAGGGAGGGGCTTGCCGTCAGGGCCGAGCTTGGGAGCGTCGCGGGGAGCCTTGGGGTCCTTGGGGGGCTGCTCGGCGGGCGGGGGAGGAGCCGGGGCGTCACGAGGAGCCTTGCCGTCCTTAGGAGGGAGGGGCTTGCCATCCGGGCCAAGCTTGGGGGCATCACGACCGACGTGGGCGTTGACATCAATCAGGCCATGGGGGTGAGCAGGCGGGGGAGCAGGCGCGTCACGGCCAACGTGAGCGTTCACATCGACGAGGCCGTGGGGGTGAGGCGGGGGAGCCGGGGCGTCGCGAGGAGCCTTAGGGTCCTTCGGGGGCTCCTGGGGAGGAGGAGGAGGGACGTCGCGGGGGTTCTTGGGAGGGGGGAGCGGCTTGCCGTCGGGGCCGAGCTTGGGAGCATCGCGGCCAACGTGAGCGTTCACGTCAATCAGGCCGTGAGGGTGGGCAGGCGGGGGAGCGGGAGCATCGCGAGGAGCCTTGGGGTCCTTGGGCGGCTGGGCCGGGGGAGGAGCGGGAGCGTCGCGGGGCTGGTTCTCCGGGGGAGGGAGAGGCTTGCCGTCAGGGCCCAGCTTGGGAGCGTCGCGGCCAACGTGAGCGTTCACGTCGACGAGGCCGTGAGGGTGAGGCGGGGGAGCAGGCGCATCACGAGGAGCCTTGGGGTCCTTGGGGGGCTGCGCAGGAGGCGGGGGAGGAGCGTCGCGAGGGTTCTTGGGAGGAGGCAGAGGCTTGCCGTCCGGGCCTACCGGCGGGGCGGGAGCGTCGCGGGCCTGGTGAGCAGGCGGCGGAAGAGGCTTTCCATCAGGGCCGAGCTTAGGAGCGTCACGGGCAACGCGAGCGTCCTTGGGCGGGGGAAGAGGCTTGCCGTCGGGACCCAGCTTGGGGGCGTCACGGGGAGCCTTGGGGTCCTTAGGAGGAAGCGGCTTGCCGTCGGGACCGACGGGGGCGGGAGCGTCGCGGGGAGCCTTGCCGTCCTTGGGCGGCAGAGGCTTTCCGTCAGGGCCGAGCTTGGGGGCGTCACGGGGCTGCGGCGGGAGAGGCTTGCCGTCAGGGCCAACGGGAGCCGGGGGTGCGCCGCGAGGAGCCTTAGGATCCTTGGGCGGGAGGGGCTTGCCGTCGGGGCCAATAGCCGGCGCGTCCCTAGCCTCCTTGGGCAGAGGCTTGCCGTCGGGGCCATTCTTGGGTGCCTCCTTGGCCGGAACCTTCGAGACGGGGACGGCCCTCGGAGCCTTGGGGTCCTTGGGCTGCTGCTCAGGGAAATCGGCCGGGCGGATGTCATCGGGGACATTAGCGCGGACAGCGTGCTTCGCGGCAGGAGCGGGAGGAGGAGGAGGGTTGGCGCCAGCAGGAGCGACACCGTTGACCGGGGCGACCGGGGCACCGTAGGAAATGGCGCCAAGGGCCAGAAGGGCCATGATGGTGGTGATGTTGGAACGCATGATGAACAAGTGAACGAATTAGGTGAAGATTTCGGTAATCGGTGGGAAGAGGCGGTGGAGCGAGTGCGGTGAAGAGGTTATTAGGATTAAAGGTGAGCGAGTAGTGGTGTAGTTGGTAGGTGAAGACCGGTGGTGGTGGTGATGGACTCTTCGGCGGGTTGAGCGGTGCCTTAAGTACGATTGTCGAGATCAACTGTAGGCCATCGTCCCAAATGAGCGCACGTAATGTTGTTGCACCGGCGGCTGCGGTGTTGTGGTTGGGGTATGCGTGTAGGGGGCGATGCACGTCCTGCAGTTGGCAGTGATGTTCGCGATTGGCACCATCATGACCAGGCCCGCAGACGACACTGAGGGTTCAGAGCACGCAAGCACGGTGGTCCGTTGTCTCTGTAGGGTAGATGCTGGGAGACTGGGCCTGCCTGAGCACATAGTGCGAGTGTAGACCCTGTGAGACACTGCAGGATGGCGTGGAAAGCTATGAGCTCATCTCGAATTGGACTTGTCTCACTCCACTGGATAGTGATCAGCGCGCAACGTACGACTCTGAAGGCTGGATTGCTCTACCTGTGGAAGCGGCATCTGGCGGACGCTAGGGTTGACGGATTCTTGGTAGCCGCATCGCAGGCTGTGCCAATGACGAGGGTAAGTCGTGACCTCACCATACATTAACCATATGCCTCTAGTGTTGCAAGGCCTCGACGAAGTCGTAATACCCCGCTTCAAGGTTGTATTAGCTTGGAAGATCGTCTACTGCCGGAAAGAGCAGGATTCTAGATCAAGCTTGCGCGTAACCTCCGCTTGACAAAGTCTAAGCTTGAATTGCCGAAGATTACCGCGAAAAAGGACAGGCCAAGCCTACGAGGCTGGTGTGGCGGGTACCTGCAGAGGCACCAGAGCGGCCAGTGGGAAGGGGCGGTTGAGGCGGAGAGGACGACGCGGCTTGGCGCAGCCATACGTTGACAAGGCTGTATGGGGTAGAGCCGCGTAAGCACTACGCCGAGTTCCCGCCGTGGGTCGTGGCCAGCGCACCAGGTCATTTTAATCAGCGTAGGGCTGTGGAGAAGGTGCCATTAGAGTGATTAGATTCGTCATCAGCAAATGAGCGGACGCGCCGGGAGTGAAAGGAGAGGCAAGACAGCCACACGGGTGGAGCAGCCGTGGTGGTGACCTAGACAGGGGTGTGCGCGAAGGCGCCCGGGGAAACAGGCGAAGAGCTATGACCACTTCCGCATAGGACCAACCTCAACATGAACTTCGACATGCGGTGAAGCACGCAAAAGACACCGCTCAGGGGAGAGTAAATCGCTTTATTTGTTATAGAGAAGCTGTCAGTCGTAGCTTGTGCGCCTGCTTAGATAACGACTGTATTCGGATCTTGGTCCTGAAAGCAGACCAATTGCAGCCCGAAGACACCCGGGGAAATGGAGATGCTCGCCGGTCGTAAGCACATATGCGTGCCCTGCTGGGTATTGTAATTGTGTACGCTAACATACTTTGGCCGCGTCTGAGGTTGACTTGATTGGATAATCCGTGACTCGGCGTGTGCGTTGAAAGCACGCTCTCGATCATCGGCTTGGCGGAGGGGGAACTCATGCCGTCCGTTATTCCCGGGAAGCTGGCTCGGACATTCAAGACCCCGGTGGCGAGTGCCCGAGCTGACCGTAAGATGGCCAGAGGGTTTGCATCCTTCGTTGTTGAGCTCCCAGCCATCTTCCTCACTGGCCTGGCCCTTCAGGTCCCGCAAATTGGCCGAAACCGGCATCGAACTGAAGAGGATCGAAGTTCCAAAACCCCTGAGACATTGTTAGTCTTGTTGACCGGCTCAATAGGGCCGAAGATACTCACCCAGTCCATATCCATGGCCATGTCCTGTAACCATGCACTTGTATTTGCCTCACTCATCCCGACGTTGCCCCTTTCCATTTCCGCTAGAGACCCGGCCATTCCTTGATTTCCCGATGGGTATCTGGCATCGATGCTGCTGCTCCTCATGTCTGAGCTAGGCATCGTGACGTGAGTAGGTGCGAAGAAGGCATAATCCTGTTGCGAGACCGTCGATGGCGTTGTAACCGGAGGCTGCACCTGCGCTTGCGTCGAAGAGCGCACTTGTGCCGGTACATGAGACTGAGGAGGTGATTTGGTTGAAGACGGTTGCGAAACATTTTGCGATGCGGCTGGACTGGGGCTTTTGGCAAAGTACATGACGCTCAGCTCATCTTCACCGAAGCGCTCCTTGGAGATGCCGCTCATCGGTTCCGGTTTGGCATGTTCATGGTTGGGGTCCAGCCTGTCAATCATACGCTTGATGACCGCCCAGGTGTTCGAATCGGAACGACCTTTCAGATCAAGGACAGTATGCAGAGCGCGTAGGGCTCTGGCTCGAATTATGGGATCCTTCGAGCCACAGAACTCGGGATCGCGGAGCTCGGCGAGGATGTGCATGATGGCTTGGAAAGCGGCATGTCCACCAATGTGCCACTGGAACTGTTCGGCGTCCTTGTCGTGAGAGACTCGATTCAGCGATTCGATAAGAGACACCGATCGTGTAAGTATCCTGCAAACCCAACCCGTTAGTCCTGTAACAAGCCTATTGATAACACCTGGGAGTACAGGGTCAACTTACATGGTGCGCACATCGTCGTTGATGACTACTCTCCTCAAGTCTTTCGGAACGCCACTCCAGAAGATCAACCAGCATCTCCATTCCAAATTGGCACTTAGCCCAATCGTCATCCGTTCTACAGTCACTTCGAGGCGGCAATATCTGAGAATGCACCGTTCGTTTTTGGAATGCACTTCGTCCACCATTTGCTTGGTCTCCTCGAACAATCTTTGGAGCTCAGGAACAATATCAAGGCTGTTGTTTCGCAGTCGCGAGTCCTTGCATTTTCGATCAAGCCGGTATGCATTCTGGGCGATCTTTCGGAAGCACTGGATCATGCCCAAGCGGCAGAGCTGCAGGGCCATGTCCGTAACTCCCTCTTCTTCCAGGTACGGGTTGGTTGGAGGAGCCCGGCCCTCCATCAGGTCGGAGTCGCTCACATTTCGGGGCAGCAAGGTGGTGAAGTCGTCATCCGAGATGGTCGGCTCCATGCCCTTGCCTTCTGATGCCCTCCAATCCAGATGACAGATCTGATGCCACACTCTACGGCGTATTTCTACCTGAACCTCATCCATGGAAGAGGTGAAGAAGCTAGGTTCTCTGTGAAGGCCCTGTAGCATGGCTATCCTGATGGCAACACCGGTAAGTGGCCACACCTGGCCCATGTCATCTTCGCGAGCTTGGACCGTCTAGAGACAATTAGTCAGCCGGCCCGGAGACTTGTAAGAACTCAATGCATACCAGATAGATTATGAAAGCTTGGAGAACTTCAATGCTTGAAGTGGTGAGGAAGTCGGCTTGCTGCAAGGAGAACTCAAGACCTTGTTGGTACTTCCGCAAAAGGGATAGCTTGTCTTTCTTGAAACGGGCTTGGACTACTTCAGCCTTCAAGCTGTTCAAAGCCGAATAAAATATAGCGTAGGCCAGAGGCTCAAAGTTCTGCAGCTGCTCTTCGTTCCAATGATCGTCGAAACTGCCATTCGTTAGCGAGCGGCCCAGTGTAAGAAAGGGTTAGTGGTTGTACTTCTCGCTACTACGGCCCGAAGCGGACGAAGGCGTGAGGTTCTGCCATCTTCGGCAGAAGGCGGCAAAGCGCCTACCCAGGGACGGCTTGTGCACCAAACGGCTGACGGGATCCACATTCTGAATAAAAATGGCGAAGAGCTCGTAACACTCCTCTTGTGTCTCGGGCATAAAAACCGAGGTGTCGCCAGCGGCCTGGCCACTGCTGAATAGCAGGGACTGAGAGGTCCGGATGCCGCCCCAGCCCGTCGGATCGTTGACGTTGCCGGGCTTGCCTTCGGTGCTCAAGATAGCCTTGATGTCTTGAAGCTGCGAGGAGGGTTAGCATGCTCGGGGCGGATCGTCGGGGCTAGAGCTTACCTCTTCGGTCAGCAGGGCCCAGTGCAGGGAAGAGACAAAGTGGGATTGGCCGTTCTCGACCAGGAGGGTGCCGTCATAGGCATCGGCGGCCTGGATATCGCCGGAAGTGCTGCTATTTGGAGAAGCGGAACTGTTCACTCTTTCTTTGTTTTCATAGACGTCGCTCTGCGAAGTGTCACGGCGCGCGGGTTGGCGCGGCTGCTGCGGCTGCTTTTGCGTGTTCACAGAGAGCTTGCTGGGCGGCTGGTTGCTCACAGCCATCTCGAGCAGCGACTCGAGGCGCTCCAGACGGGCATTGATTTCGGCATGGCTGGACTGGCCTTTGCTTTGACTGGACTGGTGCTTGTGCACGCGATTGGCCGAGGATTGGGCTGACGGCGGCGATCGGCCGTCGTGCTGCTGCTGGTTGGGGACGTTGGCATAGTAGCAGACATGGTTGCCGCGCGAGCATGCAGAGCAGACGGGGTATCTGTGATCGCATTTAACCTTGCGACGGCGACACGTGAGACACGAGGTGATGATTCGTTGGCGGGTGCCGGCGGACGACTGGGCGGCCGACTGAGGCGGCGGCTGCGCGCTGGGGTTGGCGAAGGCGTCCATGCCTGGAGGTGTCGGCCGAGGTGGAGCTTCTGGAGGGTGTCGGCGGGCGGGGAGGGAGCGCTTCTTCTGCGCGTAGGGAGGACGTTAGGCGTCAGAGGGCGGCTGAGCGCCTGTGCTGGTCTTGGTTCCTGCAGCGGCCCCCACAACGTTGAAGCCCTCGCGCCGTTTCACAGGTGGCGCGCGCGACCGCCTTTGCTTGTCGCAGAAAGACTTTCTTCGGCCAGGACGTCGGTGCGCAGGGCTGCGGCGCGAGCTCGTCTTTTGAGAATGACGTGGGGAGCCAAAAAATCGGCGTCGGTCTTCCATCAGCGCCGCCGCCCCCGCCGCCCGCCGACAGCCGCGCCCGCCTGATGAGTGACGGCACCACCACTCTCGCACCTGCAGGCACGCCCGTGGATCGCCGGCGTGTCTGCGCGCACGCGACTGAAGCTCGCGAGTCAGGGTGCTCGCGTTTCGCGTTTGTGCGGTACCGAGCAGCCCGCGATAGAGCGCGCTGTCGCGTTCGGACCTGCCGGTTAGCCGGCCACGACTTATCTCGGCAGCGGGTGGCAGCTGCCAAAGCTGACGTGCGCCTGTCGCACTGCACCCTCGCGTCCCGCCGCCGCCCATCGCTGCCTAGTTTCCAATTTTATACCGTGCTACGACAACTACTGCTATACACGTACCTATTGCCCGCACCGTCCGCTTCCGTCGGCGCAGAGCCGCACCTTGACCGCTCGCTGTCTGGGTCTGTGACAGCAACACCACGCTGGCCCGGCCCCGCCCCAGACTCCGGATGCTTGACGACGAGCTAAGCCCTTGGCTACGGAGGGATTCTCCTTGGCGCATGTTTGCCGGTGATCGTGGGGATCCCCCACCGCCTGGCTCAGCCATGGTATGCGCCACACCGTTCCTTATTTACCTCTAATTCCCAGTGCCGATGACGCCCATCGCTTTCGCTCTCAACTCTGCGTCCCTTGCATCACCCACCTGAGCAACCCGCCTGCGTGACGCCTGCGGCTCGTGCCGACCCCACCTTCTCGAAGCCGCAAGTCGACGATCACTCCCGCCCCTCAGCCTGCGGATCAGCAACCATTGCGGCCCCTGCGTTCTGCTGCACTCGGCTTTTCCGAACCTACATATACAACGCGTATGGGTGTGGCTGAGGCGGGGCAAACACCGGGATCCGGTTATCACACCGAATCCCAACCACGGCACAGCATAGGCTGAGCATCTAAGCACATGCGTCAGCCGCGTGTCTTGCTGCCTCGCCACGTTGTCCTGCGTTCAGGTTGCTGAATCAGCTACAAAGTCGGACAAAGGAACTGTGTCTGCCTGGTGACTGGGAACAATGAAAAAGATTCCACCGGAAGCGGACAAGTGCCACTTCGCCACTTGAAACCAAACCAGTCACTAATCTGCAAACAGCTGCATTTTTCGTACCATTGTAGAGACAGGACACGATGAAGCGTTCAGGTGAGGCTCAATTCTTTACTCGGAGTGTGATGTCTCACTTGTTTCTTTTACTTGCTCTCTCTCGTTTAATGCAGGAATGCACTGTGTCGCAGAGCTTCACTCAACGACTGACGAGCAGAACCAAACTCTTTCCGTTGGAGCTCTGCCACGTTTTTTTTCCCTGCCTCTGACAGAAAATCTTCGGAGTTTGCTGTTATTTTCCGCAGGACTGACAGCAATTCAAAATCGTGCCATTAATTTCGTTGTTGATTCTTTGTTCCTTTAACTCATCATCTTCCTTTAGATATTGAACAGTGCATCATGTGGGGTTGTTCATCCATCTTAACAATGTTGTAGCTTATGGCACAGGGTACTTCATAAACGGAACATCCGCCTCTCTACCGGTAGCATTACCACCAAAATCTTGCAATTTCCTCCATCATGGATTCAACTCACCACATCGATCTTCAGATTAAGCACAGGCGCGTCGAAGTTCACCATGTACCCGTGACCGAGCTTCCCGACGGTCACGCTTCCACCTGCACTGCTTGCTTTAGAAAGTATAGCGACATCACTCCGGAGGAACTCCGTCGCGAAGAGGCTCATCGCCTCACTCTGAGGGAGAATCAGGAGTATTACGACCCTCCGGCCTCTGTGCCTGTGCGTCTCCCAGGCTGTAGCCATTACGTGTGTCTTGAATGCGCTCTGAATCATTTTCACGATTTGATGGAGAATGATCTGAACGAGAAGGGTGAGACAGTGCTCTCATGTCCTCTCTGCAAGGCCCCTGTCGAGCGAAAGCGCAAGTGGACGAGCCTGCTGAAGCATGGTGGTCTTGTGATCCACAAGTAGGGTCAGTACTTCTCTCGTAGCAAATGCTAAATACAATGAATACTTCTTCCAATGTACTTCTCCTTTCGTGTGACCCCCTCAATTCTTGTGTTACGTTTCATGTCGTTTGCTGACTGCCAAGCCCACCTTGTCTCAATATTGACAAGAGCTTCCTACAACGGGCAAGCTCCTTCAATGCTGGTGTTCAACTTGACCTGCAGCTTTTGAAATGCTCGGTTCTTGACGTTACCTTCTCTTGAAGTCGGCCGAGCGCTAATTACATCGCCAGATAAAATTTACTTTCTCCCATTAAAGAACGTTCGACTGCAGCCACGACGTTTGCATGTTACCTGTTCGTGTCACGCAGACCGAAGAGGACGCCTTGGCTGCTTAGTCCATGACGCACATCGGCAGCTTGTACATGCCGGCCGAAGCGTAGCAGCTTTCCACTCCACTTCTCGTATATTCTTGGCTGCTGCTATTGAAAACCAAACGAAAGACGAGAAAAATTTGTAGTCCTTCCATGCTCGGCATGCAATTTCCCGGAACTCCGCGCGGTAGTACTCCCGCAACTACAGCGTATCTGCTGTTCAAAGTCTCCAAGCGAATTATTCGCAGAATCAGATTTGAGACAGGGATCTGGCTATCATGCGCGCAATTACCACCTTCCATATCCGGCTACAACTCCGTCGATAAACCGACAGACCACAAGCGAAACCCCCCACCAAAGAACCGAGCAATCGCGAACTACTGGGCTCTCGATATTAACACGAATGATGCGATATGCTGCAGACGGTTCAGCGGGACGGGAATGGGGACAGACAGAAGTCAGTCACACGGTGGATCGAGAGAAGGCGCAAGACTGTCGATGATTCACTTACTCGCGAGCCGGGTCAGATACCATACAATACCGTTGACGTTGCTTTAGGATTTAAGCCTCGTATACTAAGTACGGTAGGATTCTGCTATAGATGCTATAAGCTTCTTTCGAGCAGTACACGCAGGTACACCCCAACCAGCACCCAAACCCGGCCTATCGCCTCGGATCAGCCGACATGCGAGCATACGCGTACCCACATGGCACCTGCCCGGCGTGCCTGCACTCGGAGAATAACTATTCCCTCCCACCATGCCTAATGCAGCAACTCCAAAATCTCACCCCGGCAAACGGGCGCCGTTCAAGCATGCCAAGCGCCGACCAACAGGCGCGAAGCTCTCCTCCCGCGGTCTGGGCACAGTGTCTTGTCGAGGCTTCGACACTGATAAGCAACCTTGGTGGTGCTCGGCAACGGCCGAGGCGACTTGTACCAAACACAACCCCACACGCGATACCGATGGAAGAACTTCCAAGCGGACTGGAGATGAACAACCCATGCCATCCGCTTCTAGTACCTCTCGCGAACTCGGCCGGTCATGCGTCTGTCCTTGTCAATATGCATTCGTGATCCAACCGACCTGCTCGAACGGGGCATCACCGCAAGACATCGCGTCTTATCGCGCGATTTCGACTACACTTCCCGCGAAAGTCCAGATCCCCATCCCGGTTTCAACAGCCGGTGGTCTCAGAAGAGGTGGATAGAGGCGAAAACATCTCAGTGTCCTTGAGAGTATAAAGAGCCCGGGAGACATCCACCATGTAGTCCTCTCCACCACCAGCAAGCCCTCGGCCTCCAGCTCTCCGGTCTCTCTTCAGCAGCCCCATCCCAGCCTTCGTCTCTTCAAAAAAAAAAAATGCAGTTCAAGACCCTCCTCCTCGCCGCCCTCGGCACCACCACCGCCCTCGCCGGCCCCATGGGCCACGGCCTCGCCGCCCGCGTCGCCACCCGCACGCAGCGCTCCTCGCAGCCGCTCTCGCGCGTCGGCGAGGCTTCCACCGTCGAGGGCCCGCTGGCCGACAGCAACGTCACGCACGTCCAGTACTCGTCCAATTGGGCCGGCGCCGTCTACGAGGAGCCCCCTTCGGGCACCTTCACCGCCGTCTCGGCCACCATCACCGTGCCCGTCCCGTCCGCCACCGCCGCCGGCACGTACTCCGCGTCTGCCTGGGTCGGCATCGACGGCGATACCTGTGGCAATGCGATTTTGCAGACGGGCGTCGATTTTACGGCGACGAAGAGTGGCAGCCGGACGACGTATTCGTATGATGCTTGGTCAGTGTGATTCCTTTAGTTACTCTTGTGCAATGAGGATTGCAGTTGCTGATTGTGGATTGTTGCTACAGGTACGAGTGGTACCCGGACTACGCCTACGACTTCTCGCTCTCCATCAGCGCGGGCGACGTCATCGCCATGTCTGTGACGTCCTCGTCGTCGACCAGGGGCGTCGCCGTCATCGAGAACCTGACCACCGGCAAGAGCGTCAGCAAGACCATCACCTCCAGCTATGCCCTGTGCGGCGAGAACGCCGAGTGGATCGTCGAGGACTTTGAGAGCGGCGGCTCGCTCGTCGCGTTCGCCGATTTCGGCGACGTGCTGTTCACCGGCGCCGTCGCGAAGACGAACACGGAGGGCAATGTCGGGACGAGTGGCGCGGTCCTGATTGATATTAAGCAGAACAACAAGGTTTTGACGTCGGCGTCGATTCCGAGCTCGAGCGAGGTTGAGGTTGTGTATGAGTAGGTGGCGCGCGCGGTGATGGGAGGGGGTGTTGCTGAGGGTTGGGGGGTGTGGTGGGTGTGGTTTTTGTGAGGTTGGGCTGTCGTGAGAGCAGTTGTGGATCTGTAGGAAGGGTATCCTTGTTGTTTCTTGGATAGAAAATTTGAGACTGGTTTCTACTTGGAATATCAACGCTACTTTTCAGTCACGCACTTGCTCTAGGTTTCCTACAGGCTTCACCTATCTTCATAGCCGCTTTACGGATCGACCATCGCGGTAAAGCATATGATGATCTCTCTTCACGCTATGGATACCAATCATCGCTTTAAGATAAACCATCGAAAAACACAATATGATATTTGAGGAATGTATAATACATAAAGAAATACACCATGTACATGATACAATTATCCACCAAAGTGACCCCAGGACATCATTATCCGAGCCTAGTTTCCTTCCACTGGAGTTTCAATCCATCAACATCAATCTCCTTTTTCGATGCTATGCCGGGATTCAACCATTGCCTATTTTTCAAGGCCCACCACTGGAAGTCCTTCTCAAGTTTCAGAATCCCTACCCTCTCCGCGTGGTCTGTTTTTATCTCAACCAACATGAAGTACATCCCTTCCAATGGTTTGAACAGCCTCTCAATGCCGGACACAAGAATAGCCGTGTAGGTTTTGGTGGATAGCAATCGTAGTTCTTCCGTCTCAAGATCTTCGAACTTTTCGTTCATGAACTCGACTTTGTTGTACTGCTGTCCATGCGAAGTTTGAACGACGTGGTACAAGCAAGACTTGCGACTTTCGTCTCTCGACTTGTGGTTTTCCAACTTCACATCCATTGTCCAAGCTTGAACATGAATGAATCGTGATATCGTCTGCGGATGTGTCTTGAGGTATGCAAGCTCCTCAAACTCTGCCCAGGACAGAATAGTCCCATCTGTACATTCGACATCAATTGAAAGTCCTGTGTCTGTGTTGAATCCTGTATCATACTCGTGAAGGTAATAAAAACGGATCGGTCCAATCCACCCGGTCCATGACCAACTTGGAAATCCGAGTCTTCGGACCAATGGGGTGTGTGAAGTCCTTTGATCGCGGTCTTTGTGTTGGAAGCACAAACCTCGTAAAAACCCCTCCAGTGACGGGTTTCGAGGATTCGACAGCACGTAGCCCGATGTTGGCATGTAGTGGCCGTTCGACGATATATGCTGGAGCGGCAAAATAGGTGAACCCCAGATTTGATGGACTGGAGGGCTCGACTGTTCGAACATTCCGAGTATTCCTGAAAATGCGTGGATAACGTCGCCCGTGACGGTCAAGTCCCGGCCGCTGTAACCTTCGACAAGGAGTATGAATTCTTGAGAGCTGTGGTACTGCAGCGTATTTGCGGAGGCGGTACAGAGAGGGGTAAAAGAGCTTTTGGCTGCTTCTTGTTGGCGAAATGCGAAACCAATCTTGAGATTAGGACTATATTTAGCATCCGCAAACTCCCTCCCAAGGATTGGCGCCATACAAGCGCAGGAGAACCAGGCCTCTCGATCGGTGAAGAAAAGGGTTCTTCTCGACATGACTTCCTCTTGCAAAGTCCAACCTCTGCGAACCCATGGAGTATATTCTATCCGGCAATCAGGATCAATCTTTTTCTCAGTTAAGAAATGATTGCCTATTCTGCAAAGGATCTGGGGAAGTCGAGGCGCTCCTGGAAATCCTGGTATTCCATAGTCGGAATGGCTGCCGGCTGCGGCAATGATGGTTATCTCGGAGTTGCGATAGATGTAGTGCATTTGTCGAATTTGGTCCATTTTATGGGCTCCGTCTTGGTTGATGCAAACTTGGTCAACCCAGAGGTGTTTGAAACCCAGTTGTAAGGTAACATTAACAGCATCGCGGATCGTCCGTGGAAGCTGCTTTTCGTCCAGCGTTTCTTCGTCCAGAAATATCCTCTGCTGAGCCGGTCCCCAGACATAACTTAAGGCCACATATTCCATGTCGGCCGTGGCAGCCTCGCGTTTCATCGTCTCGCAGTTGATCAGCAGCAGGCCGCTCACTGGTGGTAACTTTCGGGCCCCACACACGTCTCTGTGTGTCGTTTTACATAGCTCAAACTTGGCTTTCAGAGCATCGAGATTCACCATCTCGGAACCTTTGGGCCAGTTTTGATCGCCTTTGGTTTTCGTCGTGGGTATGTCGCGGTAGGTGGAAAATTTCAGCCATCTGGAGGCATCCCTTGATCTGGACGAGCCGACTGAATTTGGATCGGGTACCACCAATGAGGAGAAAGTGATCTCTTCTCGAACACCTTCGGGGCGCCCGCACAGAAAGTGATGGTCATGTCCCGGGGTAAGTCTTTGTAGGAATTGGCAGAGGGCGCACGAGAAGTCTACCACTGCCATGTCGGCGACGAAATGTGATGGTGCGGCCGGTAGGTCAAGAGGTTTTCCACCGATCTTGTCTTCGAAACGGAGATTCGAGCATCTTTGACAAAGTTTGGTCTCGTCCAATGGCGGGCCTCTACATCGCTCGAGGAAGTGATCGGAATGGGTCGCGCATCCGCGCCGGCGGCGGAACCTCTCTCCAACGAGGTTCCAAGTCTCATCTGTCACCTGGCTGGCGTGTTCGCTATGACGGCTGAAATAGTTGGCCCTTTCATTTAATTCTGGGTTAGACCTAGGTATACAAGCGTCAGTTTCGTGAAGATTATATCGTCGACAGAAATGGCTAGCGATTCGAAATATCGTGGACTTACCTAGCCATGGCGGAGAAAATGTTAGCACGCAGAAAATTGCTTTTGCGCGGCAATGCTGATTGAAACAGCTGTACTTACGATAAATATCTAGCAACTAAATAGCTGAAGGGGTGGTCTTCACGAACGGTTGCCATCAATCTTGGGCTAGAGTACGGACGTAGCTTTCAGCTTGGTGGTGGGCCAGCTGAAAAATCCGAGTGCCGATCATCCTTCGTATCTGAACACGTCAGAAATTCACGGCGCTTCGTTTTGCGCCGAGGCCCCGTGCATGCAGCTATGCCAATTGCAGATCTATTCTCGCGCCAATGAGATCGGAGACCCCAGACAGCTTGTTGAGGTCAGATGGCTGGATGTGTGGGGAAGTGTTGTAGATGTCTAATTAATAGCGGGGTGATAAGCGAAGCAGCCTCAAGCGAGCCAGCTGAAGCATATCTGTGCATACGAAAGTCCGATCAGCCACGCATCATTGAACCAGATTCCAGCACCTGGTAGGAGCTTTCGAAGGCCTGTCGTAAAGACTATTTTAGGACTAAGTGCAAAACTCGAGTTTCTGCATGAGGATTTCAGCACTAAATAATAGAGTGATATCATCGAGGGGTGTTCAATGTAGAAAGAAAATTGGAAAGGAGAGGAGTGACCAAGCATCGATCAAACAGACAGGCAAGTAAATTCTCCAAACAGAAGCGGGTTTGCTCGAAACAGAGGACAAAAACATAAGACGCTGAAGGAACACAAGGGTAAAAAACCCTCCCCATCAGCGACCCCTAATCTTCCTTGTAATCAAAATCACCATCATCATCATCATCTCTATCCCTCATATCATCATCCTCCTCCTTCTCCTCACCCATCAATTTCCTCTTCTTCCCCGGCTGCGTCGATCCTTTACCCCTAGTGCCTTTTGGCGGGTCTCCCACCACCTCATGCACATTGCTAACCCTACCATCCTTGACCGCCTTCCGGGTTTTCTGGAGGCGGCTCGACGGCGCTTTCGCAGCTCCTCCTCCTCCTCCTCTCTTCCGCTTCACCGGCGCCCGCTCCGTCGTCGCTTTAGCATCATCCGCTTCCTTATCATCCCCAGCACCACCTTCCCCATCGGCTCCACCACCATAATCTTCGGCAGGAGCAGGAGCAGCAGTAGCAGCAGCAGCATCACCCTGACCCGACTCCTCCGCTTTGGCAGCCTCAGCAGCCTCAGCCGTCTGCGCCCTCGTCATCCGCCTCGTCGACGGGTCAGGCGGCGCTGGCGCTGGCGCTGCCGCCGGCGTTTGTGCTCTCTTCTTCTTCTTCTGCGGCGGCGGTGGTGGTGGTGCTGTCGTCGCCCTCGTCTTTGCCGCCGCCGTTGTGGCTGTCTTCTTCGTCGCCGCCTTCGCCTTCGTCTTCGGCTGCTGCTGCTGTTGGGTGGTCGAGGCGTTGTCTGTTGGATCTTCCGAGGCCTTTCGTTTCCTCCCTCTCGCGCCGGCGCCGCCGGCTGTCTTCTTAGCTGCTGGTTTCGGCTGCGGCTGGGGCTGTGGCTCCGGCGCCGAAGGTGGTGGCTGAGTGGACGGGGCTTGTGCGGTGGTGGCGGCGGCGGTTGCTTCGAGCTGGGGGTCTGTGATCGGTGCTTGTGCCGTGGGTTGTTGGGCGGGCGGGAGGACGGGAGGGTGCGGTGGATGTGGGTGCGTGGCTGGAGGCCGTTGCGGGCGGACTCGTCCTTGTGCTTGGTCTAATTGACGGATACGATCTGAGTATTGCCATATTATTCCGAGTTGTTGACTTTGCGGTAACGGCTGTCGCTGATGTTGTTGTTGTTGCTGCAGCATCTGCTCCAGCTCTTGTTGCCGTTGAGTCATGTTCCATCCTCCAACTTCAGTCACGATCCGTTGTCCGATCTCATCGAAACTATTCCGTGGCCCTGGCATCTGCGGCTGATGCGGCTGCTGCTGATCGTGCCACATCTGTCCTGGACCTTGCATCTGAGCAAGCGGGTCATGCTCGTGGACATCGGTACCGTACGATGCATGATGCTGCTGCCCCTGCAGCCCGTGCTGCGGTTCAATATAATAAGGCCCATTGCCATACATTCCAGCTTGGCTTCTAGACTTTCTGGCACTTGGTGGTGATGGGTAAGCGAACCGCCCATTCTCCTGTGTCAACTGATCCATGAGCTCTCCCGCCGTGTTTGGTGACTCTCTGGCATGGCCGTGAAGCATATCGTCGCCCGGATAAACATCACCATCCTCCCAGTCACCCGTATTAGCTGTTGGCTCGGTTTCCACTGGCAGCTGCGGCTGCTGCTGAGCACTCCCCTGACTCCCCCTCAACAGCCGCGGACTCCGGCGAGGGGACAACGCATTCACCGGTGCCTGCCTTCGACCATTTGGCGTGCGTGGGCTCGTGTTGATGGCTGCTGGTCGCGGCGGCGGACTCATGGGTCCTTCCGCTCCTCCTCCTCCTCCTCCTCCTCCCGGTGATGCTTGAGGCCCCCCGAGGCCTAGGCCATATAGACTCGGATCGATTTGGTCCGATGGCACTCGCTTATGCTGGCTACTTCTCGTTGTTCGGGTGGGCGTTGTTTGCTGCTGTATTGCTGCCTTTGCTGCTGCTGACGCGCTGCGAGAACTTCTTCGTCGAGGAGTGGCCTCGGTGCTTGGCTTGTCCGTATCTCCTTGCTCGTGTTGTTGTTGATTGGGATCCGGTTGGTTGTTGGTGGTCGTGTTCGGACTCGGGGCCAGATTCTGCCGGGCGGCGTCTTGCGCTTGCTGCTGCTGCTTTTGCTGCCGCTCAGCCAGTTGGTGTCTCATTAATGATTCCATACTTTCCATTGGTTCCTCTCCATCTTGGCCATCGCCGTCACCTCCGCCATCGCCGTCACCTCTGCCACCGCCGTCATCGTCGTTGTCATCGTTGTCGTCGTTGTCGTCTGGCTGACTCGGAGAACCCATTTCTGGCCTATTTCTGGCATTCTGTGGTCTCGTCGGCGATGGGCTTTTTTGTTGACCTTGGCTTCCGGTGGCCGAAGAACGTGTTGCGCCACCAGCCGTACTGGATGGTGATTCTATGTATTCCGGACCAAACCCGAAATCTTCTGGGAAATATCCCCTCCAATGTTTATTCACATGCCGTGTGACAAGGCACGCAAATTCGTCGCGGACTTTCCTTGCCTGCTCGTTCTCGCCCGCGTACATTGCTAAGAGGTCTTCGTCATTTTCATCGAGCGCGGACATGATATTATCTTTTGTCTGATGGCGAAGGATGGTCAGGAGAGTGATGGCAGATCGGAACACGAGGACTCTATTATTTGATTCGCGGTCGCTTTGTAGGTTGTTGTGGTTATATCGCCAGTTTTGGTTGCGGAACACATTCAAGCGAATGGCCTCCCTACCCGCACGCACGGCTTCCCTCACAATGTCTACTGTTTGTCTTGGCCCGAATGTATCTTCCTGCTCTTGTTCTCCAGCGTCCGTGCCTTGCTGTTCTTGGGATAGCTGGTTCAACTGCCGTTGTACCCATTCGGGAATTCCAAGCACTGCACGAAAGCGTAGATTTGCCAGTGCTTGCAGTTCAAGTCTATGGAGCACCTCATCCTCGACGAAGTCAAAGCATATCCTGGCGTCTTTGGGTGGCTGTTTCTGTTGGTCTTCTGTTGTAGATTCTGGCGCCTCGGTTCCAGGATCAAAGTCGTCCTCCGTCTGGTCATCTACTGTCTCTGCCTGATTACTCCTTTCTCTAGTGTGCGTGGAAAGAACCGTGGATGGGTCGGCATTTGCACGAGAACGAGATCCTTGCCTATTTCTGGCCCTGGAAAGAGCTGCCATCGCTTCTTCGGCTGTCGAGGGGTTGGAATTCTCCTCAGCAGCTATGTTGAGACCGCTAGTCGGGATAAAAGCTGTGTTGTGGTCTCCTTGCGTGCTTGGATCTGCAGCGGACATGGAGGTCTCGCTGGCATTATTAGTATCATCCTCGGCGGGCCCTTTTCCAGTTCGGCGGTGGCCCCAGCATATTTCAGGATATCTTGCGGCAAACGCTTCCCACTTGGTGCTATTGCCTTCGGCAATGCTATAAGTCCTTAATTGATTTCTCTTGGCGCTGGCAGCTCGCAATCGCGTAGCATCTAGTCCAGCGAGCGGGGGAAGTGGGAAGTGAGCACCCGAAACCCCGCCTGGCTGCTTGATACCCCGGATCACCCCATTGCGATCTCTGTGAAACGCCCACACCGTGTTCCGGAAGATTTTCTGCCTCAAACTCTCAACTCTTTCCCTCCTCTGGTCATCAGTCTCCGACCTGGGTGCGGGCGGGTCCAAGATATCCGCAGCTTCGCAGTCGGTTTTCGTAGCTATAATGAAGTCCCGAGCCGCATTTTCTTCTTTGACATTTTTACGCTGTTTCTGCGACTTCATGAACAGTCCTTTCCTTTCCCGGTAGTCAATTGCAGATTTTATTGGCTGTTTTTTGGCTTGCGGGAGGCGATCGGCGATGTCCTGTATGCTTACGCGCTTGTCGTACCGCATCCACGCCTCTATGAGCCATCCCGGGCACTTGTCCCCGATACGCCGCGGCAGGATCGGCAGATTGCGTAACCGTGCGCCTCTGGGACCAAGAACGGCCCTACCGTTTTCGGTCAACATGCCAGGAATCTCAGGATCATTAGCAGCGGGCAGCGTGGGGTCGATCTCGCGGATGCCCATCAGGTAGGGTAGATTGTCCTCGGCAACGTAAGCCTGCTCGGGAATGTAGGTCGTAAAATTCTCGTCGCCCTCGTCCAAACTCTTGTAATCGTCGTCGTCATCGCCGCCGCCGCCCTGGGGCCGGGCCGTCCCTCTCCTCTTCGTCCGCCCCCTGGTCTTGGGCTGGGCCTTGCGCTTGGGTTTTTTTTTTCCCGTGCCCACCTCGGGTGACCACCACTTTCGCTTAGTGCGTTGTTGAACTGGGGGCTGCCCAGGGGGCGTCGGGATGTCATGAGCGAGTCTCTCGGCCGCAGACATGTTTCCATAGCGTGCTCTCCACCCGTCCGCCGTCATGGCTTGCTGCTCGGCTTCCCGAGGCCGATCCCCTAGGAGGTGGCTACTGCCTCGTCGGAGCCAATAATCGATGCGCTGATCTTGAGTGTCGAACTCGGCATTGGTTCGCTCGACCCGTAGTCGCTGTCTCCCGGGCGGCAGGGTCGAAGCAAGCTGCTGGGTTTGGGCTGATGGTTGCTGGAGGTGGACTGGTGCCGTGTGCTGTTGCCCATGGCCGGCGGGATGTTGCTGCTGGACATTTTGTATCACTTGCTGCATAAACTGGCCTACAGCCCGATCCTGAGCTTCGTAGGTAACTGGCTCTTCCTCTCCATTTTCGTCTTCATCACCGCCCTGTACTGGAACTGAATCGTCGTTTACATCGTCGGGCTCGGGCTGCGGATCCTGCTGCCCACCGTCGGCTTGTGTCGATTGTTGAGCAATCGAAGAGCCAGCTTCAGCAGCTGGGTTAGCCTCGAATGAAAAATTTTGAAATGTTGGTAACCGGGGCTCCTCGGCTCCTTCTGGTAGCTTCGCATAGAAGTCACCGTTGTAATCGCCCTCCTCGTCATTGTCATCCATTCTGTCGGAACCAAACAGCGATGAGGAAGAACAGAAAAGGTGGACAGTCGCAAGCTAATCCTGGGCGGAGCTCGAAGACAAATGGCTTTGTTGCGAATCGTACGTCTGGTCTGATGAATGACTGAACGAAGTAACACTCGGAATCGAGGTTTGCAGCCTGACACGTATATATTGCACACACATCTCTTTCTTCCCGAGTCCTCATCATTCTCTTTATCTTTCAGCTCATGAGGAAGACCGACTGGACGCATGGTTATCGCAACACAATCATTATTGATCTTTCATAGTTCAACTTCAAAGAAACTCGGAGGCCGGACATGTCCAAATCGCCAAGACCTCCGCATGAAGACTAGTCCATCTTCCCTCCTGCAACTCAAAGAATCGGCAACATTAGTAATTAAGTCTTTGCATGGGGCATGTAGAACTGAAAGCCACCGGGCATGCATCCCCGTTGAAGCACACGCATAGGTATCCCGCCAAGAAATCCAAGAACCGTTTCCCTTAACCGACCGCACATCCAACAACTTTTCCTGAATATGAAACCAAATGAACCGTGACCTCCCTAACAATAAGACTCCCGAACGCTTCACGTTCCAGGTCCTCCTGCTGGGGACGGGGGTTTGAAGGTATTGGGCCAGAGCGAGTCCCCGGCATTGGGCGTCGGGGTACGTCGTGCATGTGCTTCTTGCACAACACCCTGATTGTCGGGACGACCGTATGAGTCTCGGTCCATATTGACGAATCGGGTCGCCGGCGCAGTCGCAGGAGCTGGGCGAGCTTGAGCGTGCTGCAACGGAGGAGTGAATGGGCCACTGGGTCGCTGTCCGATCGTTGCGCCGGCACTTTGAGGTGACCTGCTGGGAGATTGCATCGTACTCGAGGCGTTTGGAGATGGCATCGCTGCAGGGACTGTGGGTGTGGAGGGATGATGCTGGGGTTGAGCCGTGTTGGGGAGGTGGATGTTGCTGAGACCCAATCCCATGGCGGCGTTGCTTTGAACCTGGGGGCCCGATGCAGGAGCTGACTGAGAAGCTTGCTGAGTAGGTGACTGGAGGGACATCTGAGGAGTATGTGGAGAAGCCGAAGGAAGAGTTGGATGAGGACTGGTCTGAGCAGTGGAATTCTGCATGGGGAGCCCGGCGCTTCCTGGAGTGCCGTGACCGGCGTTCGAAGTGTTGTCCGGAGGCTGACCGTGAGGATGAGAAAACGCGCCGGCAGCGACAGTAGGACAGGTGCTGTTCAGATAAGGGCTGTGGAGTCCAGCGCCCGTATCGTGCTGGAGACGAGGATCGACAGCGGCCGGATCGTAAGGCTCGACATTCCACCTCTCCAAAGCCCACTTCGGATCGCGGCTCATGGCCACCGCATCCCTTGGCGTTGGCCGCTCCCTGAGCGCCCTGGTCCCAAACAGCCACTTATGCAGCATCTCTTCCGCCATATCCACCTTCTTCTTCTTCTGCCGCGGAACCCCGGTCAGCCTCTCCTTCTCTCTCTCCTGCCACTCCCCCAGCGCCACGGCCGCCTTCTCTCCATAGCAAACCCCTTCACGCATGCGCAACGCCGGCCACATGGCCCCCAGCCCTCCTTCGCCTCCATCCGCAGTCTTCCTCGGCTGCGTCACAAACACCGGCTCAGCCTCCCTCCCCCTCCTCTCGTACTCCTCCTCCTTCTCCGCCACCCCCCTCCCCGGCACGCGCCTCCACAAATCCCACCTTGCATTCCTCAACACCTTCTCCTCCCCCAGCTCGCCGACCAGCCGCACATCCCTCTCCGTAACGACGTCGACGGGCACGTGAAACATCATGCCCGCGTGCTGCTCGCACCACATGACGACGCGGCGCGCCAACGCATCCTCGACAATCTCCAACTGCTCGCTCGTCCGCACGACGCGCATCCGCGCCGAGACATCGTACAGCGTCACCCGCCCGTCGTAGCACAGCCACATCGCCACCCGCCACGCCTCGACCTGCGTCGAGATCCTACTTGCCAAAATCGGCAGGTCGTACAGCGGCTGCCCCAGCGCGCCCTCGGCCACGCGGCCCGTCTGCGCGTCGCGGAGGAGCGGGACGAGCGTGTTGTTGTCGTTCTCCGTCCTGCTGTTCCTGTTGCTGTTGTGGTCCTGCTTCACCACGAACTCAGGCTGCTCGAGCCAGCCCAGTCCGACCGGCAGATTCGCCGCGCTCGCCCAGGCTTGAGAGGGGATGTAGTCCGTCACGTCGTCGGCCAGCGCGCCGCGCGTGGGAGCGACGGTGTAGTAGGGTAGTGGTCGTGCGTGTAGACGCGGGATGTCGGCGGCGAGGCGCTCGTGCGGGTGGAGGTGGGCGCGGCCGTGGGTGTGTGTGAAGAGGAGGGGGGGCGGCGCCATGTGGTTCGGTGCTGGTGTCGGCGCCATGGGGTGCTGTGGTGCTGGCGTTGTCGGCGCCGTGGTGGGGTGTTTTTGGAGTTCTTGGAGGAGGAGGTGGCGGAGCAGCTCGTTGTTCTTTGATGTCGCGGGCGTCGCGGTTTGGTCGTCGGGCGCTTGCGGCGAATGCGGAGGCGGAGGCGGAGGCGGCTGGTAGTAGGCTGGATGCGTGGCGCCGCCGGGCATTGGGGTCGCGGGGTTGTCGGTTGGCGAGAGTGTCGCGGAGGAGGCTGTGCCGGTGGTGTCGGAAGCGGCGGAGGGCGTGGATGCTCGGTTTTGTTCAAGATTGCCGCGCATTTTCTCGGCGAGCATCCGGGCACGAGCTTCGGGGATAGGGAATGTTCCTGGTGGCTGATTAGGCATGGCTGGACGATTGCAGTATTTTTTCAGTACCAGTTAGTGATGTTACTGGCCTGGGACAGGCACAAGATGCGGGAGTTGAAGTTGTCTTGAGTTGCCGCGTCGCTGCGGACGGAGGTGTTGGCCGCCGCAAAAAGTACGTAGTTTTGGTGCGTGGGCGGAATATTCCAGCTATAGCTACTTACCGAATGGCCTAGTAGTCGCCATACTACCTTGACTATATGGAACTTTCGTTCCGCGGATAGTTCGCCGACGTAGCAATCACTGACTGCATTACGTCCGCAATCGGATGAGAAAGATCTTGCCCTGCGCTTCCAAATCTTCGACCCATATAATCATACGCCCTGGGCGCTTGGGACGCAAAACTCGATATATATTCAAGACCCGAAGCTCTCCAGCAGCGTCCTGAGTGCCATTTCGCATTGGCCGCAGGCGTTGTCATTCTCCATTGAGACCATCTTTCCATGAGCTTCTCAACGCTAGATAATGCTTAAGCTTCCACAGTCCGTAATAGCAAGCGATAGTTGAAAAGTTCACATAATGATTGTATTCTACCGGTCTTTTATAGACCTGGTTGTTCTTTGCTTGGTACGTTTGGGAAGTTTGCCTGCTTGTGCTCGAATTAGATTTGCGCCGCGAGAAATTTTCTGGGCTGAGCTTTCCTCATCATCATCTCTGATTTTACAGTCACCTCTCGCAGCCGACGGCTGCGATACCCCCGGACCTCTGGAGTCAACGCTGCTACAAATCCGACCGACGGCAATGAAAATCCGCCTCACCTCCTGAATGGTCACATCTGATATGCTAGGACGACAGAATTAATTTTCAAGCAGTCTGTCCATCAATTTTCATTTATCATAAGTAATGCAACTCGCCGCTCTGCGAGGAAAATTTATGCCCGAATCCTCAGGCACCAATGAAGTCGGCGACGGAGAAAACCTGTGCTCCGCCTCGAACCACCACCCATCATCATGCCAAACCCACAGTATCCAATCCGTTTCCCAAACCCCATCCAAATTACCGCTTCCGATCGGAGCCAATGACACCAACAAGCGTCCTTTGTCCCCTCGCGCAAGCCACAAACCGTCCCACCAACCCCAGCCCTTTGTAGTCCAGAACCCTTTGTCCTCTTTATCCCGACGTAGAGCCATCCTTCCCATTCCGGCGCTGATTGTTGCCTCCCTGCTTCTGTCCCGCTGCCGCCGTTGTCGGCATCGGTGTCGGCGTCGCCATTGTCCGCTGCAGCAGCAGCCCCTCACTCCCCGCCCGCCTGCCGCCGCCGCGCGCACCACCACCACCGGCACCCAACCCCCTCAGCCTCCCCTGCTGATCCAACAACGGCTCCACAATCGCCTTCGCCGTGCCCACCGGACCATCCGCCGGCGCGCACTCCTGTTCCGACCATGTCGCCGTGAGCTGTCGATCCAGACGCCAGCGCGCTCGCGGGTCCTGTTGCGTCAATTTTTTCTGTCTAAGCGTTATCCAGATCTCTTCCAAGTTTCTCTCCCTTTTCAAGAATTGGCTCTTTTCGGGTGAGATTGATTGACTTACATCATTCGGCGTGGGAAGTCCCGCCGGCGGCTCCTTTTGCACGATCAGGAAGCTGCGGCGCCACCACTCGGCGTAGCGCTCGCGCTCGCACAGCAGCGCCGCGCCGGGCGTGAGGAGCGTGTAGATGCGCGGGTCGAACGGCGCGGGGTCGATGGCGATGCGGAAGATTTCGCCGTAGCTGAGTGTTGTCGTTGTCGTCGTGCTGTCGTTCTTGCTATCGTTGCTGCTGCTGGTGGCAATGGTTGCGGCCGGGGTGCTGCCGCCGCGAGTAGTAGATGCACCGCCGCCGCTTCTTCGAGGCGGCGCGTGGGAGCGGCGGGGAGAAGAGCCGCCACCGCCGGGTTGCCTGGCGGGCGTCTTGCTACTGGCGCGCCTCCTCGACTCGTTGCTTGGGGAGTTGGTCGAATTAGTGTTGCTGGCGCTGCTGGGCTGCGCGGAAATGATGCCGGCGTTGCCTCCCGCCTCGCCGAATAGCAGGGCGATGTTGCGCAGGTTGTCGGCGGCGTCTCTCATCCTGTTGGCGGCGTCGGTCATTTCGCTCGTGGCGCGGGAAGCTGTTGTTCGGGTTCCCTCGTCGTCGCTGACTACTACTTCTTCATCGTGACGAGAAGGGTCGTCGATATTAGCGGCGGTGGCGGCGACAGGGGCGGCAGCCGTCTCGACGCTCTGCTGCTGGTCCTCGCCGGCAACCTCCTCTTCCTGCCTCTGCTGTACACGCTGCGCTCTCTCCCCCTCCGCTGCTGGAGCCCAATCCATAGCCTCCGGCTCCGCGCTCGCTCCTCCAGCAGCCTCCTCACGCTGTCGTTCGTCGTCATCCCTCTCCGCCGCCGCCGCGCCCTCGCCAACAGCAGCGCCAGCAGCAGCGGTAGCACTCCCACCCTCCTCCACCACCTCACCACCTTCCTGCGAGGCACGGGCACCGATCCCCGCACTATCTGCATCGTCCCCTGCGATTCTTCCTTCCTGCACCATTCTCACTCTCCAATTTGCCGTGATAGTGGCTATCATTTCGCGCTCCTCAGGCGTGTACGTCGGCGCGTCGGCGGCGAGGTTGCAGCAGCCGCATGTGGTGCTGTGGTTGGGCTCGTGGTAGGGGTGGGAGTGGGAGGGGTGGGAGTGCGTTTGCTGAACGTTCTGGACTTGCTGTACTTGGGGAGCGTGCTGGATTTGCTGAACTTGGTGAACTTGGTGAACTTGATGAACTTGGTGAACTTGGTGAGCTTGGGGAGCTTCCTGAGCTTCCTCAGCTTGCTCAACCTGGGGAGCCTGCAGAGCTTGCTGGACTTTCTGAGCTTGTGGAGCTGGCTGAGCTAGTGGAAGAGCTGGCTGGACTTGCTGAGCTTGCTGAATTTGCGGAGCGTGCTGAACTTGGGGAGCTTCCTGGGCTTGCTGAGCCTGGTGAGCTTTCTGGACCTGCTGGACCTCTTGGGCTGGCTGGACTTGCTGAGCTTGTGGAGCTTGCTGGACCTGGGGGGCTTGCTGATCTGGCTGAACTTGGGGAGTGTTCTGGGCTTGAACTTGGGGAGCTTTCTGGACTTGCTGAGCCTGCTGAGCCTGCTGAACCTGAAGCGAGCGCTGAAGCTCCTGCGTCTGATCGTCAGGCTGCTGTGGGTCAGGCATGGGCGGCTGTACGTCCGCCTTAACGGCGGCGGCGACAGTCGCAAGCACGCGAAGCGATTTGAAGCGGCCGTCGATGTCGCTGACAGCGGGCGTCGCGTTGGTCTCAGCTACGGCCGTGCTGCTGCCGGCAGGCGTCGCGTCTGGTCTGTCCGACCTGCTGTCGCTCGGGGTGTCGCCGGGTGGCTTGTCCATGGTGGCGGCTTCGCGCGACGGGTTTGTGGAGTCGCGTACTCTCCGTGACGCGGCGGGTGTAGATGATAGCGGGCGCGGTGGGCTACCGCGAAAGTAAAAGCGCGGGCGGGGTCGTCCGGGCGAAGACATGGATTTTGTGTTATCTGCGGAGACGGCGCGGAAAGAGGCTGTCTGTCTGTCTGTCACGGTGAGCAGTCGCGACGGCGCGCGCGAAGTGTTACCAGACCGGCCGCTCACCCACTGCGCTTGCCTGGACCCAGTTTTGCTTGGAACCACCTCTTTCACGCCACGAGATGTGCTTCTACTGGTGATGTAGCTTGCGCTGGCGGCGGCGCGGACGCGACAATACACGGGAGCATGCGCGTCGCGCTGCGTCGCGTCGCGGTTTCGAGCACAACACCATCAGAGCCACAGCCATCGACACGCAAATGCCGAGCGACGACGCGGTGACGCGATTACGGTGAAGAGTGAACGAACTGCTGCTGGCGGATGCGACGGGACGCGTCGCTGCGTCGTGTCCGCTCAGTGACGGCCGCCAACACTACGGCAAGACTTCACGGCTTCACGATATCACACACAGCAGAACCACCTTCAACTCAGGGTCCAACCTCAAAGCTTAAGCTCAAGGCTCTGCAATTTCAGATATCCCTCTTCCTCGAAGCTCTGCTCAAGGCAAAGCGTTCAACGAAAAGGAGACCAGTCTCAGTATCACCTTCCTTGACTGGCGGGGCGAGGGAAAAAAAGCCGTGAAAGTCAGCGGCTTGAAAAAACCTCGGTGCCCGTTGCCCTCGGGGACCTGTGAAAAAAGTTAGCCAAAGGCTTATAGTAAAGGCGACCTCCCTGAGTTCATGTAAAATAGTGCTCAGGACAAGGCCGCCGGATGAAGGAAAAAAAGAAGAAGAGGTTCTGGGACGAAGGAAGAGGGCTATTTGTAGGCAGCCTCGCTTAGGGTTCCTCGTGCCGACCCACCGGGGCCGTTGCTACGGCAATGCCAGGCTCCAGCCCATATGCGCCGGCTCTTTAGAAGGAAGGCGCGGGATGGGTGGGAGGCTGTGGATGAGCCGAAGGCTGTGGAAGTGGACGGAATCTTCCGGCCAGCGGTGATCCGGGGCGCTTGGTTTGTAACTGTCTTCCGGTGGTGATCCGCGATGCTTGGTTCGCAAGTGCCTTCATACAAACTGCTGAGATTGCTACAGATCCCCAAAGATTGCAACTGAAGGTGATCATTGCTTTGTTTCTTGCTCATGCCGCGGGTGGGTGGTTGAAGCAATTGTCCACACGTAAAGGTGGACTTCGCAATTGCACATCCATGTCCAGGTGGGAGCATCATCCGTCTACACAAGTTGAATGCTGCTCCTCAAGAGCATGAGGGAATACCATATTCAATTTGTTAAGTGAAGAGACGGCCGCCCAGATTAACCCAATGGCCAGCCGCCGGCGCAGTCTTAGCCCCGCAACTCTCCACAAACATCATGCCTCCCCCGAACCTCTCCGCCAAGCACATCGCTTCGCCTCGGGCTTCTTGTATCATGTCTACCATGCCAAACCACACGCTACTTGTTGCAATGCACTGCTGGAACGAGCAGTATCGAGAACACTCCCTTTGTGAAAACGGTGGCATCCAGACAGGCATCACTGACCAATGGCAGGCGCAACAACCATCTATATGTCAATGCCAACTGAAAAATCCCATATCTACCTCCGTACTGTATCTTCAACTACCAATCCGAGTTCGTCACTTCACGATCCAGCAAGCATCCTCCATCTTTGATAGTACTCATTCTATTAACAGTACTACCTAAGCTAAGAAGGAAAGAAAAAATCCACCACCACCACCATCCAGGTCCCTCAGAAGAACCCCAGAAAAATTCCCCTCATTTCATTTCATTTCGTTTGCACATCACCCATTTCTCGTAAAAGACCATCGTACCGAGCAGTAACTCCCGCTCTGTACTTCAGCAGAGTAGAACTATCCACTCCACCCCAGCAACCACTCCCCATAAACACCAGGTTGGCAGTATGCTTGGTTGGCAAAGGCGGACCTCCTACTCCACCAACCCACCAACCGGCCAATCACCCTGCGGCCGCATATCCGCGCTCCACCTCACCGGCAGCGGCTTGTCCAGCCTCAGCCTCGCCCAATTATGTCCAGGCGGCGGCACATCGTACGGCAGGCCAGCCACGATCTCTTCCTCGCCAAACGTCTGCTGGAACCACCAGAGGTAGCGCTCGGCCTCGGCGGCGACGGCCATGGCGGGCGTGAGGCGTGCGTAGGTGCTGATCGACACTCCCGGCGCGAAGACGATCAGGGCGCGCAGCTCGCTGGGCGTGAGGGCGTGGACGACGGGGGCAGGAAGAGGGACGGGTCCGGGGCCGCGCTGGAGGTAGCCCGGGTACGCGCCGGCGTGGGAGCGGTGGATGCGGTCGGCGATGGAGACGATTTGCGTGAGCAGGTGGCCGCGCGGGTCGTCAGAGTGCTGGAGCGGCGCCGGGAAGGGGAACGGGTCTTGGTTGATGGGCTGCTGCGCGGCGTAGGCGGCGGGCTGGCCGTTGGTGTACGGAGCTTGCTGGTTGTTGCTGTATGGAGCTTGCTGGTTATTTCCGTTCGGAGCCTGCTGAATGTTGCCGTTGGGAACTGGCTGGACGGGAGTGGTCGCGGCGGCCGGCTGGGGCTCGGCGGTGCGAGGGCGCTTGGATGCGTTAGGGTCGCCGTTAGGCGGCGTGTTCCTCTTGCTTGGGATGACGCTGGGACCGTTCTCGTCGGTGCCGTTGCTAGGCTCGCCGGTGGTGGTGTTGTCCGAAACCTTGTAGCGGGTGAGACTGTCAGCCGAAAGCTGGAAATCCTTTTGCACAAGTTCGTGAGAAGTTATCTCCACTCTAGGAACGGCATGGGGGTTACTCACAGGGACTTGGCGTTGATGATTCTGGACCGCATCTGCAAAGGCTTTGGGGATGGCGGACATACGCTCAACCGCCGCAGCCCGGAGCATCTCCTGCTCCACGTCGACGGAGAACTGCGCCTCCGTGCCAGCAATTCCAAGGTCTCTGTTGAGCTTGTCACTCATGCTTACAGCGTGAGCAATTTGAGCCATCGCATCGGGCATCGCAGGGCTCTGAACTCCAGCGTTGTGGCTTTCCGAATCGACACGAGGGCCACTACGGCCGGATGAATTACCGGCCTGTTCTTCGAATGGGCGCATCACCCAGGGATAGTACGGAGCGTTCGCAGAGGAGCCCACAGGCATCTGACCGGGAGTGAAAGAGGTAAGAGTCTGACCGACAGCTCCGAAAGGCTGCGTGAAGCCGGCGGTAGTCGACGGGGTGGCCTTGTCCGATCCACCGTCTTGGAGAATCTCGTTACGGAGACCAGAGCCTGTGACAACATCACCTATCAGCGGTAAATCCGTTCTCGCCAGGAAAGGCGGTGCCTGATATCGAACTTACCTTGAGCCGGGGTCGCGCCGTTCGGACCAACGCCCTTCGGATCGGCCTTCTTCGTAGAACGCTTGCGCGGCGCTCTGGGCTTCTTCTCGGCACCGTCTCCGTTTGCATTGGTCTTCTTCTCCTTGGTAGCGCGAGGCGTGGGCGACTCGGCCTTCTTGCGCGGCGTCTTGGCCGGCGTGGCGCGACGCTTGTTCGTACCGCCGGAGTTGGCGCTGTCGCTGCCACTTTGCTGCGACATGGTTGACACGGGAGCCGACGGCTGCTGGAAGTGAGGAGTCTCTTGGATTGCCATCTGCGCAAACGCGGCAGCAGGCGCGCGCGACGGAGGAGTCTGGAGGTTACCCTCGCTCGTGACGCTGTCACCGATCGACATCAGTTGCGCGTTGCTGAAGGGCGGACTGTCAGGCGGCGTGGTTGAGGGAGTGCCAGGTTCCAGGTTCGCGGTATCTGTCGCGGCGGATGCGGACATGTCGGTACCGGGCGCCACTGCCGTACTTGCCTCTTTGGCGGCGCCACGCGCGCCGGTACCGGGCGGGTGGCCTCTCTTCTTCGGGGACATGCTCCTCTTTGGGATTGACGCGTTAGCTTGTTCAAACGTGGCTTGTTAGTAGCAACATAGACTCATTTCGCCCACGACGAAGTGAGCAAAGACTTACGAATGGCACCTGACTTTCGCTTGGACAGCCTCCTGCGCTGCGCCTCATCATACTCGACGTCCGTCTCACATTCATCCGCCGTCAGTCCCGAACGCGTGCAGAGGTCGCACGGGATGCCGCCGCTGCAGCCTTTCTTGATGTTCTTGCAGCGCAGGCAGCGCCGAGGCACGACGAGCTCCGGCTCCTCCTCGACATCGGGGTCGGTGTCGTCGGATGCCGTATCCATTGCTGTCAAAGCTGTGTCGTCCGGAAGATCTGACTCGTTGAACGACGCAGCAGGGTTGGGAGCTGCAAGATCCTTGCTTGGAGCCATGGCCACAGGGTCGGCTGTGGGCGCGGGTGAGGGAGTGCCGGCGACGACTTGCTGATCCTCAGTGGTGAGAGGATTGTCGGTGGGACCGTCTAGCATTGGACTGTCGGTGGAGTTGTTGGTCTGCTGTTCCTCTGGCTGAGTGTGGAGATTTCCGAAAAGAAGTGTCAGGCCTGGTATGGTGACCTTGTTCGGAGGGTCCATATCGGGTGATCGCCAAAATGGAAGATGACAAGGGGAGAAGTTGATAGGAAGTTTTGCAGCTCTAAATGCTGGGTGATCCTCGGCTTATGATTTGTAGACCGCGCCAGTCATCTGCCATCGATTCTAAAGATGCACGGGCCGCACTCGAGGGTGAGCTAGTGACCTCACCGCAGCAGCGATTTAGATTCTGAGGTGAGAGATACCCTTACCTGGCTTTTTTTTTTTTTTTGCGTACAGAGCAGTTGGCAGGTGCGACGGTCAAGGGGGGTATTTAGTGCTTTTTTTCAGGTCGCTCAATACATCACTCGTTCACCTTCTTAGCGTCTCGCCACAACCAGCCGTACACCGTAGCGTAGTGCTAGCATATTCCTTCGCTCAAGTCATGGGTAATTAAAGTCATTATTCAGATTTAAGAGGTATCAACAGTTATAACTTATTGTCCAGATGGTAGATCAAATCACCTATGAGTACTGAATCTACTAATCTTCGGGCAAGCCTCCGGCTGCAAGACATACTACCCTTTGTGACGGGGGGAGATGAGGCGTCTGTCCGGACGTGGAAGCACAATTTAAATGTAGACAACTGCAAGCGGATAAGAGCTTTAACTTCCCAGTTTTTTGCAGCCCAGCGTTGGAGAACTTTCGAGCTTACAGAGACCTCACTCTAATAGAATTGGCACGAATGATCTATGAACTTCGAACTGTGATGGGCTGTTCTCTGGGAAAACCTTTTGATCATTGCTAAGAAGGACGGTTATGGGGCGATTCTATCCCGTCGGTGCTGATATAAATCAACGATAGCTCAAATCCTTCCGCAGCGGAATGATGTCGTGCAGGGATCAAGAAAAACTAGCCTTGATAGGCAAGCGCGCTAAGCTAATCTTGACCCACCCTCAACCACAACTCATCCCTCACTCATTCTACCAGACCCCACAGTAAGTTGCAGAACACAAAATCTCACACAATTAGGCACATGAAGCCACCGTCAGAATGTTTTCGTATCATTTCAGCATCTACGTCCTGATAAGAGCCCCAGCTGCTCACCCAAGTGGAGCCCCACCAAACCACATCATCCAAATCACTCGCCCAAAAGAATCTCCCACCTACTCGCCACCACCTCCAGCAACAGCCTACATCTGCGCAAGCAGCTGCGCCGCGGCAGGGTTGCCAGCAAGCAGCTGCGCCAGCTGATCCTGCGTAAGCGAGACGTTGAGCGCGGGGCCAGCGCCGCCGGCGACGGGTTGGTCCTGCTGCTGTTCCGGCACCGTAGAAGCGGCAGCGGCAGCAGCCTGCGCGTTCTCGCCCTCCGTCGCAATGAGCTGATCCTGCATCTCCAGCCCCTGCATCGCGTCACCACCACCGTCACCACCACCGTCACCACCATCGTTACCACCACCACGCACGCCGCCCTCCTCCCCACCACCCTCGCCCTCGCTCTCCGACGCCATGTCGTCGGTGAGTACGTACTCGCAATAGTTCCAAGGCCGATCGACCTTGCAGCAATTGTCGCACGGCCACTGCCTATCGCAATTCTTGCGCTTACTCTTCTTGCAGGAGACGCAGACGCGCGTATGCTTGACGTCATGCACGTTGATAACGACCGGGACGGCCTTCTTCTTCTTCTCCTGGGTAGAAGAACCGTCCATCTCCTCCTCGCCAGCCTCCTTTCTCCGCGCCATCTCCTCCTCCATCTTCTTGTTCCCGCGCTCAACCGCCCGCTTATGCAACCGCGCCGTCTCCGGCGAGCACCGGAAATACGGATTCGTCGCGCCGGGCCCGTAGGGCGGCGGCGGATGATCAACCGTCGTCGAATTGCTGCTGTTGTCGGCTGATGAGACGTAGGGAGGGAGAGGGGTCTCGTCTTGCTGCTGCTGGGGGGCTTGTTGTTCTTGTTGGACGGCCGACGCGGAAGCGGGTGCTGCTTCTGCTGCTGCTACTACTGCTTCTGCGGCTGCGGCAGGTGGATCAGGAGGGATGACGGTGGAAGAGGAGCTCGCGGACTGGAAATCCGGCAGCACCTGGGCGTGGGCCTGGGCCCGCTGCTGCTGCTGCATGATGTCGTCGTCGCCATCATCATCATCATCATCAGCCGCCGCCGCCGTCGTCGTCGTCGTCGTCTCCATCATATTGCCCGCTTGGATCGTCGTCGTCGGCTCGGCTGGCTCGGAATCAGGCGCCGCCGCCGTCGTCGACGGTGGAGGACCCTGCAGCGGAGCAGCAGCAGCAGCTGCTGCTTCGGCTTTTGGAACGGGCATGGTGTGGTGCGTCGTCGGCTCGGTCGTGGTGAGAGGAGAAGCCTGCGCTGCCGCCGGCGGAGGAGGCGGTGGTGGGTAGGCCGGTGCGCCATGGTGGTGCTGGATGCCTGCTTGGTCGAACGGAGGTGGTGCCGGACTGGCGCTGCTGCTGCTGCCTGCCTGATGGCCTTGTGCGGTGGTGGTGGCAGCGGGGTTGTGCAAGTAGGGGGGGTCTGGAGATGCGCTCTGGCCGCCGGCAGCGCCTTGCGTCGTCTGGCTGACGAAGGAGTTGGGGTTGGGATAGTAGCCCGGAGGCGCCCAGCTGGCGGAAAACTGGTGCGGAGGCGGGGGGTAACCAGCAGGTGGGATTTGGATTTGCTGCTGGGGAGGAGCATAGAAGTGCTGCTGGGCTTGGTGCTGGACTTGGGGGTGCTGGGCTTGATGCTGGAACTGGTGCTGGAACTGAGGTTGCTGTCCAGGCGGGGGTTGCTCTCCAGGGTATCCAGGGTGGGTGTTCGGAAGAGAGCCTTCGGATCCCGGCGTCGGAGAGGGTTGAAACGGCTCTGGCGAATGATGAACTTGATACGGGTGGCCGCCATAACCCGTCGGTGGGTAGTAAGCAGGATAGTGCATCTGGCCATATTGACCGTACGGGTGAGGCGCAGGTTGAGGTGCATTACCCGCCAGCTGTTGCTGCTCTGGGTGAGGCTGGACCTGAGGTGAAAAGCCGAAGCCAAACGGATTGTACTGCTCCTGGCTCACCTCCCACTGAGGTTGCTGTTGAAGATCTTGCTGCTGTTGGACGTCTTGCTGCTGTTGCTCAACCTTAGGACCTTGCTCCTGGCCTTCCTCAGGTTTGTCTTGAGGCTGCGGCATCACATAGTAGGGTGGAACACCCAGCCGCGGCTGGTCGTCGCTATCATCCATCTTGTCTTGGACCTTAGGGTGAAGGTGGGTGGAGGAGGAAGAGAGGTGGTCCGCCGAGAGAGGTGGTTTTGTAGACCGGAGTGCCAAGAAAATGCTAATCGATAGGAGGCCGTGATGCTCAGCACCAGCTGCTCTACCGATGGGGTTTAGTGTGTTTCTTGTGGCTGGCTTCTCGAAGCTTCAGGTGTGTGAGGTGGAAGAGCTTAGGCACATGTAGTTTGATGTCAGCGGCGGCTGCGTGTAGAACATGTTTGCCAATACCGACAAAGGCCAGTGCGAAGAATAGCGTCCCTATGCTCATATCATGGGTAGTTGAAGCTATCGTCCGGACGTGTATGTAGAATTTTAAATTCCACATTCTCATCCGGACGATAGCTTCAACTACCCATGAGCAAAAGTTAAATTCGCTCCAGCCATCGGCTGCGATAGGGGGCTGTAGATAGTGATACCCATCACGTACATAATGCAGCTAGAAGAACTATTCTTGCTAGCATTAATCAATTTGATAAGAGATGTAAAACATTAACAATACATTTTGTCTCAGGAAATCTGCCACAATCTGTATGAAGAGAAGCACATATCCCACACCACATACAATAGTGCAGCTGCCGACAAACTGCCGTGGCGCCAGGCAAGAAGTCCTGAAATCAAAAACTCCAAACTCCGGACCCCCAAACTCCAAAATCCCAGAAAACCCAACCCCAGAAACTCCCAATCGACAAAATCCCTAATCGTAAACCCTAGCCTCCCGCAGCCGCCTCAACTCGGCGCTCTGCTGGCCCATGCGGACGTGCAGCTGACAGTACAGCTTGATCCCCTCCCGGATCTGCGCCCGCGCAGCCTTGAGCTGCTCCTCGCTATACGCCAAGCGGTCCCTCAGGTTCTGCGCCGCGCACTCCAGCGTCTTGCTGCGCTGCTCCGCCATGCGCTCCCGCTGCTCGCCGAGCCTAGCCAGCCCGTCGCCGCGCGCCCGCTCCTTCTCCACCTCCTTCTCCAGCCTCTCCACCTCCTGCCGCGTCTCCTGCTGCAGCGCCTGCCGCTTCTCCTCCTCCTCCTCCTCCTCCTCCCGCTGCGCCGCCATGCGCACGTCCCGGTCACGCGCGGCCATCACCACGACGAAGTCCCGATCCGCCTCCGCATGCGCCGCGGCGCGCGCCAGCTCCTCGCACACCTCGGCCAGCCCCGCATTGCCGCGCCGCAGCTCATCCCTCTCCTCGCGCTGCTTAGCCGCCGCCTCCTCCATGTCGTGCTGCATGACGGACACGTCCATGTCCAAGTCCGCGATGGCAGCGAATGCGTCAGCCAGCTTGGCCTTAGTCGCCCTGTGGGCTGCCTGCTCGGCGCGCAGCGCTCGCATGCTGGTGCGGAGCTGCTTGACGGCGGCGATGCACTGGGCGCTGGCGGCCTGCTTGAGGGCGGTGGCGTGCGCCGCCTGCTTGAGGGCGGCCAGCTCGTCGGCGTGTTCGGCGCGCAGGGCGGCGAGGGCGCGCTGGTGCAGGGTCTCGGTTAGCGCGTAGTACTCGCCGTCTTTTTCGATGTAGCCGCCGACCTCCTTCCACACGGCCGGGGAAGGGCTGGGGGCGGTGATGGTGATGGTGGTGGGTTGGGTGGGGGTGGTGGGGCGGGTGACCATTTTGGATTGGGGTGGGGGTTGTGTTTGTGGTGGTTGGTGGTTGGTGGTTGGTGGTTGGTGATTGGTGATTGGTGATTGGTGATTGGTGATTGGTGATTGGTGATTGGTGATTGGATGTGTGTGTAGTGATTGCTGGGATAGCAGAAGTTGATGGGTAGCTGTAAGGCTGTAAGGCGTATATATCTCTTGCGTATGTGCTTGAGACTGGTGAGTTGTGCGAGTTGGAATGGGATTAATTGAGCGGGAACAGGCCGGGTTTTAACAGCGAGGAGAAACTACTTTTGGCCAGAGGATGTCAGAGAGAATTGACTGGTCTTAACTGCAATTGCGTGACTGCTGAAAAATTGGGGGCGTTGGCTTGTTCTCGTAGTCACAACTGCAATGTCGTAGTTTTGACGGCCAAGACCCTGGTACGGTACAAACAACCATCCACCAGCAAACAGATGGACAACCCCACCTGAATTTCCCTCATCTGACTGCGTTTGACAAATCGTGGGGTTTGGATTGGTGGTCTTCATCACGGCTTTTGGTAGACGCTAAACCACTACGCGTGGTTTGACGTATTCGTGCCATGTTGTGGACTGTTTCTCGCTTCTATTGGACATGTGGTTTGTTTGCAGACCCTTATAAGTTAGCCGTCATCCTCTTCTAGTTTCGCATCGCCATTATACTAAAAAAAAGGTCTGCTATATACGAGAATGCACTTTATACAGTCTAGCATTGTTCACTGAACGATCCGTTTCTGGCTTCTAACCGTCTCAGAGGCTAAGAAAATCCTTCTTAATTACTTTCTACTGCAGTAAGTCCACTTTTGCCCTTTGGGGTAAACTACTAAAAGCCGTTCCGTAGTTATCCCCAGATATCATCATCGATTCCCTTAGCAGGCAAAACTCCATCAGAACCACCAATCCAGGTCCTGACAATTGAGGCTATCTGTCTATCCGTAATAATGCCCCACCAGTATGTCTATCTACCAATCCGTAATAGTGCCTCCCCAGTATCGTCATCTATCCAACCGTAATCAAGTCTCACCAGTATGACAATCTGACCATCCGTAATAATACCCCATAGAATAACAAACTCCAAACCATCGCTGTCAACCTGAGCTTCTGCCAGGAGACCCCAAAGAAAGGTGAAAGACCCTCCCCAAATTCCCATCGATCATACAACTAATTATCTAGAAGGACTTCGTCCTCTTGCGGCCCAGGCGACGAACCTCCTCGCGAGCCCTCGCCTCCATCTTCATGGCCTTGTTGAACTGTTCCTCGGTGGCATCCATGCCGGCGTTCTTGACAAACTCTCCGCGCTGGTGAAAGTAGTTGAAGAAGCCGCCAAGCTCCTTCTCGCGCTCCTCCATATCCTTCTCGTCGTCCATCTCCAGCTCCAGTGGCTCGTGGATGACCGGGTCTTGCGCCAACCAGCCGACCTGCGCCATCTTCTCCTTGGCGACGTCCGTGCCGTAGACATCCTCGAGGATGCGATCGAACTCGTTGTTGACGCGTCCGATGACCCTCGCCGCAATGTCCGCCACAATTCCACCAACTTGCTGGTTGTGGCCCTGCTGGTTCTCGCCCTGCTGGATCTGGTCCGTCTGGCCCTGGCCCTGGCCCTGACCAATCTGACCCTGGCCCTGCTGTGTCTGGCCCTCCTTCTCCCTCTTCTCCCTCTCCTCCTTCTCAATCTTCAAGTCCTCATACCTCCTCCTATACTTCGCCGCCTTCTCCCTCTCAACCCTCAACTCCCCCTCCACCTTCCCCACCCTCGCCAACAACCCCTCCGCCTTATCCCACAACCCCTCCCCCTCCACCTGCGCCTCCGCCCGCCACTTCCGCAACTCCCCCACCTCCCTCTCCGCCTCCAACGCGCGGTCCAGCAGCCCCGCCTTCTCCTTCTCAGCCGCCTCGGCCCGCGCTTTCCAGTCTTTGCCCGAGGACAGCGCGGCGCGGTGGTCGTTGTAGGCGCGGGTGTAGAGCGTGAGCAGTTGCTGCGCGCGGTCGTGCGCGCGCTGCCCGTGGCGGTGGACGCGGTCGGCGAGAAGGGTGGACTGGCGGTTTTCGCGGTCGGACCGGAGGGCGCGGGTGTGCAGGACGTGATAGCGCGCGTGGGTGTCGGTTTCGGCGGCGGCGGCGGCGGTGAGGGTGGATTGGAGGGAGGCGTTCTCAGCCTGGAGGCGGGCGATTTCGGCCTGGAGGGATGCGATGGTGGGGGTGCTGGGGGCACTGGGGCCGCTGGGGGCGCTGCCGTCGGTGGGGAGAGAAGTGGCAGCGACGCTGGTGTTGGCATCCTGCGGCTGCTTGTCGGCTTCCTCTGATAGCTTGCTGGACTCTTTCGGCTGCTCGCTAGCCTCCTCCTTGCTCTCCTCTGACTCCTCAGCGATGACAGCGTCGATCTTGGCCTGTCGAATAGGCAGCTGGAACGCCTCGTGCTTGGCGGATCCGGCAGACTTGGTCGGGGTCTTCAGGGCGTCCTGCGATGAAGGTCCAGCAGGAGTAGTGGGAACATCGTGAATAGGGTGCTGCGTGACTGAAGCAGACTCCCTCGGAGCGTCGTCAACGACCGTTGAGGCAGTGGAGAGCGTGAGGCCGCCAGGATTCTTGCCTGTCAGGCCCTTACGAGAGGCCAGGGACTCCGGCGCCTTGTGCGAGTTTTCCTGACCGTGCTGCTGAACTGTGGTCTCCCCATCAAGCGGGAGAGCGCGCCGGGTCTTCGGGACGACCACCGGGGGCGGAGTGGTCTGGGGGCTACCGCTCAAATTGAATGGGATGGGCCCAGAACCGGTGATATGAGACTGTCCATTCTTTTCCTGCGCAACCGGTGTTGTTCCTCCCATTGTGATGCTCCTCGAGAATGGAGGCTTTGCTTCGTGGCTTGCGTTGGTGTTGGAAGAGTCGCCTTGGGTGGCGTCGGGGTTCTGGGGCGGGCTGCCGGGGCGGTCGGGGTTGGTGTGGACCATGTTTCTTGCTTTAGACCTGGCTTGGGTTTCCTTTTTGGAGGTAAACTGCTTGGTGTGGTAGTTGGGAAGGGCATCTCTTACTAGTGTTGCTAGAATATCTGAATGAGAGTCGTATGCGCTTCGGCGCGAACGAGGGAATGTGCAGGCGACCTGAATGAGTGTGGACGACGATGTCGAAAGAAGGTCGGGTTGCAGATGGAGAAGGTTGGTCGTGGGTGTCCGCAGGTCTGATTGTATCTTATTGAATCGTCAGTGATTGAAACCCGGAGCCGGAGGCGCGGTCCGCGGCTCCACAGTCAGGTGGACGGGAAACGCAACCCTATGACGCATAGCATGCGAAGTGTTATTGTCGATCATGCGACCACAATCGTGTTTGGCACGGCAGGCGGGCTCACGGGCGGACTGCTTGATCTGGTGTTTCTTTAGGGAGGCGGTATCACGAAGCGCAGCCTGCAAGAGCATCTCTTGGAGCAGTTCAGGGAATCTCTCTTCTCCGCCGCAATGCGGGAGATCGCATGACACTCGGGGAGACTCTCTACTGCAACATTGCCCCAGCGAGAATTTCTTAGCATCTTGCGCCTAGTCGGCTTTGGCACATGATTCCACAACAATGCGCGCGGCACGACGTGGAGCTCGCGCTGAGCCTGACATAACGTAAAGCTTGCGTTAAGCTCCACGTCCAGGCGATCTCTAGAGCCTACAGCTTCACCTTTCGGGCAGCGAGCATGGACGCTGTGGCCCAGCTCGTTTTAATTCAGCCATTTTGGGCACCTCCTCTCATCGCTGGCCGGTGTTAGGCAAATTGGATCCGGCTACGAAGCCCGCAGGGATGCATGTCACCCAACACGTGTATGAATCTTAGGTGTACTGCCAAGCAGCAATTCATGCTCGCGGATGTCTCTATGAAGATTTTACTGCGGCTCGTCTTGGACATCGTGATGGGTTTGCTGATTTTCGCGCCGCCTAAGGCAACCATGTCTTTGCAATTGTGCCAGGCACGGATTCAACCACTGCTGGATGCGCCTGAACGGCAGAGATAAGCCCAACACAACGTAGCGTAGTGTGCAGGTACGCTGCCAATGGGAGAGGGTGTCACGATAGTTGCTGTGGTGTTGAATCCGGCCCGAGTCACCAATGACGATTTTGCACAAGTCGCTGCTTGAACCACCATCACAGCCAGGATCTGTCTCCGTCAACAAGCCAGTTTTCGAGAAAACTCACGATTCCTCAGCTGAAAATTTTTATCTCTATTATGCCATTGGGGCGTTTTCTGTGCTTTTCGATAAGGATGCGCGTGCATGCTTGTGAACTGCATGTCGACTGCCGAAATCTGTCTATCGCTCTCCGAACCTCTTGCCGACTTCCAGTCGAAGCCAAAATCAAGCCATGAACAAGAAAAGAAAAAACAAAAGCCATAGAAAAAATACCAAAGCCCAACACTACAAACCATTGACCTCCAGCTCCACGCTGAAGTACCATGATCCACAAGTTAGAAAGACTCCTCCTCGAGGATCTGATCATCCTCATCTGCCTTCAACAACGCCGCTCGCAGCTCCTCCGTCGCCTTCTTCCGCCTCTCTTGCTCTGCCTCGAACCTCTCACTGTTCTCCTTCTCGTCTTCTGGGTCAATCGACAAGTCGAGCGGCTCCCAGGACTCCTCGCTGTCAGTGACAGCCTTCTCGCCGAGGCCACGGTGCTTGATCTTCTCGCCGTCCTTCTCGCCATCCAGCAGATCCTTACACACAGTCGTGATCTTACTCAACACTCCATCCATGATGTTCTCCGCCGCAGTGAACTCACGATCCAGCGGCTGCACCTCCGTCTCCTCAATCGGCTGGTCCAGGATGCGGTCCAGCTCATCGCAGAAGGCAAAGTCCTCCTCCATCAGATCGTACCTGTGCATATCAGCCAGGCGCATCAGCATAGCCCTCAACACGACCTTGTTGAACTCGTTCTCTGTGAAGTTGTAGATCATGTAAGTGCCCTTGGGCAGTCCCGCACGCTCGCGGGTCAGGGTGAGCTCCTCGATCAGCCTGTGGTTGCGCTTGACCAAGGCAGAGATGATACGACGGTTCATCTCGCACTGGTCCTCCGCCGACTTCTCACGGCGCTCACATAGCGCATGTTCGGCATCGACGTTGTTCAGAGCAGTGAGGCGGATCGTGACAGTATCCAGGCAGGCCTGCTTGGCGGCGAGCTGCATTTGCATGTCTTCGACGACCTCCTGCCACTCAACCGGCGCAGAGTCGACACGCGCCTCGTTCAGCGCGTACTGCAGATCGTCAACCTTCCGCTCGAGCGCCGGGACGCGATCCGCCGCCGCCTTCAACTCCGGGACAACGCCCTTGACCTTCTCTAGTTCGGCCTGCGCCAGCTGCTCGCCAACCGTCGCGTCATCGACCTCCGTCCGCGCGTCAGTCAGGGCGTCCTTCAGCTGCACGACCTCCTCCTTCAGCGCGTCGATGGCGTCGCGGTCAGCCGCGGCAGCAGCAACGAGGTCTCTGTTCGCGACGACCAGCTTCCGTCCCTCGCGCACGTTGCTGTTCGCGGCCTCGATGAAGGCGCCCATGTACTCGGCCAAGCCGCGGACGACCTCGTCGTTCGTCTTCTCCGCCAGCGTCGCGACGTTAACAACACCATAGCGCGCCGCCTGCTGGAGGAGGGCCAGCATACCGCCGGCGACATCCTCCGCGTACGCGAACACCGCATCGCTGCCCGCCTGCGTCTCCGCGGCCGAGGCACGCAGCCGCAGGTTCTCGTTGTGCAGCCTAGCCACCGCATTCTCAAGCGGCACCCTCTGATCCAACAACCGCCTTACCTGCCCCGCCTGGCTCCGCGAACTCCACTCCAACCGCTGCAGGTAGAGCGTGTCGAGCGCGACGTTCCTGAGCAGGCGATCGAAATGCTGCGCACACTTTTCGGCCTGGTCAGCGCGCTGTTCGGCGGCGGCGCAGCGCTGCTCGGTGGCCTCGAGATCGCGGGAGGCGGCGACGAGCTCGGCTTCGACTTCGTTGACCAAGTCTGTCTGGGCCTCGAGGCATGATGCGGCTTCGGTGGCGGCGCGTTCGTTGTGCTCGGCGGTGGCCTTGGCGGAGAGGTAGGCGGCGCTGTTGTGCTCGTTTGTGGCGGTCAGCGCGGTGATGTGCTCGCGCAGGAGGGAGATCTCGGTGCGGAGGGCGGCGTTCTCGGTGTGGAGGTCCGCTGCGGAGGGGGAGGCGCTGCTGGGGTCGGGGAGAGGACGAGGAGTGGAGACGGAAGGCTCAGCGTTGTCCTGCTCGTAGACGGCTAGGACGTCTTCCTCGTCGTTCTCCTCGGCGAGCTCCTGAGCTTCTTCTGCCAGCTCTGCGGCGCGACGTGCTTCGGCTTCGGCGGACCGGACGGCGAGGTCGCGGTCGCGATCACCGCTGCCGTTCAGGCTGGCGACAAGGGCCTTCCACTCTTCCTTCGTGACCAACTTCTGCTTGGTCGGAGAGGGGTTGCGCTTAGGCGCGGTGGTGATAGGGGCAGTCTCGCTGATGAGAGCTGCCTCGAGCAAAGAGCCGACCTTCTGTTCGCCAAGAGGGGGCGAGGTGACCGCAGTCGCGTTGCTGAGAGCATTTTGGAGGGCGGCGTGGGTTGCCCAGACGCCAGTGAAAGGAGTGGGATGGTCAATGAAGGCAGGGACGGGACTGGGGCGGGCCTCGTACTGCTCAGGCGCAGCCAGAGGGGAGGTCTCGTAGGAGAAAGGCGAGCTGTGGCGGACGACGGTGCCGCTGCTGTTGGCGGGACTGGGACTGGGGTCGCGGTAGATGACGAAGTCCTGGTTGCCAGCCGCTGGGTAGTGGAGGTCGTCATCGATGATCGACTGGTCGGCGGACTCCAGCTCGTCAGACTCTTCGACGATGGGCTCTTGAGTAACAGGCTCCTGAACGCTGAGCTCTTGATGAGCGCGCTCGTTGCTGCTGGACTTGTGGCTGGCGGACTCCAGGGCAGCGACCTCCTGGAAGACGAGCTTGCAGTTGGTCGGCTTGGGGGTGTCACACTCTGGGACAACGGGCTCCAGACTGACGAGCTCCTGATAAAAGACAGTGTTCTCAGCGGCCTGGTTGTTAGCCGTGAGAGAGGCGAGGGTGGACGTGCTCTCATCATCAAGCGACTGGAGAGAAGTCAGGATTTCAGCTTCAATCTTGCGGAGGCCGGCGTCGTGGGAAGCGAGGGTTGAGTTGCACTCGTCATTAAGAGAAGCGAGGGCATTAGTGAGTTCGACCTCGAGAATGTTGATGGTGGACTCATGGAAGACGATAGTCGAGGTGTAACTGTCGTCGAGAGAGATGAGAGCATCTGTGACCACGACTTCAAGACGGTTGATGCTCGCCTGGTGGGAAGCGTTAGTGGCGTCGCACTCATCGTCGAGAGCCTCCAGATAGGCAGTGAGGTCGACTTCCATGTTAGTAATGTGGGAGTCGTACTTCTTCTCCATGGCAGCGACCTTCACATCGAACTCCGACCGCAGGGACTCAATCTCCGACTCATGGTCGCTCTTCGTGGTGGCGTCCAGCGCATCAACCTTCGACAGGAGGAACTGGAGCTCCGACTTGTGGTCGCTCTTCATGGCAGCGACGAGCTTATCATGCTTGGAGAAGATGAAAGCAAGATCGGAGTCGTGCTTCTTCTGGAGCGACTTGACCTCAGCCTCGTGAGACTCGGCTTCTTTAACAACCTCCGACAGGATGCGGTCAATCTCAGCTTGCTTGTCATCCACGGTCTTCTGCAGGACAACGGCGCGCTCGCTCGCGGTGTTGACGGAGTCGATGCTGGCCAACACCTCCTTCTCAAGAGAAGCGAGACGGCCAGTGACGGTGGCAATCTCGGTGTTCTTCTCAGCGATGGTCTGCTCCAAAGCGGCGACAACGTCGTCTCCAGCTTGCATTTTGCCGACATTGGCAGCAGCCTCTGCCTCAAGAGAAGCAACACGTTCAGTGACAGAGGCGATCTGGGCGTCCTTCTCACGCTGAACGGCGACAGCATCCTGCTTATGCGTCTCCTTGAGGGTGGCAACCTCGCCCTGGTGCCTCTCCTCAATAGCCGCGACCTCCTTCTGATGCGTCTCCCGGATCAAGGCGACCTCCTTCTTCTGCGCCATCTCCATGAACGCCATCTTCGACCTGTGGTGCTTGAGCAGCGTCCACACCGTCGTCTTCTGCTCCTCGCGCAGGTCCGCCATGGCCGCCTTGTGCTTCTCCTCGAGCGAAGCGGCGACGTCCTTGTGCTCCTCGAGCAGGCGCGCGGTGGCATTCGCGTTACCCCTCTTCTCCGCGCGGCCAAGCGCCTGCTGGTGAAGCCGCTCGAGGTCCGCGACGCGCGTGTCGGCCTCCCACGCGACGACGTTGAGCGCGCCGCTGAGGTCCGAGGTCATGGACGAGTTCAGCTTGCGGAGGTGGTGGATGGAGGACTGCAGGGAGTCGACAGCGGACTTGTGGGCGGCGGTGGAGACGCCGTGAGCGTGGCCGTTGCGGTAGATTGTGCCGTCGGCGGACTCGGTATAGGTGGGGGGGATGGGAGCCGGGGAGAGGTCGGAGGGAGAGAGCTTGATGGCGGAGAGCCAGTGGCGGGGGCAGGCATCGCTGGTGACGGGGGTGGAGGTGTCGACTTCGACGATGGTGGAGCCGATGGAGTTCCAGGACTCGACCGAGCTGACGGAGATCGTGATCTTGTGGGTGGCAGCAGCTTGAGTGTTGGGGTCGACTGTGTCGGGAGCGGCTTTCGCGTCGTCGACGGTGTCAGGAATGGCGTTGAGGGCGTCAGCGATGCTGGAGGAAGCAGGTTTAGCATCGCCGACAGCGTCGGGAGCGACCCTGGCGTCGGCGACGGGACTTGGAACAGAGTTGATGAAGTCAACAATGTTGGAGGAGGCAGCTTTTGCATCGTCGGCAGTCTTGGACGCGGACTTGGTGTCATCGAGGGGTGCGGCTGCTGTGACGACGGGGATAGGCTTCGAGACGCGCGCCTTCATGTATTCGAGGAGCGCGTCTGCCATAATGGCGTCGAACATCTGGATCGTCTTGACATAGCCAGGCTTGACGCCGGGCTTGGCCATGATGGACTGCTTGACATAAGTAGAATCGACTCTTTGAAGCTTGATCGGATCACATACCTTGGTTTCAGCACGCGCGATTTTCTTCGACTTGATCGGGTCGGAAGTCTTGACGACTGACGGCTTGGGGTTGGACGTCTTGACGACGGAAGACTCGATGTCGGAAGGCTTGAGGTTCAAGGCCTTTAGGACGTAGGCCTTGCGATCGGCCAGCTTGGGATCGGTGGGCTTGACATCGGTATTCTTGATGATGTTAGCCTGGTCAGCCTGCTTGAGGTCGGCCTGCTTATCCAATGGCTTGTCATCGGAAGGGTTGGTGTGCGCGTGCGCGGGCGCTCTGGCTCGCGCTATCAAAAAGGCGCAGAGCTCGAAGATCCCCGACAGCCAGAGCGAGTACATGGCCACGAGGATGAAAAGGAAGAGAACAAAGTCGGCACCCATGATGGAAGCCGGTGAAGACGGTATTTCTGGAACGTTTTGAAGGCGCGAATGAGAAATGGGTTGAAGTGTTCGTGTTACAGCAAGGGCTCAGTTTGATAGGAGGCGCGCTGGTATGCTGTTCGGGAACAAAGCACAACAACGAAGGTCGGAGCGAGCAGTGAAGGAAAAAGAGAGGAAAGAGGGAAGGTGACCAGGTGGGCGGCGGTTTTGTTTACGGTCGTCGTCGCGGGTGGGCACCCGTGCGCAGAGCCTCAACGACCATCTGGCGCAACGCTGGTTGCCAAGGACAGCAGTAACACTTTCGCACCCCAGCACACGGTCCACCCGGGTCCAGTTGGACATACCTAGGCTGGACAGCAATCTGGAGCCGCGCCCGCGGGCCTGCGCAAGAAAGATCGCCACGGAGTTGTTCAGCATATGGACTTCGTGACCCTTGCCCACCTCCTCTCCTCCACAGATTCGTAACCCTTCTGGTCATACCACCGCCTTTCAAGGGGCCTTTGAGCTCCGTAGATGCTCTCAGGAAGCCTCTCATCATTCTTGACCTCCGGGCGCCACGCCGCATGCCCCAGATTGTGCTCCCGTTTCGACCTCAGCCGCAAAGAGGGACGGTACTGTCATGCCTGCAAGCCTCGGATCACCGCTTTCTCCACAACCATCCCTGTGTCCAATATGCGCGCGCGCCAAAGCCCACGAAGCAGTGATATTAGCTCCACGCCCACCCAACGCAGCCGTCCGCCCATACTTCAGCATGACCACCTGTTGCAGCCCACTCTCCGCAATTACACGGTGCCGTAGATGGATTATATCGTCCCCATAAGACTGCCTTGCCTCTCAACTGCTTCCAGCGGACACCCCACTGGAGCTCGAGATGCTCCTCAAGGAACTGTGACCACATTCTCTTGCTCGCGCTGCCAGGATCGGGAGGATGCACGTCTAACACTGAGCCCATATATAACCCACTAACACTCGTAGGAGACGTTCAGCCTCTTGAAGAGCTAATGAGGATGCTCAAGCTCCAGCGGGAAGAGCTTCTCCAGCCCGGCGACATGTTGTATCAGCGCTTCCGAATATACCATGAACCGACGGTGTCCGCTGGGTTTTCGAGGCAAATCACCGGACTGAGGACTCTGGGCGATGCTGTGAATACGGCTGAAGCGTCGCTACAACACATCGGCCTTTGGGAAGAATACTCTTGTCGCGAGAAGGGATTACAGAGACCAGTCGACTCTCGACGCCACAGTCAGGAAAATTCCCGGCCTACTCCAGGATCCAGCAGCTTGGATAGCAACTCTACAGGGCGCTCAACGATCGGGGCGCGATGTCTCGAGGGACACACAGTAATTCAACATTTCCTCTGGGGAGGCCGATCAGCGCGCTTGACGGAGGTGCCGGAAACCTCAACACTAGCTAAGTGTGGTCTTCATTCAGGCCCCGTCGACCCTCCGCACTATTCGACCACACCGACGCCTCTGTTGCCGATAATAGTGCGCGCATCAACGGTCGAAGACCAACTTTCTTCCTTAGCTCCGCTCCATTCGTGCATGTCCTCCCGTCGTTGAAACCGCATGCAGCAAAAGAAGCTTCCTAATCGCTTCAGCCCCCAGAAACTCCCGCGATCAGCCAAATGTGCCAAAAATATAAGCCGTAGAATGTCTATATACTGAAAGCTGGCAATACCTGGTTCAGCGCGCTGGGTTCTGGGGAAACGCTATATATCCCTTCCCACTTTCGGGTCCGTGAGATGATCTCTGAGCGATTTGACTTCCGATCCCGCTCATGGTGCGCTTGTCCCAGCGGTAAACGCTGCTCCTCGGTCTCCGTGCTACTTGACGTTCCCATATCCGCATAGTGACTCGCGACAAGTGCTGGTCGCCCCCTTCGTGAGGTTCTACGGGTTGCGCGCATTAGCATTGACTGCTTCCGCGAAGTTGCTAGTGACTTTGGCTATATTCCTCATGAGAACCAACACAAACGACTGTCCAATTTTTGAGTTGAAAGTCTCTTTGCGCCCCTCTCGTCTTGGTCCATCAAAATTTGTGACATTCCCGGCAGACCTCTGTGCCCTCCCCAGTCCTCGATGAAGGCACGAAGTGGTGGCCTATCTCCCGGTTCAACTGGCCACGGCGAAAGATGACAGTGTTGGCAGCCTGCCCCTATTGCCCTGTCATCATTCTGGACGACCTCGTTCATCGGTCCAATGTAGAAGACGGATTGAAGCGTAGGGATTGTGCGGTTGAAGTTTGGGAGGTGTTATCTCTCATGTGCCACGAACTCTTCAATCTCGTGCAGAAAAAATTGGTCCCGACGGTTCAGTGTACCAAAAGATGAAGGAACTATCTGCGAAGTAAAACAAAAAGTCAACCTACCGGCGGTGTCGATGGACACCAGCTGGCAATAGTCTATAAAACCCCTTTTCAGGAATTTTCCCCCTCTACCCCAGCTGGGAAGGTGGTGGAGTGCTGGTATGGGATTTTCATCGCCATACCTGACGACACTCCGTACCATAGGCCCCGCGTTGCGGAAACCCTTAGGTGAAAGACTGGCCTCGCTGGCGAAGCTAATAACCATTATTTGGACCGCAGCGGCGAAGACGAACGGGACCTTGTGATAATGAGAGATGGGTGCTGTGCTAATCCGAACATGGAGCAGCCTCGCCGTCAAGGCCCCTTCCATCCATATCTGTCGGTGGTGGATCGCCTGGCTTGAGTTTCTATTGCCAGTTCCTTCAGCCCATTCCCGCTCCTGTGAGAGCAGTACTTGCGATATGAACAATGACATTGTCCAAGCCGCCGAGACTGAAACTTTTGTACAATGTTGAACTGTTTATGCAGCGTTGGAATGCTGAGCACATGCACAAACATGAACAGAACATTGTTGCAATTCAACGGTGAAACAGCTTTCCCTTACTTCCAGCGTAAATTGCTCGCCTGCTAGAAGCCAGCAAATTTCGCATTTCAGTTCTTTTCGCGCATGTATCAAAACTTAAGACATCTTCTAAAGTATTTTTTTATCGGCTGGAGGTGAATTGATGACTTCTTGCCAGTTAAAAGGTTCTGGATGCCTTCAATCTGTGTTTATAGAGCGGCGTCCTTGTGCTTGAGTGGAAAGCGCTTGTGATGCTACAGTGCTGCCTCTCGAACATTACCGTCCTGCACTTGAACTGCGATTTCTTCCGCAGATTGAGGGGGCTACTCAATATGGAGCCAGCCAAATCGAGGACGGCCAATGCGTCGACTGGCAGTGCCTCCGCCAGCCTTCGGTAGTGTAAAGATATTTCTAGATGACTTTCTTTGAATTTCCCAGATGCTACAAAGCTCTCTGCTGGGCATTTGAAGGCATTGGCTATGAAGCAACAACCAGAATGTGCTAGCAAAAGAGAATATTGACAAAGGCTGGTCTGGTAGTCTGGCTTGCTGCAGGGTCGAGGATTCTGGAAAAATAAAGGCTTGTTAAATCACGAAAGGAATATGATGGATATACTTGTAGAAAGGCATTGGGCATGACTGTGAAATACAAACGCAGGCCTTACTGAATTGTAGGAAAGCGGGGAAAATCAAGTTTGCGGAACTGCTATCGGCTGTGAAGCTATAAGGTTTGGTACGACGTGTATCTCTATACTGGTGTCTGTGCCCATGCCTATGGCGATGCACGAGAGGCGCTGTTCAACATAGACGCCTTTGAACCACATGAAGGCATGAAAAAAAAAATCTTCGCTCTATGGATAGACTAGTAAGGAAAAGGAAATAAGGAAATGAAACAAATGTAACTACCGCCTCCCAGAATGAATAATTATGCCTTTCTGGTCGGCTTCCCGATGAACCGCAAGACAAGGTGAGCGCTTAGAACTGCTTGCGCTCCACTCCATCGCCAAGGTCGATGACGACAGGGCCCTCCTGCTCCTCCTGCTCCTCGACTGGCTTCTGAGAAGCCTTCTCCCTGGCCTCGCTGCGCACTTCATCCAAGAGGCTTGTGGTTTTGGCGAAGCGAACCGGGGCCGGCTTGCCCTCCGCCTCCGCCTGCGCCTCCTGTTTGGCGCTTTCCTTGCCCTTCTCCTCTTCCTTGATCAGCGGGTGCAACCCGGTCGGCATGGGCCTCTCGTCGATAATCGCATAGAACGCTTTGACAACGTTCTCGAGAATGACGGGAAAGACCCGCTCAGTCGCCGTCAGCGGCCTTTCCAGCATCCGCGAGTCCTCATTGAACATCTCGTGGCCCCAAGCCTTCTGCGTGAACTCGCCCAGCATCTCCGCATCCTGCTGCTCACAAAGCTTGAAGTCTTTGTCCGTCAACTCCACGCCGAGGCGCTGCGCCGCCATCTCGAACATGGCGCGCAGGTGGATCTTGTCCATGCCGACGGCGCCGGGCTCAGGCACTTGGGATTCCAGGCCGGCCTTGACGCGCAGCTCCTGGTACATCTGCACGGCGCGGTTGTGGTGCTTCTGAAGGGCGCAGATGACGTTCTCGCGGAACTCGTACATCTGGTCCATGCCGTGCATCTTGCTTTCGCAGTCCTTGTGCTCCTTCGCGACTTGCTTGAGGGTGGTGATTTCGCTCTTGGCCTCTTGAAGGTCGCTGCGGGCTTGGACGAGCTGGTTGTAGAGACCGTTCATCGTCTCGCGGACGTCGGCGGAGAGGTTGGCGTCCCTGGTGTAGTGCCGGGACAGACGGGCGTTGGCGGCGATGAGTTCGCGCTCGAGGGCGACGGCCTTGGAGGCGTCGGGGCGGAGGGTGCGGATCTTGTGGTGGGCGGTGTCGAGCTGTTCGTCCTTGAAGGCGATTTGCCAGAACTGGTCGAGGTTGTCGTCGTCAAACTTCTTGATGGTACCGGCCTGGCTGTTGAGCTTCTTCTTGAGGACGACGACTTCCCTGCGATGCTTCTCGGATTCGTCCATGATGCGCTTGTTCTCCTTCAGGACCTTCTCGATCTGGGAGTTCATGGACTTGGCGACGGCCTCTTGGATGAAGCGTTGCTGGCTAGCCAACCGGTTCTCCAAGTCCTTGACGCGTGCCTTCAGATTAGCATTCTCCGACTTGGTCATGTCGAGCTCGACCTCCATGGGCTGCTTCTGATCGAGCAGCTCGTGGATGTAGCGCGCTTGCCGAGCATTCCTGTCTTCCACCATCTTGCAGTCCATGTCGTCGCGAGCGAAGCGGTTAGCATCTTGCTCAGCCCGGAAGACACGAGCCCGCAGCTCGTTGATGGTGTCATCGCGCTGCTGCAGCCACTGATTCATGCGGTGGCAGATTTCGATGAGCTGCTGCTTGTCTTGCTCCAGGCTAGCAATAGCATTGTCCTTCTCCTGGGCAGCCTCGCGCAGTTGCTTGACTGCGTGCTTCTGCTCAATAAGCTTTCTTTGGCTAGCCGCCCTGGTGCGCCTCCTTTCCTCATCGAACGCGCGGTTCATGGCGGCGATCTCCTGATCATGTTCCTCCTCGAGCCTGGTCATGTTGGACTCGTGGACACCTTGGAGAGAGTCGACTTCGCGGTGGTGCTTGTTAGCCGTCAAGCCGATCCAGTGACCGTTGCGGCTGATGTAGCCAGCGGCAGTCTTCCAGTGGCTTTTGCGCTGCTTGGGGCGGAGGTCGTCACTGTCCAGGCTGATGTCAGACATCCAGTCCGGGACGGGACCGGATTCTGAGGCCGTCGAAGAGTTGGGCGGGGTGAACAGGGTGGGAAGGGTGGGAGGGGCCGAAGCAGTCCTCGAGCGGCTATGCTTGTGGAGGCGGGCCAGCGCATCTTGGATAGGTGTAAAGGAACGCGCATGGCGCAGACGATGGGTGGCGCGCGAGAAGATGTTGGATTGGGGAGACTTGGTGGACTGGCGAGGCGAGGCGGGCTGCTCGACCAGTGAATCGTGACGCTGGGCAATTTCTGCGGACGTCAGCTTCTTGTAAGGGAGAGGAAGGTGTTGGGCTTCGCGCTTACGGCTTGAGGGGCCAGCATGCGCCTCCTTCTGGGAGGAGTTGCGCTTCGTGAAGTTGAAGAAGCTGAACATCGGCATGATTATGTTGTTCGGCTTCGACTGAACTGCGGAGGGTGGTCGAGGAGTCGCTGAAGCTGTCGTCTATGAATGGATGAATGAATGGATGCGAGGAATCAGGATCGCTGGTAGGAGTATGAAGACTGCTGTCGCTGGTAAGGATAAGGAGACTGGGTGTCGTTGGTACGAGTAAACAGAGTGGACGACGTTGTAGAGGAAACGGAGTGGACGGTCGGCGCGGTGGGTTGCTATGAAGTAGCCTGGCAACGGCAGCATCAGCAGGTGATGCACTAGCGCCGGAATCTTGGCGCTGCAGAGCCTCACCCAGAAGTGTTAACACATGGTGGTCTGTGCGATGGTGGTGAATGTAGAGGGGCGAGAGGGTTGCCTCCGCACACCTCGCTACTAGCGATCACCGGCGGCAACAGCATAAGAAACGCCTTCAAGCCTATTTGCGGGTAATATCTCTTGTATATCAAAGAATGAGAACATCTTGTACTGCTTCAAGCTGTAATGACTGCTCGCTGCGTAGCTACACTTCAACGGTATTATACAGCCACTAAGTTCTAGAAGCATTCGCCCTGAAAGGCAAATGGAACCCTTAAGGGCGTCGGCTTGGAAACTAGAATCTTCAAAGAAGTAGGCTTTATATAAGTATTTGGTGCTTTGCCTGCTATGTTTGATCCCTTGATTGCTCTCCAACTTAGCCCCGACCATGTGCTTCCACTGGCCTTGTGTAAATTGCGTGGAGCGATTGCAACTGATTGCCTCCATTCCATTTTATCAACTTATCTCCACTTCTGGCCTGTGATTTCCTATTTCTTAAAGATGACAGTTGCAGATGATCCTTCGTATAGTAGAAATGCTTTTTAAAAAATTGAGACTGCATAATAGATCTCCTATATTGTGCAACGATGATAGTTTCTTATTTTTCTTGTCATTAGGTCTTATACAAATACAGAAGTAGAAAGGAAGTCTACAATATCTGCAAGTAGACGATATTTCTGGGCCTTCAATCCGGACACGCCTTCGCCATCACGTTCGCCCGAGCCACAGTCGCCTGCGCACAACCCCTTCAGCATGTATTCCCGTTCTGGTCCCGCTCAACAGTGAAGTAATACACCCGCTGACCCCAGTACATGAAAGCAAACGAGCAAATCCAACTCCACGCGCACCACCAGCAACCAAACTCCGGCAAACAACCCACAACCAGCCCCCGCAGCAGCCCACAAACGCCATCATCACAACCCAAACCCCTCCTCTCCCCCCGCCGACTCCCCCACCCTCACCTCCTCCCAATTCCAATCCTCCTCCTCATCCCCCTCTCCCTCCCCCTCCACCACCAGCGCCTCCCTCTCCCTCTGGCACCCCAACCACCGCCGCACCCCCTCCAACCTCTCCCTCTCCCTCACCTTCCTCTCCATCCTTCCCCTCTCCCCCCTCATAAACTCCTCCTCCTCCCACCCCCTCTTCTCCCCTTCCAACCGCCGCACCCGCCGCTCCATCTCCCGCGCCCGCCGCCGCGTGGCCCGCAGCTCGTCTTGCAGCGCGTTGAGCTGGCTCAGCTGGCTTTGCAGCACTTCGTCGCGGCCGTGCAGCGCGCGCCAGAGGTTTGCGTTTTCTGAGGCGGTGGCGACGGAGGACTGGTTGGTGCGGGAGGAGGCTAGGGCGTGGCGGAGGTGGGTGTTGACGCGCTGGAGGTGGGTGATGGTCTGCGTTAGGTGTTTGTTTACAGGCTGCGGCGGCGGCAGCGCGGAGTACGGCGGCGGCGGTGGTTCCGACGACGCGGACGAGGCCTGCTGGAGCTGCTGGTCCTCGGCCTGGAATGGGTTGGGGCCGGCGGCTGTTGGAGGAGTGGAATTGTTGTCTGCTGGCGGCTCCGTTGCGTTTTCTTGGGGTTGGGCGGGGTGGCCGGAGGGGATGGTGGGGTGGCGCGGGTTCCACGACGGCATTTTTTGGCTTTTTGTTTTTATGCTTTGGTTTAGTCTGGTTTGGTTGGTTTGAGGAAGTGATTGTTGTGGCGGAGGTAAGTTGTATTTGAGACTGAAAAATACATTGCAGGAGGGCACACTACGTATACGATCTCGAGAGTTGCGGCAAGTCAGAAGTGCCATGGCAGTTCAAACGGGCAGAAATGTGAGCCGGGCAGAAGTGTGGGCCAGGACCTCGTGGTGGATACCCTGGATTGGTACCGTGGTCCAGAATCAGGGACTCTCCAAAAACCAGGGACTCCATCAACCGCTGTTCGACGAATGTATCTTGCACAGCCATACCCACGGTCCAGGCGATGGCGTCCAATCAGGTGGAAAATTTTCCTTCCGGCAACGGTATACAATTCGCAGATACGATTACACCGACTACACGAATGAACATGCCTCATGAAACGGGAGAGGAGGTTTATAAAGTAGCGTGCAACAACCCAAGAAGGCCATTTATTCGCGGCGAAGTACTTGCCTCTTCGAGTATCTCTGCAGCGATCAGAAGCGATGAGTGGGCAGCTGGAACAGGGATATGGACACGATGCACGAATTAGTCAGCACGAGCTCCTCAGGCTTTCAGGCACACGACAGTTTCACCATACTACACAAGCCTCCACATGATACGGGAAACACTGACGAGATGTGACTTTCTTTTGTGATTCATAACGATTGCCCAAATCCAGGGCATAAGCATAAAACCCAGACTCCGCCGCCCATCCATAGCAATAGCTCCGCGCTGTGGGGTCGACATTAAATAAAGATCATGGCGCCGAATGCCGTACACTAAAATAAACCTAGAACACCGCAAACAAGTAGAGTAGCAAGGAAAGAAAAAAAACCATCCTGTCGCCGTATGTAGCCTTCTTTATGCATACCTTCGAAAGCAGGTGGGGCCATTCCACTTTGCAGTTATTTTTCGCAGAAGCACATGAACAAGGTTCGCGAAGGTGAAAAATCCGGGGTGTGTGAAGGGCACTCACGCCTCGCCGAACAGGCGAGCAGTGATGTCGCCCATGTAGGCCTCCTCGAGCTCGTAGTCCATGCCGTCGTTCTTGTCGATGCCGACGTACTCGAAGGCCGAGACGACGCTGTCGACCTCGAAGCCCATGGCCACGAAGCGGTCGATGAGATCCTTGTTGTAGCCGTGGTACCTGTCACACCATCAGTATGGTAACCCTCTTTCTCTCTGCCCTCGTGTGTGTACGTACGCAGCCAGCTTCGCCTTCTCCTCCTGCACCTTCTGCTCCTCCCGACGCCGCTTCAGCGTCTCCTGCGTGGCGCCGCCGCTCCCGCCGGCTATCTCCTTCTTCGGCGCGTTGGCGAACTTGACGGCCCACTCGCGCGCCTTGTGCTCGAACTCGGCCGGCTGCTTGATCAGCATGCCAGCCACCTCTGCATCCTGCGGATCCTTCGGCTCGGGCGTGCTGAGCAGCGATTGCAGCGATATGAGGGCGGATTTGATGGTCAGGACGGGCGACCAGGCTTGCGAGAGGGTGTCGAGACATATGGCGCCCTGTGGTTGTTGGTGGAGTGGTTAGCTGGGGGGGATTCAACAAAGTAGGGGATCCCATGGTACGCACAGTCTGAGAGCTGACGTTGGGGTGCCAGATCCTGGTCTCGAACTTCATGACGGGCGGCCTGAAGGGGTAGTCGGTGGGAATCTTGATGTCGACAGAGTACTCGCCGCCCTCGTAGGGCGTGTCGGGCGGGCCCTTGAAGAAGCCGCGCAGGTGGGTGAGGTCGTCATCGCGGTGCGTGTCGACGCGGATGCCAGAGTGCGGGTCCGACTTGATGTCTGCGATCTCTTTGGCGATGCGACGGGTGCGGTTGGAGGCCATGGTGAGGATGGGTGTAGAATGAAGTGTGGGAGGTGGTGGATGTTTAAAGTGGGTGGCCGGGGTTGGCGAGGCAAAAGCAATATGGGGTGTGAAGGCGGGAAGGTGCTTCTGTTGGTTGTGGTCAGCGCGATACCGTGATGGCGGGGCGCGTGCGGCGGGGTCGCGGAAACGAGTGGGTTCTAAGCATTCACAACGGAACCCGTTGGCAGAGAGCAGCCATCGCAGGAAGTGGTTGGGCGCTTGAAGAATGCAAGACTGCTGCGTCTGCAGCAACGGCGCAGCAACGGCGGGCAGAACTCACATCGAAGTCTGGGTTGAGAAGCGGCAGAACTCAAACGGTCGAGGCTGCACCAGCTCTGGGTCGCCGCCAATGTGAGCGATAGATATACTGCGCTTGGGCAACAGGGCTGAGAGCAGTCCGACGTGGTCTGCCTGGTGTGGGTTGCGAGACGGCGCGCCTCACATCCAATGACGACGGTCGTCGGTGGACCACGGCAGAAATCACGTGCGCGGCTCGAGCGCGTCCATCGCCGGCGCTCCAGCTCCAACAGCTCCGACCTGCCATTACCAACACCATCGCCAAACCCATCCGCAACCACACCACCCTCCGCCATCCGCCCGCCGACCGGTCTCGCTCCGCGTCGCTCTCCTCTCTCACATCCGCGCCCCCTCACGCACCCCGCGCCTGAAGAGCCGCCACCATGGTGAGTCGCCGCTCTGGCCAGCAGAGCTCCAAACACCGCATGCTGACGTCGATCTAGGGTGCAAACCAATCTCAAATGGGCGGTGGCCCGCCCGGCGGTGACAAGGACAAGAAGGGCGACAAGGTACGCAGCAGATTGCTCTACACGCCATTTCGGCCGCCTCGCCTCCGCAGATCCAGCCACTGACAGCTATGTAGAAGGACAAGCCCAAGTACGAGCCCCCGCCGCAGCCCACCACCCGCCTCGGCCGCAAGAAGAAGAAGAACGCCGGCCCCAACGCCGCTTCCAAGCTCCCGACCGTCTACCCCACCGCCCGCTGCAAGCTCAGGTATCTGCGCATGCAGCGCATCCACGACCACCTGTTGCTGGAGGAGGAATACGTTGAGAACCAGGAGCAGATCCGGAAGTCCAAGGCTCAGGCTCAGAACAACGCCCCCGTATCAGCTGGCGGCGATGCGGACGCCATGGACAGGAACGCCGATGAGAGGAGTAGAGTGGATGACATGAGAGGTAGCCCGATGGGCGTTGGCAACCTGGAAGAGCTTATCGACGACGACCACGCCATCGTCTCGTCCGCCACCGGCCCCGAGTACTACGTCTCCATCATGAGTTTCGTCGACAAGGACCTGCTCGAACCCGGCGCATCCATCCTGCTACACCACAAGTCCGTCTCCGTCGTTGGTGTGCTGACCGACGACACCGACCCCTCCGTCTCGGTGATGAAGCTCGACAAGGCCCCGACCGAATCGTACGCGGATATTGGAGGTCTGGAGTCGCAGATTCAGGAAGTAAGAGAAGCAGTCGAGCTTCCGCTGCTGCATCCGGAGCTGTACGAGGAGATGGGTATCAAGCCGCCGAAGGGTGTCATTCTCTACGGTTCGCCCGGTACCGGCAAGACGCTACTGGCCAAGGCCGTCGCCAACTCGACAAGCGCAACATTCCTGCGCATCGTCGGCTCCGAGCTGATCCAGAAGTACCTTGGTGACGGTCCCAGGCTAGTACGCCAGCTCTTCCAGGTCGCCGCCGAGAACGCCCCGTCTATCGTCTTCATCGACGAAATCGATGCCATTGGTACCAAGCGTTACGAGTCGACGTCCGGTGGTGAGCGTGAAATTCAGCGTACCATGCTGGAGCTCCTCAACCAGCTGGACGGTTTCGACGACCGCGGTGATGTCAAGGTCATCATGGCCACCAACAAGATCGACACCCTCGACCCCGCCCTCATCCGTCCTGGTCGTATCGACCGCAAGATCCTCTTCGAGAACCCTGACCGTAAGCAAAAGCCCTTCCCCGCTACCTTAGAGAGACTCAGCTGCTGACAAATCCACTACAGAAAACACCAAGAAGAAGATCTTCACCCTCCACACCTCCAAGATGTCCCTCAACGAGGACGTCGACCTCGACGAGTTCATCAACCAAAAGGACGACCTCTCTGGTGCCGACATCAAGGCCATCTGCTCCGAAGCCGGTCTCATGGCCCTGCGCGAGCGCCGCATGCGCGTCCAGATGGCCGACTTCCGCACCGCAAGAGAACGCGTGCTCAAGACGAAGAACGAGGGCGAGCCTGAGGGTCTGTACCTCTGAGCTTGTCTTCTCGCTTTTCTTTTGAGTGGATGAAGGAAAGGATGGGAGAAATTTCATGGTGCTTGATGGAAGGAAATGGCATGGGTTTATGCTTAGACGTATGCGATGGTGCTGAGGAGGGGATCGAGTAAATGCTAGATGTATTAATAGGAGCGTACTTGATGAATGCGGCGCGCTACGATATTGCCGTTCATGCCTCCGCTTGGTTGATGACTCTGCTTGTCGGGCAAATGATCAGCTTCGTCTTCCAATATCATCTCAATCTCCCCGGTCCAGCCTCCGCCGCTTCCGCGTCACATACCATATCCTGAACGTACTGTAGTATGCTTCCTTCATAGGCTTCCGACCTTAGTCTCATACGATGCATTGTTACCCCGCTTTGTATGCATACTCTGATATCTTCTCGTGCATTGGACATTGGACACGTCGTAGCAAGGGCAATTTATTGGCTAGGAAGTTGTGAAGCTGCATGCGGGGATCTAGATTTTGTCATATTTGCCGTGCACTTTCCGTGCATGGCTTGTGATCTCGCAATCGAGAATGAAGGCAATGGAAAATATGATAGGAACCTAGAGTACTCCGGGCACAGCTAAAATAGTTAAGGCCGAAATCAAATGCCTTCCAGCATCGGTTCAAAGCAAATAAATAAATCATTACGACAGTGAAGACGTTAGAAAGCCTTGCCAATACATTTTGATCCGAGTACACGTCAGCCCAAACCTTGCTTCATGCAATGTCCGCCCTAGCTTGATAGCTGCACGGTGAGGGGGTTTTGCGTCATACCAATTAAATGTGGTTACAGTCGTAGATCTTGTTCGACCGTTGACGGAACTTGTTCCAAGCGACTCGCTCATTGGTGTCATGGAAGAAAATCTAAATCCTGTTCAACACGTTGAGGTGGAGACGTGCATACATGAAAATTCAACAAGCCATTGATATTTAGGCATATGCCTGCCTAGAGATTATCGCATTTTTTGAGTTTTCACAACATCTTCTTCGGCATCAATTCGTGTTTCTCGATTTGATTTCTTAGCCGGATTTAATCTTCTTAAGACTTTTTATCCCCGAATACCAGTCTTGGTACGCTGCTGGAAATTTGTCTCTTTTCATTTTCTTTGATAGGACCAGGTTGACGCGAGCAGCATTACGGATTACTCGTGTCTCATATCTTGGGTTTCCGAGGTTCCAGCGGTGATGGCGACAACGAATCCTCAAGATGAGACAGGAACCACAAATGCACCGCATGCGCGACCAGATGAGCACCAATGCTCTAATATCTCCGAAGATTATCTGAGTTTCAACGCCTCAGAAGGATATCCCACTCCCGATCTTGTGGAGGAGTGCTCAATTCCTGGACATTCAGAAGAGCACCTAAGTTCCAATCACTCAGAAGAACACCCAAATTCCGATCTTTCGGAAGAGCATCCAAATTCCAGTTTCTCAAGAAGCATTGAAAAGCTCTTTCGTGATTTCGAGGCCAACCAGAAGCAGCAGCTTCAAATTCTCCGAGCGATCACCCATAGGGTATGTTCCGCAAGAAGAGGAGAAATAAGGAACATTGGGGCTTCAGCGTAATCTAATCATTTAAAATTTCTTTAGATTACCGACACGTCCCAACATGCTGCAACTAAGCCAATTCCACCCACAAATGCGCAACAAGCGATCCGAGTCCCCCTCGAAGTTGAGGAAATGATTCAGAGCTGGAACAACAGAACGAGTCCGCAGAGAAAGGCTTTTGATGTTTTCAACGCTCTTCTCGATGTCACTTTCAACGACAGCGAAATCAAAGAATTGGCAACCTCAATTCGGTTGTGCATCAAGAAAATGCCGGATGTACAAAAGAGCCCACAAAGCCTCTCTGATATTCTCCATATTGCTACGAGGTTGTATGGCTTTTTTTATAGTCTCAACGCTCGACTTGAGGGAAGTCATAAATGGAGGATCATTCAGTATCGGCTTGACGCATCCGGTTGGGCTACACCCCAGGTAGGATCTCTTCTTCAAAGTACTACAGCAAAAGTGAAGCTACTGATATATAATCACAGAATGACCGGAACTTGATTTACGATTCGACAGAAAATGGTCTCATTTGCGCTCGGATTATGTATGCTGTACAGATTTACATCCATTGCAAGTATCCCATAGGCTGACTACGCCTTTTTTATAGACACGGTGTCGAAGAGTATCGCAGCCTCAGTATGCGCCAGATTCTTCAAACAGTTTATCTATTCACGGGGTTTTCGGACTGGCCTCAAGACCAAGGCGAACTCTCCAGTCACGTGATGAAGTTTGTCCTCGCGTACGCTATGCAATGGAAGGTTTTCAAATGGCGTAATACTTGTACAGACGATTTCTGTACTCTCCAGTTCAATCTCAGGTTTTTCGAAATGCCTCTGGACGACCAAAACTTGGACATTGAGAGGATAAAGCGACAACCCGAGCACCTGCCACAATCGCAACTGCTTCGGGAAATTGGGTATATTCCTCGTCCAAGGAGAACCGGATTTACGATAGCAGAAAGGCGTGCGTCTGTTTTCATGGCATACGGGCGGCGCGTGGATACCCCCTACTGGACTATCTTCAATATTTCGGGCCAAAAAAACCTGCATGAACGCGACAAAGGTACAGGAGAGACGAGGCAGTATCTTCTTGATGGACTCTCTCACTTTCGAGTCTGGTATAGCCTGCTTGATAAGGAGCTACAGAATTGCCTGCTTGCATGACAGAAAATTCTCTCTGAGATGGACGTTGGAATCGGTCTTACGGTGAGCTGATCTCTCAACATGTTTCATAAAAAGATTAACATAATGCAACAGATTGACGAGTTGAGTGACTCTCAGATTTCAAGCGATTTGATGCGCGAAGCAAACTATTCCGAAAGATCAGAGTTTTATTTCGGTTCCTTTTCTATGCTCCGTAAATTTATGGACTGTATAGAAGAAACGCTACATGATTTGGAGCGTTGCTGTCAAGAGGTCAACGGCAGACTTGAAGAGAATGATACTTCGCCAGAGGGTAAGGAGAAGATCCAGAAAAGTGGCAGGCAGTTCCTGGAGACGCACAGAGGGAATTTCCAAGATTTAATTGATCAGATCCAAAGGAAGATTGATATGATAATGTTCCTACAGCAAAATGTGAGTCGTCAACACCCGCCTTTCCCTTAGGAACAACACCGGACTAAGCGTTCCAGCAGTTGTTCAATTCGAAATCGACTCGAAACGCTCCCGAGGCCACGCGTCAGGGGCACTACACCTTCATTTTCACGATGCTAACAGTCATCTATTTGCCACTTGCCTTTGTCACGGTGCGTGCTCCTTTAAACTATCTCTCATCATTCTTGACTAAACCAAAATTGCTTTATAGTCACTGTTTGCCATGAACAATATCTCCGAAGACTCTCCACTGGCAATCTCCATGGCTCCTTTTGCGGTCACACTTTCTCTTGTTGTTGCTATGATGTGTATCATTGCCACTGAAAGCTTCTCATTTGCGAACAAGACTGAACTTCATCCTATGCTGGGTCCAATTTCAAAGTCTTTCAGACATATGTTGGAGACGATCATGAAGGAAAATCAGCAGCCCGAAAGGGCACAATCGAACTTGGAGTGTGATTCGAATAACAATCCAGACCGCCCCAACTCCTCGTCCAAGTCTCGCGTTCTGAAGAGATTCTTCTCTTTGTTCCAACGTAAGTGTTATCAATCTCGTGCGATGATTGCTGCTGACTTGACTAGCGCGAAGTTCTCAGCCTTCGGAAGCAAACATAGATGTTGAAAACAGAGGTCACACTGCAGACATGGTATCAGCTGCCACGCAGACTGAAGAGAACAACTCCAACAACGACCCAGTTAAAACTGAGTAGCGCGAAGAGCAACGGGGAAGCGCTTACAAGATTAAGGTCTTCTCCAAATTGAAAAATAGAGTAGAGGCGAAAATATGGGCTCCGAGCCGTTTAATCTAGCTTGTAGACTTCCTATCCGCAGTATTTTGTGTGGCAATTGTCAGATTTAAAACGTTGCCGTTATTCGAATAAAGCGCATTGTTTTCTTTTCCATTTCCCGTAACTACCATTGTTTCAAAATGTCTGAACCAAACTCAGAAAGATGAGGTTGCTGTAAATTAAAAGTTTCGAATAAGGAAAAGGGTTAAAGTAATAAAATAGTAGAGTGCATGCCTTTCCTTCTATCCCAATTTGACATTAGTGCATTACCAGACATAGTCACAGAATCTATGGGCAAATAAATCTATGGATGAAAAAGGTAACGACACATTACATAAAGCGTAAACCAACAACGATGCCATGGCAGTTCGCCTCTTGAGACTGAAAGGGCAGAATTATCCTCCTCATGCTTCCGCGGGCCTCACACTCTGCGGATTATGGAACAAATCCGTCGGATCAACCTCCGCCTTGATCCTCTCCAGCCTCGGCAGATTCGCCCCCCAATACTGCTCCTGCCCATCCGGCAGATCCGGATCCACATACCCGGGATACGCCCCTCTCACGCCCGGCACATACCCCTCAATCAGCTCATTCACCCCATTCAAGAAATCCTTCGTCTTCTGCGAAACCGGCGGCAAAAGGCTGATGGCGTAGCTCTGCAGCTGGTACAGCGAATCGCGCAGCGAGTACGCCGCGTCGTCCATCGGTATCGCGTTGATCTGGCCGCCGACGAGGTTGAAGATGACGAACCACGCCAGCGCGCCGCCCTTGTCAGCCTTGTCGAAGTACTCGAACATGGCGTCGATGGCCTCGTCCGTCAGCGTCGTCGTCGGCGAGAACGACAGCGACTTCGAGTAGAAGGCGGCTGGTATCCCGCCGCCGATCTTGAGCAACAGGTCGTTCGCCCACTCGCCCACCGCGCCGACGAACGAATTCGTCACCGACACCTTCAAATCCGCGACCCCGGGCAACACGCCCTCCAAATTCAACCGATCGAACTCGGGCCGCCCGCCGAAAAACGTCCCGGAGATGCTCATCCCCCCCTCAAACACCGTCAACACGGACGTAAACTTCCAGCTCAGCTCGGGCTCGCTGACCAAGTTATTCCACGCTTTAAACGCCGTCGCCAGCGTCGCGGCGTCGCCGAGCGTGATGTTGTACTCGTACAGCACCATCTCGCCCGGCTCGGGCGCCGTGCGGAAGTCGAGCTGCGTCACGACGCCGAAGCTGGCGCCCGCGCCGCGCATGGCGAAGAAGACGTCTGGGTACGAGGTCGGCGACGCGTAGATGATGGACGCGTTGGCGAGGACCACTTCGCAGCCGATGACTTGGTCCGCGGCCGTGCCGAGTTCGCGCGATTGGGGGCCCAGACCGCCGATGGTGGCGTGGCCGCCGATGCCGATTTGGGGGGATGTGCCCTGGGGTTTGCGGTGTTATTAGGGTTGATGATGATGGAGAGGTGACTGAGGAGGAAGGGAGGGGAAGGAGAGGAAGGGAAGGGGAGAAACGTACGTGAGCAATGGTACGGCCGCCGGCGTTGTGCAGGCGGTCAGTGACGTCTTCGAGGAGGGTGCCGGCGCCGATGGTGGCGACCCAGGTGTCTTCGTCCATGGAGAATTGCTGGAACTTCTTCATGTCGATGACGATGGCTGAGGAGCCTTTGCCGCCCAGGCCTGTATGGAGTTAGCCTTGTTGTCTTGGTTGGGCAGAGAGATGGGAGGATACATACAATAGTTTCCATAGCTGTGGCCGCCGCTCCTCGCCTGGACTTTGTGGTCGTATTGGGCGGCACAAGCGATGATACCGGCAACCTGCTCGGCACTGTCGGGATAGGTTACGGCGGCGGGCGTAACGGGGATGTCCAGGTTGTACGGCTTCACGTCGGTGATCTGGTAAAGCAGATCGGACGGGAAGGCTACGTTGGCGTCACCTCCCACTGCTGTGGTAAGGCATGACTTTAGGTCCGGCGTAGCGGCGGCGGCGGAGGAAGCTTGCTGGCCCATGACTAGTGACTAGTAGAGGACCGCTACTTTTGGTATGCCCTATACAAAATGGCCGAAGGTAGGTATCCGATTTTTAAAGGAAAGAGGGTGGCCAGCAGCAACCTGCGTGCTAAAGGAGAAGATGCATAAATAAAGCCAAGCGCTTAGCGGAAGTATCGGCGAAAGTCTGGTGATCAGCGTCCTCAATAAATTTGTCGTTTTTAAAAGCCCCGTATCCCTGACCTTATTCGGAATCGGGCGGACCTGGTGGACAGCTGAAAGATATGGGTGGACGCATGTGAGCAGAACGAGCGAACGGGAAAAAGAAACTAAATTGATTTGACGTTTCAAGCAACCCGGCGAAATCTCAGACATGGCTGTACACTGTTTTCATTGGCAAGACAACGGATCTCGAGATGTAGAGGTTGCAGGGAAGAACCAAGCTTGTGACGAAAGGAGCTGGCTAGTGAGTTAGTGGTGCGGCCGTGCGCGCGTTAAATCTAGTCTACTTATAAAACAAAAAGTTGATCAGCGTCGTCTCTTGGCACGCTGCTATAGCGAGTGGTTTGATGTTTACTTTGTTATAATTGCTGAACCACAAAACGGATCGAAGAAATAGCAAGTTGACGTGCAGAGAACAAGGCGGCCCGAGGCTTCCCGGTTGTTGATCTCCCAGACTTTACGGACAAATTGGCATCGAAAGTTTGTTTATTGCCCGGCCGTTCCGGTTGGTTGGTCGCGCGCACGTTGCATCGCCTCTTCCCGTTTTCCTCGCTCCAAATCCGTATTCTTTTGCACTGCCTTCGCCCTCATCGACAAGGTTCGTGAGGCTGCTTGCCACAGTCGAACGAGGTCGTCCGCATACAATCATTTGGACTTCAGGCATGTTTCATGTCTCCGGTAACTATGTTATTTATTGCCCACTCTACGCGCGTAGCTGTAGACCAGAAAGCAGCCGTCGTCAGCTGGGGACGGTAAGGATCCAGGTCCATCTTCAAAGCCATGCAGCGAACCACATGTACAGAATCTGCTCATGATTGCCGCAACGAGGTGGTCACTCCAAGGATCAGATCATATCCGCCTGTCATGAGTTCAAAACATGCTTTCTCTACAAAGCAGGCCAGCGCCCGTTAACTGTGATGGGATGCCTCATGACAGTGGTGGCAGGTGGCTTGGCCCTCGGTCTGCTGGCATCCAAGTATTCCGTCCTATCCGCTGGGTGCATAAGCTGAGTCCGTGATCTGCCTCACTGATCCATGGCTTCTGCGTCGGACTCGACGCGACGCTGTACCACCATCGAGGTCAAGCCCTGGATGACCACGTACATCCACTTAGCGTTAGCTGCAGTGTTAGTGCCCGACATCTACGCCCGAGATAATGCGCAATCGCAGAGCCGCGCGTGTGCATGGGCCTCAGTCAGTTGCTTCAGTCTAAGAGCTGTCTACCGGTTATAAGCTCGTAAGCCTCCTTGGCCTTCTCCCGAAGCCTGACTCGGCTGCATCCTGAGCCAATGGTTGTTGATATGCAGTCAGCATTTCTGAACGAGGCTGCGCGCATGCGAGCTTCCAGCACTGCCCTAATTCGTCAGCCTCATGCTGCTGCGCCACCTGCATAATCTGTCCAATAAGCTCTAGACTTCGATTCCGCTTTCAGCCCATCCCTGCCGGTGTGCAAAAACAGAAGCGCATGACTACATATTGCAGAGGAAGGACCGCTTCCCCAACCAGATGTCCGAATTTACCCAGGCGACTTCAGAATCATATGCAAGAATCGTAACAAGATCGTATTGCCCCCACTCCATCTTCATCTTAGCCTAACAGCTTCCCTTACAAGCATGAAGGAAACCTTCCATCCAGCTCCGCCTCTGCAGCAGTGCCGTTAGCTACCTTTCGTTGCACCGCCACCAACGGCCGTTGCATCATCGACCACTTTCATCCTCGTAGTACACCCAAAGCACAACAGCAATTTTGTAACCGAAACGCCACCGCTAGTCATACAAAATCATCAAATAGAGAAGATTCACATGGGAAGGGCTGACATGTGGCACGAAAGGGTGACCCAAGGATCCCGCTTGGTCCGCCGGGCGCGTGTCGCAACACGGCGTTTCCTTCACCTCTTTCCAGCATCTGTCGCCATCAGCGAGAGTTTCTTTTCCGCACTCGAACGCTAAAACTCAGAATCGATATTGAAGCCAGAAGGTATGAAACAAGCTGATCGAGCCGTGTAGGTTACCAATACGGCTTTACTGCGAATAAGCTTGCCATCATGGACGATAATACTGGCACCACGTGTATTGGCAGTTGTTGTACCTGCATATCTGGTAAGTAATCGAAACTTCTTAGCATAGAGGATCTTGGAGAGGTCTTACACGTTTTTCGGGTGCTCGCAAGTTCGCATCCTGTAATCAGTGACAGGACCAGGTCCAGTCGGGCCGTACTGTGGAGGGGGCGATGCCACTCCCATCCCGTGTATGTTTTGTGTCCCATATGCATGACCACCAGCTCCAGTCTGGCTGTAGCTATGAAGGGCTGTGTCCTCAACGGGATCAGCAGAGAACTGCTGAGCGAATGCGGGCGTAGTATTGTACGCTTGTACATTCTGCGGCGGTGATTGCAGCATAGGCATTTGGCCAGTGGAATTGCTGGTCAGTGTCGGGGTGTAAGGCCAGTTTGGTTGAGACTGCAGATGTTGGGTGAATTGCGATGAGCTCTGTCCGCTGAAGGAACTGGGGGAGCTATCCATCCGCACAGGTGTTGGTTGCGCTAAAAGCTTCCCGTGTAGAACGTCTTGAGATGTGACGGGAATATCGTTTGCAGTCTTTGCCTTTTGCTTCTTTCGTAAGAAGGACACTCGAGATTTCTTTTCGGGATATTCGAATGCTCTGTACTGGGTGTTGTTGAATCCATTGTCCTCAGGAGAATAACCGAATCCTTGTGCATCATCGGTGCCTGCAAGTGAACTCAATGTTGAGGCGTCGTCGCATTGCGAACCATATGCGCCGGGAAAGTTGGTAGGCTGAGGCGGAGGCTCAGGGGTCCAGCCATCTCCATTTGGCACGGCATTCGCTCCGTAGGCAGTAGGCCCTGTCGCCCCATTGTTTCCACCGTTAACAAAGCCATCTGGCGTCCATGCCCCTGACAAGGGTTCAGCCTGGCTTTGGTCTTCGCTGGTTCTCCTTTCCGTACCAAATCGGACGGTTGCTAGGGTCACATTTCTAGCCTGGTTCCAGTAATTGTTCGCTGCCATTTTGCATTGGCACACCGATACACGCTGTTTCTTGAGTGGGGTCTAGAATCATTTCATCAGCCAGGGCGCCTTTCAGCACTCTTACACTCAGGGCCGCAATTTTTTAAAAGATTCCGGCATACGAACCACAGGATGGACGTTTCATTAGGGCGAAAGCCCTGTCGCAGAAATGGTCTCGCCTTGCTTTTTCGCGACACAGTCGGCGCAGGTACGTTAGGGCCCAGGAAATGGGAGTGGTGGCAATGCAGGTGTGCGGTAAATTCACAGTCTCAGAGCCTTGCGAATGAGGCAGTGCCCTGCTTGGGCGGGATCAGCCGGCTACCCTTAAGAACGCGAGCAGCGTCCGCCGCTGGGGACCAGAGCCTCATTGTGTCACGTTGGCAGGCATCGCTTCAGCCGAAAGCCGGATGACCGCAGCAGTACCTATATGTGACAGTCTCTAATTGGTTACCGCCTCTTCGTCCTTACACATCCTGATTTTGCCTTCAAGCACAGCCAATTAAGCACGTGGCAGGCGGCAAGGCTGAATGGAGGCGCCTGTATGTCAGCCTGACCGCAGCTCAATTGGCCAGCCTCGTCGGATCCGGGCTGGCTGAAACGCTTTAACAAGCTTACAACCACTCCTATGCCCGCCATTTCCATTCAGAATCCCCGCAGTGTTTTCGTCTCTCCCAAATCGTATCCTTGCCCGAGAAAAAAGAAACAAAAGAGAAAAACGCTTTGACCAGGTATTCAGAAATACTTATCACTGATATGGACAACAGCTCCGAAATCGCACAGACAACATTGAATACCTTCGCTTCGAGCGGCAGACGGTTGTCCGACATGTCTATTCCATCAGCCGCCCATATCGACATTTCTCGTCCTTGCTCAAGAGCAAGTGTCGACTTTGTTCACTCGGCTGCATCTCTCCCTGGCTCTTCATACACAGACACGTCAGCAACTGCCTACGATCCACCACCCAGTTCCCACCAACCACCAAAATCCCAGTGCGCAAGCAGCATATCCTCCAACACATACTATTCGTTCACAATGAATCATAAGATCGGAAGTGCACCAGACCCCGCCCCACCTGAACCGAGGCCAAGCAAAGCCTTCCGGTATATGGGCTATCGCGGTTTCTCGACCTTTCTCGCAGCCGACAACGATGCGCTAGTGGTGCGGAAGTTTGGCACATTACATGCGCGAGCACTGCTCATGCTTCAAGATGAGATAGTCCAGCTTGAAGACAAACTCGCAGAAATCGACCGCCAGTGTGAGGAACACAAAGTGGACGAAGCAGATGAATACCTATTTCACAATGGAACTTTTCGAGGAGATCGTCTTTGGAACAAAGAGCGCAATGCACTGATGCATCGCCTCGTGGAGGCTTTAGACCAATATGGTAGAAACGGATACATGCTACCTCCTCTTCACTGATACTGACTGTGCACAGACCGGTTCGTCTTGAACTATTCACGGCTGAACCTCCAGCCCAAAGCTCCACAGCGAACAATAAAGAGCATAAGATCATGGCTCAAGGCTTTTCCACAAGCCATCACAGAATATGAAACTGGGTTCTTGAAGGAGGAGAAGGAAGAAGACCTCGTAGCAATGGTTGAGCGAAGAAAAAGCCCTCTGCGGAGCATGCTCGAAAGCATGCGTTGGTTCCGTCACTCCAAGCCCTTTCGGATGCATGTAAGAGAATTCTGTCTCCTGTTTACTCCTTTATGCCCTTTCTGACTTGCCATGTTCAGAACCGAAATGAATACATCCGTAACTATGCAGACTCGAACGCCATCTACTACAACGACGACAAGATCGACATCGCCATCACCTCCATCATCCTGTTCCTCGGTCTCGTCATGCTCCTCGTTCCCTCCTGGTGGCTAAATCTTGCAGAGTCACACACGACTCGCCTGGCCATTATCACCGTCTTCATTGCCACGTTTTTGGGTCTCTTACTCCTTGTCACACCCTCCAAGCCATTCGAGACCATGGCAGGCACAGCAGCGTACGTGTTTCAAAAAACCGTTATTATTTCAGAAGAATCAGCTAACCTTACGCGCAGCTACGGTGCCCTCCTTATGGTGTTCATGCAAAGTTAACAGACGGAAAAAAAACCCCCCATACGCGTAGCCCTCCTTCAAGCCCCCTACTCAGCCACTGAGTACAGGATCATTCCCGCTTTTACGCATGCGTGTATCCGGTCTTATCCAAGCTGCTAGGGCCTGAAGTGCCGAGCATTTTCTCGCTCGCGTCTTTCTTCGTCGCCACCGCTCCTGGGTTCTCCGGTCTCGGTGACCTGATGCGTTCCTCAAATGACACGGATGGTTGATGTGCCTGGCTGCCATGTGGCTGTAGACTCAACTGTGTGCCAGTGTTCGAAGGTGGCTTGTCGTGGCGAAGGGAAGAGGGCATGATTGACAGGGAGGACATCTGTGGCGCGTACGTCAGTGCGCGGGGAATTTGAGAGAATGGAGCGAGGGTGAACTCACTTTGCAGAAGGTTTTCAAGAAGAGGAAGGAAAAGCTCGTTATTGGACAGTTTTGATGAAGGTGCAGTGTACGAGGAAATTTTCTGGCTTCGTCTGCAGGGCTGTTTTCTTTTCTCCAGGCGTATTTATACATTTCCTTCATCCTGCCCGCTGGTTCCGTGCGTCTGGGCATTCATCACACTGAGATAGACTTCATGTTTCGATCGCCTTATCAAAACTCTTGGCTACTCGGCTATCATCACTTTTGGCTCAGCCACCCGTGCAGATCAGGGTTCTGTTTCGTGCCCAGCCTTCGCCGCGTCGAGCCGTTCTGAAGGTTGCCAAGCGTTGATGTCATACCCGCTCTTTGCCCCGCCACCGGCAAGGATGAAGTTGGATACCTTAGCGTTGCAACGGACGACAGGATGTTAAGCCGTCCACCCGAGGATTAATACATGAGACGTAGTAAATGATGCAGCCAGACAATGAACTTCGAATACCCGGACTTTGTTGAAATGTTCAGAGGGCCGACCATGTAGCCAATCAAGCAAGAATATCCACTGAACAGGGCACCACAAATTAGAACAAAAAGCATGCAGATACGAAAGTGTCGAACTAGAAAAAGTACGACGCCGCACTGTTTCTAGTGCTTGGCTAGTAGCCTTATACTGTCTAACAGAAAGCAAAGCCGTATATTGTTTTAATGGCACACCTCTAGTTATATGCCGCTAAGGCCTTTAAAGTGTTCTCAAAATAGATCCGGCCCTTCTTCCTAGCTGGCTTTAAAAACCCTTAACGTCCTCTATACTTCATCACCCTGTAGGCTTGAATGAGTCCGCTCTAAATTCGAAGTAGTATAGTATCATACTTACATTTTTAGCCGAGGTAGCAAATGCTAACCTCTATATCTCAGATTACAGACTAATTATTTCTCCTAGACCTTGACGGCCAGCTCCTTTCAGTTCTCCCGGTCATATATCTGATCTTCGTAAAGTCTCTCTCTATTTCATATTTTTTGGTACATATCATTAAGATCGGGTGTTAATCACTACAGCGGCGGTAATCCTCAATTAGTATCGCCGAGTTTATAGTGGTTGCAGCCTAGCGCTTGGACCCAGTGTCGGATAACGGTTAGCGCTTACCAAATGAATATAAGTATGAACGACCATCCTCCGTGAGCTTTACTGAAATTGCAGCCATGGCGCAACTTCCGCAAGAGTTAGTAGAGCATATCGCTTTCTACGCCGATGGCGAAACACGAAAAAATATGGTGACAGTATCGTCAAGTTTCCAGGCTGCTGTTGAGAGGCATGTATTTGACAGAATCTCACTGAAAAGCAAAGACTTGAAGCGGTTCCAGGCACTATATCACGGTCACCGCACTCGATTCCTCCACAGTATCGTCTTTACTATCAAGTTCCCCAAGTTAGAGAACACGGATGATGAGGATGAGCCGCTGCCCTGCAGGGAGTCACTCGAAGACATCCAGTCGATTGACCAATTCTTCACCCGCCATATCAAGCAGCTGTTCAACGCGATCAAGGCCCTCGAGGAGCAGAATCCGTCAACAATGGACGGCATTTCCCTCACCATCAGGGTCACCCGCCCCTCAGACTACAACAAAGAAGCCGACTACTGCGACCACCGCCGCTGGCCCTGCTGGCGCCTGCACCTCCTCTCCCCCACCTCCCTCCCACCCCTCTCCTCCATCCGCTCCCTCTCCTTCCAGGACGCCTTCCCCTCCTACTACGACGACTGGGGCGGCGAGCGCTCGCGCCACCTCGACATGCGCGCCCTCCTCGACCTCGCCGCCAAACTGCCCAACCTGCAACACCTCCGCACCCGCGGCCCCCTCGAACGCTTCCCCGTCTCCTACCTCCGCGACGAAGCCACGCAATGCCGCCGCGTGTGGGAGGGCCCGTGGTGCGACACCCGCCTGGCCTTCGCCGCCGCCGCCGCAGCACTCAACCACGTCCTGCCCCTCGGCACGTTGACGACGCTCAAACTCCACTTCTTCGCCGCCGACCAGGCCAGCATGTGCGACCAAACCCGCCCGCTACCCGACCTGACCGACGGCCGGCCGCGCGGCCACGACCCGCTCAGCGCCGCGCTGCACGCCCTTTCCCTCAACCTCGTCGAGCTCGACCTACGCGCAGTCGTCGACCCCTCCCTATTCTGGCCCTCCTCCTCCTCCTCCCCATCCTCCTCCCCGCCGCCGTCACCACCGCACTGGCCCCGCCTCCGCCGGCTGCGCGTCGAGTTCCACAACTGCACGCCGGACGGGTCGTGGTACTTCGACGCGCCCCATGGGCACCCAGACGACAACGACCGCAGAGGCTTCCCGGTCACGGAAACGCACTACCCCCCGCTCGGCCCGGACCCGCACCCTGCCGACGCGGCGTGGGACGAGTACTGGAGCTACGTCGTCGACGACCTGGAGCCGGACGTCTTCCGCGTGCGGCCGCGCGAGACACGTATCGAGCCGCTGCTGGTCGCGTTCGGGCGCGCGCTGGGGTGCATGCCGCGACTGCAGGCGGCGGAGGTGTTTACGTGGGTGGGGTGGGCGCCGCGCGGGGAGGAGGAGAGGGAGGGGGAGGCGGGGGAGGTGTATGGGGTGGAGGAGGTGGGGAGGTGGCGGAATGGGTTTGTGCATAGGTGGGGGGTTGGGGTTGAGGTGGGGAGGGAAGGGAGGAGGGCGAGGGTGAGGTGGGAGGTTGGTGGGTGGAGGGCGGGGGAGGAGGTGGGGAGGGTGTTGAGGGGGGGCTTGGGGGAGGAGGGGGTGGAGGTGGAGGAGGTGTGGGTGCCGTTTGCTTTGATGGATAGGAGGAGGGAGAAGGAGGAGGGGAGTGGGTGGGATTCGTTGCTTTGAGATGATGCTGAAGAATACGGTATATTGTCTTTGAGAGCCCTTGGATAGGGGAGTAGGGGAGCTATAGAAGCAGAAAGAAATAGACTTCCAATATAGAATCTAGTTTCAGATGATGGTAACATCGCGAAACTCTACGCTCTCGAAAACAGCTTGATCGAATTCCTCAAACAGCCCCACCCGCCGATATATCCCAGCTTCTTCGGTCGGAATCAGTAGCAGACCAAGTCCTGTCTTCCAGTACTGACTTTGTTCGAGTAAGGGAACCAGTAAGAGCATGAGGATCCCCTCCACCGCCGCCTTCGGAAATTCACTCATCCAAAGTCCGTCGTCAACTGGTACTATCCAGTCTGTCCAACATCGTGCTATAGCCTTTCCATCAAGCGTCGCTTTGTAGGAACCCTCAAAATTCCGATGCTCAGCTTCAGGTGCCATCTCGCTCAACCTTCGCACCTTCCCGGATGCCCGAATGTGGCCGCTGCTTACTCGACCGAACTCATTCAGTCCATCGACTTCGACCCCCGCATCAAGCATCACAGCCTCGAGGGGTTCTCTTGGTTCCTGGGGGAGTCTTTCTCGAGAAGGAGCATGATAAAACCGGTAATCCACGGGGCCCGACCCTCTCGCCCAAGACCACGATGGCGCGGAAAGTTGCACACACCCTGTTCCGGTCAATGCGCCATCGGTCGTGCTTAGAGACTCTAGGAGTTTAGATTCGGGAATTGGTGTAGTTTGCCAGAGAAGACCTCGGTGCAGTTCTTCACGCCATAACCCAGCCAGGTAATGGCACCCAGTCATATCCGCGAAAGCTTTGGCGTAAGACGAAAACGCGGGCAAACGGTCGGACTCGAAGCTGAGATTCCGTTTCGTGTAGCTTTGGACGACAGAATACCAGCGGGAATCAAAACGGCTGTTTGGTCCCTCAAGGTCTTCGGTCCGAAGATGGCTGAAACTAAAAGACCCGTCCCCACGCTTCTCCGGCTTCCTTTGGGGCGTGTCTTCGGCCCACAACATTCCATGTGACTCGAACAACATCTTTTGTTGCCCAAAGTAAAGCTTTTTCGCGGCAAACATAGCCTCTTGAAAGGTCCAGCCCCTGGTAATCCACGTTGAAGACCATTCCATGCCCCAAAGCTCTAAAGCTGGACCGTAGTCGGGTTTCCGCAGAAAGTATTTCCCCTCCACCCCGGGCTTCAAGGATGAAGAGTGACGAACCTCGGCAGTCAGCGCGGGCGATCGTTTTGAAAATCCATCGTGGCAAGATTTGGATGCGATCGGGACGATGGTGACGGCGGCTCCCTGGTAAATCTCCGACATCTTTACGGCTTCGCGCTCCCAATCCTGGATATCGTCTTGGACGATGCACAGAGAATCAATCCAGAGATACTTGATGTCAAGCTTTCGCACGGTTTTCACAGCATCTCGATAGGTTGCTGGCATGTCTTTGTCCGAGAACCCTTCCCGTTGCCAGAGTTGTATTTTGGTTTTCGTCGTCTTCAGAGGTGGATCTTTGGGATCGCCCCAGCAATGGCTAAGAGCGGCGTATTTGATCGGCTCTGAATGTTGGAGACCTTCGAAAGTATGAACCAACCGACATCCAACGGCATCGTCTGCGGGGCTAACGTCAATGAGTCTATTGGCAACTGTTGAACTCTCCTCCATTGGATGCAGATTCAACCACTTCTTCATCGTCGAAATCGTTCCTTCAGATGACAGAAAATCCTCGGGGATTGTCCTCTTTTTTATGCCTAGCCACCTGGCACAATCACCTCACGTTTTTTCTGTCAGCTGATTTTCAAGAGTTGAATAAGTTGGCATACCTGGTTCTGCGAAAACATCGAACTTGAAGTGTCTATGGCCGTCCTTGTCGTCCCCGGAACAAGACTCCTCCTGTTCAACAAAAGACTCATCTGCAGACTCATTCCCAGACTCAGATTCTCCCGAAACCCAAAATCCGAGTATTAAGCGTTCCAGACATCCACCCTCCCACTCATACCAGAGCTCGCTCAGTTTAAACTTCTTGTGGTTGGGGAACCATTGAAGAAATTCTTGCCGGATTAGACTACAGAACTCACAAACACCAACCATAGATTCTAGATATGCAAACGTTACGTCTTTCCGATATTTCAGGTGTAACTTCTTCACCTCCCGGCTTTCAGTAACTCTTTGTGGATCAACAACGAACCAGAGGACCTCCTCTCCTTCTTCGTTCTCTTTTGAATAGCCGCCATGGTCTTTTTCGTCGAACTCGAGGACTTTACAGTCATCGCATAGCCCCATTTTCGTGAGGTGCCATGAAGACTATGGAGGAATAGGTGAGGAAACGAACGTGATGGAATTTTCTATTGTATATTCGGCCAGCCTCACCGACTCTTTATAGCCTGAAAGACTCCTCTGACTTTAGCGTAAGACACGTGGCAATTGTGGCTTTTTCCCTGCGAGTGAGCCTTATTGGGGGCCAAAATGGCGTTGGTGGCGATACGGATCGACGATAGCATCATGATACAAAGCCGGTCCCGAGGGTCGCCTTTTTGTCCCCATTGGGCTTTAATGCGTGGCATTGCAGTCAAGAGTGTGTAGAGTAGTCTCTTCTATAGAATGAAAACACTTGAAAAGCACCAGCATTCGCAGCGTAGTACGGCATGGTCCAGACTCTGAGCGTTCTTCACACCTTCAGCCTCTCCACAAACTTTACTATGCTACCACCTAAAGCAGAAAGAGATACGAAAACTAGTGAGAGTGCTATATAGGGATTGCCGAAGATACCTTCATCCAATGGATGGTTACTGAAAAAGCACGTCCTCCACATCACTAGGCCAAATACCATAATGGAAGGCGAATAGTCCTCTACCACTCTCTTGAAAAGCGGAAACACAGGTATGGACACTTGTAGGTTGGCGCAAGATGCACAAGAACCAGCTGCACACAGAACTAACTGTTTGTGATATAGCCAAGGGTCAACGCTTCGAAACATGTCTGATGTTTGCCCAGATTTGAGAGATGCCTTTTGATTTTGGCTGGTCTTGACATCCGTTCTTGACACTCGTTGTTCTATGAGTGATCGGAGCTCCTTGAACCACATCTGTGGTAGAGTGAGAGGGTGATGTCTGCGCAGGCTCAGTAGGGTCGAACGAGGCAGAAACGTCAGCCACGTAGCAGGTTCCGCAGTCATCCACCACACGGTGTACATCGACTTGGATGTGATCGTTGCCTAACGACATTCGCACTCCGGGTGATTTTGGATTGAAAGACGTAGCAAGCTTTGACAAGAACCCTTCTTCTAACTGGATCAACGGTGATTGCTTTGTCCAAGCCTTGGCAAGTCCCAACAAGGACGGCTTAATCAAGTCTTCGGTCCACTCAAGAACATCGACAGCGATTGGTAGTTGGTCTGACGAACCAATCAAGACGGCGAACTTTGTACCCTCACCAGGATGGTTACGTAATGGCGACTTATGATGGTCCACTGGGGTCTTCCGCTCAAGTAGAAGAGCTACAGTTACCTTTTGACTCCAGGGGCAGTGAACGTAGACTCCATTGCCAAGATCCCATCTGTATGCGCCGAAGGTTACGTATTTCTCATATCCTTGCTCCGAACTGGGTATCTGGCGTAGTTTCAATATGTCACTAGCGTGTGACTTTCCGGGATTCCACAGCTCGATATTTTGCCGCACGTATATCAAGCAACCCACAGTACCAGAGCCCATTCTTCCGACAAATTCGTGCGCTCTGATGCGCACGTACTGCTCTGTATCCACAGACTTCTGTACATCATGCGATCTGACAGGAATGTTCTGCTTTGTATCCAGAGACTTCAGTACGTCATGCGTTCCGCTCGTCCTTCTCAGGTAGATGCCAATGAATCCTGGGCGAACTGTGGGTTCAGTACAATTGAGTACTACGGAATAAACATTCGCTTCATGGTGTTCCAGGCGCAGAGTTATCTGCAATCCTTTGTTGGTCATAGAGAAAGGTGGACGAAGTTTTGGACGGTATGGAACGAAGTTTCCAGATTTTTCGAAGCATGCGGGTGATTTTGCAAGCAGACCGTATGGATATCGCGGATTGGTTGCGGCGTCCTTTTCCCTCCACGCAAACAGAGTCTCGTCGTCGGTGTTTCGCATGATCTCTTCTTGCAACCTGATGAAAGCCTTGCTCCCCTCTCCGTATATCATCGGCATGTTGACGTCGAACAGGCCCATGAGGCAATAAGCCTGGTCTTCCAACCTCGTTGTCCGTCGTTTCGCCGCCCAAGACATCCTCTTGGCCACGCTCACAGACCCCAAGTGCGTTCTGCCGGTAAGCACATGCACATCGATCCCTGTCGCCCGAGAAAGAACAGTAGTCAAGGTTGATTTAGCGCCGAGGCATATCCAGCCTTGCGAGAAAAACTCCAAGTGTGCGGGGGCAACCAGCTCTTGCAGCGTCCATCCTCTCCGAAACCATTCGCTCTGGGCGAACACAGCATCTTGCTCTGGATCAATCCCATCAGGCACGTCGAACAGGTATACGTAGCAAACGGCGGCCTGGTTGTACCATCTGTACATGGAGTTGATAGCCTCGGAAAGCTCGGCGCTGCTGCTTTTGTCGATGCAGCAGGTGTCCACCCAGACGTAGGCAAAGCCGTCGCGCGACGCCTGCAGACAAGTTTCTTCAATTTTCTTGTAGCCCAACTTCTCCGACGCCTGCCCACTCGCGATGTCTTCGAAGAGGACTTCGCCATCCTGCCACCTGTGTGAGAGGATGGCGTAGGGTGGGACGGCCGAGTCCACAAAGGTCTCAAGATGGAGAGTAGAGCAGTTGAGAAGGCGCATGGTCGTAGTTTACTGAGTTTGACTCAGGAGCGCCGGTGCAGCAGTTGTTGGGTGGTGTTATGGCTTTGATGAACCGTGTTCTTTGCCATGGCTGCAGCCTAGGCGGGTTACACCAGCCGTATTATTCATCATGTATATGCGCTACTATCAGCTCTACGTTACACAGAAGTCCACAGAGAAACTTACGTCTTAGGTTGGCTAGCGCATAGGTGCTGGATGTTTCCAGGTAAAGTAATGTTTCAGCAGCGGTAGTTAGCTCCTTGAAAATTGAGTGCCTCTCCTTGAACCACTTAGTCAGGTGAGCGATGTCATGCAGAATCCTTCCTAGCATACTTTTTTTAATTGTGTTAGAAGAAAAGAGGATGAAAATGACTGAATTCTAGTATAGAAGAATGGTATGAAACATGGAATAATGATCCGAAAGAGTCTACAAAAGTACTCCAAAGTTTTTTCCACATAAATCATTGTTCGTCAACTTTGCATAAGCTCCAAACTCGTCATCGGCAACTTTCTTTGTCGGAACCCAGACTGCGAATACCTGATAAGCAGGTCTGCGGAGCTTCTCGCTCTCGGAATCGATGTGAACTGCTTCATACAAGAGAGTTGATGGGTGATCGTCGTATCCTCCCATAGATACCGTAATCGTTTTTCTTCCCCCAGATAGTATGTCCTCTATATGGACATCCCCTCGACAGAAACCTACCCTAGGTAGCCACCTCTCGCCGTTCTGGATTAAAGAAAAAATCAATTGTACATTCTTCTTCTCGCAGTACTCCGAATCTAACTCCAAGGCGGCAGTGACCACATTGTAGATTGCATGGTAGATCAGTCTCGGATTGCTTGAATCAATCAGATCGTCTAATTCCTGAGCGTATGCCTCGTCCTCGTCAAAAGGCTCTCTCCTATGATGATCGCAGAGAAATTTCATGTACCTTTCGATTGGCTGGATCCTACAGACATATCGTGTTGAAGCCGCGATTACTCGGGTGCTTTGCGTGGCATCCATCGTGGTATAGGATTCTCGCAAAATCCGTTCAGTTGCATAGCTAACCGCTTGGACCCTGTTCTCTTCCCAGTGAGACATGATCTGGCGAAAGTGCTCGATGACCATTCGTGAAACAAATCTGTTGGATAGATCGCTAGAATGTTCATGCTCATGCGAAAGCATCTCCTGAAATTGGTTTACTAACATTGTATAACTCCTGGCGCTTGTTGAAAGAGATGGTTGGGCCGCGTCATGGAGTAACACAGGAACAAAACTCTGCATTTCACGCGAGACTGGGAGTGCGAGGCCCTCCATGGTCAGGACCCGATATACGTCCACATCGCAGTGTGGATCAATTTCCGAGAGGTATTCCAACGGGTTCCAAAGGGCAGATCCGGCTGACTCGCTGTCAAACAGGCCTCGTGGTGCGGTGACCGCAATGGTCATCCGATGATTGCATTGAAGCTGGTCAACCGCGTCCTGCATCAATTCTGCGACACTCATAGACTTGTATGCCTTGGGGACAATGTAGTTGGGACACGCCGTCCAGACAGAGATGATGTAGTCTCGTGCTCTAGTTGCCTCGCGACGAGTTCGACGTCTGCCACGCTGCCCACCAGCCTCGTACGATAGCCGTAAGAGAAACTCCATGACCGGAAAGGATTCGAAACTGCTATGATGTGGCTTTCTGAACTGCTCGCCTCGCAGGAAACGGTAATATTGTTCCTCTTCTCCACCACGGGATGATGAGCCCAAATAGTGAAGCAAATCCCTCGCGATTGTGGAATGCATTATTTGAAGGTAGTCGAAGATAGCACGAAAGGCTGTCTTTTGCGAGAAATTGTTCCTAGTGAGAATCTCAAGCATGTTTCTCTGAAATGGAGGAAGAGTCTCCACATTAATGTCGGGATCTCCATCATTCAAAATGGCGCATGGGTTCTCGGTTTTTGATGCCCAGACGCACCGAATCCGCTGCGAATTCATGAATTCTTGACGTGGCCACATCCGTAGACTCCACGGAGACCCTCCCAAGCTTAAACACCTATATTGCCGTCTTAAACATTCTTCAACTTGCCCCTGATCTTTCCGGCCCTGGTCGTCGTTCGGGAGCATATCTAGCTGCTCAACAACCCTCGGAAGACAGCTACAGGGGCTCCCCGGAAAGAGAACGACGACATCCAGAGAAGAAAAGATGGAAGGAATATCGGCGAGTGTTTTCAAAATTTTGTCTTCTTCTTGGGGAATGCACAATTGGTCCATCCAGACGGGCTTCGCTTCCGACAGCTCGGCAAGGCGGTTCACGACGTCAGAGATGATCCATTCCGTGCCCAGCTCGAGCTGAATGGGTTCTGCGGGCTGAACAGTATGTCCGACAGTCCTTTTCTGTCGATCGAACTCTCCCCAAGCGTAAGAGATGGCCATGGCGTTGTCGCGATGCAGTGGAACGTCAACCACATCAACAAGCAGGTGGGGGGTCGTTGCAAACGAGCATGCTTTGTCGCGACAGATCCTGAGCTTGGCGACTCGAGCTTGCTTCTGCCTGTCGGTACCCATCAAGGATGCTCCCCAGCTTCGAAAGATAGATAAGCAGATAGCCATCAAGGTTGCTCCTAAAAGAATGGACAAGTAGAGACCCGTAAACAGTAATCTCCAAAGAATAGACAAGTAGGTGCCCATCTTTTATCGTTGATGCCGGACGTGAAAGCCGTGTGGACAGAGAAGGGGGCGAGAGTGTTGAGGATTGCAAGTCTGACGAAGAAATGAAAAAGCAGAAGTCGTCTACTTATTCAGTGAAGTTGGTAAGCAGACAGAGTTCTCGGAGTAAGCATGCGGGGTATTCGAGTAAGCAGCTGTCTGCAGCCTAGACGCGGCATCCAATGCTGTCCAACCACGTATTATGCGAGGCCCAAAGTACAGCCATAAGACAACGAATCGATGCCCACCATCGCAAAAGTGCCCTTATCGGCGTTTTCGAGGGTACACTGGTACTTCATAAGATGCGAAACGATCACCGATTCAAGAAGAGAACCTTCAGCAAAATAAGCTTTGCGCAAATAATAAATAACACATTATCTAAGCAGACCAGCGATCGATCCGCCCGGATGCTAAAATCAGATAAAGTTGCAGCTATAAGACATCCTCCAGAATAAATCATTAACCTTGTTTCTTCTTCTTCCTCTGCTTCTTCTCCTTCTTCTTCTTCTTTCCTCCTTCCCATCACTTTTCCCCCACCGCGCCGCTTATGCGTACGTCGGCGCACCGGCGCTCTCACCATCCGCACCGCTCTCCGTCTTCTGCGCACCAGTAGCACCGTACGACGGCTCCGAAGTCTCGCCCTCCGTGCTCTGAGCAGTAGTCGTCTTCTGCGAACCGGTAGCACCGTACGACGGCTCCTTTGACGTAGTGTTGCCCGTCTCGCCCTCAGTGCTGCTCTCAGTCTTCTTCTCCTCCTCCTTGGCCGCCGGCTTGTCCTCGGTGGTGGTGGTCTTGGTGGTGGTGGTGGTGGTGCTCTTCTCCTCCTCATCACCGCCCGTCACGACGTCCGTCGTGGCATCCAGATCGACCGGCGGCAGGGCGAAGGGCGGGTTGATCGGGCCGGCCGAGGTGTCGACGGGGGAGGCGCCGTAGCTGGGCTCCGCAGCCGCGGGGGTGGTGGTGGTGGTGGTGGTATCCGTGTTCTTCTGCGCGCTGCTGTCCGCGCCGTCGGTCTCCGCCTCCGTCTCGTCATCAGAGTCCGAGTCAGAATCCGAGTCCGAGTCGGACTCCTCGGCGCCGTACGCGGGCTCCTTGTCGGAGTCGGAGTCGGACGACGAGGAGGCGCCGTCGACGTCGGACTCAGAAGCGGGCTGGGTGGCGCCGTACGAGGGCTCGTCCGCGCCGGAGGAAGTGGCCTTGGTCGACGGGGCGGTGCCGTAGTTCTGGCGGCGGGTGAGACCGGGGTCGGTGACGGGCAGGCCGGAGACGGGGCTCAGGTCGATCTTCAGGTCCAGGAGGTCCTTGGTGCCGCGGGCAGCCAGGTTGCCGGCGTTGAGGGGCGCCGCCTGGGAGGTGGCGACGAGGAAGAGGAAGAGCTTGATGAGGGCCTGTTTCTGCATTTTGGTGGTGGTTGGGGTTGAGGTTTTTTGGTTGGTGGTAGGTTGCCGAAAGAGGAAACGAGTGTGTGGTTTTTGTTTAACGAAAGTGGGTTGTTGGAAACGACTGGAGGCTCTTCCTGAATGTAAAGGGAGCTGTTTCTGCTCGGGGGGAGAGAGGAGGTGTGCGTCTTTATTAAATCAATACTTGCTCTCTTGGGGAGTCCGTGATGCTGGCGATCCCCTTGTCGGGACGACGCCCCCGTGGGTAGGGCATCCGTGCTTCCGGCTCCAATCAGCAGCTTAGTGGCGCCATGAGCCTCATGTTGGCCACTGTAAGACGGCGGTTTCGCCAAATCATGTCGCTCAAAGTTGGTAGCCACACCAGACGAAGGCCGTAACGGGCTAGCAGATGCATCCTATCGCATGCGCTATCCGTTCCCCCCGCAATTTCCAGAATCCTACCTTAAATGAAGTTGACCCCTAATAGCAGCCAGCGCCGGGCAGCACTGTTGATCAGCCGGAGCTTTAGCTATTGACGCGCAGTAGCGGTGACCAAAGTCTGTCTTTGGGTTGGGCATGTTCGCATCTCGCCCTGACCAATAAAATAGGAGAAAATCTTGGTCGGAACAACGGCCATCACTTGCGTGCAAATCGCATCTTTAGCGCGGCGTGAGAGGCAAATGAGGAAAGCGGAAATTGGTCTGTACGTCATTTTCTAAATTAAGATCGGCGGCCAAGGGGGGAAACGTGAACGTTGCGACCCGTGCTTTAGGGCCTGGGACGTGTTCCTCCTGCCGGCCACCGAACGTTTTCCAACCCAACCGACCGAAGTTTGTACCTACACAGGCCGTCTGATGTAACAGTGGTAGGTGTGGGAGTGAAAATCCATCAGCTCATCCAATACAAAGACGCGGTGATCGGGAGCTGCATAGCCGCACCCTTGAACAACACATGTTCTCAACAACATTATTTGCATTGCCTAATTGGTAGTGCATGAGAATATATATTACTTTGGTAGCTTATCCAACTAGACTCTTATCGTATGGCGGGGTGGATCAGCTCGGGCCGCAGAATCCTACTGCTGCACGTCGCCACGTTCTGGCCAGAATGGCGCTGTCGCTCACTGTCAGCTTAAGGAATATGAACTGCACTTTGACTCACATGTGTTCTATTACCACGGCGAAGGAGCTGATTGCAAATACTGAAAATAGCGAGTGTGCAAAAGGGCTGTGTACGCTTCCAATTATTGAGTGCACCATCTCTGCTCGAATACTTTGCACCATTCTCCACTAAAAACCATGAGGAGCGGCTGAGGGGGAACTTCGGGAGGGGGCTGTGATGCACCTCGTGTGCACTGACCACTATCCTGAGTAGCTGATAGACTGATAAAGTTATTCATAAGGTAGCCAAGCATTTGCTACCCCCGTTCTTAGAACTAGCTTTTATATTTAGTACTGAGGACTCTTCGCTTCACCATGCTCGAAAGACCTCATACAAGTGATGACCACATGGTCTTATAAGCATAAGAGCCAATCGAGTCTATTAGAGTTAAGTGGTAGATAGTCGCAAGTAACGCAGGCCCTTTAAAACGTTAAAACACAGCCGAGATTACAAACGCCCTGCGTAACAAACCTTATACTTGTGGGCCTCCACCCCGCACATCTCGCTTCTCAGCCCCATTCCCCAGAAGGCTGGAAGCTGGACTCCGGCGATGTTGTCCAGATACAGATCAATGTAGGATCTGGAAAGGAAGCAGAACAAAAGCTGTATTTCAGCGTAGCTGTAACGGCAGCGAGGTGTGGGTATAGTGTCCTCTTACTGCACCATCAACTAAATACAAGAATAAAAAAATCTCCTCTGCGAACACTTTCAGCACCTTCCCAATGCTCAACGACCACCATCTTCCCCTTCCCTTTCTCGGATATCAAACACACTACACAACCATCCTCCATACTTTCTTGTCCCTCACGACGAACCCCCCGTCGCCTGCGGCAGCGGCGCAGCCTCGCGCTTGCTCATGTCCGGCTGGCCCTCCTTCTGATCCGTCGGCTCGGGCGCAGGCGCAGCCTCACGCTTGCTCGCCTTCGGCGGGGCGTCCGACGGCTTTGGGGTATTCGGGTCCGACGGCTGCGGCTCTGGGGCGCGCTTGCTCACGTTGCCCCCCTCCGTCGGCTCAGGCGCAGGCGCAGCCTCGCGCTTGGTCACGTCCGGCGGGCCCTCCTTCTGGTCCGTCGGCTCAGGCGCAGGCGCAGCCTCACGCTTGCTCACGCCCGGAGGGGGCTTCGACGGCTCTGGGATCGGGTCCGACGGCTGCGGCGCCGGTGCGCGCTTGCTCACGGGGCCGCCTGCTCCCTCCGTCGGCATGGGATCAGCCTCGCGTTTGCTCACGGGGCCGCCTGCTCCATCCGTCGGCATGGGATCGGCCGCGCGTTTGCTGTTTTCCGGCGCGTTGGGCTTGGTGTTGACTTCGACGGCACGAGCAGTGATGGCGGGCATGAGCGCCTCGCGTTTGGTGATGCCCGGCTCCTTTGGATCGGAGACGACTTCGGCGGCGCGGGGGTCGAGGGCAGCAGGGCCGAGAGCGATGGCGGTGGGCTCGGGTGATGGGATGGGTGCCGGAGCGGGCGCGGCGAGGGTGGTGAGGCCCAGGCAGCAGAGGAGAAGGGCGGAGGATAGGCAGCGCATTTTGGCTTTCGTTGGTGGTGTTTGAGGGTGGATTGGAGAGATAGGAGGAGGTGTGGGTGTAAGTGATGGGTTGGTTTGTGATCAGATATATATCCCTGTCTTTGGTGGTGACGGGGTAAAGAAGGTGGGAGAAAAACGAGCTGAAGTCCACAAGAGTGGTTAAAGAGAGACTCGAATGAGATGGATGCCTTGAGCTCAACGGCCATCCACCGTTTTCTTTATATACACCACATCTTCTGATCAGGCCCACAGGGCTCTCGGCATCAGCCGCAGTCGTGCCGGGGTTATCGCGAGAGGGAAAGACTTAAGGTTCGAGCCTCTGCCCGTTGTGATTTTAAGCTCAAACGGTAGATTGCTTTTTTCCCCAATCGACGCCCACACCCCTGCCACTCGAGTCAAGACTTCAACGCCTTACGTTCCTTGAAAAGACGTTGTGACACAGCTGAAAAGTCCGTGTTATCTCGTGCCCAGTGCAACGAAGTCAGTTCTGCCTCACGATCTTCGGTAAGAAGTCCGCAAGGAGTCCAGCCCAGACGGCCACCTGACAGGATAAAATTACACTCTTCGGTGTTTCACAAGGCGCAGCAGCTCTTTCAGCTACGTGGGCGGTCAAAAATAGCAACCGTATGTAGGTGCAGACTCCAATTCTGAATCAGAGGGTCAGGCGGAGCACTTGATTTGCTGCAGAGGTGTCTTAAAATATCCAGCGTGGCGAATTAAAGACGAGTGAAATCAAGCTATTTTACAACTCCCAATGGCGACCAAGGCGTGGCTGGCTCTCATGGACGTCTCCAAAACAAACCGGCCATGCACAAAATATGCACAAAATAGAAAGTCATGTTTCCAAGGCGACGAAGAATAGTAAACAGTAGTCTATTCGGTCCAGTACGTGATATCATAAACGCTCAAACAAAGCACACTAATGCCAGATGCCGGCATCTGCCAAAACCCCGCCCTATCGGCTGTCGCTCGGGCGACTTGAAACAAAAAAAGAAAAGAAAAGGACCGCAAAGCCCACGTTTCGTGGGCGTAAGCAAAGAAGTCCGGTCAGCCTAGCGAATCCCATCCCATCAGCCGAACACATGGCTGAAGCGACATACGCCAGAATCCTCAACCAAAAAACAAAGAACATCTTGCCAACCAATCAGCCTTCCCCCTCTCTTGCTCAATTTCATTCCACCCACCTCTCCCCACCCGCCTGAAACCTCCACCTCTCCGCACCGTCGTCCGGCACCCGCTCCCACGGCGGTTTCTCATCCAGAAAAATCCGCATCGCAATCCTAAAGTCCTCCGGCAGTCCCTCATCCACGGTACTCAGCGCGAGCCAGACGACGCCCTCCAGCGGGCCATCTGGCTGCGTCCTGTACCGCATCCACACGGGCGCACCGCATCTTTCGCAAAACGCCCGTACCGCCTTCCGCGAGAAAGCCGGGGCCAGCCTCAATACACGCTCCGAGTCCTCCAGCCACGTGACATCCTTCACGTTAAACGCAACGAACCCATTACCCCCCATGCCACCCATCTTCTGACACGTGCGGCAGTGGCAGAAACTCGAGTCGTTTGGGCGGGCGGTGCAGACGGTGTAGCGGACGTCGCCGCAGCGGCAGGAGCCGGCGACGGGCGGCTTGCGGGCGGTCGTCAGCCAGACGCCGTCGACCTCCTTGACGCCGTGCGGCACGTCCGACCTTTCCGCCTCGAGCAGCCACTCCTCGTAAAACAACCGGCGTGCCTCCTCCCACTTGGGCCCGCGGTTGCGGCCGAAGCCCCTGCCGGACTCGCTGCCGATCATTTTCGCGAACTGCGCTTCCATCTCGCGCGCGTCAGTTGGCAAATAGCGCTCGCCGTACCCTTCCTGGGTGATGAGCTCGGTGGCGAGGACTTGCAGCCCTGCGGCGCCGGAGAGGAGGTCGGGGAGGGAGAGCTCGTCGAGGACCCAGGTGCGGTGGTAGGGCACGGCGACGCCCATGCGGCGGCCGACGCGCTCGAGGACGATGCCGGCGAGCTGGTTCTGCGGGTGCGGCACGTCGAGCGCGAGCAGGCCGCCGGGCTTGAGGTAAGGCAGCCAGCTGCGGATGGCGGCCTCGGGGTCTGGCAGCAGCACGAGGGCCGAGGCCATGGTGATGAGGTCGAAGCTGCCCTTCTCGGCGGCTAGGGCATCGAGCGAGTCCAGGTCCGTGACGCTGTGCTCGAACAGGCGCACGTGCTTCCAGCGGTCGGGCTGCGGCTGTTCTTTTTCCGCATCGCCACCGTCATGATCGGCGTTGTTGTTGTCATCGTCGACGTTGACGAGCAGCAAATCTTCATCTTCCACCTTTTTCTTCTGACGCTGATGCCGGACGGGCGCCGCCCCGCTCTCTAGCTTCCGGCGCGCTTGCGCTAGCATACCACCACTAACATCGACGCCGGTGACGGAGCCCGTCGGCCCCACGCGCTCGGCCGCGAGGAATGTCAGCAGCCCGGTGCCACAGGCCAGATCGAGCACCTTGGCGCCGGGCTCCAGCTGCAGCCGGTCCACGAAGGCCTGCGCAAACTGCGGGTGCCAGGAGTCGTCGTAGCTGGCCGCGCGCGCGTCATACAGCCGCTTGGCCGCCGCCGTCTGCGTCTCCACGGCCAGCGTGCCTTCCATGATGGCCGCGACGCGCAGGCGCGCGACTTCGGTTGCGCACGTCATGGTTGTCGTTGCTGGTTCCTTTGCTCTTTTGCTGCTCTTCCTTCCCGCGTGCTGCCGCCGCGGTAGGCCCGGGGCGGTCGAATGATGAGGCTGTCGGTGTTAGTTCCAGGCGGCAACGGGAGACGGCTATGGAGCGGCTTTCGGCGGCAAGGAGACAGCGATTGGATGATTGATTGGTTTTGCGGGAGAAGTGGACGATGAGAAGCGAAGATGAAGGGAACACGAAATCAAAGAGAATTGGGCTTGCGATGGTGCGTCATAGGGCGATTATGGGCAGCGTATTGATAACGCCACGCGTGAGGTGTTTTGTCAGCATTTCAGCGTCCTGATTGGACGGTTCCGGAGCATATATGAGACGAGACGACTAGGATGTAAGATGAGCAGTGGTGGGAGACGGAAATGGGGTTGGAAACATTTCTGATGAGGGTTTAGCCAGCGAAATGCGAAACGCGCAGCCGCGGCAGTTGATCTGCGCCACGGCACCTCGTCCTCACTCGGTCAACGCAGGACAGGACCGTTGTTCGGATCAGCATCGACTACTGCAGGCGCGTTGGTGGACGAGGGAGAGCTTCTGCAGCTCGGCTCCATCGTCCGCCGTCGTCGTGGACGACGCTGGTTGCGTGGCGACCTAGCTCGACGGGGCCCAGAGACTGGACGACGCAGCTGCACGTCAAGCCACGCAGGGAAATAGTGGAATGACACTTTTTTGAAGGGTGGCGGGTGACTTTGGCTGCAAAAAGCTTCACCTGGGATGAAGCTGGAGGTGATGGTATGAGTGAAGTCACAGCAGCGCTGGAGAGACAGAGGGAGGGTCTGGGGCAGCCATTAGCAGCGCGTACCTGCGTGCATGTGGACCTGTTCGGCAGGGATGTTGCTGGCGTCGTGAGTGGCGTTGATGACGTCCCGGGAGTGCCTGTTTCACGCAGGGTTGAGATGTGGCAGCGCAGGCAGGCTGCACGTCAGCTCCCAGCCACCACGCTGGCCACCGTTGACAACGACAGAAAACCACAGCCAGCCCCTCGCCCAAAGCGTCGTCAATTTCGCACTCTCGTCTCTCACCGCCGCCGCCGTGACCCACCAGATCTCGAGCATCACGCACATCGTCGCGTGGGCGCATTAACCCCTCCGGCCCTACCACTATCGCTATCGCGGGGCCCTGGCTATCCACACCTAAGGCTGAACCCCAGCTCAAACACCAAGGCCCACCACCGTCGGAGGCTCAGGGTCCGCCCGCCAATCCGGCGCCACTGCATTCCTCGACCCCCCGCATTCCTCTCAGCATCGCGGGCGAGCGGTTGCCGGACGAGGCTATCGAAATAATGCTGCAAGAACCGGCGACTGCCGCCAGCTCACAAGCCACCGTCTGCTCGCTGCGAGCCCCCGCGCACGTCCCACCGAGCCACTCTCCGCGCTCCCCTTCTCGCCCGCACCGGTCCAGCCAAAGCGACCCCTTCTGCCATGTTAGCCTGCACACGCCCGAGCAAGCCCTCTTGACCCGCGAAGACACCAGCTACGACCCCGCCGCATACTCGTTCAAACCCGACGCAACCACAACACACCACCGCGCTCGCCAGAGCCCCAAGGCTCTCTCCACCGCGTTCATCGACGGTTGCAGACCGCTAGTTCACCGCGCTACCAACTCACTTTCCGCCTTCCAAAACCAGTCTCGAGCCTCGATCCCCTCGCCAACAAAGTCGTTCGCTTCTTTCATCCCTTCTCGCCGCGACTCCAACACCACACAAAGGCCCTCCGCATTAGGAGACTGGTTCCACGGCCCCTCCGCCCACCCTCACCCCGACCGTGACGACGACTCCGAGTCAGACATCGGCTCCGACTCCGACCTCGACTCCGACGACGACGCCATGGACGCCACTTCCACCCAGCGGGCCAAGTCCGTGAAGTCTCTCAAACGCGCCAGCACCCAGAGCTTCGCCAACACCCATCAGGCCCCCCAGAACACCTCCATATTCGCCTCATGGTTCTCCCGCAAGTCTGACGGCCGCAAGCGCGACTCCAGCATCCCGCAGGACCCGCTGTCCGTGCTGGACATTGAGAGCGCCCTCTTCCCCAACGGGCCCGCCGACCCGCTGGACCCGGCCGCCTTCCATGACCTGCACAAGGCCAGCGTCGCCCTCCTTCAGCAGTTCCAGCACTCGTACAAGGCCATGCAGCTGTGCATGCAGGACACGCGCCTCGAGGAGGACGGCCTGATCGAGGAGAAGAAGCAGGCCGACCTGCACGCCCAGGAATTGCAGATGCAGCTGGACAACCTCAGGGTCGAGTCGGAGCGCCGCGAGAAGGAGAACAAGGCCCTGCGCGAGGCCCTCGAGCGCGAGCGCCAGCTGCGTGCCGACGAGGAGGAGGCCCGCATCGCCTCGCTCCGCGCCGTCAGGGGCCCGGCCTGCACCAAATGTAACCGTAAGAGCGCGTCCAGCACCATCTCCAGCGAACCGAGCGGCGTCCTGAGCGATCGCGACTCAGGCTTCGAGTCCGAGGGCGAGACCATCACCGACGAAATGCGCAGCCGGCCCACCAGCATGGTCTCCGAGTCCGACATGCACGACCTCGACAGCAACGCCACTCCGAGCACCGCCCCGACCTCCGCTCCCAGCCCGGTCGAGCCGACCAAGCCCGCTCTCTTCAAGCGCAAGAGCGCCTTCGACACGGCCCTGCAGAAGAAGCGTGGTTCCAAGGCCAGCGGCGGCAGCGTCATGCCCGTCATCCTGACCGGCGCCGGCAAGATGAACGACAACTCGGGCCAGATGGACGTCTGGCGTGAGAACCGCGAGCTTCGGGAACGTGTCGAGAGCCTCGAGCGCACCGTCGATGAGGCCCTCGGAATCGTCGGTGGCCTCGAGGCCGGCATTGTCTACTAAAACCCATGACGACGCTTGTATGGTTTGTGGCGTTGCTGGTGTTGCGTACGAATTGGAAAAGAGAAATTTTTTGGATGATACCCTTGTCTAAAAAGACAAGCACGTTGGATTTTGGAGGAACCCAAGCAGCACGCAAAGAAAGAGGCATGCAAAGCTCGTTGTTGGATGAGGATGCATTTTTCATTTTACGACCCTGACCACTTTACATTATGGGAGTTGGCGTTTTTTGGAACCTCCGCATATAGACCAATGGGTTGGCTGGGAGTCGATTGGTTGTCTCTTTTTCCCCCACACCCCCCCACACCACCACATCACAATTCATCTTTCTTCATCAGAAACAGATTGTATACCTCTTTATATACCACCCAAGCCTTTAGTTACCCAAAACCAACCAAGACCTTACCACCCACAAAAACCTCTCTTCCGAAAAAAAGACCACCAGACAACCATCACCACATATTACCCACTTCTTACTCCCCCCTTTTCGTCTTTTTTTCGATTCTCCCGGGACTGCAGGTCTCCATTTCTTCGATTCCCCCCATGCCGATCACGCATGATTCTGCCGAGCCTTTGCTACGACAAACGCGACGGATTTCATTAACATTCTCTGTAGATTAGTTGTGTTTTTACGTTCTGTCGACGGGGATTACACCAAGATTCCTGCGTGGATTTTTGCCAAAATGAAAAGAAAAAAAAAGAAGTTTTGCCTTTTTTTTTGTTTGTCTTTTTTCCTAAAGGCTCTTCCCCACAACATTCGCATTCCAATTGGCAATTCTTCACGCTGTAATCTTTAATCTCTAATTCACATCTCTTTTTCAGAGATAATTGGACGGGACACATCCAAACAGTAGGGCATCTGGAATAGGAAAGAGATGGGAAGGAACACAACAAACTCATGAACGATAGAAGGACACGGTAAATTATTTGAACATGGCAACACACGATAAGATATCCCAACACGGTACCAGCAGGGTGGTGGTTTGTTCTTTTTTCCCTGTAGATAGAACACACAACAATAATGAATTTCGATTCTCCTTTTCTCTTCCTAACACCAATTTCCTCAACACCGATGAGAATTTCGCAAACGTTTGAAGAGAGAAGAACGTAATTCCAAATCTCGTAACTGGCAAGCGTATATTAAGGGGACAGAGCGAGCGCGCGGCCAACCAGCGAGATCGGGTTTCTGTTCGTTCTCGTTTCGAGGTGTGCACACCCCACCTACCTCCCCTCCCTCCCTCTCTCTTCAGGCATCCAGCCAAACACTACACCTGTTCCATACCACGTCACAGACGATCCCGCACCCCGGTCGCAGCAATTGCGGATAAAAGTACAGAGGCTGGGGGTTGACGGCTTGAGGTCTGAGACAAGTTATGTGTGTGTGTCTGTGTCCCCCGCCGACATTCCTCCCCCGCCCTGCATTTCGTTCGTCCTACCTGCCTACGCCACACGCGTTCCTGCCAGGCGGCAGCTCGCCTACAAGGTACGGAGATTGCACGTGCGCGGGGGAGAAGGAGGGGCGTGCGACCAGCCACGTGGATGCTGGAAGGGAAAACGTGCGAGGAGGTGCAATTACGCATAAATTGCTTTGCTGTCGTCATATACATGCGCCTGCTATAGTACTACTACTCTTCCCCTTGCGATACCGGAATGGGGGTAGCGGCCGTGACAGCTCCGGCTTTGATACCCGGGGGGAGAAAGGGAGGGAGACGACGTCGATGGGCGCGGCAGAGCAGTAGTAGCATGGTCGTAACGATCAATAATCACTATCACGCATCGAGACCGACAGCAAGTAATCAGAAATCCATCTGATATTTTTTTTTTCAATTCTAGATAATCGCGACCTTGTCCTTGCTTTTTCTCTCTCGTGCGTCAGGCGCCCAAAACGGTATCAAGACGGCCATTAACGTCACTGAGGCCAACGCCGCGTGGAGTGGTTGTTGTTGGTAGATGCGCGCGAAGTCACTCTTTACATGACAATGCAAAGAGGACCGGCGTTTCTGGTGGTGGGACCGAGAGGCATTTTTGGAGTTTGGAGGTTTGGAAGTTTGTTAAAACGAGTGTTGTCAGTTTGGTAACCGAAGTTTGGTGATTTCGAGAATCTGGGCCGGGGTCTGGCGGGTTAAATAGTTGGGAGGCAAGGTTGAAGGAGTTGCCGTTATAGGCTGTTTGTATTGTACTCTGGTGTTGCTTTGGTGATTGATATTGTGCTGGTTCTTTCATCATGTTGGTATTGTGTTCATATAGTTGGTAGCATTGCATTCTATCCTTTCTTTGACCGTTAATATTGTACCTGTTTCCTGGTTTGTGCACCACAATCATGGACCTGATGAGACTTCGACTTCAACAACGAAGGCATGGCAAAATCCTCAGTGTCGGAGAATTAATCAATGGCAATCCCAAGCTGAGGCGTATCTCATTTCTTTAGTTCCCCGATTCTGTGCTTTGGCAAGAACAGTAAACAAGGAAACCAAGACCAGCACATAGCCTTCTCTTCCACCATTTTTCTCCTAACTAGCAACATGAACCGAAAAAAATTCTCCACGCCAATCATTCCCATCACCACTCATTGTTCCTCAAAGATGACGCCAGCCACGCTAGATACCCAGCCCCCCTTGCAGCGCCCCTCCCCCGACGGCCGCCTGCATGAAGAACCGTCACACCACAACGGATTCTCACATTTCCCTCGTCCGAACTTCCCGTCCCCCATCTTCCCGTTCCGGGCGGTGCACCTGTCAAGTTCCACCACCGAGTACCGGAGTGGCTTGGGCCCACAGCCACGGTCACGGGATAGTATGCGCTGAGGGCTGTTCGCCACGCTACTCACGCCACTTACTACACAGTAGGAGTTTATCGGCAATGATCAAGCAGCAAGGCTTCGTCCGGTTTATACTGCAAAGAAGTCTGGCATTGCTCCCTCTCTTGGCCGTGAGCACCCGGCCAGGCCGTTTTTTTTTTTTTTTTGCAGCGCTTGAAATGATGCTTGATTGACCGACCCTCTTCTCCACCGTCCAATTGATAAAAAAAAAGATCTCACTCTCTTCAATCAAGCACAGAGCCGGCACCGCGGACGCAAGACTTGCCAGAAGCCGCCTCTGCCCAATTAATCATGACAGCATTCAAGCCCCTCTCGTATCGACGTAGCGTCCCGCCTGCCCGCCGCGTACCCCTAGGCACGCAATGACGAGACCGCCACAGTTCGCGCAACCGCACCCTGTCATTCCCAACAACAACAGCGGTAAAGAAAACACCACAACGAACAAAAACGGCATAGTCAGCCAAGCTGGCCGTCGTACCACCCATCCCGTGACGATGATTGGCCGCTCTCCGCGCATCTTCAAACGTCGCATTAAGGACATGTACTACCACACCTTTCCCGCGCGCCGCGCAGAAAATCGGATCCCCTCCCTTCGAGAAGGGTGCGTGTGTCACGGGGATGGCTAGTCCGCGTCCAGCTTAGCCTGACAGGGGTGTTCTGACGACTGAGAGGAGAGGAGGGCTGGGATAATCAGCTGCAGGGCGCTAGCCAACGCAAAGAGAAGCATCTTCGAACGTCGCATTCAGAGCTGCACCCTCGCATTGCAGAGTGCAAACTCCCACACCTTTCTGCAGCCAAGAGAATCGGATGCATTCGAGAAGGACGGTACTAGTCCGCGTCCGGCTTAGCCTGACTGGGGGAAAGGTTGTTCTGAGAGGTGACTGGATAATCAAGTCGTGCTGCAGGCGTTGGCCGACGCAAAGGGACATCTTCGAACGTCTTTCGAGCGTGAATACTCCCACACCTTTTCGCCGCCAAGACGATCGAATTTCTTCAAGAAAAACGACACGTGCCAGCTAGGCCGCGTCCAGCTTAGCCTGACGAAGGTGCGTTCTGGCGAGGCGACTGATGAGGAGGCTGCAGCAGGCGCTGGCGAAGGGAAACATTGCGTTTCATCTCTCTCGCCCGCCCGCCTGCCAGCGCTTCGAGACGACGGGCAAAACACTTCACAGCCAGCGAGCAGGAGGCGATGTCGTGGCCGCGAGGCACGCGCTAAAAAGGACCGCGCACGGGCTGCTTTCGACAACATCGTTTTCTTCCGATGGGCCCAGAAATGCGACGTTCGAAGATGAACCAGTCACCATCCTGTCATTGTACTACAGTACCCACCAAGGCCCTGACGACGCCATGATTGGCCGGGGCCACGAAGCTGGTCAGCGCGGTGGGACTCCGCGTTCAAATTGGGGTTCGCTACGTTTGAAGTTTCTATCTCTCTCCCCCTATTATTTAGTAGAACGTGGGCGCACACTACACCGCTAAGCGTAGGGAGTCTAGGCGTGCTTGCCTGGCGGACGGTGTGTGGTGTGGATTCGGGAGGGACTGGCTGGCTGGCAAAGGGGCGTGTGGCAGCGTCAATGGTTGGAAAGTGGCAGCCGAGTACGAACGAGAGAGTTCGTTCTGCATCGGATCGCAAGGAATGAGTTCGCGGAGATGTACTGCATTACCTGAGTAGTTGAAGACTACATCTTGATATTTGCTTCTATTGCAGGGAGGGCAGTGTATTCACAGCACTAAATCTCTTGCAACTTAATATGTGATTCGAAAAGTCTGGCCGCCCTCTGGACGCGCCATTTCAGATTTGCTCATAACTGAGTAAACATCAACATCACAGTCCTAACACCATGATCCGCCATCTATGTGCCCATGGCTAAATGTAGAAAAAAAGGGGGGTCCAGGTCAAGATTCCCCACCTCCCAAAAATAGAAACCCAAACGCCATCCCACCATGCCGCGAAAAAGAAAAACTAGCAAGGCAAAAAAGACAACACCATGCCATGCAGGGACCGGTGTTTCCCAGTCCCCTAATAATTATACACAGATAGGCAAGGAAAAGGGCAGGAGGGCAGGTCGAAAAAAAGCCAACCTACACCTTCAACTCCTCCGCCCACTTCACCCACCTCTTCACCACCTCATCAATTGCCTCCACACCCTCCCTGCTCGCCTCAACCTCAAACCACTCCTTATGCTCGCGCCCACAAACATCACACGTCCGCAGCACGCGCTTCTCCATAATCTCAAGATGAATCAGGCGCTCAACACGATGCACATGCGGCACCTTCCTCACGCCCTTCGCATCCGTGCCATCGCCCTTGGGCGCCACGACATCGTCGTCTGGCGACGAGCCGCGCGGCGAGGGGACGTACGGGTAAAAGCGGACGAGCGACGGCGTCTTCCCGCACTGCGTCTCCCACTCCTTCATGCGGCGGTGGACGTTGTTGGCGCGGCCAATCTTGAGGAGGAGGTGGGACTTGCCGTTGCCGCCCTTCTTCCCGCCGTACTTGCGCAGCGTGTCGCTCGGGTTGCGGCCGCCGGCGCCAGGCCGGCCAGGAGACAAGAGGGAGGATGCGTCTTTGTCCGAGGGCCCGCCGCCGTCGGGCCCGTCGCGCGTGTGCTCGGTCAGCCAGAAGATGTAGATGAAGCCGGGCTCGTCTTTGGCGGAGATGGGCTTCGAGGCTTCGGCCATGAGCTGCGAGGCGACCTGGGGCGAGACGGTGGAGGGGATGAAGGAGAGCAGGCGCTCCGTCGGGTTGGCCGTGTTCGAGGGGGCCGTGGGCTTGGGAGATGACGCCACGCCTTGCGGAGGGCGCGAGGTCTGCTGGCTCATTTCTGGCGGCTTCTGGCCCTCGTTCTGGCGCCGGCGCCGCACGATTTCGTATTCTTCGTCGTCGCCGCCCATGCAGAGGCAGCACAGGGTCGCCCAGAAGCCTGGCTCGCTCTTCTGCACCGGCAGCCGGTAGGTGCCCGCGGGCTTGGGGCCGTTCATGGTCGACGACGGCACCGACAGCAGCGGGCCGTTGATCTTGTTCCAGGTGGGTGGGCGCTGGATGCCCTGGCCGGGCTTCTTGCCCGGCTTGTTGTCATTGACGTCGAGGATGCCCAGGCGGCCGACGAGCGAGTCGACGCTGTTGCGGTGCTGCAGCGGCACGATGTGCGTCTCCTCGATGTGCGTCTCGAGGTTCTGGCCTCCAGGGCCTGGCGCGCTGCCGACCAGCTTCTCGGCCTGGTCCTTGTGCTGCCAGCAAAAGTACGCGGCGGCGCCCTCGTTTTCGTTGATGGACGTCACGGCCAGCACGCCGCTCTTGGACGGCTTAGCGGCGGCTATGTCGCGGCGGCACGGCCGCCCGGCGGAGGTGACGCCTTTGCATGTTGTGGCGGGGTTCTTGGAGTCGGCGCGGCCGAGGAAGCCATTGCCTTTGGGGAATGATGGCGGCATGAGCGATCGTATGGTAGGGGGTTCCGAATCGTGGTAATAGCGAGTGTCGAGGCAGTATGATGTCGGGAAGCGGAGTTAGCAGGAGCTGAACGACAGTGGTAGCGAATGTAGCTAGTAAGACGGGTGCTGAGAGCGCTGGCAGGTCATGAGCGGTTCCGGCGCTTGCAAGCGAAGCATATTTCGTCACCAGCCAGGCAGCGGTGAACAAGTTGGCAGAAGCCCTGGGCGGCTATCCGGCTGGCGCAGATGCGCACGGCGGGATCTGTGCGGTGTGGCTGGGTGTTGGAGGTCGGTGGAGACTGACAGGCACGAATCATTGGCCGCCGAAAGCGCTCGCTCGAAGCCACTGTGGCTGAGCGCCAAGTTGGAACCCTTGCATGCAGCTGTGCGTGTCGTGCTGTCCTCTTTCAACACCATCCACGCCGAACATCACCACACCCACGCGCACGTCCCTGCAGCCGGCTCTGCCCAATCGAAGAAGACAGTCACACTCGGCCGAGCCCGATCACCCGCCACGCGATTGTGTAATCCGCACCGCCGCCAAACGCAAAGCAAACACGCCCGCCATGGAGGAGGAAACGTACACGCAGCTCCCCCTGCACATGGACCCGCAGACCAAGGCCATCTCGGCGCACAACGTCCCCGCGGCGGTCCAGCGCGAGCTCGACGAGCTCAACCAGCTGCACCGGCAATTCCTCACGCTCGAGACGCCCGGGCAGACGCCGCCGCCGCCGGTGCCCGTCAACCCCAAGCGCAGCGCGGGCATCACCAAGCTCCGCGAGGCGGGCAACGCGGCGTTCAAGAAGGGCCAGTACGCCGAGGCGGCCAAGTGCTACACCATGGCCATCGAGCTGGCGGCGGGGCGGCCGCCGTGGGAGCCGTCGGGCCTGGTCCGCGAAGAGCTGTCGGGCCTGTACGCCAACCGCGCCCAGGCCTACATGTCGCTGCAGGACTGGGCCTCGGGCGCCGTCGACGCCGAGACGTCTGTCGACCTCAAGCGCGTGCAGAACGCAAAGGCTTGGTGGAGGAGGGGCCGCTGCTTGCTCGAGATGGGCCGCGCCAAGGAGGCCCGCGACTGGGTCATTCAGGCCCGCGAGTTCGAGCCGAATGAGGCCGACTTGCAGACGCTGGCCAAGGACATCGATGCGGCCATTGAGAAGGGCAAGAGCGACTGAGTGGAGACCCGGGACGGCTCGATGCACAGCACAACGGGAGATCGAAGGCTTAGTGGAGTTCACATGCAAGGCAGAGGCACAGAATGCGGGGTGAGGGGGGGCTGTGTGGAGGCTTGATGATGCTGAGTCTATGGATGAAACATGGTCGAGGCTGGGGAAGGACGCGGTCGGCGGAAACTATGCGATAGCCGGAGATCATAAAGGCGCACTGGCGTAGCGGGCGCGCATGGGACTTCTTGTGGGACTACTGGGTCGTAAAAATGACTGTAGATAGATAATAGCAGCACAAAGTGCTCCCGTCCACGTGCGGGAATTGACAGGGCCACAACGCGCAACAGGATGGGGCTGAGTTGAGCGGGCGGGAAGCGACGGCTGCTGCAGGTCCCAAGGCCGCCGAGCCGCAGGCTTGGAAACCACTGTGCCGCTCAACGGCGGCCGCCAACGGGCTGCTCGCGTGGTGACGTCGCACACTGCTCGACGGACGTTTTTCCAAGCGAACTCCACCTGTGCCCTGACGATGCGCTCGCTGCGTGACCGCACCCGGCACGGCGATGCCGACCCACGGTCGGGCCGGAACGGTGGCGGTCAAGGATCAGCCTCACTGCGCCACTGCTTCGAAAATAGCAGGGTGCGACACGAGTCCCGTCCGCGCAATGAGCGGGCCTTGGCCTCAGGTAAACAACCCTCTTGCTGCGCCTACGCAGACCGATCGAGGCTGAGACCCAGGCCCGACGAGTACTTCTTCTCCTCCACCCTCGCTGCACCTCTCACTCGCTGCTTGCTCTCGGGCTTCTACAATCCACGACCCAACCACCACAACAACAACACTCCCAGCCGCTTCACCGCCTAGCTCAGGGAGACCGCGGCCTTCCACACCTCGTATCCAAGCCTAAATAGGCTCTCCCTGCCCGCTTCTCCGCAGTTCTCCTCCACACCAGAACAATGCGCGTCCAGCAGAGCAAAATCCAGAAGGCCAAGACGGCCTGCCATGCCACCCAGGGCCTCCTCATCTTCGTCGCTGGCTGCATCCTTATCGCAATCTTCACCAAAGATGGCACAACCGACGGTAGAGTGAGGTACTTCTTCGCTCTGGTAAGCACCCCTCAAATTGGCTCCGCCCCATGCAGCCTCCGCTAACTTTCGCGCGCAGTGCTTCCTCACCATGCCCGCCCTGTTATACCTCGTCGCCGTGCCCATGTGGAGTCGAACTGTGCGGTTCGCCCACGCCTACGCCTTTGCTACTGTCGACTTCATCTACACCGTAAGCGCCCCGTGTCACGTTCGCATAAAGTCTGGGCATTCGAGCTGACATGGGTTATTACAGGTTCTCTGGTTCGCAGCCTTCATCTGCATCGCAACCTGGAACTCAGACGGTATCGCCGCCGGCGCTAAAGAATTAGACACCGATAAGGGCAACTGCAGCACCTTCGCCTACGGCCCCGAGATCAAGTGCAACCTCGGCAAGGCTGAAATCGGCTTCGGCGTCGTCATCACGTTCGTACAACCCTTTCTCCCAGAGTCCTACGTCACACCGTGCTAACCGTTCTCCAGCGCCCTCTTCATCGCTACCTGCATCATCTCCTTCTACTACTGCACCGTCTACCGCCGCACCGGCGTCCTCGTCGGCGCCGAGGAAAACACTCCCCCAGGCGCCGACGGCACGTCGTACTTCGGCGGCGCCACGGCCTACCAGGCGGCAGCCAAGTCGGACGACGACAACGGCGTGTGGAGCAGCAACACGCACGACATCGAGACCGCGTCATCGCACTACGACCACCACGACCCCAGCGACTTCGGTGACGCGCCCCCCGTCCCGCCGCTGCCGACGGCTGGTAACGGCGGTGCGAACGCTGCTGCGGCCATCTACACGCCTCTGGTTGATGGCAGGGATGACGACGGCATGCACCACCCCGGTCAGCCGCTCGCCTGGGGCGCCGATGACCGCTTCGGCAACGACCACTTCGGCAACGACCACCCCGCTTACCGCCCCAGCCCCAGCCCGTCGAATGCCGAGAGCCAGGCGTTCCACATCGCGCCGTCGGCGCTCAGCCCTCCCAACTCGTATGATGACTACCGGACGAAGAACTACAACTTCAGTTCGTAGGGTCTCGAGCGTAGTGGAGAGCTGAGGCATGGGGATGCTGTAATGAACTATCTGTAATGACGTCTGCGGGAGTAATTGCTTTATTGTTTGCATAGAGAAGGAAAAAAGGGAGTACGGATGTAGGAGGGGGCGGCTTTTCATTTTCATCGTCATCGTCATCATGGGTTGATGTCGGTTCGCATCCGATGATGGTCAAAGCACAGCCTCTAAGCGAGCGCTTGTCATCATTCCCCTCCCATCGTCATCGTCATTGTCATCATCATCAAAGGGGCGACACGAGCGACAGAGATAGAGAGAGGGGATGGGGGATTTCCGACTTTTCTTCTGGCTGTTTGAGTCCCTAGCCGAGCGTGGCTACTGCTGCAACGGAGAGAGGAGGAGAGAGCGCGTGAGGAGAAGATGAGCGATATACCCAGGTCTGTCGAAAGTTTTTCTTATATTTTTTTTAGTGTCTGGGGTGGTTTCGGATCATTGGAGGTCTGCATAGCATCATCTCTGTATTGCTCAGAGGAAAGAAAGTAAAATATGAATACATTAGCATCACTTCAATCTGCCTTGTCTGTGTCTTGATCCTTGAGCATCGTCATGACGATTACGGCTCTCACTAAAATCCGTTTCCTCCACTATTTCAGGCTTTAAGCTTGGAGCTCATAGTCCGACCCAAGCCCATTGCCGTACTGATCTGCCTACGAATCTTCCACCCGGTTATGCGTGTTGCCTCCACAGCCCGGCTTGGCAAGCTCAACTCTGTCGATGGTATTCCGTAGCGGCATTTAAGACCGGCCAGCCAGTCATCGATCTTCATCTCGACTTTGCCGACAAGCACCTTTTTGAGCTTTATCAGATCCACTTCCGACCCTTTCCTCTTGGTAATTTGTAAGAAATCGTGGTTGGATCCACAAACATGCCCGAGCTTGTTGTCCAAGAGCAGCTGGTGACAGTCATTCTCAAAATGCATGTGCGGACAGTTTCTGCAAATGAATATGTCTTTCTGCAGATCGCTCGAACCAGACCATATCCACCCGCAGTCACCATCGCAGGTGATCGAAAGGTCGCGCGCGCGATCTGCATCTGGAACGTTGACAATCAGGGACCACGCAGCGCGTGCATTGCGATCATCCTCGAGCAGAATGAGAGCCTCTGCAAGCATGAAGTACCCATTCCAGTCGTTGTCGTCCGTGTCGTCTTCGAGAAGGTTGAAAGCTGTCGAAAGATGATTTTCGATAGCGGCAACCGCTTTCTGGCGCTGGCCCGTGACGTAGTACGCGCGGGCTAGAAGCAGCGACAGGTAGTTCACTTCAAGGAAGTGTTTTTCGTCGATTTGTGTTTTGGATTGCCTTAGCTTGTCGACGTAAGACGCCAAAGATTGAGTGTCTTTGCTGTTGAGAACGATCTCAAGATATGCTGATCCAAGTCGTTCGGCAACACGACTAAGGGATCGAATGACTGTTGAAGGGTTGTCGTTCGATGCCCTAGCTTCTTGGAGTAGGTCTAAGCTCTCCTCCCAGGCTTTCAAAGCGTCTTCCACTTTAGCACATTGGTAAAGTGCTTTTCCATAGTGGTATCGGAGAAGGACGGCATCCATGGGAGACTTGCATGCCTTGATGGCGTCTTCATACGTCTCCAAGACGAGTCTCTGGTGGCCTTGAGCGGCAAAGACGAATTTTCCGTGGAAGTCGTCGGACTGAGCCTTCGAGTGAAACAGGTTGGATAGGATGCTGTCTCCACCAGGTCTCCGCTTCATGGCCAGAATTTCGAAGCTCGCATCTAGTTGGTCTTGTTTCATGATCCACTCCCATGCTTTGTCAAGCGGAAACGTCTCTTCTGGAAACTCGTTCGAAAGATAGCTGCATGCCGTGAACGCTTCCTTTGAACTGTTAGTGCCATCGCATAACAGCCAGAATCGCTCCAGCTCTTTTTGCCATGTGTCAGGGTCGGACTTCCTGAAATTCGAACTCTGGATATTATGCCGTATTTTGAGAAGCTCGTCGAGAGCCTGCCTTGTACGATTCTTCTTCTCGAGGGCGTGAGAAAGACATAGCGGAGCTTTGATATCTAGAGGGTCTCGCATCTTGACGAGCTCGCACCGTCGTTCTGCCTCTTCGAACCCTTTTTTGTGGCCACTGCCCATGAAGGTTTCAGCGAGGCGAATGTCATGTGTTGTGTTGCGGCGTGACTGCGCCTCTGGAATTGCGAGCAGAGATAAAGCCCATTTCTCAGCTGTTGCGATCTGTTCTGGAGAAAGTGAGCCCGAACCCTTGCCATCCAGAAAGTCTCCCACCAAGCCGTACAGTTCTCGATCCAACGCAGAAGGCGTTTGTCGTCCTGAATGTTGTTTCGAAGTATATATCTAAGAAACGTCAGTCATTGCTTGATGAACGGAGTTTTTATGAACTAACCTCACGAAATATCTTCAGCAAGAAATTCAAAGCATCTATGGCCGGCCAGCGGCTTTCCTGGAGCCATTGAGATGCTACAACCTTTGATGGAGCGTCAAGAATTTCATACAACTCTATGGCAGGTTGTTCGTTCTGTATTGATTTTGCTCCACCCTCGGTCTGCTCCTGTTCAATCTCAACATCAGAGGTTCCAGGGGCGGGAACATCCTCTTGGACTCTCTGTTGTGCGATGGCCGAGTGGTCTTCGGGAACGTTTGCTTGTACGCGGAATCCAATTATCACACCGTCATTTGCCAGCCATTTCTGTGCCTTTCGCACCTTTCGCGGCCAGTCTGTCCATAGAAAGTCGCCAATATCGCCCTTCAACATCCATGTTTCGACGACCTGCTCATCCATGAAGACAGGATACAATGCTTCCCCCAGACCTTTTCTCCTTTCATCTGGAAGATTCCCGAGCTCGTCTTCGAAGTCAGACATGTGATCTGGTAACCATATGGAGGTATACTCGAATAGATATTTCGATTCAGCACGCTCCAAGTAATGCTTCTGCCCCATGGTTTGGAGAAAGAAGTCGATCGTGTCCAAGGCTCTTGGTACGGGATCAAAGTGGATGGTGGGTTTTGATACCGTGGGTTTCTCGACTAGGAACTTGATAAAGTCGGTGTTTATAACGTCGGTCGGTTTTCTGTTGCAAAGATACTCGACGACCCACTTGGGGATTGCCACACTGTCCTCATGGCTATTGTGCCGGTCCTCATGTTGACCCTTGTCTGAAGTAATGTTCAGTGTCGTAATTTGATTCTCACGAAAGAATCCCAAAAGCCTGGACGACACGATCCGTCCATTTTCAACTGACACAAGTCGTGCAAACTTGTCGTTAATCCCGGCATCGATCGAGGTTTTGAACTTTGTTCCAAGCCGGAGTGAAAGGTAGGCGTTGAGTTGCTGAACGGTAGGCCAGGTGCACCAGTAAACCATACAGAGGATCAGTTCGTTAAAGATCTCGATGTCGTCGCTTCCGAGCTCTTCATTCAACATCTCCAGTTTACGCTGCGTGATGATTTCCGGACCCTTTCGGACCTCTCCCTGAAGATTATATAGATCCGACAGTCCCCTGTCGCTCGAACGTCGAACCTCGTGCAGCCATGCCTCTAGATCGTGATAGTTTCCTGTAAAATCGGATACCAGGTCTCTCCGTATGCCCCAAAATATTCTGTGGCCTTCGCTCCCACTGTCCCAGCGCTCATGTGACTCATCAAGCCAACTCTTGATGAAGATCTTCGCGTCCGAGCGCTGGTCATCTTCGAAGAAGCTGGTGGCGGTCAGGTTGTGAACATTTGGGTTGTAGAAACTTTTATTCCCAGAGAGAAGGATTCGGAGCTGGGTCGATCGCCTGGAACGCGAATTCGCGTGCTCTATGATCGCCTTGATAATACTGTGGTCCGTTTGTTGGTTTTCGAGGTTACCGTATCCGTCAAGGACCAAGAATACGACCTTCCGTGGCTTCTGCGTCTCCTGCCTGGGGCATTTGAAAAACGCCATAATAAGCATGTTCCATATGTTCAAGCCGTTTGACTGTGCTGCAGGACTTTTCTCGAGCGTTTTTATGACAAAATCTTGAAATTTCCCATCGTTCTCGGCCAGTTGCCATACAAGACTTTTCAAAGCCTCATCGAGAGCGATACGCTCGGTCTCGTCTGACTTCGTTGTTTTCCTCTTTGAGTCGGAACCCATTTCGGTATGTTTTTCCGGGAAGAAATACCACGCGAGTGACATCCGGGTCTTTTGTTGTTGCCTATCCCGCCGCTCCTCTAGAGACCGAATGATTCGAGAGCAAAGATGACTCTTGCCATGGCCGCTTGGAGCGTCAATAAGAAGCACTGAATTCCCGGTGTGGTTGTCGATGTCGATCCAAGTTTTAACCTCCGGTAACTCGAAGAGCCAGTCGCCCATTCCGGGAAGTGATGTCGTCTTGAGTGATTCCTGCATGTCGGTCCAGGATTCCTCATTTCCGCTGACTTGCAAGTACCTCCTCAATTTCTCCGAGTTGGCTTTGCGGATCTTGCTATCGTTGGTGTAAATGTCTGAGACCCGAAGAGCGGCGACATTGTTGTTAAGCTCTCGTTGGCTCATTTCATTGATTTCCTCCAGTCTGGATGCAATTCCGCCGTCCCATCTGACTGCTGCTTTTAAAAGGTTTTTGATGACGCCAGTAGGAGATTTAGAGTCTTGAGCCACCTTGGTGTAGATGGTACACAAACGCAGTGTTTCGACGAGGATTTGCATAGTCGTCGCCCTTAACCGTGGATCAAGGTCGATACCCTGCTCGTAAATCCTGAAATAACCTTCCACTCGATCGAGACATTCTTCAACACGCTGCAGTTGCTCCAGCACGTTCTTTGGAATGAAGTTGGCCCGGTAGTGATGCACGGTATCGCCCAAAGCAGACAGGGCGGTGATTACCATGGATGCTGCTGGAAAAACCTGGCAAGCGAGTCAGGCGCAACTCTCATGCCTCATATGTAGAATCACACACTCACCGACGATGCCGCCTCCGCCGCGAACTTGGCAACTTGGAAAACACCTTCCGCTGATTTCTTCACCAGTTCCCCTCGGTCCGACTGAGAGAACTCATCACGCTTCGCTTCTAGATCTTGGGGGGTAAGACGAGCTGCGTTGTCGAGGCTTCTCTTCGTCAATCTCTCGTATTCGCCTCTGGCCTGCTGCCAGAGCTCGTCGAGTTGCTCATCTTCTGATTTGTCCGCAGCACCCGCCATGCTGGCTCTCAGGAAAACAAGAACGGGGAAGGAATTGGCTTGTTCGTTGAGGACAACGGCGTCAGTGGCATGCTAGCTACCGGAATATATCTCAACGAGACACAACCACGGACGAGCCGCCAAACTGACTTGCGAGCGATTGCGATCAGCGCTTCTCCCTTATCGTCTTTTCTTTTTCGAATTCGTCCCTCTGCCACGTATTGCCAATATGTACGAAGTTGGTAGCACCCTGGGTCTTGCATTTTGGGGGCCAGAACGGGCGCACCAATCTCTGACGCGTACGACGCCGATCCATGCGATACACAGCTCGCCACATCTCTACAAATCTACTTTTTGTCGCTTAATGAGGCTGAAATCCAATTTTTCCGCCCAGTGTGCGGCTTTACATCCGAGATCTTTGCCGATCTTTCGTGATGGGTGGAGCCTGTACGAGAGCGAGCTGAAAACCTCAGCCCTCTCAAGCAGATAAGGACGCTCGGAGCTAATGCGAAAGAGGTGTATGCAAACGAGCCGACCTTCTAAAGAGGGAACAGCTAACTTATCCCAAAAGCGAACGTGCTATACAAGGAGTGTATCTGTTATACCGCAGGAAAATAGCCAAGAAATGCACTTCCAGCTCAGCTAAATGCATCAGGTCCATTAAAAAGCAGTACATCCCGAAAGGCATAGCCACATTTCGAAATCGAAAGCCGTACTTTTGTAGTTTTGCTACCTCACCCAATGTAAGGCTTCGCCTTACCCACTACGCCACGCCGGTTAACGTAGGTCTCTTTGAGGGCAAAAGAGAAGTGGAATGAACTGAATTGTCGAGGTTTATTTTAGCGTGGTCAGATAATATTCTGTCTGTGACACTGGAACCATTACGAAAGAATCGGCTTGTTTCTTTTGGAGAACCGCTTCGGTTATACTGTTATTTTCCTCTATCCAGATGGGATCAGGACATCAGAACCCCGCTGGTATAAAGGCAGAACATCAAGCTCGAACAGGAAGACGTTGATAAAATGCAATCCTTTACCCCATCATTCTTATATGCTCGGCAAGCTTAAAATTTCCATGCCGACTTGCTATCTGAACTGCAGTGTGTCCCCTTCGATCTGTCGCATAAGCATCAACGCCTATATCAAGAAGGAAACATGCCATATCCGAGTCATTCTTTGCAGCAGCGGCCCGAAGGGCATACTGCAAGGCGATATCGTTCGGTGGAAAATAGTGTTGCGCGAAGGAAAGCTTCATGAAGTCCACCCCACCACTGATCGTCATCAATTGATTGATCAGAATCAAAGATTCGCACACAGCGACCGGTGAGTTCGTGTCTTTTTGGTTTAGTAGCGATTGGAATTTAACCAAAGCGTGCTCCTTCTCGTCCATCGCCGCAGCTACCAAATCATCTACTGTGACTGGAGTGTCACGATGTAGGGACAAGAACAGGTCGAGAGTTTGTGGGTCTGCAAGTTTGGCCATAACGTCGAGTGGAGCATGCTTCATGACGAGATCGGTGTCGTACTTGAGAAGGCCGCTCAGGATCCTTTTCCCACCAACATCAGCCTCTTTCGCATTTTTGAACCCTTGTTCAATGATCCAATCTTTCTCGAATCTGAATCCTGGTTCAATGGTCCAATCTTTCTCGAACTTGGTGCGATGTATTGGGCATTGGAATGGCCCCGGCTCTTCGTAGATTGCTGCCAAAGCCTCAAAGGCTTTCCTGAAGTTCTCCGCATTGGCCTCTAAGGAGAGTAAAGTGCATATGCAAGTTCCTCTATCCTCCTTTCGCCAAAGTAGACCAAACTGTTGGAAAACTTTTGGAGTTATCGTTAATTCAGAGATCTCAGAAAGGAGGAAGCGGCAAATCTCAGTGTCTCGGCTCACTACTGCCACATCTTCGAATCTCTGCTGTGTGAACTTGAGCTCCGGCCTATGGAAGTACAGATGCCGTACAAGGATAAAAAGGGCGGACGAGTTTTGACGTGCGGCATTAACCATACGACGCCGCATGGAGGAGCTTGTCTTCTGGGCGAAAGCTATTATCTCCTCCAACAGGTGCTCCAGATCCTTTGATTGTTCTCCAGGCAAGTCGCGGGGGATATGTTTGAGTAAGCGAGGTATGACCTCTATGGGAAATGTGAAACCGTTTGAAAGCAGAAGCTTGAGCACAGTAATGTTGCTGCGCAGTGCTGCCGCTTCTACACACTCATCTCTTTGACCCTGGCTTAGTCGTAGTGTACACGTCTGGAGAATTCTCTTCACGACAGAAGAGTTCTCTAGCGCTGCAAAAAGGCTCAAGGGGTGACTTAGAGTGATGCTGTTGGCCCAGTTCCCGTAAAGTTCGACTTTTCCCTCTGAAAAGTCCAGATAAGAGCCACGGCCAAAGTAAAAAGTGTTGGAAATGTTCTTAGCCCAGTCAAGATAGGGAAGGCCAACATCGTCATCGACGCCAATGAACCGTTGCAAGCTATTGTCTAAGTGACCGGGGTTGAGAAGGGTTGCAAACTCCAGTTTTTCAAGATGGAACAGAAGGTACTGGGCGGCGTAGTATAACCATACTTTCGAAAGGTCTTTTCTATCAACTCTGGGGATGTTCCAGGTGTTGAGGCATGCATAACAAGCCTCGAAATGGATTTCCGCGGGTGAGTATTCGGGACGACTTTCAAGGTACTCTCGTCCTGACAGATGGGCAAACCGGAATATTCTTGAAACGTTGTCGTATACCACAAAGTTACAGCAGATGTCGAGAATTTGGTCTTTGGATATTGGCTCCTTTGGTCCGTTGATCGCGATGGCGGCCCTGAGCAGCGATTCTCCTAGACGCCACTGAGCACACAAGAGCCATGAAATTACCCTTTTTGCCACAAGTTTGGCGGAATCCGATAGGGATTGGATCGAATCGTAGATAGTGTTATAAGAGTCTTCGAGTGTCTTTGGGAGTTTCCCGATCTCTCTTCTGATGTCTTCCGCGAGTTTGAATCGGCGAGTGTCGCAGATATTCTGGATTTGTAAACTGACCCAACGGAACCTATACTAAAGTTGGTCAAATTGGGCCTCAATTGTAGCTCCCTCAGGATACTCACATGCCATGGGCTCCGCGCGTAAGCTGCTCTTGTATGTGATTTTGCAAGTCCGCCGAGACTTTACCCCCAAGCAATCTACCTCCTTTGATAGCATCGTCCAATTCATGCCGAATGAATGTTTCGATGTCGTCTGAGTTGTCTGATGCGTCAATGTAGATGTTATGAGATTTCTTCAATCTTTGCTTGATATCTCCATCATCGCGGCTAGAAACAAATACTTTCACCAGGCTCGAGGACTCTTGAATGATTTTGTCCAACGCCTCTAGTAATTGATGACGTCGAGCTGGGTCACACTCATCAAGTGCGTCAATCACAATGATTGCTGGATCTTTCTCGAGAAGTTCGATGATCAAGTCAGTGCAATCCTGGAGGCAAAGCTTTGAAGGATCTAAACCATCATCTTCAGCTTCTTGCATCCGTTCAAGAAAGGCCTTTGCAACCGGAGCTCGAATTGGCTGGTTGGCTGTTCTCGAGCAGAGCTGTTTGAGTATACATCGCATAACCTCATCGGGATCAGACCGTTCTGGCTCGGCCGGGTCTCTGTTGCAGTAGAAAAAGGCGCACAGTTCCGTTTGTAGAGCTCCGTTGTTGCCACGGATTAATGTGTCGATCATAAGGGACCTGTTGTACTTAAGCATGCAGTTAAACAACAAAATAGGGAGATTTACACTAGATGCGTTTTACCCGAACCAGCTTGATATGTCAGCCACGAGGGTTGTCAATCGAATGAGTTGTATATACGTACGGATCCCATGGAGCCAGAGGATAGATGAACTGCTTGACTTTCTCCATTCGGTAAAGCGAGGTTTGTTGAGAAGCCAAGCACCGGATCCATCCAATCGCGTTTTCGTAATGAACTTGTGGTGATCTGCACAACGCACTTGCGACAGCCACCGTAGTAGCTCCTGTCGTTTATCCTCTGTTATTGTTAGTTGCGTCATAATTTCATGGTTATTTGCTACGTACTCTTCATTTCATCCTCTAGCTGCGAGAGTTGACTCGCAAATCGACGAATTGGGCTCTCAAGGTCCTGTCTAAGTTTCTCCATCTGGCAACATGTTTCTACAAGTAAAAATTAAGATAGCATTAGACATCTTAGCTGCTCAATATAGGCTGGGAAAGTTGTATCATCTTACCATTGCGTTGGTCAAAGATAACACGTAAAGCTGTTGATGTCAGCCTCTCGTGATAAATATTTCAAATGTATAACTTACAATCTTGTTCAATGAGTTGGAGGCTTCGCATAACCTGTACTTCTCCTTCCAAAATCGCATCTTGAAAGTCCTTCAGAGCGACCTCTGAGGGAATGAAGATGCTCTTGAGCATTCGGCCTTGTAGTGTAGGTTAATAAGTTTTTATCCATTGATTCATGGCTTGATTTCGTGAACTTACTTGAAGTTCCTTTGTTATAGTAATGACCAGCTTTGGTCAAAAACCGTAATACAGCGGCATATAGGCTCACTAAGTGGCTTCTGAGAAGGGCTGTGAGACGGCTGTCTAGAAAATTGGCAAGGCCCGAGTTCGTGTCAAAGTACAGGCCCTCCGTGATAGCACAACGAGCGATCACGTGAGCAACATGCTCTACTTCTTCGAGCATGGCGCAGAATGTCTCGTGGTCGTTGATAGATGCCTATTTTGCTCAGGTTTCGATTTCCCTCGTTGAAAAGCATAACGCACCTGGAGGATGAAGCGGATGCCAGCCCATGGTAAGGATGCATGGCCCGGATCGTACTGGACGGCAGCATCACCGATCTGTTTGAATTTGTCTATCCACACAATGACTTTCTCACAGAGATCTCGGAGGATAATTCGCTCGCCATTTGGCTTTTTGAACGTCCATCTTTGCTCCAGACATTTTCGCCTTTTTTCTTCGACGGCATTCAGAGCCTTGTCAAGAGCGCCCAGCTTGTCGGCTTTCAGCGGCTCTAGATGTTGTCGGTCTTCTTCGCTCAGGCTTTGGAATGCTTCGTCCCACAGACTTTCCGCTCGCGTTACAGCTCCCGCGATGCGGACTGGGATTATGCGGGTTGGGAGTGCCGTGGGCATCCCACTCCCGGTCGGGCCGTGATTCGTTTGTGTCATGACGGCTGATCTATTCATTTCCCACCCTGGAACATCAGCTTTCTGTATCGAGAGCGGTTTGCAGAACATACCAGGGATTGTTTGAAGCTATCGCACAGGCATCATAGACCGTAGTTAGGAGAATAAAATCTTGTCAGCGGTCGCGCTTCGTGGGGGCGGCGGGGCTGAGGTGTGCAAGGATGATTAGGCTGCGAAGTACCACCTACGCGAGGCGCCTTTTCATTGGAGGAAGGCTTAACACAGCCATCGCCACTTCTCTTTAGTCTAAAATGTAATGGACCAATGAATCTAATCGGAACGAGAAGACCGAATTCCTTGCATTGGCGAGATCTGCGACAAATCGACGTAAGTTCGGACTTGCCGCACCTCTAATGCTCACAATACTTTGTGTCTTACGCTGCACAGCCTCGAGCATGGATTTAGTGCCAATTGCTTCTGATGAATGTTAGAGCTGCATATACTGTTAACCGTTAATGCGATGCAGTCGTCTGCGACAGAGCCGTATTAGGCACCAAGTGCCGACAGAGCTGAAAGAAGCCCATACTGACAAGTAATGTTGTGAAACTTAGCCCGACTGCGATCTGGTGAAGTAATTGGCCCAAAAATTTATTTTAGAGTCTTCCTTCAGGACGATTTCCGTCTTCATTCTCAGCTCCCATGCCTAAATAATCTCCAGGGACCTGCAGGTTGTCTTGTGTCGCAGCGTGTGTGCAGTGCAACCCCCGATTCAACTTGCTCTTTCAACATGCCGTCTTCTCAGGCCTTTCAACCGCAGGACTCAGTTGATCAACAGATGTCCGGCTCGGGTGATAAGTTTCTCCAACCTATTGAATCGTCCGAATCTTTCCAATCCCTCGATATGAGTCCCAAGAGGCAGTCTCCACCGGCAACAAGATCGCTCTGGGAATCTTCTGGAACCATAACATCGTTGGATACTTCCTCGTCAAATTCAACTACACGATCAGCTGACAGCAAAAAGCCGCTCGTATACACAAATATTACGAGCGAGAGCAAGACTCCCCTTTGCGACAGACCGCAACAATCTTGGCAATGCTACCTTGTGGCTCCAGTCTTCATGGTCATACTACTGCTCATCGGCATCAGCGTGTCACTCGGTCATCACTTTTATTACGAATGGCTAGATGGGCAAGAAGTCCAAAGCAGGGATAAGCAACAATGGGCACTTCGGTAATCAAGTTTTTCACTTGCTCAAGGACTCTGGCTAACGAGCTTCAGAATTGGTAATGCGTTCGCCTTTTTCGCCAAGTGCTGCTTCTGCAGTGCTGCAAACATTGCTTTTCTCCAGTGGCTATGGAAAACTCTGCGGGAGAAATACATCTCTGTTCAAGGAATCGACGCTGCTTTCTCCGCGACCCAAACGCTGGTCTCCTTTGCCAGCTGGGAGATGCTCTCGAAAGTGAAAGTCGGAAGTGTACTAGCACTTCTTGCGTGGTAGGTTGATTTCTATCCAACAGCACAAGAGCAGTACTGATATCAATACGCAAAGGTGCATTCCGCTTATAACCCTGGTGACCCCTGCTTCGCTCTCGGTAAAAGCGGCTTTTGCACAAACCCTGGTCATTGCAGATGTCCCAGTCCCCCTGGCACCGCAGGACATCATCCCCCTGAAAGAGCTTCTCTCGATATGGGTAAACACGCAAGGCGTTATCGTGCACTCCGATATCACTATCGGAAACCATCGTGTTGCAGAAGAGTTCAAGAAGTTGGCATTGTCAAGTGCTATTTTCGGAGAGGTCTTTTCAATCCCCCGACCTTTTACGGATGCAGATTCAAGTTACATGATCGACTTTGTGGCCCCTGGCCTGAAATGCGACAACTCCTCCTCTCAAGTGTCACGAAACACGACCATTGCTGCGCTTCGTTCTCAAGGATACTCCACTGAGATTGACACCCACAACTCTAAATTTCTCAACATTTCAGCAATCAACTTTCAGCAGCTCGAATACTCCCACGCAGACACACGTACGCAGATCGGGTACTTTGCCCGGATCCCGACTGCCAATGACACGGCCGCTGACTTTGGGCTTGCAAATGGAACCAAGAACGAGTTCCATGTGGTCATAGCAGACCGCGCACCAGAGACAAACACAATTGTTCCAACCTTCCTTACTTGCCAGCTCTGGAATATTTCGAGAACAGTCAACATCACAACGACGAGTGGCATCCAGGACGTCCATGTAACCGACGCAAAGCTACTCAACAAATTCAATCAGTCCTTCAAGCCTCTATACCCCGAGGATGTAGCACACAGCCCCTTTGCCACCGAAGAAGTCTTCTATACAGCATTCTTCTTAAGCGTGGCGAAAAATCTACTGGGATTCATCGGCACCACCAAGATCCAAAACACCATCGTCTCAGATCCCTCAGCGAGCATCCAAGAAACAGTACTGACGAAGTCCTCCGAGTATGTGGCGATGGCTCGGAACATCAGCATGTACTACTCCACCAGCTCCGGCCTGGAAGTGGAAAAGCCTCTAGGCCTCATGATCGAGGAGCTGGCGCAGAACGTGTCGTTAAACCTGATGACCAGGGACTTCTTCAGGTATATATCGGCCGCCAGTCTCGTCATTTGCGACCTAGACTAACGACAAATAGCAAACGCGCACCCTGGAACGTCACGCGGGTCGATCGGATAACGGTTTACACGTACGATCCACGAAACCTTCTGCTCGCCTACGGCATCGCCGCGGGCAGCACGTTCCTGATCATCTGCGCCGGCTTCTTTGCGTTCCGGTGCAACGGCGCGAGCTATAGCGCCGCCGTGTCTACTTTCATCTGTGCTACGCAGAATCCAGATGTAAGCTTTTTGAAGCCCTGATACTGAAGCAACTCTGTCACTGACTTGGCTTTTCTCTCGCAGATTAAAGACGTGGTCGGCGATCAGACTTCAGGGGCTCAGCCTCTCCCTTCCAATATCGCAAATATGAAATTGCGATTCGGGGTTGTTAAACGAAGAGAGTCAGCGGACGTCATAGCCGGCGAGAGGTGTTCGGTAGATACAATTGGATTTGGGGTCGAGGGGACTGTTGGTGCTCTGAAGAAGAGAGCATCACCTCAGTGCTGATACTATAGCCGAAAGCTACTTAGCGTGAATCAATTTTTTGCTCATATCATGGGTAGATGAAGTTACCGCCCGAATGAAGATGTCGAATTAACAATTATACATTGACATCCGGACGATAGCTTCATCTGCCCACATAACACGGATATTTCCGAGGGTTTCCGCTTCAGTATCTGGGCACATTTGTACCGTTGAATTCCCCCACCATTCGATTATCCACTTCATCTGCCTCCTTAAAGTAGTCTAGAGGTGCATATCCAGCCTAGATCCCCCGCAGCCCACCGTGCTCTGACTCCATCATCCCCATGACCAGCGGCGACGCTCCAGAAGCCGACGCACGGTCCCCTCCCGCCAGGCACCACCTCTAAAAATGGCCTGTGGCGTCAGGCTACAACGGCGCTATTGACGGGGTGGCATCATCCTACACTCGCGTAAAGCGATAGCGAGGGGCGACGCGAGAGAAAATAAATAGTCGTTGTTATTCCTACCGTTCCTTTTCTTCAATCGCTTTTGAGTGGCGACTACACTGCTCGTCGCTACAAGACCACACCAAAAGTCTACATCCGCCCAAATTGAGCCCCAGCGCTCTCATCCACGCATCGCCCGTGGAGCTCATACCTAACCGCCACCGACAACACACGCACGCGCGCGCGCGCGCGCTCACGTGGTCCCGCAACCCCAGCCATCCATCAATCCCATCCCGCATCACCCATCCCACCTACCTACCCAAAATGGAACCCCCAAACCCCCCACGACCCCTCCCCCCCTACACCCCCTTCCGCACCCTCGCCGCGTCGACAGCGCATCACGCCCACCCAACCGTCTACGACTCAGCCATCGGCTACGGCGCGCCGCGCGTGTACTGGGGCGCGTCGCACGACAAACTCACTGCCGACCCCTTCTACCGGGCGAGCAACTACGTGCGGGATGCGGTGTGGGACTACCGGAACCTGTACGCGGGGTTCGTTGCGTACGCGTGTGGGGAGGGTAGAGGGTGGGGGTTTGAGGAGGATGAGGAAGGAGAAGGAAAAGAGAAGAGGGAGAGAGTGTGGTTGAGGCGACCGGAGGTGGAGCGGTGGGAGGCGAGCGAGGAGTTTGACAGGTTCTGGCAGACGGTGAATTGGATGATGGCGCCTAGGTCGGAGGAGGGTTTGGTGGGGGTGGGGGAAGGAGAAGCGAGGCTCGTGGTGGATGACGAGATGATGGAGAAGAGGGGGCAGGTCTGGCTGCATAGGGCGGTGAAGGGGCTGAAGGATAAGGTGGGTTTCTTTCTCTCTCTTCGTTCGTTCGTCACTTGATTGCATCTCCTGGCTGACCCGTGCCCCGAGCAGATCCAAGTCGGCATGCCACCCATGTCCATCCAACGCTGGGAGCGCCGCAAACTCTCCTCGCTGGAGCACGAATACGAAGCCACCGAGCTCCTCCGCAAAACGCTCGCCGTCTTCACCTACCTCAACGACCCCTCCGTCCAGCAATCCCTGCGCCTCGCCCACAACCGCATGACCAAGCACCTCGCGCCCTTCGACCAGATCATCAACGACCACCGCCGCCGCCACGAGCAGCCCGAGGTGCCCCTGATGGAGCTCTGGGACGCGTACACCAAGGCCCTCTTCGCCGACGTGGCGACCCGCGCGCACGGCTGGATCGTCGGCCGCATCGGCGCCATGCGCGGGACTCAAGCCGCCGCCTTCGACCGCATGAAGGCGCAGGACCGGCTGCCGGACGCGCAGAACACGAAGATTCTGGCGCGGCTGTCGATGCTCGTCGACCTCGAGCGCGACGTCGACTACAACTTCCGCATCTCGCGGTACGGCTTCACCAGGGCGGCGGCGGCGGCGTCCAGCAGCGCGGCGTCGTCGTCGTCTCCCCCTTCGCCAGAGAAATTTGCGGAGGAGAGGGAGAAAATGCGCGCGGCGGCGGAGACGGCGGTGGGCATATTTGCGGGCGGCATCACGCAGATGAGGCATGCCATGGGCGTCGGGCCGTTCCCGTTTCAGTTCGAATACTTCATGGTGCTGAATGACCAGGCCGACGCCAACAAGGCGGTGCGAGGGAAAGATCCGAAGAAGAGGAGCAAGCTGTTCGGCCCTCCGCCGCAGAAACAGAAGCCGGAGCCATGGGTGCAAGAGTTGATAGAGCGACTTGAAGATCCTGAAGACAAAACTAACAGCTTCGGCTTCGTTGTGTACCGGGAGAAAGAGTACGAAGGCGTGGCGTGGGAAAGGCTGGAAGAAGTCATCACCGAGGACCTGATGAACTGGGGCGACAAGATGCCAGGCGCCGACAAGATCAAGCCCAAAGCCAAACTGCACTGGATCGAGATGGCACACACAGGCATAGAGAACTACCGCAGGTAAGCACTCTCTCACCCACATCTTACCTCAGCCTCTCCCTCCGACCTCGCTCTCCCCGCTAACACACCCCAGCCACTTCAACACCCTCCGCACCAACAACCTCCTCGCCCCCGGCACCTGCCCCTCCACCTTCCTCGTCATCGACCCGCGCGCCGCCAACGCCTGGTTCCCCCAGCACTCGGGCGCATCCACCGCGCACGCCTTCGCCGAGCGCCACCCCTTCCGCGGGCACACCGGCACGTCGACCATGTCCAGCACGACCAGCACCGCGCTCGACGCCATGCTGACCGACTTCGAGCCGTGGGTGCTGGCCGTCGACGCCAACTTCCCCGTCTCCGTCGGGGCGCCGTACGTGGACGCCGCGCTCAACGCGTCGCTGTATCGCGGGTGGGCGCGCGTGCAGTCGAGTTTGGTGTTTGAGGAGTTGTACGGGCTGGCGGCGGCGGCGACGGGTGGTGGATTGGAGAGGCCGGGTACAAGGCTGGGTGCGGCGGGCGTGCTGAGGTTGGGCCAGATGTGGCGCGTGGCGGCGTCGCATCCGTGCGCGGTGTACACGGGCGCCACGGTGACGGAGGTCGAGATCAGGCGGTTTGCGGAGTGGAGCGGGCTAAGGAGCAGGGCGGTGCGGTGGGTGCTGGATCGGCCGGATGTGCTGTTCTATGGGAGGAGATAGCTGTCGCGGTTATCTCCGTGGTGGCATTGCCGTTGTCTGACAGCATTGACTGCGCTTTCGGCGGTTCAAAGACCGGCCGGAATGGGTGGTCGAGGGCGATTGGAGAGGTAGACGGGTGGTGATGTTGTTTAGGTCAGGATGGTCTGGGTGGGAGCTCCGACATCGTCATCAGCGGGGCGACGATTGGCAGGAAATGCGACGGGAATAAGCGCGAGTCATGGCCGACATCGGTGCCCGCGGGGCAACTGGCGTCACCATCGACTCTCGAAAGCTCCACACATTGAAGGGCCGCACGCTCCAGGACCGCCTGCGAAACGGAAAATGTGAAAACCTACCTGATGTATATATAATCTTATCAGAGCCACCGGCTCCGTCCGGCCCAGCTCCAGCTTCAATTGCTCGCACAAAGAATACCCTACCTTCACCATGTCGTTCAACACCGCCGCCAACAAGCTCCGCCAGGCCATTGAGCACGGCACCGACATCATCGTCGCGCCCGGCGTCCATGACGGCTTCTCCGCCCGCATCGCGCAGTCCGTCGGCTTCGATTGCCTGTACATGGTGCGCCTCACCATCGCCTTATCTACTTCCCTTTCTCTCCCTCCCCATCCACAACACTAACACTCCCCCCACAGACCGGCGCCGGCACCACCGCCTCCCGCCTCGGCCACGCCGACCTCGGCATCGCGACGCAATCCGACATGGTCGCGCACAGCTCGATGATCGCCCAGCTCGACTCTTCCATCCCGCTCATCGCCGACGCCGACACCGGCTACGGCGGGCCGATCATGGCGGCGCGGACGGTCGAGCTGTACGCGCGCGGCGGCGTGGCCGGCCTGCACATCGAGGACCAAGTCCAAACGAAGCGCTGCGGGCACCTGGCGGGCAAGGAAGTCGTCGACGTCTCCGTGTACGCAGCGCGGATCCGGGCCGCGAAAACGGCGAGGGAGAAGGTGGGCAGTGATATTGTGATTATCGCGCGGACGGACGCGCTGCAGGGGCAGGGCTACGACGCGGCGGTGGAGCGGTTGAAGGCGGCGAGGGAGGCGGGCGCGGACGTCGGGTTCCTCGAGGGCGTGACGGATAGGGAGATGGCGCGGCGCGTGGTGCGGGACCTGGCGCCTTGGCCGATGCTGCTGAATATGGTCGAGCACGGGGCGACGCCGACGATTTCGGTGGATGAGGCGAGGGAGATGGGGTACCGCGTTGTCATCTTCCCGTTCGCGAGCATCGCGCCGGCGTATGTGGCGATGAAGGAGGGGTTTGAGAGGTTGAAGGAGACGGGGGTGGTGGGTGCGCCGGAGTTCTTTACGCCGAAGTTCTGCTTTCAGGTTTGTGGGTTGGATGAGAGTATGGCGCTGGATGAGGCGGCGGGTGGGAAGGCGTTTGGTGCCAAGGGCGCGTAAGAGTCGGCATTGCTGATTCAGAGGTGTGATATGTGGAGGACGGCAAATTGCACGACTATTGGAGGGCCTTGTGAGGCTCGGCGGGAATACCACGAGCGACGGCCGCTGATATGCTTTATCGACTTCAAAACAAACAGATTCTTTCGCGATATGTCTGTTCTTTTCTTTTGAGAATTGCAGACGTCACCTAAGCCATGGCCTTTCGATGCCGAGGTGAAGCCCTGACGAACTGAAGTGGAAATCGGTCCTGTTCGTCCCCTTTCCAAATCAAGTTAGCCCATCCATCGTTTCAGATCTCTATTGCTGATTTGCTTTTTTGGTCGGCTTACTCGTGTTTCCAGCGACTCGAGTCGGGTGTGCCCCACGGTCCATGATTCAAGGGAATAACAAGAAGCAGATCACATCACAACAAACATTGGCTAAAAATTCTCGAAACCCGCGGCTCTGCCACAAGCTTCTTGCTGGAGATTGCACTTGGTGTTGTCTGTCGTTGGCGAGAGACGATAGCTCCGTCACGGTCCTCGGCCTGGCTCGCGCGTCGCCCTCCGGACGAAAGTGATGAAGTATACGAGGGTACCCTCGTGGAAGTTGCCAGCCACGTGCTATAGCGTCACGGATCTTGTCTCCTGACTCCGTGGAACCCGATAAGGGTCCTGCCATGAGGCTCGAGTGACGCAGATCCGAGGTCCCTGCGATTCACTAAGAGGACGATTTGGAATTCACAGCGCACTTGTGGTTTTTCTTTTCTTTTTTCTCGTTTTCTTCTTTGGACATTTCTGGATCGTCTCGGCCGATGCCACTGTTGATTATTTCCGTTGCGGGGGCGGAGTCCTTCCATTGCTGCGCCGCGTGTGTGGTGTGGAGTCGCTCATTTGGCAACCACTATACACACGGAACTTGGCGGCTGGCACTCCCACCGGAATGGAACGCAGTTGAACCACCAAGCTGGATGCAAAGATAAGACCAAATGATCGACCGTCCTGTTCCTCTAATTCTCCAGTAAAACAGCTTACCCCAAAAATATCTTTCGGATCACGGCTCCTTCTAACCTTCACGCCGCGGAAGCGTCGCTGAGTGCTCGGTGCTTCTCCGGTGTGGTGATGGTGCGCAACAACGGTGTGGCTTGTAGGGAAAGACAAAAGACAAGCGGCTGCGGCGCGTTTCAAATCAACAAGGGCCTCGTCACCCTTTGATGTGGCTTCGCCCTACGTACCGTGGCGTGAGCCTAAACTTGCTTAGCAGCCGTTGAAACCACTTAGCGCCTGTCAGCTACGAACACACCTTCTTCGGGCAGCTAGCTGGCAAGGCTGAATACGAAGAGCGGAACGGATTAGGACCCCTATTCATGAATAGTGAGTTAGCTTGGCTGGCTATTGTGGAATTGATTCCGTCTCAAGGTAACATCAGGCATCCCGCTTCTGAGCGGATCGTGCCCGTTTAGCCGGAACTAAACACCCGGCGCGAACCCATCACATCTGCCCCCTGTCACACATCAGACGGCGCCTGAGCTTCTGCCAGCCGGTGGAGACTCCTCCGCGCCTCCACAATCCTTGTATATCATCTGAACATCATCCGCCCGCGGCCTCGTATATGTAATTCCTCCTTTTTATTGTGACCCGACCTTTTCCCTAAGCCTAGCATCCGGCTTTTTTTCAGTCGCTGGTCGAGTCGTGTAAGGCCTATGGCGAGCCGTTTGTTTTCTATTTTCCTCGAGCTTCCTCGTGTTTGAATTTCTGCGCAGGTTTACGCGTGGGTGCTGGTCTCTCGTCGTTTTATTTTTTGCTTTCCCTTTCCTTAATTTGCAGGTCAACACACGATTCGAGATGTTCTCGCGGGTTTTCTCAGCTCTTTCTCTTTTTCTGTTACTGCTTTTGTCATTCGGCGTTGAGCGCGTCGCCTCTTCTCCAATCGTCACAACACGGCCAAGTCCTCAGAGGTCAGTCCTTCCTCTCACTGCTTGCATGAACTCGTACTCACCCCACACTGCAGACACGATGGCCAAGCACCACTGCAGCCAACACGAACCGGCAGCCACCTCCACATCATGACTCCCACCCCAGCCGCCTCGCAAACCATAACCGCCGCCCACCTCAAGCGCGACGACGCCACCACCGCCGTCGACGAGTAAGTCTCGCATCCACATCCCTCCCCCAGTCGACCCAACTAACCCACCTTCTCCACCAACAAGATCCGCCGCCGCAGCCCTCCTCTCCTCCTCCATCCAATCCGTCCTGGCCACCGGCCTCCCCCTCTCCATCCTCTCCCTCGCCGCCACCAACCCAGCCGCGGCATCCAGCTGGATCGCCTCCGAGGTCCTCGTCCTCCAGCAAACCGCAACGACCACCACCGTCCCCACCCCCTCCTGGTACCGCGCCCTCCCCACCGACGTCAAGGCCTACCTACTCGCCGCAGCCGAATCCATGGTCGCGGCGGCTGAGGTGGCTGCCACCGCTACCGGCACCGCTGCTGCTGGCTCCTCGACCTCCTCGTCAGAAAGCGAGACGAGTACGTCAACAGCAACAGATCAAAAATCCTACGCCATCGCCGCCGCGTACACCATGTCCGGCCCTGCCATCGCGGGCGTCCTGCTCGGATCGGTAGGGTTTGTGGGGGCCTGCGGCGCGCTGTTCGCGTGGCGCGCGCGGCTGGGCTGGTTCAATCAATTAGCAAGACGGCCGAGCGGCGAGGTCGAGGGGTACGAGCGCGCGGCCAGCCGGGCGGCGCTGAGAAGGGAGTTTAAGGGGAGTAGGTTGGATGTGGATGTTATTGTGGAGGAGCAGCAGGGGCAGGGGGGTGGGGGGATGGAGATGGGGGATATGGGGGGGAAAGGGAAGGATGGAAGGGGCGTGGGTGGAGCGGAGGGGGAGGGGGAGGGGGATGGGAGGGTGCCGGCGGATAGGGAGAGCGTTGTTACGGCGTTGCCGAGGTATCGGCCGTCTATTTTGGGTAATGCGGCGGGGTGGAAGGCCGGGTGGCCGAGTGCGTGGATGTCGGGGAGGTAGGTGGGACGGGACGGCTTTCTGGCGTTTGGTTGTGCGAACCATTTTTTCGGCGTTTCAAGCGTTGCTGCAAGTGCAAGAAAACGGAGATGGATGCGTTACCTAGGCTTCTTTTGGGGGCATTCTGTGTACAACGAGTTATCTTAATCAAGTCTCAAGGTATCAAACGAGGTTTAGCGGACGTGCCGCACATCCAGTTGGCAAGTGGCGGTAGGGTAATGCTGAAAAAAAAATATCAAGGGACGTAGTACACAATATATGCATCTTTGCAGCTCAGGAATTGTTTGGCGCCGTGCCCGGCATGGTTCTCGCAGCTGCTTTACTGTGCGACAGCACAAGACTGAGCTTAAAAAGGCGGTTCGCCCCACAGCCCCCCCAGCAACTTCAGCTGACCACCAAATCGCCTTACTAATTCTTGGAGATGGGTAACAAGTCGCGATATCAGGAGGCTTTTGTCCTACTGATGCTGGTTTCGATATGTTGGGCACAACAAAGCTCTGGTGCAGTGGTTGTGAATCCGAGCGGCATTTGGTAAGAAGGAATTTTCTCACGGGAGCTTTGACTTACCTCGTACAGGGATGGAGATGACGGACCCTGGTCATCTTTTCGAGTAGAACTAGGCTTTCCAGCCCCACAGTCAGTTCGTGTATTCCCTGGGTTCTCGGTTTCATCTATCTTCACCGTAATTCCAGAAGGCTGCAAGCGAAATGATACAAGCTGTCCTGATAGCAGGGGTGGACTCTTCGAAATAGATAACAGCTCTACATGGACCTATTTGGGTATTTACTCACTTGACATCGGCCGTTCGCTCGGCTTCCCAGACGACGCAGCTTACTTTGGCCTCGATCACGTATCTTTCGGGATCGATGTTTCGCATCAGCTGGTTGCCGCGTTCCCTGCTCCATCATACTGGCTTGGCTTATTCGGGCTATCCTTTTCAAATGTATCTTTTGCCAACTCGACCGATCCCGAAATATCTTTTCTGGAAAGACTTCGCAGGAACGGGAATGTTACGAGCCGAACCTGGAGCTACACTGCTGGAGCATACTACAGTAAGCCTGATCTCTTCCATCAGAGCTGATAACGTGAATTTATATGCTGCTTGCCAGGACAATCCCATGGAAGCCTCATTCTTGGAGGGTACGATAGTTTCCGTTTCTACGGGAACTCGACTTTGAATGTAAAGACGAGCGGCGATGCAGATTTGATTACATCAGTACTTGTAAAAAGCATTATTACTTCCGATTCCCGACAGCTGTCATCAACCACCTTCAATGCGAGCTTTCTGCCCGAGTTCGCATACATGTGGTTGCCTCAGCAAGTATGCGATGCCTTTTCTGCAACCTTTGGACTCGATTGGAACAGTACGAGCGAGCTATATACCATTAGCGAAGAGGCTCATGAGAAAAACCGCGCGTCAAATGTCTCAGCAACATTTCACCTTTGTAACCCGGAAGACGCAACGCTCTGTACGGAAATCAACTTTCCGTACGCTGCCTTCGCATTAAATGCGACATATCCAATCTTTCCAAAAAATGGGTCACAACGATACTTTCCAATCAAACCAGGGAGCGAGACTACAGGGTACGTCCTGGGTCGGGCTTTTCTTCAGGAAGCCCATATCTTCATGGACGAGGACAATGGTTGGTTCAACGTTTCACAAGCTCGTTTTAACGCGGGAAGTCAACAAATCATACCAGTATCGCATCCATTATACAAGAACAACTCAAATTCTCTGGAAGAGCAGTTGACAAGAGGACTGAGTGAAGGTTCAATCGCTGGAATTACGATAGGAAGCGTTGCAGCTTTGATGCTGATCTTGGGCATCTGGATATACTTTTCTTGGAGGAAGAAGCGTTGGCCGTTCAAGTCTCCAGCTCGGACCCCTCAACCAGAACAATTTGCCAAAGCCGAGCTGGACGGCAGAGGCAGACCCTAGGTAGAGCAGAGCGAGGTCGAACGACTGGAGATGCAAGCACACGAACCGCCGAAAGAGCTGCCGGACGGAAACCAAACCGCAGAACTTCCAGGGATCACGCCTATCTACGAACTCCCTGCCAGCAATTCCGAGCCGCGCTAAAATCGGACAACTCCAGGCATTGGTGGAGTATCTCAGTACTGGCGCTGATCTACGTCTATCTGATGGATGACGCCACGGCGGAAACTGCATCATCTCCGCCCTCGTATCTTCAGAATGTCTCGGAACGGTACCGGAAAAGGAGCGGAACTCTGGGCGAAAATCAGCGGTCAGTGGAAGCCCTGGTCATCCAGTTCGGAGGACGACCGGTCCCGAGTGTTTAATTCCGATGCTGTGTGGAAAAGGGGTGGGATCCAAGGGCCGAGGATTCGAAGGGCCGATGTCTTAGATTTAATAGGCAGGGAAACGTAGGGAAAGGTGAAAAGGCAGTCGTTGTCGGGAGCGGAGCTCAGGTGTTTGATGTGCGCTCGGGGTGTGGTGATCGGTGGATTGCGACGTCTGATTGGACGGGTGTCAAGATGAGTCTAGAACATCAGATGGGTTTCAAGCTCGTTCGGGCTCCAGCTCCGGTTTCTCCCTCTCAGGATTTCGTGGATCCCTGGACTTGTTTGTGCTCCGCCCGGCAGAACAATTGCGGGCCGTTCAGGATGCTGAGCAATTTCATTTCTTGTTTGGAAAGTTCCGTTGTTGCCGTCCGGGAATACCGATGCTGCGCCTCCCACCTCGTGGGTTGAGCTTTGACCTGACGATCAAACGAACCCATGGGCTTGGAATGTGACACATGAGCATTAGCCCTATTGATCATCGCGTGGTCGTTGCTATGTATAAAGCGTGGCTGGTTAAATGACGGGGCTGCACACGAATGCAGTGGTGCGCCTTTCAATCGGGCTTTTCGCAAGCAGTGTGACATCTCCCAGTGCATGCGTTTCGCGGCTCTTCGCCCCAGTGAAACACCTTCAATTCGTAGATCGATGCATCGTAAGCCGGCGATGCAGTGTGCGTGCAGAGATTCTGCAGTTTCCTCTATCTTCGAAAGCGTCGGTTGGCTTCTGTCATGAACACGTTGAGAGTGAGTTGTGGTGACCTGCTGGCGGCGCTAAAGCGGGCTAGCTGCAAAGGGCCGCGAAAATGGTCGGGCTGTTCCAAGAAAAGATCAGGCCTGCGAAACGATTGGAAAACAACACACCTGCTCGCAGTTCTCGAGCCAATCACGGTGCGCACAGACATGACATAATCAACACTAGGCGCTTAGCTCGCAGAGGTCCAGTCGTCTTGCATTTGCGAAACGGCGAGGAAACAGTTTCGCCAGTTGATGGTCCTCAGGCTGCTAAGCGCCAATACATTACACTGCATGTACATCGTCGGTCGTGCCAAGCGGTACGTGGTGATAAAGATGCCACCGACCTTCCTGCTTCCGTTGAGTCTTCAGAATCTCAGGCTGGTCCTTTTCTTTCCACACACAACCAATTAATCCTTTTCCTTGGTTTTGATTGCGAGAATTCCCCGCAAAGATACCCTAGAAGCGCAGCGATGCACAGCCCACTGGAACGCATCGATGAACACCAATCAGAATCCGCATGGGAGAATTACCCCTCTCATAGAAGATCATCTCCAGTCCTGGGAAGACAATCTCCAGTCCTCGGAAGATCATCCCCAGACTCGCTGAGCAGCGACTCCACAGGATGGACCAACGCGTCCACTCTCAGAACCCAGCCGCCCTCGCTTTTTGATGAGCGAAAGATCCAGCCCCAGATCACCGGTTTCCAAAGCATCAGTGACGATGCCAGCACACTTGCAGCCCTTCCACAATCGCCATGGGGTGTCCATTGGAAGTCCCCAACGTTGATGGTGTCGCTGTTCACGCTTGGCGTAAGCTTCTGCGTCGCGCATCATCTCTTCTACGGATATCTTGACGGTACTGCTGTCGGATCTTCTGAATCACAACAATGGGCCATCCGTGCTGGAACGGCCCTCGCACTTCTTGCAAAGGCTTTTCTGGCAGCATCCGTTGGTGTGGCGCTCACCCAAAGGCTCTGGATGACGTTGAGAGCCAAGCCATTCTCTATCCAAGGTCTTGACAATGCCTTTTCCTTGCCAGCGGATCCTACGTCTCTCTTTTCCGGAGAGGTTATGGGACATGCGAAGCTCTTGTGGTTGATGGCTGCTGCTATGTGGTAAGTGAAAAAGAGTCTCAGTCTTTGGCGGCCACATCCGCTGACTTCAATGCAGGTGCATTCCGATCATTGCTACCGTCACCCCTGCGACGCTGACAGTCAACCTCGGATTGTCAATCAACATCACAAGCGCAAGGGTTCCATCTCTGAGCTATGAAAATGGCGCTAGCTGGGGACAGTACGATGACGAGCAACGCTTGATCGGCGCCGCCATTCCGTTGCATAGGATACTTGCCGCAACTGCTACCACCGGCGACGTCGTTCGCATGTCGGCTCCTTTCTCAAACTCCTCTTACACGACGAGCTTCTTCGGTCCATCCCTTCAGTGCTACAACCTGAGCGCTGTCTATGTGGACCCGAGCGACGTGGCAGTTGTAGCACAACACAAGGAAGTCTTCCAGTCCGTCATCGAATCCAATATGCAACGATCCAACGCAGCATGGGATTCCCACCACATCTACCTCGGTGCCACCTCGAACGCATCCAACCTGTCCTCCACCATCTTCATCAACGTCCAAGGAGCTCAAGAGCACAACATTACCTGCAACCTCTGGCAAACAGCCTACACCGTCAAGCACTCCTTCCCCGCCAACGGCGCCCACACCGCAACCATCATGGGCCTTAACCGCACCTCCGCCGTGCAGATCGCCGGCGGCAACAACGCATCCGCGTACACGCCCGAGCAAACCGCCTTCTACAGCTGGACGACCGCGCTCACCTCCCTCCTCGCCACGCGCATCGCCAACCCCTCCTCCAACTCCTCCGCCTCCAACAACCCCCTCGCCGCCCCCCTCCTCAACACCAACCTCGCCTCCTGCCCCGAGCTCCTCACCACCCTCAACCAAACCTCGTCCTCCCCCAGCGCCGCCGCCTCCACCCGCCCCTGCCGCGCGGGCACCCTCCTCCACGCCCTCGAAGACCTGTCCTACAACTACACCCTCTCCCTCCTCTCGTCCGCCCCCACCTCCGGCTCCACCACCGCCGAGCTCACCACGCGCCGGCCCCTCAACATCTACTCCTACGCCCCGCTCCCGCTGCTCGCCGCGTACGGCACGGCCACCTGCGTCGCCCTGCTCTGCCTGCTGGCTGGCGCGCGCGCGTACGTCGCGAACGGGTTCAGCGGGAGCCGGTCGTTTTCGGCGATACTGCTGACGACGCGCAACACGGATTTGGATCGGTTGGTCGAGGGGCACTGTTTGCCGGCGCGGCCGGTGGAGAAGGGGTTGCGGGGGACGAAGTTAAGGTATGGGACGTTGGCGGCGAAGGAGAAGAGTGTGGCCGGGCAGGAGCATGCGGGGTTTGGGTTTGTGGGGACGGTGAGGACGGTGAGGAGGGGGGACGTTTGTGCGTGAGTGGGGTGGTGGGGGAAAAGGAACGGATGGTGGGATGGTGGCGGGGTTGGGGCTGGCCAGCCATGACTGCAGGGCGGTTGTGGTGGGTGGGTTGGTGACGTACTTGCCCTGGTGGCAGTATCGTAGACTAGGATCCGGAGAGAAAATAATTAATTACTTATTTCTGGTTGCAGAGGCTGTTCAGCTCGGACTGTCTGTTGTTAGAAACTCGGTATTCACGACAAAGCTGGGGTCGCTTGAGGCTCGTCAAAGCCTTTTGCAGTTGCTTCATCTGGAGATTACTCGCCAATTCTGTGATTTTCAGAAACACTAAGCGCTTCACATGCTGCCTCATGCGACGCTCTTTGTCTTTGCTCTACCCTCCAAAGGTTTTACGGTGGTACAATATCATCCGCCTCACATGATCTGATTCCCCGCAAGTGGCGTAGAGTTTAAGATAGCACAAGAAGATCATAACTTTGGATTTGACTGTCGTCGATGGAGATTGGCGACTTTCAGAGTCGATCGAAAAGTTAACGATGGTAGCTCTGAGTTGTTTTGTAGAGTCTCAGCCACCGTACGAGGCCATCGTTCTAAGCAGAATATAATAGGCTTCCGGAAAGCTTACACTGCAGTGAACAATAAATAGTATTGGAATAAGTCAATAGTAAAACTGGAAAAGAAAGTGCTCGGTTTGGCCTAAATTAAATGAGAACAACTTCAGTCTCCTCCCAATCCGGTGATTTCCATGGTCCATATATTTCGAAACATCCAACCCTGAGAAATGAACATGTATCCATATCGACAGGAAACAGAATCAGCCCAACAGCTGATCGGCCATCATTTTGACGATACTTTGTTAACAGAAAAAGCTTCAAATGAGCCTCTAAGCCGTCAATGAAATCCTGAGGAGATGGGTCCCAATCCAAGACGTATTTAATTTTCCTGTCCACATTCTGTTTCCTTTCGCTCTTCCATCGCCGGGGATTTTCATTGCCGCTGTAAGGGGCTTCCCACCAAGTTGCTGATGTCCCCGAACGCGAAGACTTGAGGCCCATAGATGGTCTTCCGGGAATGTTTCGAAGTTTGCCCAAGAGGGTAATTGATGAGCCATGTGCGATGGCAACTGTGGGATCTGATCGAGCGGGCTTAATACTGTGGGTGACCACCTGGAACACCGGCTGACCACCAGGGTAAAGAATATCTACGGGTTGATTGAGAGCGGCCCAGCTCCAGGATGGTGCGATATATTGTTGCCGGTCTGAATGGTAGCGCAACAGCCGCCGGAATGAAATGGTTGGATGTTCAAGGAACCAAGATAGCTGGAGATTCACACGCGCGTTCTCGGCGAGCCAGATCCCGGCTATATATGTTGCTGGATTTCCTGCGTCTTCATGTTCCTGAGCGACTGCTTTTACAAATCCAGAGATGGCAGCCAGCCTATCTCTTCCCTTTGTAAGCTCTCTGTGAGAGTAATGATACATTACCGATTCCCATTCCTTCGCTCCATTTACAGAGACTCCTTTACAATCATCAGTGCGGGTGACGTGGTGCCTCTCATATTCGTGTAACATGCGTTGGTGGCATCTGAAATGAAGCATTTTTTCGCCGAATATTAACAACCTCTGCGGCAACTTTTGTTCCTGCCACACCCAACCTCGCGTGTTCCAGGTCGAGCTTTGCAAGCTTTTCGCCAAGGGAGTTCCGGTGTACTCGCTTAGTAGAAGTATCGAAATCGTTCCCGTGATATTCCGTTTGATTGACGACTGAAACTCAATATCGATCGAGAGGTCCTCCCTTGGGTAAAAGAGCGTTTCATGACAAGAAGAGGTTGCTGCTGCGCCTATAGTCATCCAGGAATTAGAAAATACATCCGCCATTGCTGCTGATTCGTTATGCCAGTCCTCATCGCAACCCTGGACAATACAGAGTGCATCGATCCAAAGGTAACGAACTCCAAGTGTCCGAGCTACCAACACGGCATCACGAAAGACTCTAGGCATCGAACCAATGGGAACCCCTGCTTTGTGGCCTTCGATTGTGCTTTTTGTAGTCCTCAAAGGTGGCTGGCCAGCACCCCAGCAGTAACTCAAGCATATGTACTTAAGCGGACGGTCTTCATATCTCAGTTGGTCCATGGAGCGCGTGTCGACTAGGGTAATTTGCAAATCGTCACTTCCATGAGCTCCGACATCCAACAGACGAGTGGGGAGGAACTCCTCTCGTTTAGAAGAACGGCAACAACTAGGATCCGTCTCGCATTGTAAAAGCCAGTTTCGGATCAGATCGACTTTCGTCTCTGAAAATGAGCTTTCCACATCCAAAGGCCTCGCTGTAATATGGAGCCATTCTTGACAGGAACCTAAAGTCAAACGCAAAAGTCAGCAATTCGGTTATTATGTGCTTCAATGTTAACTTACCTGATGATGTGGCAATTGGAAATTGAAGGAGCCAATAGTGAAACCTAGGATGTTCTAGCAAAACATCGAGTGACCAAAGTCCGAAATGAAGCTGACAATCTTCCTCTTTCAATTTCACCCATTTGTATTGCACTTGGAGCGTGAGCTTGCTGGCTGTGGTCTGCCACCACTCTTTCTCGGCTCCATGTTTGAGTACCTTGCTCTTGATTGCGCGGCAGAATTTGCACTTATCCGATAACTCAGGTAAATGAGGAGGAGTGATATCTCGCTGTTCATATTGTGCGCCGCCATGCCAACCCGTGCCGGGAAAACGATCTTGGCTAAGGAGAGGGAAGCTGAGTTTTGGTAGATCGTCATTACAAGGTTCCTCAAGAACACCTTTGGCACAGCGATCATCCAGGCGAAGTCCGTGTGCGCAGATGCTGCAGAGAGAGGTTTGACTCGGTGGGGTTTGGTCGGAGGACCTTTCGGGTGATGGGATAGGAGACGAATGTTGTTGGTTTGACTCAGAAACGGCTTCTTGCGAAACACCGAGGGTTGTGGTATTTTCAATCTCCTTTATTTGACCAGGTCTCAGCCACCGCCAGACTCGTCGGACGATACCAAAGCAAGTCATGGATGATGTGCTGTCCTGTCACTGCTGATAGTTGCTTGCAGTATTGTGGTCAACCTTGTGAATTGTTGTTGAAACTCAAATGAGGAAACAGGGATTCGATGGTAAGGATAAATGTTGGGATGGGTAAGGTTGGGGGTGCAAAATATGCTACGCGTTTGCTTTTTACGAGATTTCGCCACTGTTGCCTGCAAGCACCGCCACCGTCGGATTTGGGGCTCCAATCGCATTTTTCTACCTAGTGACACTGCCACAATGCAGCTAGTTGCTGGCAGTGCAAGGATTGTGAATCAGTGTTGATCGACAGGCGGGCCCGTGTTTCTGCCCCACAGTGGGATGGGAGCGGTTATTCTTGGATCAGATCGTGGAATTTTCAACTGTGCCTTTTCTTGAAAATTAATTTTTGAACCAATCACGGCTACGACTGTAAAAAAAAGAAAATAACAGCAAGTGATATGCCGTTGAGCGGAAGAAGCAAAATGAAGACACATCTTCACTCAACCTGAAGATTTCCCATTTTCCGCATCCAATTCTGGTATGACCGGCATTCCGTCCTTTTCCACCCTGACCTCTGGATGTGCCTGGTCCTCAAGCTGATAAATCGTATTGCCCTCCGCCTCATGACGCAGCTCCGACGGATTGCCTTCCATCTCATACCGCTGCTCAGATGCTAACTCCTCCACTTTGCCATGCCCATCAACGTCAGCGCCTTTGACGTCGTGTGCCTTGAAATCGCCTGTTCCCTCACCCTCTCCCATCTCACCATCCCCCGTATTACTTGTACTGGCATGATTCGATTTGCTATTTGATCTCCGTGCCCTGTACAGAAAGAAAGCGCCGAGAGCGAGAGAAATGGTAGCAATGGGCACGGCTACTCCAGTAGCGATAGCCGTAGTGCGGGTGTCGTCGGAAGACGAGGAAGATGATGATGTCTCGGGGGAAGCAGTTGACGTTGCCAACACGGAAGTGGCAGCCGGAGATGCAGTTGTGGAAGCTGCTGCCTTGGAGCTCACTATCATTGGAAAGGGTCGGTCAGCTACAAGACAAAATCTGTTTCACAACCTGGACCGGATATGTTCCAAATGAAAACAGTAAGGAATAAGATGGTGCAAAAGTGAAGGAAGCAAGAGATACCAGAAGGTAGCGGGTATATTACTGACAAGTTGTCGTCGCGTTGACGCCCAGAGCGCAGTAGGAGTCGAATACCGCGATCGCACTGGATACCTGCGCCATGACGAAAGACGTGACGTTGCTGTGGCTTTTGCACTCGGTAGAGACGACGCTGGAGATGATTGAGTTCATCTTGCTGGAGCTACCGGTGCAGAAGCAGGTGTACGATGTCAGGCTTCCGTCATCGCCGCAGCCGGAGCTCATACCGCGGACGATGGTGCTGAGGGGCTCCACGGCGCATGATGTGAGTTGTGAGTAGCCTGGGAGATACGGCCCGTTGATGAATATCTTGGTTTCTCCTTCAGCTGCTGTGAAAGGCAGCAGAACTGCGAGAATGATGCAGAGGAAGATATGTGGAAAGGACTGGGGTAGCCTCATTATTTACTTTTGGGATGAGGGCAATGATGCAATATGTAAGTCTACGAAAAAGTTTTGGATAGTGGGGGAGGATTAGGGGGAGTGGAGAGGACGCTTAATCTGCGGCCTGGAGAGCTTTCCTGACGTACGTATAAACATTCAACAAGGCTTAAGGGTTCGCAATGCGGGGCCGCCAATGTAAGCAGTGAATGCAAGGATGGTGCAGGCCATGTAATTGTTTCACAAGCTTTGCGACAAGCATCAAATTGAACAAGAGAAGAGCACAACCCGGCGAAAGCCGTGGAGGCCCTACATATGCAGCTTCAGCAGATCCTTGCCACTGATAGGGTTGTATCTTCCGAGATGAAAACCACTTTCGACAGTTCGAGTTTGGAGTCTTTGATGACGTTCCTTGCAAATGTCCTTCAAAGTGTAAGTTGTGTTCTAAGTGCAGCCACTCTTGGATCTTTATTAAGGAATAGACCCTCGAATTGTGGAAATTGTGGGCAAGCCTCGCGATAATGCGAATATTCGCCCCCAAAAGGTACAGGGTTCTCCTTTCCAGTTCGGGTCACTCTGCCCGTTCCTTGAACGGCTGGCGTCGGCAAAGTCGAGTTGCGCTGTAACATCGACAAGGAATGCGTCCGAATTAAGCTAATATAAGCTTACACTCTGCAGCCGTCCGTCCCTGTCTTACTTTCAGTTTCCCACTTCCGAGTGGATCGCGACCTGAATCTCCACGACATTGTACAGAGATGCCAAGGAGCCGCAATAACAGCACAATTACGCCCAGCAAAGAAAGCAGTAAAAGAAAAATACAAATAAAAGCCCCCGGAGGGCAGGCGCTTCTTAAGCCGCAAACTTGCAGCGCGTTATCCTGCACCTGGAACCGCACCCTCGACGCACCCACCGATTTCGATCACAGGCGCTGGGCCGCACGCCGTAATGCTCATCACTTCCCTCCTCACGATCGCTCTTGCCGGGGTCCTTGTCGCTGCGACCAGCTCGCCAACCATTCACGAGCGCGACGCCCCTCCTTGGGCCGGCAGCAACCTGTACTTCCTGCACGCGCTACCCATCGCGGAACAAGAACGCTACATCAACACGCTCGCCAGCTGGGGTGTCAAAGTCATCCGCCTCTGGGGTGAGTGAGCAGATCTTACAACCAGCCAGCCCGCCCGCCCATCGCCTCCACTCCTCGCACACCCGACGGAAATCTTCCCCACCCCACACTCCGCCTGTCAACTGCCCACGACCACCCCTCCCGCTGACAACCTGCTCCCCGCGTCCTCCACAGTCACCGGCCTCCCCGGCGGCTGCATCAAAGGCAGCCCCAACACAACCGCGATCCCGCACCTCGAGCCCACGACCGTCGGCACCTACGACACGACCGTCCTCGCCGCGCTGGACGCAACCCTCGCCCTTCTCCACTCCGCCGGCCTCAAAGCCATCATCTCGCCGCACGACGCCGGCCAAATCGCCGGCGCGAACGGCTGCGACGCCTACTGCGCCAAATACGGCAACCAAACCGCATTCTACACATCCGCCGAGGGCATCCAGGACTACGATGCGCGATTGGCGGTGGTGCTGGGGTACGAGAGTGCGCATTTCGGCGGGAGGAAGTGGGGAGAGCTGAGCGAGGTGGTGATGGCGTTTGATGTGCAGAATGAGCCGATGATTGATGCGGTGGGGTTGTTGGAGGAGGGCGATCCGGGGAATTGGATTTGTGGAAGGGCGAAGGTGATGAAGGGGTTGATGGGAGAGGGGTCTGGGGTGAAGGTCGCGACGGGGGGGATTGGAGGGAGTCAGTATTGTTGTGAGCATGAGTTTAATGGGTTGAAGAGGGCGTTGGAGTGTGAGGCGGTGGATATTGTGAGCGTGCATGGGTATATGAGTAAGGCGGAGGACTGGGCGTATTTTATTACTGGGGATGCTTCTATTCTGAAAGCGGTTGAGGCGGCGGATCCAAGGAAGGAGGTCGTGATTGAGGAATGGGGCGTGGCGGCGGATTCGGAAGACGGGTTCGATACTCAGGTGGAGGTGTTTAATGATGCGGGTGTACCCTGGGTGAGTTTATATTCTTGCCATGGATGTCGTTCACTGACCATCAATCAGCTATACTGGCAGGTAGTTCCTGGAAAAGACCAGACGCAAAACGGGTGCCTGGCAAATTGTGGATATGACGGATTTGAGATCGGCTTAAATAGCGCGAAGGGGAATGTCAGCTCCGCTCTCACAAAAGCATAAGCTGTAAGTGATACCAACAGTAATCCATTTCCTATTCGTTAAAAAGAAATATTCTACAAATGTTAAACCATTGTGGCAAGTAGCCTACCAGGTATGCTTTACCAGAAGTTCAACGGCTTACCGCTTGCTTACTATTGATTGTACTGTCAAGGACTGGCTTACCACTCCTCATTAACACACACCCGAGACCAAAGAACTATAATATCATATCATATGTTAGATACCAGGTTACAAGCCTAGACATAGCTTTTATAGATGTATACATAGTAGGCTGACTTTCATCCTGGAACGAGCCAGTGATTCGTTAACAGAGAGAAAGCATGTTACAATTGAGTATATTGTTCATCATATTCTTACATATACCGCTTGTTTAGTTCGCTACCACTAAGCCATTTCTTCCCGAGCACATTTAGCTCAGCTCGCTTGACAGCCGTACATCGCCACTTCTTGCGCCGATTACTCCTCCCATACGCAGTTCATACAAGGACCTGCTCTACAGATAATGCAGACCACATATAGATTGAGAGACATTGGCCCGAATCCACAGCTGCAACAAATGAAGGTTTCCCACCCTCCCCACTCCCACGAAACGCTTCCCGTCCAGACGTGCCTTTCTTGGGCCTTTGTACGCACACGAGTGTCTGTGTCTTGATCACACTCCCCTTCTAGACGTATTTTATGTGGAATTTGGAGTATGTCACTGGGCTGAAAAGTTGAAATATCGTCATGCTGAGTGACTCTGTTGTTGGCATATCGATAACTTCTCCGCACAATATCTAGAATAACATGTTAGTTATTCTTCGCGGAAAGCTCTCAGGGATATTAAATTACCTTTTTGAGCCCGTGCCTTGCGTCTGGAGGGTTTACCGAGGGATTTGAGTGCCGCATTTTCATCAGGGACGATTACATCGCGTCGAATGCTGTTAGTAATTTCGCTTAGATAACGACAAACAGCAGTGTAATCCACATCATCCATGGCGAACTTCACCATTTCCGAATGATTCTTGTCGACATGGTGTACATCCTCAGGTAGTCGAGAGCACCTCTGGATGGCAGACATCTTCTCCACTATTTTCTTTTCAGAGCCAGATCTAGTCCATTTTCCGGGGCTTGATTCCTGTAGCAGGTCAGCTAGAAGACCGTTGATCGTTGGTTGAGAAAGCCTACTTTCACGGTAGGTGTGGTCTTCGTCTCATAAAAGGAGATTACCCGGAACCCTTTCAACTTTTGGATTTCTGTGAATCTGAAGTCCACATATTTGAGGTGCTGAGAACCATAAGAAAGTGACTTAACTAGTGCTTCTGTTAAGTATCTCCCACTGACCATGGAGAGCAGTTGCTTGTTCTTCATTCCCTCATGAGGCACACCGAAGCATAGGCATGCTTTTATTTTTCCTAGTAGAGTAGTTGCTTGGTCAGATTGCCGCCAAAGGTGCATAATGGCCTCCTTGAGAATAATGCCGCCCAGACTGTGGCCCAAGAATATGGTGGGCTTGGCGGCAGCCCCGCCTAGCCCTGCATTTAGCAATTCTTTGACAAACTCCTGTGCCAAATCCTCGGAGGTCTTGAACGAGCTGGTAGAAAGCGACGTATCATAGCCGTAGATGATGGTTCTGACGCCTTCCAGGTGTTTTGGAAGTCCGTCACGGAGCCACATGAAGTTTGGTCCGTCGACGCTTCGGGGTTGCTGCCATGATCCGAAGGGATGGCTCGCGAGTCCGCTAATTGCGACGAGGCTTTATGTTGTTAGTGAGAGTATCTCAACGAGTCAAGCCATACCTACTTCACGATCAACTTGTGGTCTTCGACGTCATTCAAGACCGTTAAGCCAAAGAAGTCAGAATCTACCGTCACGCTGTGTGTGAAACCGCCGTAGTGGAGATGGAGACACCACAGTGACTTTCCCCAGAAACGTCGTGGAAGAGGGTCGATGGTGATGGTTGCGACCTTGGAAGGATATGGGTCGAGAGTGCCAATGCTTTCGGCAAGTGAGAGAACCTCAACTTTTGGGGATTCACCCCTGCACCTTAATTCAAGGCTATTTTGTAGGATCCATCGAAGTTCAGAAATATTGATGCTGTTCGGAAGCCGACGCACGCGATACGTGAGCAGCCTCGTGTCTGATGCCATACTGAAATTTGATGAATCCGGTGAATGTCAGTGGGGTATGGGTATGGGAGGGGCTAGTGAATCATCTCTGCATTATGTTGAGCACCATTGTTGCCTAGGAGGAACCTTTCTTTTTTCAACCAGGAGTGGCTTGGGGCTGACAGGCTCCTTATACGCAGTTCAACTAGCACCCTTGTACGCCAAGGTTTTCGTATAGTGCCAAGGCGTATCAGCGTATTGGATCAATCAGACATCAGACATGTAGACTGCCTTGAATAAGCCTTGTGCGGGGCTACCTACGTGATCGCATCGCATTTGTTTACAATGCTCCAACCACAGATTGCCACGTCATAGCTCAAACATCCCATATCATCAAAGCCTTACGAATGATGAGAGAGGCAACGTCAGCCAATAGTGAGATAAGCGAACACCTTGACAAGGCTGACCCCGTAGGGCAGAGGAGGAGCCTCACTTACAAGAAATGTGTATTCGTTGTCGGAAAATGCGTAATCGCGTAATTCTAATCCTGCAGGAATACTCCACTAAATAGAACTAACCTGAGTGCGTTCTAACTGGTATACTCCGAAAAGAGCGGCTTTCTGTTCTAGAAAGGAGAAGGGGATCGATGATTTGACGCTGCTCCGAATAGCCCAGAGACCAGGGTTAATTAAGATAAAAAGGTAGCCGCGCTGGAGCTGGCGGCTGGCTGGCTTCAAGATTTTTCGATAACATTAGTATGAGAAAAAATTAAGAATGATCCTGGCACTTACGGTTCTGTTGTTTCTTACAAAATACCAAAATCGAACTACGAGGCCTGCAGTGACTACACGTCGCCAAAATGCTCAAATACGACGTGCAAGCCTGGAGATAGGTGGAGAGCATTTACAATGATACTACTTTAAATCTACATCGATTTCCGACCGCTGTGCATTGAGCAATTTGGCCCCACGACTATGTTCGAAATTCCTTGGGTCAGCCTCTTACCGGGGATGCAGAACAATTGAAAATTAAACGTACAGCCATGGTACCCAGCTATCCCATCAACCTTTTATAGCCTAAATTCTAATCCCACACGCATCGCTATCTGCAACTTCTCCACATTTGACACATTCCCGATGCAACTTACAAAGCATAGGCCCAAACGCGCATTTTCCACAATAATATCCGTTTACTGGTCCTTGGTTGCTGTCCCGCGCGATGCCTGTAATAGTATTCTAATTAGTATTCGATGAAAGCTTCCCAAAACTGTTCACTTACCTGTTGGAGACTTCTGTCTGGACTGGCCATTGAAATCTTGGAATACATGGACGCGCTTGAATTTGGAAATATCCTCAAGGGAAGGATTATGGTCGAGATCAACGTTTTTATGTCCCAGCTGCAGCGGAAATTGTTGCTGTGTTTTGCTCATTTCTGATGCTCCAAATTGAATGCGGCATTTCGGGCTTCTCTTCTTGATCAGCGAGATTCATATATGTATTAGAGAGAATGCTCATTTCAGCTAAATCTTACCATTCAACAAAATATGACCTGCTGTCTGATTGGTACTTAAAGGGAAATCGACACGTCCTTCGTGGGCAATATCCAATTTCGTTTGTGAACTCCGTGATCACTATTGACATCCCCACTTTCGCTCCGGGAGAAATTGTCTGACTCTAGTTTGATTTCCTCAGAAACTGCCGGTTTCGCATATTATGGAAGACGTAGTATCCGTGATCCACCTTCTCCTGGCCAGGACAGTTGCGGAACGCTGCACGTAAACCACGCGTGAGGACCTTACAACACGTGAGCAAATGCAGTAAATCAAAGGTGTATTTTCTCACTTCATAGTCTTGGACGAAGATAAAAGGGAGATGAAGGGTACGACCCAAAGCGTCGAGCAAAGTAATACTATCAGGAGGAGCGAGTATCGGCTGGCGGAATGAAGCGATTGGCTGTCGCAACAAAGCAAATATCTGAACCAGTACTGGCGCCAGAGTCCTGAAAGTGTCTGTTAATATCCCTTGGATACATCGGTCCAGTGGTAGAATATCTTACTTGAAGTAAATCCAGAAGCAACGCAAGGTATCAACCAGCCTGTAGCAAGAGGTTAGCAGAATGTCAAGCTGAAGGGACCATAGTACTACATGTAAGCCACGATTTCTATCACTTGCGTACTTGATTTTACACAAGACTCCACAGATTGGTGTGAAGGTAGAAACAAATGACGAAGTGGGACCACATGAACGGTGACGTCTGTATCTTCATGAGGAATTCTGGCGGATGACTGTTCTGTGTTTTTGGTCTGTGCAAGTCCAACGTGTATAGACCTCATTAATCGCTGCATTTGACTTTCCATGGATGATTCGAAGCTGGCAAGAGCATCCTTAAGAAGCTCATCAGCATTGCGTGAAGCGTTGGATGGAACCCCAATGCATGATCCCGAGGCGGGCTGGCAGCAACCAATTATGGAGGATTCAGCAGAGCTTTACGACGTCAGCGGAAATTGAAGGAAGCTATAACATAGCACGGGTAGCGTACGTGATTTTCTGGGTGAGAACTTTTGTTGCATCCGTAATCCTACTCTCATTGTCAAGTCCCAGTCGCTCGATTTTGGCTGCCAGGTTGTCGAAACCAGCTTCTTGCTTGACAGTGAAACTTTCAATCAAGGTGCGCATCCCAACACTTTCCTGCGTCAGCTTTGTAGCCCCTTCCCTATCGGGGTCAACATTCATCGATGTCTATACAATGTTTGAGAGAGCTCTTACATCAGCTGGGCTTGAAGCACCAAAACAGCGTTGATTATCTCCGATGAGAGAACGGCCCGGAGATCCTTCGTGTCCTTGGAGTGCAATAAAGCCCACTGCATCTTCCGAAAGGTCCTAGAAAGCCTATCAATTTTCGCATGGGTAGGGACGGCTCATATTTTGCTTTTTTCTCGTAGAGCTGCTGTAAGCTTTTCTCGCATAAACTTAAAGCCTGGCCCAGCGCGGCCGGTGTCTGGTGGGCAGGATTTTGCTCTAGCGTCCGTAGATATCCGAGTCCATCGTTGAGTGCGATAGCATGCTCCTCTACGTCTTGGTATTCTTCTGCTGCACCACCGGATTCCTTGAGAACTTTTACGGCCTTGATGAGTAGATCGGTAATGGCGATGCAATCTCCTACCCCCAGAGGGGCCATTGCCTCGTACGAGTCCCTGCCTCAGCTCCGAGGCGGAGCTGCATATGGTACGGCAAACGAAAGGATGAATGAGAAATGGTTGCGTCGTCGGAGTACCATGTTGGGCATGGGCGGGCATTAATGAGTCTTGCAGCTGCCGCATGTGTGCACTGCCACATCATCGCTTAGCATCTTTGTGCCCTCAGCGGACTATGAGTTATCGTCTGAGGCGTGGTGCATATGTTATGTAGCCAGGTTCGTGCTTGAAACGAATAAGACGAAGCGGCGTGGGTGACAATGCGCCAATGAAAATGACTAAGGCTGACTTGCTAGTTGTTATCCAATAACATTACCCCCATCCATACACCTCGCCCTTTATTCCATGCACTTCGCCCCCAGGTCGATGCATGTATTGCAAATATCGAGAAAGATCACATTTTTTCTGTCAGTCGACACACTGCGGAACAGAGCCTTCCAATTGCCTGAAGATAGGCTTACGAAGACAATCAAATGCGGCGAAAGAGCTGTTAAATAATCAAGTGAGAAAATATTTCTAACCTTTTATAAATTTCCTCTCAGTTTTAGATATGGCAGAAAATATAATCTGGTCCATTTTTCCGCTTGTGCATTGAGATGTTCTATGCAAATAAAATAAATCCAGACGCGAAGACCAACCAAGGCAAAGATGATACATCATACCCGTACTTATACTACACTCTTCATCCCGGGGCTCAATTCCTTGCTACTGAAGACTTGACTGCTGCTTACCGTCGCCGAACAACTCTCTATCCATGATACCGTCGATGTAGCATTCTCCAACGGCCTGATAGACTTCAAGTGTGGTACCCGACTTACGAATGATGTATGGTACCTTGGCGCCCTTGAAAACGACGATCTTGTCCCTCGACTCTTTTCCAGTTACTGTGCAAGCTGTCTGCAGCACGATGCCAACTCTTCACTCCCTCGTCTCACACACCACAGCGCCGGCTGACTAGAAGCTCTCCGCGAACTGGAGCACTCTTTGGTAATGGGACCACATCTGGCGACGGAGGAGTCCAGCGGAGATCACCGCACAAGCGGCTTGGCCTGTCTCTTGGATGGTCGTTCCCTCGTCTTGCAAAGACCGTTTGCGGCGGTTAACCAGATACCGAAGCCTGTTGCGGTATGCATCCGTCCTGGTAGCTCTACTATTGTCCTGGTACATCCGCCTGGTTCTTGGGGACCCAAGATCCTTAAGATGATAAGAGGAATTATTACAGTTCAATTGGGTTATACAAATAATGCGTACAATCTATCCTAGTCTATTTTCATATCTCATAAAATCATCTCAGCACAGAACCGAAGTTCCCATCACCGAAACCAACGACGCCAACAGCGCAATCAGCATAACTGCGCCATTGACCTCCACTGCCCTCACACCCCACGAATCATCATCGTCCTTCCCATCATCGTCATCATCCCCATCATCTTCCTCATCCACGCACCCGCCATCCCCCACATTCTCCGACAACTCCAGCACCTGCGGATTGAGATTGTAAATCCCGTCCGGGCAGTCCTTCGACACCTCCCTCCCGCCCTTCGCGACCGCGACCAACGTCCCCTCCTTATCCCTCACCTCAACACACTGCTTCCCCTCCCTCATCCCCGAAAAATTCCCATAATTCAGCCCCTGCACAAGCTCCACCTTATCCCCCAGCGTCTCGCCCCCACTATACCCCTGCACCGTCCACCCGTCCTTCCCCTCGCCCACGACGACCGCCCACGTCGACACGTCGACCGCGACCTCGTAGCCCGACGGCTTCTCGTTGTGCAGGTCGCCGTCGTCCTCGTCCGGACACGACGTGTCGGCCAGGATGGGCTTGAACCACAGGGCGCCGGTGGCGTTGGCGTTGGTGCCGAACGGCGCCATCTTGTCGGCGGTCAGGCCGGATTTGAAGGCCGCGGTGAAGGAGGCGAGGAGCGGTTGGATGCCGGTGTGGGACGAGGCGTCGTTGGCGTAGACGCGCATTTGCGTCGTGTTGTCTTGCTCCGGCCAGATGTTGCCCATGTAGTGGCTTTCGGGGCCGTCGTTCTGTGGGGAGTGGGTTAGCGGGGAGGGGGGGGGGGGGGGGGGGGGGGGGGGGGGGGGGGGGGGGGATGGGTGCGGGCTTACCCAGGTGAGGATTTGGGTGAATTCGGGTTGCTCGGGCATGTTGAGGATGTTTTGGATGCGGAGGGGGAGGTTCTCCTCGCCGGCGCGGTAGATATTGGCGCCGTAGGAGTTTTTGTATTGGAGCATGCTCAGGCCTGGGGCTGTCAGTGGGATGTTCAAAGTATAGAGCTTCAGCTGCTCGGCGAGCCTTACCGATCATGTACGCTTTGTCCTTCTCCTCCGTCCACTCGGGCTTCGCATCGACCCGGGCCACCTCCAGCGTGCTCGCCTGTCCCCTAATCGGCCACGTCGACTCCCAACTGAACAAGCCCGCAATCATAAACCCCCATTCATCCCACCAGCCCTGAGACCCCTGCAGGGCCATCAAGTCGGCGAAATCAGGCACGAAATAAATATTGCGGGCCCACCGGTCGCGCCAGGCGCTCCAGTCGTTCTGGGCGAAGTTACCACCGCCGTATGTGCTGACGAAGGGGTACCCGTCCGATCCACGGTAGTATGCGGCGTGGCCAAGGAAGTCGGTCAGGATCGAGTCGAAGTCGGACAGGTTCTTCGGCGCCCACAGATCCATACTAATAAACATCTTGAATTCTGGGTGGTTGGACGCCGCGTAGTCGAACATGGTGTTCAGCATTATCCGCGTCTCCTCGCTCAGCGGATCGCCGATGTTAACCGCGAAGCCGTCAAGCCCCATTTTTGCCGCGTCGTGCACATCTTGTTTTATGTGGTTCTCGAATATCGTCCCAGCCTTGTTCTTGATGAGTTTTTGTTATGAGCGATGGTTCAGAGATGGACGAACCATGTAGTGGGCGAATACGCCCTTGGGGCCATCCGCGACCGCTGTGCGGGCATAAAGAAGGCCGCCTATAGCGGCGGGCAGGCACCGCAGTAACGACCGCATGATGTGAGGTCCGAATAATCGGGAATTTAGAGTACAGGAACCAAGCAGAAAAGAGAAGGACAGTGGGAACGCCGTTTTTGCATCCGCCCGCCACAGCGGTGCCGGCCCCCGTTTTTATCAAGAATCGACGGCCATAGACACCGCTCCTGGGAACCGTGGTGGATCCTGCAGGATTCGCCGGAGCCACTTCTCGTAAAAATCCACTCCCAGTTCTAGAAGGCACATCCAACACGGCAACCCAGGTGGCGTTCGGGCACAACCCCCTTTTGTGTCTTATCATCCACACGCCATTCCGTGCGCGGTAAAGCGGCAGACCCTGCGTTGTGATTTGCCTATAATTAGGTGGTGTGGAGCTTTTGCTGGTGTCGTGATTGGTTCCTAACCGAGCGTGATGTGACGTCGTATTGGACCTGGCCCCCAAAACGCCTCTGACGTGTTACACGATCGACAGAAGCTGTTTGTTGGACCGCCGGATACACGGAAACTGGGAAATGATATATACCAAGCCTTGGAATACCAAGTGAATGCAATCTACACATTGCTGATGTTTCACAATATGATCGAGAATAGTGGAAATATGTTTATGAAAATTGTTGCTAGTATACAAAGCTCTGATAAGGCCTTGGCAACCAGCTCACGAACGTAAACAGGTCGAATGAAGAATCCAAGTGAATTTCCGTTTCTATGTAAAAGTAGTGATTACTTCCAAAACCATGTTGAAAAGTGCTCATTGTTTTGGCCGCTTAGTAATTAATTGCTAGCAGGCGCGGTAGGGCCTTCTTCGGCGCAGGGGGTGTCGGCAGGGTTGCCATTGACATCGGTGTTGGAGCTCCCGTTGACATTGGAAGTGCCGCTAGCAGAAGTGTTGTTGCTGGAAGCATTGCTGGAAGAAGCGCCATCGGTAGAAGTGCTGCTGGTAGAAGCATCGGTGGAGGAGGTTCCGTCAATGGAAGCGTCGCCGTTGTTCGATGCAGCGTCGTTGTTGGATGCTCCAGTGGTGCTGGAGGACTCGTCGCTGGAAGCACTGGTGGTGCGAACATCATTCGAGGCGGCGCCAACATTGTTCGTGGAGTCCGTAGAGTCCGTAGACTTCGTAGCATCAGATGCACCGGTGGTGCTGGAAGCATCGACATTGTTCGAGGTACCAGCGTTGTCAGAGGTGCCGGCATTGCCGGAGCTGCCAGCATCATTCTTAGAAGCGTCGCTCGTAACATCGCCAGAGTCAGTCGAGTTGTCCATCGTCAAAGCATCGGTGGAAACGATGTTCGTAATGTTGCCATAAGGCGAGTCGGTCTTGGCCGTGGCGAGGTGATACGAGGCAATGGCGCGACGGAAGTGCGAGTCGACCTGGTTCTTCTGGTTGGCGGCTTCATCGGAGTACGAGCTGTTGGCCGGGAAGAGGCCGATCATGTTGAACATCCAGGCATCGACGACACCGCCGACCTCACGGATGGAAGCGGGAACGCGGAACTCGTTTTGGTCGTCCATGGCGATGAAGTTGGTAGCGGAGCTACCGAGCGCGTCCATAAGCTCGAACATTCCCTGGGCGAGCTATTTGATTTCGTATGTGAGTCAGCTCATTCTCGCATCAACATGAGGAAGATACTTGGAGATGGAACATAGGAAGACATACGTAGGAGTAGGCCTCGTAGACCAACTGCACATCTTGGCTCTCTTGGGTGAGGGTCTTGGTGCCGATGATCAATTGGATGTTGGCCAGAACGGCCTCATACATATCATCTATCTCCTCGAAAACATCCTGGTCGAGAACGTTAGACAGCCCGAAACGGAAGCAGCAGAGTCAATGCATATTCATACCTGCATCGGACCAGAGTTCATGGTCGAGTTGATCGCCAAAACAAGATCCTTGATGTCGAAAGCTTGACGGGCCAGCGAATTGCCCGTGTCTTGCAGATTTGCAGGGCTCATCGTAGCCAACACGGCACTGCCGATCAGGCCGATCGCAGGGATGACAGTTGCAGCGAACTTCATTTTAACAAGGCAATGACGTAGTGAGTGGGAAACGAGTGTGGAGGTTTTAAAAGAATGAGTTGATCAAGTGAGTGACGGAAAACAGCAATAACGAGTGACTGTTGGGAGAACTTTGCAGCTGGCTCAAATGACTGCGGGGGGTAGAAACACGCCTTATAATGCTTGACTCTCTACCCTGAAGCTTCAATCGCGCCACATGTTCGGCTCGAGATTTAGCTCGTGAAACGATCGCATCGCGTATAGGGGCGTGCGATGCCGATATGAATGCAGGCTGTTAATTAATTGGCCTGTAAATGTTCGGCAAGTGCTCCGAAGCGCCATGAGTTTGGGGATAATGAGGATGGGTGCGATCTGCACGAACGGTTACTTGAGTTGGGAATGTTATCATTGAAACCTTGGCTTGGTAAGGTTAGAACCTTCCGTAAAGAGACCAGTCGGCGTTATTTTTGGCCCTTTCAACCGAGCCCGTGTTCATCAGACGCCAGCCTTATGGTGGGTCTCGGGATACGAGAACGGGATCTGCCACTCCTTCAATTTTGTACCCATGCCACTGCATCTTTAAGGGATCGCATCGCCCAATCACGCAGTGTTGAGACTATTTCTTTTACATGTGTGTAGGGTAGCACAATGCATTAAGCATGAAAACAATCCGCAACACCACAAGACACGGCTTTCTACTGGACGCGACGCATCTCCACTGATAACAACCCGGTCTACATAAAGCCACAATGCTATTCTTATGCACGAGTTTGCCCCGCATTCATTTACACCGCCCTGAATCCGGTGCACGTCCGGGGGAGCATCCTGGTTGACCATGGTGTGACGGTCTCGAACCTCGAACCACAACAGCAGTACGAGTAGGTGGGACAAAAATAACATCATTTACGGATGTCGCCAGCCTGCTGAATGAGCTTTGACTTTTGATTGTAGCAAGCTGGCTGCGAAAAAAAAAGCAGCTTGCTTTCTCTGATTCACGAACCACCCGTGTACTGCTTTTGGAAAGTCTTCCCGACAACAAGAGGAGAACAGAGGCAACCACAGCGAGTAATGTCCTGGATTCGGTCAAGGTGGGCAGATGGTATCATCGATTTGTCCCTTTTCCACGCTTCGTATGCGGACGACTTTTACGGCCTTCTCAATGCTTACACCGGGGCAACTTCGATTTCTGGCGAGGCTGCGGTGGAGCATCCTGGCCCTTCCTCCTTGCCCGTTCTTTCGCACTGTTCTTCTGAACGTCGCTGTGCTCGATATGGGTACAGGTAGTATCCCGTGAATCCCGGCCACCGTCCCCTTATCTCTCTTTCACTCAAGCGATTCGGATACCCCGACGCCATCAGACCGCAAAGACTCCCTATCCGGAAAAAATATCCGAAGAAAGCTTTACTCGAAGCCGCTCGCAGGCGTCACCATGGCCCACGCCCTCTAGAGATGCCAAATTTGCTTGCATAACAAATGGATGCCGATTACTGTGCAAATTTGCCTCTCATAAGCATCATCTTTTTTGATTCCAACTTTCCTTTCTCTTTGGATCAAACTGCTCGCCAACGACCATCTGGAAAGGTTGGGCTACGAAACTCGAAGTATGAGAGGCAATAGTAGTCGTAACATATTGTGGAATAGCCAATCTTTCTATCCCCTTGCTATCTATATATGTAGCTGAAGCTATCGTCCGGACGTGTATGTAGAATTAAAAATTCGACATTCTCGTCCGGACGATAGCTTCAACTACCCATGACATGAGCAAAAAACAAATCTACGCTAGCCATCGGCGGCAAGAGGGGACTGTATGCTATCAGAGCCATAGCGGATCCCCACATATTTTCTCCTCCCATCTTGGCACAATCCCCTCCTACCTTATGGTCATCTTGAGGTGTGACCGAGGCTCGGAATGAGCAATGATTACTCGATATTGGATAGTGTAACAGGCCGAATTATCTAATGTCTGTTGTTGCGGGCAGCCAACAGCTCTCTGAGGGCAGAAAACAAATTCACGCTAGCCACTTCCCTAGTGCAGAGCTCCACACAGACGATTATGTCCGCCAATACAGAGCTGCCAAGTTCCACGCCAAAACGAAGGAGGCCTCTACCACGAACCAATCATCTTCAAATTGAGCTAAGATCACTTTGATAATCATTCCCCGATGCAGAGTCAGTGAAACATGTTACGAATATTTAATGCAGCAAAAAGCCTATGGTGACTTCCACTCTAGTTGTCTCACTTTATCCATTGATTTGTTGAATTCTACAATCGTAAACATTCAGCTTCTCCTCCACCATATCTGAACACGAAACAAACTCATACGAGAGTCAACCAATTTCCTGAAAAGCCGGAATGTGTTCTTTGTCACCATGGAATACGAAGAACAGCACGGCCTTCATTTTCTCTAAACGCGAACTAATAAACCTTCTAGAACTATTTTCTGAAGAGCGGTCAGTTTTGGGAAAAGGCCAATGAAACATACTTCTAGAACACCAGAATTTGGATGATCTTGATCCTCAATGTAGCTTCTGCTGTCTTCTAAGAGTTACATGGCCCGACTCTGAGCCAAAGCCTCCGTATCACTTGACGGTCCAGTTACTAAAAGACCGTGAACCAAGATACCATGTCCATGATGGGAAATACCGGGGCCCAGCTGAAGGCCGCTCGATTCGCCCGGATCCAGCGGGTATCCGTTGGCTTCGCATCTCAGGAAAGAACCCTCAGTGGATAGAATCGGCTGATTTTGATATATTCAATTGTATCACAGAGGCTTCGACAACCTCCTTGTTGGATACCAGCATTGACTTCCGATTACTCCAGTCTTGGATCAGCACTGCTGCGAAAATCATTCCGACGAATGTGCAATGTGGGATGATTGGAAGCTTGTCAAAGGGATGAACTTGATCGATGTCCGCCATCGAAGTGTCGTCAAGGCGACCAACCATCAATTCAAATACGCCGCACTATCTTATGTCTGGGGATTCCAGAAGGTGGATAATGAACCCGGCGATGGACTTCCAGCGCAGTTGCCGAGGACTATTGAGCACGCTTTTCAAGCAACGCGAGAGTTGGGTCTTGACTACCTAAGACCTTTGGGTTGACAAGTACTGTATCCCCCAGCACAACGAGGAAGAGAAGGAGAATCAAATTAAAAATATGGACGGAATATACCAGCAGGCATATGAATGCACAAACTCTCCAAATCACAAATGGTAGCAGACCCGCAGTAGTGAATACACCGAGCTTTCTACTCGACAATACCTCCCTTCGGGACTCTGACACCGTGAGCCGTGATACAGTTGAGTATCTCTAGATTATTTCATCTGAGAACCTCTGGCAGGAATACTTCACTCAACCCACGTGATCAGTTGAAGATTGGGAAAAGATTCCGTCTGGACGACGCTCCGATGTCCGTCTACGAACTTTAAAATCTTATCCATAACAAAACATCAACTCAAGTGTGTGCGCAATGAGTGGAGTACCATTAACCGGAAAGATGACAGCTAAGTCTCCAGAAACCCACACTGGCAGCAGAATGATCACACGAAAGCACACAGACGCGTTGTTCGCAAGAAAGAATTTATACAAAATCAACAATAAAAATTAGAGTAAAAATATCTACACGAAGTTCCCGAAGGAGTCAAGAAGCGCAAACAATCCGCACACCACCCCAATGCCCTCCCCAAACACCCCATAGGTAAACAATGCAAAAGACAAAAAGCAACAACAAAAAAGCCAAACCCAAGCGCCTTCCATCCAATCATCCCATCCCATCAAACCTTCATGGTTATAGTAGTAATAAGTAAGTAGTGCGTGCAGGACATGACATGACGCGTGCATGCATTGCAACAATCAATCGTCATCATTCCAATCGTTTGCCTCAAGCAATGGAGAGCGCAAAGGACCGCGAACAAAGAACAAACAAACAAGCAAGCAACAACAACGAAGACTCGCTTTGAAACAAGAAAAAAACAGAACAGAACAACAATGCTCTTCGCCCCCTTCAATGCAAAATCGCTTTTACTTTCTTTCATCTTTCTATCAGCAGTTGCAAGCAAAGCAAAACAAACAACGCGTACGCGATCTGCATCAAGCAGAGCCAGTCAGCTCGTCAAGAGCCGAGCTGGCAAACAACTTCGCAAAAACATTGCACTTAGCGCCTGAAGCTGGCAAACTCGCAGCGCACGACACGCATCGACTGGGTCCAGCTGGCCATGACGCGGGATACGAGTCTGTCCTTCTTGGAGGCGAGCTTCTTGAGCTTGCGGCGGATGGAAGCCGGCTTCTTCTGGTCGTACTCCGTCTTCTCCGGGAAGGACGAAGGGGAGGCCTCGTCGGCATCGGCAGCAGGTGCGGGCGCACTGGTGGTGCTGATGGTCGTGGTGACGGAGACCTTGCGGTCCGCTGCGGGAGGAGTGCTGGTGATGGGCAGGTGGTCTTCCTCCGCAACGGTAGGGGCAGCAGTAGCGACCGGGGCCTCGGCTTCGGCATCGGCGGCGCCCATCTCGACTTGCGAGCGGACGGTCGAAAGCGCATGGCCGATGGGTGCGGCGCTGTCGTCGGACGCGACGGGGTTGCTTCCGAGCGGGTCGTTGGAAACACCCAGGCCCGACATGGCCGAGTCGACGCGCTTGTGGACAGGCGCAACGACAGCAGGCTTGGTGGCAGTCTCGGTCTCGCGCAGGACACGGCGGAGGATCTTGCCGGTGCCGTTGCGCGGGACGGTGGGGACAAAGACGAACTCGGCAGGCACCTTGTAGCCAGCAAGGCGCTCGCGGAGCCAGGTGCGCAGCACCTTGTCGTCGATAAGCAGCTCGTCGGCAGTGCTGAACACAACCTTGCGCACGATGTAGGCGCGAGCAAACTCCTCGACGCCATCTGCCTCCTTGACGCCGATGACAGCGGCGTCGGCGATGCCCGGGTGCTGCATCAGCTCCGACTCGACCTCCGTCGGCGACACCTGCCAGCCGCGCACCTTGATAAGCTCCTTGGCGCGGTCGACAATGAACATCGACGGGACGCCCGTTTCGGGGTCGGTCACGCGGTAGCCGATGTCGCCGGTGCAGACGTAGTTGCCGCAGGGAGTGAAGGCGTTGGCGGTGGCGACGGGGTTGGAGATGTAGGACAAGAGAGGATGCGGGACACGAGCGAGAATCTCGCCCGAGACATGGTCCTCAGTGATGGGCTCACCGTCCTCGTCGACGATTCTGCGCATGCAAGTCAGCATGAAGTGTCCGAGACATGGAGAGAGGTGGCTTGGAAAAGAAAACACGGGCGGAAAACGTCGAGAACTCGTACCTGATTTCGAAGCCTTCGAGTGGTTGGCCGACGCTGTCATCCTCGCGCCTTGTGCGATCTTGCACACACGTGATCCAGCCGGACTCGGTCATCCCCCACACTCCGCGAATGCATGCGTCCTCGTGAAGGAGATCATACAACGGCTTTTGTTGCGCAAATTTAACGCTCGCTCCACCCATCCAGATGGATCGCAGGCTGTTGAGGCCCTCGCGCGTTGCTAGTGTGGACTTGGGCAGAGCCATGAGCACTGGCGGCGGAACGTACGTCTCGCTAATGCCGTACTGGGCGATGGCGTTGAGGAAGGGAGCCTCTGCGTAGCGGCGCATGATGTAAGTGGGGATGCCTTGCCGAATGCTTGAGGGCAGAATAGGCGACCCGAAAGCATGGAAAGGTGGCAGGGTCAGGAGACGAGAGCGCTAGTGGGCCTTGTCAGATTTTGTGCGAGCACGTGGGGAGGGCAGGGAAGACATACAGTATAGTCGGTCTCGACACACTGCGAAGCTGCTTGCGATACATGGTACGAGTGAGTAATCATGGCAGCCTTGGGTAGCCCAGACGTGCCACTGGTCGAGTTGTACGACGCGACAGTCTCGTGGGGGCTCTCAACACTGACCCAATCAGCCTCGCCATGCTCGAGCAACGCGTTCCAGCTGAGAATCGACGGGTCAGGGTTCTCCGTCTCGGTGTCGAAGACGTAGATGCGGTCGGTTGCAATGCCGGCTTGCTTGGCAGCTGTGAGGGTCTTCTCCAGCATTTTAGGCTCAACAATGAGCAGGCTCGGCTTTGTCAGGCTGAAGTGGTGGCTGAGTTCATTGGGAGTGAAAGCCGGGTTGACACCAGTGAAGATGGCGCCAGCGCCGATGATACCCAGGTAGAGGACAGAGTAGTTGAGCTACGCATGTGTCAGAAACGTGAAGTGAAGTGTGGGCGCGAGAGGCTTACATCGTTGAAACAGTTAACACACACGCAGTCGCCAGGCTCAATGCCTTGGGCCCGCAGACCAGCTATCAGTTGACGGGTCTTGGAGACAATCTGATTATAGGAATAGGAAGTGGACGGCGACAGAGCATCTATCAAGATCTGGACGAGTCAGCAAAGGCGAGGCGCAGGGGTGCGAGTGGCAGGCATACTGGTTTGTCGGGGTCAGGCAGGTTGCCGCCGAAGGTCCACGAAACGAGATCCATATTGCTTGGTGGCACAGTGAAGGTGTTACAGGTGGTTTGAATGTAGAAGTAGGACAGCCGCACACGCGGGCTTTAAGGTGGGCGGGTGGAGTTGCTGCAGAACGCTTTGGCCAGGGCGCGGGACAAAGGAGGGAGGTTGTTAGGACAGAATGAGGCAATGGTCAGCGATAGCCGGGGCAAACAACACCAAAGGTGACAGGAAACGGCGAGCTGAACGTTCGAAGTCGTCATTTTTTTCGGCAGTCGAAGACCGGCGCGGAACTGGCGCCTCCGTTCATGGGAGTATTGGAGAGCTAATGCGCGCGAGCGGCGAGGACGTGGCAGCATGGCGCCTGCGCTAGCATCGAACGCTAGCCGGCTGGTGTTGGTCAGATCGAGCCGAGGGCGACGCGACGAGTGGGCTGGAGAGCGTCGAGGGTGCAGTATTGAATCGAAGCTAGTGGCGTGACGATGATTGCACGTGCAGAGAACGTGCAGAATCACGGCAGGTGGAGCGCTGAGTGAGCAGCGAGGAAAATCCGGGTGGAGCTGGGGTGGGCGGGTGTGCAGGGTTGTCGGTGAAGTGTGGGCAGCTGTGGTGTTGAGGCGCGGCCAGGCACCCACCGCGGAGTCTGGCGGACGACCATCCGCGGCCCGAATTGGCGGCACAGCAGGCGAAAAGAGCAACGGCGATTGAGGACGGACCCGCGCTTTGCTCTTTTCGACCACTACCCACACCGCCTGCAGCGCTCTCGCACCTCCCTCCCGCTGCGCTCCTGACTACGACGGCGTGAAAAGCCCGCGGCCTATGACGGTGGTCGACGGCCGCCTGACGCGCGAGCCCGCAGCTCCCCCGCGCTGCAGCGCCCGGTCAGCGGCGCCGTCCTCGATGCACTTCACGCACCCTCGACGCGGCTCGCGCACCCCGGCAATGCGCACGCAGCCGACGGACGGCTGCGTGAGCAGGAGTTTGGGGCTGGCTGTCGAGCCGCGCCGCTTCCTTTCCCGAGGGGCTGGGCTTGCCAACGGCGATCCCGCACCTCGCGTGCGCGCGTGAGCCCCGCGATCTGCAGTTCTGCTCGCCTTCCTTGCGCTGCTCTTCAGCGCGCGCCATTCACACCCCGGCCCTTATGCGGATCTATTGGAAAGCTGCCCCTTGGCCGCTTCCGCTGGTCTGGAGAGTGGAGCAACGCCGCCCAGCTGGTTCACACCCTCGCACTTCCCGACTCCCGCGCTGCCCGCAGCCCAATCCTTCGTCCCAGCCCGAGTCAGATCGGAGAGGAACAGTATGCTGCGCCGTCGGCGCTAGCGCGCTTCTGGTGTCTTCCGCGCCCATGCGGCTAGCGCCTGAAGAATGCGCCTGTCCCATGCCCACAACATGTGCAGGTCCCTCGAACTCAGCTGCCTTCTTGACTCTCGCCCAGCTTTAGCAGCTTCCCGAGTCAGACGAGCTGCCCGCATCTGGCCGCCGTCCCCGCCAATCGCGATCATGTCGACTGGAGAGCGGGTACTGACCGCCTCACGCAGGGCCCCGGCTCTTGCTCGGCTGCCACCAGCGTCCTAACTCCAAGCGAGGCGCCAGCCGACAGAACGGGTGCGATCTGAGCCTCAGCGCTACTTCTTCAGGTCTCGTGGGAATGCAGGTGCACCACGGTGGAGACCGCCACGGCGACGATGCATGCTGTTCCTGCCGTAGCAACACGCTGACCGAGTGCCGCAGTGGGGCGGAAGCCGTGCCGCGAGCTGGACGGCGAGGGTGCAGCTGCGTGATAGTGGATATCCTACTAACACACTACGCATGCAGGGCGCCGCCGTCTCTTAAGCCCGCGCCTCGCGCTTTTGCGACTCTGTGTGTACAATACTGTCTGAGCTGTGCCGCCGCGTGCCTTCCCCAGCAGCACTTGCTTGTTCAGAAACAACACTGCTCTATAACACCTTGTTGTCGGCTTTCCCCCGCTGTTTAGCCCTAACATTCACAGTGTCACTGAACACTGTAATACTCCTCGACCTATATCCTACCTCCCTCTCCTGCGCCTCGCTCTTTTTTCCGCATCCTCGACCTTCTTTTTTCTTGGGCCTGTAGTCCTTCTTTTCTGACTTGCCATTTACCTGAGCCACTCTTTGGCTCGTTCTTCGGACCTTCTTCCACTCCACTCCTCACGCTCGCGCCATGTCGGAGCTCAAGGAGAAAACAGTCGTTCATGTCCGCGTTGACAGCGGCGTGAGCATCAGCAGCCGCCCTAACACCGCTCCTGGCCCGATCAACTCTTTCACCGCCAAGGAGTTCGCCGACTACGAGAAGCGCCTTTCCCAGGAGAGCATCGTCAAGCCTCTCGAGGCTTACCTTACCCGTCAGTCTCACGAGGATGATCCGCCCCGCCCGAAGACTATGCCGGCCTATGTCCGCGACAGCTTTGGTTCAAAGGATTTCGCCGATTACGAGAGGCGCCTCAATGCCGTCTCCCACGAGAAGGCGTCTGCCATGGAGGCCGGCATGGTCAAGGAGTCCGGTATCACTGAGGAGCTGAACAATGCCGTTACCCTCCCGGACAAGCGCTATCCCAAGGTTCTCCGCAACCTCCGCCACAAGATCTTGAGTGTCTACCGTCGTATCTCTACACTCATCATCATTGGAAACCTCATCGCTTTGATCTACCTGGTCTCTACAGCTGGATCCCCTCTGGCCATCAACGCTAGCGATCTTGCAACCGCGACTGCTGTCAATGTCTTCGGCACCATCGCTATCCGCCAGGAGTTGGTCGTCAACGCTCTGTACTCCATCTGCCTGTCGACGCCGCTGTCCACTCCGCTTCGTGTCCGCCGTCTCCTGGCCAAGGTCTATGAGAATGGCGGCTTCCACAGTGGTACTGCCTACGCCGGCACTGCCTGGTTCACCCTTCTCTGTGCCACGGTCACTCGCCTCTACATCCACAACGGACTGGCTGCCAACCCCATTGCGCTGGTTGCAATGGCCTATGTCACCTTGACCGTCCTCGTGGTTATCCTGGTGTTCGCTTACCCCTACGTGCGCATGCACTGGCACAACTCCTTCGAGTTCTCGCACCGCTTCCTCGGTTGGCTCGCAGTCGGCTGCCTGTGGGCCTTGATCATGCTCGTCATCGCCAACAAGCAGGCTGCTACCGGTGTTGCCTTTGGTACCGCCCTGATCACCGAGCCTGCCTTCTGGTTCCTCATCGCCATCACCGCCATGATCATCAGCCCGTGGCTCCTGCTCCGCAAGGTGCGCTTCACCACCGAGGACCTGTCTGACCACGCGATGCGCCTCAACTACAACGAGAAGCTCGCTCCCTTCCGCGGCGTCGCCATCGCCGAGACGCCCCTCGGCCAGTACCACTCCTTCGCCACCTTCCCCAACCCTGACTCCGAGGCCCCCCACGGCCAGTCGATCATCGTGTCCAAGGCCGGCGACTGGACCGCCGCGCAAGTCGCGGACAAGAGGAATGAGCGCGAGTACTGGCTCCGCGGCATCCCGAAGACGGGCGTGCTGGGCATGTGCTTGATCTTCCGCCGCGTTGTCATCGTCACGACGGGCTCGGGCATCGGTCCTTGCCTCGCCTTCCTGAACCTTCCTGAGAACCTTCGTCGCCCTTGCCGCGTCATCTGGAGCTCGCCTCGTCCCGCGGCCATCTACGGCCAGGAGATCTGCAACTCGGTCAAGCGCTGCGACCCGGATGCGCTCATCTGGGACACCCGCGCCATGGGCCGCCCCAACATGCCCCAACTTACCTACAACATGTTCCGCGAGAGCGGCGCTGAGGCTGTGTTCGTCATCAGCAACCCCAAGCTTACCAAGATGCTTGTCTACGCCATGGAGAGCCGTGGTGTTCCGGCCTTTGGCCCTATCTGGGACTCTTAAATGTGTGCGCGTTGTCGACTTTTCTTTTCATGAGTGATGGTACGTATTCGCAGTTTCTGCCTCTTACTGCGCATCATCACTAACAAATTGTCATGTAGGCTAGAGTTTTGCTTTTTCCAATTTACGAGTATTATTACGGAGGTCATGATCCCAAAAGCGACGGTCTTCACGAGAAAAGCCTTTTACGAACGAGTTTTAATAATGTTAGAGGGGAGGTTGTTCTTAGCGTAGAGGATTCCGGAAAAGGCACCGGCGCAGCTACTGTACCCTGTCTCGTGTGAGATTGTCATCGGTGTTGTTTGTTGGGGGTGACTGGCTCTTGTTTTCGGCGGCATTGGGGAGTTTTCCTGGCACTTCTCCAACTTGGCGTCATCATTGCTTTAGATTGAGTTTTAATTGCTGTTCTGTCGTGTGGTAGACTGGCAATGGAGGAAGTTTATGGACTTCGAGGGGCTTAATTAATGATACACGTGTGTGTGCGACTACACTTGGCTTTTCCATGCATTGTGATGTCAGCTCTCTGTTGCCCATCGAACTCAGGGGTCAGCTAACTACTCAGCTCCCTGAATTTCCCGACTTTCTGTTGCTCGTGGAACCCGAGGATCGGGATCCCTGAATCTCTTGTGGGACCACGGTGAGTTCCCACGTGTCAACGATCGTCTCGGCGTTCTTGTCTTCCGTGAAGACGCGCGCGTTTAACCGGCGCCTTTCCATACTCGAGGTGTTCGCCGAAAAGCCTGGACACGCCTTAACCGCCCCCATGGGACCGTGCGATCGAGAGGTTTTCCCCTGATCCACCGGAAGTGCGATTGCATTAACGAAAATAGGATGTTTTTCCGGAGCTTGCGTGATCGTCTCGCCCTATAAGAGGGACTTGAGCCATGACCGCTCGCTCGACTTGCCGACCGGGCTGCCTCGGCTTGGTGGAGCTGAGCATGGGGCATTTACTATAGTTTCATCCAAGCTGGACGTGAAGAAATGGGACAACACGTGCACTTCTTTAAGCAATCGGATTGATCACAGCTTTTGAACAGGCACTTTCATTACTCGTAACACAATTGAAGATGGAGTAGAACTTACCATCAGCTATTCAGCTCGCGCACTAATCAGAACAACGATCAACCGCATTGAATCATGAGTACCACCTGATCCCCATCCCCTGCCCCTCCCCTCCATCCCTCCATTGCCTACTCCGTCCCCCTCACCGCCTCATACACCGCCCTAACATACTCCTTCGTCCTCTCATTCCCTAACACCGTCATCTCCATCTTATTCATCACATACGCGATCGTCATCCTGCGCTCCAAATCCATAATGACAATCGACCCGCCCCACCCGCCCCAAAACGCGATCCTGCCCTCCTGCTCCGGGAACCACGCCGCGAAGGTGTCCTCCCCGGTCAACCCGAAGCCGACACCGAGCCGCATCGGCAGGCCGGTGACGAGGCACTTGCCGTGAGCCTGCTCCTCGAAGACGAGGTCGACGGTGGAAGGGTTGAGGAGGGCGACGTTGTTGGCGGTGCCGCCGAGCGTGACGGCGGAGAGGGCGCGCGCGAGACCGGCCGCTGTGGAGTGCCCGTTGGCGGCGCCAAGCTCGGCAAGGCGCCAGGCGGGGGTGTTGGATTTGTCGACGAGGGCGGAGGGGGGCGGCGGCATGGGCTTCTTCTTCGGCGCGTCCTCCTTCTCCGCTGCCTTCTTCTCGCCATCCTCGGGCTTCGCCTGAGCAGCAGCAGCAGCAGTAGGCGGCGGCATAGGCGGCATCGGCGGCGCGACCATCTCCGCGCAGCGGTCCCAGTCCTCTTCGCGCGCGCCGATCTGCAAATCCGCGCCGAGCGGCCCCGCGATCTCGTCGTCGACGAACTGCTTCAGCGTCTTCCCCGTGATGCGTCGGACCAGCTCGCCGACCAGATGGCCCATGGTGACCATGTGGTACCCGAACGCCTCGCCTGGCGTCCAGCGGGGCTTCTGCTGCGCCAGCAGCCCGGCCGCGAACGGGATGTCGTACTTCTCCTCGCTACTTAACTCGCGATCCCAATCCGGCAACCCCGCGCTGTGCGACAGCAGGTGCCGCACGAGCACATCCTGCTTCCCCTCGGCCGCGAACTCGGGCCAGTAAGTCGCGACGCGCTCGTGCGGGTCGAGCTGGCCGCGGGAGATGAGGACGAGGGCGGCGAGCGCGGTGACGGCCTTGGTCGAGGACCAGATGTTGGCGATGGTGCGGTCGGTCCAGGGGCGTGTGTGGGCGCGGTCGGCGTGACCGCCCCAGATGTCGACGACGGGCGCGCCGCCGATGTCGACGTAGATGCTGGCGCCGAGCTCGGCGCCGGAGGAGAGGTGCGTTTGGAGGGCGGCTTTGACGGCGGTGAAGCGCGGATCGCAGTGGCCTTGGACGGTGGCCATGGTTGGTGGTGGTGGTGTTGAATGCCTTGTGGTTGTTTGTGGTTGTTGTTCGTGGAATGTGTGGTTGAGTTGTTGTGGTAGAGGAGATGTGAGGTTTGGTGTTTTTGCTTGAGAGAGGGTATAGTGACTATATATACACGTCTGGTCGTTATTGTCTGCCTGAAAGGATTCCGGGGCCGCTTTCCTCATCTAGCGTTGTGCTGGAATTCATTCGCCTTCGTTCATCGTTCAGACGGGGGTTTACCTTGCGGGGTTGGCCCAGTGTTGGTTAGTGGCGCATGCGAAGCGTCAGCGTGGAGTTCCACCGGGCGGCGTGGCGCAGACCCTGGCCTACCGTTTGACCGCGCCAGGCGAGCGGGAAGATAAGGGTTAGGTGGAATTCCGCTGAGCGGAGGGGCGAGCGGGAAGGAAGCAAGGTTGAGGTGGATCGACGGAGGCGGAATTCCGCTCGGCGGAGGAGCAACAACACAACTTCTGGGGCTGGAAATCCTGCAGGATCGCTCGTCAGGGAATATCCTCTCGGTGTCCCGACACCTTATAGCGGCCCGAAAACTTTATCTTCTAAACATAGTCACCGTGCGCCCGGTGTTGCTTTGCACTGCCTCCGTCGTGTAAGATCCATAGGCGGAGTTCCACCCCGCTGTTCAGCTTCTTCGCGGTGAAAGAGAATTTAGAATCACACCCCAACGCCTTCAGGCACTTCAATCCATCCACAGCTACATCTCACCTTCACATACCATGCCGAGGCTAGGAACAGCTTTTGAACAGAGCGACATGACATGCCAACGATGCCCTCAGCGCTCGACGTCGGGTATCTGCGGCGTGCGGAGGTTTTGATTGGCTGCCGGCGATGCGAGCAGAGGATGCACGACAGCCTTTCGACAAGCCTTGCCGTCAATCGCTTGGCCAGCCTGTCGGATGCTTAGATCTATAAGATGCGCAATCTATTGCAAGGAGCGGGCATGAATGGCGTCCGAGAAGCTCTGCCCGAACAAGGCAGGACCGCCGACCGTTAGCGCCACCGCTTACGGCTTAGCCTAGGCACCAGGGGGCCGTTTTGGCGAGCGCTTATAGCCTTGCGACCTCTCAATTCCATCACAACACTTATCAACCGCGCGAAACAATGGGTTTCGACATCTTCTGCGCCGTGTGTGGCGGCCCTGCCTGCGCCTTTATTACCATCTGCGACAAATCTCGCAGAGCCGCGCTCCGAGAGAAGAGGGAAGAAGATCCCGACTTCAGCGAGAAAGGTGCGCGCTTTCCTGATGATGTCATATGCAATGCTGAAGTGTAGAATCCCGGGCCGCAGATCTCGATAGAAAAGAATTCCGGGGCTATGATCCTGAGATTGTCAGCCCGGAAGACGTCGAGTGGACCTACCAGGCTCAGGTTTTGGGCTTCAATCCTAAGGCCACTGGCCTCGACAAGTCAGTGATCCTGCGGCTAGCAGTGGACAAAGCTCTGACTCGATGTAGAATGTATATCACTCAACCAGCAAACTACGAAGACTACGTATTAATCCTGTGAAATCTGCGTGTTCTCCGCTCTAATACCAAAATAGGGGTGTATGAGTGACGTAGAATCTGATGGTAAGTCGATCCTGTCGTCAGCTGCCGATATGTTGACACAAGGACCCCAGACCCAAATTTTCCCGAGGATTCGGACGAGTTCCAATGGTATTCATGCCACACTTTATTCCTCCAAGCGCCCCTTTTCTGACCATCATCCAGCTACCGCGTGTACGACGCCACTCAAACGCCTTGCTACCCCATCCATGAGCCGTGCTTCAAGCTCCTGACCCAAGTCCTCTGCGGCACCGATAACGCCGACCATCTCGACAAAGACTCCCTGTACCACATCATTTCCAGCCTGACCGACTGGGGCCTCCCCGCGCTCGACTACGGCGAGCCCTCGCAACGCTACGACCAATGCTGGTGGTCCAACCCAGGCGAAGAGGTACCACCACCACCACCACCCCACCCCACCTCACCCGCACTTTACTAACACCACCACCACAAGATGATGGTTGCCTACCCGCTCTCCAACCCGCCCTTCACCCTCCTCCTCCGCAACACCGTGTCGACGGACGACTTCGCGCTGCCCTCGCCTCTCACCACCGCCGCCGCTGCCACCTCTGCCTCCCTCTCCTCCCGCGTCCGCAACGACCCCTTCACCCTCCTCCCCTACGATATCACCCACCAAATCGCCCTCCTCCTCCCCGCCGAATCCCTCCTCGCCCTCGCCCGCGCCTCGTACCCCGTGCACGCGGCTATCCGCGACGGCCGCGCCAACCCGGGCTTCTGGCGGCAGGCGCTGCGGCGGTGCATGCCGTGGTTCACAGAGCTGCATACGCTGATGCGGCACGGGACGGTGGACGAGGAGAGCACAGATTACAAGGGCTTGTTTCTGTGGTTGGATATGAGCACGAGGCCGCGGCGCGGGTTGGCGGGGCCGTTTATGGGGGTGGCGAATAGGAGGAGGGTGTGGGGGGTGTGCGAGCAATATGATGCGTTGTATCAGCCGCGCGTGAAGGCGAAAGAGAAGGAGAGGGAAAGGGTGTATGGGGTGGAGGCGGAGGAGATTTGGAAGGGGGTTGTGAATGTGGGGCTGCCGGTTGTAACGTGGCCGCCGCCGGGGGAGAGGGATGTGGTGCGGACGGCATCAACCCAGTGGGTTTGTAGGTGGGATGAGGTGGATGCAGGTGCGTTTTTGGAGGTGTTCTGGGATAAGGTAGGGACGTTGGCAGGGTTGGCACTGGTGCTGGGTGGGAAGAAGAAGGTGATTGGAGGTGACGTATTTGTGGAGGGTGGAGAAAAGAGGTTGTTTGGAGCGGAAGGCGCTGTCGTGAATGGAGCGAGGAAGGTGTTTAAGAAGGACACGGTTGAGATTGAACGTGGCGCTTGGATTGAGGGGCTGGTGCTGCATTTGCCGGATGTCTTCTACACGGAGAAGACGGAGACTTCGATCAAGGGAATAACAGTAAGTATTGTTGCTCTCTTCGAAGCATCAAATTGCTTACAGCATGCCATATAGATTCGCATGAGCAACGGAAAAGAGAGCAGCCTCGGTGACTCCAATCGCAAGCACTGCCAACGCCTGCTCCAAATCGCCCCCGACCACGCCCTCGTCGGCATCACAGGCCAAATCAGCGGTGTAAGTACCCTTTTCACCCCAGTCCATCAAGCAAGCCTGGATCGCTAACACCTCACCCCCCTCAACAGGACCACCGCATCACCCGCCTCGGCCTCTTCCAACACGCACATTTCGACGTCCTCTCCATCGACACCTACAACGAACTGGACTCCCCCCTCCTCCACACACCCCTCTGGACCACCTCCCCGGCCCCCCTTGACTGCGATATCCACAACCCCTCCCACCCCATCTGGTCTCCCGAAAACATCACAGGCGCCGTCGACCTGCGGGCGCTGCCCTCCACCGACCGCATCCGCCACCGCTACCAGATCCAAGATCCCTACCACGAAGACATCGTCCCAACGCACCCCTTCATCTGGGCCGCCACAGAGCGCGAGCGAAGGAACTTGGTGAGCATCACAGCCTGGCTGTACGAAGGCAAGCACATCTGCTGCGTGCGCGCCGAGTACAGGCAAGGCTCAGGCATCGCGCCACGCACGGCCGGGCCGCCGGCGGTGGTGAGGATGATGGAGGACGAAGAAGGCAGCGTGGAGAGAATGCCTGGCGTGGACCAGGCTGAGGCTAATGGGGTGTTGATGCGGGGCAAGAGTAAGAGGGAGGATATGGGGTGGTGGAAGGAGTGGGTGGCGCAAATGCAGGAGGTGCGGCTGCATGTGGATGGGATGGGGGGCGAGGAGGTAGTGGGGGTGGATGTGGTGCATCATGAGGATATTCAAGCTGTGAGGGTGAGTTTTCTTTCTCTCTCGTCTATATTGGAGGGGTTGCGCGGAGCCGGTTGTTGCGGTGTGTGTGTGCGTGCTGACTGGACGTGTTAGATTCGGACGAATTCTTCGCAGGCCTACTGGGGGGAGACGCGGCCGATTATGCACTATTGGAATTTTGAGAATAGGGAAGCGGATGCCGGCGATAAGATTGCGGGCATGGCTTTGGCGTTTACGTTCGGTCGGCCGCAGGCGGAGGAGATTGCGCATCGGTTTAATGATGTTTCGGGGATGGTGTTGAGGGTGAGTTGAGATGGCTGGACTGGATGATTTCTGAGCGAATGCTAACGGCTGTGGCAGGAAAATCCGAAGTTGAGCTGGCTGGCGACTTTGGTCGTCAAGGAGTAGCTCTGCATAGACTCAGGACCATTGAGATTTGGAGCATGATTAGACATCATCAAGAAGACATCATCGCGGGCAGGCATAAGTAGCACAGGTAGCTTAGTGGATATCTTCTTTTAAGTCAATTGAGGTTACATAACCAACCCTCGAAAGCTCGCACCATACGATGACATACGCCTCCCAAAGAAGCTATCGATATCCCCTCATACCAATAAGACCCTAATCCCACAAAGTGAGGGTGAAAGACGCAGCAATGTCGCAGCCCTGAACCGTTTCTTGCGTCAAGTCCATCGTGCTATCAATGCTCTTACAGGAGCTGTCAGTCGAGGCGAGCGTGGAGTGGCCATCAATCGGATTCCCGTCGAAGGTCCGAAGGTCGTACCAGACCTTGTTTGAGTTTATTACCGTCAAGGTGGACAATTGGTCATCATTCCGCCCGCTGTATATGTCGATCTAAAGTCAATTCGTTGCATGTAAGCACTTTTACTTTTTTTTCTTTCCTTAATCATTGACAATCGGTTCACTTACGACTTGTCCCTTGTCGGGATTTTCATAAGCGGGGCTGCTTCCGCCGCCAGCGGTGAGGGTGTGCCGTTCTGGCTGCTGGGATTGTTCGCCAATCTTGTTCCTGTAAATGGCTACGTCGTAGCTGCACTTGTTGACGACTTGCAAGGTGCCCGCGCTGTAGGCGGTGGCGGATAGAGCTGTGAGAAGGGTAAGAGCGCGAAGGGAGAACATTTTGTTTTGTGTGGTGTTGCAGAGAGAAATACTGAGAGGACAGTTGGATTGGATTGTAAGAGGATGGCGATGAGCAGCTCTCATGCATATTCTTGTCCCTTTATATAATGGCATTCCCCTGCTGCTTGCTGATCCTGACTCGGGATTGCACTTCCGGCGAGCTTTGGAATGATTCATCGTGATGTCCTTTTTTGTTCCTCCCTGCCTTCTTGTCCATTTTCCGAATATGTGTAGAACAACGTGTTTCGAGGCTGAGTTCTTGATCGGGACAGAGAATGTCTGTGCATACGAGGGATCGCTGCCACATGTGCCCTACAAAAATCATGCAGAGGCCAAATTAGGTTATGGGGTATACCTACGAGCCCTAAATCCCATAGAAAGCAGCAATCAGCAGTTTTCTTTGAAAGGCAGCAACGGATGGGAGAATGTGGGGAATAGAGCTGAGAATATCGTTACTGCTTAAAGCCATGGCGATATTCAAATTGAGCGATAACATTCGAACACACGGCAACCCCGCGATGATCATGACGTCGAGAAACAGATGTTCTGGTTATTGCCTGAGTTTTAGACCCCAATTGTGCTCTTGGAATAGCTTGGCACTATCAGTCTATCGCTTCTGGCAATCTCATGCGCCTTTCTCACGCTTCCAGCGCCAGGGTCACGGATTGCTATGCTTCATCTGCTTGGAAACCTACTATGACATCCAGCAAAGCGCCACCTCAATGAGGAGCAGCAGTCGATGGCTAGCACGAAGAATAACAGGGCTCTAGAACGTAGCGTACCTATGCCCCAACTCTGCCTTAGAAAGGTAACATATGTGGGTACTTGGGGCTATCGGCCGGACGAGAATGTGTAGTTAAAAATTCTACGTACACGTCCGGACGATAGCTTCAGCTACCTATAACACGATCAAAAAACATATATAAACAATGGATTCAGCTCCCTAAAGACCACTTTCCCGCCTGTCCTTTCCAGTTGGCTCCCTCCCAAATTACTAAAGCTTTAAATGGTCTTAAAAGTAAAGAGGAAACCACAAGTAACAGGTATTAAAATCTTTGTGCGAGTACTATATTTAAAATGCAGTACTAAATATGAATAGATTTAAGAAATCAGCTCCGACTCGAAAGTAGACCCACAGAGGTATTATCATCACTTGATTATAATGACAGAAACATATGATGCTGTAGCAAGCGCAAAATTCCCACCATCTGTAGACGATAAATTGTCATCCTGGTTTATCTTAGTACTTTCAGCAGATTCCCTTGCCGGTCTGAATTCTTGTAATACGGTCCATAAATTCATCATCCACTCCTCCCGGTGGTCTCCACTAATCGAGAAAATGCCGCAACGCATGAAATATGATTCGGATCCGGTGCCAGCCTGATTTAGGATGAGTCCGGTAAACTTTCTTTGTCGTCCCGTTAGGCTGTAAGGACGATATGTCACAGGAACGATCCATAAAATTTCGAATTGGCGCCAATCTTCTGTATCGAATGTCAGATTGACGCCCCAGCTGGGAACTTGTATCGTTTGGTTTGTAGATGAGTATAATATCATGCTAGGAGTATTATCGCACTCTTCATGTACTGAAATGCGGATGATACAGCATCTTGCCCTGATAGCTCCGTCGCAAAGTGCGTATTTGGGACCGTTTGATTTTTCTCGAACCTCGGCATGAAGGATTTGCAACACTTTTTCCAACCAGTAGGCCTCTTTCAGATACTGAATTCGAGTATCAAAGAGAGATGCCCATGACCAGGAAGGCGCGACGTATTCCCTCGATCTGCGCCCATAAGTCTGTGTGTCGGCCCTGGCCCATAGCAGCTGAGAGACCAGTCTCTTTCGCCAAAGGCCCCCGAGGAAGTCATCCTGCAGCCTTACAGCAAATTCATCGACAATTCCAGCCATTGCAACCAGTCTGTCTGTGTCGTAAGTGAGCCCTGAAGCGGAATATTGCCACAGAAAATCTGACCAGGCTGCAGTCTCTTCGAAGGTTTCCAATCCTGGGTAAAATTCATGCTGATGTAAGCGCTTATATGAGCCCAATCTAAGACTGCCACATGCAGTCAAGCTGTCAGGGAATCGCTCGCAAGCCAGATGCTGATTGCACTCCCAGAAAAGTTGCGACAAGCCGAAATGAAGAGTACGCGGCGAAAGTACGCGCTCCTGAAACACCCAGGCTCTGCGAGAAAGTGGAGATCTGTCAAATTCCGTCCATTCAGGGCCCGCGCTGAAGCATATGAAGTCGGAAGGGTACTCTATTTTCATTGGCGCGTTATTGGAAGCTTCCACGTGTCCTTCGGGCTGAGGCGACTTCGCAACAATCCGTACTGCTCGATGCTGGCCAGTTTGCGGCCTTGGACCAAGACAACCTCCCTTGCAATCCGATGCCCCTGAGGCGGCAATGTTGCAATAAGATCCTCCATAGATGGAAGCCATCTGGTTGGATTCCCTTGCCCAGTCTTCCTCGGAGTCTTGAAGAATACAAAGCGAGTCGATCCACAAGTATTTGACATGTAGTTTCTTCGTGATTGTGACTGCATCTTGAAAGGTCTGTGGTAGTTCGGAGACGGGAACAGAATCTCTAAACTGTTTCCACGTTGCTTTGCTCAGCACGAGCGGGCGCACAGTCCCCCAGCAGTGACTTAAAGTCACGTTGCGTGCCTTTTGTGGTATTTCCTCTCCTTCGACTAATTTGATCTTGGAGAGCGACGCAGTCGGGTCAATTTCAAGAAGCCGGGAAGGTTGGCCTTGATACTGATACTGAGAGTCGATGCAGCAATATGGGTGGCAAGTGTTGCAAATGTCCACCCATCTCTGGATCAGCTCCCATGCTCCTTCTGTGACGGTATTAGGGATTGTCTCTACATTCGTGACTAAAAATATAAAGGTCAATAAAACGGAGTCCACTTTTGAAGGATGTTACTTACCTGGTTGATTCTCAGTTGGAATCAACATTAATGTTCCGATCTTTGACTTTATTTGCTCATCCGGGGTCAGAGCTATAATCTCTTGATCTTGTATATGGAAATCAATCTCCCAACATCCTTGCGGCGCACCCCGGAGGTATTCGAATGAAACTCTCTGTTCATAAGCATGGATCCAAGCGTCTCTACCATCCACTATGCTTTCACTGCTGATGTCGGAGTTCTCAATCATCTCGTTGAGGATTGAACAGAGAGAGCATTGTACCATAGACTTCTTGACGTGACTATATCTACGCGCCAGAGTATGTCTGATCAAGAACTGTCCCTGATTTGGATATCTAACCAAGGAACGTCTCTGGTTCACGCAACGGTCGCACCAATCACAGAGGGTTCCATTGTTGACAGAGAGTGGCTCGAGCTCGGTCAGGTCAGCCAAGATGCGGTTGTGTTTCAAGCCTTGAAACTTGCTTTTGGGGTCTCGAATGCCATGTCTTCGCTCGGTGACCAAATCGCCAGATGTACCGTCTATGTTTGTCATTTTGCTTTTCGCACGAGAATCTGATTAATTAAAAGTATTTCAGGCGAATTGAAACATAGCGGAGACATGATTGAGATCTTGTAACTGACAAGGCTGACAATGTGCACAGAAGTGAGGGGCTTATCGATGAGGGGTCGATCAGGCAGCAGCTGCGTGGCAGTCAGCGATTCGCGAAACAAGGGTATTCAGCTTTTAGGGCCATACGTCAGCCTTATCGGGCTTTCCCTCAAATTCGTACTGGTTTTGTGTTATACTAGGTCCTCACCTCGCGACCGTCTCTTCCATTTTGACGTCCTTGTGTTTCCTATCTTCCACTTATCGTGGAAAGTGAACAAACACCAAATTCAGAACACACAACTTCTCAGCTCACGGAATTCCTCGATATTGTTCCTCATTGCCTCCGATCCCTGCCCTACAACAGTCCGGACTCCCATCAATGCACATTGTACCTCTACATTTTCCCTGCGACAACCTGGATCACATTGAGAGCAAAGAGAGCCCTGTTATCGCAATAGCTTACCTCCTGCGAACCTCTCGGTCACTATCAACAAGGTATTTTTTGTGTCTTACTTCCTTTCTGGCGGCATAACGCTGACTGTTGGCAAACTTGTGTCAGCCTCGCCGCTCAAGTCCTTCATCATCGTTTCCGCTCCAACACCCGACTGTTGAGCGTAAACTCGGCCGAGTTCACAACATGCGTAACACACTAAAGACCATGAAAGCCAAAATGTATGCTCTTGTCCATAAAGAGACAGCTTGCTCGTCTACCCTGCCTGAGCCAGCGGATGATGACAAATGGAACCGGGATCTTGCCCTTGCCTGCAAGGCACTCAGTTCCCTAGACGCTCGTCAGATTTGTCTGCGTTGCCAGGATATCATACAAATCGCAACTAAATATCCCCACAAGCACGTTGTTGATCCCCGAGTTTATCCTGCACTCGATGATCCCGCTTGTGGCCTCTGTAATGCTATCGAGTCCACGGAGAAACGAAAGGATGTTCAATTTTGTGTGTACAACTTAACAACTGGGACAGTGGGAGTGGGATGCCTGATTCTGTCTAAAAGTCAGCAAAATGGTCGTCCAGGCGGCCAGACAACTATCGATTATGATTCAATAGTCGTGTCCTTAAATCGCCCATGGTTCGACCCTTGGCCGAAGGATCCTTCGAAAGTTGACCTGCAACATCTGAAGCACTCCCTCGCGTACTGCCAGAGCAACCACATCGAATCATCTTGCACAGCACCGGGAGTCCCAGTCAGCGGGTTACGGCTGCTCAACTGCAGAAACAGAGTCATCGAGCGGGCTACTGCTGACGCTAAATATGTTGCTTTGAGCTATGTATGGGGCTCCAAGGTCTCTGATAGTTCGTCCAGACCAGGAGGCCAAATCAGATACAATCTTACGATAGAAGATGCCATCATTGTCGCTCTGAAGTTTGGTTACACCTATCTCTGGGTTGATCAACTGTGCATTGATCAGGAAGGCTCTCACATGGAAGAGCAAATTCGCCAAATGGATCTCATCTACCAGAACGCCGATCTCACCATTTTTGCGGCTGCGGGAGAAGACGCTTCGCATGGGCTACCCGGAATTACGACAACAAGCCGAAGTCCGCGTATGTTCTTTCGAAACGGCAATACCCTCTTCTATGAGATGAAACGGACGGCAGACAGACTCATCGAAGATTCCAGGTGGAATACCAGAGGGTGGACTTTCCAGGAATGGGTTTTCTCGAGACGCAGGGTTATCTTTACCGAGACAGAGGCCTTCTTTGTCTGCAATACGTTCCAGACAAACGCAGAACGAGGCTCAGAGTGTGCACCACGCACAGCACTCCTCAACCAGCAACTCCAGCCTCCTCACAGACAGCCTAGCAGTCAGTTGCACAGGCTTCCAAATGGTGTCAAGACCGATCCCTTGGATACTGGTTACATAATCGCAACTTACGCCAAAAGATCCTTGACATACTCCTCTGACGCTTTGAATGCCATCGAAGGAGTCTTCAGAGAGTTCCAGCGTCGTCAACCACCGACGTACAACTTTTGGGGTATCCCTGTGATTCCGAAAAACCTTTTCTGGTTTTTAGGGAAAGATGAACAAACGGATATCTCACCACATGTGGGTTTCATCATTGGACTCTCTTGGACAGAGAGATCATCAAAAGAACAAATGTTCGTGCGCGAATCTGAATTCCCCAGCTGGACATGGGCAGGTTGGAAATGCATCGGGCCAAGGCCAAGAGATTTGCACTGGGAGATGATACCACGCAAACACTTTGAAATACGCCCATGCGACGACTGTAAGGTCACGGGAATTCATTTCGAGCTCTCAGATGGACGCCTACTATCCTGGGAGGAATTAGTAGAACTATCTTTCCTGCAAAATGAACCCCAGGCGAAAACTCAATTCATTTGGCTGGAAGCGCCAACCATTGGGCTCTATATCCAATGGGAAACGTCGTTCAAATACCCACGGATCAGAATGGAAACTGAAACAGCGGCCTCAGGACCAGTATTTGTGCGCTATGACGAAGCACGTATTAGCAGATGCCAAGACGAAGACACAGTCTTCCCAGGGATGCAAGAGAAGAAGATGACTGGAATTATCCTCTTCATTGCGGAGATGCAAAGGTTTTCCTGGTATGCCAAAATTCTCCTCGTAGAAGAGAAAACGGAGTGGGCAGAGCGGGTGGGCAGTCTTCCATTGGAAACCGCTTCTGAGCTTGCAATATCTGAACTTGCAAAATTCAAAAAGCGATGGCTTCGATTGAAGTGACGTGGCTATTTTATGAGTAGAGGAAAGACAAGGAAAGGAAGGATCATACACTTTAGTACTGAATTATTAGCCCAAATATTAAGCTATTCGCGGTTTCCGCACTAATTCTTGTAGTTCTACTGGAAGTCTGAGCGATAGTGTATGCTGATCATTGAAATTAGTAACGCCTGAGTTACAATTGACCGACGTCAGGAGTCAGATGTTCGGGACGTCAGAGAGGGAGTGGTGATTTAGTTGCGTTTGGTGGCTGGTGCTTCGGATTCTTTTTGATCTTTTCTGGGGTTCGTCTGTACGATGTGGGTATTTTGTGATGGCGATGCAGTGTTTTTTTGCTGATGTAGGTGAGGTGCAGTTGGAATTGATGGAGGTGCGCCTTTTTCTCTTTTCTTTTCTGTTTGTAGGTATTTAGCAAAAGTGGTATAAAGGATGACCTCGGAGACTTTTTATTGTTAAAGAGCTGTATCAAAGTTTCGCAGGATGAATTTAGTCAATGCACCACCGATTTCTCTCCGTGATACAATCCCCAACGACAGCAGCATACTCGTTGTCAAGCAGGTAATTTTCCCCCTCTTTCAACACGTTGGCCGTCAACGCCAGAAGATCCTCCCTTTTACTCCTGAGTCTTCGCTGGAAGTTCGTCCCTTCCAGAGAAGGGTGATTCACTTCAAACAAGTTTCCAGAGTCGCCACGGCGTGCATACGTCACTCCATCTCGCTCCTCTGTTACAAAGACCATTACGGCATTTGTGTGTCCTCTCGAACTCATCTTGCTACTCTCCTCAGTCATTAATATTGCAACGTGACTATAAGAACCATCCTGAAGAATGCCGAAACCTTGGTTGCTTTCAGGAACGGACGATTGGAGCCTTCTGGTGAGGCAGTATGTCCATTCGCCGTCTGTTCCACGTATCCAAAGATCATCTGCAAACGAACAAGATAGAGGTGGATTCAGATCTTGGAAGGTAATGCTGTAGGCATTGACGAGAAGGCCAGCCTTGGTGATGGTTGCGTTTTCATCAGGATATGTCGAGTCGATTGCGGTGCCAAGAAGCGTCCGGGGAGCCCAGCGGAAGCCGACCGAGTCTATTCTGGCGCCCGGGAAATACATCCAATCCTGTGAGATATATTTGAGCTGTGACCAGAACTGCCTCATGCGATCCTGGCGATTGACCTTCAAGACTGCTCCCACGTCGACATCCATGAGGCTGGCGAGGCACAACGCTTCGTCTTCCCTCACACTGGTGGCTCGTGTACCCAACGCTTCTGCCCAGTCTCCGATATTGCACAGTGGAGAATCCCCTATCACATTCAGAAAGTTCGCGTTTCCACGGATGATCGCATAGATCCTGAAAATGTCCATGGATTTTCCCCAGCCACCCATCAAATCAGAGCCAGGGCTTCCTATTGCGGAATATATTGTCTCGGCGTCGAACGTTGCGTTGGAGAACTGGAAGAGCACCCTGTCGGGCAAGGCTCCTTCCTGGAGAGTCCATAGGCGGGAAGCCCAGTTCGAAGAGACGATGTAAAGGCCAATCTCGCGTACCGAACGGCCGGTAATGTCGATCGACCGTAAGGTATTATCAAGCACGAGGACTTTGTCCGCGCCTGCGTAAGTCTCCCTCATCTTCTGGATCGCTATTGTTCTGCTCTCTGGCGGACGCGTCGGACAGCACATAGTGTCTATCCAAAATGGAACCCCGGCTGTGTTAGGGTAGAGGTTTTGTACCAGGTCGTTGAGGGTTTTCAGCTGGCACTCGGGCATTGAGTTTCCGTAAGGATTACCAAGGCCATCAGACCATACGTGAGATATAGCAACGTATTTCGCGTCAAACTGTCCTGCAATCAAGTTTGGCTTTCCGTGGTCCCAGGCCACAAGGGGAAGTTTGCCGTCTTGAAGTATCATTCCCAGGTCCGTTGGATCAAAGCCACTGAAATGACAGTTGCAGCCGGCACGGGTGTGCGCAGTCTGATAGGTAGACTTTTCAATTTGAGATGCAAGGCATTGCGTTGACGTGCATCCTGTATGGTCCTTCCCGTCCTTCTGTAAGTTGGGAAGCAAGGCGGCGAAGTATTGGTACTCTAAGAGGAACGACCCCTGTATAGTGCTGAGAGCCCTGGGGCACCATCCTTCCTTGGCCATCTTGTATGTAAGCATGCTCACATAACCGCTGCGGGACTTCAAGTGGGGAAATTCGGCAATGTTGGCTCTTGCATGTGGAGGAGTCCATGTGTGGAGCTGGCCTTCCCCAATTAGGGAAGCTCGCATGCGACCTAGGAATTGCCCCAGCAGCGCCAGGGACAGAAGAAAGTAGGGGTCCAATGGAGCTCTCGTATGAGCACCAACACAACCATAAGCGCGGTTGGCAGTGCTCAAAGCGCGATCCAAGAGAGGTGTGTCCGTTTCCAAGATAACGCCGGAGTCCCGCTTCTGGCGGAGTTGATCTGCATTTTCGAGCAGGTTTCTCGTATGGACGTATCTCGTTCCGTCGTTATCAACGTCGATGTAGTCCTGGAACTTAATATCGTCGCCAAACATTGCATGAAGAAGTCCGAAAAACAACCACTGCTGGAGAAAGGCGGCCGTTGCTTTCTGCCCTCTGGAACGACCATTATCCAGCTCGGTCCTTGTGAACAGCTCTTCGTGGATCCAGCCTTGACGCTCAGGGTATGTGCTGAAGTCGCCTCTGTCGTACTCTTCGAGGCAGTAGTATGGGATCCTTGGTGGGTCCCAAGCAGGATTTCTGGGCACCAGAACATGGTCCATCGGAACGCCAACGAATCGATGCAAAAGCTAAAATTGGGGAACTGTAAGGGTATAAAGCAAGTTGATTACAGTAGAGTGGGGAACAAGTGTTCGTTCGATGTATCAAGGTAAGCGAAGAGATTACGTGAGCTAGATAGCGGGGTAAAAGCAGAAACACCTCTCGTGGGGGCGGAAGCCTTGGTCCTAGAAGATATGATGGGACCTCGACAAAATTCTAGAAGCTTAATGCCTGACCTATTTGCAGGTGAATCGAGTTGATTTGGAGAGAACATGAACAAATTTTCCCTCTGATTGTCACCCAAAGTGAGGGGGGAGAATGAGACATATCCACTGAATAGATCCCACGTGATTCGAAGTCATCTGAGCCTTTCGAGTCATTTCTGGAAGTAAACTGGTAAGCTTGATTGATTATTGCGATGTTGATACAGCCACAAATCTAGGAATTGGTATGCTGCCAAGCTATGGAAAATGACCACGTAGGAGATTGAGTAGATGTGGGGCTGGGTTCTCACAATGCGTTAGAAAAAGCAAAGAAACACGATAATGAATCGCCGATTTTAGTCCTCTGGCCCACCGAGCTGAATTCTGTAGATCCACATCATGTCACATTGCTTGTGTGGAACGAGAAAAAGAAGAATTTATAATGTATGCGGCGAAAATCAATACTACAGGCCCCACCCCAATACCTAGCGGAAATTCATTTATTGATTCGATGGTAAAAGAAGCAATTGCTGCTCTCAGTAAAAGTGGAATAGCTGATTCATGGAGTGGCGTCCGGAAAGAAGGGTATGTAATGCTGAGGAAATTCTTGTCAGCCTGCCAAAAGAAAGATTAAAGGCGAAAAAGGTGAGAGCGATTTTTACGATTTGACGTAGCAGATAACCAATGACATTAGTTCTCGACCATATTGTGCACTTCGCATGAGATGAATAATCCCGCGTGTTCACAAGCTCAAGTGCTGGATGGCTTATTGGTAGATAAGCTGATGTAGGTGGCGGAGCTGAAAGCAGGGGTCTAGGGGAACCCCGGTGACCGATCGAGGCAGCAACCACAAGTGCGGAACGGCCATTTTAGTGTTCATCTGCATGAAGAAGTTTTCGGATTTTCTCAAAACAGTAACAATTGGCGCCTTGCAGATAAAGCAAAGTGAATGAAACTTAATTCATCGTAGTCGATTCAGCGGGCTGAGAAGTGGTGCAAGCCACGTCGGAGAGGTTCTGGAGCCTAAAACTTGAGTCAAGGCTATCCCCTCTTCCGTTACCACTTAAATACTAGCATAAAAGGTCGGCCTGATCCTGTCCTTGCTGAGACCTCATATCCTGCTGATTGCTCATCCGCCTGAGGCGAAGGGATACATAATGGCTTCCAACAAGTCGGGCTTGGGCTTGAGCCCTGCCCGGTCTGAATACAGCCTTGTTTCTCTTTGGCTTGATGCATTGTCCGACTTCGATAAGACCGCAAGCGCAAAGCTCAAACGATCCATCTTTCAACCACAATACAGCAGTATTGAGGACGTTCTGGATGACCTTCAAGAGAAGGAGGAAACGTTTGGGTTCAACAGGAAATCTGGTGGGAAGCTCTCTCGCATCCGTTCAGCTGTTAGCGACCATTTCCCTGTGATTGAGCGAGCAGTGAGTTTCGTTGGGTTTGGTGTTGAGGTCGCCTCACAGGTACTTTCAAAGCCTAGCTGTTTCAACGCTCGTCGGGATATTGACTACTAAAAGGTTACCCCGCTTGCGGCACCTGGTGCGGTTGTTATTACGGGACTTGGGTGGGTTGCTAAGGTGCCTACAGTCTCCCAGCATTAACTGTTCGCATATGACTAAGTACCTACAGGCTTGTAAAGACATGCATGATGACTTCGACAAAATCGCAGACTTCTACGGAGAGACCGCAAAGCTGTTCAGACGTGTCCAGATGCTGGAAGGGAAGCTGGGTCCACACTGCAACTATCGCAGTCTCTTGGAAGACATCACGAAAGTTTTCAGACAGGTCATGCAGATTTGTGCAATTGCGATAGAGCAACCACAAAAACGATTCAGTAAGCCCCTGTAGGTCAAATGCAGCTTTTAGTTCAAGTTTTAACAGAGTGTAGAAACGTTTCTCAAGAAGCATGTTGGTGGCGAAGATGAACTCGGAGATGCTTTCAATGGGCTAAGCAGTGCCATTGATGCTCTTCGAGACTCTATCATCGTTTCTACTGCGGCAAATGTCGTTGAGGTGAAACAAGATGTGAAACAAATCCGATTCGAGGGCAAAAAGGCACAAAAAGAAATCTCGGCTCGGATATCGGATGGTTTTGGTGAAACGAAGGAAACACAGCGGCTTACGCTCGAGAGCCAGGAAAGATCGCACGCGGAAGTCACCAATCAGATGTCAGACGGCTTCGGAGAGTTGAAAGCAAACCAGGGGCTCATCCTTCAAAATCAAAAACGATTCGATACTGAAATCAAGCTCAGACTTGAACGACTGGAATTTCGGCACAATGATCAATCCAAATCCGGGAATCTCCAAAGGAAGAAGGGAAGCAAAGATCCAGCTGCACGTAAGGATACAGCACTATTGGAAATTCGAGAAGCCTTTCCACCATGCGACCAATCCGCCTACATCCATGAGTTGTCTGACTGGGCGGTCAGAGTTAACTACAGCTTCCTCAAAGAATACCACAATTGGGTCACTGGCAAGAGTGATAGGAAAGTTCTGATTGTTACTGGTGCACCTGGTATCGGCAAAACTTATGTTTCTCTCTCCGCTCTTGGTAGATTGAGATGTCGGGCCGAGACAACCGCTTCGTTCTTCTTTAGAGAAGGATATCCAGATTTCGAAGACCTTGGATCTGCATTTCGCTCTATCCTCAATCAGCTTGCTGAACAGGACTCAGAGTGGTCCCGGAATATCCGTACTGAACTGAGAAATCTCAAAGCCAAACAAGAGAACCTTTCAATTGGGCCCGATCAGCTTTGGAGCGATATCATCGAAAAGGCAGCAAGCAGTTACAAGCAGCAGAAAAATACTCAGCGCCGAGAGGTATACCTCATTTTCGATGGCATCGACGAAGCTGGTGGCTCTACTCATACAAAGCTCGTTCACATCTTGGGTCGCATATCAAGTGAACTCCCAATACGAGTGCTAATCACGACCCGGGAGCTGGAAAGCTCGTTCCAGGGTGCTACAAGTATGGCTGTCGAAGCCATGACGATTGACAACATGCGACCCTATCTCCATCATCTGTGCAAGAAGAGGATCGAAAAACTTCCGAGGCTTCGGCGATTCCCGAGGTACATGAAAGATGAAATTGTGTCAAAGTTGAGCAAACAGGCAGACTGTAAGTATCTATTATGCTTCAACTCCAGAAATATACTTAAAAATTCAGGTATGCTTTACGTTGAAAATATGCTTCTCAGACTGGAAGCAATTGGCCTCAAACATCTCGTCAAGAGAGATCTCAGTGAACAGCATCGCCCCTTACCAAAGACCCTCGATGCTCTCTATGCGATGATGATGGACGAAATCCAAAAGGGGCGGACGTCGAAACAGTGCGACGTGCTGAGAAATCTCTTTTTATGGCTCGCGTTTTCGAACAGACATTTAAAACTCCGAGAGGCGACAGAGATTACAAAGCTCTGCGCAGAATCCAACCCCACTCTTATCATTGAGGATGAGTTGGTAGGAAAATTATCTGGGTAAGTTTTGAATTCAATGGATTGTGCAACACTCTATGCGGCAGCCAGCCAATCCAAGGTCTCCCCCAGTTGTATAACTTGGCTGACAAAAGCGGACAGAATTTTGGAGTTGGTCAGAGTTCCAGAGGCTCACGTTGATGATGACGAGGACTCAAGCACAGAAGAAGAAGAGTTTTCTTCTGAGAAGATAGTCAATATCTCGTCGACCATACAGCCCCTGAATGAGGAAGATGACAGTGCTCTGCCTATCCAATTCCAAGAAAGGTGTCTCCGCGACTTCTTCAAACGTGGCGGAACTGCTGAAGTCAATATGCAAACTTCAGCACGAATGGCACATTTGAACATATTCACTGCATGTGTTCAAATCCTTGATGACACCGCAAAATCCTCTGTAGAGGATAGCTCTCTCCTGGACTACGCGGCCAACTATTGGTCAAGGCATTTTGTCCAATTCAACCAGATTGCGAGGCATGAGAACGAACTCCCGCCAAGCACAGAAGAGAAGAAAGCTGTGGTCGAAGCCCTTGCAACCATTCATTCTGCTGAGGGAAATATCCCAAAAACTTTGGAAAGAAACTCCTGGAACACGTATTCAGAGGAAACCATCACAAAAGGACAGCGGTGGCCGGAACTGGTTGCCTGGTGGGCCAATGCGGCTGAGGGGATCAAGAGTTTAAGTGACAAGTCTACCCGCTGGATTCAAAGTGTGAACGGCGAAGGCAGTGGCCGAATCATGTTGCCCTTGGCACACGCCCATGCCTCCAACTGGGCTGAAACCTGGGATGCGTATTGGGCGTCCGAGGCATTCAAATTCGCTCGCGATGCGTTATGCCTTGTAAGTTTATGCTTTATCGCCCTGTAAGGCAGATACTGACAAATCTTGTAGACAGATTTCGTGTCTGGGAAAGAGAGAGAGGCACTTTGTGCTGAAAAGGCTGAAAGCGTATCTCGAATTGCGAATCTCCTCCTAAACGCGGAAGACAACGGGAGTACAAGCAGCGCAATAGCCATCATCCAAGAATCCTTTGCATGCAACTCAGAGGCATACAAGAACTACGAAAAAGCCCTCAAACAAGGGATGTCCAACGTCTCATACAATTGCTTCAAATCACGAGCCGGACTCGCCCGAGTTAGTCCAGATCCAAAGAAAGCGGCCGAGAACGCATCAGCAGCACTGGTAGCAGCAAATGCAATTCCGGAGGAAAATGACTATACCTCTGACTTCAGGAATGAAAGCAGAGTTGAAGCTCTTTTGCTGATGGCAAAAACTGCAAACTCTGAAGGTAATGGTGAAGATGTCATTAATTACCTTCATGAGGTACAAAGGTCACAGACCCAAGAGTCCATCGAAGGTTATATGCTTGATTGCCTCACCATAGCAGTCAAACAGAGAAAGGGCAACCCAGGTCTCTTCTGTGAGATCGATGAATGGTCTGGCCAGAATCTTTTCGCTTGGTTGGACTGGGCCTTCAAGACCAAAAACGAAGATTCGTTGAAACGATTCGAGAACGCCGCAATGTCGGAAGGGAAGGAAGATTTCATCATCCATACCTACCAGGAGATTTTGAACTCGTACGATGATTCGACCACTTCGGTATGGGCGCAGTTCTGGAAGGCGAAGACCCATCACTCTCTTGGTGGAACAGAGCTGAAAGCTGCCAAGGGGATCCTAAAGAACCTTCTCGACGTAAGGAATATTCATCGTTCAAAACAGATCCTCTATGATGCCAGACTGCATTTGTCAAAGATCCTTTATGAAGAATTCAGGTCGATGGATAATCCGGGCGCAAAACGAGCTTTGTTGGAAGAGATGAAGACCATTCCTCAATTGGACCCCCAGGCCGATCAGGATGGCTTAAGCAACTCTCTTGTCTCGATACCACGAGCACGTATGATGCGGGTTCTCGAAGTCTCCAGCTTCCAGAACGCATTGACTGACACATTTAACGTGTGCATCAGTGCGCTTCAGGACAACGATCCGGAAAACGATTTTCGTAGTCTGCGTCTCCTTGCGCAGGTCCTAACATGTGTGCCCGGTCTGGAGGGACATGCAAGGATAGCCATCTCACTGCAATTCTCTGACCTTGGTATTTGCTCATCCGACGAAAAGGCCGAGAGCGCTGACATGGCCATTGATGATGGTTGGTTTGCTGATATCAACATCAATGAGTATCTCGAATCACAGGTTATCAGTTCCCCGCTGGCCCCAACAGAGGAAGACCTCTCTATATGGGTTATCACATGTGACGGGTGTGGGTTCCCACAGGAAGACTGGTCGCAGGCCTCGTACTATTGTCTAATTTGCACCGATATCGACCTCTGTGAGAGTTGCTTCAAAGCCATTCGACATTCAGAATCTGGTAAGATTGGAGATGACTGGCGTGTGGTGTGTGGCAAAGATCACAAGTATATCAGGGCACCGCTCAAAGGATGGGGAGGTGTGCAGAATGGAATGATGAAAATTGGTCAAAGGCAGCTATCCTGTAAGGGTTGGTTGGACAGACTGAAAAATAAGGAATGGCCAATGGCATGGAAGAGGTTCTGGAAGAGCGAGTCGTTTGTTCCAGATATCGTCTAGTCATTCGCTTCACGAGGGCGGCTACAGATGAGCGCATGTTGCATTGGGAGTCCTAACTGCCTCAGTTTGCAGCCATGAGATTCAACCTTACCCTCAGATCAGAACAGAGCATCCCTGATCCATCCAGTCGATGTGCTCGTGAATCAACTCGATGTCAACATTGAACAAGACCTGTGCGAGAATGACGCCGTGGTTGCTTTGCCCTCTTTGCTGTTCGACCCTATACACGGAATCAAGGATGGACAACACGATGGGAAGTAGCGGCTCCCGCGGCCCCCGCGGCTCATAATTGCGAGAAGTCTCTTCACTTCTAACTACGATGTTATGACCGAATGTTAAATCCGTCAGGGATGGCTCCGGCATATCGTCAGAGATCCACAGAACCATCCGGAAGGAGATCTCATCGCCAAGTTTCATGTCGCTTGGCGCATCCATCTTCCGACATTTTTGTTGCGCCGTGTCTGATCATCGGCTTTCTAATAATCGTTATCGCCCTCTTTGGCCCCGCAAGAGACTTCGTCTGTTTCAAATGTCGGAGGAAACGGCGTGCTCCGCTCCGTTCAAGTGATGTCAACAATTTTTGGATAAGTGCTTTGCATGCAGAAGTTCTGAGCAAAATCACTCTTTGGGGACCTATACACTACCATCTTCTTTCTGTTAAACAGCTGAGAGCTCTGTAGTATCGTGATCAAAAGCTGCGTAGTTTTAGCCAGCTCCAGCATCAAAGGAAAGATTACCACTACGTACGAAAAGGGACGAGTGTGAAGTGTTATTGTGGAGCCCGGTGAGAGAGCGGTGGTATCTCCGATTGCGCGCGGTGTCGGGGATTCCGGCCCCTTGGCCCGCCGTGTTCTGGATCTTCACAGCTGAACCGATTAGGGAGAAGATGTCCTTCCCCGACTCGCGCTCCGTTGCGCCATTGGATAGTGCATAGGGGGAGCAAGCGAGAACCGCGACACACCGTGTCAGCCTCTAATTTAGGGTTCGAGACACCTTGTTCCCCGTCTCGGGTCGATGTGCTCGCAGCAACCCTCGTAAACAGGGTGGGCCACAGCCGGAGATCAGTCGGAGATCATGCTCAGTTGTTCGTACTCGCTCTGAAGAACGGTTGATACGATGGTTATCGCTTGTTGCACAACGCTTTAGGGCTGAATAACCGAGTTGGGACAGGCTCAATCAAAGGAAGCAGCGGTTTCCCTGTCGGAGACTATGCGACGGATCTCGGGGGTTTTAAGGCCGCCGCCCCGCTAGGTCCGCCACCATGCTGTCTCCCACAACCCGAGCGGCAAAACTCTGTCCGAGGCGGAAATCGTCACCCAGCCAGCCACAAAAAAGGCGTTGCTCTCCACCTTTTCTGGACCTCGTTGCGGTGCAGTGGTTATAACTTGCTCACGAATGCCAATATTGATTTGCAGACAGATCACTGCCACATGGTCAGGCACGACCATTCCTCTTGGAGAAAGGATCGGTCCCATAGCAAACCGGAGCCCCATTTTCGGCCCTGATTGAGACCCTCAAAGCCCGCAGATCGGAAAGTCCGACTTTCTCCCCGGACGACCGTTGAGAACAAGCGGGGCCGACATTCCAACGCTTCAACGACCCCACGTGCAACATCATGCGTTCACCCTGTGCCTGCAGGCGTCGTGTGGCTGTGTTCAGCCTCGCGGCATTCGCTCTTTAAGAGGAAGAAATCGCTCACCGCTTTCGCCTGACAGCCACAACGTGGAGAACATTGGGTGTCGGAGATAGAGTTGCGCCGATCCAAGTGGGCGAAAGCGAGCAGCGTCTTCACAGCATCACGCCATGTTTACGAAGGCTGACTTCTGGCGAATGCCGCCGGATAAGCGGGCCAGCCGATGTAGGAGATCCTCAAAATCCGTCTGTCGACCTGTCATGACTCTTTGCGCCGTTCTGTCGAGGATTCCACAAGGAGAAGTGGTTTGTTGGAGGACACGCCAGATAGCCTTTCTGCCCCCATCCGGCGGATGTGGCCCCCAGATGAGGGCATGCCGAGGCTGAATGCCGCCTCAGCCGCCAACTAGCCACGTGGAGTGTGGAATTCGCTCAAATTGATGGAAAGATTCCAGGACTTCTTCAGATCTCGCAGCCGCAGCCTTGTACTTATTATACAGCCTTTTTGCTTCTTTCCCAAGCGCGTTACCGCCCGCATTTCCTTGCTAAACGCGCGTCGGTCCGTTGCTCGGTCCAATGTCTCACGACGCTGGCGCGTAACATCGCAGTCGGCGACAGCCGTCCAGGGTTAGCCTCAGCCCGGCACCAAGGGGTGATCCCTGCTCGAACAGATCGGTCTTAATGTGGATTCAGATAGCCGAGCGGAAGATGCAGAATCGGACCAGCTCTCGATCGCAATGACCGACTCTCATGCAGGCCAACCGCGGTACTTATTGTTTTGCCGTTGCTGATCACCTCCCTGCCGTCTCTCTCTAGGCCTGGGAGCCGCCTCCCAGTCACTTCTCGCCCCCCGTCGTGTTTCCTTGACGGCCGCCCTGCAAATGAGCAACTCCATCTCGAGTGCGACGTGGGCGCTTCTCGTGTTGTCCTGGCTCTTCGTCTGCCTGCGATGCGGCGTGCGGATTTTCCTCGTCAAGTCGTTCGGCTTTGACGACTGGCTGATGCTCCTTAGTCAGGTGAGCACCCACCACCGCCAACTACACCAAGCATTTCGCTGACGATGAGAAGATCGCGTACACGATCTGGGGAATATGCCTGCTACTAGGCGTGCACGCCGGAATGGGCCACCACATGGCCGAACTGACCCCGGAGCGGATCATGCAGGCGATGAAGGTGAGTAGTATGCGTCCTTTACTTACAAAGAGCATCCCAGTCGTGGCTAACGTTAGTGTAGTACTGGTACATATGCGGCGGCCTATACTGCTTCGTCACGACGCTGGTCAAGGTGGCCGTCGGCTTCTTCCTGCTGCGCGTCATCGTCCACCCCGTGCAGAAATATGTCATCTGGGGCACGCTGGCCGTGTCGACCGGATACGGCATCTTCATGATCGTCGGCACCTTGGCCCAGTGCGACCCGCCGCAGAAGTTCTGGGACAACAACATCGACGGCTCGTGTGGCAACCGCGCCGGCGGCGTCTGGACCGGCTACGTGCACGCCGCCATCAGTGCCGCTGTCGACTTCATCATGGCTGGGATTCCCTTCTTCATGCTGCGCCACTCCAACCTCGGCTGGAAGAAGCGCGTGGCCATCTACCTAATCATGTCGCTGGGATCATAGTACGTCTTGCCCTCCCCCTTCTTTTTCCCCACCTTCAACCTACTGACAGCACCTCCTCAGCGCCGCCATCACCACCCTCATCCGCGCCAGCACCATCGACGACCTCACCAAATCTGGCGACTACCTCTACAACATCACCTCCATCACCATCTGGTCCTGGGTCGAGCCCGGCGTCGGCATCATCGCCGCCTGCATGGCGACCCTCCGCCCGCTCGTGCGTGTCGTCTTCGAGCGCACCGGCATCTCCAAATCCGGCAGCAAAACGCGTTCGACCACCGCGCGTTTCGACCCGGACGTGAACCTCGACGAACTGCGTGGCGAATCCGGCGTGACGGTGACGAACATCGAGGCGCGGGAGAGCCCGAGCCCGGAAAGGACGCCAAACGGCGGGAAAAGGAGGAGGAGCAGTACTGGGGGCGAGAGCGGGAATTCGGAGTCGGGCTGGCAGAGTTTTGGGAGCCAGGAGCATGTGTTGCAGAGTAACACGAGGATTAAGAGGAGCGTGCAGGTTACGATTTCTACGTCGGATGCTGCGGACCTTAATGAAATCCAGTCGGTGAGGTCGCCGATGGGTGTGAAACGAGTTTTATAGCGTTTTTGGTAATTTTCTTTTGTTGGTTTGTTTGTCAATGCTAAGGATACCCTGACGGCTGATACGTTTTTGGATCTGGATGTATTATGGTACAATCTTGTTTGTGAACAATAATCATGTGAGGCTAAATAAAAGTATTATCAGACAACTAATTTTCTTATCGAAAGGCTGTATGGTCATTGGCGGCTATCATGATTTTGTAATTAGAATCAGACTAGAGTCTCAAGAACGGTAGTGAAGTTGTCTGAGGGCGAGCATTAATATCGAAAGTACAGAGGGGTGCTGCAGCCGATGGCTAGCGCGAAAAATAGCAGGGCTTTAGAACATTGCGCAACTATGCCTCAGCTCTACCTTGGAAAAACTAACATATATGGGTAGTTGAAGCTATTATCCGGATGTATATGTAGAATTTTTAATTCGACATTCTCGTCCGGACGATAGCTTCAGCTACGCATGACATGAGTAAAAATCCACACTAGCCATCGGAAGAGGAGATTGTATGTTTATTCATCGAGGATCTTGTTTCCCACAGGCTCCGACCCGCTTCATTCCTACAGTGATCTTTGATTGCCTTCCACCACTGAGCCTCCAACCACTTAATTCCCATGACTTCGCTCTTCTCCCCCCACCCCCCGTTCCTCCAACGGACTTATCGGACTATCACACTGCGCCACCGACGACTCCACCCCCTCCTTCTTCTCCTCCTCCTCCCCCTCCTCCTCCCCTCCCCCCCTCTCCCCCCGCATCTTCCCACTCGCAACCGTATCCCCATCATCCCCCGCCAACACCTCTTCATACCCCTTTGCCGGCCTCTTCAGCCTCGGATGCTGCAGATCCGACACATCCAGCACCGCCAGCCGCTGCCTACCATCCACCGTCACCGGCACGTCGTCCACACACCCCTTCCACTCCCCGACACCCAATTCCTCGTGCGCCAGCCGCTGCAGCTGCAGCGTCTCGTTGGTCGTCCATTCGAGGCGCGCGTAGGCGTCGACGAGCGGGTCGTAGCGCAGCCAGCGGCGACGTTGGATGAGGCGGACGAATGGCTCGAGGGTGTAGGAGAGGAGGAGGAGGACGGTGCCGAGGGCGAGGACGAGGATGAGCCAGAAGAGGGAGAAGTTGAAGTGGGCGGTTGAGTAGACTTTCTGTGGGAGGAGGTGTGAGTGAGTGATGGGGTAGATAATGTCACGGACGGTATATTATCTGACTACGCCACGATGAACCGTATCAATTTGGTTCATTCCAGCCCTCAAGGAGGCCGGTGATAACCGGCGTGGCGCAGTGGGGAAAGGCAAAGCGTTTACAGATAATAGGTGAGGGGGAGTGGGCTTACCTGATTCTTGCACAGCTTTTTGGAGGCCGAGTCGGTGGGCGGGCTGACGTATTGGAGCAGGTCGGGATTGGACGGTCCTTTGGCGATTGACACGGCTGCGGACTGGAGGTTGGCTAGCGTGATGTTGTGCATGTACTCGAGGTCTATCTGCCACTGGTTGTCCGGTAGCGGTCCAATGATGTCCGCCTGCATGTAGAATTTGGATGCCAAGGCTGACGTACGCAGCACAGAGGCAATGTTGTATATATCGTGGAGCTGCGACATCAGTGTGGCTGTCCAAATGTAGCTGGGCTTCTGTCTTTCCTCGAACTGATATGCCCCCGAGTCATCGTACATTCCAGAGAAAGGCTCGCACTGAGCTTCACCGGAGAGCGCAGGATAGCAGAACTGCTGTTGAATCTTACACGCTAAAGGTGATGATGCTTGATCTGCGTAGATGACGTTTGAGAGTTCCCGGTGGGCTGAGTACCATGGATCATCGACCGGGGCGCCGAAGTTGACGTAGTTGGCAGACAAGAAGAGGATCACCGTATCGGAGGCATTGTTCCTGAGTTGTGGAATAGGCAACCATGACGTCTTGTAGTCGTTCGTCGTTCCGTCATTGAGCAATCTATACTCAAAACCACTAACGAATTGTTAGAAAAGGTACGGCTTGAAGGGGGCTTTGATCTCTTACCCTAGAGAGAAGGCTGTTTTTTCAATTGTTTCTTTGCCTGTACCATAGTAGTCGATCACTGAAAACTCGGGGTAATCCATGGTCACTTCGTCGGAAACATTTGGCGGAATACCCTGCGGCCCGTACATGTAGCGCACGTAGGTCGAGTTGGTGTAAACCGCCTTTACGGACTCTGTGTAGCCTTCGGTGACTAGCGGAGCACAGCTAGTTATCCTTCTCAGCGTCACGCGGTCTTCAGGTGGCGCATTGATTCCAAGGTCGGAGTGGCTGTCCAGATGCGTATCAAAGACGATGTTTCCGTGTTCCAGTTTGCACATGTCCGCTCGAAAAGGGCAGGTCGCGTTCCGAGTTACTGTAGTTGATAGCCGTGGCTTGACGTACTGTTGGCAAGTATTGTCTGATGACGCTGCTCCATAGCATTGTTGCGCGTAATCCGCTGCTAAGACGATCTCCGTTGCTGTGTTTGGATAAAATGTTTTTGCAAGCTCCATGCTTCCCACATCTCCGGGATACAGCATTCCGCAGTTCTGACTGTTCACAAGGACCTCGTGGCCCATTGCTGTTGCAATCTTGGACGAAAAAGTACCGGCAGTGGCGAACGCAGCGACGAGCAAGAGAGTGAGTGCTGACAGAGGTAAGATCCGTCGGTACGGTTGACGTACTTTTTCAACGCCATGCCAGGCCCAAAGAGTTTGAACCAGCGCACATAGACCATAGGTCGCGTTGGCTGAGTTACGAAGGATGATCTGTCGTTGGTGGTGCAGTGCATCCCGGGGCGCCTCGGTAGAGTAAAAGTGGTGCAAGGCAAAACACCCGATTCTCCAGACACTCGTTCCGACAACGCTAACAAACAGCGCTAGGAATGCAACGAGAAGGGCACCATCGCGACTGGTTAGAGTGACGGTTGCCCCGAAGACGCGGCCTCGAGACCAGTTGACCCAGACACCAGTGTAGATGTCCTGATCTGCGGAACCGTATGCGAATCCGACGGTGCTCATACTGGCAGAAAATAGAAAAAAAAAGGCTTGTTTGATGAGGCCTACGATAGATAGAAGTGGACAACTGAGAATTATAAACTGCCTCACAGCGGGCACAATTGCTAGACAACACCTCCAAGGGCGAATAAACGTTGCGTGGTACAGTTCCGAATGCTTCCTTGTTGCAGCTTTTGAAAGCCTTACTCATCGGGAGCTACAGGAAACCAATAAATTGACAAAGCAAGGGCCCCTTGAAGCTTCAAGGCAGCATGCGCAGACTGCGACATAAAAAGAAAAGGTGGGGGCGGCCAGCTTTCTTTAGCCCCCACCTTCTGGCAGAGCTTTTCACCTGCGATAACATTGGGTGATGGAGCAAGACGCACCTATAATAGAATACGGAGTGGCAAAGCAAGGTTAAGCGCAAAGTTTTAGCCCTACCTCTCGATGATCTTGCCTTCTGCGTATGGCAGATGCATGGTGCTGCAAGCGAACTCGACATGACTGGCCAACGCACCATACAGCACCCCGCAATCAGGGCTCGTGCTTGACAAGACGTCTTACCAGAACCGGCCAATCTGTCTGATGATTCATCCGCTCTGCCGTTTTTTTCCTTGGCAAAGATAGCTCTGTTGCTATATCGGGAAGAATTAGTCTTGTCTCATATTTTTGCGCCCGTTGTCTTTCACTCGTGAGATGCATCGAAAGCTGTAGCAAGTTAATGAAATATGCGACTTCGGGATCTGCAACTTAACACGTCAAAGGCCCCGCCAGGCAGAAAGGCTTCGACTTAACAAAAGTTTACATGGACGGCCCCCGCTGCTGCCTTGGTCTCATCGAGACAACCTTGTTGCTATTTTAGGAGAAGATTGTCTTGTTTTGCCTACCTTGACACAGGATCGTAGAAAGACAGGCAATAGGATTCTCCATCGAAACCATAGTGTTGAAATGCCCGCCCACCCTCCCCAGCCTGCGATGAGACCCAACAAGAAAGGCCAAGACTTGCATTTGGCTTCTGCCTAGCAAATGCATCTAGGATTTCGGTTATTTTTCAGTAGCAATTGCGCCATCTGAACGACCATTTTACTGTGCAAAATGCGTATCGTAATATGTATAGAGCTACAAAGATATCGGTTGTGATATTCCTTTTCCAGTAGTGCGTATTCCTAGATAAGAATAGGCAACTAAGTGAAAGATATTGGGACCTCTTGTGAGCAATAGGAAGAAAGGGAACCACCGGCTGATCTTACAGGTGGCTTGTCTAACCAAATGAGAAACGTGAAAATGTAACCCTTGCAGCAAATGCTTATGCTAAGAACACCGCTGTACTCTCATAGACTCGGCTCTGAAGCTATCAGAAAGACCGAGTGATACGCAGGCCTTGATGCACCCCATTGAACCACCCTGGTGGTAGTGGATGCTAAATATTTCATGGTTTATTGGATGGCTTTAAGCAAGCGAGATGGCGGGTGGCGGCTGAAACCCCTCGTTAAATTTGACCTTGACTAGATCATCTCACCATCCGCGATTGCCAATGTCAAGATAAACTTCTGGAGAAAATTCAGGATTTATCCGAGCTAAAACTTTTTCAAAATGTACGTCTCCGCAAGGATATCCTAATATCTGTCTGGGACGACCAAGCGGTTGGCGATATCGAAAATGAAGTTGCACCATCCGCAGCGTCGACCTTGGCTGCGGCAGGAAACGGTTGGTAAAGTCGTACAAGCCCCGGTACGGCACGTTGGGAATCTTAGCTCGTCATGACTCATGCCACATGCCGCACGTCTAAAACATGCGTACTGTGTGGAAAACGTGCAACGATAACCTTTGATGGACGTCAGTCACTCTTTTGATCATCCTCGCCCATGCCGTCCCGGACGACGGTGCAATAATGCGGGTCTTGGGCAGGTACCAACGCGCCTTTCCGTTGCAACAATAGCCGTCAATAACCGGCCTTGGTCGCTACATTCACAAGATACAACCGATATTTCTACTGCATATCGCATGATAGAATGCGCAGACAATGGAGAGATGGCATGAGAGGCTGCACAGCCTCGCTCACAGCCTACCTCGCCGAAGCAAATCTTCCTTGCCAATCAGGTTCCCCCTTGGCAAGCTCACCGACAACTCAGTCGGCCACTCTGCCTGCTATATGCCTGTTGCAACTGACCTTTGTTAAGTGCTGAAGAGAATTGCGATACCGGATGGCGCTGATCGAGACTTTGATTTGTAGCCTCAAACGGGCATACACCACTATCGCCATTGACACGTCAGCACCTGCAACACGACGCTTAAGAGGCTAAGCAAGGCTGATCGCAGAGCTTAGTCTTAATTCCAAGCGCCGGAGTCCAAAAGCTGATTCCTGCATATGGTAGTGGTATGATGCTGCGAGTGAGATTGATGTGAGTGGTCCCCGCAACTTTACAAAACGCCACAATCTTACGCGCCCATATGTTAAGCAAGCCCAATATTCGAGTAAAGCCTTGCCAGCACAACAAGGCAGATACATTAAATGTCTATCATTGTATTTGGCGCGCAACCAAGGCCGACGTTAATCAGATCTTGCGGTATATGAGAGTTGCATGCTACACGAGCCAGCCAAGTAGACCTCGACAAGCACCTCAGCATTCTTTTTTTTTGAAAAAAAAAAAAAAAAAAACGTTCCTCGAATCTCCCCAGGTTCAGCATTGCGTCCATCTGCTACTTCAACAAATTTCTCTCCAAAGGATTCGAAGTCTCAGGCATGATCAGCGCTCGCCGTCATGTCCGATCCACTGTCCATCTCGGCGAGTGTTGCGGGCCTTGCTATGCTCGCCGAGTCAGTCATCAAACAGACCGTCTCCATCATTCAAACATGTCGTGAGGCTAGCTCTCAGCTGCAAGAGCTTCGCTACAGCGTGGCTATCTTCTACGGATATCTCGGAAGCCTCAGGCTGATGTTAGATAACCAACATGAAGAGCCTGCTCCCGCCTCAATATTTGCTTGCAATCGCACCCTCGACAAGATCAAGAGCATCCTTGACGAATTCGACACGGATTCCGAAGGCGTACCCTCCACATCCTCTGCACTACCAGAGAAACATGGGCGCTGGCGGGATGCAAAGCAGAAAGCTCAATGGGTTTTCAAGAAAGACAAGGTGGAAAGCATTCTTGCTGAGCTTGAGAAACACAAATCCGTCTTATCACTCGCTCTTTCAAAGAAGTCTTTCTCTTCGATCATCGAGGTGTTACGAAAGCAAGATGAAGCCCTTGGACAGATGAATGAGATTAGAAAGCAGCAGAGCCAAATTCGACAACAGCAGATACAGGACAGTGAGAGACAACTCAGCAGAGAGAGGCGTGAGATGTTGAGCGCTGTCTCTCAAACGCGACCGGAAGGTTGCTTCAAGAAGCACTTCTCTCTGCACCAGGATGGTACTGGCGTCTGGCTGTTAGAGAGTCCGGACTTTGAGAGATTCATGAGCACTCCAAAATCGAAGATTTGGCTCTATGGGATTCCGGGCGCAGGAAAGTCTGTCTTGAGCGCCACCATGATCAACCATATCAGGGCTCAGCGTACTGAGCACGTTGCCTTGGCATTTTTCTTCTGCGAGTACTTCAATACGGCTACACAAACCTGTCGCAACATCTTCGGATCCATCGCGAAACAATTAGCTCTTCAAAATCCCAGAGCACTCGAAACTTTGGAAGAATTCTTTAACGACCAAACAGATCTTGGTCATTTGGACTTCAACCCAGAGGATTGTGAATTCATCGATCTCATAGAGAAGATGTCCACCAACTTTAACAGCACAATCATTGTCATCGATGGAATTGACGAATGCCAAGAAAATCGAGCTGCAGTCGTGGAAAGCCTTGCGCAGCTAAACCGAGATGGTATTGGATCAATCAAAACCATATTCGCAAGCAGAAAGGAGCCAGATATTGAAGAACGTCTCAATTCATTCACTAGTCTCCCTATCGCAGCTTCCAAAGCCGACGTGAGACTTTATGTTGCTGCACAGCTCGAGTCGAGATTTCGCAGAATGTGCGAAAAGGATCCAGCATTGAGCGACCAGATCCTTACTGTCTTGGTTGACAAATCTGAGGGCATGTAAGTTACAATCAGGGCAGTCGTAGTTGATTAATCTTCTACTTACACCTCTCTTCAGGTTTCAATGGGTGCGGTGCCAAATTGATTGCCTTGAGAACCTCGCTTCAAACAAGCAGCGGAGAAAAGCTCTGGAAGACCTCCCACGCGACCTTCATGGAACCTACGAACGAATCCTTCTCAGAGCTATCAAGTCATCTGAGCATGCGACTATAGCGTTCGTGGAAAGAACTCTTCGATGGATAGCCTTGGCTACGGAACCCCTTTCCGTTTCCCAGATTGCCCACGCCATATCTGTGGAAGTGGAAGAGCGCTCGTTCGATGACTCGCTGGATATGCGCACCATCCTCGCATTATGCAGTAGTCTAGTGCGAGAGGTGGATGGAACATTGGTCTTCAGCCATTTTTCCGTGAAAGAATACCTAATGCAGATCAGCCCAGAGCAAGGACAGATTGCAAGATTTCGAATTAGCGACTCAGACCACAGCCTCCTTGCACAGACATGTTTGGCCTACCTTCTTCTTGATGACTTCAATAAGCAAGGGTGGGTGTCCCGGGCTGATCTCAGGCCAGCCGATGACGAACGCAACGACTGTGACTGGATAATCGACCCTTACTCACGGTATCCATTCTACCCTTATGCAGCATTTAAATGGATACATCATGCAAAATCCTGCAGCAGAGATGATGCTATATCGACTTTGGAGCAGGATTTGTTCAATCCCATGAAAACTGGCCAGTTCCTGTTTTGGGCCCATCTGTCGCTAGTGGATATCCTCCGTTTCACAACAAACATGATAAATCTTTCCTCGCAGATGTATGACGTCACTCCACTACATCTTGCTTGCATTTTCGGTCTCACTCACCTGGTGGATATGCTTCTTTGCAATGGTGCAAAGGCAGATGTAACCAGCGAAGTCCTTGGATCCCCTTTACGATGCGCCGTCGATAAGCGGTATTTTGATCAACACTGGATACCCTCCGACGAAGATCGATATAAGACCGTCCGTCGGCTTCTTAGCGAGCCAATTAGTAAAGACCAGAGCCAAGATGATCCTCTTGCTGATGCTTTGGGTTGGGGAGACGAGGAGATGGCGAGTATCTTGCTAGAACACGGGTTCATTCTCACAAGATCTGCCGTGGCCAAGTGGAAGTCCAAAGCAGCACCCGAGTTTCTTTTGAGAGCTGATCTGAAAGACTTGACTGTGGATGTTGAGGTTTCTTTAAGAATGAAGTTTGGAGATCTTGATTTTCTACGCTCCTCGCGATCCGCCCAAGATGGCGCACATCGAACCGGACCTCTACCGTTCCACTTCATTAAGAACTACAAGGAAACCATTAGAGAAGCTTGCGCTTACGGCCGCTTCGAAAATGTCAAGAACTTTGTTCCTTGTCTGAAAGCCACTCTTACCGGGGACGGATTGCCAAATTTTCTATCTCAATGCCTGGTTGAGGCTGCTGCCCATGGTCATTCGGACGTAGTTCAGTACCTCGTGGAAGCAAACGCGGACCCAGCTTTTCGGAGACGTTCAGATGGACGTACAGCACTTCATGAGGCATCGAAGGGATGCCATGCCGATGTCGTGAGGAAACTGTTAGAGATGAGCGACGACAAGACAGCTATCTCTGAAATACAAGACAATGATGGGCTCACCCCATGGATGTGCGCGATTAAGGCCGGCTCCATTGAGACCCTGGAACTCTTTCTTACTGGCCCTTTGACAGTCAATCTTCAGAAAACTGCAAGCAATGGTCAGACAGTCGCGCATCTTGCAGCACGAACATGCAACGAGCAAATGGTCTCGTATCTAAAGGAAAGAAGTCTCGATTTCACTTGCACTGATGATTTTGGTGCGGCTCCAATCCATGCCTTGCTAGAGCCACATTGCAATTCGCTTTTCAGCATTAATAATTTCGAATCCTTCAGACAGATATTTCGATCCCTGCAGTGGAGCGACATGCTCAGCGGTCAAACTCAGTCCGGACAGACTCTTGTGCATCTTATACCTCAATTAGAGCCATCCGCCGGATGCCTTCTTTGGCAGGATATTCGAGACAATCAGATCTTCAATGACACCCGACGCCATGCTCTTACCATAAGAGACTCGGAAGGAAACACTCCAATGCATGTCCTTGTGCAGAGGATGGCTTTATACTTGAAGAACAATGTACCTGAAGAAGAATGGTTTGAAAGCTTTTCAGAATTCATCCAGTTGCTGTCAACTGAAAGTGGTGGTGAATCTGAGCCACTGCATATGAAGAACAAAAGCGGACGTACGCCGTTCATGGAGCTTATACAGTTCCTCAAGGATATCATAGTCCCACCAACCAAAAAGCGAGCCTTTTCATACCATATCCTCAGAATATCCAGGAGCTTGAGAGGTGTCAGACAAGGCAGTCGCTTCCTCGATGAGGCTGATAATGACAAGTGCACAGCTCTTCATTACATCGCAAAATGCAGAACCAACTTTCCATTCAAGGAAATGACGGACTTTGTTCTCGAAAGGCCGATTGATGTTACCGCGAAGGACTACTTAGGCCATTCTGCACTTACATATGCGGCATGGGATGACCAGGAGAACGTTGAGTTCATGCGTTTGTTGATCCCCCGTATGAGCTTGCCTCAATTGGAGGAAGTCTACCGTGATGAAAAATCAATCCTTCACTACATCTGCGAAAGAAACAAAGTAGGCATCCAGGATCTCATCAAAGACTATCTTCTTCAACAAATAGCGGAATGCGAGAAGAAATGCTCGAGGGGTCGCATTCCGCTGATGTACGCACCGGCTATCATAACGGATGATGCTATCGCCTCAAGTCTTATCCACTTTTCTGGGAAGACTATGAAAATTTGCGACAACGACGGACAAGATCTCATGTACTGGTCATGTGAGCTTGGGTCGATCGCGATGCTTTCAGCTTTGCTAGATGCTGGGGCAAACATTGATGACCCTCTCGGGCCGGGAGATGAAACGGGCGCATCAAGGGACCCACCACTTTTGATCGCAGCATCTTCGGGACAGCTCGATACTGTGGAATTCCTCCTAGGGAAAGGAGCGGACCCCTTCGTGAAGGGAGAAGGGTGCTGGCAATTACACCATTGTGCTTTCATCTTAAATGGGAATGGACTTCGCACCAAATTGAAAAATTGGACTGGATTCGACTACCAGGCCAAAGCAGTCCGATTGGATTATTTCCGGGGAGAAACGACCGTTTACGGTGCTTTTGAGGGATGTACTCCCTTACATATTGCCGCAGCACATGGGGACGAGCAAGGTTTGCAGTGGCTTTTGGACGAGGGGATGGTCAGCGACGCCAGCGCTGAGACCCAGAACGGGTCCAGCCCTTTGATACTTGCTGCTTTCTTTGGACATCCCAGAATGTGCAAAAAGCTCATTGAGCTCGGAAACCCCATTTCAAAGGCAAATCACGACGGCTGCACAGCTCTGCACCTCGCCTGCCAGGATGGATACCTGGAGATTTGCAAGCTACTCATCGCTACGGATAACAGCTGTGTGTTTCAGAATCTCGGAAAACAGACACCGTTGGAGATTGCAGCAGGTAATGGCAACATTAAAATCGTTGAGCTACTTCTGGAAAATGATGCTCAGGTCACGGTTGGAGCAGAGATTAGTGCTCGGAAGGCCGGTTCCCATGATATCGCGGAGCTTCTTCGATGCAAACTGTCTACTGGCAACGAAACCTCTACCGGAAATACGATTGCCGAGCTCTATAGCGTGCGACTGAAGGCCGCGTGCGAAGACTCGAGCGAGTCCACACTCATGGAGGTTTTACAGAAGGACATCAATCCAAACATCCGCCTATCGTACAAGTACCGGACTCCATTGCACTTTGCATGCCGGGAAGGCTGGAAAGAAGCGGTCGAGCTGCTGGTGGAAAAGAACGCCAACATTGAAGCCCTAGACGAAGAGGGGTGCAGTCCTCTCATGGTTGCTGTCAAGCTTGGAAATTTGGAATGTGCAGAGCTGCTTTCTCAGAAAGGCGCCCAGATCACGACCAGGGACAAATGTGGTTATACGACCCTCCATTGGGCGGCAGGACAAAACCATTTCGCCATTCTGTCATACCTTTTGGAGGAAGGCATCAAAGCAAACGTCCAAACGTATCACGGGTACACGCCCCTTCACCTTGTGTCAGATCCTGAATGTGTAGATCGTCTGCTTGAACATGGCGCAGATCCTTTCATTGTAGGACCTGCGGACCAGACTGTGGCATGGCGATTTTGCCCCTTCAAGGATGCAGCAGAACTCTTGAAAAGAACTTTTGCCAACCGGCCGACAGAGAAAGTTAAGCAGAGTATCGAGACATTGGATCCTTGGGGAAAGTCGACTCCGCTTTACCTGGCTGCATTTCTAGGCAACTCAAACGCTGTATCGACTCTCATCGAATATGGTGCGAATGTGAACGGCCGCTGCGGGCCTCTTGGTGCCCCGCTCCACGCAGCATTGAGACAAGGTCATGTAGAGATTGCCACCATACTACTAGAAATGGGCGCGCGGCCTTATCGAGTTGTCCGAGATGGCGAAGAAAATGCGGGTTGGTTCTGGGAATATGGGTATGAATTTTGTCTGCAGGGCCAGAATGGAGTTTGGGTGTCTCGTTCTTTGTAAGTTCATTCGGCGTCTGTATCTTTCTCAGTATTTAAATCTTTTCTTGTCCAATTGACCTCCCAAGCGGTACGGTAGTAAATTGATGTGCTGCTGCGTCCCCTGTACTGCTAAGCCGTGATTTCTTGGCAGTTTGCACCACTCCTATCATACCATCTAAGGATAGGGTGGGGAGACCTTTCTTGGGCTCGGTTTTCTAGCAAATGAGTGATACTCCGATGTTCGGCACAGCGGAGACAGTGGGTCCCGGGAGAAAAATAAAACGTGCTTGGATTCGAAAAGGTACAACCATCACTCTGCCTTTCTCGCAATAGATGCGCTATCCGTATGGGATACAGATACTGTAGGCTGCGATGGTAGACGCTCGCAAGCGGGACTTGAGGCAACACGCCCGGCGATTAGGCGGGCAAAGAATAGATAAGCAGGGCTCAACCTAGAAGGTCGACGAGAGCATGTTATCTATACGGCGAGGCCCTACTTTTCAGATGTAGAAGGTGGACTGTTTTTTATACTTGGCGCGATGATCAAACAAGCCATGTGGGGATATTGTAGGTAAAGGGACCGAGTGCTCCGATCCACGGTCGGTTAACCAAAGGCCGTGAACTTTGGCTATTGACTCTTCCACGTCGCCACCCAAAATTGCAGCCTCATGCGGTAAGCAGAATGTCTCAGGGCAGAGCGTTCTTCCCCGTAGTATAGCAGCAGGTTCGGGGCGGAGATTGATGAAGCTCGGGGGTAAAGAAAGCAGCGGAGTATCTCCGAGTCAGTTCGCGCGGCCGGCGTGTTAAAGTATCCCCGACCACTGCCGCGCACTCTCTCCGACACGCGCTCAACCAACCAGCTGCGGGGCATCTCCCTGCGTCCGGCTGGCGAATAGCGCATAACTCTAACCACGCGGCCTACATCTAGAGGCAGCGGATAGGTCCACGGCAATCTATGCAGCTCGCAGCGCGATTCGACGAGCCCTGCGAGAGATGGAAGCACGGCCGAGACCGGCTGCTCCCGTTACGAACTGCTGCGAGTGACGCACACTACCCGGCGGGGGCGGGGCGGTGGCGCCCCTTGCACTCTACCCCACGCCGACGACGCTGCCATTGAAGGCCATCCCGACCCAGCTTGCCGTGTGTGTGAAGGCCCAGCTCCGCCATCGCAGACGAAGAATGCATTCCACATCTATATCAGTCCGCGTCGCCCGCCCCTTCGACGATGACCGCCATTGACCTCCTCCTCCCCGCTGCAACAACACCATGGACGCCAACAAAGAATTGCGCGTCGCCATCGTCGGCTCAGGTGCGCCATCCCCAACACCACACTCCCACATGCCACAACTAACACATCCTCCACCCCCCAGGCATGGGCGGCCTAACCTGCGCCCTCGCCCTCGCCCGCAAAGGCTTCAAGCACATCTCCGTCTACGAAATCGCGACCAACCTCGGCTTCGTCGGCGCCGGGATCCAGCTCGCGCCCAACATGGCGCGCATCCTCGACCGGCTGGGCGTGTGGAAGGACATCGAGGCCGAGGCCGTCGACCTGAAGGAGACCAGCATCCGGCAAGGGTCGACGGACGGCGAGCTGGCGCACGTCGACCTCAACTACATCCGCGACACGTACGGCTACCCGCACATGGTCGGCCACCGCGCCTCCCTCGCGGGGTCGCTGTATGAAGGCTGCAAGCGCGAGAAGGCCATCACGTTCCACTTCGGGACCGTCGTCAAGGAGGTGCTGTCGTGGGGCCCGAAGCCGCGGCTGGCGGCGCAGAAACGCAGCAAGGAGGGAGAGGGTGAAGGCGAGACATTCGAGATCACGGCCGACCTCGTCCTCGCCGCTGACGGCGTCAAGAGCGTGATCCGCGACCAAATGCTGCGCGAACTCCGCATCGACGCGTCCATCGTCGACACCGGCCAAGCGGCCTACCGCATCATGCTCACGCGCGACGAGATGAAGCACGACCCGGAGCTCCTCGCGCTGATCGACAAATCCGCCGTCACGCGCTGGATCGGCGAGAAGCGCCACATCATCGCGTACCCGGTGTCTTCCAAAAACATCTACAACCTCTCCACCGTCCAGCCCGACAAGAACTTCGCCGACGCCCCTTCCATCACCTACACCACCAAGGGCTCGAAAGCCGAGATGCTCCGCGTCTTCGGCGACTTCTGCCCCATGATCGTCCGCATGCTCGACCTCGTGCCCGAGGGCGAGGTCTGCGAGTGGAAGCTGCGCGTCCACGCCCCCATCCCGACGTGGGTGCACGGCAGCGTCGCGCTGGTCGGCGACGCCTGCCACCCGACGCTGCCGCATCTGGCGCAGGGCGCGGCGCAGGCGATCGAGGACGCGGCTGTGCTGAGCGAGGTGCTGGCGAGGATACCGGCGCAGGATCCGGACACGATTAATCGGACGCTGCAGGTGTATCAGAAGCTCAGGAAGGAGCGCGCGGAGACGCTGGTAGAGCTGGCGGCGGCGTCGGGGCGCGCGTTGCATCTTGGAGAGGGCGCGGCGAAGGAGGAGCGTGACAAGCAGTTTGCGGCGCTGAAGGAGAAGAAGGGCGGGGCGGTGCCGGATAAGTGGGCGGATGCGGATGTGCAGAAGAAGATTTATGGGCATGATTGTATGGAGGTTGCGGCTGAGGAGTATGAGGGGTTGTTGAGGGGGGTGGTGGCGCAGAATGGGGTGGTGGCGGCGGCGTGAGTGGGGAGAAGGGATTGTGCATATGGTGTACGTTTTTGATATATACCGCGGTGAATAGACTTGGCTTCTTTACAGACTTGCATATGTTCTGTGCACTACCTGACAGTCCCCGCTAACTCATATGAACTGATATCTGCAGACAGAAATCACTTTAAGAGATCAATCCACCTCCCTCCTCCTCAACCTCACCACCAAACCCCCTACCAAATCCGCAATCCCAAAACTCGTCATCGGCGGCATCCCGCCACCCTTCCCCCCCTCCTCCCCACTCACCAACTCCACCCGATACCTCGCCAACACTGACACCGCCACCTTATTAATCTCCACGCTCGCCAAATTCCTCCCTATACACGCCCTATGCCCCGCTCCAAACGGCATCAGCAACTTCATCCTCTCTGCGACCGCCGTCCCACCAACACCGTCACCACCACTGCCGCCCAACCACCTCTCCGGCACAAACCTTTCCAACTCCCCACCAAACACCGCCGGATCATGATGCAACGCATGATTCGTCACACTCACATCCGTCCCACCCGGCACCCGCGCCCCCGCTACAACCGTCCCCGCACCACCCGGAACGACGCGCATCAGCGGCATCGTGAAGACCGGGTTGATGCGCAGCGTCTCGGTCACAGCAGCAGCAAGGTACTTCGCCTTTGCGGCCGTCGTCGCGGCGTACGGCACACTTCCATCCCCGCCGCCCCTATCGAGCGATGCTACCTCGTCCTCGAGCTTGGCCAGCGTCTGCGGATTGTGCAGCAGGTGCCAGAACAGCAGCGTGATGGTGGCGGCGGTGGTGTGTGAGCCGGCGATGATGAAGCCGAAGGCTTCGGTTTGGATGTCGACGACGTCGATGCCCGCGGCGTCGTCACCGCTTTCGTACGAGGCGATGAGTTTGGCGAGGAGGTCGCGCCGGGACGGGTCTGGGTGGGCGAGGCGGTGGGTTATGCGGTCGATTGCGAGCTATGATGCATGTCGTTAGTGATGGGTGGAGGGGGGAGGGAGGAGGGAGAATGGGCCCCTACCTGGCGGAGCTTCATGCGGCCTTTGATCGTGGCTTGCAGCGCGGGGATGGGGATGTACGGCAGGTATTTGTTAACCAGCGGGACGATGGCGGGGAATTGGCCGGTGAGCATGGCGAGGAAGACCTGTGGAGAGACGTATCGTCAGCATCTATCGAGGCAGGGGAGCGGGTTGGTCGGGTCTGACATGTTCCTTAAGCGGGGGCAGTGCCTCCGTCTGCCCCCGTTCCAGCATGTCGAAGGAGCGCGAGAAGGCGAGTTCGCCGAGGACGTCGATGACGAAGAAGGAGATCCAGGCTTTGAGGTCGATGGGCTCGCCGGTGGCGGCGGCGGCGTCGAGGCGTGCGAGGAGCTTTGCAAGGCAGCTGTCGATGTACGGCTCCATCTGCGTTACGGATTGCAGGGAGAAGCCCGGGGTGAGGGCTTTCTTCCGGGCGGCGTGGATGTTCTCGTCTCGCGTGCCGAAGATGTTGGGGCGGAGGGCTGTGAAGGCATCGTAGAAGGAGCTTTGCGGAGGTCAGCTTCTGGAACGGCGATGTGTAGATGTGGAGGCGTACCTCTTCACGAATGACTTTCCCGTCAGGTAGATGTCTTTGACGGCGGCGGCATCGCTGATGTCTAGGTGGTTGGGCCCAATGCGCACGATCTTTCCATGCTCTTGATGAAGCTTCAAGATTGCATACTCGAGATCTCCTTGATAGACATGGTATGCCTTCCAGACGTTGCTCAGGGAAGCCAACAGAGGTCCGGGGTACCTTGACAGTGGGTGCAGGAAGCGCTGATAGATGACGTAGGCGCATATGACACCGAAAAGGATAATTTCAAGCATGGTTGCAATATTCTATTGAAGAGTATGATAGCACGATATCTTGCGTGTCTGTGAAGAAGACTCGCTGCAGAGATGTCGTGGATATTGAGCCTGAGACCAATTCCGAGGCCTCCGCCAACCCCGCATTGCTCTGCACAGAATGAAACCTCGCACTGACGTATTAACCGGTAGGGATCTGCTTCGTCTGATCCGCAAATTCCGGGTCGGCACATGTTCTAACAGCCGAAACTCAAAATAAGCTTAATCAACATAGTATCATGCGCCACCCATACTCCTAGCAATCACCCCCAAGCCGCATCGGATCTACCGGAGTCCCATTAGCCGATTTCACCAGTAACCACAACGCCTGGACACCACACCTTAGCACAAAAAAAAACCTCGAATGTATTTACATATCTACAGATAGGTATAGAGCAATCACCACCACCGCCACCTCCCCCAATCCAACTCCCCATCCCTAAACCACGTCTTCCCACCACCTCCCTCTCCAGCGCCCTCAGCCACAAGACTCTCCCACGTCCTCTCCAACCCCACCTCCAACCCACCCCGCGCCGTCACCCTCGCCCCGCTCAACCCCACTACCCCGGACACTTTCCCTGTATGCGCCACTTCCTGCCGCCCGCACCCCACTCCCGCTGCATCGTCCGGCACCCACACGCGCGGCGCGCCGCTGACCATGGCGGGCGAGGCGTACGCGTCGGCGAAGAAGCGTTGGAGGCGTTTATACTCTGCGTCCGCTTCGTCCTCCTTCGCTGCGTCTGGGTCGTCGGTGGTGGCGGCGGCTGCGTCGTTACTACCGTCGTTGCCGCTGCCGTCGGGCTCTGCGGTCGCGGCCGGGGACGGCGGCCAGGCAGAAGGCCCGCGCCCCGAGACGTCAGGCATCTCGCCCGTCTGCGACATCAACAGCGTCTTCAGCCTGCCGTAGTCATCATACACCTCCGGATGCAGAAACCCGAGCACCTTATGCTTAACCTGCTCGACGACGCTCAACTGCGGTCCGCCGAGGGCAGGCGGCAGCGGCGGCGGCGGCGGCGAGATGAGGGTGGCGAGGAGGGAGGACGCGGCTTGGGCGGTGGCGAGGGCGTCGCGGGCGGTTTTTTCGGCGGTTGAAGGCTTCGGCTTTTCCGGGGGTGGTTGTTGGTCTGGGTCGAGGGGGGAGGATGAGGGGGGGTTGCCTGGGTCCTCCGGGGGGTTCGATGAGAAGTGCACGCGGGCGATGAGCTTGAGGAGGTCGAGGGTTGTGGCGGCGAGGCCTTCGGCGCCTTCGAGGGCGCGGGCGTTGTTGGGGTTGTTCTTCTTGCGGCGGCGGCGGCGGGCGGGGAGGGAGTCGGAGTCGGAGTCCGAGTCGGAGGAGTAGGAGTCGGCTTCTTCGTCTTTCGAAGTTGGTGTTTTCTTCGGCAAGGGGGACGAGCGGGACCGCGTGCCGTTCGAGACGTGGATCGTCTCCGGCTCTTCTTCCTGTATCGGTTCGTCGTCGAACGGCGGGTTCGCGCTCGGCGGCTCGAACGGCGGATAGTCGAACGGCAGGTCGCCAAAGCCCGGGTGGAGCAGGGACTGCGAGTCCTCTGCCTTCCCGTCGTCGTTGGCAGCCGCATCCCCAGTCTTTCCATTCGACGACAGCGTGCGCGGCAGGTTGTCGAGCAGCGGGCCGACGGCCTCGTTGAGCGAGATGTGGATGACGGCCGTGGTGGTGATGCTGATGAACATCATGACGACGGGGCCAAAGGTGAGGCGCAGGGCAAACAAGCCCAGCAAACACACCTCAGCGAGATACAGGCCCGTCAGCAGCTGCTTGAGGGCCAGGATGTACGACAGGCCGCGCGTGTCGATCTCGGACGAATACACATAAAGCAGGTTGTACTTGAAGACGGCGTGCATGATGGAGCAGCCCAGCGCCGTGAAGCCCAGGATCAGCGGCGCGATGACCGAGTAGCTGATGGCGATGACGCCCAGGTTGATGAAGACGGGCATGATGCCGCCCCAGTGCACCGGCCGCATCCGGTGCCAGCGCCTGTACATGATCTTGGGGTTGCGGCCGAAGCGCTGGGCGATGTAGTATTTGAAGATGGCCGAGAGGTGGACGATGTCGCTTGCCCCCTTGCCGAGACATTGGATGATCATGTAGGAGAGATAGAAGTTGGACGCCTTCGGGAGACAGGTGGCCAGCAGGCTGCGAGCTGACATTGGGTCGTTGATGATGGATGTTATGGACGCCGAGGCCGAGGACGTGAAGGTCGTGACGAGGAAGACTTGGAGGACTTGGAATCCGAAATAGGCGCGCTGAGTGAACATTTCGACGTGGGTGAGGGATGGTACACCTGCCACTCTTGCAAGCACTGCAGCATACGTTAGCATCGCTGTGATAATCCAAGATCGTCCGCCTTACCTCTCAGAATGCCCGGGACAATAGCCATCAGCATAGACAGAGCAAATGCAGGCAGCAGTCCCGTCAAAAAGCCGAGAAGCGTCTCGGGAAGCAATTCGATCCAGCTCAGGAACGGAATGCTCTCAGCCAGAAAACTGATATTACTCGTCATCCCCACAAACGCACAAGGAATCGACCAGAACACCGTCATCAGCGCCGTCGCCGTCATGATTCCCGTCCGCCTTATAATCCTCTCCCACCACCGCATTCTTAGCGAGAACCAGATAATCTCGTAGGGCCGCACACCGATGTACCGCTGCGACATGTGCGACGGCCGGTGGTGCGCGAGCGACTGGTACGCGATCTGCGCCTCGTTCTGCGACGTGAACTCGACGAAGGCCGCGGGCATCGGACTGCCCACGTCGCCCCGGTTCACCCGCTTCCGCACCTTCGCGATCTCCTTGCCCAGCTTCTTCAGCCGCTTACGCGTCCACCGGATCGTGTCGACGCGCCGCCCGTAATTCGCCAGTGGCCGGTGCCACGGCCGGTCTTCCTGCGGGATCCACTGCGCTGCGATGGAGCCGGGGACGTCGAAGGGCGGTCCGTCTGGGCCGAACTTCACTGGCTCCACGCCGCCGCTGGCGGTATGGTGGTCGTCGTCTTTCTTCTCATCCCCGCTCTCGGTGCTGGCGCTGGTCGTCGTCGCCGTGTGCACGCGCTCGCGCTCTACCGAGCCGTTCTCGAGGTCGATGTTGCTGCTGTCCGGCCTTGGGACCGCGATGTCGGGGTGGCCGCCGTTCTTCGCGACGATGCGGCGGTAGGCCAGGTTCGTCTTCCGCACGAGCTCGAGTTCTGCATCTTGCAGGCGTGACGCCGTCTGGTCTCGCTCACGCACCAGCCGCTCCAGCTCCCACGACGTCTTGGGGATCCACACGGTCTTGACGGCGTCGCCGAAGACCTTGCGCAGCTTGGCCTCGTCCAGCAGCGGCTCGGGCACGCAGGTGAAGAGCACGGTGCGCGACGACAGGCGGTCGGCGTAGAAGGGGCTGAGGAGGTATGCCTGCCGCAGGTTGATGGCGTAGATGCATTCGCGGCAGACGGTGTACAGGACGAAGCCTGATGAAGGTTAGCGGAAGGTTGTCAGGAGTAGTACAAGGGGGAAGGGGGGGACAAAGAGGAGAGAATTGACTCACCGAAGAACAGCCAGGCCACGACGCCGTGGGCGAAGAACCAGCCCTTGTGGTCGTCGTTAACGTTGCCAAACGTCAGGCGGTCCAGCTGCTCGCCGGCCCCGCCCCCGCAGATGTGCAACGGCAGCAGGATCGGCCACGTCAGGCAGCACCCGCAAAGGCAGATGTTGCGGACCACTCTGAGGAACCGCAGGAACAGGAACCCGTCGACCGACGAGTGGTTGAGCACGTAGGCATCGGGAAGCTGCCAAAAGGCCTTGAACCAGGTGAACCACGTGCCGGGCAGGGAGGGCGTGCGCTCGCTTGGGGAATTGTTAGTTTTTGTAGCATTGAAACACAGACCGGGGAGGGACCGGCGAATGGGGATATTGACGCACTAAGGGTGCAGGCTCGAGAGAAAGGTGCGCGGCGCATAAACTCGCGGGCACTTGCGGCGCAGGACCAGGAAAATGGCCAGGCACACGCCGACGTAAATGGAGACGGGAATCAACGTCGTGAACAGCGCCGAGATGGAGGCCGAGTTGGAGCCAGAGCTGATGCCCGTGATGGTGGCCGACGACGAGTTGTCGAGCGAGCTGCCGATTCGGGGGTCATCTTCCTGGTTCTGGTTTGGAGTTGTCAGCCTTGTTCGTTTCGTTTCATCAATGCCACACCGGATCCTTACCACCGGATCACTCCGAGCAAATAATAGTACACCTGCGCCATCCATGGGAGCGTCGCACGCATTGGGTCCACAGGCTGTTTGCCGCTGGGAAGGCGGGAGCAAAATAGAGCTGATGAGGCTGTTTAACGGGATGTGTGGATGCTGCGGAGCGGAGGGGGACAGGAGAGACGATAAGCCATTCCCGCCTTGCCGAGATTTTGCGCCCCAGAATTGCGCCTTCCAATCACGAAATGCGTGGGCTGAGCGCCCGATCGGCGAGCGCTGATGATTCGGAGCTGCCGCGCCCTATCCGCAATTTTGGCTGCACCTTGACGATTCAGTTCCCATTCCACGAACCGCCCCGTGGCGTTGGACCCATCCCGCCTTGGGCATCGGCCGCTGCCCGCCGAAGTGGCGATCCAGAGCAAACTGCGCCACACCACCGTTTGCTGTCTCCCTGTCTGCAGCTGTTCTTGAAACGCCTCAGCTTGTCGGAGGAGTCTCCGGGTGGCTCATTGCCAGGGAGGAAGAAATCTTCACCCCTCCATGCGTCTCCGCGGCAAGGAGCGGTATTCCTCTTTGCTTTTTTCCGCTCTCCTTGGCGCCTCTTTAGCGATATATTGAATCATGGCAGATCCCTTCTGCGACCAGCAAATGCTAACCACGTGGAAAGGATCCTCCGCCTCGCTCCGCCCGTCCAAGAGATCTGCAAGGACCCGCTTGATGGTTTTAGCGAACGCGGAAAGAGCATGTCCACGCGTTGTACGTACGGGCCCCTTCTGCCGGAGCTGCCAGAGATTTTCTGCGCGCCGTTGCAACGTTGCGAAAAAAGGGCGCTTGCGTACGTCATTTTAGGGGCTTCTTTAGTGGACGTGCAAGGACGCGGCGCGTTGAAGACTCCACGTGTGATGTGTTCGAGGCTGTTCGAGACGTGGAACGACACCTGGTGGGGTAGGGCTTCGGCCTGCTGACTTCAGCCTCGAGTGAGAAATTTCTCACGCACACAACTCGTGGTCCCATTCAATCGGTTCGACACGACCAGGCTCTCCCTTCTGCCGGCGGCTGATCCGCCTTCAATTCCGACCCTGCGGAGCGCCAATTGCTGCTGTCTCACTTCAGCTGAACTCGAAAGCCTCTGAGCAACTGTTGCCCCGTGCAGCGCTAGCAACAATGGATCCGCAGGCTCTACCTCGGCTGCCGATCCCCAAACCACTGCATCTCTGTCCGGATCCGCCGACGACAGCATGCAGCCGAGTGCACACCCAATTTACCAAGGCTGAGGCAGCAAGGCCAAGAAACATGGCAGCGAACAATTGACGAGATCGGGACATGTTGCAAGGGCCGCGAAGCCGTCTATCATTGATGAGAGGATAATTGGCCTCAAGCTACCCTTTTTCCAGAATTTTTCCATCACCCCTGTGCCGCGCCGCGCCCAGCAAAACCCGAGACTTCGGATTGCGGCTGAATAGACACGCACACCCCGACACTTCGGCGCTGACCGAGAAAGCAAGGATTGCAACGACTCCTCCTCCTCACTGACTCAGTAATCCAGCTCCGCACCGCCAGCCAGGAAGTCGAACTTGCCCAGCGGCACCCCTTTCATCCTGCACAGCCCGTACGCCATCGAGTTGTGGAAATAGAAGTTCGGGATGCCGATCTGCTGGATATACTTGACGCCGTCCGTGAACTTGAACTCGAAGCCCACGCCCTCTTGGCCTACTCCCGTCACTCCGTCAGCCAGCCCTTCTGCTGTCTCCTCATCCACCCTCCCCTCTGTCTCCCCCTCCCCCTCCCCTTCCCTCCTCCCCCCCACCCACGCGGGACTTTCACACGTACCTGACGTCCAAAACCGAAACGCCCTTTTCTCCTGGCCGTCCACGTCCGCCTTGGTGAGGCCCTCCAGCCACGCGATGTCCTTCTGCAGGCACGCCCGCAGGCCCGCCAGGCTGCTCTCGTCGGCCAGCGCCGTCGCCGACGGTATCCACGCCCAGTCGGCCGTCAGCGCCGTGTTGCGCGCTGTGATGCTGGCGACGCGGACTTGGAAGACGAAGTCGTTCATGTCCGGGGACAGCCGCGCGTGCAGGATTTCGGACTCGGGTTTGTTGTTTTCTTTGCACCATGTCTCGGCCTAATAAATGGGGGTTGGTGGGGTTAGAGAAGGGAGGGTGGTTGATGGGGGCTTGGCGCTGACGATGAACCGCTTCTTTTAAAAAAAAAAAAAAAAGCAAAAAGAACAGAGATATAGAGAGGGAAGTGTTGGCAAGGATGTGATCAGGCAACAGGATATCGGCCACGTACCTTCTGAAGCAAAGCATGCGTGTTCTTCAGGCCCCGGATCAGGAGCGGGACGGTGGTGTCGTACAACGAGTAGGCCATGGTGTTGTTTTTTTGGTGTTGATGCGGTGGTGGTGGGGTAGGAGGCTTGGGGGATTCAATGTGCTACACACAACTCGCGGAATAGAGCCACTGATATAGGTTGCTGTGACTCAAAAGTCTCCGCGCGGTTCCCCACATGTGCGGTCATTCCCCCCGCACCATGGGAATAAGGCGGCCTGGAAAAAGCGATGCCGCTTTAACGGATGTGTCATCATGAATGATATCCTGGCGGTGTGAGATTTCATCCGATGCGCCGATTGCTAAGAACTGCGGGCATTACGAGAAATAGGGCACATTTGTGGGTTCTACAGACACAGCATATGCCGTATATATCCTCGGAGTAGGAGGTAGCAATCCCGTTTTGGGGACAGTTGCGAGCTGTAGTGGGCCGCCTACTTTGGACGGCGGATTTAGCGGCGTTACTTGCTTATGGCCGCCTTAATGCGGCAACTCGGATCTACTTACTGGCCAATACTTAATGTCTCAGACGTGCATGATCGACAAATTAAACGATGTGTTAAGATCCAAAAGCGATGCTGCTTACATGCATGGTATTTGCAACACGATGAACACTAATAAAATCTCCGTGCGCACCGGTCACCGTCGGTTATCTACGCACGATATGGCGCAAATAACGGTGTTCTGAGGGAGCGATTCAAGGTCTTGGAGGAAAAGTGAGTGGTCCGGACAGCGTCATCGTTGGTGACGCGGATGAGCTTTCGCATCGATGACGGGAATCGGACTAAACGAGTGCACGGTCAAGCGGAAAGGAGGAGGTTCCGAAAAAGTTTCCAAAGTCCGTAGTGTGCCCAAATCTAATCGTAAAGTTTGCTCGGAATATGGAACCGAAGTGTTTTCAAGGCCGGCGTCCTCCGCCGCTATCTCCCCTCCAACCTGCCTTAGATTCAGCACTTTCCTGATCTAGTAATTTGCCAAGCGTTATCACTCGTCAGTATCAAACCAATTAATGGTATCGTATTTCGCGACCAATCGATAAGCTCGGATAAGCATACAGGGAGGCTAAAGAGGATGCTCTTGATGCTAGCGTGGATGATGATGTCGAGGAGGAAGATGAACTTGCTCTGATTAAGAAACTATACAGCGAATCTCTACCCGCGGTAAGACGTGTGACAAGATATAGATAGCGAAACCAGCAAACTAAAACCTAGAAAACCACACAAGGACTGCAATTAATAGTTCGGTAAACCACCAAACCCAACTCTTTTTTCGTAGAAAACCCCAAACCCAACCATCGCCGGCAAAACCCAACTATTGTCGGCTAAACCCAACTTCTTCACCAAAATACCATCTTTCAACCGCAGCAGCACTTTAACGAAATTAAAATCTAAGTACTTTCTTACTACTATAGTGATAGCTAAGCCCATAGATATCTATCATAATGTTTTGTAAAAGAGAGGTTAACCTGCACGGTCTAAGAGGTAGGTTTGGTCAGGGATAGTTGGGTTTAGGGTTTTCTACGAAAAAAGAGTTTGATTTAATAATTTACCCACAATAGTTTTGGCTCTTGGTGAAGCCACTCTCTCATAAAGACTTGGCCCATACCTAAGCGTCGAGCGACTCTAGTGTCCTTGCACCGATTGATCAACATTACGTTCATTGCTGCCGACTGTAAACACATTCGCAAAGCTGTGCCGATATGTACAGCCGCTACCTCTCGTGAAGATGGACTAAACAGGGGGCCAATCCTAATGCGATTCACCGTTGTAAGTATGCTCAACGAGGCCAAGAGCCAAGAACTCAAACTGCGCATCCTCGAATTCGCCAGTCCGTTGGCTTACTATATCGGCTGCGAATGTTGAAAGCCATATGCCACCGATACGTCTTTCATCAGATGACTGAATTCGGAACATTCACCGACCGTCAGGAAAATGGTATCGAAGCTCCTCAAGGCCGAGAAAGGCGAACTGTGTGAACAATAGGGCACTTCTGACACTGGAATGCACTCTTCGCTTGTCCTCGTGCTCGAATACACGAAGTAAAGCCGGACTTGGGCCATCACTGCTTTTTCGTCCACCGCTTCGTCTTGAACGTCGTCTGTTTGTAATACTGCGCTCTCCTTTGTAATACCTTTTTGACGACGGACCGTAGAGCGTCTATACACCCATTTTAAGTGGATTTCCCCTTCCTTGGAGTTTTCCTCCCTCTTAAGAGAAGTTAGAATTGCCCACAATGCTAGCGGTGTGATGCTCACGAGGGTCAAGGGACAATAATGAGCACAATAGGTATTCAGAACGAATAGCTGAAGAGGAGATTCATCTGAAGGATCGATTCTCTTATATATGTGAATCTAAACTATGTAACGTGGCTTGTACTAGTGAAGTAGCTCTTAACAGGGTCTTATTGGGGTTAATAGCTGGTCTGTGAGTCGTACCGAGTGTTGGTGAGCTAGTATGAGGTGAACCGTTACAAGCGGACTCCCTACTTCTAATCCAGTCATGCTTCCGTACGCCTTGTTGAATTTGGCACCGTCAATTTCTGAACTCTGTGGTCAGCTTGGAAACACATGTTCGCCTTCTAAAAACCTGGGTGGGAGTGTCCAATTGACGGGATTCCGTTGAATCCATCCGCTAAAGCCTACGCTTAGTGAATTGTCATTTCCCCAGGTTGGCGCTCCGAAGTAGCCGTTGTCCTGGTACCTTAGATTCATCACCCCAGCGAAAGCTGGCAAGATGCCATTAGGTTTCGAGGGTCTTATTTTGCAGTATCCTTCGACCGAGTCCAGGACGTCCAGACTTCACCCCATCATTGATGAGAAGGTATACACCATGATCAGCAAAGTGGAGGGGATTTATGGAACAATGCACTTCTTAGAGAGTCCAGCGTCTTGTGACACAGAGAGGATTTTGATGATTTGCGTTAAGGATGGAGAGGGTTAGACGAGGAAGGAATTTTGTCATTTCAGCATGGCAAGTTGTTCTTGTCGTGCTTGTGACACTATGTCTAGGCCTATTTGACCGCTCTCCGACGAAAGTATCAAGATGGTCAGATCTGGCGAAGAGAATTATAAGCGTCTGATACAGTTGGTGGACTGCTGCTTGTTGGTTACCCAGAAACCTACCTTGCTTTGGCCTTTTATTGCAAAAAGAGCCTTAAAATGCACATTGCGATCTCATTCGTTGCAGGCTTCCTGCCGCCTAAGGGTATTGCATGTTTCAGCCTTGTGATGCGGTGCTGACTAGTAATTTTTTCTTTTCGAATGCACAGCCTAAAACTTTTGCGGGGACAATCGGTGGGGGAAAATCTGGGTGGCAGGATGACTCTAAGCCGTTGCGGCTATCGTAGAAGTTGTTATAGGGGTACATACATAACCAATTTTTGCTCACTAAATGGGGGGTTGAGGAGATGTGGTATAGACGAGTGTGGGGGTAATGACGATGAGTTACCAGTGACATTTGACAGAGAATCTAAAGGGAAGGGGGTGGGGCCAACTAAAAATTCTTGGGGGACGCCCTCTGTGGGTATGGGGGTATATACGAGAGTGGGGGTGTACTACGGTAACTTTCTAGGGCAATGCCTTTTCTAAGAGGACTAGACTCTGCATCTCCAACGGCTTCTTTAGAAGAAACTGAGGCTGAGATATGTGCGGTATACGTCTCGTCAATCTTTCTCAACAAATAGTTCCCAGTCGCTTATTGGAATCGGGCAGATCTGATTTCGCTAAGCAGCTGCCGAGTATTGAAAGGCAAGGCCCCAATTATATCGCGATCGCTGCTGTAAGCGCCCACTAGCCTCCCTGCGCGCCGTAGTAAAAAATTCGAAAATCATCGTAATGAGCTGTGTGGAGACCCTTTCTGCACAGTATTTTTTGACCGAAAAAGCCGTGCCACTCGGCTCGAGATCACCACGTTACACACCCACATTGGCCTGACAACGCACATTAGGCAGCAACCGCGGTTAAGGCTAAGCGATAAAGCTGCATCCCGCCAACCCCGCGTCTACACATCTATGCCACAGATTCAAGCGCCGGCTGGCCTACAGTCCAGCTGCCGCTGCTGCCTGGCTATACATTGGCATACTCAGCCCTCAACACTCGACCTTCGGCCCTCCGAACAACCAACCCGTCCTCCTCCACCTTCAGCCTCGCCTGACCTTTCAGCCTCGTCGATTCCGCAAGCCTCCACCGATGACTATTCCTAGCTAGTTTGGGAGTTCTTTCCGCCAGATTCTACGCACAAAGAGATAGACGGGCTTTGGATATTCGACACCGTTCAAAGTGTGGCAATATGACGGCTGTGCAGCAACAACAACCACTGCAGCAGTTCATCCTTCGCCAGCTGCTTCAGTCACATTGTCCCACACCTGGACTATGGCAGGCATATCTAAGTGTACATGAGCGTGTAGGCACGGTCTTGAGCATGTAAGGTGCCATATCGCTCCGCTGCAACCGTGCAGCGACTGACGCGGCTACCAGACATTCCGCAATTACGCTTGCCCAGCCATATACACCAGACCAACAGGCCTTATCTATGGCGTTCCTGAATGAAAATGGCTGCTTCGTCGGAGGACACAGTAAGGTAGGCCAGCGCGTCTTCGCTTTACTAAACAGAATGTGGTTCTAACTATTCCAACAGGAAGATTATTTCAGGGCTATCAACGAACATCTACGATATTACCACAGCATGGTTCGACAAAACACTCACCCGTTGCAATCGACAGCCATATACAACGGCAACAACGCTGCAAACTTACAAGCGAGCGTGATGCCACACCCCCAAGGTCAATATGCCTTCCAGCAGCCGCTACATCTTCAACCACAACAACACATGCCGCCGTTTTCGCTGTCGACTCCTCAAGCCCCATCATCAACGGGAATGTGGAACTCTAGCTTTCAGCCCCAGATTCCGCAACATAACATACCTCGGCAAATGCAAAGCTCGCCTCCACAGTTTGGCTTTGGGGAACAACAGAGCCCGCATACCACGGTGCAAGCACCACAGCAGTGTCTGACTCCGGAATGGGAGACCCGGACTGGACCCTACAGCACGCAATTCTCGCAGATGCAAATAACGCCGCCGGTGGGAAATTTGCAAATGTGGCAGGGTGATGTTCTGGGGTCCGTCCAGGAAGAACAAGGTTTGATATCTGTGAACAACAATCACATCAATCCAACTCCTCCCCCATCCGCAATGGCATCCGAATCAACGCAACCCCCCTCTCGCGGTCCAGAACCACGGCCGTTCCAGCATCCAGCATCTCTTGCCGCCGAGGAATGGAAGCGGCAGAAGCTTGAAGAGGACGCTGACAACAAGGCAATCGACGAGCTGATGAAGCTTGTGGGTCTCGAAAAGGTCAAAGAGCAGGTCCTCGTCATCAGGGACAAGGTCGAGGTCTACAAGAAGCAGAGGGCGGATATAAAAAAGGAGCGGTTCAACGTCATCTTCCAGGGTAACCCCGGATCAGGTCAGCCCTGTTTCTCTCTCTCTCCCTCGCGCGATTTTTTTTCTATCCACCAAAATACTTGAAATGCACCGGCCGGTGGGCTCATATTTTGCAATGTAATTAGGGAAAACCACCGTTGCCCGCCTGTACGCCAAGTTCCTCGAGTCAATCGACGTCTTAGATTCCGACTACGTCGAGGAGACGTCTGGGAGCAAATTAGCAGCCGCAGGAGTGTCAGGTGCACAGCGAATCCTGAACGAAATAACAGAGGACAACGACGGCGGCGTTCTCTTCATCGACGAGGCCTACCAGCTCGTCGCTCCGCACGTGTGCAGCGCGGGACGCCAAGTGCTCGATCTCATCCTCACAGAAATGGAGAACAACATAGGGAAGCTGGTCGTCATCTTCGTCGGCTACGCCAAGGACATGGAAAAGCTGTTCGAGCATAACCCGGGTCTGCCAAGCCGCGTCCCATACACACTGCACTTCGAGGACTTTAGTGATGAGGAGCTCTGGCGCGTGCTGTGTGACAGCATTGATAAAAAGTACAACGGGAAGATGAAGGTCGAGGATACTATGGATGGGCTCTACATGCGCGTCGCCATCCGTCGTCTCGGTCAAGGTCGGTGTAGTAGGGGCTTCGGTAACGCCCGCGCGGTCGAGAACCTGCTGGCTCAGATGGCGGGGCGTCAAGCGAAGCGCTTGAAGACACAAGAGAGGAGTGGTGGTGGCAGTCCGGATCACTTCTTTCTGGCGAAGGAGGACCTTCTCGGACCAGATCCCACCAGTTTCCAGAGCGCGGCTTGGACGCGGCTGCAAGAATTGATCGGGCTGGACTCGGTCAAGCAGTCGGTCCGCAACATGATCTCCATGGTCGACCAGAACTACCGGCGCGAAATGGCGGAGATCAAGCCCCTCCAGGTGTCGTTGAATCAGGTGTTTGTCGGATCACCAGGGACGGGTAAGACGACGGTGGCGAAACTGTACGGACAGATCCTAGCCGACCTCGGTCTCCTCAGCAAGGGCGACGGTGAGAAACAGCCCTGTCTTCTTTCTAAAACGCGGGGCTAATCATCATATGCAACAGTTGTGCTCAAGAATCCCTCCGATTTCATCGGAGACTGCGTTGGCAAATCGGAGGCCAATACACGCGGCATCCTCGCCGCTACGGCCGGCAAGGTGCTCATCATCGACGAGGCGTACATGCTAGACGGCGGCGGCGGCGGCGGCGGCGGCACGGGCGACGGCTCGGCGCACCACCACCAGGACTCATTCAAGACGGGTGTCATCGACACACTCGTGGCCGAGGTCCAGGGCACGCTCGGCGAGGACCGCTGCATCATCCTGGCCGGCTACGAGGACAAGATGCAAGCCATGTTCCGCAACTGCAACCCGGGTCTCGCTCGGCGCTTCCCCATCGAGAGCGCCTTCCGCTTCGAAGACTTCAACACGGACCAGCTGATGCAGGTGCTGGAGCTGAAGATGCGCGAGCAAGACATGCGAGCCACGGAAGGTGGACTCGGCGCCGCGCGCGACGTGCTGGGCCGCACGCTGATGCGGCCGTCCTTCTCCAACGGCGGAGAAGTCGAGCGCTGTCTGGCGGCGGCCAAAGCCAACTATCAGGCACGCCAGGCGAAGAGGCCGGCGGCCGAGCGCGAATTCGACACGCTGCTCGAGGCAGAGGACTTCGATCCCGACCACGGGAGGATGGCGGCAGATGGCTGCTGCTGCAGGAAGATGCTGGAGGGGCTCGTGGACGACTCCATCATCGACAAGCTCGACGAGGTCCAGCAGCTCTGGCATGCGGCAAAACAACGCAACCGCGACCCCCGCGCGCTCGTGTCGACCCGATTCGTCTTCAAGGGCGGGCCGGGCACCGGCAAGTCCACCGCCGCCAACACCATCGGCCGCATGTTCCACGCCCTCGGCCTCCTCGCCACCACGGACGTCATCTCGTGCTCCCCCGCCGACCTGATTGGGCAATACGTCGGCCAAACCGCCCCCAAAACCCGCGCGCAGCTCTCCAAAGCGCTGGGGAAAGTCCTCGTCGTCGACGACGCGCACAACCTACACAACAACACCAGCAGCACCTTCGCCACTGAAGCCCTCAACGAACTTGTCGCCTTCCTAGCCAACCCGCAGCATGCTGACCGCCTCGTCGTCGTGCTGGCTGGGCACACGGCCGGGATGAACGCGCTGATGGCGTCGGCGCCGGCGTTGGCGGCGCACTTTCAGGAGGAGCTTGTCTTTGAGGATTTGGCGCCGAGGACTTGCGTCAAGCTGTTGGGGCGCGAGCTTGGGCGGTTGGGTGTCCTGTCCGGACATGGCAACGACGGCGACGGCAGCGGCGAGGACGCTGCGCTGCCGCCGCCGCCGCCGCCGTTCCTGTCCGACCCGCAGGACCAGGGCTACAGGGCGCTGGAGGATGTTTTTGCGGAGCTGAGCCGCCTCCCCTCGTGGAGTAACGCTCGCGATGTCCGCGCGCTGGCGACGAGGGTTGCTCGTGCTCAGATGGTCGCTGCTGCTGCTGGTCGGAGCGATGGCGAAGGGCGGCGGCTGGACGAGGTCGTGGAGAGGTGTGCGAGGGAGATGCTGGGGACGCAGAGGGAGCGGTGCGGGGGCGGCGGCCGCGGCCGTGGTGTTGGTGTGCTGGTTCGGCGTCGTCCTCTCCGGCGGCAGCAGCAGCAGCAGCAGGAAGAAGAGCAGCCACTGGTGAAGGCTGAGATGGCTGAAGCGCCACCGCTGCTGCCGCCGCCACCTGTTCAGACGGCGGTGACGCAGGCTGTGGATGAAAGAACGGCGGCGGAGGAGGAGGATGCGAGGGCGGGGGAGGATGGGGAGGCTGAGGTGGACGAGGATGGGGATGAGGATGAGCGGTCGGTCGAGGATACGCAGGCGCTGCTGCGGCGGATTGGGCGATGCGAGGCTGGGTTCGCGTGGAGGAAGGAGGGGAGCGGGTGGCGGTGCGAGGGTGGGTCGCATTTTGTTACTAATGAGCAGCTAAATGCTTATACTTAGCTGAAAATATGAGACCGCTGCACCAAGTTAATAAGGCAGTGCTGCTGCGCATGAATGAGACACACATTCTGGCTGGGGTGGTCACCAAGCTAATGATCGTCACAATGACGACAATAAAGACGATGAATACGTTCTGACTAGGGAGAGTAAAAGACGCAGATAGGCAAAAGAAGTTCATGGATACTGTCCTGCATACGATTTGACAAGTACGAGATCTTTCTTTCATCGACAGCTCTCTTATACGCACTTCAATAAGGAACTTTCGCCAATAGCTAAAAAAGCAGGCTCTTAAGCACCGGATGATCCCAGACAGTGTACACAGCATCCATATGAACGGATCTATACATATTCCACTGACCTGACCCGCTGGATATTCTGTCCTCATATCATCGATGAGCCTCTACTCCCATCTCATACGCCTCTGGCCTCCCATTCAATTCTAGAATATGAGTATCCGTGCCCATTTCCACCACGCCCGGAGCCTTTGTAACCCGGTGAGCCGGCACGTCTGCAGCAGGCCGCCTGCGCCAACGCAACAGCAAAACCGTCACCACCGCCACTGCTACGATGCCGGCTGCCGCCGCGCCTACTGCAATCCCAGCCTTTGCACCTACAGACAACTCGGAAGGCGATGACGCGGATACTGTTGGCGAGGCTGAACGCAAGCTTGTTGCAGCGGCACTAGTCCGGGTTGTGGCCATAGTATCAGATGTACGAGACGCGATCGAGGAGGATGAAGTGGTGGTTCTTGATGCAGGCGTGGATGACGATGCTAAGGAGGAGGACGACGACGACGATGAAGAATTTGCCTTGATGAAGAATCCACGGCTGCTTAACTTGCCGTCGACGAAACCGACAGGATACGACGACAACCCGGATATACCGCTGGACAGCCGCAGCGCGAACTTCGAGCTCCTCTCTATTTCAGCTGCGTCGATGTTGTCTCCTTCTCCAACGGTCCATTGGTACTCTCCAGTGTTTGGTTGTTCAGCTAATCAACGTCAACCAACGTTAGCATTGTCAGGGTGAACTTGAATGAGTTACTGACTTAAAAGGACTCCGATGACTATTTCATCCTCCATGTCCCAGTGTGTCACGCGGAGGTTAATGTTTGTCAGCGCAGTGGTCCATGTTATGGTGACATTTTCTCCGATTGTGAACGTTTGGGAGAGGTCGTTCTTTTCATTTGATGGGTTGGTGAATTGATCTGCCAATACGCTGTAGGGGATATGTGGGAGCACTAGGAGTAGGAGTTGACAATATATGATTAAATTCGGCATGATGATCAACCTCAGTGCTTCTCTATGCGAGGCTAACAGAGACTGAGTGTGTACACTTCGACTTCAGGGTGGCTCACTGAGGGAACTAATAGAAAGACAAACAGATGGTTGATCCACAAAGCGTGAAAGTAGAATTTGATTTATCTATCAGAGGCCCTACGGTCGGTGTGTTGGGGACGTTACTCCATTCAGCTGCACACCGACACCATTCAGTTTGTTAGGTTGCACAGCACCACGCGGCTGCAAATCAACTCCTATATCCTTCTAGTTTTCCGTTGATAAGAGCATTGACAGTGTTTATTTTTGTGTTGCGTTGGATGGAACGCGGAGAAATTGCTCGGAACATTGCGGTTCTTTCCTTTATTGGTAAGATTTCCGGACGCTAGGATCGTCAAGTTGCTCGATATAGCATTCAGCTGTCTACCGTAGAGATTGGCGTTTAGCCCCCACTCATCTATGCACCTGACCTATCGGAAAGGATTCCCGGCCTTGTTCCTTAATGTGTAGAAACCGAGTTCATAGTCGTCCGGAAGTGAGCACTATAGAGGAAAGGTCCACTTGAAAGAGGCACTTGGAAGAAAAACAAATATGAGACTCTGTTGCGACCCTGATCGGTGAGCATGAACAACATCATCCTAAGCATAGCACGTATACATGGGCGAAGAGGTAGGAAATGCAAGTCAAATTAATAAACAACAATCATGCGAATATTCCAATCCTCCCTCAGGGTATACTAAGCTCCCAACTACCGAAATTCAAGTCTCCTAAAAGAGAACCACCATGGACCAATCCCACCCCGCTTACACAACGTTTCCGCGCACCTGCTTGATGGACTTCACATTCAGGTTCCTCCACAGCGCCACGCTCGCCAGCGCACCACACAGAATGCACACAGACGTAATACACATGATGCGCTGCGAGTCGCCGTAAGCCCTGTTAATGCCATTCCGCTCGGGAGAGCCGACGGCATAGCTCGTCTGGACGGTGATGTCCGAGTAGATGGACGCAACGTCGGTGCCCTCAGGGGTGTACTTGACGAGGTTCTTGTAGAAGGTGCCCGTCCAGATGGCGGCCGCGATACTGCCACCAATGGCGGAACCAATGCTGCCGAACAGATCCAGCACGGCCATGATGACGGCGACGTGCTGGTGGTCGGACGGACTCAGCATGGCCATCTCGCCGCAGATGACGATGGGGCCGCCGGCAAACGCGACGAAGATCTGCGTCATGACGATGTACCCGATGCTCTGGCCGGCCTGGCGGAAGTGAATCATGAGGCCAACACCAAGCATCATGAGCGGGACGAGGAAGTACAGGGCCCACGGCTTGAAGCGGCCGGTGCGGTACACGAGGGCGGAGACGAGGATGGACGAGAAGCACGACAGCGTGCGGTAGATGTTGCTGATGTACGTCGTCTGCGCGACGCCCGTGCTCCACACGACCATCAGCATCGACGTGAAGTACGACCCCCACACCATCGAGTTCGCGAAGACGAACACGAACATCAATCCGCCGAAGAAGACGGTGCGGTCCGCCAGCAGCTTGAACGGGATGAAGGTGACGGGCGCGAGGTAGCGCTCCCACAGCACGAAGGCGCCGACCAGCACGCCGCCGACGACGATCATGGCGATGATCATGGGCGACCGCCAGCCGTCGGCCTGGTACGAGTACAGCGAGAAGGGCAGCAGGAACAGCGCCATGCCCGCTCCGAGGATCAGGATGCCGAACAGGTCGACGTCGATGATGAATTTCCACGCCTCTTTCAGCGTGATGTTGCGAACCTTGCCCTGCGGCGCGAGCACGCCGAGCTTCTCGGCCTTGTGCTGGTTCCACAGGAAGAGGAAGATGAGCGGGCCCAGCACGAACGGCGCCACGATGGCCCACAGGCCGATGCCCCAGCGCCAGCCGATGCCGCCCGTGGCGAGGACGCTGCTGGTGATGGGGCCGGCGGCCCAGGTGGTGAAGATGTACGGGCTGGTGGCGAAGGACAGCATGAGGGCTCGGCTCTTCAGGGTCGAGGTGTCGGCGATGTAGATGGTGAGCACGTAACTGACGCCCTGGGAGCTGTTGGGGACTGGGTTAGTGATTGCGCTGGGTTGAGATTTGCGAGTGGTGCTTTGCTTACCCGACGGAGTAGAAGGTGTAGGCGGCGGCGTAGGTGGTGACGTTGTTGCAGGCGGCCATCATGATGAAGCCGAGCATCCAGATCAGAAGCATCAGACCGAGGCCCTGCGGGCGACCCCAGGCGTCGAGGATCTTGGCCAGAGGGAGCTTGAACAGACCGGCAATGATGTTGGCCATGATGCTGGTTGCGGCCGTCAGGGAGTGCATTTGGAATGAACTGGTGACGAAGGGAGTGAAGACGCCGAGGGCGACCTCCTGGATCGAGGTGACGACATAGAAGAGCCAGATGCTGCTTGGTGGTTAGTGGACAGAAGTGCTGTCTGGCTGCGGGCAAGAAACTTACAAAAGATAGGCAATTGCGATGTGCAGCTTGCTCCAGACGGCCGTGACGGCCTCGACCTTCTGAACACCGGCCTGAGCATCCTTGTCGATCAGGTCGCTGATGTTGTCCTTCTCGAGAGCAGCGTCCTGCTGGGGCTCAAAAGTCTTGTCGTCGCCGGCTGGCCGAATCGGAGCGGGCTCCTCGACCGGCAAATCGGCCGTCTTTTTGGAGAAGAGACCCATGGCTATCGCGCGGGGGATCGGCAAGTCGACTGATCAGAGACCAGGTGGGAGACTGCAAGAACACCACAAGAGCGTCCTTCGAGCTGAGAGGGCAGTGATGGGCAGAGAGCGAAGAGCGGAGGTCAGATTTTCATTGCAGCTACATATATAGGCCTGAATGCAGGGCCAGGCGCGCCGCTGCCGGCAGAAGCTTGTGTGCCATCGTTCCACCCGAGATTTCTTGGCGCACTCTCGACCGCGAGCTCTGCCGGCGATGGCATACATATACGGACAGCATTGGCGCTGCATGCATCCCCTGGTTGGTCGCCGATTCGGCAGGAGCGAGGTCGGGTTCATGTGGTGGAGAAGCAGGCGCCACGGCAGAGATTTTATCTGATCTGCGCCCACTTTTATCAATCTTATCAATCAATCTATTGGTCGCCCGATCGCGAGGGGTAGCGATCCTTCGGCAAAGTCCATGCCCAGCCCGATGCCGACCGACACCTGCTCCTCCTTCGCGACCCGTTTCCCTTCTCTTCCTCATCGCCGCACGCCAATTCCATCGCCCACCGCGCTCGCCGTCTGCCCATCGAGCCATCGATCCATCTGGCCATCAACCGACCGACCGACTGTGCGACCACGCGTCGTCGCCACTGCCGCCTCATAGTTGCTGCGTTGTTTTGGAGACGCCGTGCTCGGAGGCTTGAAAGTTGCGCGGCGCGAGCTCCGGCTGCGCATAAGCCCGCTAGCTTCTACTAGACATATACATACTCCAATTGCGAGCTGTAACAGGTGTTGGTGGAAGACCAGGATTCTGTAGGGAATTCCTCCACATACGCGTCTCTGTGTTCTCTTTCGTGTCTCTAAGTTTCCGCTGGTGTTCTCGATGCGTGGGCTTGGAAGTAGACAATGCGGCTTGTGTAGCTTTCTTGGATTGTGATAAAGCGGCTTGGTTTAGCCTCCTCAAACGCTACTTCCACGAGTACAAAGTCCTTCAGGCCTCGGCTCCGCAGATATTTGGCTTGACGTACTAGAGTGGAACGACCATCGCATCCTGACGCTTCTCTCACATCGGCACGACGAGCATTGTCATGGCTCTGGCCAGGAACGACTCAGCCGGCACGAAAGTGGATGCATGCGACCTTTGTGATCATATGAGCATTCAGCAGATTACGGACCCGGATGAGTCAAGAGAACGTGCTGTGAAATCCATGCACACACCGTGCTCCGACTGCCTTTCGTTCGATGACAGAGATCAAAATCTTTGCTCAGTTTGTCAGCATTGGCGATTCCGGCATTTCTTCAACTGTGTGCCAGAGACACTGGATCGCTTTTTCAGCATTCGGAAAATGAGGGAATACAGGCTTTCCAAAGGATGTGCTTTCTGTGACATGATCCATCATGCATTGAAAATTGGGGCCAAATCCTGGGGAAAGGATCCAAGTCTAATTTCCGATCGTTATCCATTGCTGAGGTTCTTGTTTATCAATCATGGACAAATTGGCTACTCGCATCCCTCCGGCGATGGTTCGGTACACCTATACGATCCTGCGGATGTTCCCGATTGTGTTCGAACAGAAACCCAGTGGGGCCTCATCAATGACTGGCTGACGGAATGCACAAGAGAGCATGACATCTGTCATTGTCAATATTTCGAACAGCCAGTTGGAATGAGGCTCATCGATGTACAAAAGGAAAGATTGGTCAGGGCAAAAGAGAACTCTAGGTTCGTAGCCCTGAGCTACGTCTGGGGAAGCAATCCAAATCCCAACAGTCTCATATGCACGAGTCAAAACGTTGAGGATCTTGAACAAGATGGCGGAATAAGATCCGGCAGGCTACCCCGAACAATTGATGATGCTATCCGCATCTGCAAAATTCTTGGTGAAGACTATCTATGGGTGGACCGTCTTTGCATCATCCAGGACGACTCTTCTCAGAAGCATCAACAGATCGAGGCCATGGCAAGGATCTTTTCTTCCGCATCTCTTGTTATTGTTGTTCTAGACGGTGATATGGAGACCGGAATCCCAGGGGTACAACCCAGGACGTTTGAGATTCAGAAGCAAACTGAGGGAGCCGGTTTGGTCTACACGAACGAACTCCCGAGGTTTGACAGGCTTATCGATAACTCACACTGGAATACGCGCGGCTGGACTTATCAAGAGGCTATTCTTGCAAGACGCAGGCTCTATTTCAGCTGGGCTCAAGTCGTCTTTCAGTGTAATACCCATTTTCGAGAAGAAGACGCAGTCGCGCGACGGAACCGCCTCTTTTCTCCAGGAAAATCCTTGATGGATATGGAGTGGTCACTGAACACCTGGCAAGAGCACTTGTCGACATATACTGCTCGATCTCTGCGTTATCAGTCAGACATATACAACGCCATTGCAGGGATAGCAAACGCGCTTCTCCTCGAACCAACCAGTTGGCTCTACGGCTTACCAAGAAGAGACTTTGATGAAGCACTTTTATGGTTTAACGATCTTGGGCACGGGTATCGAATCTCTGACTCCGACAAAGTACTATTGCCAAGATGGTCCTGGTCTTCAGCCAAAGGACAGATAAAGCACCTGACCTTGCATGGTACTGAGGGCCAGTCTTGGGCTGACTTATATCAGCACACATTCGTCGGGACTATCGTAGCCTGGAACTACCAAGACGACGATTGCGGGTCTCGAAGATTTGTTCCAGTTCGAGACAGCAAATCCGTAGCTTACGTTGGGCCAAGGAACCACCGATCCTGCCTCGTTTACAGCAGAAAAGATCCATCGATACATCGAGACAATTGTATGACTTTCGCCAGTGAACGTACCTCGAGCTTGCAGAGGATGTACACATCAGTCTCGTGGGAAAGCTCACCAAGATTGCTCTGTTTTGGGATCGCTTGGAGTCAAGGGCTCTTCGACGCAGAATGGCCTTTCCCTGCTCTTGATGAGCGTACTTTCCAGGAGCTGGGAGCAGACCTCGAGAAAAAGTGGCAAGAGGTAGATTATCTCGAAAGAGATATCGTTCTCAGTCTCCCTCACGGACAACAAATCCCCATCCCAGAGATCGAAATGCCACTAGACCGAAGCACTCTAAAGGGTCGGGCCCAAACCTCTTTCTTTGCCTTGAAGGAGAACAGCACGGAGTCAAGATCCGCTGAATTTTTCACCATCATCGACTGTGATGCCAGGCCCGCAGGGCAGATCTATAAGACCAAAAAGGAGAAGGCGAACGCATCGATTCAATGTTCGGCGTCTTGCACGTACCAGCTCATTGCTTTGGCAATTGGACTTTTTCACAGTACTGATGACATTCAGAAGGTTCACGGCAACTTCCTCTCAGATGATCCAGTGGCAGGTCATTTGTGGGATAGTATTCTGCTGGACGAAAACGAGACTTTGCCTAAAACTGAATTTACTCAGGAGGAGATAAACGACTTCTGTGAGGCAGTAGGCCCAAATGGTCTGGATATATCATACCTCGACTCGGAAGGGAGTGCTTTGCGATTCATTCCAATTGTTCATGTCATGCTTGCGGAATGGGATGGTCCTGTGGCACGTCGGATCAGCATTGGATGGGTTTTCCTTACGAGGTGGGCCAAGTCTAACCCACAGTCCAAGACTGTGTATCTGGCTTAGTATTGTCAAACCACAAGCAAGCTTAGAGTTTGAAAATTAAAGCACTGAGCACCAAACAACAATTTCGACATTTCTAGTTCCTATTCGAGAGTTTTTAACTAGTTTTAATAGAAGAAAACAGAGGTGCTCAAAATGGCATCAGGAAAGCCCAAAGAGATTCATCTTCTCCCGTCCGCCCGAGCAGCTTGATCGTCGGACACACCCTCCTTCACATCTCTTAGATAGTCCTCGAATTCTCCGGCCACGCTGATCACATGTTCCAGATCTTCATAAGACATGACCTTTTTTCTGAACGCTGCCAACTGTCTTGCTGTAGTGATGGAATTTCTGATCTGTCGCCCATTCATCTTGTATTTTGCCAGCTGGTCAATGTTGTCACGGATATCATCGAGATCGATACTCTTCCCTTCGCCTATGTCTCTCAATCGGTTCAGAAAGTTGCGCCATATTTTTTTCCTTTGTGCTTCCGTCAGGTTCTTATAGTGCAACGCGAGTTGGATCCGGGACTTGAATGCTTCATCGAATGTGCCCACTCGATTCGAAGTCAAGATGAGGATACCGTCGTAATACTCCAAGACGCGTAGGAACATTGACACAAGAGCATTCCTCCCAATATCTGAGAGACTGCGCTCCTCAAGGAATACATCTGCTTCATCCAGTAGCACGATGCATCCCCAGATTTTGCCCAGGTGTAAAACAGCCTCCAGGTACTTTTCGGCCTGTTCAGGGTCGGTACTGATGTCGCTGCACGTCACCCGGTACAGCGGCTTTTCGGCGATCTCAGCGACTGTCTCAGCAGTGAATGTTTTCCCGGTACCTGGGCCGCCATGCAGAAGCATTATAAGCCCACGACCCTTGCCTCGAATAATGTCGGTCGCCTTTTCAGAGGCGATCTCCGTCCTGATTAAAGCCTCAATCAACTCCTTGGTTTTTTCACCGAGGACAAGGGCATCGAAAGCCTTTTTGTCCCAAGATACATCCCGGACCAAGTCGACATTGATGTCCACTACTTCGGATCAGCTTCTGTTTTAAAAACCTATTCCACTAGAATTTCAGGAACCAAAAACATACCCCATTTCTTGAGACGCATGTTGTAGCCCGCCATTTGGTGCTCAAATAAGTAAATCTCGTCGCCGACTGGCCCTGACTTCTTGATTACTTTTGACCTATCGGTCCGTTCCTGGACTTGCACAGATCTCCTCATGCTTCCCCCCATACGATCGGGATGAAGCTTAACGAAAGTATCATTGTCAATCATATGACGCTCTCCCTGGTCCATGTCAGCAATTTTGACTGATGGGTCAAGCTTGGAGAGCTTACTTCTCCCATGGCCAATCCATCTTCAAAGTACTCGACAAGCCTCGAAGTTCGACAAGCCCATCTCGTCTCACCTCTCTTGCGGAGGAGCTCCTGTATGCCCTCACGTGCATACCTCAACGGGTACACTGGGAGACTTCGGATTTCTACTTCTTCGTCTGGCGTTGAGGTCAGGAGGCGCACTTCAAGACTTGTATCTCGCTGGTGGAATTGCCCATCGTAGCCCCAGTACCAACAGGAGACAGCGCAAGTGGCCAAGAAGGCTTTTTTGGTACCATCACCGGGAAGGCTCATTTCGTACTTCGAAAGATCATCGGCGTCAACTTCCTTCGTTGTTTTCTGGGTGGTCCAGGACGTTGCCATGGCTCCTGCATATTGCCCGTGTTTCCAGTGCAACAAAACGTCATCTGGACGCACGAAGTAGTCCAGGAGCTTCAAAGATACGATGCCGTTTTCAAGCTTTTCGTCAACAACACGGTATTCCTCTCCGTACATGGCCCAAATCCGTTCGGTCAGGAGACTCATTAGTTCCTGCTGACGAGGACTCAGGTAATTCCTCATATCTTCATGTATCGTTCGTGCATAGTACCACGGCACGTAAGGCGCTGAAAGCTCCTGGGTAAGGTCGAAGCCTGGGAATTGCCGGAGGAAGTCCGGATGTAGTCTTAAATACTCCTTCACAGTCTCCACCATCTCGTCCGATGTCAGTTTGATGGTCTCACGTATGGGCTCTGGAGACCTGAGGACATCATCGCTAGGCTTGTCGTCATTAGAGTTCTGGCTTGTCTTGGTGGAGGAGAAGTCCTTGTAGATAACAAAGGCGATGTTGGTATTTTTCTCCAGGTATGCACTGACATTCTTCAGCGGTGACTGAGGTTTCAAACTCGGTGGGGCCCCCGGTTGAATATTCCACGAGGGTTCGGAAAGACAGACGTTGTCGTCAAGCCTGTAAAGTGTTTGGAACCTTGGTGTAGCTCGATTCTGCATGGCCGCTCGTTCGTCTATGTTTGTGGAATTTTTAGTCCTGAGGGAAGAGTTTTCAGCTTCAAGTAGTTCGATCTTCTGCATGAGGTTTCTGAGTAGTGATGGCTCTCCTGCTCCTGCCAATTCCAGTTCAGAACTTGTAGTGCTTGCATCAGGCATCTCGGTCTTGCCTGAAGGCGAATTTGACGTTGATCGGGAGATGTTCTCCGTTCGACGAAGCTTCTGTGAGTCCATCCTTATGTTATTCAGCAGATCGTCATATGACACTGTTGCCCAGTGACCATCGAGCTTGTCCAAGATCCTCTGGCGATCCCAGGATCCCTGGATATTCATCAGACTCGTTTATGCCAAAGTAACTCAGAAAAGACTTACGCTACCGGGTAGACTTATCGAGAAGTCTTCGCTCAAGCTGTGTTGAAAGTGCGGTATTTCCGGTATTGCGTTGTCAGAGTTCAACAGAGAGGCCAACAGCCCCGGATCGTGCAACTGTAATAGATCTAGATACACCTCAGAATATCCGCTCGCAGATGTCTGATCTCTGGATATTGTGAAATGTCTTCCGTACTCCCAGCGAGAGTGCTCTTCTGGGTCTGCAGGCTCATCCAAGGCTCCCTCCGGAGCGGTCTTTGAATCGACGTTGCTAGTAGCTTTTTGAGGTCCAAGACCGTCGGCCCAAATGACTTTAGCTTCTTCGTAGCTCTCTGCCTAGAGACCCTCGACAAGCTTCTGTAGTGAGATCGGAGGTTGTCTGCTGTGCTCCGTAAAATCAGTCACCTACTCTGAAAATGCCAGCCCAGAACTGTTCGATCTCACGGCATGGACAGAGAATAGTGCAAGTGGCCGAATCCGAAGAGTATGTGGTTGTGGATGTCTGCGTTATACGCACTATCTGTTGAACTTTGTATTAATAGTACGCGTGAGTGAGGTTGACAATGGACAAGGCTGGCTTCGCTAATTGTGGATGACTGAAAACCCCGCACTTCGTGTAACCATGCTTATCATTACCACTTTGCGAACTTATCAGCCTCGCTGACGTGTTCCACAACCCCTCAAGCCTGAATGCCGTGTTCTTGGGGATTCCTCCAGACACGGCAGAGCTGAAAGAAACCGCCAAACCATGGCTGGAACTCCACTGAAAGAATCTATCAGTAGGTGGTTTGAACCTGATCCACTAGACAGGTCAGTTCAAGCCAACTTAGTTTGGACCCATTGCTTACACTCAGTGTTCGGGTAATAGCTGTATCGATCCAGCTCGAGAGGCTTTTGAGAACGCCATCGGGATCTTTGCCAGTAAACTCAGCGATGATGAACAGAAAAAACATACTGCGCATGCTGCATCTAGCATGGAAAACGTGCAAAAGACCGTTCGGGATGTGCATGCGGAGTATCAAGATCCAAAAACGAATTCAAAAATCAGAAACGGACTCCGGAGTTTCACCAGCGTCCTACATCACTACAGCAACATCATGGATGTCCTAGTTCAACACCATCCAGAATACGTATCCCTTGCTTGGGGCGCGATGAAGTTTCTGTTTGTCGTATGTCTTCCTCGAACGTCGAATGTGCAGTTCAACTGAGGTTAGCAGACTTTCCAGAACCATGAGGCAACACTCACAGTTGTGACGACCGGACTGTACACGATTGGGAATCAGCTACCCCGAGTACAGCTTTCTGCTATTCTTTATCCTACAGCACGTATGAAGCGTGCGATAGCAGAGCTCTACGCCTACATCATGAAGTTCCTCATCCGTGCCAAGACTTGGTGTCAGGAAAGCAAATTGAAGCATGCTTGGCATGCTTTTTCACGACCCCCTGAGCTACGATATGGAGATCTACTTAAAGAAATCGAAATCAGGTCAAAGATTGTCTCGGACCTTTCTGTGGCTGGTAACCAGGCTGAACAGAGGGTCATGCATACCAAGATAGATATCGAGAACGAGCGGATCATTGCACTTCAGAACGAGCTCAGTGATGTCAAAGCCATTCTCTTATGTAAGTACTGCACTACTATAAATGTGGTCCTCTAACTGATAGCTCCACTCGCTAGCATTTCAAACCATGGCATCGGGAGCGTTTCTGGACACCAACGAACGACTGACAGATCTTCAACTATCAAATGTTTTGGAAGTCGTGTCCGACGTTCCCTTGACAGAACCGTCAAAGGCTTTCAGATGGTGCCTTACAATGCAAAAACGACGTTTGCAAAAAGGCGGCTCTGCACCAGCCAATTACTCTTGGCTAACCAACGATCTCCAGCAGTGGTCGAACTTCCCAGCCTGCTCGCTTATCATCATTCGAGGGGGGTTCCGCTCGCGATTTCAGGTGAAGGATATCGCCACAGACCTGGTACAGCTCCTACAAGAAGCGGGGCTTCCCGTCCTATGGGCACTGAAGACAATAGACGAGGATCCAGACAACCCTAATCAGCCAAGCGTCATCGATCTGCTGAAATACCTTGTTTCTCAGGCTCTCCGGCTGCCTCAGACGCACCCAACAGAGTCTGTCGTGAGCAATACCTGTGCGAAATTCAAAAGGGCCGCCACAGAGTCCGAATGGATCTCGATACTTGCTTCTTCCCTTGCTGGTATACCTGAAGTATTCATCGTGTTCGACGTTGAAGTTCTCAATTTTTCCAACGCGGGAATTGAAGCAGACTTTTGGCCATCAGCGTTTAATCGGATGTTTGATGAGCTCGCGAGCCGAAGCTGCAAAACACGACTTCGGGTGTTTCTGGTCAGTTACGGTTCTGCGGTCACTGGAGTTGATTCGGTGGGAAACATATCCCGGAATTGGACCGGAACTGTGCGGGCACCAATTGAAAGCCAACGAAGGGGTCGGAGAGCCAGAGCAAGACCCGGAAAGGCTGGTAACAAGCTTTCTGCACGGAGCTGTCGTATAAATGTTTCACGGTCGGATGAGTGATCTTTAGTCTTTCTAGCCCGGTTCTAATTGTCAAATGTACATTCTCATTGCGAAACATTCTTATTATGTCGTCTGTCAAATACCAAAGGTGCCTACATTCCGCCATCGGCGCAACACCCTGATGTACCGCTTATTCAGCTATCTGAACTCGTCTATACTTTGAATTTTCATATTCATTCCCATCATCAAGAATCCAACGCAAAGCACCTCTCACTGCTCTCCTCCCTATTCCCCCACCAATACGGCATCGTGACAATCTTCCCCGCGCCGAAGAACAAGAAAATCAACAACATATTAAAATTGAACCCCGCATCGAACGCTGCCGCGAGGATGTAGTTCCACCGCGCCCACAAATCATACCGCCGACGGTAAGCCCAGAACATGACGACGAAGCCGCCAAGGAAGCTGCTGGTGTATCCGGTACTAATGTTGCCGTAGAAATGCGCCATCGTCGAGAAGAAAATAGTCGTGTTCCAAAGGTTAAACCTGAGGCGCGGGAAGGCGCGGTGCAAGCCGTAAATAATGCACGGAGCCAGAACGCCGACGAGGAAGCCATAGGGTAGCACGCGGTAAATGTGCTGCTCGAAGAGGCGGCGGGGGCCGATCAGGACGTACTGCACGCCCATGGTCAAGTTTGACGTCAAGCTCTGCGCGGTCCACTGGTGCGACGGGTCCTCCAGCTTGCCGGTCAGGTAATCAAACTTCGTATCGAGCACCCAGCGCACGACCGCATAATTCACCGGGATGCCCAAAAACGAGCCGAAGACCTGCGTGAAGAACACCGTCTTCGGCGGGATGTGCATGTAATGCCCGATCTTCATATCCTGCAGGTTATACTGCGCGCGGTACCACGCATTCCCCGCAATACTCCCGTAGACCGACGCGCCAGTCGGGTTCTTGAAGCCCGATATCGAATTCACCATCAGCCCGTACAACAGCTCATTCACCGTCCCGATCGGCAGCTGGAAATTCGACAGCGCGTACAGCCACCCCAGCGGCACGACGAGGATCGCGCCCGTGCCGATAGCCACGAAGTACGTCCAGACGGGGATGAACAGCTGGCCGCAGGCGACGATGGTGACGAGCGACACGAACGACGCGGCGAACAGCGCGGCGAACCACCAGAACGGGACTTCGTCGTAGGCGCGCTGCAGCACGCTGAGCTGGTCGTCGTATTGCTCCTGGATGCGCGCGCCGCGCCGCGTCGTGCGCTCGCGCACCTTCGCGAAGGTAGCGCGCAACTGGTCCCAGCCGAAGAGCAGCATCCAGACGATGGCGGACGTGTAGGCGGCGTAGTCGAAGAACATGTTCCAGAGCACTTGCGTGCTGACGAAGGGCGGGCCCAGCTCTGCGTAGGCGGTTTCGTTGAAGGAGACTTGGGGCGTGAGCAGGCTTGTTGTGGGGTAGGAGGTTCCGTTTTCTGGGGGGGTTGGTTAGCTGTGTGTGATGCGGAGGCCACCGCCAAAACGGCCAAAAAAAAAAGTGCATACCGAGGAAGAGACGGTTGGACATCAGGTTATGGTGCCACTGGCCCAATCCTCCGAACTTGGCCGCGGGGAGCAGGATCCAGCAGCTGCAGGCGAAGGCGGCGAACATGACGACCTGGGTCCACCACGGCGTGAGGAACAGGTTGTAGTTGGTCGAGATGTTGCTCCAGTCCAGCGAGAGGTTCAAGAAGCCCATGCCGCCGAAGCCCGCCCCGACGAAGTTGGCGACGGCGTTGTTCGGCGCCACCCAGCACAGGAAGGCCAGGGAGCCGAGCATGGGGAACACGAACTCGGGCAGAAACTGCCAGAGAATAACGGCTAGAAGCACCAGGAAGAAGACCTTGGACTGCTTGCGGGACAGCGCGGTGGGGTTCTCGCGCTGCTGCTTCTGCGTCTCGAAGAGGGCCGTCTGGCAGAGTCTACGCATCATCGTCAGCGTTAATTCCGCAGACGCTAGAACTACTACAGAAAGGCAAGCAACTCACGCCGTGAACCATGGGAACTGCGGGTCGTAGATAAGAAATTGCCGAGCAATAGCCGCAAAGGAGTACCCCGTCCACACGATACCCCACATGAAGAAGATGGCCACGGCGGGGTTGACCTTCGTGTCGAAGTACAGCTCGGCCATGGAGATGGGGGCGTAGCCGAGGTTGTACGTCGCCCCGGACGCCGCTGAGATGGTGATCAGGACGTGCTCCTTGACGCTGAACGGGCCCGGGTTGAGGTTGAAGCCCCAGTTCGTGAACGGCACCCGCACTTGCCATGCTGGGAGGACCTTGGCCATCCACGCGCCGGCGTAGCTGGATGCGATCTGTACGAAGAAGACCGAGTACGGCGCGTAGGTCGTCCGGAAGTGGCTCATCATGCTGAGGAAGGCTCCCGGCACGACGAAGATGATGGTCAGGACGAAGTAGCGGAAAGTGAGCGTCGGCAGGGTCGGGTCATCGTGCAGGCTGACGATGCGGCGGACATAGGGTGGGATGTCCTTGAGGCGGGGGTCATTTTCGTCGATTGCCTCTTCGTTTTCGCCCGTCTGAGTTGTGAAGACGAACGGCGGCTTCTCCAGGTCGGATACCGCAGGTGTGGGCTCGCCAGATTCCTCAGACTTCTTAGAACGGTTGTCCTGAATCAATTGTAAGTCTGGGTGCCCCGTGGGAGAAGGTTGGTCGCCATACCGTTGCTGCGTCCGCAGTCTGCGGTTGCGGTGTCGGAGACATGCCGATCATGCGGCTCGCACTAAAAACGCCGCAAGGATGTGGTTGCGGGAGCCAAGTCGATCAAGCCAGGGCAAGAGAAGTCTTGAAATCTTAAATGGATCACCCAGCACAGCGACTATGCTTGGATGCGGCACAGCGCAGCACGCTACGAAGGTTGCAAATGGTGTCATCGGTGGTAGTCGTATCCGTCGTGTTTGTATCACCATAGCTCGAAGATCGTCGTGCGTAAAAAAAAAGGACCTCCTTCCCCATTTGAACCTATACACCGCGTAGCCCGCAGCACCTGATGTGGCGAACGGTATGATTTCTCAGCAGCACCACCCAAATTTGACCCTCGAAGGCGGGCCGGTGGTGGAAAAATATGCGTGCGTGAAGCTGGGTAGAAATTGATTCCGGCCGTATTGATACTGAGTCGACAGGTGACGCGACAGGCTTGACACTGACATTGACAAAAAGTCAGTTTGTTGGGTCACGATACTGCTAGTACATAATTTTTATTGCGCCATTGGAAAAATTTCAGTGCGAGTCAGGAGAGAATGGCTTAGCGCAACTCATCAAGCGAGCTTCGTGCATCCATCGCTCTGCGCCTTCGTCTACGAAAGCTCCACCATGTTGCGTATGCAGAGAAGAAAAACGTTAATCGTCGGCGTTGAGTAGTGGAGACGGGATCGATCATATTGCTTGCTCTAGACCCCTAAAGTTACTGATGTCGAAGTAGCAGTCTGCTATTTAGCAAGTTGATCTGCCACTTAATTGCCCTCTGACAGAATTTAGTAGCGCATATTGTTGTTGGAGGCCTATTAGCCTTGTGACGATTGACACCGTATTGCACGACACGGGGAGCCAAAGCCAAAAGGGATTGCGGAGAACACGTGAAAGTCACGTGGACTGGGCCACCTTGGTCGACCTTCTCATCATGAAAAGACGGTAATTGAATGTCTTTCCATCTTGACTCTTGCTTCGAAGCTTAAATCGTGCATCTGTCAGCGTAAACAACCGCAATGGGAGGCACGATTCAGTGATCAGCGGCAACGTATTATGCCGAGGTCACCGGCGGGATGTCACGTAAATCCTCCGTAACTCCCTCTCTACTTCCCCAATGCGTCCATCCCAGCGACAAAGCCCCGCCTCGTGCCAACTCTGCAGGACGAAAAAGCTAAAGTGCGATCGCACACACCCATGTTCCAACTGTTCTGCCCGCGGCGTCACATGCACCTTCCTCCAACAACCCAGACCCGGACGCCCAACGGAGGAGCGGCACGATGTTGGCAGTACGGAATCAATCCTCGCTCGCCTTGATCGGCTGGAGCGAGAAATGGCGGCCATGAAAGCCGAGCGTCTGCCAAACATTACTTCGGTACCTCAGCAAACCACCAAATCAGGCCCGAGTATTCATTCCCCGGGACCACGTAATGGCGAAGGAAATGGCAAGGAGTACATGTCGTTTGAACCTGTTGGAATGCACGAACGCTCCCTCGTGTTCCGGAAGGAGTCAGAATTAACAGTGAGCGCTGCCGAGAATTACGTCGACGCTCGCCCGGCAGTCTCGGCCTACGACCACGTATTATCGTCCATCGTTCTGCCCTCGGAGGCCCACGCCGTCTTCATGTTCAACACATACATGAAAAGCGTGGAACACCACCACCGCGTAATCCACGGTCCGACGGTGCGTGCCTTGCTCTCTCGGGTATATTCCTCTCTTCCATGCGGACAGTACCCAGCCCCAGGCCACATTGCCCTGCTGCTGGTCATCTTCGCCAGCACGGCCTACTCCTGGCGTCTATCTTCCGAGGAACAGAATCTCTTCGCCTCATCTGACGACTGCATCGAAGCAGCTCGCACCTGGGGCATCTCCGCCGTGGACATCCTCGAGCTGTCCCGCCGCGTGACGGTCCGGTCTCTCGAGGATCTCCAAGCCATGATCATCGGCGCCTCGACCTTCCAGTATGCCGAAGGAGACTCGCGGCACGCCAGCTTCCTGCACACCTCAGCCCTCGCGCTGGCCCGCAACCTCGGTCTCCACAAGATCGACTTCCCCGCACGACCTCAAACGCTTTCTTCTCCAGACGCTGCCGTCGAGAACGAAATCAAACGCAGAATATGGTGGCACCTTGCAGCCAGAGACTGGTACGTCCTTATTCATCTCCCTTCGAACTCCAAAACTCACGCAGCAGCACAGGCTCCTCGCCTTCGACTGGGGCCGGCAGGACGGCACATACAGCATCCACCCCCGCCACATGCGCGTCGACTACCCTTTAAACATCGACGACGACGCCATCCCCGCCGACGGCAGCGCCAGAACCGCAGACCCACCCTCCTCACTCCTCCCCACCAGCATGACCTTCCAGCTCCAGCACATCCGCCTCGCCGACATCTGCCGCAGCATCGCCGACCGCCTCCCGCCCTTCTTCCACGGCGGCAGCCCGGCGGTGGACTACGACACCATCCTGTCCCTGGACGCCGAGCTGCAGTCGTTCCTAGACCAGCTTCCCGCTTTCCTCCGCCTGGATTATGCTCCTTCACACCACCCTCCCTCGGCATCGGCGGGGTCGTGGTCCTGCCAACGCAGCCTCATCAACGCCGAGGTGCACGCACGCCGCATCAAACTGCACCACCCCTTCCTCTGGCGCAGCGACGCCGTCTCCCACACCATCTGCCTCGCCTCTGCCCGCGCTATCCTAGACGCGGGCAGGCTGCTCGTCTCGGAAGGAAGCCCGCCCTGCGCCGGCATTATTCGCGCTGCTATCTTGTCGCACACGTTCGTTGCGGCTATCACGCTCGTCCACGATGCACAGCACGCCGGTGACGCTGCGCAACAGCACGAAGCAGCTATCGCTGAGGTACGCGGGACGCTGGAGCGGGCGGCGAGAAGGTCGTTGCGGGGGAAGAAGTTTTTGCATGCGTTTGAGGGGGTGGTGGAGAGGTATAGGGGGGCTGCGGCTGCGGATGGCGTCGGGACGGGGGCCGGTGATGGTGGGATAGCGGACGCGGCGGCTGTCGGGGTCGGTGTGGGAGGATACGGTGGGGGTGAGGGGGAGCTGGTGGGTGGTGGGAGTGGCGGTGACTTGGATGTGGCGTCGTGGCAGGCGCTGTATGCGGATCTGGAGTTGTGGGATCCGGGGTTTGCATAAACTCTGGATGGTGTGTGGATGTTTGTGCGGGCTCGTCGGTCTTCATTACTTTGAAGCCGGCTTACTGGCTTTGAGGCCTTAGAGCTACCACACATTAGGGATCCGACGACACTGATCATTCTCAAAGCATCAATCAGTTGACCAGCATTCCAACTACGCCTCGATTCTTGCAATGCTTCCGGTCTTGAGCTCTGCATCCAAGTTGTCAAACGATCCAGCGTCTCCCATAGTCTCAGTCAAGAGGCCATGCCCGCGAAAACTGTGGTTGTATTAGTCCTGGCCTCGTATTCCAAGACATTGGCTCCAGCGAGTGTGGCAGATACCCTGATCATACTGTTGGACATGAAAGCGTGTAGGGTAAGCTCAGAAGCCAAGCTGCACGGAGAGTTATGCAAGTTGCCGTCCCATTTGTGCCTCAAATTAGGCATTACGGACCTACCAGATGACAATACCATTGGCTACAGAGCAAGTCTTGCATACGAAGGGGCAGGGGATTATGCTATTGATCACGAGGGCAAAATTGGTGGGCTACCGAGGTGTCGGGATGCTCCGCGGATAGTCCGTGGAGCTCCGTGGAGCTCCGTGGAGCAAAGACTCTCCGACGGCGCAAAGACACGCCAGCGGGCCGAAGAACTGCCCAAAGGGACAAAATCAATCCAGCGGACCAAAGACAGCCCGTTGGCCAAATGCATCCCCGCGAAGTAAAGATCGAGGCCTTGGCCTATGCATCTACAGGCTCTGGCACGGGCTTTTCTTTGACCAAGCGCCCAATAATGAATACACGTATGGGAGTCTCTTGGCTTTGAAGCACTTTGCCTCGCTCTATCCTGGCTACCATTGGTCAGAATATCGACTGTCGGCACTGTCTCAAAAGCGAGCCTGTGTATCACTGCCCTGTTTCTTATCCGAAGCACCCGGCGGGTGGTCATATAAACAGACAGTAGATGGTTAGCTCAAACGGACAGTAGTATCCATTTTCTAACCGCCACTGGTCAACGGCACGAAACATGGCAAAAGAAGACCTCGTCCCTATTCCCGAGCCTCGTGGCCTTCCACTTATAGGGAACATACTTGAAATTGATCCCGAATTCGCACTCGGATCCTTCGTTCGCTTGGCACAGACTTATGGTACGTAACACTACTTTGATTTTCCCCTCAATACTCATCTATACAGGCCCCATCTTCAGACTGCAGACACCAAACGGACCTCGAGTCTTTGTGAGCAGCCAGGCGTTCGTGAATGAAGTTTGCGATGAGAGCAGGTTCATGAAGAAAGTCACGGCTGCACTGCAACAAGTACGCAATGGAACGCACGACGGCTTGTTCACAGCCTACGGCCCGCAAGAAAAGAACTGGGGTATCGCACACCGCGTGCTCATATCCGCGTTCGGGCCAATCTCGATCCGCGGCATGTTTGACGAGATGTACGATATTGCCAGCCAACTCGTTTTCAAGTGGGCAAGATATGGACCGAACACGGCGATCGAGGTGGCAGAGGACTTTACCCGGCTTACACTGGACACACTCGCTCTTTGCGCCATGGACTATCGGTTCAATTCGTTCTACTCGCCCGAGATGCACCCGTTCATCGAAGCCATGGGCAGCTTTCTCTCCGAATGCGGCAGACGCGATCAGAGGCCGGCGTTGATCCAATCCTTGATGTGGAAGACGCAAGCACAATACGATGCGGATATCTCGGTTCTACAAAAGACGGGTCAACAAGTTATCGACACGCGGCGGGCCAATCCAACAAGCAAAATGGATTTCCTCAACGCCATGCTGAACGGGAAGGATCCGAAAACCGGGGAAGGGCTGAGCGACGACAACATTATCGCCAACATGATCACCTTCCTCATCGCTGGCCACGAGACTACATCGGGAACGCTTTCTTTCCTGTTCTACTATCTCCTCAAAGATCCACAAGCGTACCAGAAGGCGCAGAAAGAAGTCGACGATGTCATTGGCCGGGAGCCCATCAACGTCGGCCACCTGTCCAAGCTCCCCTACATCACCGCTCTCCTCCGCGAGACGCTTCGCCTCCAGTCACCGGCACCCCTCTTCACGCTCAGCTCGGAGGACTCGCCGCAGATACTGCAAGGTAAATATCGTGTTGACGCAGGCGAGCCAATTGCCGTTCTACTTCATCAGCTGCATCGTGATCCGAAGGTGTGGGGCGATGATGCAGAAGAGTTCAGGCCGGAGAGGATGACGGATGGCAATTTCGACCGCATTACGACCGAGTATCCAAACTGTTGGAAGCCTTTCGGAAACGGGATGCGGGCGTGCATCGGAAGGCCGTTTGCCTGGCAAGAAGCTCTTTTGGTATGTGTATGTGCAGCTTCAAACAGGACTCATGTCTAACAACACGCAGGTCATCGCATTGCTCCTTCAAAACTTCAACTTCGTAGCCGCGGACCCGAGCTACAATCTGGAAGTGAAGCAGACACTCACCATCAAGCCGAAAGACTTCCGCATGCGTGCTATAATCCGCCACGGCCTGAGCCCCACGCAGCTCGAGCGGCATCTGGGCAGCGGTTCCGCTCCCGTTGACGCCCCAAAAGCTGGACTCGAAGCTGCAAAATCAAACGGCAGTTCCGACTCGGCAAGCGGCGTCCCCCTTTCCATCTTCTTCGGCTCGAACATGGGCACCTGCGAAGCTCTCGCACACCGGCTCGCCAACGACGCCGCCGCCCACGGATTCAAGGTGGTGGGCGTCGATCACTTGGACTCTGCGCGCGAGAAGCTGCCGAAGGACCATGCCGTCGCCATCGTGCTCGCCTCGTACGAAGGCCAGCCGGCAGACAACGCGGCGCATTTCGTCACCTGGTTGCAAGGCCTTACTGGAAACGAGTTGGAAGGAGTGAGGTATTCAGTGTTCGGATGCGGTAAGTGGTTTGTGTGCTGAGCCTCAGGGGTGCTTGCTGACGGGATACCAGGCCACAGTGACTGGGCGCGAACGTTCCACAGAATCCCAAAACTGGTGGACCGGACGCTGGAAGAGCGCGGTGCACGTCGCCTGGCGCCGCTGGGCGTGACAGATCAAGCATCGACTGACACCTTCACCGACGTAAGTGAACAAGTTCCAGGCCCATCCTCTCCCGCGTAGCTAACATGCTGGGGCATACAGTTCGAGAGCTGGACCGACGACGTCTTCTGGAAAGCCATGGAGCAAGAATTCGCCGTCACCAACAAATCCAAACACCAAGAACAAATGCAAGTCCAAGTCTCGGCACCACGCCCAGCCTTCCTCAAGCAAGACGTCACGCCCGCCCGCGTAACCGCATCCACCGCCCTCACCCCCTCCGACTCGGGCCCCGTCAAACGCCACCTCGAACTCGAACTACCCCCCAACCTCACCTACACCTGCGGCGACTACCTCGTCGTCCTCCCGCTCAACCCCAAAGAAACCACCGCCCGCGCCCTGCGCTACTTCGGCCTCACCCCCGACAGCGTCCTCACCCTCTCCATCGCGGGGCCGACCAACCTGCCAACCGACACGCCGCTCTCCGCCGCCGACCTCTTCGGCGGCTACGTCGAGCTCGGGCAGCCCGCGTCGAAGAAAGCGGTCTCGACGCTCGCGAGCCTGGCCGACGCCGCCGACCCAGCCTCCCCCGCCGCCACCGCCCTCGCCCACCTCGCCAGCGAACAGTTCGACGCCGCCATCACCGCCACCCGCACCACCGTCCTCGACCTCCTCGAGCGCTTCCACCCCGCCCTCTCCCTCCCCCTCGCCCACTTCCTCGCGCTGCACCCGCCCATGCGCACAAGGCAGTACAGCATCTCGTCGTCGCCCCTCGCCGCGGGCGGCCCGTCAACAGCGACGCTCACCTACGCCGTCCTCGACGAGCCCTCGCACGCCAACCCCAGCCGCCGCCACATCGGCGCCGCGTCGACCTACCTGGCCAGCCTGGCGCCCGGCGACGCGCTCAGCGTGTCGGTGCGGCGGGCGCTGCCGGCGTTCCGGTTGCCTGCTGATCCGGCCGCGACGCCGGTTGTGATGGTGGCGGCGGGGGCGGGGTTGGCGCCGTTTAGGGGGTTTGTGCAGGAACGAGCTGAGCTGGCGAAGGCAGGAGGGAAGAAGACGAAGCTCGCGCCCGCGTTGCTGTTTTTCGGGTGCAGGGGGCAGGGGGATGATTTGTATAGGGGCGAGTTTGATGAGTGGGAGCGGCAGGGCGTGGTGAGGGTTTTTAGGGCGTATAGTCGGGAGGCCAGGGAGAGGGATGCGGAGGGGTGTAAGTATGTGCAGGACCGTGTGTGGCGGGAGAGGGCGGTGGTGAGGGAGTTGTGGGAGAGGGGGGCGAAGCTGTATGTGTGTGGGCGGGGGGTGATTGGGCAGGAGGTGGGGAGGGTGATGAGGAGGGTGTTTGTGGAGGCGGGGGTGTGTAAGACGGATGAGGAGGCAGAGAAGTGGTGGGAGGGGTTGAGGAACGAGAGGGTTGCGGTGGATACGTTTGCTTGAGTGGGTTTGAGTTGCTGGTGTTCTTTTTTTTTCTTTCTTGTGAATTTGTTTAGGTTCGGAATATTATGGGCTTGTTTGGATCGTTTCTCATCTTTGACGCCACTGACTTTCTTCCCGTCCATGAAGCTCAGCTTTTCTAATTCGGCCTTAAACAACAGCGCAGCTACGGCTGCCAACCCACCTGCTCCATAGGCCACCTCAACCGCCCCCTCCACCCTTCATCTAAAGACTCGTATATCTGACCCATCAAATGGCTCGGCCAGCTCCCTATGACCCACGTCCAATCCATCGACTTGATCAACACCACAAAATGCGCATAGATAACCATCGCCATCGGCAGCCGCTGCTGCAAGCACAACACAAAATCATCCGAAATGCGATACAGCCAAAAGAACGCCTGAAAATTCGCCGCCAGCGCACCCGCTCCCCCTCCCCGCCTCTCCTCCGCCTCGACGACCCGGAAGCAAAACGCCAACGAATCCACCATCTCCCGATACGTGTGCACGTTCGGCTCGTCCTCCTCCCCGTCCGCGTCGATACACCGCCGCAGCTCCCTCAGCGCCGCGCTGCCTGCACCCTCCTCCTGTTGCCCCTCCTCCCCCTCCTCACCCTCCCTGGCACCCGCGGTCCCTCGGCTGAGCTTACTACTCCGCTCCAACTGCCGCCGCGCCAGGCTCGCCAGCGGCGCCAGCGGCCCGTCCAGCACCTGTTCCTTGGCCAGCTCGACCAGCGACCGCACGCCGCGGAAGAGGATGAGCCAGTCTGCCGCGCCGCCACCAGTAGCACCACCGTCCGGATTGCTGATAACGCAGACCAGCATATCCCCCACCCGCTGCGGCCCGCGCGCCAGCGTGTAGAAGCACGACGTGACGGCGAACGCGTACAGCGCGCAGGTCCTGTCGGCGCTGCCATCGTCGGCGTTGCCGCTGCTGGCCCCGCCACCGCCCTGGCCAGCGTCATCATCGTGCGGCTGCGGCTGCGCTGACGGCGGGGAGGCCAGGGCGGCGGAGGCGCCGCGCAGAGCGTTCTCCCAGTACCAGGCCGAGGTGGCGGCGTGCTGGGCGTGGCGCTCGGGATGCAGGTGGGCGAGGTGGAGGGCAGACAGGGCTAGCAGGCCTTGCAGGACGAAATCGAAGCCGGCGAAGCCGATCCGCGGGATGTTGGTGCGCCAGCAGGACTGCGTGTCTGGGTCTTGCGAGAGCGTGGCGAAGGTGTGGAGGGTCCAGTGGTGGAGGAGGGAGAGGGTGGGGATGTCGAGGTTGGAGTCTGGGGGGCCGGGGGAGGGGGAGGGGGAGGGGTGGTTGGTGGAGGAGGGACTGCGTCGACGCTGGCGGCTCCGGTTGGCTATAAGGTGGAGTGGTGGGGGTTCTGAGATGAAGATGCAGGGGATGGAGCGGGTTGTGCAGTTTGAGCAGGCGGGTTTTTGTTCGTCGCACTGTGGCTGAGGTTAGCTAGGTGATCAATAATATTTGAAGTAGAGCCGCGCGGTGCCAATTATCTCGGGCAGCTGATGCATGTTGTGGCGGTGCAAAGAAAAAAAAAATACCTTGATACGGCGTCTTTTGCAATTTGCGCACCCGTGTCGCGATTTGCGATGTGTCTTTCGCCCTTTGCTGGAGCTTGTTTTTGAATGTCGCGCCATGATATCGACGTTTTTGGCTATTGGTGATCGTTGGTGGTGGAGCGGGTGAGTTGCGAGGCGGAAGCTCGGAAGATTAAATAAGGGGTGTTAGCAGGACGGCAAGCTTGTTACCGTACTATAATTAGGTAATGAGTCGCGTGAGTGGGGGCCTATAACCATTACTTATTCTTGGCATCTCTACTTTCCGCACACACATCTGCTGGCGAAGTATATCACTTATTAAAGTACGGAGGTCGGGAAAGATGTCAGATATACGCCAATAAACTCTCAATTCGGAGATCATTTAGATGCCTTTTTCTCCTCACGAGGCCTGCATGTAAAGTGAACCTTTGTAGTAGAGTCCACTTTCGCATAGTGCTAAGAGTAGAGGGCCTCAGAGGCTCTGTTTGGTAGAGACAATGAGGAGAAGGGATATGTGGCTAATTATATTGCAGCATTTTCCTCTGGTTCAAAAAGAAGTAGAACCATCGCGAGTTGTCAAGCTAATAGAAAAACAATCCAAAAAGTCACTGCCCTTTCCATTCCCCCACCAAACTGTTCCAAAATTGCTTCCCGCCCATTCCTTAGGGCCAAATAAAAAGGCACACCGATCGTTGTAACTCACCCAAGCTTCATCAGAGCAAAACCGTTAGAACGTGGCATGCCACCACGAAGCAGAACCCCAATCTCGCCAGGGTGGAACCAATTCATCCAGACCATGACCAAGAACATGAGCAACGCGTCAAAAATGTACAGATAGGTCTCAGTCCGCAGCAGAAACCCGTCCGATCCCTGAAGGTACTCGACGACACGGAACACCGACCGCACAAGAATAAGCAAGCTGACAACATACAGCGTGCAGAGATACCGCTGCCACCGCACCTCAGGCACGCACGCCTTCGCCGTCGGCACCATCGCCATGCGCCGATGGAAAATTCCCGCGACGAAGACGAAAAACGTGAAGAAGAACAGCTGCACGAACAATCCGCCGACGATCAGCTTCTCGCCCAGCGTATTGCCCTTGGCCATCAGCCCGCCGCCGCCGCCCTGCATGAAGAACGACAGCACGTCGCCGCCGACGAAGAGCTTGGTGAGGCGCGTCCGGCGGATGATCGAGTGCTGCTCGCCGTCGGTGAGGAGAATGATGCGCCCGAGGATCATGTAGATTGACGCGGCGAAGAGGGCGGGCGCGACGAGCAGGAAGATGGACTGGATGATGTACGGCATCAGCGTCCAGCAGCCGGCGTCCTGCTTGGCCGACATGGCGCGGCCGGCGTAGCCGACGACTTCGACTGTTGTGGAGGGTTAGCACACGGTGTTAATTGCTAACGGGGGACGGAAGGTGCGCACAGAAGCCGCCGATGACGAAGGCGGTTAGGTACCAGGTCCTGGTTTTGAACATCTGGACGGTGTGGAGGAACGATGTCAGGATGAAGAGGAGGCAGAATATCACGGCTGCGGCCATGGACGGCACGTAGCGGTAGAATGCAAAGTCGGCATTTTTGTAGTCGGAATCGCGGCCGTTTGGACAGGTTCCCATGGCGGTGGTTGATTGAGGTTCTGTTTTCAAGCCGTGGGAGATGTCGCGCCTGCGCAGCAGAAAGAAAGGTCAAAGATTGATGAATGAACGAAAATGTAGCTTGCTCGCATGGATGGAGACAGGAAGCTGCTTATTGTACTTGTGCGTATGTAGACGTATTCTATAATTGCTGCATCCTCAAACGAATACGCTCGACAATCGACAGGGCAGTGCAAGTCGAGTCACACGCGTACTCGTACCCTACATCTATAACGAATACGCTTGTGATAGAGCTTCATTTACCGGAAGGAAATTAATGCAGTGGGCTTAGACCCAGGATGAAAGCATTGCGCTGCAGGTGTTTGAGGCGTTACAGAAAGCCACAAAAAAAAAAAAAAACGAACAGCATATTTTCGACACAAAAGTTGATGCGAATACGGCGATAGCGGTACTTCTGCCCAAGGCAAGACACTGGGTGGTCAGGGTTCGGACAATGGATGCTCATGGCAAAAACAGCTTCTTCTAGCCAACAAAGGCGACTCAGTATAGTTCGAATGTTACTGAAACTTGGAGTGCAACTCAGTGGATGTTTCGAATGCTTTGCAAAGCCGAGTCACAAGTTTCAGCGCTAGGAACTGGTCCGCACTGAGCACTTTGAGCAGAAGATGTCTGTGAGGCTTTCCACGGACCTTCCGCGGACTTCCCACGGGGTCCGGCTGTGCACATGCAGATGCTCTTAATAAGGTTTCTGAGGCTGAGCGCAATAGTTCCAAGCCGCAGTGGCGTGTCTCTAGCTCTTTAAGTCATGCGATATATGCCCAGCGGCCCAAGAAGGTGGCTCAGACAGAATCCGACCGTCGCGCTTGCGAAAAAGAATCATGCCCAGAGGATCTGGCGCAGGGGGCTGATCGTTTCAATCCATGATCTTACTCCACTTTTTATCCGTAATTGCGTCAGCTAGGCAGCAGTTCTTGTCCCGCTTCTTAGCTAGTAACAACGTACCCGTAAACGTCACGTGATTGATATTCCGCGTACTCGTATTCGCCTGTAAATATTACTTCGTGCTTCTTCCCGAGGAAATATCATTGATGTACATTAATCTTGCTGTTCTTTGATCTAGAAGAAACATCTCAAGCCCTGTCTTGTCGAAGCTCTTGCGAGGTTCCCTGTTGTCGGCGTAGTCTTTTACCTTTCTTCTGATTTAGTTGTCCATCTTTCTTATCCGTCACCCTAGTTGCTCTGAAGATGAATACCCCGGAAAAAGGTTCAACACCGCCCGATGGACACTTTTCTCAGCCGCACATAGCATCCACAGCCGGTCCGGGTCCGGAATATCATGCTTCTCCGCCACTCCGGACGGGAAGTTCTCGATCGTCAGCGAGCTGCAACCCTCAGGCTCTCCCGCTGAGAAATCGACCACATTCCGGCTTCAGCTCACGTTCTGGTTCTCCTGAGCCGGTTCAATACATACCATATCGCCCGCCTGCCGAAATCATCCAGCCTTCAGCCCATACATCCTCCGCTTCATGTAGCGGCACACCGCCCAGCAGCTCTCAATCCCACGCCGAAACTATCCAAACGTCCAGTCCGCCCTCGTACGAAGAGATAGCGCACGGTTTCGAGGTTCCTGCTGAAGTGAAAGGTAGTCCAGCTCCACAATGCTCTTCGACTGTGCTAACTTACTACCAGATGACGGCCGGATTAACGTTGATCTCGACTCCAAAGCCGCGCGCACCCTGTCGAGATTGATCTTGCAGCCGCCCAAAGACCTGCCAGATGCCATTCCAGACTACCACACATTGAAGGGTGCTTGGAAGCTCCCCTTGAACATTGTCGTGCAGGTTGTCGGCAGCCGCGGCGACGTGCAGCCCTTCATAGCCCTCGGCAATGAGCTGCAGAAGCACGGCCATCGCGTGCGCCTTGCCACACACAATGTCTTCGAGGACTTTGTCCGGAAGTCCGGGCTCGAGTTCTATCCGATTGGCGGCGATCCCACCGAACTGATGGCATACATGGTGAAGAACCCTGGCTTGATACCGAATATGAAGAGTCTCCGTGGTGGAGATATCCAGAAGAAGCGGGTCATGGTGAAGGAAATGCTGGAAGGATGCTGGCTAAGCTGCATTGAGCCGGACACAAAAACGCAAGAGCCATTCGTCGCAGATGCTATTATTGCGAATCCCCCAAGCTTTGCGCATATCCACTGTGCCGAGGCTTTGGGCATTCCTGTGCATCTGATGTTCACCATGCCTTGGACGAGCACGAAAGCATTCCCACACCCGTTGGCAAACATCAAGTGCTCGACCATCGACAAATCGACCCAGAACTTCCTCTCCTACGGTATCGTCGAATGGCTAACGTGGCAAGGGTAAGTCTCAGCCCAACGACGAACATGCCCGGTCTAACAGCGTGCTTAGTCTGGGCGACATCATCAACAAGTGGCGCCACGACCTCGACCTCGACCCCGTCCCAGCCACCGAAGGCCCGCTGCTCGCCGAAACCCTGAAGATCCCCTTCACCTACTGCTGGTCGCCCGCCCTGGTGCCCAAGCCGGCCGACTGGTCCCACCACATCGGTACGTCCGTCCGCGCGCAAAAAATCGCAACCCCCCTCCCCTCGCGCCCCTAACGCATCTCTCTATCCAGACGTCTGCGGCTTCTTCTTCCGCTCCCCACCCGCCTACCAGCCTCCCCCCGACCTCGACGCCTTCCTCCGCAGCGGCCCGCCACCCGTCTACATCGGCTTCGGCAGCATCGTCCTCGACGACCCGCAGCGCGTAAGCGCCACGATCCTCTCCGCCGTCCGCACAACCGGCGTCCGTGCCATCATCTCGCGCGGCTGGAGCAAGCTCGACGGTGCCCCCGACCCAAACGTGCTCTTCCTCGGCGACTGCCCGCACGAGTGGCTGTTCCAGCACGTCGCGGCCGTCGTGCACCACGGCGGCGCCGGCACGACGGCGTGCGGGCTGCTGAACGCGCGGCCGACGACTATCGTCCCGTTCTTTGGCGAGTGAGTATAGTCATACGCCACCACATGACGAGGCCGGCCGGGTGCTGTGCTGTTGCTAACGATCACACAACAGCCAGCCGTTCTGGGGCCAGATGGTCGCCGCCGCGGGCGCCGGGCCCGTCCCGATCCCGCACCGGCTGCTCGACAGCACGAACCTCGCCGAAGCCATCTCGTACTGCCTCACGCCGCAGGCGGCGGCGGCGGCGCGCGGCATTGCGGAGAAGATGCGGGCGGAGGCCGGGGTGGCGAGGGCGGTCGAGGCGTTCCATGCTAACCTGCCAGCGCTGGAACGGATGAAGTGCGACGTCTTCCCCGACAAGCCGGCGTGTTGGCGGGTGAAGAAGAAGGATGGCGTGTGTAAGTTGTCGAAGGTGGCGGCGGAGGTGTTGGTTAGTGAGGGGGGGTTGGATCGGAAGAAGTTGAAGATGTATGTGGTTCACTGTGTTCTTTGGTTGGTGAGAAACGTTATGCTGACGGTGTTGAACAAGATACGCGAGCAAGCCTATCGTCATCGAGAACCGCCGCTGGGATCCCATCACCGGCGGTGCGTCGTCGGCGCTCGGCTGGGGATCAGACATGGTCGTCGCGACGGCGGACCTGTTCGTCAAACCCTACCAGGAATACAGGCGCAGCCGGCCGGAATCACATCCCACGCCCTCAAGTCCGTCTCGTGCCGCCGAAGCTCCACGAGCCATCACCACCAACGCGACAGAGGACTCCGAGTCAACAGAGAAACACGCGCTACTACTCCAGGGCCAACTCGCCCGACCCAGCGCCACAGACAGCAGCCATGCCCTAAACCGCAGCAGCACAGGCGACAACCACCAGCACGGCTCCAGGCAGCACAGCGTATCCTCCTCCACAGAGAGCGATCACTCCGACATCAACGACGACGCCGCCGCCGCCGCCGCCCAGAGCCCCAAGACCAAAGGCCGCGGCGCAGCAGCATCCAATGCGGCCGTGGCATCCGGCAAGAGCGTCGGCCGATGGTTCGGGACCTACACCAAAGGCGTCTTCCTCGACGTGCCGCTCGCCGTCGCCGAAGGCATGCGGCAAACGCCCGCTCTGTACGGCGAGCGGGTGCACGACTACGGCCGCATCACGGGGTGGAAGAGCGGCGCGGCGTTCGCGGCGAAGAACTTCGGCGTCGGGCTGGCCGAAGGGCTGACGGATGTCTTCGTGCAGCCGGTGAAGGGTGGGAGGAAGGAGGGGGCGGTGGGCGTGGTGAAGGGGTTGGGCAAGGGGTCGGTGGGGATGCTGGCGAAGATGGGGTCGGCCGGGTTGGGGGTGCTGGCGTATACGGGGCAGGGGATTTATAAGAGTGCGCAGAGGAGTAGGCATAGGGGGACGAGGGAGAGGGTTATGATGAGGAGGTGTGTGGAGGGGGGGTGGTTGGTGAAGAGGGAGCGGGGGGTTGATCGGGAGGCGGTTGTTGCGAGGTATGATATGCTGGGGTGAGATGGTGTGTTTGAGTGGATGTTTTAGAGAAATGTTTTGTAGTTACACCTCTTATTGTTGTATGAATATTCTTTGAATGTTTGATCATGTAGTCGGGCTTTTCTGTAACTTCAATTCCGCGCTAATGGTATATCTTTCGTCCAGCGATGTGTTTACAACGCTCTATCAATTCGCTATATTAATTCCCGGAGCATGCTAGCACTGGTGCTTAGTGGGAGTGATGAGACGCCTCATGAAATGCCGATTCTCGGAAATTGCCCCATTCGTCTTCCGCTTGTTGCCGCAGTGGGCCGGGGGCGCAATGGCTAATGCCAGTACACGCAGCGTACAGTTCGTGCGCGTAATCGTATCCGCGATGTATCCGCCCATGGGTCTGTTCGTTCTCTGGCCCTCGCAGCTAAGGGATGGCTCATTCAGGTCTAGGTTTTGGGAGAGACGTTGTCGACGAGAAGTATTTAATGCCAGAATCACACGCCGTTTCCTGCCAGTCAAGCCAAAGGGTCCTGTGAAAGATGCCTTCCTTCAACGCCATTCTTCCCTTTATCCTCCTATTGTCCACAAGTCATGGTGCTTCCGCGCAAGGCCACTTCACAACGCCGGATACATTTCCTGCTCGTACGTTTGCATGCCATAACAACGAGATGGAGACTAACTGGTCTATCAAGCAAACACGACAGGATCGGGCGGGTGGCAAAATGCTCTCGCGAAAGCGGACGAGTTTGTGTCACTTCTGAACCTCACCGAAAAGGTTGCCATGGTCACTGGCTCTTCCGAATACAGCTGCATTGGAAACATTGCTCCCATCGAGCGTCTCAATTTCACTGGTCTCTGCCTTCAAGACGGCCCGGCGGGCGACCGCCTTGGTGATCTCACGAGCACATTTCCTGCAGGCTTGACGACTGCTGCGACATGGGACAAGGAGCTTATGAAGCAACGTGGCTACGCACTTGGCACCGAGTTCAAGGGGAAAGGGGCACACATTCACTTGGGGTGGGTTCTGTTCTCTTCCCCTCTTTCGACTGTCTTGTGCTCACTCTCTGCAGTCCTTCCACGGGTGCTCTCGGACGCCATCCGCTGGCAGGACGTGGTTGGGAGGGATTCTCTCCAGACCCCTATCTGAGCGGAATTGCTATGAATGCTTCCGTAAGCGGAGTCCAGGAGGCCGGTGCTCAAGCGTGTGCGAAACACTTTGTTGGCAATGAACAGGAGACTCAGAGGACTCGCACTGTGCTCGCCGACGGCACGGTAGTCGAAGCCGTCTCGTCAAACATTGACGACCGAACCATGCATGAGCTTTACATGTGGCCTTTCGCCAACGCAATCAAGGCTGGAGTTGCCTCTGTCATGTGTAGCTACAACAGAGTCAACCAGACGTACGCTTGCGAGAACTCAAAGATGCTAAACGGCCTCCTTAAGGGCGAACTGGGCTTCCAAGGAGTAGGTCCTACTTCCTTTTATTCAGTAGAACACAACTAACCTTCCATCAGTACGTCATGTCAGACTTCTACGCCGTGCATTCCGGCGTGCGCTCTATCGAAGCCGGACTCGACCTGAACATGCCCGGCTCATGGGACGAAGTCACCTTCGACGCGAGCTTCTGGGGCGCCAACCTGACCGCCGCCGTCCAAAACGGCACCATCCCCGAATCTCGCCTCGACGACATGATCCGCCGCCTGCTGACGCCCTACTTCTTCCTCGGCCAGGACGACGACTACCCCTCCGTCGACCCCACCTCCCTCTCCGTCCTCGCCACCACCTACGGCGTCAAGCTCCCCGGCACCTTTCCCCCCGCCCGCGACGTCCGCGGCGACCACGGCACGCTGATCCGCTCACTCGCCGCCGCCGGCACCGTCCTCCTGAAAAACGCCAACGCCACCCTGCCCCTGTCCACCCCCATGAACATCGGCGTCTTCGGCAACGACGCGGCAGACCTCACGGCCGGCCTGTTCTTCCCGGGGACAGACGCCGCAGCATCCCCATTCGGCTTCGACATGGGCACGCTGACCGTCGGCGGCGGGTCGGGCACGGGGCGCAGCACGTACGTCGTGGCGCCGCTCGACGCCATCAAGCAGCGGGCAGCCAGCTACGGCGCGCGCGTGCAGTACGTCCTCGACAACGAGCTACTCGCCGCCGACAACTTCCGGGCCATCTACCCGGATCCGGAGGTGTGTATCGTGTTCGTCAAGGCGTGGGCGAAGGAGGGCGCGGACCGGACGAGCTTCGCGAATGACTGGGACGGCGACAAGGTCGTGGCGAACGTCGCGGCGCGGTGTGCGAATACGGTTGTTGTGAATCATGCCGGCGGCGTGACGACGATGCCGTGGGCAGAGAATGAGAATGTGACGGCGATTTTGAACGCGTATTACCCCGGCCAGGAGTCGGGGAATGCGATTGTCGATGTGCTGTTTGGCGATGTCAACCCGTCTGCGCGTCTGCCGCATACGATTCCGAGGAGCGCGGAGGACTACGATTTCCCGGTTGTGAACTTGACGGGCACGGCGAAGGCGAATGACTCGGAGGCGTGGCAGGCGGACTTTGAGGAGGGGTTGTTGATTGATTATCGCCACTTCGATGCGAAGAACATCACGCCGCTCTACGAGTTCGGCTTCGGGCTGTCGTATACCGAGTTTAAGATCAGTGCACCGCTGGAGGTCGCTGGCGTTGCTGCGAACACGACCCGCGTCTCGTCCTTCCCGCCGGCAGTATCTTCCGCTCAGCCCGGCGGCAACCCTGCGCTTTGGGAACCTGTCTTGACTGCGTCGACGACAGTCCAGAACATGGGTGAGCGCGCTGGCGCTACCGTAGTTCAGCTGTACTTATCCATGCCGTCTGGCAGCGTGCCGGAAGGAACGCCGCTGCGGGTGCTCAGGGGGTTCGAGAAGGTGCAGCTGGAGCCGGGCGCGAGTGAGAAGGTCGAGTTTCGGCTGTTGAGGAGGGATGTTAGTTTTTGGAATGTCGAGGCGCAGGAGTGGGAGATACCGACGGGGGAGATGAGGCTGAGCGTTGGTTTTAGTTCGAGGGACCTGAAGGATATCGCGGTGGTGGAGCTGGTTTGAGGTCTGGATGTGCAACAGTTTCGTTTCGCCGAGCTCCGGGGTCTTTGCAGAACGCCATTGTACTATCACAGTAATACATCTTCAACATTGCTCATCATTGTAAGGCACACATTTGGAAAACAATCTGAAGTCTCCAAGTACTACTAGATTTGAAACCAGAAGCTAGTCTATCGGCTCATCATGACTTCCGTCTCTCAAGCTCCTATACCTTAAGCAAAAGCTTTCCGCTAGTCTTCCTGGACTCAATATCCTCATGAGCCTTATTCGCCTCAGCCAGAGGGTAGATCTCGTGGATCCGAGCATCAAGGTTATGCTTCTCGATGAAGCCCAGGAGCTCATCAGCATAATGCTGGAACTCCTCCCGCGTAGCAATGTACTGCGCCAAGTTCGTCCGGAGCAGCTTAACGTTCTTCTCCATCAGACGCCTAAAATCCGTCAGTCAACCAACCCTCAACCTTCATCAAAAGACAGAGCAGGGTAGGGAAAAAAACACTCACAAAATCTCCACCGGCGGCACGGCGCCACTCGCATTCCCAAAACACACCAAACTCCCCTTCCGCCGCACACACTCCAAACTAACATCAAACGTCGCCCTCCCCACCCCATCAAACACCGCCACCACGCCCCTCCCCCCCGTCACCTCCCTCACCTTCCCCACCACATCCTCCGCCGCATACCCCCTAACCAACCACTCCGCCCCCGCCCCCCGCACCACCTCCAACTTCTCCTCCGTACTCGCCGTCGCCACCACCCTCGCCCCAATCGCCTTCGCCAGCAGCTGCACCAGCCACAGCCCCACCCCGCCCGCCGCCGCGTGCACGAGCACGACGTCGCCGGCCGCCACGCGGTGCGCTTCGCGGATCAGCGTCAGCGCCGTCAGCCCCTGAAAGAGCGACGCCGCGGCCGTCGATGACGGCAGGCTGGCCTGGATGCGGATGACGTGGGACGCTGGCACCAAGCTGTATTCGGCGTACGAGGCGCTGCCGAGCCAGGCGACGCGTGCGCCGGGGTTGAGGTCCGTGGATGTGTCGGGGCCGAGGGCGACGACGTTGCCGGCGGCTTCGCGGCCGAGGGTGTGGGGGAGGGAGGGGGGTGGGTAGAGGCCGGTGCGGAAATAGCTGTGGGGGGAGGTGGTGTTAGTGAGGGGGACGGTGGGGAGGGGGAGGGGGGTTTGCGTACGTGTCGATGAAGTTGACGCCGGCGTATTCGTTTTTGACGAGGATGTGGCCAGGCTTGAGCTCTGGGACGGGGAGGTCGGTTTTGTATTGGAGGACTTCGGGGCCGCCGTGGCTCTCGATGACGATGCCGCGCATGGTGGTTGGGATGGAGGACATTTTGCGGATTGGAAGCGGAGAGATGAGGTGGAAATGGGATCTGTTTGCTAGATGTCTGCTGGGAGAAGCTGCTTTGGTGCACAAGAAAGGGCTGGAGAAGCGGGGTAGCATGGCTTATATGTATTTCACTGGTGGGTTGGAATGTGCGACTACAGCAGTCTTAACAACAGACACCTATAGTGATCAGCTAGAGGGTGTAGTGAGCTATGCTCGGCTTCTCTTTCCTGCGGCTGTTAGTTCCGTATAGTCTCTCCGACCTTGGTCCATGGAACTCCCACAGCTGCTCCGCGGAGAATCCGCGGACACGCCTCGGAGAGTTGAAACGCGAGGCGAGACTTGCATATCCAGCATCTTTACAAACGCTACACTACTGTTCATAGTCTCCTCGTGTTCGAAATACGTTAAGCAAGGGACAGGTATTGAACCTCATTATGCGGGATTAGCTTTTGGCGCTTCTCGGCTTGCTTAGAGTTATGTGCACGTCATTGCCGTGCTAACCTTAAGAGACCAGCCATTCACGTTAACCAGTCCGGATGAAGTGTCATGCACCTTCTTTTTGTTTGCACTGCGCATTAATTATTAATCACATAAATATTTGCTAGAATAGGCAGGCGTTTGGGTTTCAAACGGGAACACAAAGGGAGCAAGATGCTCATATATTAGAAGTTGTTCTATTTGCATAATGACAGGTTGTAATACAAAAGTAATGCGGACTGAAAGAACCTGCTACAAGATCTAGTAAACTAAGATTCGACATGGAGAACAGGAATGGGTAAACTTCAATTTGAAGTACGGAGGCCCTTTGCAAACCGCACATTCACTGGCTGGGCATTGGGAACGAGGATTGCTCAAAGGATATTTTGCAGGCTTCCACAACGTCGACGTCGTAGAGATCCTCAGTGGATGCATCATGAACGGGCAAAGGCACCAGGAAGCGTTTGAGAAGGAACAAAATCTCCCCCAGCCCAAGACCAAGGCCGTTCCAACCACGCAGCGACTCAAGAGAGTCTGTGTGTAATAGTCAGTAAATGCATATAGACGTATGGAAATGAATCTTACCAAGCATTCTTTTCGAGATGTCCCAAAAGTTAGAAAACCCAGAAAGGCAGCTCGTCAGCACATTTAAAGCAGTTTCGAGCTCTTCTCGCCTTTCTGCGTATTCGCTTCCCGGAGGGACCTGGAGCATGAGACAGACGCTGGTCATGCAGCCCAAGATCCAAATAGAACTACTCATCATCGGATCGTAGGTACAGTAGTATGCCGTTGGCATAGCCTGAACAGCAGCTGCTGCCGCTTGAAGGTGTAGAGTCAAAGCGCGCCATAGACGGAGCACTACAGACTTCCAATCCAGACCCGAAGGCATGCGAGAATGGAAACTGATCATCGGTGGGATGACTGAGCAAATGCAGCATCTGGAACCCCGTTAGCCTTCCAGCTCCCACGGGAAAGTGCGGGGAGACAATACATTCGTAGTTGTACCAAAGCTTCAAGTCGGTTACGGTGCTGCATCAGTGTCTCATCCATTTCCGTTGCGAGCTTAGGGTCCATGTACCACGATGGTAGAACAGCGCATACTCGCATGCATTTGTTGTGAGTCATGAGCATTTTTGCTTCCAATGCTGGATCCATAGAATTTTGAGTGATGCCACGTAAATGCGCGCCACCCTCCCTCAGAAGCAAAACCATGCAAAGTTGTAGACGTTGTCCATCTGCCATCTTTGCGTTACTTGCATCCTCCAGAAGACTCCAGAATGATTCCTGACTGCTCCGAGGGACATGCAGAGGCAATGAACCTGAATTGACCCCAGCGGTGAATTCCGACACCGATGTGGTGATAAGAGAGGTTGTGGCGGTCTCCACATTCAGCGAGAACGGATTACCGGAGAGTATATTGCATGACGCATCGATCTTGACGGCAGTCCACCACACGTAGCGAAGCTCCTCCAAGCTCGATTCCGGGAAACGCGAAATGGCCTCCGGACACCCGTCGACCTGGTCCAGCTTGCAGTCTCGGACAACACGGGAAAGCTTCTCGATGATAGTCCACGTAGAGCGATCTGGACCGGAAGCCAACTGATGAATTACACATAAGCAAGTCAATTTGATGTCGTTAAGCGAGATGTTCCCAGGATCCATCTCGTTCTGTTCAAGTTCTCGCTCGATCTGAGTTACGGCGAACGCCAGGCTCTCGTCCTGTCTGGACTGCGCTGAAAAGCGAGATGCCAGGCCAATCATCACGATTATCAGACGAAAGGGAACGTCTCCCTTGTAGAAGTCCCGTAGAAACTCGTTTTCGCGAAATAGTGGGAACATCTGCTGAATAGTGGAGAAGTATAACCCAAGCCTGTTGCGGTAAGCCCAAGCATCTCCAGGATTGATATTTGCTTACATAATGCGCACGCTAGAGCCGTTCAACGCAACATTAATACCCGAGGAACCTTCGGGTGGAGACGATTCCGGGGTTGGCGTATGAGAACTTAGCCCATCAGAGACTCCGATTGGTGGGGGGGCAATATTGGCGGAGGGTTGCGGATCCTTCCCTGCATGCTGTGGTGTCTCATCTTCGCTAACATCAACGCAATCCGGTTCCTTTTCGAATTTACCACCTTCGCTGTATGCCTGGAGCATGGATTCGAGACGGCCTTCTGAGGGGTCAACAAATACCGACGTGAAAAATGGGCGGTCTAAATACCAATGCGTTCGCGCAAAACTGAAGCCTTATGAGGGCCTGGTCTACGTCTGGCAGCTGGATAAGAGCATGTTCGGTTGCGCATTCGACATCTGGTGCACTCAGGCCACTCCTTGCCGCCTACATTGGTCAATCAAGATACATCGTGCGTGGCGTCTGCTCCCCACATTTCTGTTTCTTCCTGAAACTGCGGTCAGCCAGTACGGGATGAGCGCTTGTTACACCGCTTACTGTCTACAATTTGTGCACGAAATCCTTGGGGAGTCATGCTCTGCCGCCCGGGATAGTGTCCGGTGGTCTGACGCCGTGACCGAACGGGACATCTTGAAACGGCAGGTGTGGGCTGCCTGCAAGTAGCAGTGCGATCGATCGTATGTGCTGGGGCTGTGTTGAGAGACAGTAGATGAGCGGGGTGGCGGACTTCAGTGCAATATGCCGAGAGTCTGCGAGGTGATCGAGGGGTCATCCGCGGATTTTCCGCGGAGAAATTGTCACTAATCATTGGTGGAAGTGTTACCGCGGAGGTGGGTTGGCCAACGTGATGATTAATCTATCTATTGGTAATTACCCCATCCATTAAGCCGATCGGGTAGACTATAGACCGCCGGCGCAACGTTCTCCACGAAACAGCCACAGCATACCCACCCGGACCTACGGCCTTTCCCAGTTCGGGATATGATCTTAGCAAGAGCTGTCCAGCGGACGAAGCGTTGTTAATGCTAACGTAAACAAGTCTCGGAAAGCCCCACGTCCAACTCGGTCTTTTCATGTCCTGTGCCATGACTGCAAACCTACCCTCTCAACTCGTGACACAAAGCTACCTAGCTTTATTGGGCTCTTTTGATACTTTTAACCTATTCAACACGTGATTGGCTGTGTCTATATTCTTTGGCTGCTTCTCACCTCATCACATCTTATTCATAGCGTGCTGGATTGTAGATATCGCTCAGTAGCCCTTGAATGTCAGTGATCTAGACCCTCATCTTCTTGGGAGCGTTATTGTGTCGGCCGAAAAGGTGATTTCGGGACCCAGGAAATCAGGAGCGGGAGGGAAGACTTCCGGTTCCGATCACTACGTGCTACATTTTATATATAACAAGTGTTCAGTCGGTCGGCTTTCATATCCAGACTCAAGCTTGTCTAACTTCTTATATTTGAGAAAGATACCTTTGAACAGTATTTACCCGAAATGCTACTCTCAAACAATCACGAAAACTTCAATTCGTTCATCCTGCGGGATGCGACATCTCTGATGGTAGTTGCATCATCACTGGTAAGCTAAAATTTGGGTAGATGATCATCGGTGCTGAAATAGCAAAGGCTTTCGTCTACTTCGCCACTACGGTCATCTACAACATCTACTTCCACCCGCTCCGCCACTTTCCGGGACCGAAACTGTATGCAGCTAGCCGATTACCGTATGCGATAGATCTCCTTCGGGGGACTCTTGTAAAGAGGATCACGGAGCTCCACAACAAATACGGCGAAGTCATTCGGATCGCCCCTGAGGAACTCTCCTTCACCAGTGCAGACACGGCATGGCAAGACGTCTACGGCTTCCGCGGCTCCAAGAAGCCCGAGATGCAGAAGGATCGCAAGTGGTACAGCACTGCTCCCAACGGCGTGACTTCGATTATCGAGTCCAATCGCGAGGACCATTCACGCCAGCGCCGAGCTTACTCTCACGCTTTCTCGGACCGTGCGTTGCGAGAACAGGAACCGCTAATTCAGAAATACATCTCCCTGCTTCTACAGCGTTTGACGGATCATGCTGCTCAGGGAAACATCGTAGATCTCGTTCAGTACTACAACTACACGACGTTTGACATCATCGGCGACCTGGCCTTCAACGAGCCATTCGGATGTCTCGAGAATGACAAGTATCACGACCTCGTCCAAGGCGTGTTCGCCACGCTGCGAGGCTTCGCACTCAAGACAGCTCTTGCGTACTACGATGTCCTTCGCTTGCTGGTCTACACACTCAATCCGAGCGGTGCTCAGAAAGGCCCGATTGAGTTCTTCAAGTTCACGAAGGACCGCGTGCGGAAGCGGCTGGGAACCGAGACTGCGCGACCGGATATCACGTCGTACGTCAGCGATCAGGTGGAATCCGGCAACATCAGCGTGGACGAGCTAGATTCCAACGCGCTTCTGCTGCTTATTGCCGGTAGCGAAACGACCGCGACGGTTTTGTCTGGAACCACTTATCTGCTGCTAAAACATCCCGAAGTCATGAAAAAGGTCGTCCGTGAGGTCAGAGACCATTTCAAGAGCAAGGAGGAAATCACTTCCGAGAGTGTGAGCCGCCTGACGTACCTCGTTGCCGTTCTGAACGAAGGAATGCGCATGTATCCGCCCGTACCGACAGGATTTCCACGGATAGTTCCGGAGGGTGGATCGACGGTCAGCGGGTATTACGTGCCGGAGAAGGTAGGAAATGCTTTTGGTTCCGACACTTGTTCAGCCATGCTAAAGCTCTAGTAGACATCGCTATACGTAACGCAATGGGCCACGTACCATAGCGAGCGTAACTTCACCAAACCTGAGTCTTTCATCCCGGAACGCTGGCTCGAGAACCATTCGGGGTTTGAAAAGGACCGCAAAGCAGCGTTTTCGCCCTTCTCATTTGGCCCTCGAGCTTGCCTCGGTAAGAAGTAAGTATCACATCAAATTAGTATTTCAAGCGCATTCTAACATATTCCAGCCTTGCATACATGGAGTCTCGCGTCATTCTTGCACAGGTTTTGTTCAACTTTGACATCGAGTTGATCGACGAAAACATGGACTGGATGGATCAGAGGTGCTTTGTTCTCTGGGAAAAGCCTGATCTTAGGGTAAAGTTGAAGCCCGTGGAGGCACACTGAGGCAATTGGAAGTTTCAGGGCCTTTTTAGGTCAATCTTGGGACAGATTCTATTGCTGCTCGGATTTCTCCGACAGCGTAACTAGCTATCAATTGGAACTCGGGTAAAGACAGATAAAGCCTTTCAGACTTGAATAAAATCCTCGCAGAACTGTATAACCCTTCATGTCTGAGTTATATGTGCAAAAGGGAGGGTAGTTAAAACATATACGCGTTGCATAGCTACCACTGAGAGATCGGACAGACAGCGTTCCATAGATCAAGGCATTCGGATGATTCCCTGGCGGCCAAAAAGAAGTCAGAGAGGCTGAGAAGAAGACCTATTTCTAGCTAAGCCATTTATGAGTACGGATCATTAGCAGCGCAATAGTCAATCCCGCTCGTTCATTGACTTCTAGAGATGACCAGAGCAACTCCGATGCCTCTGAATCTCTGTGACCTAATTCTCCCCACCCCTCACGTAACTTTTATAATATAAATCCATCACAAGAGACAATTTATGATCAGACAAATGATTAGGAAGCTGTCGCATAAATTTAGAGACTAGGCTTATCTACAGTTCCAGCCAAAGTATCACCATTACAAAATGTGTAAGACCTGTCGTACCTGCTGAGAGATCATCTGGTCTGAGGTCTCGGCTCAGAGTCTCACCCATCTTTTGAGCTAATATACGCCCATTATGTACATGATATGTTCCATTCCTCAGATTGTATCTTTGAATTCCGCCCATAATTCAGGTAGAAAGCTTGCCAGATGCTTCATCTCGATATTGCAATGCGCCAATAAAGCGTGAGTAGCCTCCTCTCCTAGATTCTGCTCAAAAAAGTACCGCGATCGCAATTCATATGTACCATTACCGTCAGGCTTACGACGGATTTGGTGCATGAGATAGGAGTGCCCCGTAACGTTAGTTGTGTGGCCGGTGGAATCGAGGCGCCCGGTGACAATCGTCTCGATGCCGGTGGATGCGTAGGAGCTAGTGTTGAATCCCAGCTCAGTAGCAGGATCGATGAAATGTACGGTCAGCTGCCCGGCATTGTTCCCGATGTACTCGTCAATGAACGAATAAGTGCCGATGTAGCGTGAGGATGTCGGTGCGGACGCGTTGGTCACGAGAGTTTCCGGTGAACGCCAAGCGTAGCGGTGCGCAATGGGCGCCCAGAGCTTGTATCGCGATGAATCGACGAGGTGCCAGCTGAACCACCAATCGTACATTTCGCCAGTGACTGGATGTGTGTCAGTTTGGATGCTATACGTATAGGGCACCCATCTTACCATTGCCCATTTCGGTGCGGATAGCGATCATGAGCGAGCCGTCGGAACGCAAAGACCAGCCGTTTTCAAGTTGAAGGTAGCCTGGTCTGGTAAGATAATCGGCGGCATCATATGCAGAGAACGCTGGAGACGTGCATTAGTCACAGATGTAGAATGACTTCAAGTGACGACGCTCCACCAATGGCTTTCGAACTGGTCGCTTGCTCTGCAGGGGAAAAAAAAGAAAACATAACGTTTCAAAGGATCATTATGTTTTAATTCAACTTACTCAATTCAGCCGCGTGAGGGCTAGCACTAAGCCCTTTCTGCACTTCCTCCGAGATACCTTCGACATAAGGATTCCAGAACTTGGCGAAAGGCTTCGCAAAGTCGGCCTCGCGGTAGCCAAGGTAGTAGCTTGTCTGGTTCCCATCGTAAGGAGCGACATTTCTGGACACAGTAGAGGCTCCTAAAGTAGTCAGAGAGCTGTTGTCGATTTCGATGGAGAGAGGTGGTTCTGTTGAAAGCTGGGGATAGCAGCGGGAGAATGTTGCAAATAAGAGAGGAATAAAGCGCTTCATGGCCATTCTTGCAGGTGGAAAGTGGTTGAGTTGTCGATGATGAACGTGAAGAACATGTTCTCGTCATGATTTATATAAAATCAACGGCTAGTAATTTAGAACCACTGCCTTCACGATGTCCACCAAGTCCACAACTCCACAACTCCACAAATCCACAAGTCCACAAGTCGGCCAGTTCACAAGTCCGCAAGTCCGAAAATGGTCTCTTACTTCCGAAGTCCTTTTCCATATTCAGTATTCTCGCGCGAGGACTTATTCAGCATTCTCGTACGAGGAGGTTGGTAGGAAGAACATAGCTCTACATGATTATCCGGGTAAGACCGGCTATGGGCGGAATGGTGGCGGTGCACGGTTCTTCTTCGATTCACGCTACTCATATCCACCCCTTTTAGCACCTATTTCAGACACCGCCACGTAGTATTAGTAGATAGCGCGTCCAATCAAGTTTGGTTGATCGTATATATGTCGGCCTCATACGGCTGTGCACGGAAAGTATCGGGTGAAGTGTGTCGAGGCAACCCATGGTCGTCATTTACACGTTGCTGCGCCCATTGCATAGCCATAGTGTCTGTATACGGCAAAGAGACAACGCAACGGATCGGAGGCGGATCGGAATCGGATCGGAAAGAGGACGGAGGTGACACGGAGGAGTAGGAAGAGCTGAGAGCAGCCTATTCCTCAACCAGTGGCCCAAGCTCTGCCTAGGTATTTAGCGCCGCCGACCGTGCACATTGCTGCGCCCTTCACCTCTTGCTGTCTTCAATCCTTAGCCCATATCTATTCGATCATTCTTCTCCAGGTGTCCGTGGGGGCTGATATCGCTTAGTCCAGCTAGCATTCTATGGATGTGCTCTAAATGCGGCCCCTTGTCTGTTAATAGAACGAATGGCTCTGTTAAGATTCCAAAAGCTTTCCGATATTTTCATAAGCTTGTAGACATATACTTGTAGTGAGAGGGAAAGTGGCTCTCACGCGCCCCGGGCGGACAAGCTGATTACTTTTGCATTCATATCTTGTTTCTGAGCGGGTTTGAGCAATTCCCATTGCTCAAGTGACTTCATACCAAGGGTAGGGTGGTGAAAAGTAGAGAGACGTAGGGAGGAAGCTATGAGATAACACTTGGGACGATGGGGCATTGCGCTGTATTTCGTATTTTCTGAAAAGTGGAGACTGCTCCTTTCGTCTTGATACAAGAAACTTAAGGCCACCAACCGCCTTTGTTTCACGTGGTTAAAGAGGAGGATCGCCCGAAGTTTATCGAAGTGTGTGGGCCTACGACCCGTGCTGCCGGAGCGCCTTCGGATACTTTCGGCTATGGGTAGTATCGAAAGTTCTCTGCCTACTAACTTATCTATATTATGACTACGTAGTTATAGGACCTTCGTAGTAATATGGACATGTAAAGGAACGTTCTTATGGAACGCTGAGCTTATTATGGTAGGTACACAGAAAAAGCAGAGATATCACACCATCTACAGTACCAAGCAGCCTCTACCGGCCTAACTCGGCAAGTCTCGGCAGCGGCTAGTAGGCTTCATGTTTAAATACTACTATAGCTCGGCCGAGACAACTGCACAAAGAGCATTTAAATCGCACTTCGCCCAGCGCTTGTAGTTCTCGCTACAGCAGTACCTTTACAGATTCTCTTCATCTCCACATGGCGTCCAATATACACTCTTTTGTGAGATACCCTAAGAGCGGCGTGTCGATCCTCATTGTTGGAGGAGGTATTGGCGGACTGAGCTGTGCAATTGAAGCACATCGTAAGGGCCACAATGTCCGCCTAGTCGAGAAGCAAATGGACATCAATGACGGAGGTGAGTGGAAGGTAATTCGGGGGTTCCGAAGTTCAAGTTAACATAAGTCAGGCGCCATCATTGCGGTCCCAAATCCTGCCGTCGGGGTCTTTTCCAACTGGCCCGGGTTCTTGGATCGCTGCCACAGACACGCGATGAACCCAATTTGTCGAATGATGAGAGGTGACAACACGCACATCAAAGACACCCCCTTGGCGCATCCAGAATTTCCGGCAATGCCAATCAATCGCCCCGCGCTTCATCAACTCCTCTTCGATTTCGCAACTGAAGTCGGGGTGCCCATCGAGCAGGGCAGGACGGTCAGCACCTACTTCGAGGATGAACATCAAGCCGGCGTTGTGTATGATGATGGAACCAGGGAGGTGGCTGATGTTGTCGTGGCCGCCGACGGCGTGGGCTCCAAGGCGCGTGAGCTTGTAGTTGGGGAGTACCAGGAATCCATTCCAAGCGGATTCGCCTGCCACCTTGCCACATTCCCTGCTGGCCCAGCTCTCGAGAACGAGACTATTCGAGACGGCTTCGGTGATTTCCTGAATGGTGTCATGTTCGCCCTTGGTCCAGGTGCTCACATGGCTGTCGGCCGGACGGATGAGATTTTGACATGGCTGATGGTGCACAAAGTGAGTACGCCGCATATTCCTCTCCCCCGCTCGATGTGATCACTAACATGCGCCTTAACAGGATGAAGGCAGCAGCGATGACGTATTCAAACAGGTTGTGTCAGCATCATCCGCGTCAAAGTATGTTGAGACCTGGGCTCCGTTCTACAAAGAAATCATAAACGCCACACCTCCCGGCAAGCTTCTTTTGTGGAGGCTCAAGTGGCGTGATCCACAGGGCACGTACATCTCTCCAAAAGGCCGTGTAGTTCAGATTGGCGACGCAGCGCATTCTTTTCTGCCTACGTCTGGTGCTGGTGCCGGCATGGCAATAGAGGATGCAGGATGCCTCGCTTCATGCTTGCAGCTTTCTGGAAAATCCAACGTTCCCTTGGCTTTGAAAGTTCATAATCTGTTTCGGTAAGCAGAATATCCTGGTTCAATGGAGATGAAGGAGACACTAACCAACTCGTAGATACGAGCGTGCGACTTGTGCTCAGAAAGTGGGCTTCAAAAACCGCGAGGTTTTTCACCAGGCCGACTGGAGCGTCGAGGTGGCTCCACAGACAGGAGGCACTTTCTCAGGAAAATGGCTTACTGGACACAAAGTAGAGGAATACGTCTATGAGAACTATGGCAAGGCTGTTCAGCACCTTCTTGTGGGTGCACCATTCAGAAACACGAACTCGGTTCCTGGGTTCAACTTTCGATCATGGACAGTCCGCGAGCTTCTGGAAGCTTCTGAGCGCGGCGAAGTTGACACAGATGAAGGTGACTGGTATAGTTAAGTGTTCTACTTTGATGACAGATTTCTTTTGCTGGGGTTTGGAGTTACTCATTAGCTAGAAAGAAATTGAAGCAGTTTTCTTCTTTCGATAGTGATTTAACCTTTAAGGCCTGACCTACATGAGAACAGACCGATAGCCAGCAGACTCGGGCTTATCAGATTAGAAGTATAGGAATTTCAGCATCGCCTCTATTAATACATCGAACACATAATTCAACCACTTAAGGGTGAAATGATATATTTGTATAAGTGGTAGTATAAAGAGCTCTTACGAGACTGTCATATCATTTGAGTTCTTCGATGTACAATCGGGGTGGCGTAGAAAAGGAATATTGTCATGGCGTTTACTCAAATGCGACGCACACCGATTGGTGTCGGACAATTATGATTTGTCGGGGTAGCTTCTCAAGCTCCCGCATTAGCGTCTTCGGCTGTGAAACGCGCTGATCCACCCTCGGCAATTGAGTCTCGTTCGGCTTTGAGAATAGTGCGCCGGCCTACTCTCCACAAGTGCGGCCCGGGCAACGTCAAACGACCTTCTACACTATGTTTAGCATAGGCAATTCGAGCATTGAAGCCACCGACAGCGCTCCTTTGCGGTTGAAAGTGAGGCTCCAACATGATTCATAACTTTGCTGATTAGTCGATCGTGTGGCATCCGCGACGATGACTGGGGTCCAAAGAAGCAATTCGACGGCGCCTTCACACATAAGCATAAAGGCCCACATGCCATATAAACAGTTAAGATAACCCTCAAACTACACTTCAACAAACATCCTGCATTCGACCACCACCCCAACCAAGCTCGACAACCCTCCAAGCAATGCTACCCACAATCGTCGGCTGCCCCGGTGCCTGGCACACCGCAGGCTTCTTCGACGAGCTCGCCACCAGCTTCCGCGCACGCGGCTACAACTTCGTCAGCCAGGACGCGCCGGGCGTGCTTGATCTGGCGAACGGCTTCGACGCCTCGGCAGACAAGGATGCTGACTCGCTGCGGGCGAACCTTCTCGTGCCACTGATCGAGTCAGGGCAAGACGTCGCGCTGCTGATGCATTCGTACGGCGGAGTTTACGGAGCAGCAGCGGTGCGCGGGCTGAGTAAGGGCGAGCGGCAGCAGGCGGCGGGCCACCAAGCGGTTGGCGGTGTCGTGGGCCTGATCTTCGTCAGCGCCGTCACGCCGGTGGCCGGCAAGTCGACGCTGGACATGATGGGCACCGACAAGGAGCATCTGCCGCCTTGGGTGGACTACGATGTGTGTGTGTGGTTTTCTTTTCTTTTTTTTTTCCCTCGCGGATACGAGGCCGCAAACCCCCGCTAAACATGCAACTGCGCCGCAGGACACTACCGGATTCGTCGCCTTCAGCGGCGCTCGGGACGTCATGTACCACGACCTTGCCGAGCCGATCGCCGCACGCTTCCTCTCCATGGTCAGGCCGCAGGCCCTGAACTCGCTTAACTCGCCTGTCAGTTACTCGCCATTGGCGGACCCGTTCTTCGCAAACAAGTCCGCATACGTCCTCTGCGGAGCTGATCGAGTCATCCCGCTTGCCGGACAGGAGGCCTACGCGGCGTTGGGTGGGATAGAGCGGACGGTGTTGGTGCCGCAGGCAACCCATGCCTTCTTCGCCACGGCTCAGGAGGAGGTGGTGGACGCAACAGTCAAGCTCCTTGAAGATATTCGCGCGGCGAACGAATGAGGCACGGGTGATGCGACGCACGGAAGCTGGAGTGGGGTACGCCAAGGACAAGGGTAGAGCAAGGGTATAGATCCTGGTGGCACAGCTGGTTTTAAATTCGGTAGAGTAAGAAATCCCGGACTTCCTTCCGCAGCCCCCTCTGTCCGTATTCGATGGGCGGAAGCCGCCGCTTAGTATTATCTAAGAGACCTTCTGGAAGCTGGTTCTCCTGATAGAATGATTCTGGTCCTTAAGCGCTTTTCTTCACTCCGACGCCTTCCTTCAATCTTGATGTCGACAGGCACATCGTGGCTGCCACCAACATGACTCCTGAGCAGGAGGCAGCCTTCCTCGCTCAGAACCGGCAGGGCGAGGTGTATGCCGTGCACATTTCTTTCTTCGTCTTGATGATGTTGATCGTGCCCGCGCGATTCGCGTCTGCGCGTGCGGCGAAGAAGCCTCTCTCGTGGGACGATTGGTTGGCGCTCATAGCCGCGGTATGTTGGAGCTGACACGACTCATATTGGTCGAAGCAGCGCTTACACACATGTGGCCTCTAGATAAGCACAGTTGGTGTTTTCATCGGCACAATGCTGTGGCTCCGCTTCGGCCTTGGCAGGCACGCTGCCGTGGTAATGCAAGAAGATCCAAACAACATACCTCGTTTCTTTCAAACGATCGTGGCAAACGAGATTCTCTACACCACGGGGTTAGCTTGTGCGAGGCTCTCGCTAGTATCCTTCTTCTACCGCATCTTTGGCGTTTTAAGCATGCGATTTTTTCTACATGGATTTGTCTTCGTCATCATCGCGTGGGCGATTTCTACAGTAAGACGAAAAAGCAGCGACTCCGTAGCTTAATTATTCTATTCGCTGATCACTCTATTAGTATGTCCCATCTATCCGCACCTGCTGGCCCATCGAAAGCTTTTGGGATGGGACAAACCAAAATTGCATCGACATCTTTAAATTCTACGTTGGTGTTGCCATCGGCGGTATCATAACAGACTTCGGCTTGATGATTCTTCCCATACCTTACATTTGGAGGCTTAGCAACGTGCCCCGGTATCAAAAAGTTCTTGTCATGTTCACACTGATTTTCGGAGGGTTGTAAGTAATCCCAAGCCATTCGCCTACCGCGATGCTGACCACCGTTCTTGCAGTGCTTGTTTCGTCACAATCATCCGTTTGGTGAAGATAACGCAGCTGGACCTCACAGATCCCACTTGGGGAACGGTCGATCTCATGATCTGGACTGGAATGGAAGTCTATAGGTGTGTATTCCCCGCCCAACCATACTTCCCTCCGACCAACCACGCTAAAAAATTAGTAGTGCAGTCATTTGTTGCTGTCTTCCCACCCTACGGCCATTAATCAAGGTTGCCGGAAGATATCTCGGTAAATCGAATTGGTCATCTACGCCTGCCGACAGTCATCCCAACGGCGTATGGACGAGCCCGCGTGGCCCTGAGAGATATCCGAAGAATCCGGCGTCAAATTCGGTTGAGGAAATACTACACGCTCGTAGCGTAGGAGATCTGGAGCTCTCCACCTACGATCCTGTAGAATCTATCAAATAGTAGCTTCTACCAATGGCTACTATCGATTTGATCTGCACGAATTCCCACAGAAGCCGCCATCGATTGGACACACCACGGAGGCCCCATACCAATGCCGGATTACCACCGACTCAACCACAGGCACGTCGATGTTGTTGAGGCTGCTAACGCAAACCAAGTCTAGATACTTGCAGCTGAAGCGGGTATGCTTAAGTATTTCTCGTAGGAAAAGCTTGTTCTACGACCTCGATAACCCATGGTGCCTCCAAGGACGATCGACATTCCCCTTGGAGAAGAAGTGCAGAAGCGCCAAGGAGGAGAGCAGATCGACTTCGATTGGATAAGACTCAATTTTCGTTGAGCATCCCGTTGTTCAATCCATTCATAATGGTACTGGAGGAGATTGCCATACCATTTGAAAATGAGATGAGAATTGGGGACATCTGTCTACGCTTCACCACCATTCCCATCCTTTCATCCAGATTTAGTAGCCGCCAACCCCGTCCTCAGCCATCGGCTTAAACTCGACAGTCGTCGGCTCCTCCGTAATCCCCCTCCGCACAGCCTCCTCCATAATCGCCACCGTCGCCGTCGCCCCGATCCTCGTCACACCCAGCGCCATGACGTGCAGCAAATCATCCAGCGTCCTCACACCCCCCGCCGCCTTGACCTGCACCCCCGGCTTCGAATGCTCCCTCATCAACTTCAAATGCCGCACCGTCGCGCCCTTGTACGCGTACATCCCGCCCGGCTGCTTCACAAACCCGTACCCCGTCGACGTCTTCACAAACGCCACGCCCACATCCGAGCATATCCGACACAGCCGCACAATCTGCTCGTCTCCCAGATAGTCGTTTTCAAAAATAACCTTCAGCCCCGCCCCCCGCGCCACCACCGCCTCGTTCACCTGCCGTATCTCGTGCTCCACGTACCCCCAGTCGCCGCCCAGCGCTTTGCCGATGTTGATGACCATGTCGATTTCCTTCCCGCCCGCGGCGGCGGCGGCGGTGGCCTCGAGGACTTTGATCTCGGTCGTGCTGTTGCCGTGTGGGAAGCCGATGACGGGGCAGACGTGGACGGTGGTGCCGGCTAGCTCGCGCAGGGCCAGCGGGATCAGGTAGGGTTTGATGCAGGCGGTGGCGACGTTGTGGCGCTTGGCGATGGCGAGGCCGTGGAGGATGTCGGCGTCGGTCATGGTGGGGTGGAGGAGGGAGTGGTCGATCGTTTTGGCGAGTTGGGTGAGGGTGACGGTGATGGTGTTGGTGTTGGTGGCGGCCATTTTTTGAAGGGTTGAGAGGTGGCTTTGAGGGTTTGAGGTTTCGTTGGAATGGGTGAGAATCAGGTGCTGGAGATGGGATCTTTGTTTGTTGGTGATGTTGCCTTTATATCAAAACTGTTCTTAGGACTAGGCTCTGTACGAGAGCTAGTTTGAACACCAGGTTTTCCACTATTCACTGGAAGTGACACGGCTCCGGTGGAATGCATTGCCAGATTCGGTAAGTGGCAATTGTATGATGACGGGTTGAGATTTTGGCACCGTGACCATCCAGGACCAGCGAGACCGAAGAGCCACGTGCCGGAAGACCATTTACTTCTAGAGACGGAGATTCTGGCCCCATATCCAATTTTGGTCCTGGCCGCCAAAGCAGCTTCCAGTCGCATATTCAGGGCCGGCGGCTCCGAAAGTGGCCTCGTCAGGTTGGTCACTGGGTGGATAATTCATAACTGCAAGCCGAGTTAGAATAGATTTCAAATAAGAATGGTGCGTGAGCTACCTTGTTCAAAGTCGATTAACGCCTGTGTAACGGTTGGGTCTTCATAAAAGTCGAACGATAAAGCGTCTAATTCTTCTGAAGACGGAAGAAAATTTGTGTCCAATCCGCCCTGAAAGCCCTCACCGGTGTCGGTCAAGCTCAGGGCTGTTCCCAAATTCGTCTGGGTCTCACTAGTGTTGTCCCTAACTGCGACCTCATCACGTAGGTGGCCTGAGTCGTGTGTCTCCTCGTCATATGGTTCCGGAACCTCGAGCATCTTCTCCATCTCTTTTTGCACAACGAGAGATATCAATTTCTTTAGGATCATGTAGCCCTGCTCAGCCACAATGGACCTGGTCTTCAATTGAGCCTGCATGGCCATCAACCTTCGCATACCCAGCTTTGATTCATGAGATTCCTGACTGAGGGGATCCAAGCTCGTCATTATTGACAGTGCAACCGCTGCCGTGAACAGGTGCAGAGAGATGAATGAGACGGCGTAGGTATCAGCACACTTGCTAAATGTTGGCGTGGTTCCCAGTCGAGATATCTCTAGTGCAGCATCTCGACAAGCTAATACAGAAATGCGGAACGGGTCCGACAACTGAGTCTGTTGGGATGCATTGAGCCCTCCGGAAGCTTGAGGATGCACAACCATCTTGTATGACAGCAACGGTCTGTGTACAAGGATTCTGGCATTCTCGAACGCCAGCTTTAGAGCAAGAGCTTGAAGCTCGAACAGGTGTTCTTGAAAGGCATCGTCTGGGTGTGCTGCTTCATCGCCAGATGGCCCCATGGAACGAGTCTGCGTGCCTCGGGCATTGCGCTTTTCATCGATCTTGAGTCGTCTCGGGAGTTTTTGATACCATGTCTGGAGCCTTGAATCTAGGCTGGATACAGTCGTGACCATGGCTTGTAATCGGGATGCATTGACCTCCGCCAAACCACGATTTGCAGGCAAGCCTTGACGTAGTCCATAGAGCTCTGTCAATGCTGACTTGACAATGATCGACAAGGTGACCATGGAATATTTGTAAGAAAGCAGGGTGGCTTGGCCTGTGCTCCTCCAATCTTTAGATGTCCAGGACGAGTGCTGTGACCTCAAAGGATAGGGATTGAGCAGCTCAATGTCGCAGTCAACATCATTGATGCTGAGGGGGAAGCCGTAGAGCATGGAACAGAAAGTTTCAATCTCATACACTGCCCACCAGCACCGCTTACGGGTCTCTTCCGCACGTTGAATGGAATCATCCAAATCAGGGGTATGAGAGGTTTTTGATGGCTGCCGTCGATGTAAGTTCAGAGCTTGAGCGATTCTCAATCCATTTCCGCAGATTGGCCATGCTAATTGGGGATCACCATGGTACAGGTAAAAGCTGCCCAGCAAAACGCAAGTCTGGACAGCATCAATAGATCCGAGCGAAACGATGTCGAGTATTCGTAGTCTCAATGTCGTTAGCAGCTTCTGTTGTAAGTTACTCAGCTGCACTCCATGGCGGATGGCTATATCCTTCTGACGACAGTCAACATGCTGTGAGCTCACTACAATGACGGCAGCAAACACCGCAAGGAAGCCCAAGCGGACGTTCTTCTCTGTAGACGTCTGGCTGATGAAGTCATACAGCTGTTCGAAGCCCTCCCTGAAGTCTGACTGGTGGAAAACCAACATGAACCAGTGGATCCGGTCAAAGTAGTTGTCAACAAGCAAAGTAGCTACTTCAATCGAGGGCAGAATCGATAAAAGTTCGGCTTCAGCTGACGCATGTATTCCACAGCTCAGGAAATGGGGTTCACTCTGCGAGGGAGCTTGGTGGTAAACCTCTTGTCTCATCCACGGTCTCACAGAGAGTGCTGATGTTTCCTGCCCCGCGAGGGTTGGCGCATCATGCTGGTGAAATGCCTTTAGTCCACATTAGTAAACTTTGAATGCTGGTAGGGTGTTCCGTGTCCAGAACCACTAACCTCTTCCATGAAATTGATGGCCGCCGACGTTGAATTCCAGGACGACTCGTCTGCCACAGGGGAGTGCGATGCCCTTACCCGTGGACTCACTCGGCCCATGTCAACGCCACTTGGCCCCGGCGGCGGATTGGCACCGACTTCATCCTCAGATAGGTGAGATTCCACGGTATCGTCTTCCGGTGGAGCTGCCCGGCGAACTCGCTTTGCCGTCGAATGGTCCGTTGTGCTGCAGCTCTTCCGAGTTCTTTTGGTAGGTTTACCTGGCCCGTATGCCTTCCATTTGACCTTGTTCTCGGCAGTGGAACATTCGACTTTGGCTCGCACACAGAGTGTGCATGGACGTTGGACGTCGCACTATGCGTAGAATGTTAAGCCGAGGTCACAAGACCGGGAGTGGCGGGAATCGTACTTTCAGCTTTTGCCGCCTGCATCTTTGGCAGGCACTCGGTACCTTTTTTGAAGTGAGTGGCTCATCCATACTCTCAGCGGAACGGCGATATTGATGAGCCTTGTGAACTGCTATCGGGAATGAAGTTGTTATCTCAGCTGGTGACGCATTCCGGCGGAATAGTTGTCCCGGAGATCTTTACCATTTACGGAAATCAATTCCGGTGGACAACCTTTCCCTATGCAGTTGCACCAGTGGTATGCTTCGCCGAGTATGCATACCTACGCATTTGTAGAAACGTTTGTCAGTGTCTCATTACTATAGGGCGGGGTTAGAAAATCAACATATATGGATATGATCAATTTGGGCATAAAACCTCCTGCGCAGATCCTGGCTAAAAACTGCCCGAAGATGCAATAGTTGCCGACAACATTAAAAGACTTCAGCCTAGGCTATTGTTTCCTTCTTACGCGGTCGAACCCGTTAGACAGCTCAGTCAAGGCTTGAGTTCAGCAGGCAGCAACTCTGTCAGCCTTGCATTTCAGCCCCGCATCTGAATTTCAGCTCAGCCTTGCGTCTGACAACTAACTGCTAATAAGGCTGTCCTCTCCCCTCAATCATGGAGCTTGAATCTCCTTTCTCCACCTACTCTCACCATGTCGGGTGCCGAATTCGTGGCAGTTCTCAGCATCGGAGCGAGCGTAATTGCCGTCGTCGACGCATGCAACAAACTCCGCAACCGAATCAAAGAGTTCGAAGATGACCAGACACTTCGCGAACTAGCCGCCCAGCTTCGGCTCTTCGCAAACGGCATCGAGATCCTGAGGCAGCAACATGCCGGTGAGGACCTTGATGCTCTCACGCAAGATGCGCTGATTGAGGTGCTCGACTGTTGCGGGAAGCGTATCAAGGAGCTCGACGTCCTGATCGTCTCAGCTTTGCCTACTCAGAAAAACACTGGATTCAAACGCACCAGGGCGGCCATACGCAACCTACGGGACAACAAGAGGGTCAGAGATATTTTGAACAGCCTGCAGCGATGTCAACAACTGCTGGTTTTCCACATGGCAAGCGTATCAAAGCGGCGACAACGACACCAGGCTCAGGATCCGCAGAGTGCCTCTGGTATCTCCAGTGCACATGAACCTTCCCCCAAATTTTGCCTCGATAATGTCAGAAAGGCACGACTTCGTTGTTGGACTCCTCCGAAATCTGCACAAAGCTGCGTACGAGGTACCTGTGGTTGTGCATGTCACAATATGACTATGCCTCTGCTTGGAGTTATATCTTTCAACTTTCCTTTCCCGTTCTTATCGGAGTGTACCTGCGTCGATATGACTGCTGGAGTCTCTTTTTTTGCATTGCGAAGGATCTTGACCTTCAACGTGTCTATAGCTTGGATGGATGGTATTTCGATTGGGGCCTCCCTGAAATTTGTCAACACTGTTCCATACTCAAGCCCTGGCCTGGCTACGTTGGCGAAATTCTCCAGCGAAGTGATGGGGTCTGCAAAGACAATCAAAACACTTTCGACCCTAAGAAGGAAGAATTTAATCGATTTCAACGAGGTAACATTAGGCAATGAAGGATACCTTGAGGTAAGAGGATGTGAGTGCATAGGGCTAGTAGACTTTGCTAACTGAAAAGAAGAGAGCTTTAAGACATAGCCAGCAGCACCTCAGAGAGCCAAAGCCCATTATGGATGTCGTTCGATATTTGACTGAACAAGGAGTGCAGTGGAGATCTCCGAGGTAAGCTAAGAATAATCAAGACTGCTGTATCATAGCTGATCTGGAAGAGACCAATTACTATTTGCCTGAAATATCTGAAAGACGGATACAGACGTGGGTTCTCGGCCAAAGAGTTCTTTGCTTGCGTACCCCCCTTTGAATTGAACGATGAGCACATGTTTGCCTTCGATTTCGCTTCATACGTGAGCACTCATAAAAACGGTATCCCCGATTCGCTCCGGGCAGCCTTTGACATTTCCAAATGCGACAATAGTACGTCATGCAAATTTAGGATTCATTACAAGATGTACTGACTGAAACAGTCTACGGTGGGACTCCAGATATTCAATATACTGTCATGACGGGAACGTTAGACGAAGTCATGGCTTTGATGGAAGGAAATCCGGGATTAAATCTCCGAAAGACAGATATCTTCGGGCACAGTGCACTTCATGTTGCTGTCACAAAGCCTCAAATCCTAGCGTATTTGTTACGCAACGGCTTTGTCGCTGAGATTGAAGCGCGCGATCACACTGGGATGACGCCTTTGATGTATGCAGCGGCAGCCAAACAACTCACATCGGCCAAACTTCTTCTGGACTATGGCGCGAATCCATGGGAATCTCCCAATCGTCCATTTGCGCACCTTGACTCAATATACTGGGCAGCTCGTTGTGCGATATACCATGGAGACCCATCTGTATTCACTGAATTCTTAGACCACTATCTCGCATCGGTCTCCCAAGGCCAGGCACGCAATGTTGTGGATCACTGCCTAGAACGCCTCAGCAGCGAGGGATATTATTGTTCAAATGAAAGGGAGAGCGGCACGAACACAGCGATATTCATGTACCTGCTACGTCTAGGAGCGGATCCAAACCAGACAGAAACGGACGGAAACACTTTCCTAGGAAACGCTCGGAATGCAGCAAGAACGAGATTGCTGTTCTCCTCATGCAGCAGAGCAGTCAAACGCCCGAACACCCGCGGTTATACACTATTGATGGCCGTTGCGAGAAAGGAAGAGCCCCATCTCGTCCAAGCTCTCCTCCGCGCAGGAGCTGACGCGAGGATAAAAGACAAGCGAGGCATGTTGGCTTTGCATCACGTTATTGAGCGTCTGATGCTGAGTTCATATTTCATCAATACACAGTATCATCTCTCTTTAGTGGGATGGTCATATCTTTCCTCATCCTCCTTTGTGTGGGAAAACTGCGGTCCCAGGAACGCCATTGTCTCGGCCGTATTGCTCGCTCGCGCAGGCACTAGCTTATTGGATGGTGACTCCTGCATGTGCTACTGCTCTCCGGGGGGTTGTACACCATTACAAAAGCTTATCAGTGATTCCAGAGAATGTGCGCTGAACCGAGAGATTCTTCTCTATCAGCTGCCATGGGTATTGGAGCTATCACTCGTTATGGAGGTCTGTGGTATCTGCAGTATCCTCGAGGAGACCATTCGCATTCTCGTACGACAAAAGCTCTTTGATGAGCTAGAAATGACACATACTTGCTGCAATAAAAAGCTGTGCTCTGGCGGTATCTATTGCCGGCATGAGTTTTGCTACAAGTATGGCTCTTCCGAAACCATGGACTTGACCACTTACCATGACGATATGGTAGAAATTCAAGAAGAGGAGGAAGAACTCAGCAAACAGCTCGAATCCACACTTCAGGAGTGTGAAATACTCAGCTCACCTTTGGACGAGAGCCAGCTTCTCAAACAACTCGCCGACTGGGCTGTCGAGCTGGAGGCCCGCCCAGTTGAGTACATGGAATTTATTAACATGTGTCGATATCGATGGAAGAAGGAGAAAATAGAGGTCAGTATCTCTAATTACACTCATCTTTCTACCCAAAAAAAGAAAAAAACAAGAAAACTAACTTCCATGTTTTGAGAGTAGAGCCAATGCAGAGATATAACATCTATAAGCGTAAGATTATAAAGCATATGTGGAGCTAAGTTTTGTGGCTGATTTGATTTAATTGTACCCCTTAGCATGATCCTATGATAGTTGTGGACAACTCCAACGGAGAAGTCATTTGCGTCCCAAAACCAGACCCGCCAAAGACATGGACTGCGTCTGATTTCATAAACGTCTATCTCGACGACTTGAGGAAACATCCAGGCTACTTAGATGGTTTCATTGATCTTGGAATCGATTCAGCTGCTCTGGCTTTGCGTCGAGAAGCACTGGCGAAGCAGCTGATGGAAGAGATAGATCGTCTGCGAATCCGCTAGCTTAGGGGGCTGCTCTTGAAATTGAGAATAGAATGATCAGACTCATTGATCGGTGAACGACCTTTCCTAGAGTACGGAGAAAAAAATGGACTATCGAAGAGACTGCCACAAAGTCTGTCATAAAATTTTCTTTGGGGGACTACTAGAGGTTCATTCATTATGTCGCATAGCCGCCCTCGTTGTAGTAGGCAGTGATATATCCATTGAGAACTCGAGGATATACGCGCAAAGCTAGTAATTAAGGTCTTTGTTAACCTCGATCAATGCAAAGATCTTCCTCGACCCTGCTTGCTTTCATTGTATGGCCGATATAGGTCCCGATGGTAGCTTTTCACCTAGATTAGCTAATTTTGATAGTTAATAACAAGGGAAAATGGGGTGCAGGTCACAGAGCCTTGCCAGTTTCAACAGGACATTTTTATAGAGCCAAAAGAGTCAATTTGTGGCGGACGAAATTCCGCACCAACTAAACTGCAGTACTAAATTGGAAAGGACTGAGGCGATTGATCAACCTGAGACGGAGGAGTCATACAAAGGAAACAAATACCACAACGCTAGTGCTCTCCGCAACTTTTCTACTTCTCGAACTTCCACTTTGCCTGTTGATTGCCGTCAGGGCCCGTGGCAATGAGGTAGATATCAGTAGTTCCGCCACCTAGCTGCTGTTAGCCGAATTATAACGCATCGAAACAGAGAGCAACGCCTACCGGTGATGGTGACGGTTGTGCCAGGAATAAAGCTCTGTGTGATGTCGGCGCCGAATTTCCTGGACTGGTCCGAATTGGTGTAGTAAACCTTGGCCTCGATGGATTGCAGGCTCACTTTCCTCGTGGTGGTTGTGTTGTTTAAGCGTTTGATTCCGTCGCCAAGGTCGATGGACGCCACGGCATCATCCGCCTCGATGGAGATGATGTTGTCGTTGAAAATGATGACAGTCATGGTTAGGTATGTCCCAGCTCGAAGACGAGAGACTGTATGAGTGATCGAGAGGACTGAGGAGGCGGGTTTGTATACGTTAAAAGCGTTCCACGTGTGATATATATATGTTCGTCAACGTACTATGTTACGACGCTTTTGGCTTCATCCGCCGAAGATATCGGGTGCCGGAACTACCTCAGACCGACAGATCACTGTGTACTGCTCTCTGCATTGCTTTAAGAATGCATTATCGTCTCCAGGCCACCTATATGCCTCATTTGGCAATAATCCCGGGCGTTTGCGTTATGTCTACCCGCCCTGCTTCCCGATTCCCAACGATCGCCGTAAGCAGACTCCATTTTATGAGCTTATTTCGGTTCTCACTACTCAAAAACTTCCGCGATATTCGCAATGCTTGCCAGAAGCAGAGTTGTTGCGGTCGTTGCCGCTTAGCACTATCCGTCCATCTTCCGGCGCTTGTCGTCATCATGACCTCTGCTGTGTAACTTTCTCCATATGGTAGTATATTGCGACTTGGGTGCAGCATCTCCGCGGCGCAATATGATCAAATTGCTGTAGACATACGCGTTGAATACTACTTAAAGGCACCATAAGCTGTGTACATGTCTTGGTAGCATCTTGTGCCGGCGTAATATCTCTTGAGGGAAAATGTTGCGAGTTCGATGAAGCGTCCCGTCGGGGAACTAGCATCACGACAATGCTACGGAAGTGTCTTCTATTACTTCACACTAGACTAGGCTGATTCAAGACGCTTTTGCAAGCTCATGTTCGTGGAATTCCCCCATGTGGTGATTTGTTGCGAGCCTGATGACATTTTCTCCCGAGACACCGACTTATGTGCATTCGATAGCTTTCATTTCGGGGATCGAGGACATGTACCTTTTAGGCCCCACAATAGTAGAGTAGCAGCCATTAGACAGATAAGATCCAAGGCGTGAGACTGTCCTTGCCATCAGAACAAAGCCATTTCTCGTTCGCACTTCTCAGTCACATCAATACTTTTGATTCATAGCCAGCATCTCTTTTCAATTTCCTCCCCTCCATACAGCGCACGATGACCAGTTCCTTTCCACCCGGAAGCGGCCATAACGCGGTGGAGATTGGCAAAACGTACTGCGTCAGCCAACATGGTACCAAGAAGGTATTGACACAAGCCAACGGCTCCGCGGGCCTGACTTGGAAGGACTATACCGGTAGTTCCGACCAGAAGTGGAAGTGCGTCACGGAAGAGAAGAACCAGCTGCGCTTCCAGAACGAAGCCACCAATGCATACTTGTGTAGGAACGAGAACAGCAAACTCTCAGCGTACACAAAGGAGGATATTGGCGACGCAGTAACCAAAGCACACTTTCAAGTCGGCCGCCATACCCGCGGTGGCTCCTTCTTGAGCCAAGTTATCAACGACGAGTTGTTCTTCTTGACACGACCCACAGAAAGCGCTGAGGCGTTCGTGCAGATGGACTCTTCCGTGCAGATGGACCCTTCTACGATCACCCAACTCGGCATCCATCTGGTCGAGGAGGCACTGTCGCCGCTTAGGCGCTTCGGGTGGGTGATTCAGGGCTTGCTCGCGCGCTCCTCGGCGCCGTACTACGTCTCACAGGACTCGGACCAGAACATGGACGCAGCTGCAACCAGCCAGTTGATCGCTGAGGGCGTCAAGGACATCATCAGCCTGAACGAGGTCGAGCTGGGGGCGGAGGTCGTCCAGGCGCTCTTGGAAAAGGGCATATCGTACTTGTGGTCCCCCATCAAGGACTTTGGAGCGCCGACGGAGGACGGCTGGAAGAGCATCAAGGAGCGGTATCAGAAGAACAAGGCCGAGAACAAACCGACGCTAGTTTACTGCGGGTATGGTCACGGGAGGACGGGCACCATCATTTCCGCACTCTAGATCCTGGACGGTTGTCGTTTCCGCAACCTCCGTGAGTGCAGCGAGAAACACCACGTTGAGAAGACAGTCCAGTGGGAATTTCTTGACACCTTGCAAAAGTCTCTGGATACGCTTAGGCAGTAATTTGGCTTGGGTGGTACTGGATTTGGCTTGCGTTTGTTGCTAGCAGTTGCTGATGCTGCCATCATGACCACGGGATCGAAGACGTTGCATTTCTTATTTCTGTCACGACACACGGCCTCCTCCTAACCCTATCATACACGCACATATTTCCTCTTCTTGCTATCTCTAGCTTGTTTTTGGTTTACTATAGTCTTTCTTTTACCCCTACAGAGTCGTAGAGCCCGCTCGTAGACTCATTACCCCCATCCCTATGTGCCTCTACCTTCCGTAGCTTCCCCACCACTCGCTTCCCATAGTACATGAATTAATGGTGTTATTGTAGCTTGATGTGTGTCAACCTCGTGACTACGTCGCCTCATCTGCTGCATGCGGCGCCGTCGTCATTGTCGTTATCACCATCAACAGCAGGTACCCCCGCTAACTAATTCGGACAGCTGCCGTTTCCGTGACCTCCATGAGTGCAGGAAGTGGGACTAAGATGGGTAGGATGTATAGAGAAACATTATTGACATGCTGGAGAATACTTTAGTGAACGGCGTGGTGCGGTTTGTATCTGCAATTGCTTCCATGTTTTGCGCTCAATCAATGCACCATTCTTGGTCCTCGCTTAAAGTCTTCCATTCCACTGCGTGGCATACACCGTCGATAGTTATCCTATGTCCAGACGTCTCAACACCTTTCCTTTCAGGGTCTATGACTGCATTCCTCCACTGCTCTAATTCCAGAGACTTGGCAAGTGGATGATTTGTCAATTCGATGACGGTACGCAGGGTTCGCCTTGCGTATAGAATGCCATGCGTGTCAGCGTAGATGTAAACTAACGCAGAACTTGTGAAAGCGGATGGTGAGTCAAGCGTGAGATCCTCCTTGATTAGGAGCGCCGCATGACTATACCTCATTTCTGCATCATCCGGGACGGGAGCTTGAAATATGCCTCCGCCATTCACTCCCATTGCAGGATTACACACATGGAATGGCCATTTTCCAGATGCGTCACGGAGCCAGAAGGAGAAGTTGATTGGCCGATCCACGGCGTCGAGAAGGAGGAAGCCTCGGCAGCGGACTCGTAGCCCACAAGAAGTGGGTCTTCCACTTTCACCGAATTTCAGGAAAATGTGGTCGCTTTTGTCGAGCAGTGTGGGAGGGGCCCAGCGAAATCCAGGTTTCGTCAATCGTGGTGCCCTTGAAAACAAGACTTGGATGGGTATAGATGGACATTGCTTCCAAAATGTGTAAATTCTGTCTTCCGGTTTTGCATCCAGTATGGGCCGTAGATCGAGGTTCATCATTGCTCCGACGCAAATCGGCTCGTCCTCTGCGACGCTGGTTGTACGTCCTGCAATAGCATCCGTAATATCCGCTATGTGGAATGAAGTCGTCGGAGTGGCCTCACGCGTGTTGATTGCCCCTCGTACCAGCGAGTATGTGCTAAGGATTCCGCTCAGAATCCCGCTGTAGTTCACGGAGCTCACCCTGTCGTAGTGCTCCGCCATGAAGCGAAACAAGTCCTCGAAATAGAAGAGTCCATCCGAAAGAAGAATGTATAGTTTCGTCGAGAGTGCACCCTCTTGCCAAGTCCAAAGGCGGCTTGCCCAGCCGGACGTGAAGATCCTTACGGCTATCTCAATAAGAGGTGCTTCTTTGAGACTGAGTTTCTCAAGCTCGCCATCCAGGACCAGCACCACGTCAGACCGCTGGTACGTCTCTCTCATCTTCCTGATGGCCAGAGTCCTCATCTCCCTCGGATTGATTGGGCAACAAAACGTATCCAGCCAAAATGCAGAGAAATCATTGCCATTTGGTAGAGATTGGATTGCGTTGCAGATCTTCCGCACCTGGCAACGAGCAACCGAGTTTTTCCAGGGATTTCCAAGGCCATCAGACCATACGTGCGAAATCGCCACGTACTTGACATCTGGGATGGAGGTGTTAAGGAAAGCTGAATTCTCTTTCTCCATCGGCTCCCCAGTCCGGATCAAGGGAATGTGTCCGCTTTGTAAAGTGGAACACATCTCCTCCAAATCAATCCCCACGTGCTCGCAATTACAATTCTCTTCCGCGTGACGATGGATATACCGGCTTTTACAGATTTGGTAAGCGACACAATGCGCAAGCGTGCATGAGCCGTGATCGCGTTGGTCATCTGGCGGGCCGAGGTAGAGCGCGTAGTACCTGAACGACAGTCGTTCGTCCCTCAGCCTACCTACCACTTGAGGGCACCAGCCAGCGGCCGCAAGCTGAGCATCTAGGAAATCCACTCTGTCATTGTATTCGAGCAACGCCCCTGAAGCAGTATTTGGCAAGACCATGGGTGGATGGAATCTGCAAGATGTACAGAGGTCGAAATTATCCGGGTCTTTTTGACAGAGACCAGAGTGCAGAGTGTCGAGAAAATCCAGTAAGAAGCCTATAGAAAGTATGAAGTTCGGTTCGAGTGTGCAATGCTCCACGATAGTTGCGTATATGTTGTGACCGATTCCCAGAACATGGCCTTGTGCGCCGAGCTCGTGCCTGTCTAAAGGATGAATTTCGGTGTGTCTGATGAATTTCCCGGCTATGTGCATCAAGTTCCTTGTGTGTATGGACGGTGGTTTGAACGGGTGCTCGTCAATAAAGTCATCGAAGTTGACGAGGTCGCCAAAGAAGGCATGTAGGGAGCCAAAGTACAGCCAGGCTTGTAGCAAGCCTTTGGCTTCTGCAAAAGACCTGTAGCCTTCTTTCCCAAGCCGTTCCCATGTTTCGGAGCCAAAGACCTCATCGTACGACCAGCCGGCCCGGACCGGATAATCTAGGAACTCTTGACAGTCGTATTCTTCCAAACAGACGTATGGAATCGAAGGATATGGAAGGATTGGGTTGAGTGGCTTTGGAAGATGGTCCATCTTGAACTTGGGATAGTGAAAGAATATTTTAAGAGGGCGCAAGGCTGAGAGCTGACGTGTGTAGATTTGGGTTAATCATCAGGATGTCGTGGTCCAATCGCGTTCGCGGACCAAATTAAAAGCGGCGTGGCCGCAACAGGCTCAGCTGCACACCACTCTAGAAATATTGCTATTTGGGTAACATGATGCTGCATCCTGGGGCAGGTTTGTCCAATAAAAACCCCGACAAACTTGTTTCGCCAATGACGTATCTTCTTGGCTCGCAAAATTTGTGCAGCCCCGACGTAAGCACGCATCAAAGCCCTGCCTCTTCAAAGTCCCAGATGCCAATCAATGGAAGTTCGGGGCCAAGTAGCTCTCGCTGATTTGTGGAAATGGCCTGCATGTCATTCCCCTCACACGATTGCTGTAAGGCAGAATGCTGACATGTCTGCCTTGCGCTCAGCCGCATCGGTGCGCATAACTTAAGATATGAGCAAGCCCTTGACATTTGTATCGGTCGTTCTTTCAGCTGTCAAGCCCCCGACTTTTTCCGATAACTTCCGACATACTTCAGGTCAAAAATCACACTGAGTTCAGGTGATGCTCCGCCGGTGTATGGCTGAGAAGTAATAGGACTGCAGGATCTGAAACTGATTCTCGCAAAACGCACATGTCGATGCCAACGATGACCGATGTCGATATCGATCCGGACCCCAGCATCTACACTGTCGGATGGATCAGCGCAATCTCCACAGAACTAGTTGCCGCACGCGAGTTTCTCGACAAGGAACACAGCCGCCTGTCCAACCAAGCGCCAAATGACAGCAACATCTATACTCTCGGCGAGATGGCTGGCCACAACGTCGTCATCGCAGTGCTTCCAGACGGCGAATATGGGACTAGCTCTGCAGCTAGTGTAGCGACAGACATGCTGCGCACCTTCAAGAATATTAAAATTGGACTGATGGTTGGTGTGGGCGGAGGGGCACCAAGCAGGCGGGATGATATCCGCCTCGGCGACGTCGTTGTCAGCTCCCCACGGGCCGGAAAGAGTGGTGTCTTTCAATACGACTATGGCAAGACCATTCAGGGATGTGATCTCGAGCATACCCGGTCCCTCGCCCCACCACCTCCATTACTCCGTGCGGCAGTCAATGATTTAAAAGGACGGTTTGAGGCATCTGGTCACCATATTGCCGAAGACATTGAGGCCATCATCAAGAATAAGCCCCGACTCGGAAGGAATTATAGCCGACCCGAACCAGACTCTGACCGTCTCTACAAATCAGACTACATCCACTCTGATCCGTTTCTAAGCTGCATAGATTGTTGTGGTAACGGAACACACAACATAGTCCATCGGAGGCAGCGTGACGAGTATGAAGACGACCCAACCATCCACTATGGGCTTATCGCCTCGTCAAACCAGCTCATGAAAGATGCCCTCTTGCGGTACAAGCTCGTGGGAGAGCATCAGGTTCTCTGCTTCGAGATGGAAGCGGCGGGATTGATGAATCATTTCCCTTGCTTGGTCATCAGGGGAGTTTGTGACTACTCCGATACACACAAAAACAAGCGCTGGCAGGGATACTCGGCTATGACTGCAGCTGCGTATACCAAAGAGATCCTTCGGCTGATACCTCCAGCCCGAGTCCAGGCTGAACAGTCGCTAGCAATGTCTATTCACTCAAGTTAGTCAATTCAGTTTTCGCATCTAAGCCTCATTGCGCTAACGTGTTAAGTGGACGAAAAATTGGACCATATAATCTCAGACACGCAGCGACTGATGACCGCGAAGGAAAACGATGAGATAATAGAGTGGCTGTCCCCACCTGATTCATCCGTCAATTACGAGCAAGCTTTGAAGGGGCTCCATCACGATGCAGGGTCGTGGTACCTCACTAGTCAGCAATTCAAGGAGTGGAGAGCCGCTCCGAAATCAGTCCTATGCATTTACGGTATAGCTGGCTCTGGGAAAACATCCCTCAGTGCCGCCGCTATTCGCGTTCTTTGGACGACTTGCATTTACTTCTTCTTCGACTTTCGGGACCCCGAAAAACACACAGTGGAGCAACTTCTACGTTCACTCGTCTTTCAGCTATACTCAAACCCTAGTATGAGAAAAGCGCGATATTGGTTAAAAGAAAACTTTTCAGCGCTTATGAGGGGACATGAAAAGCCTCCCGATCAGCGGCTCTATTCAGCACTGAAAGGAATGTTGGAAATGGTGAATGATATCCACATCGTCGTAGATGCTCTTGACGAGTCAAAAACACAGCAAGGAATAAGGTGGTTTGTACGATCCGTAACGGACGAATGCAATGTGCGCATTCTGCTTACGTATCGAGAGTCTTCCCCCATAGATTCGCTCATGAGTCCTTCCTCTCTTGGCCCTATACCAGTCTTTTGGCGACGAATGAGTGGTGACGGGCTGATTAAAGAGATTTGGGACTACGTTAGTCGGCGAGCCAAAGACAAAAATGAAGCTTGGAGTCCGGGGTTATCTCCCATGCGAATCACGATGGGAGTCTGTACGAAGGCCAATGTCCTGTAAGTATTCCTTTATATCGTGAATGAGACTACATCTGACGATCTTATAGATTTCGATTAGCTGTTTGTCAGCTCGACCATCTGAAAACTTGTGTCAATAAACAGGACCTCGATGCGGAACTTCGTCGTTTGCCATCCACACTTGATGAGATTTATTCGAAATCTTTGGAGAGAATACCTGCAATACAACAATCGAGAGCGATGCGTCTTCTGAGCCTACTGGCCTATTCATCTAGGCCACTTTCTGAGAAAGAGGCCAAACATGCACTTTCACTTCGCACAGGCACCGACGTCTGCTGGGAGAACGAACTAGATTGGCAATCAATCAAAGAAATCACTCTGAGCCTGACTACGGAGACAACTGTGGAGATCTTCGGTGTACAGTTCCGAGCGATCCAGCTTGCACATAGTTCAGTCAAGGACTTCCTCCTTTCTCAGTCAAAGTGCAGCTTTTGGTGCCTCACACAAAGCAAAATATGCACTGCGGAAACATGTCTCACCTACCTATTGCAAGTCAGCAAAGAAAGTAGGCAAACTATTGACCTCTCCCAACACCAATCCAAAGCACCCGGTGTACTTCTCAGAAATTATCCTTTCTCCGGCTGGGCAGCAAATAATTGGACAAATGTTGCGAAATCCCAGGAAGTGCAACATGCCATTTTATCTCAGATCACACAGCTTTTCCAAGACGAACACGCCTTCTGGTTCTGGAGGGCGATCATTAGGGATCAGGTTCCTAAAAATGTGACCGAACCCTTGGATCTAGCCTCCTACTTCGACCTCAGTATTGCGGTGAAGAAACTTCTGAATGAAGGACTGACTGACCATCAGATGAGTTCGGCCTTTGCGGCCGTGTGCGCCGGGAACAGTTACAAATCAGCTCTAGTCCTCTCTAGAACAAACGCCACGGTACCGTTTTACTTATTGGATACTGCGAGCTCCCAGGGGAACTTTAAGCTGGTCCAGGCGTTGACAATTGAAAACAATACATTCGAACCGGGAGTGTTTGATGCTTTGCTCAGAAGAACCATTCTGAGCCTCTATGGGAACTATGAACAGCTCGCAATCTATCTCATCCTTGTAAAGGGTGCTCGTTGGCATACCTTGCCTGATCAGGGTTTCATGGATGTCAGCTTTAGGAAACTCTGCCTGGAGAAGAAAACCGAACTGGTTAAGCTTTTGACCAAAAATGGACTAGACTTTGGACTGTACACCTGCCAAGCCGTCTATATTGCACGCCAGATGCTCAGTCATGATATAGCACAGTTTCTAATTTGGAAGCTGGTAGGAAGGCCTGCAGCTATAGGAAACATCCCAGGGGAACAGCTAGGTCGTAACCCGGCAACCACGTCGGTAATAGCGTGGAGAGCATCAGCAGGAGGACTCATAAAGCCAACCCGCATAACCGAGAGCTTGGTGGCGTCAGATACGGTGGTCAGAGCTCCCCACCAATACGGGTACTCAGGAACAAGATGGAGCGAATCCCATTAGATCTGCAACGCTACTAGAATTTGGGGCAATGAACGAAGATTTCAAGAGGACGCAAGGCTGAGAGCTGACGTGTATGTATGCGGATTAATCATCAGAATCCCGTGGTCTCAGTCTGTTCGTCTACTAAACTAAAAGAGGACTAGCGCCAGCGGATCCAGGTCTACAAGACTCGAGAGATGTTGCTATTTGCACAATGGCGATGAGGCTGAATGGTATAGAAAAGTGGAGCACAACATCCTATACACTTATCTAATTTCCCATGATCGTTGTTGATACAGTTCCAACTGCTGTGGCATCGCCGAGGTCGTCCAGCTCCCACTCAAACAGTTCAAGATTACCCGCTTCATTCTCAATCATGGCGTAGACTCGACGATTCTGGTTCGCAGCAATGGCCGAATAGCTGAGCACGTCTGACATTCCGTCAAGAGCGGATCCGCTCTGCCAAAAGCTTTCCTTTCTCCTAACGGTCCACACTCCTCCACTGTCGGATTGTGGCTGCGTCAACAGAGCTTGCGTATACACTGTTGATCCGTCATCGGTATATCCGTAAGATAAGGCGGCAATATCTGCGGAATCGGGGAATACGGAATTGCCTAGAAGACCAGGGTAAGCATCACCGGACGGATTTGTAAAGCATGAACGGCGAATTGTGGCGTCTACATGGATGGCTTACCAATTGCGTCGGTGTCGACAGACCAGTAACTTGTATTATCTGCCGTCCCCAAAGGCGGAGTAAAGCCTACCACCTGAATGGCCTCATTAACGTCCGTGAAGTATGTTAGACCCAGCACTCCTTTATTCCATCTAGGTGCACAGGCAAATGAAGAGGCCTGGGATGGGCGATCTCCACTGATTTTGAAAGCTTCACCGGCATCGTTCGTTGATCGGTTGATCATCAGCAGGTCGTTGTCGAGGTTCTGGAAAACAGCAACTTCCTTCCGCATGCAGCTGTCGCAGTCTTCGATCCACGAGCTCGCTATGTGTGAATATGAAGCAATGGGAAAGCGAGAGCTTGCCCAGCCATCAGCTAGCTGCCACGGGCCATCCTTCCTTTGGTATGCCATTTGAAGTCCAGTTTTATCATCCAGCCAGATGAGGCTGGTCTGGAAGAAATCCTCCCTGACTTCATTGGCGACGGAGAGGGGCGTTCCATTCTTGACGTTGATGTCTTCCCACGAAGGGTTGTTATTGTCTACATCTCTCATATTTGTAGGGACTGTTACGGCGCTGACTATCCAGGATTTGCTGCTATCATTCCATGATGATTGCTGGATTGTGCCGTTGGTATCTTGCCAGAAGACTTGGTTGTAGGTGACTCCAGAGATGGTGAAATTTAGAGCGGCAAGCTTGGAATTGGACGCGATGCTGGTCGCCTTGGCGAGTGTGCCCGTACTCGTTGGTAGTGATGGTGCTGTCGTGGCCTTGTGATTCCGCGACGAGAGGCTTCCACCAACTCCGCCTCCGACTGCCGCCCCCACAACTGCTAGAATAACGAGAATGATGGCCGTACAGAATACTTTCCGTCGAAGTCCGCATATGGTCGGCCGCTTCTGACGCTGGTCTTGCTCCAGAGCTGCATAGGGGATGTTCTCTTGTAGGCTTTTGGTGAAGTTATCGGCTTCCAGAGGGGTTTGTACAGCTTCCGGAAGATTTTCTTGTGGGACTGGATGTAAACCATCATCAATAGGCACATTAATTCTGTCATGTGGAGACTCGTGGTGGGGGTTTGCCATCACAAAACGCCGTCAAAGGGCTGCTGTGAACATTTGAAGAGACAAAGACTTTTCGAAACCGAAAAGGGGGACGCGGGGCGTTTTCCCCTCTTGCCAGGCTGGCGAGGCTGTAAGAGGCTAACGGCATCGCTTTTAGCTTCGGGTGTATGAGGCTAAGCCTAATATCCTTGCCATATGAAATTTATGTTACACTCACGCAGCAAAATGTGAAGGCATTCATGCGTTCGACAAGGCCGGGAAATGTTAACGAATCACATTGAACCTCAGATCGCACAACACAGAAAACAAAGTGCTCAAATTAAAATTACCAACGCACCGTTCTACGCGCGGTGAAGCCACGAACCAATCATACGCAGGTGCATGGGGCCAGGTAGGATCCTGCAGGATTTAGTCCTGCAGGAATGAGAATCACCCTGCCTATTCCATTTATTACATTAAGGCTGACTTGACGCGCCGATCAGGCTGGCGCCTAACAGTGCACCTCGGCTCAAATCAGCCATGGAAAAGTAATCCATCCACCCACTCTCGAAAACTCGCATCTATGCTCTTTGAAAAGCCCATCCAAAACGCCCAATCATCGCTTACAGGCGGTGCAATATTCTCCGCCAACGCCTTGATCTGAATATCTCTCAAACCGTGCAACCAAAACAATTGCTGCACCCACTCAAAATCAACACCCGCAATCTCCTTCAGCCCCAACCCATCCTCCACACCCTCCCCAGCCCGCCGGACCGCCCCCGGCCTAGACCATCTCCTCAAGCCCCTCGGCTGCACAAGCCTAAATTGTTCTACCGTTAACTCGGGCACATCCCCCCACCCACCCACCGGCTCCGCCGCCCCCACCACGCCTACCACCAGCCTCAGCCGCGGGACCACCAGCTCCCGCGCCATATAAGCGCACGCCGCGCGCCACTCCGCCTTATCGAACTCCTGCCCCACAGCCGGCAGCACGCGTTTGACAACCGCGATGCTTGTGATGCTCTGCCGCGCGACGCAGCCGAGTGTGCTGAGGAACGGCACGATGGCCTCGATGTGCGTGTCGAAGTCGAACGTGTGTGCGGCGTATAGCGTCGGCAGGGCTTCGGTGTAGCACTGGTGGCAGGTGCGGAGGATGGCGGGGTGGAGGCCTGGATTGTGGTGGAGAGCGTAGGTTGTGGTTATGGTGCGGCTGCGGAGAGGGTCGCGCGCGAGGTAGCGGGGGCGAGTGCAGTGGGAGGAGGAGGACGATGGCGAAAGCGATGCTGGGTCGGCGGTGCGGATTTGCAGTGTGCGTCGTGCATCGTGGAGACGGAAAGGGGGTGGTGGAGGGGCGCCGCTGTTGCTGGGACTTTGGTCGTTGTTGCGGCGGTTGGCGGATGGTTGAGGTCTGGTGACTTTCGGAGCTGGTGGAAGGAGGAGCTCCTCGTAGATCATGAGGCGGATCTCTGGAGGGAGTCGTAGGAAAATTGATGACTGGGCGGCCATCGTCGCTCTGTGGAGAAGATCAAGTTGTTCTAAGCGAGGGGGTTGAGTGAGAATGTTGGAGTGTATAACATTGCGTATTGACGACGGCTTCAACTCTACTCTTATTGTCGAGCAGTTTAAAAACAAAAGATAATAGGATGGGCAGTACATACAGAAACCAACTTTGCGATGGACGTTGGTGAGCTGCTGTTGGTAGTCCAGATAGAACCCGGGAGTGTTTCAGTGGTGCCAGCCACCTTTCCTTGTCTCCATAACGCTGATCAGAGCTGGCCAAGCCTACAGTATGTTGACTAATTGCCATTCATACTTGATCATCATCAGTATCATCATCAATGAAAAGCGACTATGCTGCTTGTCGCTTCGCTATGAGCCTATGAGTGAACACCCTGCTTACCACATCACCATGAGCGCATGAGTAAACACACTGGCGACCAGATCTTAACGACAAAACGAGCTAGTAGATTGCTTGCAATCATCTTGGCAGATGAGTGAACACTCTAGGCAGATTAGTAGTGGATGAACATGGCGCAACTAATCACGATTGGTTGATGAGTAAACAGGCTGCTCTCCATATCGCAGGTACTGATTGGCCACAACAAAATCCGTTTTGTTGTTCAGAGACTCAAAGAGGTCTGGCCACTTATCGTATGCATCAATTCTACCGGTTGAGCATGCAAGAGGCCTCAATGATCGGCCCAACCGTCCACTAAATCCTTGTTAACCCAATCAGCGCGGTAGAAAGGTGGACAAAGTGGGCAGATATCGCGCTAAGAATCCTATCGACAGCGGGCCTTTCCGAACAAGAGACGGAAACTCCGCATTGAACTTTCCCGGATTCGACTGGCTTCGGGACGCCACACCCCGCCATCTGCAGCATACTGGCGGCACCTCCACACCCGCGATATCTTTACTACAAGTCGCGTTCAGGGCTCACCGAATGCTACTCCATATATAAAGCTGTTCCATGAAGTTCAAAAATGACCGAAACATCAGCTTCAACAAACATTGTCTGAAATGTCTTCCAAACTTCCCCAGACCTTCAAGGCCGCTGTCGTCGAGAAGGCCAATGAGCCGCTTACGATCAAAGATGTGCCACTCAAGGAACCTTCCGAGGGGCAAGTCTTGATCAAGGTCATCGTTTGTGGTGTTTGCCACACTGATGAAGCTGTTCGCACGGGCACCTTTGGCCAACCGTGAGTCTTTTGTTCTATTCCCATCGACCTGTTGTCTACACTCAGATTCTAATCCATTTTCTAGCCCGCGAATCCCAGGTCACGAAGTGATTGGTACTGTTGTTGCCTTGGGCCCAGGTGAGAAGAAGTGGAAGATTGGGGATCGCGTTGGTATGTCTCTCAAGTCCTTCTTCGCGTATGTCCCGGGGCTGACATAGTGTAGGTGGGCCTTGGCACGGTGGACATGACGGCATATGCAGGCAGTGCAATCGCGGTCTCTTCCAGATGTGTGACAATGAAGTGGTCAATGGAGTCTCGCACGATGGCGGATGTACGTCTTCGTTCTCCAGGTCATGATTGAGACTGGAAATCTGACCGTTGATTTGTGGCAGATGCCGAATATTGTCTTCTACGCTCTGAAGCTGTCGTCCGCATCCCAACGGACATCGATCCGGCGGAGGCCGCGCCGTTGCTCTGCGCTGGTAAGTTTGAACTAATATTGCGACCACTGGTGTCTAATCCTACTGCCAGGCGTGACCGTCTTCAACGGCATCAGGAAAATGCAGGTCGTCCCCGGCAGCATCGTTGCAATCCAAGGACTCGGAGGTCTCGGACACTTGGCCCTGCAGTTTTCTCGGAAAATGGGCTATCGCACCGTTGCGTTGTCCCGCGACGACAGAAAGAAAGACTTTGCACTCAAGCTCGGCGCCACAGACTATATCGATGCCAGCAAGGAGGATACCATCGAAGCTCTGCAGAAGCTCGGTGGCGCGGATCTGATTGTTGCGACCGCGCCAAACCCCGAGATCATCGGCCAGCTTGTCAATGGTTGTGCTGCAGGTGGCAAAGTTCTGATCATTGCACGTAAGTTTACAACAGCCCGCATCATGGCGCAAACACTACTGACTATGGTTCAGCGGTTGGTGACGTTGTGCTCAACACCGTGCCGATGATCTTGAAGGGGATCTCTGTTCATGGGTGGCCGTCCGGACATGCTCTCGACTCGGAAGAAACCATCGAGTTTGCACGCATACACGGTGTGAAGTGCATGATCGAGAAGTTCCCACTCAGCAAGGCGCAGGAGGCTATGGACCACATGCTGAGCGGCAAGGTCAGGTTCAGGGGTGTGTTGACGATGGAGTAAATCCACAGCTTCTGTGCAGCAGCTCCAGAGGATAGATAGTTGATGGAATATGAGCTCAGCGTTCTCCCTCGTTTCGCAAGGCATCATACAACCGGCAGTGTGTCAGCGCCAGTAATTCGGCAGAAGCATTCATGCTAAGCCAATATCGGTAACGGCCGGTCGAGCTATGCTTATGCTTTGCTGATTACTCATCCCCACCCCCGCGTCTGAACATTCGCCCCAGCTCTCCCCGCAATTTCCACCTTTCCAAGGATCTGGCTGACAAAGCGGCTGTGCGGTGAGCGCAGTATCTACCTGGATGAAAACGGGGGAAACGCTCAATCGGCCTTCACCTATTTGTCCCTTCTCGTCATCAGGCTGTAAACAACATGCAGAGCGGCACAGAGCCGCTAGGTAGAGGACCCCCAGCCTCAGTCTCGAACCAACGACCAACGAGAATACGATCACGAATTGGCGCGGCGTGCATCCGTTGTCAGAAACGGAAGATCCGTGTAGGTCTTTTTTCCCGGCAAATCCCCCCACCCTGATCAATGATTACCTATCAAGTCTGATACGCAAAGAATAACCACTAAAGGCCCATAGTGCGATACTCGGTTGCCCGCATGTGGCGCGTGTCAAAAGGTAGGGGCGCAATGTGTAGGCGGAGGCACGGCACGTGAAATCCCACGAAGGTGAATTTTCGATCGCGTGTTCGAAATAAGCGGAGATTAACTGTGCGGCCGTCAGTTACGTGAACGAATTGGAGGCCAGGGTAGAGTGGCTGGAGTCCATCATCAGAGATCATCTTCCAAACATCGATTTGAGCGCCGGACCAGACTCGAGAACCAACAGTTCACGTGGTATGTTTTCGAAAGACAATTACAGTGATCCTCTCTCATTACTATCAGACAACAATCCTATCCAGGAAGATGCATCTCTTCAGACGATATCGGATCAGATCGGGCTGGTTTCCATATCGGCAGGTGCGGATCTCCGCTACCTGGGCCCGTCCAGCGGCTTGTTCTTCATGAGATTCGTCCTAGCCGGGCTTGGAAAGAGGATCCAGATTGAAAGACCATCCACTCCGGATCCCGTAGCAGACGACGGCCTCTCAATTCCTCCCGATCTGCTGCTCGTCCAACCGAGAGAACTACCCCCCGATGAGAAGCATGCGCGATGGCTGTCGCAGGCATACTTCGACAGCGTGCATCTGCAATTTCCATTCCTGCATGAGAAGATACACCTGCAAACCATTCAAACAATGTATGATGGCATCAACGTTGGACCGGTGCTTGAATTCCAAGTCTTCATGGTTCTCGCTATAGGAGCTACCATCCAGTCACGAAAGGCAAAGGTAATGCTCTCTGCCGAGGGCTACTACGCATCTGCGATCGATCGTCTCGATAGCACGGTCCAGGCCACATCGCTTGGTGGACTCCAGTGCATCTTACTTCTTCAGATGTATACTCTTAACAATCCATCGTCTGGGCTCAGCTTGTGGCTTCTTCACTACCATGGGTTGGCATTATCAATCGAGCTCGGCTTGCAGCGGGAGGTTCCAAACGATAAGTTCACTACTTTTGAAAAGCAAATGCGCACCCGGACATTCTGGAGCATTTACACAATCGACCGCCTCCTAAGCACTCTAATGGGGAGACCGATAGGTGTGATGGATGAGCAGTGCGAACTAAGAGTAGGCATGTCCTCCCCAAATAAAGTTGCAGCTGAGGCTTACAGGTTTAGTTACCACTCGATATCAACGACAGCGACCTCCACCAGCAACCACACCAGCAGACCGGTACCCTCACAAACATGACGACCGCAATCCACCTCTTCAAGCTCGCCCGGCTCAACTCGGAAACTAAATGCGTCCTGTACTGCGTCGACCGACAGTATCCACCGTACACCCAACCGGCCATCACCGACGTAGAAAGCTGGAAAGCGGACATCCTGGACCGGCTGCGAAAATGGAAAGCCGACATCCCCCGCCATCCGGAAGGGATCCCGCAATACCACATGAATATCCTCTGCGAGATCAAATACCACGAGCTCGTCATGCTCATCCTGCGTCCGAGCCCGCGTTTCCAACATCCTGACAAAGCTTCCGTCCGCGAGTGCTTTGCGAGCGCGATGGAGTGCAGCAAGCTCTACCACCGGCTATACACCACCAAGGCGCTGCATTTTGGCTGGAGCAGCACCCATTCGCTTTTCGTGTGCGTGATGGTCATGTTTTATTGCGTCTGGACGCCACAGGGGGTTGCGGACGAAGCAAACTTCGATTGTCTAATGCGTTCCCTCAAAGCGTCATCCGATGTCCTGAGCGCGATGGGCGAGTATTGGCCGGAGGCGACCAGGAGCCGCGGCGTGTTAGATCGTATCTCGACGGCAACGATGCGGCGGTTTACCGATAAGCTCGGCCCGGTGCGGAGCAACAACGCGCTCGTGGGCTCACAGGCGGATGTGGGACTCGTATCTAATTTGATTCAAGGGCAACCAGTGGATTGGATGAATTTGGGTACAGCGCCGAATGTCCTCCCGTCGCCTCAGTTTGGGGACGGACTCACAGGGGGTGATTTTGCGGCCACTGACTACTACGGAACACTAGACGATTCGTTCACCTCTGCTGATATTCTCTCCTACTTCCTGGGTCCTGGCGAAGATGCGGACATGGGTGGTTCTGGGCTCAATACCAACTATCAACCTGATGCGGATGACGTTATACGAAATCTTCTCAATAGTGGCTTGTAGAAATTCTGCATTGCAACAAGTCAGTTTTATTTGACGCTCTGGTCCGGCTGCTTTTGTTCACATATGTATCGTGAATGGATGAATAGGCTGCCCACTCTTTGTTGTCAGCCCACCCCGTAGTTGTGAGCGCTCCGAGAACTTCAAAATCAGAGCTAGCCCAAGCAAGAATTGGCGGGAGCCATCACCGGGTTTTCCGAGCGGTGAGCGGGATACCCTCCCTTTGAACGGAACATCCGACTGCCTAGTCGATTTTTAAACTTTCGATTGGTTTAACTGGGGTAGGCTAAACGGATAGCTCGCCTGCCGCGGCCTTCTGCGGATCACTAATCAGATGCGACATAGCTTCGTTGCCGAAGGGAGCGTTTGTGATCAGTAAACATCATGTTTGCGACGTCAGAAGTTGTAGCGAACTCATTTCAAGCTTCGTAACCGCATTTAACCCATCAGCTATTGAGTTGTCTGCTGAGCTTCAAGATGAATCTCTGTGTGTTTCGTTACAAATCCGCCGTCTCCTCGACACATCATGACGCTCTCACCACTGCCATCACAAGGATTAATGTTTAGCTCGAAGGCACATCTTCCAAGGTTTAAGATACTGGTGGCAAATCCTAAGCTGCCTTTAACCCCGTGAGGCAACCCCCTTTACATCCGAGTAATATTTCCTGACAACAAATCATCAATACCATCTACGCACACGTCCGTGCGGGACCCTCAAGCCCCCACTCCTCTTACAATCACCGAGAACTTCGCTCCGCGTGAAGAGACAATCTTCCCGGTGGACGACGCCCGCCTGGATCTGATATCTGTCATTGACGCCATCGTCGCCGGCGACGAGATGGGTTTCATCCTGCCGAAGTAGGACAGGACAAGATATGGATGATGGAGAATTTCCATGAATTCCTGGAGTGCGCAGAGGACGATGATGAGACAATAAGGGACTCGGCCATGCAGTTGAGCGAAAGGGATCTGCACAACGATGATGATGATGAAGCGGCGGGGAGGAGCAAGGCAGGTGGCTTCGGCCACAGTTTGTAACATCTCCTTTCGTTTCGAGATTACCGCCTTGCGGAACACAGTAGCTAAAATATGTGACAACTAGAGCTCGAGCGCCTTCTGCACTATTAGTACGGCAAAGCGTTGATCGACCAGGTGAAGAAAATGGACCGCGTGCAGTACCTCAACGCATCGACGGTTGGCTACGCGGCCTTTTGAGAAGCGACGCTCCACAGAGACGGAGCCATCTGAACTATACTTCTACTGAGCATTTCGTCGTAAAGTCGGCGCCGGGCGCGGTGGTTGGGGTGACCGGTGGGAGAGGCAAAAATGGGTCTCGGCGATGCATGGGCGCTGGATGGGGCTTCAACTGTATCATAGTGGGAGTGGAAAGGAATCTGATGGTGTAGGAGTGTAATGGATGTCCTGCTAGGCTATTGGTGTAGCGGCTGAGGAGCGACGTGTTGGTGACGATGAACGTAACGATGATGACCGCCCCGCGTGTAGTAGGTGGTGTAGCGTAGCTATCTAGGTTGAGACTAATCAGACTAGAGCAGACCCCTAGCATTTGTATGTGCTGGTAATCTCCAATTCTAGTGTACCCCAATCACAACCAGATCGAACTAGTCGTCTACTCTAGGTGGGTGTTCAGCTCAATAGAAATTGATAGACCTTCGCGCTCCTGGGTGTGTGTAACGAGATGGAATAACTCCTCTAGTTAATGCACCGAAGTAAAGTCCGATGGATTGGTGCCCACGTGATGCATGGTCCATGCATTACATGGTTATTACGAGACCTTGCCCATTGTCGAACTAGACCACTCAGCCCTCGAGTTGCCAGGATTTGTTTGTCAGCAATCTATCACTACTTTGTTGCCATCTTGAGCTCTCCGTTCGTGCATTACTCACGTTACTATCGAAGTCCTTTTTGATACCATGCTAAGTATTACGCACTAAGACATCAAGACGTGTGACAAGAGTATTAAAATAAGCCAAAATAGGCCAAGACATTTAGGATGACCCTCGGTAGACGTATCCCTCTCGGATTTTCCGGGTTGCGCATGACTCTGAGCGCAAAGTTTATGTGATTCAGGGTCAAGGCGGTGCCCTCGTCTGCAGCGATCAGCTGGGCCGCCTTCACCGCGTTCTTGATCTGTCTTCCGTTCATCGGCTCCTGGGCAACAGCGTCGAGCTCCTCACTAGAGACGGATGAGTTTCGCACGCGCTGGAGTAGCAGAGCCCAGACGTTCCGTCGCGATGCATGGTCAAGCTCGGGGTAGTGGAGTGTAAGGTGGATCCGGGACTGGAATGCGACGTCAAAGACGGACAGACGATTCGTTGTGAGAAACATTGTGCCGCGGTAATATTCGAGCATTCGGAGGAAGACTAAGACAGGTCCTAGTCAGCAAATATATACGATGGAGCATGGGAGGAGTTTGATGGCCTACCTGACACAAGCTGGTTCCGCTGGAGGTTCTGAGAATCGCGCTGCTCGAGGAACACGTCGCTTTCATCCAGCAGTAGGATAGCATTCCACCGACATGCCAAGTCAAGGATCTTCGTGAGCTCCTTCTCTACTTCATTGCAAGATATTCCCAGCTCGCCCGCGCTCACCATATACAAAGGAGTGCGCATTTCTTCGGCAACTGTAGTTATCCATTTCAGCAAATTTTATCTTCAGACGAGAGGGATTGGATCAGCACAAACCCGTCTCGGCGGTGAGCGTTTTACCCACTCCGGGCTCCCCCGTAAGCAAGAACACCATTCCCTGTCCTTTCAGAAAGCATTAGAGAGGTCTCTCTAAGAACACGAGTTTTGGACATACCTTTGCCTTCGATAATGTCGTCAAAGTCCGGAGAACGACTGTGTGCCATTTGTGTTCGCACGAACGATGCAACGAGTCGCTTGGTCTCTTCCGCCAACACAAGACTGGAAAAGGCATCCTTGTTCCACACTATATCGGATATGCCGCTCACATCTACGCGGCCTGCTAGAAGTCAGTGACTGGACGATATTTACAAAAGTTTTCATTCAACTTACCCCATTCCTTGCATTTCAAGCCATACGCTATCACAGTTGGGCTACATAGGATTAGGATACGGTCTGGAAAGTCTTCTACACGTTGCAGACCGTCGTCGTATCCCTTGATTGGGTCCAAGCTGTCAGAAGGTGAGAGTGCGTGCTTCGCGCACGTCTCGGCGTCGACGACGATCCGCTCGTTAATCTAGGCATCCGGTTAGCAAATAAGATCTCCAGGGGTCATTGAGAATACACACATGAACGACTCCTGAGATGGAGGATGGTGTGCCGAATAGTCTCATAGGACCGCGGTAAGCCCTATGGTGGCATCCACTTAGAGAGACAAATTTGCGCCCTCTCTCCAGCAGTTTCAATCGAACATCGTCCAATGCTTTGTGAGACGAGACCGGATAAATTGCCAGATCCTGGATTGACTGAGTTCCAGAGAACGGCTGTATTCCGATTAATTTGGTCATCCAGCCGAACATCGTGCCGTTCCATTCGATGTACCTGCAACACAATTCGTACCTCTTGGCCATTCCATCGTGATACTGAGTGCTTTTGACCTCCAAAAAGCAGTCCCGATCAAAGATGCGAGAATAAACCAGAGTCCCAGGTGGGAACAACGTCCACAAATAGTCATACGTAATCACGTTGTTCTGAAGAAGGTCTTGGGCAACACGGTGAACGGCACCAAGTTGATTGCTCAAGGTGTCCAATAAGAGGCGAGTGTGCTCCTGAGCATCAGTCCCCTGATGTTCCTGGGCTTCGTTGAGAGCGTCCCAGCGGTAGAAGAACTCCCAAAAAGGCTCGTTAAAGGTGACTTCTTTCAGGGTCGTGGTGATGCCGGGGTAGTTCGCGAAAACGTCTCCAAGGGTTGACTTAAGAAGCGGGCTCTGGATTACAATCGAATCTAACTCTAGGGGCTTCCTTGCTTTTCCGTGACTCTTCTTCACTCGACAGAGGATGGCGTGGCTCTTGGCATCTGATGTTTCTTCGGCGGCTTCCTTGATGTCCTCGGGGTATTCCTCAACCCAGTTGATGCAACAAAGGCACTTTTGGGGGCCCTCGTAGAGGGTCATTGTGGCACATTTCGTACCATAGTTCGGAGGTGTGGTTGCGTCCCCTTCGACTGATACACCATGATGATGTCCCAGATTGAATCCTCCGACGAAATCCTCAAAAAGTGGAGCTGTCATCATACTTTGAAAATTTGCCATGGGGAAAATGATACTCTGTTGACTGTGGAAGGTAGTTGCGTTTGGAAGTGGTAATCGTGTGGCCCACGCAGGCTTTTATGCTCACCCAGTCGAGGTTTCGGATACAGGCCCTGACGATGGAGCTTCCGCAGATTATTGGAAGACTTGTTTCGTGGCACGCTATAGAGGCAAGGTTTGTGAGGGTCGGTTGAGTTACCTCACATATGCAGCTGCGTCGCCACGTCATGAGGCAGCACACGCATTTTTGCCATGCCACAATGGAAACCGTTTTGCGACGTCAGGCAGGTGTGATTATTTCATGCATTGCCAACGTAACTCATTGGATGGCTTTACGCGACCGTGATGCATAATCTACTCTAAACGAACAGGCTACGTGTACTTGCAGCAAGCGCTCCAAGCGACTCGTGAGGCTGACCCGATAAACATGCCTGATTTGTTTCAATTTGCAGGCGACTCGGGTAGTTACGGAGTTTTTGAGGTCAACGAATGTGAAAAACGAAAGCTGATGTGTTGCAAAGCCTTGTTCCATTCCAGGCAACCGCGTCGATCCATCTCACTACGTCATTTTGCCGCTTACTCAGTTGACCCAGTGGTCATCAGGAAAGCATTACGTTGCTCAAGCTGTATGCAACACGTTTTCTATTGTCGGTCACCTGGACGATACCCCAATTCTGCCAATGTCAACTTCGACCGCGCTGATTAATATTGCATCCGAGGATGTGGTTCACAGACTGCTTGATACCCTTACCCAGATAGAACCATGCTGGGAAGGAGTTGAAACTGAGAGACCAACTCAGCTTGTCAGGACATCTGATTTCGACGAACACTGGAACATGACCCTTAAGCCAGAAGGATATTACGGAGACGAATTGGGACGTAGAGCGGCCATCAGGAGAAAGATCGATGATGATAACGACGCTAATGATGTCCACTGGGCAGCTCACAATGCAGCGAAACTTTGGTTCACGATGAGTGGAACAATGCCTTTGGTTGGGCGGGATAAGAAAGATACCCCTTACTGTATAGTATGGTGCAAGCAAGTCCGGGCGATGCGAAGTTCGTGCCGAGAGGGGATCCGGGACTTGGCTCTTCAAGAAATGACCCGAATGAGAGCCCAAGCAGACACGAGGACCACTGTTGTCACGTCCCCAAATCCTTACCCCTACCCCGGCTTACTAGCGTACCCATCAGCTATTCGGCTCGTGGTATTGCTTCCGGCGAAAGAAAAGCATTCCGACATTTTTTGTGTGCTCTGTAACAGCACGCTGAGCAGAAGCGAGTCTAACCAATATGAAGCTCTATCATACGTATGGGGCACTTCTTCGAAACGGAAATCAATCACGGTTAATGGGCGGCAATTCCAAGCAACTGAGAATCTCGAGTTGGCTTTGAGGAACCTCCGCTACCGCGACAAGCATCGTGTGCTGTGGATCGACTCGATGTGCATCAACCAGAACGATGTGACTGAGCGAAACAAACAAGTACAGCAGATGGGCTGCATTTACAGTAAAACCCAGATGGTTGTAGTCTGGCTAGGGCCCGAGTCCGACACCAGTAGCAACTCTTTCCAGTTTTTCCAACATGGTTCTGTCAGATTCCGCGGGCCCAAGGACAGTCAAGATCATGAAAAGTACTGCGATGCAGTTGTATCTTCGGTTGAAGCTGGATCATGCACGGCGAGGTCGTCCACCAACCACGAAGTGAAGTGTTCCGAAACCTGAAAGTAGAAAAATTCCGTCTCACCTAGTGCATTAGACAGGGACGGTTCTTGGCAGATTTCTAGATTGGGAAGGTGGCAAACCTCATGGAGTTTAGAGTGAAAGCGACAGTGGAGGCGAAGCGCGGAGGGCTATCGGCTCTGCTTCATCTGAATATTAGTGCCGGTGGTGGCTGAGCTGTTACTACATATCTCTCGTGGCCATACTCCGTTCTCAAGCCACAGTCAACCCGCATACCCGATGAACCGTATTGGGTGGGTCCAGACAAGCTCTTGCGGCTCTTCCAGTCGACCGATAGGATCCACCCGCGGCCGGATAAGCTCCAATGCGACTAGCCCGACCCTCTTCGTCCCGCGCTCGTAGCACCGCCAAGCTTCCTCAGCATTCCTTCGTCGCCGTAATGCGATATACGGCCAACGGCATCACCGAAACCTTGTGGCCGTGCCACCTCGCTTAAAGTGTGGCGCCATCGCCAATACGAGATGGCGGCGTGATACGGTCTCGCTCAGGCTCGACTAGTATTCTATATAGCTTCCATTTCTCGGCGGGATGATCCCTTAGCTTCTTTTCAAGGATCATTCCCGAGGCCACACCCGCAATGGCCTTTACAGACCAAGATTCAGTTTTCTACACATCGAATTGGAAATGTTTCGCCATGCTGTCGTCGCCTTTGGCGCAGGCCATGATTTCGCTCGACTGCATTGAAATCGCCGGTCTTTTCATTATTGCCATTTGGTGGCTGGTGTCTCAACGGAAGATCGAGCGCAAATTCCGAGTTGTCCGATGGCATAATTTTGGCCTGGCAATTTCCCTCTGGCTATTGTAAGATCTCCTGGGTCTTTGCCGTCCAATCTCCCCACAGCTAACCTGATCCAGCTATGCGACGTTCCGCTTCGCCGTCTTTTTGGTCCTCTGGTGTCCTTTCATTGATACAGCGGCCGACGATTTCAAACTCGCAATCGCACAGGCAGTTTTCCACTGGATCCCCGTCTCGCTCCTTCTATCCACCGTGTTAGGACCCATTTGCCAGGGGCTGGACCGCCTGCGAAATTCTCCGTCTGAAACATGGAACCGAGCTACGAAGCTTTCCATGACTCTTTTCACGATATTTGTTATCATATACTTGGCCATGATGATTGTAGATGTCAAAAACATCCTTAAGCAACGTGAAATCGAGTCAGAAGACGACGCAATTTCGCGCTTTTGGTACGTTGAACTGCTCAAGGACCTCTTACGCCCCAAATACATAGAGGTGTCCAAAGGTCTGGAGACTACCTGGCTCATCCTAGCACTCGGTGGCATAACGAAGATGCTCTTCGCTGTCAGCCATTGCAGCCAGGCTTCCTCTTCACTGAAAGCCTGGATTTTCGCCCTCGCTTTTTCACTCTTCGGATATGGTGTCGTCAGGACGTTCCTGGCTTTCTGGGACGGGTCGGAAATCATCTTCCTCTTCTACAGCAACGCATATCTCGCGAAATACACTCCCATCCTAGTTTTCCCTGTCTTCTTTTCCTTGCTGGCTTTGTTGTCGGTCCTTCAGGTCGCGACGAGGTTGGGAATGTTGCTCGCCGCCGACGCGAGCTTGTATGAGGCTGATCCCAAGCCGGAGCAGACGGCTGAATCGAAAAATGAGGACTCCAGCGTCTGAAGCATGCTTTTCTGGGCAACCCTCATTACGGATCTCTGGGAATGGATAACTGAATAATGACTAAAATGGTCGAGTGACTGTGTTTGCTACTTTATATACATAATATGGCTTGTTAGAAATTAGAACTGAAGCTTTCCGTAGGAGCCCTGCCTTGCTCTGACCCCTCCCACTGTATCTTCTCCCTGTGATCAGTGTAGAGTTCAGTCAACGACCCACCATTGAAATGGAACGTGAACCCCTTGAAACGAAGCATTCGCAGCCAAACTTATCCATGATCCCTTCTCTTCCTCGTTGCTGGTAATCTCCACGATGCTTCCCCATTTGCACAAAAGCTTCCCGTCGCCCGTCTCTCCCATAACCTTCACCAAAAGCCCAACGCTGCTGTATTCAGTATCCGTCAAGAGAACCGCAAAAGTTTCCGTCTCGGAGTTGGGATCCTCAAGCATCCAAGGGACTTGGGAGCCTGAGTCCATAGCTTCCACCACGTACGTCCCTTGATTCTGCGTCGCTATCGAGAACAACAGTGGAGCAGTCACGGAAAGCCCACGTTGGAACTGGATCCCCGAAAGAAATACGCCAAGGCCGAGGCTGTCGGTGTGAATGAATGGCTGGGGAACAGGAAAGCTGCCGTCGGGGGAAGGCCCATCACTTGGAGTGTACTCCTTGGGCATGACGATGCGAAGATGCTCGCGGAGCCCGAAAGGACTCAAGAACGTCTTCGGTGCCCACCTGTAGCCCTTTTGTTCGAGATGCGGGCCGTATGCAAACAGTATCTCCGGTGGGATAGCGGGAAGCAACGAGAGGAGGACGGGCATTCTATCGTTCACCGGAGCTTTGACCAAATCAGTAGCATCGAGTCCGAGGAACGTTGCGAAGCAGACCGTCTCGTCGCCTTTCCGTGTGGTGTTCCGGTTTGAGGCTGCTGTGGCCATGCGGACGAAAGCCCTTGCCGGTTTCCTCGAAATGCAGAAGCTGGCCAGGTTGTCCCAGACGAGGTCGCAGTATCGCTCCCAGCACAGCCGAAGTAGCTGCAGCTCGACCAAAGATGTAGGTGCGGTAGAAGATTCGAAGATTTCCTCCTCGGAATGGAACATGTGACACGCGCCGTCCACGGGGAGGTAGACTTGTGAGGCCAGTGCGGCTTCTTCGTAGGTCCACATGCGCCCCCGCCAGCTTGAGCACAGGGCTCGAGTTAACACTTGCACTGATTTCGCGTCCGAGGGAAGCGTCTGGATGTCTGGATCAATGACGATAGTTCCAGAAGCCTTGCGGTAGATTTTGTTCATGCTCTGGATGGAGTAGTGTCGTAAGGCTATGTGCTCTTTCTGAACTGGGATGCAGAGCGTGTCGAGCCAAAATGCCACAGTACCGAGATCTCGGGCGGTTGTATCGAAGCTCTTGGCGATGGTTACTTGGTCGCCTTCCAAGGACTGGAGCATCCGGTCGAGTCTCTCTAGCTGACATTGATAGAGCGCATTGCTCGACTCATTGCCGAGGCCGTCTGACCAAACATGGCTGAAAGCGAAATACGGAGCACCAAAACTTTCAAAACTGGCGTGGTCGAGATCCAGACCGTCGACGAGTAGCTCCATGGGATGGACAGAACTGTCCGACCGCTTGATGGTGACTACTGGGATCAGTCCTTCTCGTAAGATTTCAACAAGTTGGTCTATCGGTACTGAGAGTTGTGGGCACTGGCATCCTGACGTGACGTGCTGTTGTTTGAAGTCGGGGCCCATCTGGCTTTTCTTGCATCCACCAGGATCGTACCGAGTGCACTCAGTATGGTCTAGTCGAGTTCTTGTACTGCCTACGGCCAAGGCATATGCTTGAAGTTGCAGTGGGAGTTTGGACTGCATGTATTCTACTGTTGTAGTACACCACCCGGATAAGATCAGGTGCCTCCGGAGATATGTATCATGGAAGAGGTTGTCTTTGAAGGGTTGGATTTTGAGCACCTCCACAGTAGCCCCGTATAGTGCTTCCAGCAAGAGCATCTGCGCGAACAGTGTCTGTCTCAGGGGCTCCGATTTTGAGGGCTGTGATTCGTAGAATAATACAAAGTTGAGGGTGTTGTTGACCGTTCTTGCTTTCATCAGGTAACTCTCCAGCAGATCTCCCTGTGTTTCAATTTCATCTTCCGTTATTAATCCTTTAATCCTCTGTCTCCACTCTTCGAGATACCTATCCAGCATCTTGGTTGTAACGAATTTGTTCCCTGCTTCGTCTGTCCGGATAAAGTCGTTCGGAGAACACTTATCTCCGAGAAAGGCAGAAAGAAGTCCGAAAAAGAGCCAACTCTGGAGAAATGCAGCCATCTCTTCGAAGCTTCTGCCGTTCATGTCGAACCCACTCTCCTCAGGCTCAGCATATTCCCAGGAGGATACATCCCACCCCTGACGCTCCGGAAAGGTGAAGAAGTCGCCACCATCGAATTCGGAGCCCAGGTACGGTATTGACACTGGCGCGACATCCTCTCCATTTAACAACAGGTGCTCCATGACCGTATGGTGCTCGGACGAGGTCTTGATGTGGTATCTGAGGTGGCAGATCGCAGGCGGTGTTCGAGAAATATCCCGGATATGACTACGAGGCTGGCACTAAATATATTCTACCGCCTGCAAATCTGTGGGGATACCCCACCTCGCTAACGGTTTGACCCGGCGCTGTGGTTCGAAACAAGATCCTTATTGGTGAAAAATCCTGAGGGATTCATGTCGTACGTGGCTATAGACCCACACGTGTTGGTATTTCGTGGGGGCCATCCCTTACGGGGACCGGAGCTTAGTCCCTCCAAACGCTCCTGGCACTCCTTTCATAGTTCTGCGAGCAGTCTCACAGCTGGTTATTGAGCACTCGTGAAACAATCTCGTTGTTGAATTAACGTTCTGTAGTGAAACTCAAGGTTAAGATGTATATTAATTATTCGAAACCAATGATTAAAGTCTAAATAATACATGCATTTTCAACATGAATATATCAGCTGAAATACTCACTCCACCAAATCTCAGTCCCTCAAGATATCAAGTAGGAGAGCCTCCGAAGCCTGAATTGTGATATTCTGGACCGGCACGCCACCCTGCACATTAATCGTCACCGGCTGCGGGCCGTCAGTGTACTCGGTGCCATCGTTCTCCGCAGTCCACCTCTTGCCAGCCCAAGTGATGGTACTGTTGTCAGTAGCGCCGCTCGGCGCCGTCAGGTATGAAACCTTAACACCCGTCACATCATCACCCAGATTCGTGAGGTTAAGCGGCCTCTGCGGCCTGCTCACACTGGTCGAGTTCTCCCAAAAGTTCAAGTCCAACACGACAATCTTCGACAAGCTGCCGCCGTTGTACCCAGCGTAGCCCACCACATCATCCAGACTCCACTCCGTGATCTGCAGATCCCCATCACCATTCACGAACTCGGCAGCCGCCACGAGCCCGTAGTAGTTGCCGTGCACGGCCTTGTCGTAGAGGGCCGTGGTGACGGGCTGCCAGGCGGACATGCGGAAGTTGGTGCCGAGCTGCATGGACACGCGGGCGATGCCCATGGCCATGCCGTGCAGCAGGAAGTCGAGCGTCCACAGCGCGCCGCCCAGCGTGCTGTACAGACGCCAGTTCGGGGTGCCGCTGCCGGTGGCGATGGCGGCGCCGACCTCGCCGAGGACGAAGTCGACGCCGGCGGTTTTGGCGAGCGCGATGTTGGCGCCGAATTTGTCTTGCATGGTGTCGACGGTGGTGCTGTGGGTGAGGAGCTGCCCTGTGTGATGATGGTGTTAGATGTGGTGTGACGCTTTCGGATGTTCGAGCCGGTTACTGACCTTTCAGATCCTGCGTGGCATCTGCTTGGTAGCTGGATTGCCCATGTCAGCCCATGCTTCCCCGTTGAACCAAGGCTTTGACCTACTAATGCTGCGAGATCGTCTTGACGTATCCACCCTGATCAAGCTCGTCCCAAATGTTGGACCTGAGAATCGTATAAGATCAGCACTCAAGGATTCCGCTCCGCCAGCAAGCAAGCACAGCACTCACAAATTCCACACCGAAACATCCGCCTTCGACGCGAGCGTATACGTCTGAAACCAATCCTTAGCCCCACTCTCCGCCAGCGCCCCCACCCCGGCGACCAGGTCCTCCGCGTAGGCCGTCCACTCGGCAGCGTAATCACTCGGCCCCCACGACGCGTTCCTGTCCGTCTCGCCCCCACACCCGATGGTCGGATAGTAGTTGGGCTCGTTCCCGATCTCGAACGCATCCAGGCGACGCGCGTCCCCTCCGGGCATCGCATCCACGCACGCGTTCGCCAGCGCGACGCCGTTCGTCACGTTCTTGCGCGCCAGCGGAATCTGCACCGTGTACCGCACGTCCAGCTGTGGCGCGAGGTTCGCGAAGCCGTGCAGCCAGCGCGTGCCCAGGTCGAGCGGCGTGTGCAGGTCGCACGAGGTATCGCCGGTCGCTTTGACGGCTTGCGTCGTGAGGGATTCGTTGTAGTAGACGTTGTCCATGGACGTGCCGCCGACGCGGATGGGGATGGGCGCGCCGCCGCTGCGCGAGGAGAACTGCGTGAGGAGGTAGGTCGAGAAGGGGTTGGTGGCGTTGTTGTAGCCGGCGTAGTCGGGGAAGCTTTTCATCTCGATGCCGAAGCCGATGTAGTCTTTGTTGACGGGGACGGCATCGCTGGAGGCGGAGGGATTCACGCGCCAGTTGATGGCTGAAGAGCTGTTTTGGGCTGCGGCTGCTGTGGCTGTGGAGCCTAGGAGGACGATTTGGTTGATGGGTCTCATGGTGGGGTTTTGGTTGATGCTGAATGAAAGTTGTGCTTGTCGGCGTACATTTTTTGGTGAGTTCAGCCTGCCTTTTTGAATTCCATGAGGAAGATGGCGGTGTTCAATGCACCGCCATTTGATCCTTGCTTCAGGCCCACGTCCGCGTAAGTGATCGGCAGTGTTGGATTCATTTGTACCACTCTGCCGTTGGGATAAGCACTGGTAGCGCGGCTGTGCCCAGCCCTACGTTCCCGCTTGCAGCAATTTCTCCTATTTATGTCAGCTCGCTTCGCCGCCTTTAATCTGATCCGCTTAGGCGTACCGTACAACCGAACGTGCTATCCTGGTCTGTCAGCAACACGGACCCAATACCAAGTAGGCAAAATAGGCAATTGCAATGCCCGCAAGTGGCAAAGTGTCGTTGGAGGTGTCAGAACCAAGCTACACAGCTTTTGATTCAGAATGCATACCTGGAAATGATCGACAACAAGCCTCTTACCGATCTCCGTCAGCAGCTTAAAGGATCGCTAACCTCCACAGTGGCTGACTAGGGTGCCTAAGCCGTAAGCCACAGCTTTGCCCCTCCGACAATCTCCCCGGCTCATTTGTTCCGCTACCTTCCAAAGAACACCTCACTAGCCTTTAGCAATGTACTGAACCAAGGAGACTATGAGGATTGATAAAACTCGACCTATGTGTTGCACTTTCTTTCCTTCAGGATATGCACCCTATAGCGGCGGAATTGAACGAGAGTAAGGCACCAATAGATACTACTGTGTAGTATGATCCTTGAGATACCTAAAACTAGGCTGAGGCTGTGAGAAACTATCTTTTGCTGAGATCATTTTCCACGCAGACCTCGGCTTCGCGATTCGCTCGCGCCACAGGGGCAGGATGGAGATGCCGAGCGGAGAGATATTTGGCCTTCATCCGGTTGCTCGGAAACACGCTTATCCATAATCCGCAGTGTTGGGATCCAGACCTGGATGAGTCTATAATGTAGGATTACTTATGTCTTCGTGGAATGAGCTTTTGAGATTCTCTAGAATAAGCACCACCTGTACCTAGTATTTACTCTCCACTTTCTCACACTTCTGTCCCATATTTGTGCGCTTGAGACTAATTCTCCCAACAGTGACCAATAAATTTCAAAAAAGCCTGCAGCAGTAGCTAAAGCGACATTGATAAGCTATCCCTTTCCAGCCGTTCCGAATCTTGTCTCTTCCTCTGGTTGACAAGCTCGAACGGCCTACACAGATGCCAATGCCTCCAATCAATAGAAAGTTCCTTTTGTCATAGATCATGCGCGAGAATACCGATACATGTCCATTTGCGCTCTCGCGATGTTGGGCGTGAAGGGTAGCCTTCGAAAGGAGTGCCGAGCCGACACGCCGTGGTGTGACTTGTTTCAAAATCGATAAAGAGTGCCTGCCAGCACGATCGTCAACGAGATATCCGTGTTTCTCTGAACATGTAGTTGTTAACATCACCAACAGAAGACCATTAATCCGCTGATTGGGGAAGGTTAGCGTGAGTGGAGGGGCGCATCCGGAGCGTGCTCCGGCAGATGCAAAACCTGTTCCCCACAACAAATCGATCTGCTGCTCACCTTTCTTACTCATTTCTCTGGATCTGGAATTCCTGCTTTGGTCGAAAAAGCTTCCAGTCGAAACATCGCTCGCGTTCTTCGTAATCCAGCTTTGCACGTTGCAACATACATTTTCTATCTCCAAGATGGCGGCTGAAAGCGCCTATAGCAAGGCACATCACAGTGTGGATACGGCACTAAAGGATTTCCGGTGAGGAGGGCGGGGGCTTTCCCCCATGAGCGAGTCAACGCGTGGCAAGCTGAGCTGTGGGCCAAGATGGCGAGGCTACCTAGCCCTTCACAAGTACCGCCGATCAGGAACAGCGAGTCCTGCCGAAAGCGCCGAAGACCTCCATGGCAGAGAATCCAATGCAGCCCTTCAGGCTCGAGTGCGTTCTTGCCTCTGCGCGACATTTGCTCCGATCCGCCATCCGAAGCGGAAGACAGCGCAGACACTGATAGAAGAGACCAGCACCAACAGCGGACCGGCACGACGCTGATTTGCGGCTGACGTGCCGATCGGCAGCGCATCCAAGTTAGCGGGCCCCACGCTGACAAGCGAGGCTGCCCGAAGATGCTTCCGTATGCCCTGGCACGCTGGAGACAATGACTTGCGTCGAGATGGCGCTAATGAGAAGATAGCCGCACCGCCACGAATACGACGAGCGGTGACGTTGGCGTGTGAAGATCAATCCTCACTGGGGCTGCTTGGGTTTCGCCCGGCGCCCACTTGACGGAGAAGTATTCGACCGAGCAGCTGTGTAGGCCCGCTTTCGGCGCCACGGCTGTCATCGCCGTCCCAAATGCGCGTCGTATTCCCTTGTCAACATATGACATTTGCTCAGGAGCTACTGGCTTGGTTGTCTTGGGGAAACCAAGTAATAGAAGTCTGCGATTTTGCAGGGCACAATAGAAAGTTTTACTTGTGCTTATGACAAGGTTTTCATTGACAAACGCATGGCTGATCCACGAAAACTGGAAATAAATACACAAGCCTATCGACCATGCCTTTGTATCTTTCTATAGGGTAAGAATCTTGAGCGTCCTGTCGATATTCGTTTGGCCTAAGATGCGCAGGTCGACACCTGCCATTATGCAGTTCCCCTGCTGTATAAATAGTTTGATTTCGCCGGAGGCAGCCGCCACATTGACCTTGATAACGAGCCCGTCCTTGATGTTGCCGTTAAACGAGCCGAGCGAGAGGCCAAAGATAGCAACATCGACGCCAATTTCGAGAGAGTTTTCTTGGATAAAGCCGCCAAACTAATTACAGTGTAAGCTGAAGACCCTAGAGAAACAATGATAGATGCTGGATTTACTTTGACGGGTCCAACACTGGAGTCGATCGAGTAGTTGCCCTCGTTGAATGAAAGATCGGCAAACTTGGGCTGAGAGTCAAGTTGGGTAACCTCGTAAACCCCCTCTTCTTGAAGGGTAATCTGGATGGGAGCGCCGAACGTGCTGTAGGTGGTCTCGGACATATTGGATAGAGGTTGTAAAGTTGAGGAATAAAGGTGTGTAGAGTGATGGAGATTTGGTGATACAAGCGCTGATTGCTATCTTTATATATGTGCAACCGCCGTAGACATGCCGCAGCTTTGCCGGCTTTAGAGATATCTCTGGAAGCGAATCATACGCTGCATCTGCCTAATGGGGTAGTTGAGCGACGCTCCCACGACCCTTCGTGGAGACACGTGGGGATGACGCTCAGCTCCCTTATAAGCGCGCCATTTCAGCTTGGCTGCAGATCTTCAGCTCGACTGCAGATCTTCAGCTCGCCACTTTGTACATAGTATCCACCCCGCAAGATCGGATCGTCGGTGTACGATGACTAGCGTGCTTTTAGCGTCTCGTGCGCTATGACCATGGTACTTACTGAGAAAGGAAAAACAGAAGCCTGTAACGCTATTGGTCTCTTGAATAGAACTTGGTGTTACGAGGCAGCACCCACACAAAAGTAGCTGGATGAATTTAAGTTGTAGGTAGGGCATTGTAGAACCGGGTATTAAGTACCTCACTCGAAAAGTCCGACGACACTAAGTCTTCGTGGCGTTTAGAAGTTCATCCCTTATTTTGGCCATGCTTAAAAGGTCTAATTGGAACTGTGCGTCAACTCATAGATGATGGGGCTGAAATCGATTGTTACACACACCTCGATGACGATGATCCCATCTTCGATACCTGGAACTGGGAATGTGGATGTCATGGCCACGATCCCATGTTCCGTGCCTAGGAAGGTGGTCACAAAGATATCGTGAGGCTTTTGCTGGAAAATGGAGCCTACATCGATGAAGAAATCGGTTCATATGTTTACACTCTCATGTTCCGTGCGCTTGATTGTCAAGACGAAGACTTTGCGTTGGAGTTGCTTAAGAAGGGTGCTGATCCCAACGGTACATGTTCCATCTTTGAAGACGACTCAGGGGACGCCCACCATGAACGCTCTGTTCTCTATCATGCTGCTTCACGAGGCTGCATAAGGGTAGTGGAAGCCCTCCTGGATAAAGGTGCCGACATCAATTTGCGACGCAGCATAGAGGACACTGCCCTTTCTGTTGCTGCCGAACACGGTCATAAAACTATTGTGCAACTTTTGCTTAACATAGGTGCCGATATTAACGTCGAAAGGATCGTTCGCGGCACAAGCTCTTACTGCAGCTTGTTCTGGCGGGCAAAAGACGATTGCGAGGCTACTGATGGACAAGGGAGCCGATGTCAATGCCCAAGGGAAGTACACCCCCAACGCACTCATTTCTGCTTCTCAGAAGGGCCATGAGAAAACTGTCAAGCTTCTGCTTGAGACGGGCGCCATTGTTGACGCTAGCGTTGAAGACATCATTAGGAAGAAAGAGAATGCTCTGACCTTCGCTTCAGGCAATGACCACAATGCAATTGTTGAAATCCTCCTCAAGAGCGGTGCTCAAACAAACGCCAATCCACTGGAGGACGGGAGCGCTCTTGCCAAAGCCGCGTCGGGCTATCGCTCGAATACCGTCAAGCTACTTCTTGACAATAGAGCCGATCTCAATATGAGAGACTCTCTAGGCTCTGGTGCATCGGATTTCTTTTTCCAAAGCCGTCCTCCAGCTCATGAAGAGTCTATCCCACTACGCCTCATTTAGAATGGGGCTGGTTTGGGCGATCAGCTTCAGAAATTTAACTTTATTCTCATTTTTGAGGAGATGGAATATCATGGACTTATCAGGATGTTGCTAAATAGGAGGGCAAACAAGGATGCCATTGCGAAAGTCAACTAAAATTGGGATACAACTCCGAGGGGGGATTAGAACGAAAAGAAAGGGAAGGGCCATGGCAACGCACTTTACATTCCTTCCAGCAGAAGATTTGTTGAGATTGTAACCTTACTTCTCAACCGAGGCACAAGCTCAAGTCGACTGGATTGGCATGGCTGGACCTTAGCGCTCATTGAATCGAGATACTCCCACATTTATGTTAGCCAAATACTATCACGGTGCGAAAATAACAAAGAGCGCTCCAGGTACTCCTGTCTATCACCATCTCGGTTTCCCCACAATACGTTTCCTGAGAATCATATTGTGCTCCAATTTGAGAAGAAAATTGGTTGCACAGCAAGACCATCCGTTTCCTGAAACCTCGCTGCTACCATACTTCGAAATAAAGCTCACAGAATCAGGACTATCTCGCAGTAAGTATGTTAAGCCGACCAACCTCGATTATTCGCAGTTACGTATGCTGGACTGTCAGTAGCCTCGAGATTGGTGTCTGCTGTGTGGACTATCCTGACCCGACAAAAGGGCCCGAGCATGCCAGATTTTGCAGGTGGACATATCGAAACGATGGATATATCTCGGCTGACGTCGGTAAGATCACTGCGGCTTACGGGCCGAGTTTCGATGTCGGCGATGTTATCGGATGTGGGGTTGACTACAAAGCGAACATGATCTTTTTTTGTAAGAACAATACATTTCTAGGTAAGCATGAGATAGTGCTTAGGCGATTCACGGCTAATAAAAGTAGGCCGTGCGTTAGATGTTCCGGTGGTAGTGGTTTCCGGCACTAAGATGATGGTGAAAGAAAATTTCACAGCGGCCGCACTGGCCAGGGTATGCTGAAATCACCCTTGGAATCAAAGTGGTTATGGGGCCGAAGGCCACCCACATTTTCACAGAACATGGGGAATGATGGTTTTGACGGAGCGGCGTTGGGGGAGGAATGGTAAAGAAAGGTTGGCCGAATTTGGAGGAGGCGCAGGGTGAACTTTCGTAGGCATTTGCTTCACATTTGAAAATTTGAGTCCAACCATTAGGGTGGTTCGTTTTGGGCTAGGCGAGTGATTGGAGCTTCTTCCTAAAAAGAGACGGCGACAAATGTAATCTCAGCGGTATTGTTAACCCATTTTATTCGGGATCTTCGTCCGTCATTCGTCCGTCTTCATGGCCTACCGCACCGTCGCTACCAGAACACTTTGCCAAGTGTTTTTTCCAGACCGCTCTTCAGGCTTCCATGGCCTCATACATTGTAATGGCCTCATTGCACAGCCTCTCTGCCAAGCCCTTCTGCAGTGGGACGATAGTGAGTAAAAGCCGTGCGCCTGTCATTTCTCCCCGGAAGCGTCCGTTCCGACACGCAGAAAGAATCGGTGGCCGGGAAGGGTGTGGGTTCATCCGCCTCAATTTCAACCATCTGCTGCTGGAATCTGCGTGATGCTTGTGGGATGAGTAAAGATGCCATTGCTTCATGCAGGCTTGCCGGGCGATTCACCCTTGTTTGCGCCCCCTGGCACCTATGGGAAGGACAACACGGCTCGCTTGCTGATGATGCAAGAGGAACAGTAGAGGAGCGAGGTTGGATCAATGGCATGGGGTTGTCCCTGTCCTCAAAGTTTGAGTCACTAATTACTAATGGACTGCCCTGATTTGGCTATTGTCGATAACATTGATGCTTGAGACTCACTGCCTTGCTTGACACTTAGCACGGCCTGTATGTAGACCAGGGCACTATCGTACTCACTCCACCTGATGCGCAAGTAAGGAACGGGCGAGAAGCTCCGGCTGAAAATCGGTTAAGAGGAGTATAGCATTACAAATCAAGCTTGCGCCACAACAGAGCAGGATGAGCCGTACCTTGCATGCATGAGATGCTTGGCAGCGGCCGAGGATAAACTTCGGGTAAACATGAGCTAATACTACTCTACCATAAACGGTAAACCTACTCTTCTTGACTGCCAAAAATTCCTAGATTCATGAAAAGTGTTCACCTTGGCATGACGCTTAAGGACCTTGGCGACACGCGGTCCCGCTGTGTCCTGACCATCTCCTGTTGACCTCTCCTGACGTAGGTGATGGCAGTGCAAGGCCCAGTTACCCACCTCACAAAGTATAAGACCAGTGGCATGCCTCCCGAGATAGTAGCACTCCAACTCCAAGCTTTCATCCTCACTTCACTGTACCCTCGACCCATCAAGTGACAACAGAACCATGAAGACACTGGGAAGCGGAATCGCCGCATTCGGCCTGATGACCATGTCAGCCATGGCACAGAACCTCTCCTACGGAGCCGACAACTTCTACACCAGCCCCATCGTCACAGTCCAGCCCATCACCTTCCAAACCCAATTCCAAACCAACGTCTCCGGCAACCTCTTCACCCTCCACAACCTCAGCCGCACCCTAGCCTCCCCCGCCATCGTCGTCGGCCACCCCATGGGCGCCGTCAAGGAGCAGAGCGCCAACCTCTACGCCACCAAGCTGGCCGAGCAGGGCTTCGTCACCGTCTCGCTCGACCTCCCCTTCTGGGGCGGCAGCTCCGGCGAGCCCCGCAACGCCGTGGCCGTCGAGCTCTACGCCGACGCCTTCAGCGGCGCCGTCGACTACCTGGGCACGCAGTCCTTCGTCGACCGCGAGCGCATCGGCGGCGTCGGCATCTGCGGCAGCGGGTCATTCATCATCAGCGCGGCCAAGATCGATCCGCGTCTGAAGGCCATCGCGACGTCGAGCATGTACGACATGGGCGCCGCGGCCCGCAACGGGCTGCGCAAGGCGCAGAGCGTCGAGCAGCGCAAGGAGATCATTGCCGCGGCGGCGCAGCAGCGGTGGGTCGAGATCGAGGGCGGTGAAGTCCAGTTGACCGGCGGCACGGACAACGAGCTCACGCCCAATACGACCGATGTGCAACGCGAGTTCTTCGACTTCTACCGCACGCCTCGCGGCCAGTTCATTCCTGAGGGCGCCACCTTCGAAACCGTCACGCACCCGACTCTCTCGAGCAACACCAAGTTTATGAACTTTTACCCCTTCAATGACATTGACACCATCTCGCCGCGTCCGTTGCTTTTCATTTCCGGCGACCAAGCTCACTCGCGTGAGTTTAGCGAGGATGCTTATGAACGTGCTGCCGAGCCGAAGGAGTTGGTCTGGGTCCCGGGAGCTGGTCACGTCGACCTTTATGATCGGGTTGAGCTCATTCCGTTCGACAAGCTCACGCAGTTTTTCCGGACGAACCTCTAGGGGAGAAGCAGTCTCGACGCGAATTGGGAAGTTCGGTTTCACAGGGTCAGCAGAGATGGAGGGAGAGGTACTGCAGAAGGAGTATTGGGGATAGTGTGCTTTAGCTTGTTTGTATTCTTAGCTCGCTAAATGGTTACATTTATGATTTACTCCACATTATCTTTCGAAATTATGTTTAGACTCACTCATCTGATCTGCCTCTTCAATACGACAAGACGACGATGTCTGGGAAACTGACAACTGATGGGTACTCGATAAGAATTGCCTATCGGTATGTTCCTCATCTCTAATGGCCGTCCATAACAGTGCTAAGCTTTTTGTCAAGCTTCGAAGATGTCACGCCTGAAGATGTGCTTATCCACAACGGAGCGTTCATCTTAAGCGCCCAAGGCTGAAACCGCTAAGAAAAATATCCCTCTTCTATAGATTACATAGTTCTCTCAGCTTTTTGTTTAGGCACCTAGGTAGACTCACTTTTACCTCTTGAATATTCAGCTTAGATAGGGTAGCTGAGCCCGTGGCGTTTGCTTAAAGTGCGGCCTTCCTACGCTTGCTTCTACCTGAAATCTTTTCTAGCTATACACTTATATTTTGCACTTACAGCCACCCAACTGGTAAAGACTCTCTATTACTGTGTTCAAGAGCTCAATACACAATGACCTATACCTCGCTAGCCGTCAATTGCAATAATGATTCATGAAGTCGCTGCTCCGTAACCACTCCACTCACCAGTATTAGCAACGGAGAGCACGATGAAAGAAGCAACTTAGCAAGACACCTGGTCAGCGGTTGTTGAATCAAGGCTATCCTTGTTTTAGTACTACGACACATTGAGGCAAAGGTAACGCGTAACCAGCCTTTTTGTCTGCAACTTGCCGAAGTCTCAGACGCCCTCCCCGCAAATAAGAAATCTAATTTTCGAAACGTCTCAAGTGTGTTGTGTGAATACTCTTCCTATTGGATCACATATAGAAATATGATACGAACCCGGGCTAGCAAAAGTGTGTGATTCGGTTATTCGCGCCCCGGACTCAGCTCCCATTGAAGATCAGTGGGGCTGCAGGCAACTTACCGCCCGGCTCCATAGAACATCACCACTTCGTCTTTCTGATTGGTCCGTCGCGGTGCTATCTGTTATCTGTGCTGTACAATGTTGCTGCCTGGCATTTAGTGGGTTCTGGGGATTTTCAGTGGCTCGCAAGCGGCTGGTTCGACGTGCACCCCAAATATTTATTTTTCGGCTCCACTGCCCACGCTTACGTCTTCGTCCTTCCAGAGTCCTTGTTTGCGTGCTGCTTCAACGTGTTTTATTTGCTTCCTGTCTACTTTGAATAGGTGCAGTGCACCTGCGGCAAAATGGACGACCCTGAAAAGGCCGCCAAGCGGCTGAGCCATGAAGACTACACAGTAGGGTGGATTTGCCCGCTGGAGGTTGAGCAGATCGCGGCCCAGGAGATGCTGGATGAAGAACACGAGCGGCTGCCACAGCCGGCTAACGATCACAACGTCTACACGCTCGGCAGCATCAACGGGCACAACGTCGTCATCGCAGGACTCCCCTCCGCCGGTAACAATCCAGCTGCAACCGTCGTTACCCAGATGCGCAACACGTTTGCGGAGCTGCGCTTTGGGCTCCTCGTTGGTATCGGTGGCGGAGTTCCCGCTTTTACCGATAACGGGCACATCCGTCTCGGCCATGTCGTTGTTAGCAAGCCGACTGGCGAGCACTCGGGGGCCGTGCAGTACGACCACGGCAAGGCTGAGGCAGGCCAGTTCCGCCGGACCGGCTTTCTCGCTGCACCGCCTACCATTCTGCTCAACGCAGCCCAGGACCTCGCCGTAAGACGTGCGCGGTCGAGGACGGACCCGCTTCACGCGCACCTAAGCAGAATTGACACGACTATCCGCGGACTACGACGTTACAAGTATCCCGGAGCCGACAAGGACCACCTCTACAGAGCCGACTATGTTCACCCAGAGCCGAAGGTTTCGTGTCAAAAGTGCGGATGCGATCCGAGCCAGCGAGTTGATCGCAGCAGCGACGGCGACAGCGACGAGGAGGATGAAGAGAACGGAGAAGAGATAGTGGTGCACCGGGGCACGATCGCGGCTGGGGAGTTGGTCGTGAAGGACGGACTGCTACGCGACAAGCTGGCCAACCAGTACGGCATACTTTGCTTCGAGATGGAAGCGGCTGGGGTTCTGGCCGACTTCCCCTGCCTTGTTATACGTGGTATTTCGGATTACTCTGACTCCAACAAGAACGACAAGTGGCATGGATACGCCGCGGCGACGGCTGCGGCGTACGCGAGGCAGCTGTTCTTTCATATGCCCGTGGATGAGGTCAGGAAATGCAGGATAGCTGAGAGCGGTTAGTAGCTACATGTTTGAGCAATACTTATGCATATTTTCGGCTGAAAACTCCGTCTGCCGAGCTTATTCAGATGAAATGAGGCTAATTAATGGGCAGATGTCAAACAGTTGATAGTGCGCACCAACCATCTCGCTCGGGACAGCCGCGAGGGAAAACTAAAACAGTGGCTGGACCCGCCAGACACATCAGCGGCTTACAAGAACGCAAGAGACCTGCATCAAGCTGGAACATGCCATTGGTTTCTGAGCAGTGATATGTTCAGTAGATGGAAAGAAGGTCACATTCCGCTAATATGGATTCATGGAATTCCAGGAAGTGGGAAAACGATTTTGAGCTCCTCCATCATCGACGAACTCGCGAAGAAAGCTCAAGATCCCGCTGACGTTGTTTTATACTTTTACTTTGAGTACAAATCGAACGGTAATGTTACATTTGATGGCATGATCCGCAACTTTGCCGCGCACCTCTTCCCAAAGAAAAAGGAGGCACAAGAGGCGCTACAGAGCTTATACGATGACAACCAAAACGGACTGCCGCCAACGAAAGGCCTTATCAAGACGTTTGAGTCCATGGTCAGTCACTTCAATCGGGTCCAGATTGTGATTGATGCGTTGGATGAAATCAAACATCGCAAAGATCTAGATACTCTGCTTGAGTGGATCAAGGCTACAGCAGACGCTCCCAACGGACGAATCCGGCTGATCGTTACCAGCAGAAAGGAAGAGGATATTGAATCGCTCTTGAGCAATGTGGGAGAGACAGTTGTCCTGTCACGAGACGTGGTGAAAGACGACATCAAAAAGTACGTTGAAAAAAGGATACGTGAGAGCCCAGATTTGCAAAAGTGGAATGGATCACCCAAAGCTCTAGAAGCCATACAATTAGCTCTTGTTGAAAGGTCTGATGGAATGTAAGCACAAAGCAAAACCGGCCGTGTTGTATATTGTTCTAACGAGACTTCCAGGTTTCGATTAGTCTTCTGCCAGCTTGAAGAACTGCGCACCTGCTTCAACTATGAAGACCTGCTTGAAACGTTGCAATCTTTACCCCAGACACTGGAGGACACCTATACCCGAATTCTGGATGGACTTACTTCAAAAAAGCAAAGACAACGAGCTATCACTATTCTTCAACTCCTACTTTTCCACAGTGATATTCTCAGCACAGAAATGGTACTTGACGCTATCATCACCAATCCTTCACAGGATCCGGCATTTGATCCTATCAATCGATTCCCATCACAGCGTGACTTAGCCAGGGTATGCGGTGCCCTTGTCACTATAGACTGGCTTCGGCCAGAAAAACCGTCCGGTGTTCTCCGCATCGCACACTTCTCTGTTCGGGAGTACTTGACTTCGGACAAAGTCCCCACAGATTTCCAGAACGCACTCAAACAACCTGAGGCAGCTATCTCTTTCACAAAAATCAGTCTTGGTTATCTGCGCCACATACCAACAATTTCATACTCCGTGGTAGAGCGAACGACGTATCCCTTAACTGACTTCGCTATGCAATTGCCATATTTTGCATATGGGCTACATGAGGAAGAGAGCGTAGTAAAGGAAATCGCGCATTTTTTCACGTCTGATGCATGTCACTCATTCGTGCGACTGTACAACAGATGGGATAGCATCAAGACCGACTACTACGCTGAATTCCCAGATGTTTCAGATCATCTGTGGATCCTAAGCTCACTTGAGTTGGACGATTACCTGCTTCCAACGATGATTGAGGCCGACTCGTCATATCTACTAAATCAACTTGTCGAAACGCCAAGTATGGAATCAAGGAATTCAGAGAGTATACCGATCCCGCTCTCCAGCACTGCAACGAGATTGAATTTGGGAAGGCTGAGACCCAGCTTTTCAGAGTTCGATCCTCTCGTTCGTATATGTGGTGCTTCGTGCAAGCCCCGCGTAAGGGAAGAGAGGGCACTTTACCTTGCAGCACGAAAGGGGTGGTCTTCCATCGTCGAAGCCCTTCTTCTGCATGATTCTGAAAGTCATATCCAGGGAGGAGAGCATGGCACAGCTCTAAACGCAGCGATGTACTTCGACAAACCAGACGTGGTCGATATCCTTCAGAAACACTACGACAACACACTCGATCCTCAGCACTTCGCTTCCGCAGTCTTGAACACTATGAAGTGCGAGATAGGGCTCTGGAAGTCCGAAAAGTTTCATGTTTGGCTGGAGAAACCCCTTTGGTTGCAGACAGCTTTGAACCGGCTTACTTCTGGTCACAGTGGCTTTGAAGAGGTCCTGAGAACCGCCTTGCTGTATGGCGACCAGGACCTTGTCGATTGGACTCTTGGAAAGAGTCCATCACTTGTGTCACAGGGGGTTATCGAGAGCACAATCATCGATACCCTTCGGTTCTGTGAGGATCACCACGTAGAAACCATCTTACGTATGGTGAACGACTCGAGTCATGAGAACTTAGCAACACGAAGTCTCATAGGAACGCACGATGAAAAGCATCGTAGGTCAGCTTTGCACTGGGCCGCAAGCAAGGGATATGTTGGTGTCACACTATCCCTACTCAAGTTGCGAGACGCAGATATCCACCTCAAGGATAGGTTTGGCGAGACGCCTCTCCATTGCGCTGCACGAGAAGGACAAACTGAAATCGCAAGAATCTTAATCAGTCACGGCGCAGATCCTGAGGACGTCGATGATTCTTTCAAAACCCCTCTCCTTTCTGCTTTCCTGCAAGGCCACCATCGCACATGTCAGATATTCTCACCCACCAAACCTGGGAAACCATTGGATCATAGCCAGTTCCATGAACTCGATACTGAAGTAGGTTCTATACCATATGATAAACACTCGCCATTCACAATGGGGGAGTACTACTTATGTGTTGTTGTTTGGGCCCCCAAAACGTATTGTATTAAAAAATAATAGAGGCTAAATACTTTGCAAATAGATAAAATATTTCGAGTTCCGTCAGCTCATCGATAATCAGCTTAAACTTTCCAAGAGAGAATCAATATTCCAACTGGCTTGTCAACTACGCCATTCCATTCTGTCCTGCAAGATTACGACCGTGTCTACGTTGCTACAAGACCCACGTGGGCTTCAGATGCTCAATACGAACTTTTACAGAGAGGAAATGTCAACTCCTCTTCATATAGCAGCCAGGACACCGTCTCCTGAACTTTTTGAAATCCTGATCAATGCTGGGGCTGATCCTTCTCTAAGAGATATACATGGCCGCACTCCTTTGCATATTTTGGCAGCACCACAACGGAGAACCTCGGATAATATCCGTATACTTAGAGCGCTTGTCAAGAAAGGTTGGAGTCTCGATGATCCAGACAAGGAAGGACAAACATGTCTTGATGCACTCCAGGTAATCCATATGTTCCTCAATTTGAACCCTATTCGTTGATCGCTGTATTGAGGTCATTCGAAACTAACCTACTGCAGATCCAACATGACTGTGCCGACAGAATGACTTGTCTTCATTACGCTGCCCAAGAAGGCTGTACAGAGATTGCAAAGATGCTTCTTGATCTCGGGGCGGACCTCGGCGCACAGAGCATCACCGGCCAAACCCCTCTTGACTGTGCTAGGATTGCTGGTCATCTGGACGTGTTCGGAATCCGGCTTGATCCGCTCACTACTTCATCTTCGATGAAGCACATTAACAGCGCACCAGAGACCATGCTTCACGAAGACCGCTTAACGGAACCACCCAAACACCGTCCCACCACCATAACTTTGGCCCTGAAGCTCCACAAGGCTGTGCATTCCAACGATGTTGGCATGGTCAGTGAGTTACTCGAGACGCCAGATGTCGATCTCACCTTCGTGAACCTGGTGGACTCGACTGCAAAGTCGGCTCTCCACTATGCCGTCCAGAGCAAAAGTCACAGGATTGTTCAATTGTTGTTGGAATATGGCGCAATGGCAAAGTCGGAGGATTACGAGGGACACAGAATGCCCATCAATCATCATGCCAACCTCAAGGATGACGAAGGAAAGACTGCACTACATTGCGCTGCGCAAGCGGGTAAACTCGAAAATGTGAAGGCCCTCGTTGAAGGTGGAGCGCATGTATGGGCGATAGACAAACAGGGACGAACCCCGCAAGAGTTGGCTGCTATTGGAGTTTCTCTAGCACACCGGGAAGTGGTGCATTGGTTGGATTCACAAGCGTCATCGGAGTGGGAAGAGGACGAAGAGGAAGAAGAGGACGAGGAGGAAGAAGAGGGCGAGGAGGAAAAAGAGGACGAGGACGAAGAGGAGGAGGAAGAGGAAGCGGAAGATAGATAGTATTAGCTAGATCGGTGTTCAAGCGTGACTTTCAGAGATCTGAGTATATCTCATTTCTATGACGTCAGGGTGCGCCGTCGTTGTTGTTGGTAAGGGGTCATGTTTTCATTAGAGAAATCCCACTTCACGTGGATAGCTGAAGTTATTGTTTTGGCGTAGATGAGGGCTTCGATATTTTTTTCTATTCTACAAATATGCCTAAAAATTGAAATTAACTACTTATAGGAGCAAGAGTTGTTGATGCAAGACAGAATGGTGGAATCCTTATTGACGTGGATGCAGTGGGCTAATTTCTACCGCCCATATCCACCGCGTATACGCGAGAACACGAGTGATGACAATTCTACCTACAATTGAACCCTGATCTTGCAGTTTCTCGTATCGTCAAGGACGTAAAAGACAATGATCAGCCACTCCCCTTTCCCAAAAATACTTTTCGCATCTCCACCGGAAACTCTTACCTTTTTTAAATTAGGAGGAAATTCTTGTACTGAAAGTTGATAAGATCCGCAAACGTATTGTCATCGGCTGCATCCGATGTGTCCACACTTGAACAGCGGCTCTCCATCATAGGCCTTGTGCACAGATGGGAATCAGTGATGAAAACATCGCGGTGTAAATTTGTTGTGGCTCGCCAGCGTTGACGGGCTAACAACACAACTTCTTAGCCGCCTACTCATCCGCTGCGAGTCTCCTTACCATGCAGTGCGAGAGTATTAGATGAAGAGAAGGTTGGGTCTGGTGCAGACGTTCGGGGTCGTGCGTGCATATGGACGGAGTGAGGCCGTGCCTTCGTAGGGCTGCTTCCCCAGGTTTTTTACGTAACGCAAATATAGGCATTTTGACCGGTGTAGAGAAGCTCTGTGACTTCCCGTCGAATGATCTTGCTCGCAGTCAGCACATACTTCAGGGGCTCCCCCACTCTGTAGCGGGGCCAGCCCTGCAACACTGAGGTTCTTTCGAAAATTCTGTACTCCCGCTCGTATGCCATGATCAACTTGCGATAGCAACCATCCGATTGATCGGCGAGATGGTGTCGTGTTGTACGATGTGGTAGGGCGCATTGCGGCTGTGGCGCCCAGCCAGCGGGACAATGGCGCAGGCTAAGCTTTTGGCGCAACTTCGACAGTCTTGCTTTTAAGACACGGGTCGGTACCATACTCAGCCAAATGAAAAATATTGCTAGATAATGGGAATCGTCGTATGTCCCACGAAAGCCCGTACTTAACAGCCATACAACACAAGCCGCCGCCAATCATGTGGCAGTTCCCGTTCGTATTCCTATGATCCAAGCTCTCAGGAGCACAGTCAAGCTTCAGACCCGGAACCTGCGGGTCAGCGACTGGACCATAAGCTCTGGGACCCTTGCGTAACGCGCGTACATTCTACATGCTGTAGACTCCAACCCGGTGAATAGCAGTGATTGCCGCCGATACCCAGGCATCGGGATTATACGAGCGAACAGCGCACCCGGTCCCCCGCCACGCCACCAAGGGGTCGTGACGTCAATATTATCTTTAGCTATCCTTTACGAGGGGTATGACCTCCGGACAGACATTGATGAAGTATAAGAAGAGGGCCGAATCCCTCCTCTACAACGCCACCACCAGCAAACAACTCCAAACAACTCCCACACTCGCTTTCCACAGCCACTCGCTACCAACCAACCTTCAGCAAAAATGAAGTCCGCTATCGTTTTCGCCTCCGCCCTGGCCTCCGCCGGCAGCGCTCTCGCCGCTCCCACCGAGACCTGGTACAGCCTCGCGGCGTCGGCCCCCAACACGAAGATCGACGGCGTTGTCATCGGCGCCTCTGCCGAGTCCTTCTACATCAGCAAGCCGTCGACCTCGTCCTGCGGCGACGTGAACCCTTACATCACCGTCAACTCGGCCGGCAACATGCTGTTCTACAACGACGGCACCAGCAACCAGCAGCAGGGTACGCGAAGCACAACCTCCCAACCCACAAACCGCATATATCGCTAACCATTTTCCTTTTGCGCAGGCTACGTCAGCACCCTCGAGGACGGCACCAAGGGCCTCCTCCGCTTCAACAAGGGCAACAGCGCCGGCGACACGCACCTCTCCATTGCCGGCTCCGAGCAGGACCAGCTGAAGGTCATGTACGATGGCGACGCCAACTGGCTCGCCTGCCCGGACAACGGCGCCGCCTTCTACATCTACTCGGCCAAGGTCCAGCCCAACCCCCCGAACAAGGCCAACTGCATCCCCTTCGAGATCAAGGCTACCCAGGCCTCCAAGAACCCTGAGAAGGTCTGCACCTACCAGTAAGCGCTCGGGTATATGTAACGAGAAGGTGTGGGATGTGTAAGATGATGAGGGGTGTGGAGAGGGGAGGAGTACGGAGGAGGACGGGGAAGCGTGGAGGAGTGGGGAGGAGTGTGGGAATATTGTGTGAGAGGATACGCGCTATGGCAACGTAATGTTTAAGAGTAAATTGTCACGTCCATCAATACAATATGTTCGACAATAGTTCAACTGCTACTGGCTCCGTGGAAGTGAGATGTCTAATCCACCCATTCTTGGTTCAGCTCGGCCAGCTACATACATTTCGACAGGCGAATTACACACGGTAAGATTCCCCTTATAAAATCATCAAACCCGTGGGCAAGCCACATGAATTCCACATCTGCAACCGGATGGTAGCTTTGACTACCCATGACACGAACAGGAACCGAATCTAGTCTAGCATCCGTGCGCGATGCGACCCCCTGAAGACGGGATGACGCGGACAGGGGCACTGAGCGGCTTACCGCATGTGGTAACGCGAAGACAACCAGATTGACGAAGCAAACGTGCGTCCTTTTCTGCAGGACAGCAAATACCGCCCATTGGTGTCAATGCGCGCTTTCTACAGCCTGCTGTTGTCCGCCTGTGCGCACGTCGGCCATCCAAAGTCAGCACGCACACGCCGGACGCTGGTGGAATGCAAAGCACCTGAACCGGCGTTACATGTTCACTCGGGCATGCTGAGTAGATTTCAGAGAACAGGAGATCAGAATCGGCTTTACATGTGGAGCGGCTACCAGTGGCGACTAGCGGACAGCACCGACCGTCGGGCCTCTCCGCACCAGGCCTAGCGGCCGCCTGCCTAGCCTATAGCCTGTCTCAACTTCATGCCATTTCCACGCGCAGTCAATCCCGCCATTTTCCACCTCTCTATTCCATTTTGTGCCGTATTCTGCATTCGGTTTGTTGGTCGGAGACTAGGCAATGCGGTAGTAGTGGAAGCTTGACGCTGGCGTGAAACTGCGAGAGAAAACAGTTTAATGCTCGCTGGAAGCTCACGCCATCTTTTCCAGCTCCAGTATGCATAGGCCGGGATGATAAGGCGAGCGAGTACCGAGAAAAATCCTAGATTGCACTGGAAACCGACATGACGAGAATATTGATATGAGCTTGCGGCGTTTACAGAGCGTGTGGTACAGCATTCATTTTGTTATTGCATGAACTGCACCGACGAATCACCCCGTCACCAAGTTCGGCTGGGTGTAGTTGTGCTCACAGAGAGGAGATGCAGGCCTTGATTGATCTTGCCTAACAACCGATCGATTGATACGAACACGAGGGTGGCTAGTGGCGTCACTGAAAGCGATGTGAATTCCGCAAAGGATGACAGTGCGGCGGCTGGCGCTGCGGTCTCGCGGGCCGGTCCGTGGCGTGCAAGCATGGCCAGGAGCCCGCCGCCGCAGCTTCAAACTACTGAGCACCAGTGCCGCGCCCGAGGCGAGAGAATGACGAAAGCGATTTGTGCGATCTTGCTACTGTCAGGCGTTGAGGGGTTCGCTCTTTGGACACTGGAAGGTGCAAGGTTGGGTGCTGCTTCCTCACAAGGCAAGTCCAGCGAACATGCCCCACCCACGCCTACGCATCCTGAATTCCCCTCTGTCTTCGTTATCTAGCGACGTATCTCCCGATCGACGACCTTTTTTTTTTTGCGCCGATCTTTTCTTCTGGCTGTCCTGCTCCCGCCATCGCCGTCGTCACGTTCGGGCTGCCTCCGGGCGTGTCCCAGCGTTGGGCCACCATCAGAATCACCACCACCCTCCCGCGGCTCCCCTGCTCTGCCGTCGTCGCCGTCAATTTCAGGCTTGTCTGTGGTGGCTCCAACATTTGGACCACCCATCAGAGTCTCTACCACCACCACCCGCCGCTCTACTCCCGCCCAGTCACCCCCTGTCGCCTCTCCGCCATCATGCCTCGCGTACGCGGCAACCGGCCCGCCCCAAGCTTCCCCTGGGCGGAGCTCAAGCATGTGACGGGACGCATTGGAAGGTATTTTAAATACCACACCATTGGCCGCGACCAACGCCTCCTTCGCAAGCTGCCAATCATCTCTTGGTAAGACCATCCCTCTCTGAACTCTGGACTTGGCTAGTAAGCAAGTTGACTAACAGTATATAGGCCGTTCAACCGTGCCCGCGTCCTCGCCCACGCCCTCGCCCGTGCTCGCAACCGCCGCAACCGCCGTGCCCGTAGGGAAGCCCGCGAAGCAGCGAACAACAACAGCAACAACGACGGCAACAGGGAGACTTCGCCTTCTCCGCCACGCGCCCCCTCTCCCGCCCGACACTCCGAAAATGGAGGCACCGCTCAGCGGTCCAGCCCCAACAGCTCGCCAAGCGCGCAGCTGCTCTTTGAGCAGGCTCAACGACCACCGCCAGCAGCAGCAGCACCACCACCACCACCACCACCACCACAGCAGCGAGCTTCTCGTCGCAACATCCGTTTGCTTGCCGAGGTAGATGAGGACAACGTTGTGCATGGCCGCCGCGTCCGGCGCCAGACAGAGCGCTATAGCTAGGCACGTGGGGCTGTGGAAGGGGATGGAATCGTGAGGGATTGATTGTGTAGAAAGTCGCTCCTTATATTATTATGTCTCGCTTGTATCACTTGCCGGTTATGCTTTGTGACTGCTTGGACTCCTTCGGTCTTCCCTGTTTCTTAGCTTTAGCCTGCGAAGCTCTCCCAGTATTACGGATTAGCTCCGTGCGACTCGTATAGCTACTCGTTTCCTGCTTAGCATAGTTTCCATTACTACTTGAACTTCTCGTTCTTAGAACTGTTTCTTCTTTAGCAGTTTCTTTTCGTACATAGGGCTTAGTCGAATTCTGATTCACTTCGCTTCTTAACACCCAGTGTCTCGGTGTTTTGGTAGATATAGTGCTCCTATATCAAAATGACAGGTATCAGAAGCAAGGATTTTAGTCTTAAACTAATCTAGTAAGTGGAAGCGGTGCTAGTATATTTATATAGCTGTAGCGCTAATAAGCGGTGTTAAACGTTTTACAATAAAGATCAACCGCTGAACCCTTTGATCTCGTAGCTACCAACTTTGAAAGTTGGAGTCTCCAGGCTTCTGCATGGGTAAAGGAACGATATGGGAATAGAGAAGGTCAGAGTGATGGTGTTTCAAAACTCAAATGGTGGCAATCAACGATAGTAAATAATGATCGTGATTACGCCCCTTTGAAGAGAAACTACACAAGCTCTAAATTACACCTCTCGCCAGTATAGATATCCGGGGTTTCCTCTTCCTGTTTATACATCCCAATACGCATATATCTGTGACTTCCCGGGCTTTCAGGTGACAATAGAAGCCCCGAGTGCAATTTGTGGATCTCCAGACATAGCACTTCGAAATGCTGTTCGCTAGACGAGACAGTGACTGTTTTCATTTCAGGGCTCATCGGCCGGTCCAGGTAGACGGATCCAAACGGGTATGAGGCCTTCTCGCTCTCCCTTAAGATACCGCGGCGGGTTGCTCCATCTCCCAGAAATGAAACTTTTTTGATCCAACCATTCAACCTGATACTTCCCTTCGCTGAATGCCCGAACTGGTCAGGATTGCCAACAACGTGAGAGCTAAGGAATTGCGCACATTCCGGAGAGCAAAAGTGAAGCGAAGAATCGAAATATACCGGTTCATTGAGCGAAGCCCAAGACCATGATGGGATCGTACTAGAGACTGGAGCGTCGCAGGTGACGTCGGTGGCGCCCTCGCCTATTTGCCAGAGTAGATCAAAATTGATGGTACTCCTCCATAAGCCGGCCATGTACTCATCTTGCGGCTTCCGGCGTAGCCAAAGATCTTTCGCAACACCACTGAGTGCGACGAGTCGATCCTCTGACTTGGAGATGGATCGTGAGGTGTAGTTTCCGACTATTCGATGCCATTCGGCGTGGGGGAGTGGCATCCAGGCTTCCACATAGTCAATCAGTCCGTTCCCATAAGGAATCTTAGGATAGGAGTCTGTTGCCTTATCATAGTACTGCTCCCAGAGGACATTCTTGCAGTACCAGTATATTTTGGGCTTTCCCAAGTTGACGTAGCGAGCAGAGAGAAGCAATTCCTGCAATGTCCAGGCCCTCTTATGAATAGGGTCTGAACGTATCGCTAACGCCTGCAAGCCAGCATAAAGCTGACCGGGCATGTCTTGGCCGCGGAACAATCCGTTGGGCAGAGGGCAAAATGGTATTTCCGGTTGATCTGCGGTCGGGCGAATACCATCATATGCGCTCTTTCCTGCCGCAGCCCCAATGGTGAGAAAGGCATCGTGGTAGATCGTCTGCATCTTCACGGACTCCTCCTTCCAGTCTGCTTTAGCCTCGACGCTGTCTCCTTGAAGAATGCAGAGTGAATCGACCCAAAGATATCGAATCCCAAGAATTCTAGTGAATTCGATGGCATCTTGGACTGTCAACGGAAGATCTTCCACTGGTATCTCTTCTATCATCCTGGAGACATTGTCTGGGTTGACCACTTGAAAGGATTCCTGGCCCCAACAGTAACTTAAGGCCAGATAGACCCCCATGATTGGTGTCGGCTCAGCCTCTCCATTTGAAGCAGACATCATGGAGGGATTGATCCAGATGCGCGGTTTGTGCGACGTCCCGTAGACCCCGACGTCTACTAGGCGCTTGGGCAGCGGAGATTCGATTGACTTTGGACACATTGTGTGCTCCTGTAAGCATCGTCGAGTCCATAAAGCAGTGTATTGAGCAGCTTGCGTCAAGTTCCTCCAAGGTATGTGATCCTCGACTCTGCCTGCAGATGGATCATCTGTACGGCTGGTAAGCTCAATTTTTTCGTTGAAGTATTTGTTATTCCCTACCAGGCAAATTATAAATAGTCAGTGCTCTAGTCCTGTGATTACGGTCGATGACTTGATGCCTAGCGGTATCTGAGAGTTCGACACGAGGCCAGTCTAAACTGGACTCATGAATGATATTGATGGCGCCTACCCCTTCGTGCAGCTTAACCCTTTCACCATTCTGACTCATGAGGAATGAAAACTTCATTTCTCTGGCCTTCATGTCCACGTCTTTCCCCAACTTCCGCCATTCCACCCAGTCCTCCCATTTCGCGAAGGTACCTGTATGATAATGTATCCCGTCCCATTCTCTCTGCGAACGACTTGATCTGTTCGGAAAGTAGTAAACAAAATGATCTTGCATGCGTTTCCAGATCACTGCACACAGTGGACAACAGCTTTTACCAGCACGCAGAGCCGCTCCAACGACATGTTCCAGATCCTCGGCCGTTCGATGCTCGAGCGTGATTGTGTCATCCCGGCTCCGGATCTCTGGACACTCGAGTCTGAGTTCTTCGTAATCGATGAGCAATTCACTGCAAATGTCACAGAGCTCCTCAGAGCTTATCCAATCGGACATAACGTCCAGCGGACGTTGCAGCAGTGGAGCTGGCACAGTTGCGGGATCTTGAAGCCATGGCCAAGTAGAGTTGGCAGGTTCGTGGTTCGTGTCATCGCGTCTTTCGGGTTCCATATCGGTTCTGTGACGGTAAAGGAGGTAATGGTTTGGTAGCAGGGTATGGATTTCAGAAGAGAAAAGCTGGTGGGTGGAATGGAGGTGGGGCTACGGCCACGCCCACTGTTAATAACCTGTTTCCGGCTATCGCGCGACCCGATATTTCGCCACGTCGCATGTACGTGCAGTAACAACATGCGCTCCCTAAGCGGTGTTCATTGGTGGACGAAGTGCCTATGCACCAAGGCGTAATCGTGTGTAAGCGGGGCGCTTCGGTCGGTAAGCGGCGCAGTGAGGAATTCAGCGCGATCCGCCAATAATAACACCATGACGTTATCATCCTTGCCCGCTGATTAATTATTCGCGCAGATTTAGTTGGGAAAGGCGTCTTGGTAACCATGCATCATCTCTCGTGAGGACTGATTTACCCCAAGGCCAAGTCACAATGGCAATACTTGGGGAAACTCTTAATACAGCGTGAGCGGCAAGGAATTTATCTGCTGTTAAGTGCGGATTTCCCATCATATTGCTGATGGCGTCCTCATAGTAATGGCGCCTAGGTGGCAATTTCTGTCACACGCAGACGGAAACACTGCGTGACGAGCAGATCATCATGCCTTCTGGTTGGCCTATGTGATATCAGCGTGGCGTTGAGCAGTGGATGATGCAAGCTGAGGGATAAAAGGTGCCAAGAAGTTTTCAGCTTACAAGCTGGTGCCTAGACATTGCATGGACATCGATCCACCTGAAAGCGCAGACAAATGATGTGCCTTAAACCCCACCATCTGCAGGGATCACTTTCCTACGCCATGTGCTACCAGTGGGCTCTTACGCATCTAGACCATCATGGTTACCCAAATTCTATCCAACCAACAGATGTAATACAGCACAAAGGAAATGGCACGGCACTGATCAACTCTTCCCGGTTCAAGACCATTCACCGTAGGAATGTAGGATAAATTCACTGTCGGCAACAGGAAGTCACCATTTGTATTACGAAGGGATGATTAAACTTCTGTCATTGTGGCTAGAGTGGCGGCACTGCTTTCCTGAGTGATTGGACGCATTCGTGCAGCGGGTGGAAGGCTGTCGATTTAGCCCGTCAGCCTCACGACATTCCTCATCAACCAGCCCGCAGATCCATCTCGCCTTGCTCAAATTCACTCGGTTCGTCACAGCCTACAACGGTACCCAGCTCACAGTGTAGATGCTGTCTCGTGTCATCCTGCAAGCCTCCTGCATCCCCGTCCTATAGCACCACTTTTCGAGCCGCTTCTCCATAGTCTCTCATCCTCCCTTCCTGATTGCTTCGGCACATCATCATATGCGTGCTTGCAAAAACTCTACCGGAAGGCTTTCGGGTTGGCCATCAAAATATCGCACTTAACAACTCGTTAGTCAGTTCCGTGGCTTTACGACTTAACAAATTTCGAGTTGAATTTACCGATTGGGAGTATGTGTCGCACCGGTTGGACAAGTTGCTTAGCTAGATCGGGTGGTCGCCTGTACCCTTGCCCACGCAGCCGCCATCCTGTCTGAGGAGAGCTTCTATTCCCCCGTGGGTGGCGGGACTACGTTGCTGTGACCAGCGGGCTATCAACTGCGGTATCTCGAGTGTTTACTTCGATCCCAAACTAAAGCACCAGCCCTGTCATCTCCGCGTGGCCGTAGCACGAATACGCAGGAAAGGTAGGCGGGCACGATAATAATTTCCTAAAGAGCCTAGCGTATGAGCTACAAATGCATGCTCTTTCCCAAAACAATATCGCTAATGGTAATAAGCTTCCCAACTTCACGCTTCGCGATGCTTCGCTCTTGTCCTTCGTGTTGATATCTCGTCCCCCAATCCACGCGCCGATTATATCATAAAACTAAACTTACAGATCAAAACAATAATGAACAGTGTGGCCGAAGTAATGAGTATTGCAAGTTTCATTAGTCCTACATAGCTATGGAGTAGATTGTTATCGCACGAGACTTCTTCATTTCCTTCTATGTTCGAACGTTCAAACCAACACCCTCCGATTCATTTATGAAGATCGTTTTCATTTCACGATAGTGCAACCTATTTATTCCTAGTTCCGGGGTCTGGAAAGAACATCAGCATTTTTACTGAAATAGTTGAGGTCAAGATCGTGATTCCTGTTGAGTTCGGTATAGGCCCCCGGTAGACCAAGCCATTGCGTGCCGTATGCAAGGACGGGGCCACGCCAGCCAGTGAGCTTAACACAGATTTAATTGTCAGAGTTAATCGTGAATCCATCCATAAGAAATGCGTCCCAGTAGTTGATGCGGATGGTATCGGGATGTGGACGTTTCAACAACTGGTTGGACTGAACCTGGCTCACTCCCCGAGGTGCATTAAGGTAGGTCTGTTGCATGCGCATTACCACTGCCCCGTGTACTCATCGCCCTGTCGTGGACGGTTGATCCAAATGAGCTGCGCCTTACGTCTATCAAGTGCGAAGAAGATGGCGAGATGAAGGTCAGTTGTGAGACGCGAAGAGAGATCGAATCCGCTGTACGCCCTGCACAGGATCTTATGGATGGCTGGATTCGCCTTCTTGCAGGCCATTGAGCGGTATTAGCTGCGTCTACAGCGTTACCATTGAGTCGATGCATGATTAGCACAACATGTTACCGGTCGCCATGAGAGGGAAAACGGGTTAAGCGTAAAATGATGGAATGGAAAAGAGCTCAAGTGTCCTCCGCCAAGTGTCACACTTGCACGTTTCTTGCCACGTCATAAAGTCTCTACGGACTGTGCATCAAATGTCAGCAGACCTTTTTGGTAGCCTGTGTGCTTGCATGCTGCAAGGGATTCTTTATCGACGCGGGGGAATGGGGTGGGGGCTATCTACGCCCTTGCTCAACAATAAATTATCTCATCATTCGTGTCAACTTGGTATTATTCATGCTGGATAAAAGTTTGCATTCGACGGCCTTTGCTTGGGCTATCTAAATCAAACAAAAAATGCATTATCATCGTCTTTATTGTTCTTAGACTATCTAAGCTTAGATCCTTTTCCTTTTGGGGGCCAGGAGTGTTGGTCACACAAGCCAGTGGCAAGATCCGTGCATTGTGTGGTCAAATTGTAATTACTACGTCACAGCCTGTGCGGTGATACGTTTCCAAGATTCTGAGCTTCTGTTCCACGTTGCACTCTTTTAATCTCCATGCAGTGTAAGACCTGTCGTAGAATCTTTCAAGTGGCGTGATAAAGGCTTTACGTAGGATTGGAGGGTGCACATTTTTAGCGGAGATGGTGACATGTGTTTAAAACGTACTTGAGCTAACTCTCCTCTTTCCCTTTCCTATTCCTTGCCGATACATGGGAAGGTTGATTTCCTCTCAATTTCGCGACGCAAAGAGCACTACTCGAAAACAATGGAAATGTCTGTTGAAGAATACTCGGGCCCCATAAGGCTCGGAATGGGCACGTAAGCATTGTTTCGAACAGGTTCAAGCAATATGGGTTGAGATGGACTAACATACTGTTCTAGGTACTTTGACACAGGAGAGTATTCTGATATTACAGTACAGTGCAAGAATGGCGATACGTACAAAGCACACAAGCTTGTTCTTTGCAGCCAGAGCCACGTGTTCAGGAATGCCTGTAACCCAGAGTACAATTTCAAGGTAGAATCATGCCATATTGTTCTTCTTCCTATTCCTAGAAACCTTTCTCCAGAAGGCTCTATTACAGCCACTTCAGCTCGAATGGCTAATTGATTGTAAACAAATAGGAAGCCAACGAAGGCATCATTCGGCTCAAGGACGACGAACCGGAAATTGTCAAAGCTTTGCTCGAGTTTCTCTACTGCTTCGATTACACCAACCCATCGGATGCAGGCATGCTTTTCCACATCCAAATTTACGCCATCGGTGAGATATACGGTGTGATTGGAATAAAGCATCTTGCGCAGAGACGATTCCAACAGCTTGCTTGGAATTCTTGGGATTCTGTGACATTTCCACTCGCTATACAGGAAATCTACAATACAACCACGGAAACAGATCGCGGTCTCAGGGATGTGGCGGTTGAAATCACAGCCGCTCATATCGTGGAGCTTCTCAAAAAGGATGTCTATCGTGCGGTGATGGATGAGGTGGGGCCCTTTGGCAAAGACCTTGCACGGGCTCTCATTGAACTTCCATCTGTGAGAGAAAGGGAACTGGAGGATCTCACCGCTCGCTACGGCAAGTATCGATGCCCAGCGGGGAGATGCAGGAAAACGGTGGAAATGGTTCTGCCAATAGGTGTTTCAATTGTGCACTGCATGAGGTGTGGCGCCGGCTACCAAAACTGGAGCAATTATCAATTATAATGCGTGTTTCTAAAGAAGTCATGAACTACAGACCAGTCTATCTATCGTGAAGAGCGAAAACCAGCCAGGCGGGTCAACCTCATCCGCGGCCTCAATCATAATTTTTCTAACCCCTCGTTGTGTCTCAGAAATTCGAGTACACTCATGTGCGCTGCTAATTGCCTCTTCAGACAGAGCCAAACAAACATAACAATAGACACCGACTTCATCTGTCTCCTCCAATAAAACAACGGCATACACGGTGACACTCTGCCTCTACGGGGACTTTAAGGGGTAAAGGGTAAGAATATAGTTGAGAAATTAGCTGCTTTACAGTCAAAACGTGCGTGAGGCCCCAAAGAGCACAGCCGCCCCGCACAGATATTTCGGAGTAGCAATCGTTGTGGAGAGCGGGCAAAAGAAAAAAGGATAAGGACCTGATGACAGCGGAGGTGTGGGGCTCGGATGGGGGAGACAGGGGTCCACTTACGTCTGCCTGGTGCACAGCCGCCCCACTCATCTGAGCTGGTAACAACCGCTAACGACCGTTCAGGCAGCCTCAGCCTCAGCCTCAAGCTTCGCTGGCAATGCAGAGTGAAATTTTCATTTGTCCACAAGCAGCATGGATGGTCGGCTAGCCCGCAGCGAAACTCTTGCCTGTAAACACAGCCTCGGAGGTTCTGTTAAATTCCAGATACTTAGCCTTGCTTTCTTTTACACGAAAACTCTCACAACTTTCCTCCTTTATCCCGTTCTCTATTATTCATACCTACAACCACCATGGCCGAAATCGCGACACAAACGCTCAGCTTCCTCGACGCGGCGATAGCCTGCTTCAAGCAGATCCAGATCGCCCGCTCGTTCCCAGAGGACTTCGACCACCACCAAATCAAACTCGACATCCTCCAACTGCGTCTCTCGCGATGGGGCGAGGCAGCCGGCATCTACAGCGGCGGGGAAGGCGCGCCGCTAGCGATCCGCGACCACGACCAAGCCAACTCCCTCCTCTGCTCCATCGAGCTCCTCTTCAAGCAAGCGCAAAAAAAGGCCGCCGCGCTGAAGCCCCCGGAGGAGCCCACGACCCCGACGCTCAACCCGGACAGCGACATGTCGTCGGGCATGCGCATGCTGCGCACGAAGCTGCGCGCCTCGCTGTCGCGGCGCTGCACGCAGCTCGCCAACGCCAAGCACAGCATCCAGTGGGCGTTCTACAAGAAGCAGCAGTTTGAGGAGTTCGTCGCCGCCATGAACGGCACGATCGATCAGCTGGAGAAGCTGTTTCCGGAGGAGGAGGCGACGCCGACGCGGCTGCAGGAGCTGAGCAAGGAGGAGTGCAAGGGCATCAGCGAGACGTACCTCAAGGAGCTGAAGGAGATTGTGCAGGACACGGATCCCTGGCTCGATGGCGCGGTGGATGCGTCGCTGCGCGAGCAGGCGCCGACCGGTGGTGTTTCGTTTTCGAACCGCGACAACTATGGTTTGCAGCAGGGCTACAACTATGGTAACCAGAAGGGGTTCAAATTTGCGGGCACTATGAACAATAACACTTACAGGAAGTGATTTGGGAGGGTGAGTCTCTTTCGCATCATTGATTATTTACAGTTACTGACTTGCATGTCTCATCGATAGAATGCGGCTCGAGAGCCCATAAGAGCCAGATGATGGAATTTTATCTTTAGCGTAGAAGATGAAAAAGATGACAAACTAGAATGGGTGCAAAGAATTATACTACTGTGCTACTGTGCTCTATGATTTTCCGTATTGCCATCCTACAAAAGAGATATCCTGAATGAGCGGTTGGGCATGATTACTCTAGACTAATTCCTTTAACCGGATATTTATTACCCCCTCCATCTCCATTAACAGCAAGAGAATTATTCCGAGGCAAAGTATACAATCCTCAGCCGCATTAAGCTAGGATCTGAAGTATAATGCGCTTGATCTTCTCACCCTTCGTCTCTTTTTTCTCTTTCATCTTCTCTTCAGGTTTTTGGCCTTGCTGCTGATCTTTCGGCTGGTTCTTTTGCTGGTCTTGCACTTCCTGATCTTTCTGTTCGGTGTTCTGCTGGTTTTGCTCCTGGGCCGTCGGCTGGGGCTTCGACTGGTCTTGCCCCTGACTCCCCGCCTCGGGTTGTGTTTGCTCTTGTTCCTGACCTTCTGCCTTGTCCTGCGGCTTCTCCTGCTGCTGGTCTTTCGTTTCATCCTTCGCCTGATGCTGATGCACGTTATCCTTGTCTTCTCGCTCCGCTCCTTTGATCCCACGCTTCTCCAACTCCGCCGCAGGTATGGTCACGATATCCTTCCTCTTCTTCTCCAGCACGCCCTCAACCACATCCATCATGTTCTCCTCCTTCGCGTCCTGCCGCACGGCCTGCATCATGCGGTCCATATTCACAATCAACCCCTCATTCCCCGTCTTCACCGACTCGACGACCATCTCCGCCCCCGCCTTCGTCAACAACTCGACCCTCGCGCGGTTCGGCGGGTCGAGCGCATCGCGGAACATGGTGAGGAAGGCATTCAACACATGAAATATATCCTGACTCCTGACCACCTTCCCCTTGTCGTCCGTGGCAGCGTGGTCCAGCGCATCCGCCAGCAGCAGCGCGAAGCCGTCCGCCAGCATCTCGGCCGGGGGCCCGCGCTCGATGGCCGTGGCGAGCAGCTCGATGCCGACGCTGGCGAGGTTGCCCGCCTCGCGGAACTTGTCCTCGGGCGTCTTGCCGTCGGCGGTCAGGATGTCGCGCAGTTCCTTGCCGCGGCGGTCGACGAGCCGCATGAGCATGGCGCCGGACTCGATGCACAGCAGCGCGTCGGTCCAGGCGTTGGCGAGCGGCCGCACGGCCTTGAAGTTCTTGCAGTCGAAGGCCGCGCCGAGCAGCAGCACGGCGGCCTTGGTGAGGCGGTCCAGCACGTTCTCGAACGTCATGGGCGAGCTGCTGCTGTCGACGGTTTGCCCCGTGGCGGCGATGCGCGAGGTGGCGGCGACGCCGCGCTCGCTCATGGCCGCCTTGAGGTGGAAGTAGCACAGGGCCATCTCGAATTTGACGTCGAGCTTCTCGCGCCACGCGGGCTTGGGGCGAGGGGCCTTCTTCTGCTTGGTTGGTGGCGTTGGCGTTGGCGTTGGCTCTTGATTCGACGACGACGACGACGACGTTCGCTTGAACAGCGCTGTGCTGGGGCGACGTCTCAGGGGCTGCTTCTTGTCCTTCTTCTTCTTCTCCTTCTCCTCCCGCGTCTTCTCATCCTTCGTCTTCTCCCGCGTCGCGAGCTCGACCATGATCTCGAAGATGGTGGTGCCGAGCGGCGCGTGCTGCTCGACGGTGTTCTGCTGGCCGTTGCGGATAGCGCGTTCGACAGCTTTCTCATACAACCCGATCAGGAACTCGATCAGCGTCATATCGCGGCCCGCCAGCGCGCCGTGAAAAATCGGCACCCACGTAATCTTCAGCACGCGGATGGCGCGGCGGATGACGAGCCCCCCCTTGCCATCACGTATCCGCGGCTTCGTGTGCAGCACCTTGACCACCTCCATGTGCCCCTTCTCGATCGCGATGTCGAACGGCGTGCCCATCGGGCTCTTCTTCTTGACGTTCGCCCGCCGCCACCTGCTCTTCTCCTCGAGCAGCAGCGTGGTCACGTCCGCGTGCCCGAAGTGCGCGGCGTGGTGCAGCGCCGCGTACTGCGTGTGGCCCGCGCTGTTGACGTCCGCACCACGCTCCAACAACATCTTAATAATCTCCATGTACGGCTCCGTGTCCCTCCCCTCGTAGCACCCCGCCGCCGCGGCCGTCACGGTGCTGCCGATCTGCCAGCTCTTCTTCCTTGCGTCGAACCGGCGCTCCAGCAGCGCCTCGACAATCTCCTTGTGCCCGTAATGCGCCGCCGTGTGCAGCGGCGTGCCGAACGCGTCGCCAAAGACGTCCAGGTCCTTGTGCGGCCGCGGGGAGCTATCGCAGATGGCGACGACGCAGTCCAGCGACCCCCCCGCGACGGCGGCGTGCAGCGCCGTGCCCAGCTCGCTCTCGGCGCGGAAGTTGGCGCCTTCGTGCAGGAGTTCCCTGACGACGTCGGCGTGGCCCTCGCGCGCGGCGAGCCGCAGTGCCGTGCCGTGGCTGGGGCTGCGCGCGTCGAGAGCACGCTTGCCGGCGTCGTTGTCCAGCAGCACGCGGACCAGGGGCAGGTCGCCCTCGCGCGCGGCGTAGTGCAGCGGCGTCTGGCCCTGGTTGTCTACCGCGGCGACGGCGGCGGCGGCGGCAGTGGCGTCGGATGGCATGAGGCAGCGGACGGTGGTGAGGCGAGTATAGGGGTTGGAGCCGAGGATGGCCCAGTGGAGGGTGGTGCAGCCGTCGGCGTCGGCGGTGGAGGCGTCGGGAACGGAAGCGAAGCGGCTGCTGCTGCTGAAGAGATGGTCGAACAGACCAAAGTAGCTGAAGACGTGCGCGGGGCGGAGTTTGGCGGGGAGCGATGCGCTAATAGTGAAGCGGTAGATCTGGAAGGCGAGGAGGAGATTCTCGTCGGCGCGGTAGAGCGCAGAGAGGAGGTTGCGGGTTGATTTGCGGTTCTGGCCGTTGTCGGTTTTGCTGGCTCGTACGGCGTCGACCCAGTGCAGTGCGGCGAACTCGAGGAAGGGGTGCGTGGTGATCCACTGCAGGAATTCGTTGCCCGGGTCGTACCAGGCGGCGTTGCGGAAAGGCCCGCGGCGAAACTCTTCGCGGCAGAGGTAGGCGATTGTGAGGTCTGCAATGGTGGCGCGGCTGGCGACTCGGCTGAAGAAGTAGTCGTGCATTGAGGTGTGGGCGAAACGGAACACTCCCAGATCCCCATCGTGCTCGACGAATGGGCTGCAGAGCCGCACCACCATGCCTGGGTCCTTGAGCACATCCTCTTGTACCTTTCTGTTGATCTTCTTGGTTCCGGTATTTAGCGGTGCCGCCTCGGCCAGCGCCTCCACCGAGAGCAACCCCTCGTGCGCCAGCAGCGCTGTTGCATGCAGTGCGAGTGTACACTCCCAGTTCTGCAACTGTCGGCGCGCTTTCTTGCTTTCCCACTGTGTCACAACCCTCTCGTACGCTTCTTGGATATCTTTGGGCAGGGACAGCCGTTCGATCGCCCGATTCACCTCTTGCTTGTCATGCATGCTACAGACAATGTCCACTACCGCCTTGGCCCATAGAAACCTGCATCGTCAAGTCAACAGCCCATCTCTCGACGGTACACCAGGTTGGAAACTTACATCCCCTTTGCCTGCGTTGAAACCTTCCCTGCGACTTCCTTTATATCGGCTTCTTTCCAGTCGCCTTTATTACTTTCCACGTGGAGTTTGTCCCCCAGGCTCCTGACCAGGTATGTTTCCATGTCTGTCTTCGTCTCTGTTTCTGTGACATGTATCTCGCTGACATGTATGTCGCGGTCGACCTTTCGTTCCGTTGCCGTAGGTGCGTCATTTGTCGTGCGGTAGCTGGCGAGTAGCGATACCCGGCTAAAGTGTTTGCATGCGTAGCACTTCTCGATGAATCCGCGGCCCAGCGCCGTCTGATCCACCTTGGGCAGTTCATCCACTGCGTCGATAACTATGCGGACGCGGAGGGTGTCTTTCTTACGGAGTTCCGTGATAATCATCTCGGCGAGCTGCTCGTCGCTCCTGTTGTTGATCAGATCATCTCTGCTATCACCGGTGGTGATGCCGTCGCTGCCGTCGTTGTCGCCCTGAACCTGGTCCCAGAAAGTCAGGAGGACGTGCTTCAGTGTGGCCGTTTCTTTGTCGGCGAAGAAGTAGAGGAGCTGCTCGTCGTACTCCTTCTCCTTCGCGACGACGTCTTCAATTGCTCGTGCGCTGTTTGGAAAGGGAGTAAATATCAGCCTATCCATTTCTTGCCGAAGCAATTGAGGTTCACTTACACCAATGTAGATTTACCACACCCCACTGTCGTATATCAGTATGAACTGAAAGCAGCTGTAGCAGGAATAAATGGAAACTTACCTTGCCCATGAATCCACAGAGCGGAGCTGTTACGTTTATCGGCCCATTGCTTGTACTGTTCACTGTTAAGCAGCCATTGGCAAGTCGTGTCTGTCCTGGAGTTCTTGTATTTGGTATAACTCGACAAAGCAATGCTCTTGAAGGACTTCGTCTTCGAAACCGTGTTGATTTTTTCTTTATTGCGACATCAAACGGGTTAGCGAGAAATTCCACGCTGCGGAGATTCGCAATGCAAAAGCTTGGATAGAAGGGAGTTTACGTACGCTCCAAGTAAAATCCGATTTGCTGGCCATGGTTGTCCCTGTTGCTGAAATGAACGGGTGGCATGTTCCTGGTTATCGAGCCCAGAGGCCCCTTTGCCAGCGCCATGATTCTCGAATTCCGCACCCGTCAATGTAAGGGTAAAGGATGAAGGCCATAGAGCGACAGAGAGAGGCTTTTCTAAAATGAGCAATGGCTTTGAGGGGGCGCTCTAAAATCATCACGACTTGCGACCACTTCCCGTATCTGTTTTGGCCCCCGAATTGAGCCTCAAGATTCTCAGCCTCACAGCTGGACTGCATCCCTTTTCCAATACAGAGGCGTGTACGGCAGGGCTATCTGAGGATGAGAAATGCAATTTCCAAGCTGTTGACTGCGTGGCGCCTGCTGGACCCTGTGTTGACTCGGCATCCGAGGATGCAGGGATGTGGCCGGGGAATAACAGTGGAGCAGGGAAGGAAAAAGAAAGGAATTGAGGGCGGTAACAGTGCGAGCTGAAGCTGTACCCACCCACCCACTCGTTGACGTGTAAGCGAGCTGTAGCGGGGAACTTCTCCGATCGATCCGCACCAAAAGAGTGCGATACTCGGAGCGCACAGGGCGGGCGTAGGGAGGAAATTGGAAGCCGATGAGGCTCTGCTCGGGTAAGCTCGTGTCCCAATGGGTCTTTCAAGGATCCGATACGAACCATCGGCATTTCGTCGTCTTCCTCGTGACTACAATGCAGTGTTGATCTGACTTCTGCCTTCTTATCGTTGAGCCGCCGACATCATGGCCGGCTCGAGGCCTCCATGATTCAAACCACCACTGAGTCGTGTCTCGGACAGAAGGAAGAGGAAAACTGGCTGAAAGGGACGTGATCGTCAATGTCTTGCTTGGTTACCGCACAATCAATTGCGGCGGATCGGAACGAGGCAGCAAGATCCACCCACCAAGAGTGGGGGATACGATGCGGCATTGTATGTGAGTACTGAACAGACCCATTGGTGAGTAACGCAGAATGAACAGAATTTGAAACCCCCGAAACCTGGGCCAGCCACAGCGGATGGTGTTGAAAGTCACTAGAGGTCTTATTCTGAATCTTTGCCCAACCCTCTGGTAGTCTTGGTAGTGCACTCAGCACCACTGAAAGATTAGGTATAACAAAGAGGAGAAGTGTATATATGATAGATAACTGCCGCGCATAGGGCGGCAGTTACTAAAAGACGTTGAGCTCAGGCCAATAGCGCTACTTGGCTAAATGTCGTGAAGCCCTTTCTGGCGGAGAATTCGACCGGTACCCACTGTCTGAAGGGTATCTTTTGTCGATGTGCTCCACTCCGACATGGGTCAAAATCGGGCTTCGTCAAGGGTTGCAGCAAATAGGATAGTGCGAATACCCTAGAAGCGATGATTTACATCGAGATCGCGCTAACAAAAGTTGACAGATTCTGGCCCCCACTGTGCACCCACAGTGATGGGCGGCAGCGGGCCATCATCCAAGGGAATCGGACCGACCCGTTGCTTCGCTACCGAGTCGCGCCCGCAATGGTATTGTAACAAGCAATCCAGAAGCATGAATACCGTCCGGCGGAAGAAAACAACATGTTCCCCTAAGAATCTTCGTTAGATTGGAACTAAGAACCTAACGGGCTTGAACTTAAAATAGATGTCGAACTCTATATAGACTACTGAATGCAGACAAACTCAACCATCCCTCCATCCTACTTATATGATTGGCGTAAATACGCAGCAAGGATAAGGATAATGTTGCAATATGTGACAAGATAATTGGTATTGAACTGCGCGGTAACGAAGAGCATGCGGCCTGAGAGGGCTGCAACCCGGGAGGCCGTGAAGTTGCTACAATACACATAGCAACAGGAGAACAAATAAAAGGAAGTAAGTAAGGCCCCTCTATGAATCATTCGTTGAGAGGAGCGTAAAATGAACAAACAATGCTCCACAACCTTATCTCAAATTCATCGTCATGGTAATACAGTTCATTGTCTAGTTCTTCTTTGGGCAAGCTGATGATTGAATCCAGTAGCTCAGGGGAACGTCCTCTTTCGAGCGCGCGCGTCACTACATCAACGTCTTCTGACAAAAGCTGATTTCCCAGGAAGTCTGGCGTTTGCAGCTCGATCTTCAATTCTTCCCACCTGTCTACTGGTGATTTCCCATCGCCATCTTTGAAGGATAAGTCTGCTCCTGCTGCAATAATGATGCAGAATAGGGTGAGCATTCCCAATCCATGCCGATAATCTTGACGTGCTGAGAACGCTGCGCTGAAGACTGATTTACCAGACCGGTCTCGTACATTGACTGATGCACCTGTTCTGATAAGTGCCAAAGATGCGAGAGGTGAACAGCACAAGACACAGACATGAAGAGGGGTGTCTCCATGGATGTCTCGCGAGTTGGGATTGGCGCCGTATTGCTTCAGAATCTCCATTCTCTCAAAGCTTTCGTATGAGTCGTAGAAATAATGCATTGGCGTCGCCCCCCGTGAATCTGTTGCAGATGCATCGGCTCCAAGGCTCAAAAGTAAGTTAAGCCTTTCGACTGAAGTCACCTCGTGTAGCACAGTACAACCCCGTTGGTCTTTCCAATTGGCCAAAGCGCCAGCCCTGATCAGACGTTCAGCAGACAACCGATCAGCCTTCCAGAGTGCAGTTCTTTGCAAGCCGTTTTCAGCATTAGGATCGGCACCTTGATCAAGAAGAGCTTCTGACGCTTGGAACTTAGCATCATCCTGACTGGTCGATAATAAGGGGGGCTCTCCCTCTCTCCCTCCATCATTCGGAACAGCCCCGTGTCGTAGAAGAAGAAGGACGATAGATGCGTTTTTGGCACGCTCATCTATACAAGCGTATTTTAACGATATAACCCCCCGCCCATCAGTAGCATTAACGTCGGCGCCGAGTTCCATCAACCTTGAGGCACATGAGAGAAATCCTCTGCGGCAGGCTTGATACAAAAGGCCTGTCCTGAATTCTGTGGCGACGCTGTTAAGTTGGTCACGAAGCTGGCGCAAGGTGTCCGTCTGGGGTATATTGCTTTCCTCGGCTGCATCGACATGAAGCACAACTTCACTGAAGGCGTAGGCTTCCAAAGTGTGTATTGATGTTGTCGGTTTTATGCGACCAAGTGAGACGTCACGTCTGGGCCGGGACATCGCAACCGAAACTTCTAGAACCAGAAGAGAATTGGCGCACGATCTGGCAATGGCTGAATGTGCTTTCCCAATCGCTTCTGTGATGGGCACATTTGATGTGAATAGGGATGAAAACCCATTTTGATGGAGAAAAAAGTGGCGCACAGACTCATGAAGTAGCTGTACCCTTGGAGTACAACGCGTTTCCGGGTCAGGGTCATATGCAGCCGCTTTCGTAATCTCAACCAGACCACGGGAAAGAGCTGTAACGCGCTCGCCACGTTTGTCCTCATCCACGTAATGCTCGGATTCCTTTAGTTGGGCCAGGGATTCCGGAGGGCTTTCTGAGCCGAAGCATATTGCGCAGGTTATTTGAGGAAGGGTCAATCGTCTTGCTGCAAATAGGATCCATTGAAACAGGAGAAGAACTTGGGGACGCTCATCATCCTCGAGGTCGGCGAAGAGATCTTGGAACAGCATGCTAAGCTCTGGGGGCAATTTTGCCAGCAGCCTTCTCCGGGCTTTGACTGATTGCCCGTGGCCTCTTCTGTCAAGAATTCCTATGGCAAGAATAACCCAAAGAAAAATGTTCGAGGCTCATGGACTGCGCTAATATCTTCCGTCTGGTGTTGGATGTATCGGAATATATCATGCCTATTTATTACGGTAGCGCCCGCACGAGTGCGAGCGCGAGCGACGTCTTGCCTGGCCCTGTGCGCCCAACCACGCCGATTTTCTCTCGCGCTCCGATGCTCAGCCGCAGATTCCGCAGTACGGTCTCACGCTCCTTGCCGTAGTGCGCGCTGTAGTCGACGAATTCGATTGCACTACCACCCTGGCCGCCGGCCCACCCTTTCGCCGGCACTGCTGTAGGGCCCTCCTGCGGCACATCCAGATACTCGCCCACCCGCTCCATCAAGTTCATGTCCTGCTCGTTGGCCGTGTGCAACCGGATGAGCCATAGCAAGTTGCCTGTGAAAGTGGCTGCGTAGCTCATGGCCAGCCCAGCGGCGCCTGCGTCCATCCTGCCCGCGCCTGTCCGGCACACGACGAAGGTGCTGCAGGCGAGGGACACTCCCGAACCGAGCACATCTATCCGTACGCCCAGCCATCGACCGACGGCCCCAAGGTGGAAGAAAGGCGTGTTGTACATGTCCACCAGGCGCTGGCCTGCGTGCAGGAAGCGCGCCTCGGCGCCATATGCCCGGATCGTGCTGACCCCGGACAGTACCTCGCCCAGGTGCTGGTACAGCGGGCCTCGCCGGGTTCAACTCGATCCGTTTGAGGTCCATTGCCGAGCCCATGTATACCCTTCCCAGCACCAGTGAGGCCCGCGGTAATGGCGAGCCCGGCCGCCAAGAATCGCGGCACTATCACGCTGGCGAGCACCAGAATCACCGTAAGCGATGCCGTGCAGTGCGCCACACGCCCACTGCCGTGGCCGCGAGCTCCTGGACGAGTGACCCTATTTCCCTCGAGAAACGGTTCGTCATCTGCCCAAACGGCATATGGCGTCAAGGAAGCGGATCTTGGCGTGCACCACGGCCTCGAACAGGCCGAGGTGGATCTTGCGCGATGCTGAAATTGACCAAGCGAACACGACGTTAATGTACAGAGCCGTCAGTGCCATGAAGGCCAACAGACCCGCGTAAATGCCGAGGCAGTAGGCTTTCCCTGGGTGTGAAGATGCCGCAACGCCAGCGGCAGCCTTGCTGTTTGTCTGGTGGACGACGGGGAACCATGGTGTTCTGCAAGGGACACTGCCAGCATCACGTAGGTACTGTATTGGTAACAAGGCCTTCGCACGCGCAGTGCTCAGTCTGACTTTTGCACGTTTGGGAAATCGAAAGTTGTTGTTCATACTCCATATTGAATCTGATTATTTGTCTTGGCTAGGCAGAAAACCTTGCACGTTTGAGGCATGGCGCAGCCCTAGATACAACGAGCCTGGAGTATGAAAGAAAGCGCATATGGATGCTGAAAGACCTACGTGGAACTCAAGCACGTGTTAAGCGTGTTGTACTTCGCTACGACTCAAGGAGTACTTGAGAGCATGAAGTGCGTTCCCCGTAATCATCCATCCGTGACAGCTGCACTTAGTAGCGGTTGATGCAGGCAGAGTCGCCAGCACCGTTCGACTTGCAGCACGAGTAGAACTGGTCACCATCCTGCTTGTCAGGGGCATAGCACTGCGACATGTTAGCAACCATTTAGTCCTCGTGCACATAATGAATTTATCTTACGTAGTTGCCAGGGAACCGCAGCTCGGAGGTGATAGAACCCTCGGAAATCCCATTGACTTATGCGCGTTAACTTCTGACTGCTATTAAGTTTTATCTACGGTGAGGACTTACTAGCTTTAATGGAGCCAGCAGTGCAGCAGGTCGTAGTAGCGCCATCGACGAGAGTGGAGCTATCAGTCGCCTGCTGACAAGCGCAGTACCTCCAGCTATCGGCCAGAGCGGCGCTGTTTTGGCAACATCAGCTTTGATAGACTTGTTATTCGGGTTAGAGTTGGACCTTACGAAGCAAGAGTAGCGAGGACGAAGGCAATCTTCATTGTGTCGAAAATAAGACAATAAAGTAGAATGCAGTAGGTCAAGTGAGGGTTTGTCTGATCGGGGTTGAAAGCTGAGTTGATGATACTAGCTCATAGACAGCAGAAAGAGGATGTTTTATATCCTAGCATTCAATTGCTGAGTCCCACTTTTGTTTAGTCTCTGTGCTCCTCGCGTTCTAAGTTGGCTGGCGATGTGTCTTGGTACGTTCTAGGTACGACTCATAAGGGTCCACTCCAAGACTCCGGCTGGCTCCGGTTAGCTGGCCTGATATTTGTTTCACCGTGCATACTACGTGAAGGTGATCTGGATCTAGCACTCTCAAGACCCAATCAGTTTATCGAATATGTTCTTCGGCAGCCTCGAAATTGTCGAGAAATAGTGATCTTTTAGTCTATAGAGATGTATACTACTATATAAATTAGAATTCTAACTAGTATACTCTACCTAAATCTTGTAGTGCCACTGAGCTTTGGTAACCTATGAGCTCGAGCGTAAGTAGGCACTCGTGGCTGCCAAGAATGCCCCTAAATACGAATTAAGAAAATCCGCGATATACCGCCGCGAGCCGGAAATAGCCGTGGAGTAGCAATGAGAAGAGCAATAACCAACCCTCCGTCCGTGCGTCGCTAGAAAACCCGTGATACTGTGTAACGAGTCACAAGAGAGCTGCTCTGCTCTTCCGGGCGTATCCGAGTCGGTATCTGCGGTCTTTCGGACTGTTTATTAGACTTGTGGGCTTTTTCCAAAGTAGTGTAATGTGGATATCGAGAGCTTACACAATTTACTGCACCTCGGCTCGAATTCCCGAGAAGCGGCACCGTGGGGATTACAGAGGGTGCTGCGGCCTAGGGATGAGAACTATGGCAGAGAAGAAGGAACACGGCAAGGTAAGCGGGACTCGGATCGTCTAGCACCACCCGAGCCCCGTTGGCCAACCACGTAATAGACACGCACAGTCCTCTAATATTGGCCACACCTTGGCTCTGGCCAGCGAATAAGCATTTGTCGACGAGCAAAAGTACGACGCTGCACTGTTACCAGCGCATGCTACTTCACTCCTTTCGGTCTGAAGGGGTTGGTGTTCATGCTGTCTGGTTCCGGGGCCAGATGCTTCCTGGCTATCTCCTGGGCTGGATTTTGGAAGACCGCGCCGGTCTCTATGAGGATCTTCTGGTCGTTCGGGCAAGCTCCTGGTCTGCATGGTTACCTTGCGGCAATCACAATGTTGATTTTGCCTTGCACCAGCGTTACACTAAGTCAATGAGTAACGGAGATGCGACGCGTATGTTTGAGGAGGGGAGAGCCAGATATCATGGCCAAGATCAAGAGGGGCATGTAACGGGTATCGAAAAAAAACCGCTGAGGAGAGTAATTTATTCTACCGTCTAGTGCTTCCCGTTGTTGCAAATTGTTGAATCTTACTTTTCTTTCCCTAACGACACGCAGGCTGTTTGACTCATATGATTGGTGCAAGAGCGCTGGGGAATGATGAATACTTAACGGCATCGAATGCAAGTGACTTGCTAGAGTCTGCAAGTTGCCAAGTGTAACGGCGAGCCTTTGCTTCTAAAGATCTAAACACTAAAGACGAAAACCTGTCGAGGGTTTCCTTAAGTACAGTCTATGCGCTCAGTGAACGCGTTGTGCTCATTCACCTTGGCGATTGGCATGGTGAGGTAGCGGGCGGGCCTGACTGAAATCCGACCTCCTCAGGCTGCGCCATAATGCTAGTCCAGCCAGCCATTACTCGCCCACATACTCTTTCACTGAAAACTTTTGAGTATGGCTCCTATTCTCTCTGCTGTAGGCGCTACCGTCCTCGCCGCCCTGCCGCTGGCTAGCGCCCACATCTGCATAAAGAACCCGGTGCCCTTTAACGCCATCCAGCTAAGGCAGAACCGCAGCCCCCTCACCCCGGAGCAATACTCTTACAAGTTTTAGACCTACTCCAAGACGGAGCGTACCTAGCTATTAGTCGGTAGCGCCTATACTCGCAGCTCAGGCCGTGGCTCAGCTGTGGATGACCATGTCTTCTGGGGGTCTCCACCGATTCCGTGGACAAAAACAATACTTGAAAAAGTCAGGTATGTAAAGAAACCGACAGAGACATACTCAGCAATCGGAACATTCGGGGCAGAAGGCTGGCTTAGGACCGTAAATCCTTCACAAAACTCTTCCATAGTGTAGACACCAGACGAGAAAGGTAAGCTCGTAATCAAAATGAGACTCCAATGTAGGAAAAAAAGATGTGCGAGATAGCCATAGCTGAGCGCGGATTTTGGTTAGCGATCAGTTTCAGCGGAATAAGTGAGATTAAGAAGACGAGTCTGGGCACTTGACCACTCGGAACAGGACTTTCCGCCGCGGAATGCCAGGTCCGCTGCAAAACTGTTTCATTCAGGTCTCTCGTGAGCCTGCCATGCATGTGATGTCTCGATTCAAGCACATTCCTCGATCCAAGGCTCAGCCCTCGCTTACTCAATGTCGCGCTTCATTTCAACGGCCATGTGCGCCTCGTCTGCTGCACATCATTCCGAGCACAGGACGGTTAGCGTGAACATATGTATCTTGGGGCTCTAGTGTGTAGTTTTTCTGATATACTGCACAAGTCGTAACACTTGTGTCGAAGGATATGGAACGAGGTGCAACGTCAGCCAATAAGAATCCCCGCACGCCGCAAATACCCATCGATCGACGGCAGCATCGGAATCTCGCGATCTGGACCGGTATCTTATCTACCCCGCTCAATTTCCCTGCCACTCGATAAATATCCACAACCATCAGACTGCATCAAATATACGTGACAATGAGCGCTCCGCGGCCATTCAGATGCGGTGTATGCTCGCAGGAGTTTACGCGAAGTGTAAGACAGCAGTTCCACGAGATGAACCCGCTGCTTATAGGATGACTCACAGGAAAATCTACAACGGCACAGAACCTCAAGTATGCTCAACCAATAAAGCGGGATTTAGCAGGATACTAAGTTATTCCAGGGCATGGAGGCGGATCACGTCACAAGTTTGAGTGCACAAAGTGCCATACAAGGTTCCATCGCAGGTAGCACCCCCGCCCGCACCTGCGGAACGCTTTCTCACAAACTTCCAGAGACGTTTGCAAGCGCCACGCTGAGCGGTGCAACGGCCATGTATCGTACTCTCGCTCCAGGCGACTGAGTCCTGAACCTGTATCAACACGCAATGTCACTCGCACTATCCCTGCACCCAGCTCGCCCGTGCCTGATGCATCTGAAGACGGAAACAGTGAAAATGCAGCATCACTCGGGTATGGCACTTTGCGCGAGCTGCCAATTCATTTTACTAAATCTTTTATAGGATGTCGGAAGAGGTCGTCACACAAATGGTCAATTCATACTTTGTCCACTTTCATCGTTCGTTTCCAATTCTGCACAGGCCAACCTTCTCCTTAAGTGCAGTTCCAGTCAGCCTACTGAGAGTCGTTGTTGCCATTGGGAGTCTCTACACGGCCTCCAACCTACCTTTACCGGAGCGCCAGCCAATCCTCAAAGAGGCCGATGAGAATTGGGAACGAAGTAGAAAAGACTTGAAGTCTCTGGTACGTTCTGCCCTTTTAGCACTGGCGCAACTAGGAGTGGAAGTCGACATCCAGAAACACTCATACAGGTCCAAAATTCACATTCGCGGCCGCATGCTGGCTTCAGCCACCCTCATAGAGCTTGAATTCTAACGCCGATACCAAACGCCGACAGGTATCCAAAGACCCCAAAGAAGTGCGCGAAAGCAGCGTAACCCAAGCCTTCGTGCTCCTCATCCTCTACGGCATCTACCGCGACAGCGGGTCCAAATTCCAAAAAGCGCGCTCCCTCTTCCGCACCATCATCGACGTACGCCCCTTCCACCCCCCACCCCCCTTTCTCCTCCCCCAACCACCACCCTAACCTCCGTCCCACAGTCCCTCCGCGACCTCGAACTCTTCCACCAAACCCTCACCGCCGCGCCCTCCGAAGACCCCAGCTGGTCCACCGACCTCTCGCCCGCCCTCTCCACCAGCGCGCCCGCCCTCCTCCACTCCAAATGGACCGCCTACACGCGCTCCGAATCGCTCAAGCTCTCCCTCTACGCCCTCGTCTACCTCGACACGCAGGGCTTCGCCGCGGCCTGCAACACGCGGCCCCTCCTCTCCCCCATCGAGCTCGGCTGGGAACTGCCGCATGCCGCAGCCTTGTGGGAAGCCAACGACGCGGGCGCGTGGCTCGCGGCGCTGTACGGCTCCGCGCCCGATGCTAGCGGCGCGGCGGTGTCGATCACGACGACGACGACGAGATACGCCTTCCTGAGTTCGACGGGGGCGACGCGCACGCTCGCGCTGGCTACGCAGTCGCTCTTGTCGGGCTCGCCGTGCCCGCACCTGGTTGCCGCGCTGAGCGCGTCGCCGTTTGCGGCGCTGTGCGTGGCGGCGAATGTCGAGGCGTTGGTGAGGGACTTCACGCGGTGCTACTACATGATGCCGCCGAGCTTGAGCGATCCGTCGCTTTTCCACATCCTGACGCAGGCGCAGAACAAGCATGTTGTTGCGGGGTTGAGGGCGGTGGGGGAGGCGAGGGCGAGGGCGAAGGGGGTTGGAGTTGGTGGCGCGGGGGCAGGAGGAGGGGGGGATGGGGGAGCAACAGGAGCAACAGGAGGAGGAGCAACAGGCAGCCAGATCTGGCGCGCGGTCGACCTGGTGCTGGCGTCGGCCAAGGCCGGGCTCTGCGCGCCGGATGACCTGTTGATTGGGGGGATTGTTGATAATGGCGTTGCGGCGGGGTTGGCGACGAGCGCGCATTTGACACTCGGCAGCTACTTTGCGAGCAGGCGGTCGACTATGCAGCAGCAGAAGGACGCTATGGGCGGTGTGGTGGCTTCGTCGTCGTCGTCGGAGGTGAATGTTGCGGGGAGCCTGAGTCTGCTGGCTGAGCTGATGCCAGCGTTGGAGCAGGTTGTGGTGGGGCAGGGGCCGGAAGAGGTTTGTGACGAGGGGCCGTGGGTGACTGTGGTGATGATCAGGCTGCTTATTACGATCTGGAAGACGGTGAGGCATGTCGTTGAGCACGTGCGTCAGAGGAGCAGCGACGGCAGCATGGCCTTCGATCCGGCTGGCGTGACGTTGCGGGCTGTGACGGAAGCTGTTGAAAGGTACATACGGCTGCTGGTACCGGATTATGAGCCTGATACTGGCACGGACCAGGAATCACAAGAGAAGGACTGGGGATATCACGAGCGCTCTCTCCTCTTGCTGACGGTTGAGTTGTGCAAGAGAAGGTCGGCATGGCCTGTTGGTCCGGCACTGGCGACGGTTTTTGAGGAGATCATGGCTGCAATAATTTAGAGTTCGACCGTACCATACGCTAAAGTCCTACGCCGCAGGAGTTCAAGTCATCTACCACGAATTGATCCACCTCCGCACAACTCTCTCCAACCAATCGCCATTCTTCAAGACATCCGCCAGCGGCACTTCCCCCAGCCTTGGCGCCTGTGCGAGCGTGTTCTTAGTCTCGTGCCTCAGCATCTTCTTCCCTCCCGCTCGCTGCCCGTACTTCCCCTCCCAGAACTCCAGAAGCTTCCTGCTGGGATTCTTCTCCACATCCGGATCACTGTCCCGCAAGTTCGCCAGCCATTCCTCCGGCGGGACCACGTCAAACTCCGGCAGAAGCCCCGTTCTCCGCAACGCAGGAACAAAGTCCCGCGTCCAGTGAAAATGCTGCGGGTTGAGGATATGATACACCACCCCACCCTCACCCTGTCCCTCAACCCGCCCGCTCTTCTGCTCCTCCGGCAACGCGATATCCAAAATCGCCGCCGCCGCCACATCGATCGGCAGCCACGACGGGCTCTGCATTTCAGTCAGCACACCGCACAACCCACCCACACACCAAACAGGAAACAACTCACCTCATCCAACGCCGGCAGCACACCAGTACTCCACACGCCCCTTACAAGCAACGGAATCGCCTCGGTGGTATTCCAGTCCCCGACGCCATACAAATCGCCCACCAGCTGCCCGATCCGCAGCACCCTCGCCCTCAACCCCACGCCCTCCCCCGTGGCGGCCTCCACGACCTTCTCCGCAACCAGCTTGCTGCGGCCGTACCCCATCTTCTGCGCCGCGGCGAGCGGCTGCGGGACGGCTTCGGGCACCGTGACGACTGCGGCCGTTCCATTTCCGGAATCACCCGCGTGCGTGGTGGCCGTGGTGGTGGCGTTGGGAAGGCTCGCCATCCCCCCCACCGCCGAGACACTACTAGCAAAATACAGCGCCGCCGGCCCCCCGCGCGCCGTCCGCACGTCCAGACACAGCTGCAGCAGCGCGTGCAGCCCCGCGACGTGCGGCCGGAACGCGCGCACGGGCAGCGTGAAGTTGACCGGCCAGGCGGCGTGGATGACGCACGTGAGGGTGTCCTTGAGGTTCTCGAGGACGTCTGCGGGGAGGCCGAGGCCGGGGAGGCTGAGGTCGGAGGAGGGGACGGCTGTGAGCTTCGTCAGGGCGGAGGAGGAGGAGGAGGAGGAGGAGGAGGAGGAGGAAGAGGAGGGCTCGAGGCCGCGCGAGGCGAGGGAGGCGAGGATGCGGGATTGCGCGGTGGTGGAGTCGGGGGCGCGGGCGAGGGCGTAGATGTGGTGGACGTCGGGGCGCGAGAGGAGGGTGGTGAGGAGGTGTGCGCCTAGGCCGCCGGTTGCGCCGGTGAGGAGCTGGAGAGAGTGTGGGTGTTAGCTGTGCGCGGGGGGCGGTTGTTGGGGGGTAAGGGGGGTGTGGTGGGACTTACGACGACTTCGCCGGCGGGCGCTGGTACGGTGCCGGGGACGTGTGGGCGGAAGGTCGAGAACTCGTCGACGAGCTCCTGCATGGCCAGCAGCTCTTCCTCGTCGCTCTGGCCGACGTCTTCGCCCGTTCGTAGGCCGTACAGGTGCTTCGCCAGCGCCCGCAGCGTGCCCTTTTCGTACACGACGTTCTGGCTCAGCGCGTCCTGCTTGCCGCCCAGGTCGAGCTTCTTCCGGATCAGGCTCCAGATGCGCGTCGTCTGCAGGCTGTCCACGCCGGCCGCGAAGACGTCTGCGTCCACGCTCTCCAGCTTCACGCCGAGATCGAGCTGGAACCGCTCCAACAGCCACTGCTCCAGCTCCGGAACATCCAGCGCCAGCAGCGGCTCACCATCACCCGCGTCGTCCTCCCCATGCTCAAACCTCGCATACGCCTCATCAATAACATCTTTAAACACCTCGTACACCTGCTGCCTCACCGCCGTCCCCTTATCCGTCCTCGGCCAACTCGTGCCCCGCGGCATCACGACAACCAGTTCCCTCGGAATCCGCGAAAACGACTCCGCCCCCTTATTCGCCTCCTCGACATCCCCCCAAATGTGCTCCACGAACTCCGCCTCTCCCAACTCCCTCGCCGTCCCGTCCTCCTCATCCCGAAAAACCAGCATCCCCGGCACACTCCTGCCCGCCCCAAACACCACCGCCTCGGCCACCAGCGGACTCTGTCGCACGCGTCCCTCGATCGGCAGCGGCAGCACCTTCTCGCCGTTGACCAGCGTCAGGCGGTCGTCGAGGCGCGTCAGGTACTTCCACCAGGAGGGGTTGGTCGGGTGGCGCGTGAAGAGGTCGCGGGTGCGGTAGGAGTTGGGCGGGTCGGAGCAGTTGGTCGGCCCGCGCGAGGGGAGCGATTCGAGGGCCACGCATTCGAAGATGCCGGGGGAGATTTCGTCCATGAGGATGTGTGGTGCTATGTGCGGGGGCATGCGGAGGTAGGACCACGCGGTGTCGCCGGCGGGGCGGAGGGAGGACATGATGGCGCCGGTTTCGGAGCTGTGTTGGGTGGTGGATGGGTTAGTGAGGGTTGCTGCCGCCCTTGGGGGAGCGGTGGGATGATGAGAGTGCGGACGGGAGGGGGAGAGGGGGGAAAGAACACCATAAGAGAGGGTAGACGGGAGAAGAAAGAGCAGCACTCACCTCCCATAATTCGCCACCAGCCTCACCCCCGCTCGCACCAACCTCTCCCCCACCTCATCCGGACACGCACTCCCCGCAAACATCACCACCTCCGCCTTCCCCAACTCCCCCACCCCGTCCTCCCCCTCGGCTAACAACCCCAACACAAACGGCACCGCCGTCACCAACCCAGGCTTCGCCACCCTCATCGCCCGCACCAGATTCGCCCGCGTGACGGGCCGCGCGTGGTTCGCCATGTACATCGGCGCGCCGCGGTAGAAGCAGCGGAACAGCTCCATCAGCCCGTGCGAGTGGAAGAGCGGGCTGGCGCAGAAAGCGCGCAGCCCGAGGCCTTTGGAGAAGTTCGCGAGGAGCGCGCGGTGCGAGAGGGGGATGGGTTTGGGGAAGCCGGTGCTGCCGCTAGAGTGGATGATCCAGGCGGTTTTGGTGGATTGGTGGGCCGCGGTGGTGGGAGGGACGGGGGCGAAGGTGGTGATGGGGGATGTGCAGCGGTAGTCTGGGCGGGTGATGAGGGGGAGGGTGGTCAGGGGGGTGGTGGAGGGGGCGGAGGAAGAGAGGGAGGAGGAGATGGCCGGGATGGTGGGTTGGTAGACGGGCGCCACGATCATTGTCGTGCAGTCGCACATCTGGAGCAGGCGCGCGTGGGCGGCCGGGACGAGGCGCGGGGAGAGGAAGAGGAGGGCCCAGCCCAGCCGGCTGACGGCGAGGATGGTGACGATGACTTCGAAGCTGGATGGGGCCAGGAGGGCTACGACTGGAGTGCTGGGGGACGTGGGGTCCTGTTGAAGTTACCATCTGCGTCTTGTTGGAGGAGGTGATACATACCACAGGCTTCAGACCGAGGCTCTTGTACTTCGCCGCTGCTGCCTCTGTGTATTGATCGAGGGCTTTTGCGGTGTGTTCCTCGAAATCATCGATGTCGGTGACAGGATATGCTACGAGGACCGGATCATCTGGACGTGCCGCCTGAGCTTTGAGGAGCTCGTCGATGGTGGAGAAAGTGGACAGGCCCATGGCTGGAGGGGCAGAAACTGTAGCAGTGACCGTCTGAGACATTTTGAGAGATGCTTTGGCAGTTTGGTGGTTGCTCAAGCCCAAGTAGAACGCACCTCCACCCGTTTATACAAGCTTCGCCGGTCACCCTAAGCTTTGCGGGTTCTTTTCCGACAGCGTGGGGGTTGCGGAGGGACAAAGCGGGGTCGGCTGTGAGTCCGACAGGGAATGCAACCGCCATTGGTGCGGAAATAACAACAACGCGGGGGTGGAGAACTGCACCCCACGCAAAATGGAGAACCGAATGCGGAGAACCTGGTTCTTTGCGGGGTGCGAATGGACATCAATACCAATTTGGATCTGGGGAAGAGAGAATACAGCTCATTGTTGTATTTGTGATGCTGACTGCAGTATGTCGACGTAGCCCGTGACCCGGTTGTTGTACAAGTCTACCCCCACGTTACCAAATGCCTGGTCGACGGTGCACATGTATAAGATGCCCTCGTTATTTACCTGCTGCTCTCTCCTCATCATTCCCGCTTTTCTCATCAGACAGCGAGGAACTTGCCAAACATGGCGGGCACAGCAACCAGAGGACATCATGGCAATTCAGTTCGGTCGATAACAATTGCATTTGCCATCAGTCTGGCAGGGTAGGTCAACCGAGCTCCACCACTTCACTAGTTGACACGCTGTAGGTTCCTATACGGACTCGACACGGGCATCATCGCCACAACCATCGCCCAGTCCAGCTTCAAGACTTACATGTACGGCCCTGACGGCGTAGATTCCTCCCTCAATGGCGGCATCGTCTCTGGATACTACGCCGGCAGTTGCCTCGGTAGCGCAGCCGCTTCATGGACCATGGACGGCATGAGTCGACGCTGGAGCCTGCTCTTCGGTTCCACCGTGAGCGTCATCGGGGCTGCCATACAAGCCGGAGCCATGAACCCGGCCATGATGATCGTAGGTCGTGCCTTCTCTGGCTTCTCAACCGGCATGGTCTACGCTGTGGCGCCTGTGTACCTCTCCGAGATGTCGCCGCCTGAGAACCGAGCCTTCCTCGTTGGCATCAAGGGTCTCATGAATACTTTGGGTGCCCTGTTGGCCAACTGGATCGGCTACGCTGGTAGCTTCGGTGCCGGAAACATTCAGTGGCGTGTTCCTCTCGCCATGCAGGCTCCACCGGCCATGCTCCTCATGGCATTGACATTCGTCCTGCCATACTCACCACGATGGCGTAAGTCCTGTCCATCATCTTCATCCCCCACCTCCTACTGACACTGTCCAGTCATCCAGCGCGAGCGACACGAAGACGCCATGAAAGTCCTCCGCTACCTCCACGCCCACCGCGGCGAAGAGTGGATCACATCCGAATACACCAAAATGCAGAGCCAGATCACGTTCGAGTCGGAGATGCGCCGCCAGAGCAGCTACCGCGAGCTCTTCACCCGGCGCTACATCCGCCGCACGCTGCTCGGCTGCCTGATCGTCAACATGACGAAGCTGTCCGGCTCGAACATCATCCAGGCATACCAGACGGTCATGTACAACGCGCTCGGCTTCGAGGGCCGGACGGTTCTCCTCATCGCCGGCTGCTATGGCTTCATGGCCGTCATCGCGCAGATCCTCAGCCTCTTCACGCTGTCCGACTTCTGGCCGCGGAAGCGGACGGTCGGTGAGTGCTTCCATCTTGAATCAAGCAAGCTTCAGCATCGCTAACCCTACCACAGTCATCGGCCACATCGTCCTCGCTACATGCCTCAGCATCCTCACCGCCCTCAGCCGCTTCTACCCGGACGACCACAACCTGTCCGGCTCCCGCGCCGGCGTGGCCTTCATCTTCCTCTTCGCCTTCCTGTACTCGTACTTCTTCAACACCGTCGTCTGGGTGCTCGTCGCCGAGATCTTCCCGCTGCATCTGCGCGCCCGGGGCAACGGTTTCGCCGTCTTCAGCCAGGCTGTCACTGCCATTTGGCTGAGCTATGTTGCTAGCATCGCGTTTGATCAGATCGCGTGGAAGTTTTACTTCGTTTTCATTGGGTGCAATCTTTTTGCCGCGACTATGTATTTCCTGTACTTGCCGGAGACGAACCAGATGACGCTGGAGCAGGTGGCGGCCGCGTTTGGGGACGAGATTGCTGTCGAGAGTAAGGATGCTAAGGGCTCTGTTTCGCACATTGAGGTCGTGGCGGGAGGGAAGGATGGTGCTACCAGGGCTTGATGTTGGCACGCTTTGTAGGGGGATAGTCGAAGGGTTGGTGCACGGCACTGTGTGGGGTATTGGTTAGTGACGTATCGTTCCTCGAAGATGTTTGAGTAAAATGCAATGGAAATTAAACCATCTTCGTAACTCATATAGTCACTACTTGCTTCCATTCTTGATGTAATCCTGCGTCTCTGTGTTGCTCATATGTCAACAGTGTACTACATGAGGTGTAGCGGCGGCTACCGTGACTGGGGCAACAATTAATTAGAATTCATCCTTCTAAGTCGTTTGGGCGGTATATGGCTCTTCGTCCATGTTTGTGTCTCTTCCATAGCAATAATGATCAAAGTGCTGGCTTTTCGCTTCTGCAACGCTTTCGGTTTGCTTTTAAAACTAAAGGCTACCACAGAAATTAAACTTTGGGGCATATTCATGTACATATTGTCTACAGAAGAGCTAAGAACAATTTACACAAGCGTTGAAGTCTTTTTTTTAGTCAACACTAAGCTATGTTTACGGATTGGATGAGAGTAAATAATATAGCATTAAGGGATTTGCAGATTTACCCCGAGCTATAAAGCGAACTTCTCATCTCTCCATTTCCCACTGTGATTATCAACACCAACAATCAATGGGAATCTCTTATGGCTCCTTTCTGCTGTTCTCTGACCAGAATGGAAGCCCAGCTTGGGTGCGGAGGCTGCCGTAAACAGAACTGCTATCAATCATCTCTCCTGCATAGGCGCGTGACATCTTCAGGTGGGCAAGTGCCGTGTCCATCGTGGGTATGCGCATGTCATTGCTCTGGGCAATGGACAACGCATGTCTAGCATCCTTGGCCGCGAGTGATGCAGCAAAGCCAGGCGGCGTACCATGTGGCGGTGCCCACGCACCGGAGGTCATTCTTCATTCAATGTCAGTGCATGTCACCAAAGAGCAATTGCTGGTGTGCACATACCGATGCGAGTAGCTTTCCAAAACGGGCCCAAACATGTTGCCAATGAACTCTTCCATCTGAGTGCAGCCGATTCCCGTGACCTCGGCAAAAACCTGGGCTTCGGCGATGACTTCCATGAAGCTGATAACGAGAATATTTCTTTGACAGTGTTAGCGCGTGGAGTACATGGGGTTGGACTGTATTTTACCCAGAGATCTTGAGCAGGCTCGACTTCCGCACATCCTCGCCCATTTCGATGATGCTCCGGCCCATCACGTTCAGGACCAACGGCTTTACTGCAGCGAGGGCCGCCGAGGGGCCCGCCATGGCGAAGATCAACTTGCCGGCTGCCGCCATGGGGCTAGCACCGAAAACGGGTGAAGAGATGAATGTGGCACCCTTCGCCGACAAGGTATCAAACACGGAAGCTGCGGTATCAGGGTGCACGGTCGATGTGTCCACAAAGATCTTGCCATTGATCGAGCCACATGACTCAGCAGCAATGGAGGTCAAGTCCTTCAGAACTTGGTCATTCGAGATCTGGGGAGTATTAGTAAAGCGCAACGGTATGAAAACTGAAATCCTACCATGGTGAAGATGATATCAGATCCTTTCACGACGCTTGCGTAGTCCTGTTCCGGCAATGCGCCCGCTGCCTCCAACGGCTTTCCCTTTTCGAGCGTGCGGTTCGAGTACCTGAGCGCCGGAGCCCCGACCGTCTTCAGGTGCCGCGCCAGGTTCAGGGCCATGCCAAGGCCCATGGAGCCCAGGCCATACTGTCCCAAGTCAGCAATCGACACCCGTTGCCATCGCTGTTGCGGAATTGCTTACCCAGCCGATTCTTGCTTCTTGGATAGCCATACCGAATCAGTCAGCCGATGTTATGTGATGAGGGACTCGAAAAAACCACCCTTGGAAAAAATTCCTTAAATGCAGTACCGGATGTCCTGTCCTGGTAGTTGGGAGGCTCGGCTCCTCGGGTGGCTTGTCCGAGGCCCTGAGTGGCGCTCCACCACACTCCACCATGCGTCCGAGCGCCAGATCGGGATTCCCGCATCTGCTCGGCAGACGGCTGGCTGCCGAGCTCGTGTCCCCGCACTTGGTCATTCCGTTTTCCCCGCAGATTTACAGGGCGCCTTGATGTGGTGGGAAGGCTGGTGCGCTGGCAATGTCAGCGCCTCCACCTTGGTGGAGTGAACATGGTCTTTGGCATTGACCAATCAAATCAAAGGTTGTTGTTTGACGAAGATACGTGGAGGGATCTCTTAAAATTCCTTCGCACGGAATCATCTGCAGAGATTCAGGGTAAAGGAAACGGATAAAGCATGCCGGAATTAATGTATTGTATGCATTGATTGCAACGGCGTCATGTTTCAATGCGTCAGCACATAGTTCAGCGGTAATAATATATCTCTTGAGTTGCGTTCAGAAGTCGCACCCCACTTTCGGGGCCTTTGCGAATTCCCAGCAGTGTGGAGGCATCACCGTGCAGCTTTCGGGTATGGTGCAATAGTCTCCGCTTATCTTGATAAGATGGACAACTCACGATAACCACAACGAAGGTCTCACGTCTTGACCTTGGAGAAATTTTCACGCTCCGAACTGGCAAATATTCCCTTGTATACACGCAGAAAGTGAAAACGCGAAACATGGCGGCTCTGCGAAGTAAAGTAATCCGCATGTGAGGAGCAGGCCTAGAAGAGTCCAGCGTATAATGGATCTGCAAAAAGCAGCAGCAAAAAGCTTGCACAAAAACCTCACTCACGAGGAGCAAAATACCGGAAGCTGCGGGATGGGATTTCCTACAGGATGAAGTTCAGGGACAAATGAAGGAAGGCGAAAGACAACGAAGAACACGATAAGCGGGATGGAGTGCGTGCAGTTTTACGTCAGCTGGTCAGTTCGTATACTTCAGAGCTTATAGCATATGTGAGGCAGACTACAGCTATCAAAGTCAATCATAATTCGAGATCATCTTGATTGGCTACATTGTAACCTAATTCTGTCCGCTGGGCGGTGATTCGCCCACAGAATAAGCGGCGATCCATTCATAGGTTCCCTGTTGAGATCCCCGCCGTAAATCCCCAGGATTCGGCCCGGCACACTAGACGTTCCGGTCATCGCAAGCTATACGGCTCTTTATTTGCTTGTTGCACCCTGCGCGGCACCGCTCTGTTCCGACACACGTTGCTGACATATCTTCGGATGGTAAAATATCCGGAGTATGGGAAGTACGCGTAAGGGATTGTGAGACAATGTGTTGGGGCCCACAGCTTTAGTCAGGCGTACCTCATTCGGCGAGACGGCCGATCCGAGCGGTGTGGAGGCGGTATCGCAGAGAACGGGGCAATGTAATCAGTTTTACACCGTCACAAGTTTGGAGAACCAGAGATGATGAGAAAACAGAGACGCGATTTACGCAACTTGTTGTGGACGGCTCATCAGCCTGTGATAGAGTTGGCAACGCGGCTCTCAACGCACCATACGAGAAGAACATTATACAGAGGGCTTTTGCGAAAGAAAGCTCACGCCATGTGTTGCAGATCTGGCTCTTGGGACCGGCATATATCGGTTCGTCTCGGAACCAAAGCACATTTTGTATCTCTATAAAGAAACTTCACTCAACGCTAGCTGTTTAGTTTAGGCAAAGCAAGAGAGCATCTTCCAATCAAAGAGCCGCAAAAAAATCCGATTATCGAAACTCCGAATCCTACGAAAATGGCCAACATCCCTGCAGCTTCGACGATGAAAAGATACCCACCATCCGGACTCTCCATTCTGGTAGTGGGATCTGGCATCGGCGGCCTTGGCTTTGCAATCGAAGCGCATCGCAAAGGCCACGACGTTCGCATCGTTGAACGGCGGCCGAATTTCCGTGACAAAGGCAAGCTCTTATCCCGTCCCTCCTCTCCAACACTTCAACCTCCACATCCCCAACCTTTACGCTCCTCCCTACTAACCCTACCTCCCCCACCAGGTGCTCTAATCGGCATCCAAGCCCCAGCAATCGAACAGTTCACCCAATGGCCCGGCTTCATGGAGCGCCTCAAGCAATTCACCATGGAACCCCACATCCGCATGATGAAGAGTGACCAGACGCTGATCGGCGACTTCCCGCTCGGCAACTCCAAGCACCCGGCGCTACCGATGAGCCGGCCCGCGCTGCACGAGCTGCTCTACGACTACGCGCGCGAGCTGGGCATCCCCGTCGCGCTGGGCAAGAGCGTCGTCGAGTACTTCGAGGACAGCGAGCGCGGCGGCGTGACGTACGCGGACGGCTCGACGGAGGTGGCGGACGTCGTCGTGGCGGCGGATGGAGTGGGCTCCCGTGCGTGGGCGCTGGTCACGGGCGAGAAGCAGGCGGCCACGCCCAGCGGCTTCTCGGTGCACTTGGTGACGTATCCGACGGAAAGGGCGCTGGCGAACCCGGTGGTCAGGGAGGGCTTTGGCGATTTGGAGAGCGGCGTCATGTTCAACCTGGGGCCCGGCGCGCACTTCGTCATTGGCAAGTCGCCCAAGGAGACGACGTGGTGCTTGATTACTCGGGTGCGTGGCGGCAGATTCTTCTTCTCCTTTCATTGCGCCATCATCATCGTCAGACGCTAATGCGGTGTTGTCAAATAACAGGACCAGCCCGACGCGACCGAGGACTGGGGCAACAAGGGCTCCGCCGCGGCTGCCCTGGCTGAGATGGAGAGCTGGGCGCCCTTCTACAAGGAGCTCGTCAAGACGGCGCCCGAAGACGACATTCTGCTCTGGCGCTTGATGTGGCGCGACCCCCAGCCCAAGTGTGTGTCGCCGCTGGGCCGCGTCGTGCAGATCGGAGACGCCGCGCACCCCTTCCTGCCCACGTCGGCTGCGGGAGCGAGCATGGCGCTGGAGGACGGCTGCACTTTGGCGTCGTGCCTGCAGCTGAGCGGGAAGAGCAATGTGCCGCTGGCGTTGAGGGTGCACAATCTGCTCAGGTGCGTCTGCCGTCAAGTCATTCTCGGTCTTAATCAAGAAGTGAAGTAACTTATGGGGAAACAGGTTCGAGCGCGTGTGCTGCGCGCAGAAGATTGGCTTCCGCAACCGCGAAATGTTCCACAAGACCGACTGGGACGGCGTCGAGAACGATCCCGGCTCCGTGAGTGTCTTCGCAGGCGATTGGATGGGCCGGCACCACGTCGAGCAGTATGTCTATGACAACTACGGCAACGCTGCTCGCTCGATTCTCGAGGGTACGCATTTCGAGAACACCAATTCGGTGCCTGGATTCAAGTTCAGGCCCTGGACGGTGAAGGAACTCTTGGAGGCGTCGGATAAGGGACAGCCAGTCATCGACGAGGGCGAGTGGTATTAGGATATCCGGATATGTAGCGCTGCAATGTGGTGGGAAGATATCGGAACGGCTGCCAACGTCCGTCACGGACTCCACTTGGTGGAGGCGCCACGACCGATAATCCTCGGCTATCTTGATAAGGAAGGCGGCTATATCCAACTAGCTTTCTCGGCACTGCAATGAAATGCTCACGTCCACCTGCCCATGCGGAGCTCCGTGGAATGATCTTTGCCTGACAATTACCCTCTCGTTCACACTCCACTCCAATCAGCTAGGGAACTACCATGTCGGACGCCCAAGTGAGCAAGACTGCGCCACAGCCCGACAAGGGTCCCATCGAACACGAAACCGCCGGTGGCGATGTCGAATTTGGTAGTTGCGCGGTCAAGGATATACGAAATGTCGACGAGGCTTTGGAGTTTACCGGAAACGGTGCAGAGGAGATCCACTACTCTGAAGAGGAAGAGCGAGCCGTTTTGCGCAAGATTGACTGGAATATCATACCCCTGCTTTGCTGGGTGTACATGATCCAGTTTGCAGACAAGACCTCGCTCAACTACGCCTCGTTGATGGGAATCCGTGAGGATGCAAACCTCGACCCCAATTCGCAGCAGTACAGCTGGATCTCCAGCATCTTCTACGCTGGATACATATTCTGGGAGCAAGTCCAACCTCAGCCGCATCACTTCACAAATTTCTAACAAATGCAACAGATTCCCCACAACGTATCTTCTCCGCCGCTTGCCGCTCGGAAAATACACATCCGTCAACATCTTCCTGTGGGGCGCCATCCTCACCTGCCACGCCGCAGCGCACAGCTACTCTGCCCTGATGGCCGTGCGCTTCTTCCTCGGCGCCTTCGAAGCGACCATCACGCCGGCCTTCGTCCTCTTCACGTCCATCTGGTACAAGAAGAACGAGCAAGCCCAACGCATCGGCTACTGGCTCAGCTGCAACGGCATCGCGCTCCTCATCATGGGGCCCATCGCCTACGGCCTGTCCGGCGTCAAGAACGCCGCCCTCCCCGCCTGGGAGATCCTCTTCCTCATGCTCGGCCTGCTGACGGTCGTCACCGGCGCCGTCGCCTTCTTCCTCATGCCGGACAACCAGACGAACGCGGCCTTCCTGTCGCTGCGCGAGAAGCGCATCGCCGTCGACCGCATCCGCGGCAACCACCAGGGCATCGGCAACCGCGTGTGGAAGTGGGACCAGTTCCGCGAGGCGCTGCGCGACGTGCGCACGTGGCTGTACGTGCTGTTCTCGCTGCTGATGAACATCCCCAACGGCGGCATCACGACGTTCGGCTCCATCGTCATCAAGTCGTTCGGCGTCGACGACCGCATGGCGCTGCTGCTGAACATGCCGACCGGCGTCGTCGACATCTCGGCGAAGCTCCTCTTCCCCTGGATCTCCGACAGGCTGCTGGATCGCTCGCTGCCGGCGTTCGTCGCGATCCTGATTCCGATGGTCGGCGGGATAATGATGATTGTGATTCCGCTGACGCACAAGGCGGCGCTGCTGGTGGGGTACTACTTCATCGGCGCAGCGGGCGCGTCGTGGTGTTTGGTTATGGCGATGATCTCGACGAATACGCTCGGCTTTACCAAGAAGGCGACTGTCAACGGCCTGCAGATCCTGGCGTATGCTGCTGGTAACTGGATTGGGCCGCAGACGTTCAGGTCGAATGATGCGCCTGACTACTACTACGGGAAGCTGATGGTGGCTATCATGTATGGCTTGGCTGCCATCACGCTGCTCATCATTCGCTTCGTGAATGTTATGGAGAATCGGAGGAGAGACAAGGCTGCTGCTGAGCTGGATATGGATGCTTCGGATGAAGCTGACAATGAGTTTGCCGATCTGACCGACTTCCAGCAGAAGAACTTCCGCTACGTCATCTAAATCGGAAATATTTCTATCGGCAATCTATATGTTTCCTTACGAAGCGGGGTCGGGTATATGTCATGTTTTCTTGTCTGGTTATGGTATGAAGGCGGTTTGTCATAGTGTAAGAAGCGTTTGAATTGAAATTCGAATTTTGTGGTATTTGATGCTCAAAAAGGAACTATGCTCAGCAGCAGATAAAGTACGGGTCTGTGAATGTTTCCTTCTATCTTGATTCCATTCGCTATGCTCTGAAGCTTGCTATATTCCCGCTTACCATCTCGCCGGATGTTGGCATATATTTGTGAATGATTGAAATCACCTTCTGTTTCATGTTCTTGGTTGCATATTTACAGTATTCTGTTCCTGCCGAGAAACTACCAAAAGGAATGCGAATTAAAAAGGTTGGATTTATTTCTGTCTGAAGTTCGCTACAGCCGTCCTACAGGGGAAATTTGACGCCGGAAGCTGGTATTGAAAGCTGCATGCGACAGGAGCTGCAAAAACAATCCAGGCAAAAGACAACATCCATAAAAGACAGTTATTTTGGGCTCAAAAGGAAATGTTCATTCAATTCTCCTCTACTGCGCCATAAATATCCGAATATCATCATCCGAAAACTGCGGCTGCACATCCCCACAATCCAACAAGCCCAAATACCACGTAATATCCCTCCCATCCACCTCCCTCGCCGCAAAGCCGTTTCCGAGATAATAAAACCTGTTCCGGTCCGCGTACTTCAGCTCGTAGTCCTCCCAGCGCGGCGCCTTCATGCTCTCGAAGAAGTGCGTCCGCGACCCCGGCCACATCATGACCTCGCCGTCGACGGTGCCCTGCTTGAACCACGACCGGCACGGCGACGTCCACGCCGTGCGCGGCAGGAAGACGCGTCTGTGCTCGGCGAAGTCGGCCACCGCGGCTTCCGTCGGCGCGAAGGACGTCAGGTACTCGATCGACATCTTCTCTAGCATCTGGATGAAGTGCCGCGAGAGGACTTCGGTGATGGGCAGGAAGCTGCCGTGGCCGTAGGGGCCGAAGGGGCCGTTGAAGACTGGTGGCGGTCAGTTGGTGAGAGCGCGAGGGTGGTGGGTGGGTGGGCTGATGTACGTACTCAGGTAGTTGGGGAAGTGCGGGACGGATATGGATAAGTAGGTGTTGGGGATGTCCTTCCACTCTTCGCTGAGACTGCGGCCGCCGCGGCCGATGGTGGGGTACTTGGGCCGCCAGGACACGTCGAAGCCGGTGGCGCAGACGATGATGTCGAACTCGTGCTCGACGCCGTCGGCGGTTTTGATGCCTTTCTCGGTGATTTCATGGATGGATTGCGAGACGACGGTGACGTTGTCTTCGCAGAGCGCCTCGAGGTAGCCGTTTCCGGGAGTGGGCCTGCGGCAGCCGACTGCGAAGTCTGTTGGGACGATCATGTCTGCGATCTCTGGTTTGGCGCTGAGCTTGCGCCGCATCTCCTTCTCTGCGAACTGCGTCGCTGTTAGCTTCTGGACATACACGGTCACAGTGTGGAACTCACTGCTCTGGCATCGGCTTGTTCTTTTGAGCCGTTAATGATGAACTTGAAACGGGAGTTGAGCTCGGACTCGATGGTCTTCCTGTAAGTCAAGTACTTCTTCGGGTCCTTCCGAAGAACTTCCTTCTGCTCTTCCGTGTCTTGAACTTGTTAGCCACGCCAAAAGTATGAGGCGGATGCACTCACAGTTGAAGTTTGCTCCATCCTTCCCCGCGTACCTCTGACCAAAGCCAGCCGTGACCCAAGATGTGCTCCTGATAAAACACGACAGCGATTTCACAGCTATTCATGAAGATCAGCACACCGCCCGCAAAGCACCGCCACAACCCACTCACCAGGCTGGATATTCGGCACAATCTGCACGGCAGACGACCCGCCCCCAATAACGGCAACACGCTTGCCCGCCAAGTCAATCCGATCATCCCAAGCCGCACTATGCAGCATGGGGCCCTTGAACGTCTCCCGTCCCTTGATCGCGGGCCATTTCCACTTGCTGCAACACATCCGTCAGCATCTCTCCACGAACAGGGGGGGGACGGGATGACCCACTTCAACACCCCACTAGCATTGACCAGGACATGCGCCTTATCCTCAATCACATCGTCCGCATCCGCGCCGCGCTGGACCCGCACGCGCCACTGCTGCTCGCCCTCATCCCACGCCGCGCCGACGACCGTGTGGCTCAGCCGCACGTACTTCAGCAGCCCATAATCCTCCGCGACCTTCTTAAAATACGCTAGGATCTCCGGGGCTCGCGAGTAACTGCCCCGCGTGTGTCAGCCCCTGCGTCAGCCACACCTGGGGGAAAAAAAACATACTACGACGACCACTCCGCCGACGGCGCCCACGAATACTGGTACAGCACGGACGGAATGTCGCACGCGCAGCCCGGGTACTTGTTCTCGAACCACGTCCCGCCTATCTCGGCGTTTTTCTCGTAGCACACCAGGTCGACGTCTAGAGACGGGGACGTGTCGATGTCGTGGGCGAAGTTGAGCGCGCTGGCGCCGGCGCCGATGACGATGACGCGCAGTTTGCGGCCCGTGCGGCTGGGTTGCTCGAGGACGGTGTAGGGGGTGGAGCGGGGAGCGAACGAGGAGGGGGCGGAGGTGGCGGTGGCGGTGCCATTTGGGACGGCGGGCTTGGTCTTGATGGGTTCGGGAGGGATGGTTTCGACTGCGGCGGGGGGCATGGTGGACAACGGAGGTGGAGTGTGAGGGCGGACGGTTTTGGGAGGAGGTGGACAAAAAATGCGAAAGGATCGCTATGGATTACTGCAAAACCAAGAGCTCCGCCCGCTGCAGACCAGCTGCTTATACGTGCTACTTCAAGGATCTCCATTGTCGGGCCACAGGCATTGCAACCAGCGCACGCGATCGAGCATGTGGTGTGGTGGTGGTGGTTGTGTGGAGGGGCGGCGGCGGCGATCCTCCACATGGTGGAGCTCGACCGTCCGCTCGGCTGGATGCGAGCGGAGCCGAGATGCCGCAACGGGCCTGCCGGCGGGCGCCCGGGAACAGACCATCTACCCCGCACCGTCTAGTTGTGCACGGCAGCGGTCGCCGATCTGATTAGGCCGATGGAGGGACGGCGTTGGTGTGCTGCGGTGTGGTCTTGATGCAATTGGTGGTGGAGTGGTTTAGCATATAGGGAATATGTTGGGCTGTTTCCGGCTGTCTCTCCTCTTTCAGATCTTGGCCCCAACTTCCGCTATTCTTCTGTTTTCCTGTTGCAGTGCTGGGTTGTCGCGCGAACCATGCCTTCGTTAGAAACACCAAAGAAGATCCGCATCTCTATCGGTAAGACTGAACCCCCGTCACACAAGCGAGAAGTATCCCAGCTGATTTTGCCAACAAGACCGCGGCGGCACCTTTACCGACTGCGTTGCTTCTGTGCCGGGCAGGGAAGACATCGTGATCAAGTTGCTCTCGGTTGACCCGGAGAACTACAAGGATGCTCCCTCGGAAGCCATCAGACGAGTGCTCGAGCTCGCAACGGGAAAGAGCTTTCCCAAGGGCCAGAAGATCTCGCTGGCGGACGTCGGTATGTGCAGCTTCATAATTGTTTTTCAACAGAAGCGGTAGCTAACTCGGGCCAAAGAATCCATAAAGATGGGCACAACCGTGGCCACCAACGCGCTGCTGGAGAGGAATGGCGAGCGTACCGTGTTCTGCGTGTCTGAAGGCCTCAAGGACCTGCTACACATCGGAAACCAGTCAAGACCCCGCCTCTTCGATCTGGCAATCAACAGGCCCGAAGTTCTCTACTCGGACGTCATTGAAGTTTCGGAGAGAGTGACTCTGGAGGATTGGACAGAACGGAGGGACAGCGCGCAGATCGATACCACCGGACTCATTCAAGGCGTGACCGGGGAGTGGCTGCGGGTGTTGAAGCCTCTTGGTTGGTGCTGCCTTTGCCATGGGAGGGAATTACCAGCTGACAAACGCTAGATGTTACCAAGATCCGGGAAGACCTGCGCGCGGCGTACGAGCAGGGCTACCGCTCCGTGGCAGTGTGCCTCATGCACTCATACACATTCCCCGACCACGAAAGGGTGATTGGCGAGATTGCGGAAGAGATTGGCTTCAGCCAGATCTCGCTGTCGTCCGTGGCAGCGCCGTCGATCAAGATTGTCCCGAGAGGGCACGCAGCCGTTGCAGATGCTTACCTGACGCCCGAAATCAAGAAGTACATAGATGGGTTTGTGTCAGGGTTCGAAGATCTGGAGAACTGCGATTGCCGGTGCGAGTTCATGCAGAGTGACGGTGGACTGGTTGAGTTCAAGAGGTACGCAAGACTGGCACAAAAGCGAGATAAGTTGCTTACAGAACATATAGATTATCAGGCTTGCGGGCAGTACTATCAGGCCCGGCAGGTGGAGTCGTCGGTTACGCACGAACTTGCTACGACGAGACTGACAAGACTCCGTTGATCGGCTTCGACATGGGAGGTACGAGCACCGACGTTTCCCGATTCGCAGGCGAGCTGGAGCATGTGTTTGAAACCACGACTGCTGGTGTAATCATCTCGACTCCCCAGCTGGATATCAACACGGTGGCGGCCGGAGGTGGAAGCATTCTGTCCTGGAGGAACGGCCTTTTCAACGTCGGGCCCGAGAGTGCAAGCAGTCATCCCGGCCCAGCATGCTACCGGAAAGGAGGACCCCTCACCATCACTGATGCGAACCTGGTCCTTGGAAGGATCAACCCCGGTAAGACACGCACAAACTTCAGGTTCATCTCCCAGCTGATGTTTTCTTGCAGACTCCTTCCCCCACATCTTCGGACCCAATGCAGACGAGCCGCTCGACATTTCAGCAAGCCGCAAGCTCTTCGACGAGATGACGGCCAAAATCAACAGCGAAGTAGACGTCAAGTTGACAATGGAGGAAGTCGCCGCAGGCTTCCTCAGCGTCGCCAACGAATCCATGTGCCGCCCAATCCGCATCCTCACCGAAGCCAAAGGCCACGACAGCAGCCTGCACAACCTCGCCTCCTTCGGCGGCGCAGGCGGACAACACGCGTGCGCGCTCGCCGCCGCGCTGGGCATCCGGCGCGTGTTGATCCACAAGTACTCGTCCATCCTGTCGGCGTACGGCATGGCGCTCGCCGACGTCGTGCACGAGGAAAGGCAACCCGCCGCGCTGCAGTACAGCGCCGCGACGATGCCTGCCATCTCCGAGGCGCTCGAGCGGCTGGCGACGAAGGCTGAGGACGTGCTGATCGGGCAGAGCATCGCGCCGGCGCGGATAGCGACGGAAAGGTATCTGAGTCTGCGGTTTCATGGGAGTGATACCGCGATTATGGTTCAGCAGCGGGAGGGCGGGGATACGCTGAAGGCGTTCAAGGACGCGCATCAGCAGGAGTTTGGCTTCATTCCTGAGGGCCGGGCTGTCATCGTCGACGATTTCCGCGTAAGGTCGATCGGCAAGAGCCCGATTGAGCTGTCGTCGTCGTCGACAACCGGCAAGGCGGTGGCGGGCAGCCAGACGGCAGCACCAGCACCAGCAGCGACGAGCCTGCGACCCGTCTACTTCGAGCAGCGCGGCTGGGTCGACACGCCCATATACCGTCTTTCAGACCTCGACGCCGGCAGCACCGTCGCGGGCCCCGCCCTCATCCTCGACAACACGCAAACCATCGTCGTCACGCCCGCCGCCACCGCCACCGCCGGCGCCGACAAAATCACCATCGACCTGCACTCCAGCGAGAAGTCCCGCATCTCCAGCACACAGGCCGACCCGGTCCAGCTCTCCATCTTCGCGCACCGCTTCATGGGCGTGGCGGAGCAGATGGGCCGCGCGCTGCAGCGCACCAGCGTGTCGACCAACATCAAGGAGCGCCTCGACTTCAGCTGCACCGTCTTCTCGCCCGACGGCGGGCTCGTCGCCAACGCGCCGCACGTCCCCGCCATGATCGGCAGCATGGCGTACGCCGTCAAATGGCAGATCGAGCGCTGGGGGAGTGACTTGGCGCCGGGGGATGTGATTTTGTCGAATAGCCCCATCGCGGGCGGCACGCATCTGCCGGATTTGACGGTTATTACCCCCGTGTTTGATAGCAGCGGCGAGAAGATCATCTTCTGGACGGCGTCGCGCGGACACCATGCGGATGTCGGCGGCGTGCTGCCGGGCTCGATGCCGCCGAATTCGCGGGAGCTGTGGGAGGAGGGCGCTGTGATTGAGGCGTTCAAGGTCGTGCAGGGCGGGCAGTTCAAGGAGGAGGAGCTGACGGCGCTGCTCATGGCGCCCGGGAAGATTGAGGGCTCGAGCGGGACGAGGTGTTTGAAGGATAACATCTCGGACATCAAGGCGCAGGTGGCGGCGAACCACCGCGGCGCGCAGCTCATCCGCGCGCTGTACGACGACTATGGAAGAGATGTGGTCAACTTCTACATGGGCGAGGTGCAGGGCGCGGCGGAGCTGGCCGTGCGCGAGCTGCTGAAGGACGTGTATAGGAAGTTTGAGGGGAAGAGCCTCGAGGCGACGGACTATATGGATGACGGGACGCCGATTAAGCTCAAGGTCACGATCGACGGCGAGACGGGCGACGCTGTGTTCGACTTCACCGGCACCGGGCCGGAAGCCTACGGTAAGAGCTTACCCTCTCCCTCCCCTTCACCCACCCCCTGACCCCCACTCACTGACGTCCTCCCCCCAAACAGGCAACTGGAACGCCCCCATCGCCATCACCCACTCCGCCATCATCTTCTCCCTCCGCTGCTTCGTCACCCACGACATCCCCCTCAACCAAGGCTGCATCCGACCCATCACCGTCGCCGTCCCCGACGCGTGCCTGCTCAAACCCGGCCCCGAAGCCGCCTGCTGCGCCGGCAACGTCCTCACCTCGCAGCGCATCGTCGATGTCATCTTCCGCGCCTTCGCCGCGTGCGCCGCGTCGCAGGGCTGCATGAACAACCTCACCTTCGGCATCGACAACGACCCGGAGCGCGGGTTCGGCTACTACGAGACGATTTGCGGCGGCAGTGGGGCCGGCCCCTGGGGGGATGGGACGAGCGGCGTGCATACGAATATGACGAATACAAGGATTACGGATCCGGAGGTGTTGGAGAGGAGGTATCCGGTTGTGTTGAGAAGGTTTTGTTTGAGGGGGGGGAGTGGGGGGGTGGGCGAGTATAATGGGGGTGATGGGATTGTGAGGGATGTGGAGTTTTCGGTGCCGATGAAGGTGTCGATTTTGAGTGAGAGGAGGGTTGTGGCGCCGTATGGGTTGCATGGGGGGAGCGAGGGGGAGAGGGGCCAGAATTTGTGGGTTAAGGCGAGTGGGCGTGTGATTAATCTGGGTGGTAAGAATACTGCTAGTATGGGGAAGGGGGACAGGATTGTCATTCAGACGCCTGGCGGTGGTGGATGGGGCTCTCCTGCGGCGAGGAAGGCGAAGGTTCCGCATGGCAATGGATGCGGTCGGGAGTTTGTCGGGGTCGGGAATGGGAGTGTGGATATCATTTCCAGTATGGGACAGTCAGCGTAATTGCTCTTTCATGATTGTTCTTTTAGAAGGTACGATGCTCGTTAGAGAAAAGAATGTAGGCCTATTCACTTTGAGCTCTATGGCTAACGACTAATTTTTTTCAGCTTTTCCGTTCGCCCACAACACATGGATTTTTCTTTTGTTCTGCTACTATAAAATAGGCATTATCCTCCTACAATTTACCATGTCGTGAAAGTAGCTGTGAAAGATTTATCGTGATTTAATACGGCCAGTCAATAAGTTTCTATTGGTAACATATATAGAGTAATAATCATAGCGCATAGCATTGGCGTTTGTGGATGTGCCTTAGAAGTTGAAGTTTAGTAACTCTACTGGTACTGTTTTCAGAACTTACCAAACTCGGATTTGAACAGGTAATTTTTGGAAATTACTAGATCTTTCGGGTTTACTGCATAACCGGAAGTGGACGTTATCGGAATTTTTCCTGTTCTTTATGTTCTAGATGGCTTTAGTGTTTGTATGGTATATAAAAAGGCGTATAAGGTAGAAATAGTGAAGTAGAGATGGCTGGAGGTGGTGGAGGAGTTTAACGGGTGTATAATGGGGTAGTTGGCTGCTGGATTAAAAGGAGGAGCAGTTTGCAGTTCCCTGCTTATTAGTGTTAGATGTTTGAAATTGAAACGTAATTTAAACCTCGAACTGGTATTAACAAACAAGAAGAAGCTTTGGCCAATCACTTCGATGTATACGCTTGCGTAGGCATTTCCAACAAATATCCGCACAAGAGGGTACAATCACAACCCGTCTTTCCCCCTGCTGCCCACCGAAACCTGCTGCAGACAATCGTGCAATCCAATTTTCTTGAGCTCTGAATACCATAGCCCCGTCTGGCTCGTCCAAAAACTCATCCCAATTGTCAATAGCGGTTGCATATGGAAAGTTACTGACGTCGCGATCATCACCCGTATGGTGGCAATCAAATGGCAAATCAACGCAGGTCCACTTCTTCATCGCCTTCAAGATGTTGAGGTCACCGATCCAAGTCCCACTGTGATCATTGACACGAATTATGGCCTCCATGAATACGAGGTCCATGTCATAAGCGCCAAGATTGCCGGTGTCAATCGGTAACTTGAAGTTGGTGAAACCAAGTTGCAGTGAAGTGCCATGGAAGGAATCCAATAGCTCGCCATCGAATGGTTCGTGTCCAATCACTTTCCAGTCTGCGTCATGGGAGCTCTTCACCAGCGGATCGTCTGGCGTCGTCAACAAGGCTATACCTGCCCTGCCAATATTGCCCCGCAAACAACGGACTCGAGCGCTCGAACTGGTGGCACTCTCGAAAGGGTCCAGAAGAATAGGGGCAGAAACAAATATGGAGTCTCCAGAACATACGGCCACCACCCGATCGAAGGTTGGCGGGTCAACATCGGCCTGCCCGGTTTCCATATACACCAGCAACGCGAATCGTAGCTCCCTGCTGAGTGAAAAGGGAATGATACTACCTTTGAGGTCTCTATCGGCGTCTACGTTGCTGGTGACACTCGATTGGTATGTCTTAGCCCACTTGAGGTCGTATAGAGGCCGATAGATAGCCTTCAGCGCGATCGTTGAGTTGGCGAGATCAGAATATGTTTCCACAACTGCAGCAAATGCTCTGATAGACTCGGGTTTCACCGACCCTATCCCAGACGCACACGCAAAGGAATCGACCAAAGATTCTAGGGGGAAAACATGGTTGGAAAGTGCCCATTCCACATCGTCTAATGCCGCTACATCGACATCAGTTTGGTGGTCGGGAAACCGGTTGAAGTTTGGATTAACATAGATGCCGCAGTCGCCGTGTATACCGGCAACAAAAGTGAAGTCGTAAGGCTGGAGTTCGATTTCGTGGTCAACGTAGTCAGTCATGGGTTCGAGGATGTCCGATTCCGGGAATCCGTAGGCTTCGGGCTCGAAGCTCAGCTCATTTTCAGGTGAGATTAGGCCAGAACCTCCCAGGTCTATGGGAAATCCTGGATGTTTCCATTCCGGCCTAGATGCGGAGATATATGAGGAGGACGCTAGAGTTCGAGCTGAATGGTCCTCCAGAAACTCTGCGAATTGCAAGCTGAGATCATCGGGGGCCATTCCTCCTCTGACACCAGGTAGACTTTCCTTGAGACCCGCGAAATATTCTTCACCAAGACGTTTCTGCTCTTCATTCGAATAGTATATCCAGCGCGCATGTCTCTCGCGCGAGACCGGGTGTCCGGCTGAGTTCCGTTTCAACGAGTCTTTCTGTTGCGCAACGACGGTGGTGTACACGAAGTGAGAACTTCGAGGGGCTTTGCTTCCTCTCCGTCCAACTGGACCATGGTTGATCCCTTTGAAACGATACACTATACACATAACTTCAGGATCGATCTGCTCGGCTACCGCCAACCCGAGAGCCACCCGGCGCATGAACTCCAATTTGTCTTCAGTATGACCCGTATTGCCAAGGAATGTTGGTATATGATTCAGGCCGAAGACTGTCGGAATTCCCTGCAGCAAGTGGCTCGCTCTACGTTTCCCTAGGGAGACAAGGCGTTGGTATACTCGCCGGTCCTCATTGATCGAATTGAGAAGGCGATTGGCAGCTTGACCAAGGAGTCTGACCCAAATTGTTTGTCGAGATGGCTGTGGAACTGAAGAGAGCTGGGATCCTACTTGAGCCACGATTCGCGCCAGTCGTTGTGTTTGCGTACTGTCTTCATCCCAAGATCCCAACAGGGAGCCTAAAGAAACCAGCAAAAATTCGTCCAGGCTCAATCGCTCCGAATCATCACACATGAAGCGTGTAGCTGTGTACGGTCCGCCATAATATCGAAAGTGTGAAAGCGGCAGAGACCAAACAGGGCCGGTTTCATCCTGAGCTGGGGAACCCTCAACGCCGATCGATAGGACACCAGCTTCGGGAACGAGTGGGTCGTTCTGGCGAATTTTGCGGTCTCCAAAAATCTGGTATTTCCGGTAAGTTGAAGGCTCAGTATTTGAAGACAAAACTTACCCAAAGATTGGGATAAATGTGCCAGCTCGCAAGACCTAGAAGCAGATCACCACCCTGCACACTCTGAGGTTCCCCCTGAAGAAGCCGCTCCATAAGCGTCAGTGCAGTCTTCCAGGCACCAATCACACTGTCATATGTGCCTTTATCACCTGAATGGACAGGGATATTGATGTTTCTGACAATAAGCATCAACTGTTTCTGCTGGGCTCGCTTCGCTTCATCCGCGGTTCGTAGCCAGGATCGAGCACTGATGTCCCATTCTGCCAACTGATCTCGCGACAGGCTGACTTTCGCGGCGGCAAGTGTAGCAAAGTGCAAGGGTTCGTTATCGGCTGAAGCGAGGATTTCGCTTTTCCTGTTCTCTACAAGCTCATACCAGATGGAAATCGCCTCAGGAGCCGGGAACATGCGTGCAAGCATGCAAGCCAGCAGATGCACGGCGATAGCGCCTTCGCCAGATGTTGCAGCAGCCCAGATGCTGGTTCCATCAATGCCGATGTGTTCGGCGAAGATCCCATCGGATGGAGAAGCAGGAGGATTCACGGCGCGATTCTCTGCAATCTCGGATGCGCGTGTGCCGTATTGCCGGATAAGTATCGGCGTTGGAGGGAGAATATCTTTGAACAGCGCGCCAAGCTTACGGGCCGTGATATGGCTGGATCCATCTTCGGCAACTTCTCTCCTTTTCGTTGTAAGAGCTGCGCCTAGTCCGCGGAATTCGACTGGTGCGTCCAGCTGTATTATCTACTCAGTATTTGAGGATTCGTCACGCATTACGAACTTACTTTGACAAGTGAGAAATCGAAATTCAGATTCGCTAGAGCTATGGTCGCCTCCTGACTTCCATGTACGAGTGCGCCGATAATCTTTCCAACTGCAGACATTGCAGCGGCGGAAAGGAAGCCACGAAAAAGCGAAAAAGAAGAGTGGAGATGGGAAGGCTGAACCGGTTAAGCAAGGGAACGATTTATCAGCTGGCAAGGCTCTACTTTATGAGCGGGGCTGTAAGGCGCAGCAATCGACTGATGGGGCTCTTGTTTCAGCCTTGCACGAAGCTGAAAGCTGAGTGAGGTGGGCGAATCTTGGCGGTGACTGAGCGCCCAACCAACAAGCGCCCAGTTTACTGCGCCTCGCTCGATTGAGAAATTTATCAACACATGACTGTGGAGCGCAATCGCAGAGCAAGGCTGAGAGATTTTATTGGTAGACAAAGTTGCCAGCAGTTGGGACCCGCCATATCAGCCTATCACAACGCATAATGAGTAGATAAGATGCGACAGGCTCATGATTATCGTGAAATGTGTGTAAATTGGGCTGGTGTGTGAGAGGGAGGATGGACTAGGGTGAGTCCCTATCCCCTTCCGAGGACTAGGCTTTTTGTCACGTGATATACAGCAAGGATATCATCGGTGCGTGGGGTGGGGGACGAGATATTCAGGCGAGAAATCGCAACGAAGCTCCACAAAAGTGCTGTTCTATGGAGTGAATTACCGCTAGCTATACTGGGTTGAGAAAGAGCTTGCAAATACAGGTGTAAGTATCGGGGATACATACGAGGAGGGCTGCGGATAGTAGCGGCGAGGAAGTCTACTGCAGATGGTCTCTTTCTAAATCGCAGATAGTCACATACATGACAACCCTTTTGATTCGACTAAGAGGAGCTCGAAATTTCACCCGAAGCGCTTCCGAATTTCTACCCCAGCTACGCTACGACGTCGCATCTTTGGCACCTCTCCTCCTCTTCGTTAAGGCGAACATTTGAAGTCACACTAGCGTAAGATCTAGTTGTAAGGTTTAGAAAGAAAAAAATAAGGGGGGGGGGGGATAGAATCAGAGTCGTCTAAAGAGATCTACTGTCAAAAGGCTTTCCCTCCTTTACAAGCCTTGGAGAACACCCGGATCAACTAAGTAAATCGTAGTGGCGAAAAGAAAGCAAGAAACACCGTGGTGTTAAGCGCCGACCAATGCGGTGTCTTTTTTGGGAGACTTTTCTCGAAAAGTCTTCCAAACTGCGATCGCAGGCTCTCCGTTCCACGCCATGTCTGCTGGAACTCTCTCCCACTACTTCATGCAAGACCAGCTCCTGAGTAATACCTCGCGGCAATATACAGAAGGCTCTTATATCACCACGGAAGACATCGTAGCTACCTCTTGAGCGCTGACCCACAAGTCTCTGTACGGTTTTTACAACGCAAGGGCTCCCTTTTCTGGTAGCGATGAGAGTCCGACAAGTGCTCCCGAGGTCGGCGTTGAAGGCGGAAATGCAGACAACGAGAGTCATGGCGCCGTGGCGCAGTGGGGTGATATCTCGCGTCTGTAGTGAATGGCATGCGCCTGTTTCACGCTATCTCATCTGCGAGATGGTAGTTGATAGGTTTCATGTTGAAGTATATTCGCATTGCTTGTAACGTGCAGACTTTTCGACTTCAGGTTTCCGCAGAGCTCCATCGCGATGAGCTTTTCTACTTGGTATTGAGGACTCTTTTCTGCGGCTGCACGATAGGCGGACTCCTATTGCTAGACTCAAGTAGGCACTATCTTCCAGTATCTCACCGCCGTTACCGCAGCACCGATATGAGTCGAGCGAAGTGCGCCCAAGACTTCGTATAATTTTAGCAACCCAAGCTACCCGCTGCAGGGCTGCTACTTGGCAAGCCACCACTATAGCCTTACCGGTAATACTATAAGGCGTTCCGTCGCGGGGTAAGGGCACGGTCTTGAGGCTGACTCGTCAGCCGAAAAATAACGTTAAGCCAGCGCAGATCAGGGATTAGCGGACCCATTCTTTTGCTATTGCTGAACCGCCCAGAGACTACCGGCGGCACTAATGACTGACATCAGGAGACACGGGGCTGGGTGACTTCATTCGAAATGACTTACTTAGTAGCAGCCCTACGGCTATCAATCCCGCTAAGGCTGAAGGTTTCCCCTTGTGTTTCATCAGAACTATGGCACACCAGACCAAACAATGGGAGGGAATATCTGGTGAATTCCATGATGTTCGCCTCCTTTTCTTTGTTGTTTGCTGTTTGTCAGCGACAGCGTCCATAGTCTACGCTACTCGTAAATCCTCTACGAATTATCTTGTGCACCATCTTTACAACGGTCATGCACGATCCAGCACTTTAATTTGTAGATGATTGAGGAGTGTACATGTAGTTTCTGTACCACAGAAGGAAAGAAGCGGACGAGAAACGACGTGTTCAAACAAATGGTATTTTCTTCAAATTCTACAAGAATAGACAACTCAATCCCTCCCCGTTGCTGCATCTCCCACTTAAAAGGGGCAGTTGTTGGGGTCCTCGCACGCGTTCCTGCCCTTGGGGCAAGGCTTGCCCCATCCAGTCCTGGTGTCGCAGCAGTCGGCGTCCTGAACGTCCGATGATTAGCATTCTTCCACGGAAGGTTGATGAGGGCAGCTCTTACGCATTTGCTGCGGGGAATGCCCATGTTGACGCAGAAGTTTTTCCTCTCATTAGGGTCGCGGCAGGCCTGGCTCTTGGCTTGACGGAAGCAAGCATCCATGCCGTTCTTACCGCCCCAGCAGCAGTTGGGGTCGGTGCTGTCGACTTGCATCGTGCACTGTTCAGACACCTTCAGTCAGCAAAGGCATCGGTGTGATGATGAGAGGGATTGACTAACGGCAGCGGAGGCGCTAGCCACGAAGGCGAAGGCGATGATGGCGCTGGTGAACTTCATTTTCGCTGAGTAGTGAAGTGGAACGAGTGTTCGTGATTGACAAGTGTTGAGAACGAGAGAATGTGTTTGCTGATGAATTCCAGAGGACGACAGAAGGTAACAATTTTATACTTGAATCGACGCTGCGCCGAGACTCACGTGTGGTTGATTCAGAGCCTGACTATATCAGCCCAGGTGTTTTGACTTGAGGCTACCTATACGAGCTATGCTTATTTACTTAATCGCAAGTACGGTCACTAGCGCAAGATCTGACATAGATGGCTATCCATCTAAGAGCAAAACGGAAAGGGACAATGATTTAGTAACGCTTCTAGCGTAAAGTATGTTGGCGATCCGAGTGTTGGTAATACGACGAGTCGGACCGAGTTCTCGGCTTCCAGAAGGCCATCGAAGGGATTTCACCACCAACGGACACATTTAAAAGCGGCCGCACCACACGGGAAATCCGAACGCTCATCATTCCCATTTTCGATGTGGAGAGAAAAAGGTAAACCTTCTTTGATCAATACTAGGGCGTCGTTATAGCATCGCGGAAAGTCAGTGTTGATTTCCGTGAGGCGGTGTTGGATGCGCCCAGTGGCGTCTTGGCAGTCAGGCCTCCTGATATTCTTCCTCTTATGGATGCGGAGTTGCGGAGGGCGGTATCAGGTGTGAATACAGTTTGTCCTTCACCTGTATGAGCCTAGCGAGTTGGGTGATTACTGGAGGGCTGTATGGCCCGATACGAGCGGCTATCGTTTTACAGGAGAATCGGGAGGATTCCATGGACCATTCTGCGCACCGCTCTCAGCTCCGTTAGCGCCATATCGACGTAAGGCATCGTTTTTAAACTCTCAGCCATACTCCTCCCGCCAGATTTACTTCTTGTCGATCTGGGCGCGCCAAGGATCGACGCCGTCTCCGACCGCAGCCGTTGACTCGTCTTTAATGTCCATGACTTTGTGGAGTGATTAAGTAGAACATCAGTAGATATAAATAAGGGCCTTTGAGAATACTCCATCACACCATCGCAACCAACACATTCTCTTCAAACAATCTCCACTCATTCCAACGCAAACATGCAACTCACCGCTCTCTTCACTTTCCTCCTCCTTGGAGCTGCTTCCGCCAACCCCGTCCTCGAGGCTCGCCAGAAGGATGGCGAGGTACGTTTGCAACTCTTCGGCCATTCCCTTCCGCAATGTCTAATTTGATCCCAGTGCACTGAGAAGTACAACTGCTGTTACTCGTCGAGGGATGCATGCAACAGGCAGCTTGGTGGTTGGGCCAACTTCCTGACTGCCCAGATGTACTGCCCTCTGCACAAGTACTGCATCGACTACGGTATCACCCGCAAGCAATGCGTAAGTCAACTCCGATCATCTCTTCAAGCCGATACTAACACAGCTTCAGAACGCCGACTGCTGCGACATCAAGACCGGTTGGGGTCGTGGCTGCCCCGGCAAATAAGGGAGAAATCCTAGCTTGTCGTGGATGTGGGACGGTGGAACGGCGTGGATTAATCATGGTATCTTTTCTGGTAGCGATGGACATCAGTGGCATGCCCACGTTGCGTGGCATATGTAGAGCTGGCAATCATATGAACTTCGCAAGCCGACACAAATTATGGTGCACCCAAATTGCAACAACGTGAACACTGCTGCAGCCCTTTGTGAATCTGGACCGTAGTTCATTGAAACCATAATAAATTGATTCTCTAAAGGGGCTCGCGACTATTAGTGACTATGTACACTCAAAGGTGGGACTAAGCCCAAACGGGCTATATTCCGGGTAAATATTATGTGAGGCTCTTCGTATTTCAACAGGGAGCGTTCGTTTAGCTCTAGAATTTCCTGACCACACGAAAACACGATCTTGAACAACTGCTGCTGGCTGCCTTTAGAGTAGTTGAGTATTGCGAAGTAGTATTAGAGGATGAAGCGAGCATGGGTCCATGTAGTATGCGGGAAGATCATTTTGTGGGGAAGAGGGTGCGCATTGTGCTGGTATGCCCGACGCTGAAACAAGCATCACAATTAGGCACAAATGCATTGAAGAATACGACCCGCCCGTAAACTTCCCGCATTAATAGGCTTTCCGCATACCTTCTTTCCCCTGCTAAGCGGTTGAAAGGACGTCGCTTAAGTTTCTACGTTTCATTGGTCGCTTCACTATAAATATACTTCCGGCACCGCACATCTTTTTCAAGCCGTCTTTAAAGTTAAGACCCTTGTGTTACTCTCCCTTATGTGCATCATTAATTCACGCATCATACGTCATCGCCGATTTCGTCAGCCAAAAAGCTCTGGCCAATTTCACCATCTCACGCATCGGGCGAAACAGGGTCCCAAGGCGGGGATGCGCCGCAACAACAGCGCTGGTGGGGTCGGCGGTGGTGGTGGGGTGGTGGGGTGATCTCTCGCGTCCGCCGCGCGCCCCATCTCATGTCACCTCTTGAAACCAAAAATCAGTCCATCATCGCTCTACGACCAACCATATAACTCGCGCACCATGCGCCGAACTCGCTGCCGTGATTCCTCCCCCTCTCTAAATCGCATTCGATGCCCGGCAGGCGGACCTTCCTCCTGCTGCTCGCACTCACCTTCTCCATCCCCCTCATTTCTATGCTCTACACCCGACTCATGAGCACCATCATGTCCACCGCCCCCACCACCACCCCCGGCGCGCACGCCATCGTCATCGGCTCCGGCCTCGCCGGCCTCTCCGCCGCCTCCACCCTGCTGTCTTCCCACCACCCCGTCACGCTCCTCGAGCGCCTCCCCAAGCCGGGCGGCAACAGCATCAAAGCGTCGTCCGGCATCAACGGCGCTCCCACAAAATACCAATCCGGCCCGCCCGATGACCTGTTCTACCCGGACACGGTGCGCTCCGCCGGCGCGCCGCTGACGCAGTCGGGGGAAACGATGCGCGCCCGCCGCGAGGAGCTCATCCGCACGCTGACGCAGCGCAGCGCCGCGGCGATCGACTGGCTGGCCGACGAGAAGGGCGTTGATTTGAGCGTCGTCGCGATGCTGGGCGGACACAGCCGCTCGCGGACGCATCGCGGCGCGGGGCCGACGCCGCCTGGCGCGGCGATCGTGACGACGCTGCTGAAGGACGTGCAGGCGGCGCCGGGGTTTACGTTGTTGACTAACGCGACGGTGACGAGCGTGCTGCAGGGGTCCGACGGGGGCGTCGACGGCGTCGCGTTTAAGGATGCGGAGGGTGTGACCAAGGAGCTGCGTGGCCCCGTCGTGTTCGCGACGGGTGGGTTTGCCGGGGACGCGAATGGCATGCTCAAGAAGTACAGGCCGGACCTGGCTGGGTTTCCGTCGACGAATGAGGCGTGGCCGGGGAGCGCGCCGTTGTTGACGGAGGGGGTCGGCGCGCAGGAGGTGGATATGGAGATGGTGCAGGTGCATCCGACGGGGTTTGTCGATCCGAAGGAGCCCGGGAAGCCGGTGAAGTTCCTGGCGGCGGAGGTGCTGCGCGGGGAGGGCGGGTTGATGCTCAGGGGTGGGAAGAGGTTTGTGAATGAGCTCGAGACGCGGCAGCATGTTACGGATCGGATTATGGAGACGCAGCCGGAGGTCGTGGACGGCGTGAAGCTGTGGGACGTCAAGATCGTGATGGATGAGGGGGCGTACGAGGCGGCGAAGAGCCATGTCGGCTTTTACCTGTTCAAGGGCTTGATGCAGAAGACGACGGTTGCGGAGCTCGGGGGCGAGGACGCTGTCAAGGAGGTTCAGGCATTTGCGGACTATGCGGCTGGGAAGGCGCAGGATCCGCAGGGGAGAAAGGACTTTGGACACTGGAAGCTGAAGGATGTGGCGCCGGACTCGGTCGTGTACGTCGGCAGGGTCACGCCTGTTGTTCACTTCACCATGGGCGGTGTTGTGATTAATGAGAAGGCAGAGGTGCTCGACAAGGAAGGAAAGCCGATCCGGGGCGTCTGGGCTGCCGGCGAGGTGAGCGGAGGCATTCACGGAGCCAATAGGTTGGGTGGAAGCTCTTTGCTGGAGTGTGTTGTTTTTGGGCGCATCGCCGGCCAGCAGGCTGCAGAGAGTCTGAGGACATAAGGCAAGAAAATGGAGTCATGATAATTAAATTCTTTTCGTTTTATTCACTGGAAATTTCATGCCTGTTCTAGTAGCTTTCCAAATGAGATCTGGAAGTTGGTTGAACTTTTCCCATCTATAAGAGCAAAAGAAGCGTTTGATTGTGAAAACACTACAACTTCTAGCTGTTGCATCACGACGGCCTTTGTAGAGGGCCGATTAATGCTTCAAACTAACACTGCCGAAATACTAGGGTCTATAAAATTTCTCGTAGGGACGATATACGAGCCGTTCGTACATTACTGCGAGGGGAATCTACGCATCTGCTGCGCGCCTAGACGCAAAGCGCTTAGAGGTCGAGCCAAATACATACAATAACCAACTTAGGCGAGAGAAACTCCATTTTACCATTTTGAGTAACAGGCGCTTTGACGAGAGGAAAGTGGCAGAAATCAACAAGGCGAGCAAAGGTGGAGAGGAAGGGAACGCCAGTACAGAAAGAGGACCCATATTGAGTTTATTGAAGCGCTGTTGATTCGACTACATATCCCACAACTATTCCAGAACAACCGTCTTCCATGTCCTCTCTGTTTCTACCCAAGCCTTTAGGTAGACCCAACCAATGCTTACACGACGTGCTACTCGGGCCTTCTTGCCCCACGAGATAAGAAAGACCTTCACCACGTTGTTGGTCCAATTACGAAATTGATATTTCCCCTCGTACATAAACTCGGACGGTGCTGCTGATAATGAAAGCGCCATAAGCTCGTATATGGCTGTTTCTAACCTTTCATCCCCTTTAGCCTTTGACTTTAAAGAGAGCTCATTAGCCTCTACTGCGCCAACCATGTCGCCGTGTTGGTTCAAAAGTTCGAAGTACTCGAAATTCAGTCCTTTTTTCCGGCAAATTCCTAGTCTGAGAGCAGCAGTCTGCGTTCGTGTCAACAGCATACCAGGCCGAAGATGGTTTGAAGTGGTCGGTGGGACTTGAGCGTCAGGACCCCCTTGCGAACGGACTTCGTTCCAGAATTGTTTTCGAGTTGGCCATCGTCTTGATAAGTTATCCCCCGCCCATTGCTTCAGGGATTCTAGATCAAGCTCCAGCTTTTCCCAAAGGTCGATAGGTAAAGGTGCCTCAAAGCATCCTCCACGCCAAGCAAACGCTAGAGATAGGCGACAAAGGGAGATTTCCTCCAATTCAACATCATCGATATTCTTGGCGTTTCCATCCTCATCCACAAGGGACCATGGTATCAGCGACGCCAGGTGCCTGCCGAAGTCATTTACCCCATCATTCCCCACTGCTCCATTGATCGATGACCACGCCCAGGACGGGTAAAGGTGTTGTTCGACCACAGTGCAATGGCGTATATCCCATGAAGAAGTGGTTCGTGCCAATCTCCACAACAGTGCTTCGTCAAGATATGGCTTCGGGAGTCCATAAACCGTCTTGTCTTCCCCAAATAGTGCGGTGAGGACACCTGTAAAAGCGTTGTAGATGTCCGACTGGTAGGTTAAGGATCTTTCAGTGTATACGTTCAGATGTCTCCAGTAGTCCATCATGACATAACTTGTTCCATATATAGAATAGAACTGACTTTGTAGCTGAGTCATGGGGATATCCTGTCTCCGTATCTCTGCTCCGTCGCTGTCCTCAAGGGAGACATCTTCACGTTGGAAACCATCGTTGCACGTGAACCAGACCTCCAAATCGGTGAAATAGAGCTTTCGAGAAGACAAAATACCCTCTTGATATGTCCACCCACGCTGGGACCAAGGTGCTCCACGAAGATTCCGCGACAGTCGGGGAAGTGCACTCGTTAACTGAAGGCCAGCGATGCGCGCCTGTGACTGAAAGGCCCGTCGTTCCGTACTAACACCTGGTATTGCGGATTCCATGCTGTCGCTACAGGATGCCACAAGGGTGAATACGGCTGATTGAAAAATATCACCCATGGCACGGATTTGATGACCCTTTTTCGCATCATCGTCTTGAACGATGCATAACCTGTCGACCCACAAGAATCTCTGACCCAGATTCTTGCATATAGTCATAGCGTCTTCAATGGTCTTTGGGAGATTTTTAAGGCCATTTGTTTGTTCCAAGAATGTCGTGTTCTCCTTCAGTAGAACGCATTTTCTTGGATTGGCATTTTTGCCCCACACGTAACTAAGGGCGACGAATTCGTGACAATCGCGTGGACTTAGTTCGGGGGTAACTTTTCTGTGTCTCACATCGATGAGGCGCAATCCAGATGGAGCGGTGGCGGTTGGACGACATTTTTTGTGCTTCGTGCTGCATAAGTCGATCCATCCTCGAACTTGTTTCCAGGAGATCGAGGTGCCAACAGTTTGATTCACCCCGAGGATAGACTCGAGGTGCGCTGGCAAAATTTTCTTGACGGCCATACGGACCCAGGGGCCTTCGTCAAAAGACAGGTGGATTGAGGACTCTTGGTACCGCTGAAAGATGATATTGATGGGTTGATCTCCGGAGATGGGCGCCACATTGGCCGGGTATACAGCGGCGTGGGCTCGTATTGTGCATAGTACAATGTGACAGAAAGCACATTGTTTCCGGGCTTCGAGTTCTTCCAATGTCCCTAGAACTATGTTTACGTATTGGTATTGAACAATACTTTCTTGGCGAAAATGGCCGAACAGATACCCAGGGTCGAGGTGTTGGCAGAAAGGGCACAAGGAGCGTATTCCAGCCACATTCCAAAAGCCAGAGCGCCGATGGGGGAACACTAAATCTCGATCTCGTGGACCTGGGCTCTTCTTGCGTCCCCATATATCATGCTGCAAGCAGGGGCAGAATGGACAGCTCTCTGAAGACTGATGGTACGTAGGAAACAAAGGTGACAAGAAATCCGCTGCGAATGCTTTGCCATGAGGCCAACGACTTGTCAATTGCTCGTTTTGCTTGCCTGGTTCGTTCCTTTGTTTCCACCACGGCATTATTCTTTACCGGTTATGTTTAGCTTAGTAGTGTATCACCACCACTCGCCACATCTACTAATCGGTATCCTTTCGATGTATCCAAAAACGATCGTGGATATCGTTGATCGTTGAAGCTGCAGCCGGCTTGTGGGCGGATTTGCGGCTAAGAAGGCGCTCTACGTTAGCCGAACCTTGTGACTCAGGCGTAGCCTTCCAATGCCTTGTTGGTGAGAACTTACGTTTGAGTCGTTAACTTCAGGGAAATGAACTGAATGGCCAAAAGCCGTGGAATGATTGTTCGGCGCGTTTCGTCTTTGATAGATGAGGTTATTTGTGGCAGCCTTTTTTTTCTTTTTTGAATTCCTGGCGAAAATTTATTGTTGAAGCTTGAAGCGGTGAGTATGACGCGCTGTGCGCTATCTACCGTGTGGCAGAGCGGTTGCTTGACCAATGAATAGAAGACAACTATTTTGCGGGGCAACTGCCCCATATTTCAGATAAAAGAGATTCTCATCTATGGGAGAACACGGATGGCTTTTATCTCTGTAGTAAGAACTGTGAGCTCAATCCCATCCCATGTTCAACTTGACGCTCATGCGTCGAGTAGTTGAAACTTTGAGAAAAACACGATGAGTAGGCATTTCTAACGTACGGTTAGCTTTTCCCTACGAAAAAAGGAAAAGCGGCTCACCGGATTCATTCCGAAGCTTCTGTCCCGGAACGATTCCGGTCGGAATCTCATCCGCGGCCTCCAAATCCAGCTCCACCCGCACCGTCCCGGCCTTCTCCTGTGTTCCGTCGTGTTTCTGTCGCCATGCCTGCAGAACGTGTAACTCCGTCGCGCCGGCGTAAGATTGCGCTTGCATGTGAGCCTTGTCGGGAGCGCAAGTCGCGTTGTGACGGAGGGAAGCCGATATGCGCATCTTGTCGCCGCCGATCCTTTACGCTTGAGCAATGTGTCTACAAAGCCGACAATGCGCGCTCGGAGAGCAATGATACGTATGTCTGGACCTATCTTCTCATGCTACAAATAATAACACGTTGCCAGTTACGTTCGAGCACTGCACCTCCGAATTCGAGAGTTGGAGCATGCATGCCAAAGTGCGGGCGTCGACGTTCCAAGTCTGCCGGAAACCCCCGATCGAGCTTCTCAGCCAGAACCGCCCTTCTCCGGGAGCGCTCCGGTGCCGCCTTCCAGCGCCCGCCACCATCCTGGAGACGCATCAGAGACCGGCCAAGACAACGCACGTCCAGTGGATCCTGTCCCCGCCCCGCAGACCCTCCATGGCGCTCCAGCTGCTGCTGCTACGCCCAGACTCAGCGAGTGGGCAGGTAATGGGGCGCGAACGCCTTCACAACGCACGCCCGCTAGCGCCATTCAAAACGACCTCGAGTCGACACAGCCCGAGGGCCAGGTGAGCGCGATGGGAACGTTTGCGGCTGGGGATGCACATCTGTACACCCACTCCACGCCCGAGTATTTCGGCCATTCTTCCGCCGCTTCGTTCATGCAACAGGCTTGCCTTGATCCGGCCGGCGGAGTCCATCCGAGTACCAGCCACTATCTCGCATTCGCTGCCGAGCAATGTGCTGCTGGCACGCAGTCGTCTGCACAACTTCAGTTGCGTAATGCCGTGTTGCCGCCTCGGCCTTTGGCAGATCATCTCTTGGAAGCCTTCTGGGATAGGATCTTCTGCCAGTACCCCTTCTTCCATCGCAAGAGCTTCGAAAGGCAATATGAGCGTCTTTGGGCGCCCTCGACTGCGTTGCCAGCTCATACGCTGTCTAGTGCCGCGGTAGGCTTGGGCGGAAGCCCTGAGACACCAGGGAATCTCATGGTGTTCCACTGCGCCCTGAATGCCATTTTTGCACTAGGCTGTCACTTCTCCAGCTTCCCGGCCGCAGATCGGGAGCCGCTTGCATTTTCCTTCTTCTTGCGTGCGAAGGCTTTCATTGGTCTCGACCTTCTAGAAGTCAACAGCATCGGCGTGGTGCAGTCCCTCCTACTGACCGCCCTCTGTCTACAGAGTACCCCTTTTCCTTCCCGCTGCTGGAATGCTGTCGGTGTCGCTTGCCGTGTTGCTCAGGGGCTGGGTTTGCATACTGACGTCGGTGATAGTTCCCGAGACGCTCTCGGAATAGACATCCGCCGCCGGACCTGGCATGGATGCGTTCACATGGATATGTGAGTCTTCCATAGCTTGTTCGTTGTCTTGGCTGACAAATCCTTCAGTACCGTGAGCATGATGCTCGGAAGACCCCCGGCGACCTTGCCATCACCTCTTCCTCTACCGTCTGTGCTTGAAGATGAGGATATTTGCAGAGGAGCGGTGGCAGATCCGGGGCAAGAACAACCTTCGTGGAAACGATTCTTCGTGGAGGCAATCAAACTGAACAGAATTTGCGCCGCCATCATGTCTGAGATTTACCAGCCATGGCTTGGCACGGACTGCCTCGGACCTCCGGATTCTGCATCACAGAAAATATTCACTGCCGTTGATGTCCTTGCCAAGCTGGATCTTAACTTGTCTGAATTTGAATCGCGCCTTCCGTCGTTCATCTCCTGGACGACTGAAAGCCCTACATCTACTGCAACCGCTGCAAGATCGTCAGTGTACCAACAACAAAAAAATGTCCTACATGCAAGGTACGCATCTTCGTCTCCGAACTTTTGCATCCTACACTAACTTATGTAACAGATTTCTCCACCTGAAATTAATGCTCTATCGACCTATATTTACCTTCCTATGCAACTGCAATCGCAATCCCGCATCAACCACGTCTACCAACACCAGCCCTCTCTATTCGGCTGTCTCCACCCAATGCGCACTGTCATGTGCCATCACAGCGATGGACCTTCTCGATCATGTTTACGATACTTACCTATCATCCGCGACGGACGCCTGGTGGTACAACGGACTCTGTAAGCAGGCTCGAGATGAAGGGCAAACGCAAACCTGAATCTGACAACGCTGCAGACGCATCAACAGCAGGAATCGTAATCATCATGGCTCATTCGTGTCCTCAGGTCATCGGTTCCGTCGACGAGGCCAGGTTGAAGCGGTCATGGGAACGCTGTGTTGAAATTCTGCAGCATCTATCTACTTACAACGTCCCATCGAAGAACCAGCTCAATTTGCTCCAACGAGCATATGCACAGCGTATCTCGGACCAGCCGTTCCCCAGCTCCACCAACAATCCGCGGCAAAATCGATCTGGAGTGCAGCAGCCAACGTCAATGCCGAATGCCACCCAAAGCTGGGATCAACCTGCCCAGAATGGGTCGGCATTTGAAAGCCAGGGGGTCGACAACTATCTATCCGGGAACGACGGCATGACTGACTTCGCAGCTGAGGGATTTGGCTTCTTTGACTCCATGAATTTCTTTGAGGGGGGCTTTCCGAATTTCGTCTCTGGTTGAAAAGAAGATCTGTTGTGCATAAAATGAGATTTACCCTCAATTGGATATGTTATGGTACGCAGAGAGATAAAGAGGGTACTATCTGTTAAATTTCAATTATTGCTTTCATCATTGAAGTCACTAATAAAGGGTTGCCAATCCCTGTTAATATGCATATGTGCTGCAAACACCCAGACAGCTGAAGGACGCGTCTCCTTTACAAGTCGTGGGAACAATTTGTGCGCGTTGCCATAATTGATCCTGTCCCGCAGCTCCCAATCCATCTCGAAACCTTCAAGCTCTTGCAGAAAGCTCGGATACGCTGGCGGCGGGGCGTAAGGAAAGTCACTCTGGACAGAGCCCGTCAGCGCCGTGCATCTGAGAAAGCCGCCTCACGTCACTTACCCCGTAGAGAATATGGTCATGCGGCACCAATTCCAACAGCATATTCATCACAGCCGGGCTCGCGGACAGCGCGAGGTCGTAGTGGAAGCTGCGGAACGCCTTCATGATTTTCTCGTACGTCACGCCGGTGAGTTCGTTTGCCAGCAGGCTCGGCGCCGCCTTGAGTGGCGTTGCAATCCTGCTGACCACGTACGGCAGCGTGCCGCCGGCGTGCGACAGGATGACCTTGCAGTCCGGGAACTTCTCGCGGGTGCCGTTCATGATCATGTCCATGGCTGTCCGCGTCGTCTCGTGAGGGTAGTCGATCATGGGCTGCGGCATGCGCGGGTTGACTTTCGTGGTGTCGGCGGGATGCGTTGGGTGGATGAAGACTACGCTTTTGCGCCGGTTGAGCTCCGTCCAGATTGGCTCTAATGATGGGTGGCCCAGGTACGTGTTGGAAGAGCCGTAGCGGGTAAAGAGGATGATGCCGTCGGCGTTCAGCGTGTCGAGTGAATATCTGATCTCGGATAAGACAGCCTCGGTGTCCAGCAGGCTGGGCAGAGATGCGAAGAAGCCGAATTTGTCGGGGTGTTTGTTGCGTATTTCAGCGGCGTATTCATTAAGCGAGCGGGCGAGATCGAAGGATGCTTGGCCCTCGATGATGCAAGCACCGGGAGCTGTCACAGACAGGATTGCAGTCTGGATACCAAGCCGCTTCATTACCAATTCGGAGCTTACACGTGTCCATCGCGGGGTGGGCCAGCCACTCGGATCACCTGTCATGCTTTCAGTCAGCTTTGCGGAAAAACAGCTACAGAGAGAAATCTTGCCGCCATTCTCTTCGACGACTAAAAACATTAGCTGCAGAATCTCAAACATATCTAAATTGGCACGAGCCTTTTCTGTAGAAATCAGGCACAAAGTGGTGATGCGTGTCGATTTTATTCACGGGCGCCCGTTGAATCCAGCTGGTGGCTTTGTCTTTCAGCCAGTCAAACACATGGTCCTCCATGCTGTTGCAGCAGCTCTTTGGTTACTGTGAAGTCAACGCTGTTCAATGTTTGCACGAGTATTTTTGAAGTTCAATTTGAGAGTGGTCTGGGCAAGTTCCAAATGCGGCGCTCTTAAGTGATGACCGGAACCGTCCCGAGTTCCACATACCCAAATCGGATGCATTCCGACAATCAAGATCATCCTCAATGTGGGGTCGCCATGATGCAATGTAGTATTAACGGGGAGATACCTCCATTCAGACTTTGGACATACTCAGCCCCAGTGGGGTCCAGCGAGAGAGGAATATGTACGTATCCGTAGTTCGTTGATGAACATATGAATTCCCCTTCTATATGCATCAGACTGGTCTTCACTTTACCACGGATGCACTCCGTCTCTGTGTAAAAAGCGTCCAACATCAGTATCCCTCTCCCCTTTCACAATAGCCACAATACCTTTGGCGCTGTCTCCGACATCTCCGGCCCCCGCCTTTTTCATAGCTTCTCTGCCTGCTTCGCCGTCCTTCCACGCATTTGTGACCACGAAACCCGGACAGTAACTCCACACCTTGCAGCCCCAGTCTTGGAATTGCGTAGCGTGGCAGGCAGTCATCATGTTCAACGCAGCTTTGCTCATACGGTAGGCCATATGGTCCATCATGCGATACTTGAAGCTCGGGTCAGACTTAAGTGCAATGGAACCTAAGTCGCTGGAGATATGGATGAGGCGCGGGTTTGTAGACAGCTTAAGAAGCGGGACAAAAGCCTGTGTCACCAGTGCGGGGGCGAAGGTGTTCAACTCGAACGTCTCGCGCAGCTGTTCCTCGAGGCTGTCGAGCTTGGACATAAGACCGGCGTTGTTGATAAGGGCGTCCAGTTTGCCGAACTCTCCTTCGACAGTTGCAACTGCCGAAGCAATGGACCTAGCACTCGTCACGTCGAGCTGAAGCAAAGACAGTGTTCCCGGTAGATTCCGGGACTGGAGCTCTCTCGCTGCGGCGTGCCCTCTCTCAGCTGATCTCGCAGCTACGATCACATGATGAGAAGGTGATTCTGCAAGGAGAGCAGCAGCCGCGGCGAACCCGACACCACTGTTGGCGCCTGCAGAATTGTGAGATACAGGGCACGACGCATATCCATATTATTCAAGGCTGAAATAAGACTTACCTGTAATCAGGATGATAGACTTTTCAGACATGTGTTGGGAGTGGAGATGATCGGGGTTCTTGGTTCAGAATAGTCGAGCTTTGCTGTTCATTTTCGAGCAGTAAGAGGAGGGCTTATAAGTCGTCTTCCCGCTAAAATAGATAGGCCGATATGCATTGATTGGGTTAATTATTACCTTAACTTGTCCCAACACGTAGGCAGGCTGCAAAGTATCTCTGATGCCGGCCACTACAAAATCCGGAGCCCGGTCGGATACTCTCGGGCAACATCGGCAATCATGAATCATTTCAGCATCACAGGGACAGCAACCCTGCTATCTTGCCTCCTTAACTTCCCACTCGGATGCTGGAACTGCCGGGTCCGCTTGTATAATTGGCCATAGCCAAATAAATGACCGAAGTTAAAAGTTGGGGGATGGCAGTCTGACGGAACTAATACTTAACTCCGGGGCCGAACCAACGTGCGGGTTAATCATTATTGAGCACACATTAGACCACGTTCCTTTAGAGGCCCGAATACCGGCCGCGACGACCACGCGAGGCTTCCAGTGCATACATCACTGGGGCGATTGACTAGCGTAATTTGACTGTTGAGACAGCTACCGTGTACTTATACGCCGGCACCGCCCACATCTATTCTTCATCCTTTCACCTCCACTCCATCACCATGTCTTTCAAGCTAGAGAACGAGGTGGCCTGGGAATCCAGTGTACGCGGAATCCTCCACAGACAACTCTTTGTCCACCCAAAACCCCTCCCGTCTTCTGTGTCTCTATCAGGAGAGATTGGCCTCATCACCGGCGCTAACGGCGGTCTCGGCCTCGAGGCGGCAAGGCAACTTCTCCAGCTTGGACTATCAGGTCTTATCCTGGCAGTCCGATCGCAAACGAAAGGAGAAGATGCCTCCCGGAAGCTCAGCCAGGAATTTCCAAATGTGGAAATACATGTCTGGGTCGTGGACATGGCGGACTACGACTCGATCGTTGCATTCGCAGACCGGTGCCGAAAGTTGGAGCGTCTCGATTTCGCCATTCTAAACGCCGCTGTGCAACAAGGCAGCTTTAGCCGCTACGAGAAAACTGGCCATGAGATGACAATCCAGACCAACTACCTCTCAACCATCTTGCTCGTGCTGCTTCTCACCACAGTCATGAAAGAGAAGAAGGGACGCGAAGCAGGCAAGCCGCCGATCATCAGTATCGTTGGATCAGACACAATGTACCTCAGCAACTTCGAAACGTCGGGGTCCATCCTCCCTCAGCTCGACGATCCCGCGCGGTTTTCAGGGTTTCAGCAGTACAGGGACTCGAAAATGCTGTTGATGATGTTCGTTTCTCGACTCGCCGAGAAAGTCAGTCCCGATGATGTTCTCATCAATGTGTGCAATCCGGGATTGACGGCCGGGACGGAACTTCAGAGGGATAACAAGAACACGGGGTTCGCCACCCGCTTGGTCATCCCCCCGTTCGTGAAGATTGTTGGGCGCTCCGTCGAAGCTGGAGCCAGTGTCTATGTTCACGCACTGGTGGCCGAGGGCCGGGGGAGTCATGGAAGCTTCATTAGTGACTGGTCCATCAAGCCGTAAGTCTCAAAAAGACCCCTCACAGCCGACAAAGTTGTCTCCTAACGGACAAACCCTCAGATACCCTGGCTTGATGTATACGCAAAAAGGTCGGGAAATGCGTGATCGGCTCTGGCAGGAGACAATGGAGGAGCTGCATTTCGCGTCAGCCTCAGGGTTTGCTGATTTATTCGCTTCCGACTAAGTCCAATTGTTGGCTGATTCATTTAATCTTTCTATTTTCCTCTATTATAGTATCAGAAATCCTTTTCCTTGCAAGACGGGGCCGTAAATACGATCGGATTTCCGCGAAACCCGTGTGTGAGCAGCTGGTGAGGCTCGCGACCGCCGTTTTACCGTGTATCGGCACGGATTTCGCGAAATGCCTCGTCAACCCCGAATGCCATACAACGAAAGAATTAGGCAACAAAATCTTCTCTTTAGTATATTTTACGCTACACTAAGCCTTCCTGCCCAGCTTTTCTTTACTTCTGCCCACGCGTCATTTCCCTACATTTTTCGGCTCTACCTTATCCTGATTCGTCCCATGATGGCGACTGACACGACATCCACCACGGACATGGACAAGTCCACTCCAACATCCGAACTGGATGGCACTGCTGAGAAACTTTCGATGGCAAATGCATCTGAGTCTGATGACAGAGATTACATTACCGGCCCGAAACTCTTCCTCGTCCTCGGCAGCCTTACCCTTGTAGTGTTCCTCATACTCCTCGACATCACAATTCTCGGCACGGCTATTCCGGAAATAACGACCGAATTCAACGCGCTTGCTGACGCCGGCTGGTACATTGGTGCCTATCAACTCGCCAGCGCCTCTCTCCAACTGATGTCCGGGAAATTGTATACGTACTTCAACAACAAGTACACCTTCCTTGTGTATTTTGCATTCTTTGAATTGGGCTCTCTAATATGTGCCGTGGCCAATTCCTCATCGCTTTTCATCGGAGGACGAGCGATTGCTGGACTGGGTTCGGCGGGTATCATAAATGGGGGAATGACCATCATAAGCGGTGCTGTGCCGTTGATCAAGAGACCTCGTACGTGTTTCTGAAGATTTAAGACGCACAACTGCATGTATTTACTGACAAATCCCGCAGTTTACACCGGTATTCTTCTTGGTACCGCCCAGATGGGTATTGTAGCAGCCCCGATCATAGGAGGCACCCTCACACAACATGTAACCTGGCGTTGGTGTACGTATATTTGACCCTCATCCAGACGATTCCTGGGCTGGAGTCCTTGATCATCCTTCTCATTGGCTCTTCTGTGGATTTTTAAATCCTCGTTGCACAGGTCAGATTTTGCTAATATATCGTGTGAGCAGGTTTCTATCTCAACCTCCCAGCTGGCGGAGCTGCAGCAATCCTTTTATTTTTCGTTCAGATCCCGGAGCTGACGAAGAAGGAACGGCTCTCACGCGCACTGGTACGGCGAATCATCCCAGAGCTCGACCTCATCGGATCCGTGCTATTCGTTCCCAGCTCTCTCATGTTTCTCCTCGCGTTACAATTCGGATCCGCCGGTACATACGCATGGTCCAGCTCCCAGATCATTGGTCTATTCGTTGGCGCTGGCGTTCTCGCCCTAGTCTTCTTTGCCTGGGAATACCATCAGGGCGACAAGGCGATGCTTCCAGGAAATCTGCTCCGCCAACGCACCGTATGGGCGAGCTGTGCGTTTGGGACGTGCCTGGTCTGCTGTGTCTCCGTCGCAACGAACTGGCTTCCGACATATTTCCAAGCCGTCAAGGGTGAAGGACCAACGATGAGCGGAGTTGACCTTCTCCCTTCGATAATCAGCCAACTTATCTTTGTTATCATCTCTGGAGCCGGTACAGCGAGGTTGGGATACTATCTCCCCTTTGCACTGTTCTCTGGTGTCACGACGACGGTTGGCAATGGTCTCGTGTCGACCTTCAGTGCGGGAACAAGTTCTGCACAATGGATCGGATATCAGGTTTTGATGGGCATTGGAAGGGGGGCAGGCATGCAGATGGTATGTCTTCGTCATCTGATTCTCTCGCCCAAATCGTTTACATCTCACCTCATTGCTCACACATGCGCAATGTCTCGACTCAAGCCACTGATACCCTTGATAGTCCTTGGTAGCAATCCAAAACGCCATCCCAACTTCCAAAATCCCCATCGGTATGGCTTGCGTCATCTTTTTCCAGACCTTTGGGACCTCCGTCGCCGTTGTAATCAGCAACACGATATTTACCCAGACCCTGACGTCTACCATCCCGCGCTATGCGCCTTCCGTGCCTCCGCATGCTGCTCTAAGTGCAGGCTCTAGCGCTGAAGCCGTGCGAATGCTCGTTCCTGCTGGCCGTCCAGATGAACTGAGCGGTATCCTGCGGGCGTATAGTGAGAGCTTGCGGAATGTGTTCTATTTCTTGGTTGGCCTCGCGGCATGCGCAACGGTGTTTAGCTTGGGCATGGGCTGGAAGAATGTTGGGAAGAAGAAGAAGCAGGAGGAGGAGAAAGCTGCCGAGCCTGGAAAGGCAGAGGCGACTTGAAGGGCTGGACCGCTCTCATGCATTGCATCTGTTGAAGTCAAATTACGTGATTTAAGCTACACTTCTGTCTATATATTCGGCCCTATCCTGTATATTAGTATAGTTAAGCAATCTACTCTTTTCTCATCTTACTCTACGCTTCAGATCGATCTTTAGCAGCATCCGCTTGCGTGGACGAGGGTAAATCTTTTTACAGTTGGCGCTTTCTTTGCATTGTAATCGTTTGAGATGCTGATCTAAATTAATAGAATTGATATAATCTGCAAAGCAATTTGGATGTAACAGGCGGTAGCGTTGTGGCATTCGACAACCTATATAGTATCGTTCCGACTCCCAATCATGCAGCCGGGACTCCTTCATCCTGTCAAAAGTCAAAACTCCCCGACAACCAAAAGTCACTCGAGAAATCCGCATTCATCCAACTCCCATTAAGCTCACCGACATTGCCGCTGAGATGAGAGGGTTCCACCGCCACATCCTGCATTCCAGTATCTCTCTCCATGCCTACTTCTTGCTCCACATCAACATTTACCCTCCATATCGGCGCTGACTTCCTCAGAGTCTCGGCCATAGCCTTGAACACGCTATCCTCGCCTATCCTCGCCTTCAACGTCTCATTGCCCACTTCTGCTGCCTGAGCAGCTCTTTCCAGACACCGGACCGGGTCAAGCACTGCCCTGGAAAGTGCTGGGTCCCACGCAGGTGTCTTTAGGGTTTGGAGCTTGTAGGCGATTTTGAGGCAGTAGGGGAAGACGAGCATGGTAGGCGCCGTGATGTAGATTATATCGGATGTCAGGAAGAACTCGATGTAGGATTGACAGACGAGGAGAAGGGTGGTAAGGTAGGCTATACGCCTCGATTCCACTTCTGGTTCCGATGATGAGAGGCTGTTGGTGGAGGTTGATGGAGAGGCTGGATGATGGTACAGCGCTAGCTCGTAGATAGCCACCTCTACACTGCACAAGTACGCAGCAATCGTACTATGTTCGGACAGCTCACTCGGAATTGTACCCTTGAGTTGCTCCAAGGCTGCTTTCAACGAGCCAACGCTGAGTATTGCATGTCTTCTAAACTCGGGATCTTCAAGCGCTCGTCGACTTATTGCCGCGGTGCTGACGGAAAGCCGTGCTATTCTCGCCATGTAGACCAAGGTCTTGTCTCCCTCGTTTTCTTCATCTTGGATGAGCCGGTAGCAGGCTTCCTCGACCTGTGCGGACCAGCGCATGGGGTCATATTTCATCGCCAGGCCAACCATAGCGCTGAGCGCGAAGCAAGCCAGCAACGCCCGTCGCTCCTCGTTGGTCGCCGAGCCCTTGTCTTCGGGAATCGGCCCGGCAGAGGCACACCCGGCCGAATAGGGCGGTTTGTCGAGTCTGAGATTGCTGACTAGCGGTCTCGCAAGGCCGGACGTGGACACGAGATGAGCCTTTCCTCCGTGCGTGCTATGCATTGACCTGCTATCCCATCAGCCCCATGGATGCCGGAAGTGTGCGGTTTTGCTGAACGGGGACTGCACGAGGCTTACCATGCCATCAAAACCAACACGCCCAAAAGTAGATCGAGGCTGCGCTCCCCATCGACCAGGATTCTCTCCGCCAACATCTTCCGGACTTGCCTGCTCAATTCTTCCTGGTGCGGGTGGGCTTTGAAGCATGTGGCTTGGATTGCGGCGCAAGTTATTGGTCTCGCCGACCGTAGTTGTGCTGCCGTCGTTGTCTCCGGGATGTGGATAAATGGAAAATATTTCAGGCGATCTTCACGGAAGTCACGGAGATCTTGGTCGGTAAGCATAGGAGGGGTATCACTTGATACTGTGGATGAAGAAGCGCTGGGGAATGGAGATCCGATGACTGGGTTGTGGACAAAGGGCCGAGATGACTGCAAGGAGGTGGGCGGTGTAAAGAGTGCATTTTCTGGATTGCGTCGAGCTATGGAGCTTGAAGTTGAGACCGAATCGTTTTGAGAGGTTGGAGCTATGTTTGGGGTGACGTTTTGTGTTCTAAGAAGCGATACCAGGTCGTCAAGTTTGGATTCCAATTGCGATCGTTTCGATGGTGTGCTTCTCTTCGCGCCCCGTTGACGGACAGACGTTGAGGGCGTGCATTCCTTCGAGAGACGGTGACACCTTTGACATAGAGTCAGTAACCTTCTCTTCACCTCGGAAGCCTCAACCCACCGTTCACACTTCCCAGCTTCGCGCAGCATACATCGGATCTTTGCCCGCACGCAGTTAGTGCAAGACTGTCCGTACGGAGCAGGTGTCTTTCGGGTTTCGGTGCTGCTCATGTCGTGCTGTCAATCCCACATATGTGGTTGAAGGAGTGCAGATGGTGGATGGCGGGGTTCTCATAAAGTTATCCGAAGTCCGAAATCCGGCGGTGGCAGAATCTCCAAGCTGGTAGAAATGGACCCCACGTCACGTGCTAAATGCGTCTATTACATTTTCGGTATGTCAACCCGGACGGATGCCGCCGGGCCCAAAGGAGACGGCATCTGGGCTGACTAGCTGCGGCTTATGCGCCACCGGCAGAGTACCTGGTAGGGCCGACCGGCCCGAGCCATTCTCATTGATGGCGACGGAGCCGAAGAAGGACGGGCCGGGCGTCTAGTGCGTCGTTCTTATCTACCACCAGTGTGTGATCGACGAGTGGATCCGCCGCGCCCTGCGCCGTGACGCTTGATATTTCTTCCAGACGAGCATCGAATATGGTAGCTCTTTTTACGCGTGGTCTGGATATCTGTCGAGAGATAAGCCGTGTTCTCATTGGTCGCGGGCCGGCACAGACACCGCTCTTTGGTTGATATGAAGGAAGCGTGTCTCAATGTTATCCGAGTTTCGATTCAGACATATTCTGAGCAAGTTCCAAACACAGCATTTTTAAGAGATGGCTGGCACCGTCCTGAGCTCGGCTTACTCGAATTGGGTCATTCCGAGGATCGAGATTACGGCGGTCGCCGCGATGCCATGTAGTATTGACAAGGAATAGAGCCGCTCGGACATTAGACATGACAGTAAGGAACAGGCAAGGGCTTCAGCATAAACTACATTCAGAAGCTTGCTTATCTTGGCACCCAGGGCTAATTTGTCAACCCGGTAAGCAACGATGCGTTAGCGCTGATGCCAACACTGCTTCGGTCAAAATCTCACCGCCCTGAGAGAACACAAATAAAACCCATCATAACACCGCTTTATGGGTGCTTCAGAGCCGCGATCAAAACCCCACAACCATGGGAGCTTTCGATTTCATGTACGAGAAGTTTGCTCCCCTCACGTTTGCTGTTGCATTGGGTTGGGGAGCAAATGCACAGAACGAGTCATGTCGCTCCTTCCCTGGCGACGATCTTTGGCCATCAGTCGCCGATTGGGCCCAATTGAACGACACGGTGGGCGGGCGGCTCATCGCCACGGTTCCTCTCGGCGCGCCGTGCCACGATCCGACGTACGATGCCACCGTCTGCAGCACTCTGCAAGCAAGCTGGACCTCGCCAGAGCTCCACGATGAATCATCCAGCTCGGTCATGGCCCCTTTCTTCGCGAACCAAAGCTGCGACCCTTTCACTGCTACCGACACGCCGTGCACGCTCGGCAATTATGTCCAATACGCCATCAACGTTTCGAGTGCCGATGATGCAATTGCGGGAATCCGGTTCGCAACAGACAAGAATGTTCGCCTGGTCATCAGAAACACCGGCCACGAGTAAGTGCTCTTCCAACTGCTCAGAATAATGAATACTGACGTGGATTTAAGCTACCTCGGCAAATCTACCGGAGCCGGGTCCCTGGGTTTGTGGATGCATCATCTGAAAGACATCGAAATCATTGATTACTCCGATGCTCACTACACCGGCAAAGCAATCAAGATCGGCGCCGGTGTTCAAGCCGGACAGGCTGCAGATGCAGCAGACGCCCAGGGCCTGGTCACCATTGGAGGAAATTCCCCTACTGTCGGAATTGCAGGTATGATCAAGACTTCTCCAAAGACTCTGTTAAAGCTGACCTTGCGAAGGTGGATACTCTCAAGGCGGAGGGCACACACCTCTTGCCTCAAAGTACGGCATGGCGGCTGACCAAGTGTTGGAATGGGAAGTAGTCGATGGGTTGGGCAATGTCCACATCGCAAACCGCCAGAACAACACAGATCTCTACTGGGCAATGTCCGGTGGCGGCGGTAGCACTTACGGCGTGGCTCTGGCAATGACGGCTAAGCTCTACGAAGACATACCGGTATCCGGAGCCAACATCAGCTTCGCCTCCGCTAATATTACGGCAGACAGCTTTTGGAATGCAATTGAGAAATGGTCGGAGGTGATCTCCCCGCTTCTCGACAAGGGCATTGTTGCGAATTCGTACGCAATGAACACAAGTTTCGCAATCGCACCCATCACCGCTCCAGGGATCACTGCAGATGAGCTATCCTCTCTGCTCCAGCCGTACCTCAGCCACCTCGATAGCCTTGGCATCCAGTACCAGCATTCCGTCGTCCAGTTTCCAGGATATCTTGCTCAACACGATGCCATGACGCCAGTACAGGGAGTCGGCACTACTCAGGGTGGCAGCTGGATTATTCCAAGAGCCGTCGTGCGGGAACGTAACGATGAGTTGACGGCGGCATTCCGGAGCGTGGCGAACGACGGGGGGATAGTTGTCAATCTTCATTTGAGGCCCTCGAAAGAGGTTGCTGGCGACGTCGATAACGCGGTGCTTCCAGCATGGAGAGACGCGGATATGGCGTCTGTCATTGCGACGTCAGTGCATCCTTTGTCTATTCCCCATGTTCTTATGCTGACACCTTTTTTATGCAGACTGTGGAATTTCACTGCCCCGTGGTCGGAAATGGTGGCCGATCAGGAAAAGATAACGAACAAATACGTTCCGATGTTCAGCTCATTGGCACCGGAGTCAGGTACTTATATGAACGAGGTATGCTTGTTGAAACATCCAATTCATCTCAGATTCCAGATTGAATAACTGTTATAGGCGGACTACAATCAACCTGATTGGCAAACTGCGTTTTACGGAGCGAACTACGACAGACTGAGAAGTGTCAAAGCCAAATATGACCCGCATGACATCTTTTACGCAACTACGGCCGTGGGAAGTGATGAATGGGTTGTTCATGAAGGTGGACGGCTCTGCAAGAAGTAGTAAGTGCCTGCACAGAGACGCGGGAGATTTCTTCATGAAAGTCAGCAGGCAGATCGCTCTGTGAGGAGGTCATTCTGGAAAATTCACATTCACTTAATCTCAAACTCGACGAAAACATTTACGATGAATAAGGGCAACACCAGTCGTATTGTAACAAAGTATTCTCTTATCTACATGACAATGATTTGCGGCGTGGTATTGACCTGTCCCGACTTACTTTCCATCCCTTTGAAAAACTCGCAATTCTGTAGAGAGACGCAAGAGCCTTGGCATGTCCTCGTGGTCCGGCATGTCGATCGCCAATAGAACAGGCCTACGCCTACTCAGAGTCGGCGGTCGCCTCCTCCCTCTTGAAGTTGTACCAGGCATACTTCTGATCATCGACAGCGTCAGGGGTAGCAGCCTCAGCGGCACTGTTCTCCTCCCTCTTGAAGTTGTACCAGGCGTACTTCTGGTCATCCACCGCATCAGGAGCCGCCTCAGCCGCACTCTCCTCGTCGCGCTTGAAGTTGTACCAGGCGTATTTCTGATCGTCAACAGCATCAGGGGAAACCTCGGCCGCGCTTTCCTCGCCCCTCTTGAAGTTGTACCACGCGTACTTCTGGTCATCAACGGCGTCGGCGGCAGGCTGGGCCGCGCTTCCCTCCTCTCTCTTGAAGTTGTACCAGGCGTACTTCTGATCGTCGACGGCAGCGGGCGCAGCAGCCTCAGCGGCGCTCTCCTCACCCCGCTTAAAGTTGTACCAGGCGTACTTCTGGTCGTCAACCGCGTCGGCCTTGGCCTCGTCGCGCTTGAAATTGTACCAGGCGTACTTTTGGTCGTCGACGGCGTCAGGGGCAGCCTCAGCCTGGGCGGCGCTCTCATCACGCTTGAAGTTGTACCACGCATACTTCTGGTCGTCGACAGCGTCGGCGGCGGGCTGAGCCGGGGCACTCTCCTCATCGCGCTTGAAGTTGTACCAAGCGTACTTCTGGTCATCCACAGCGTCGGCCTTGGCCTCGTCACGCTTGAAGTTATACCAGGCGTACTTCTGATCGTCGACGGCGTCGGCCTTGGCTTCGTCACGCTTGAAGTTGTACCAAGCGTACTTTTGGTCGTCGACAGCATCGGTGTTGGCGTCGTCGCGCTTGAAGTTGTACCACGCGTACTTTTGGTCATCAACGGCATCGGCCTTGGCCTCATCCCGCTTGAAGTTGTACCAGGCGTATTTCTGGTCGTCGACGGCGTTCGGCTCGGCGGCAGCAGCCTCGGCCGCATCACGAGCGTCGATGTTTTGCACCGCGGCGTCGGAATCAGCAACGGGTGCGGGAACAGCTGGCGAGAGTCTCAGTGATGTGAATTTCAACCTAAGCAATTTGGGTACACACCGATGGGAGTGGCCGCAGCCATGGCGGTCAAAAGCATGACCACAGCGGTCGGGGCGGAGATCTTGGAGTGCATGATTGAGGATCCAATCGGAAACGAATGAAACAAGTGTTCTGCTGGTTCTCTTGATCCAGCGCAGACATTGTGCCTTTATATGTGCCGAAAAGCACGCCGCCGGCCCCTCTGTTGCATCATTCATTGACACTCTGCCAGCGGAGGAGCAGTCTCTCCGAGACGGTTTGGGCAGCTCGATTCCAGCCTGAATGGCGCAAGTCATGCAATCGATGGCGACTCGCAAATGGTGTTGATACTTCAGTCCTACTGTCACCGGCTTCTGCCAAGATGTGTTACGGAATGCATCCTTAGTCGTTAAGCGAGCATGACGTTCTTGGTTGGGCAGGTCCTTGACTCGGCTCCGGTCAAGCCTATTGGATCTGCGTGCTTGACACTATAGTACCGTATAAGCTTTCTCGGGTAGCAGAATCTCCGAAGTGGCACCTAATGCTGGCTCGTCGCTAGTAGCTACTACACGCGATAAAGATGTAGTGCAGCGTCGTATCTACAGGAATACGCCGCGCGATTAATTGACCCAGCACCGAAGAGAAGACGCTATGGCCAGGGTCCATCGTATCGGCCGCAACAATACGAAGGTTCATACCGACATACTAATTCAAACTTTTGCCAGGATTATTATTCACCCAGTTGACGCAAGAGCACCCGCGAGATAGGTGCCCGAAGGGGATGCACCATGGCTTGATCCGAAACAGTCTACGAACTTAGATCCAACTACAGACGTCGTGCATGATTGCCCAAGGGGCGTTAGGACAAGACTTTCTGTTTTCATCCGGCCGGCTAGAGCTCACCGAGGGTCCTTTCCACCTACTCCGTCGAAACCACCTGCTCTCCTGCCGGCACACACTTTGATCTATCTGCCAGGTACGTACGTGGCCTCCCCCGCTCCTCCGCCTTGCTCTGTTGCTGATCTCACCAGTAACATGTCTCCCACCTTCTCGAAGCAAATAGAGTGGCTCCAAGGAATGTGGCCTCCAAATTGGAGAGGGAGCTACACCCGTGCAGCTGGGGAAGAGCAACCTCTGGCCCATGACAGACCCTGGCACGAAGACAACATGGAGAGAGGACCAGAGACTCCCGACGCCGGGACCAAGCTCGAGGGAAGCTACGAGGATGCAGCGCCTGTTGTACAGCAGCATCAACAGCGGCGGCGGTGGCGCTCGAAATGGCAACACGCATGGCGGCTCCTCGTCGTCCTCCTAGCGCTATGGGGCACATTTGACCTCTGCCACCGCGCAGCACGACCCCTTCTCTCCCGCCTGGCACACCCACACATCTCAGACGCGTCATTCTGGTGCCGCAAGGCGTGTCCACAGATAGCGGACGAGGCGCGGGCGCTCGGTTGCGTGTTCGACGAGCTGGAAAACCGCTTCACCAAGCCCGAATGCATCAACGCAGACATCACCGACGAGTTCACACGCGCTGGACCGGGTCCGGACGGCGCGTGGTTTTACAGGACGGAGATTGATGGCAACATGACCACGGTCAATGTTTCCCAGGTGATCGACTTGATCGAGCCGGGGAGGATGGTGTGGCAGACGACCAGGTGGCATCTGCTGCACTGTATGTTTGTTTGGCGGAAGATCTCGCTCAGCCGGTTTGATGGGACACTGCTGCCGATGAATAGGGAGGAGGAGGCGACGCATGGGAAACATTGCGAGAGGCTGGTGGCGAGTTTTCTTGTTGGGGGTGAGATGGATGAGTATTTGGCGCATACGGAGTACTGAGATGTCTGACTGAGGGATGCTCTTCTCGGTCCTGTTCGCTTGTGTAATATAGTTCTGTCAAATGAGAGGGAATTCCACTTACCTTTTTTGTCTGAAAATCACCAGTGCCTTGCTTCTTGTCATACGTCCTTGAGTACCTCAGAGCCAACTGTGTCAAAACGGTCGTTGAAGTTCGCAACCCGCATCATCGTTTGATTCACTGTTCTTGCTCACGATCAAGTGTTCATATATTCAAATTGCCATCGTCCTCTCCCATTCTCCTAACCATCAAGACCAAGACGCCCCCAACTGTGATACAAGCAAACTACATACATCGAGCAGCAACCTCACTGGTGCCCATGCCAAGTCGGCATCACCCCATGCGTCTTCGGATCAGCCTTCTTATCGCGCCACGAATAATCGCACGTCGGAAACTTGAGATGCAACAAACTATTGAAGAACCACGGATCCACATCATACCGCGGCATCATATTGTTGCAGTGCTGCCCGTGGTGCCAATCCGCCGTCCAATTATCCATCGGCCGATCAAACATGACGGACCGCATGTACTTCTTCATGATCAGCGAGCAGTGCGCCATGTGCTGGTACCACGGCACCCACGCCTCGCGCACCTCGCCCGCGCGGCACGCCGCCACGAACGCCGCGTCCGTGTCGCTGCTGTCGTTGGCGGTGCGCGAGAACGTCCAGTCCAGGTGCGAGTCCCACTCCGCGCCCAGCTCCTCGTCGTAGCACGCTGCCGGCACCCATGCGAAGTTGTGCATCTCGAAGCGGCAGCCGCGTGCGCGCGCCTCGGCGGGGGTGGAGCCGCATTGGTTGAAGGGGAGGCGGGAGGCTTTCCAGCGGATGGTCAGGTGCCCGGCGCGGGTGAGGGCTGCAATGGCGGCCAAGGTGAGGAGGAGCAGGAGGCCCACTGCGAGCTTTGCTGCGTGCCGTCTGAGGAAGCTGCGGCGGGGAGAGGGCGCCATCCTCATCGGCTTGTCGGCGAAGCCCTCTTCTTCGAATGCGTCATCGCTGTTGTCGGAAGCTCTAGAGAGACTTGTGTATTTGAACGGTTGTGATAACGACAGCATCGTTGCGGCGGGATGTTCTAGAAACGAATGAAGAGTAGTTGATTTGGAGTGAAGGCGGGTTGGTGTTGGAGCCGGAAGCTTCCGTCAAGGTGGAAGAAGAAGTGTTTGGCGTGTTGTAATTGCAATGGGCCGAGAGCCTTGGACTGGGTCACTTGTCAATTCAGCTCTCCCAAGACAGAAGTCTATTGTCGAGGCCGGTGTTTCTGAATTTCGAAGCTTCGACTATTGCACGATGTCGGATAGGATCCGTATTCGGGTACCAGCAGCTAAGTCAGTAGCTCGGCGTCTGACTCGAAGTTGATAACGTCTACAACAACCACAATGATTCATACACCCTGCCTGCCTCCGCAAGCGGCAATGCATGATGAACCACAAAATTAGACGACCAGTGCTTCAGTGTTGCTGAATCCGCGCGATAACAGCTACTTAGTCATGGAAGAAAACTGACATCAGCGGCGGCGCGACTGTGTTCATTACCTGTTACGGTGACTACAACGTTAGCGCGGCGCTAAGTGGGTCGGACCCTACTTTTGAGTTCAACTACAATAGTAGATGACAAGTGCAGACAGCAGGATTTTAGTGACTGAGTAATGAATCGTTAAACGCTTCCTTAAAAGTAATAGTTGCATCTGCACAATCCAAGGTGGTCGAAATACAAGGTTTAGCATTATAAGCGAACAGTTTGTCCCTACTACAGCACACAACGAATTGAGTCGTGATAAACTTTCTAAAGCGAAGCGACCGGTATGTAAATTTCCACCACTCAGAATACAGAGGCGTTGTTCTACAATGGGGCGTCGAAAGCAATGATCCACCTCTCATCCACAAGCCTGCGCTCCTCAGCCCACTGCACGAGCTCGTTGTAGCTCCGGCACACATGAGTATGTCCGTAGCCATCGGTGCCCTTCGTGTTGTCATGCTCTGTGCGCCCTTCAAGAGTCGTGTCGCCGTTGCACAGAATGGCCTGGCGCAAGTAGTCGAAACAGTGGTTCGTGTGCACAGAGTGATGCCCATGCTGAACCTGGTTCTCCTGCCCAGTCGCGCCGTAACGCACCACTTGATCGTAGGCGTCCATGACATAGTACAAGCAGTGGAGTTGGTGTGCCCACGATACCTTCCACATCGGCACCCCTTCAGAGTTGATGAAGGGTTCGCTAAGTTTGTCATACTTCTCGTGATCAGGAATATGCACATTTCCTCCGCCCTCTGCATATCAATCTATGAGAATGACGATTGCTATGTGTAAGGAATAAGGGAGCACTTACTGGGAAGAAGGTCCTGCCAGCGCTCTCTCACAATCTTCGCCTCTTCTGAAGATGTATAGTTCAGGGTGTACTCAGCCATGCCTGAAGAGAATTTGATGTGCTCCTGAGAGACTGTGGAAGACGAGTTTCAGTAAGTACATTTTTTGATTCTGGTCATGAAATTGTATACTTACATTTGGGAGCGACATTGCTTATGTCACCACCAAAGTCGGGCTTTGCATTGCTGAACCGAATCAGAACGACCATTGAGACCCAGTTTATCATGAGACTGGTAGCAAGTGCTCCGATCAGCACCCATCGCAAAACACGGCTCCCATTCTTTTGGCGACTGCTGATCAAAATGGGTTCCTGAGGCAGGAAAGTGCTCGTTTCGGAACACTCATCATCCTGAGAATGACCCATGGTGTGGATCAATGGGCAAAAATTTGAAAGGTATTAGGAAGAGTTCAAAGGAATTCGAAGTCCGGGTTCATGGCTGCGCTATCTCAGTGAGCCCGTTTAAGAGCCTCATGGCATCTCGGTGATTGCCGCTTAGTTCAGCTTCCCTCGAGTGTTAGGGAGCATGCAAGCGTGACGGCCCGACCACACGAGGCAGGGGGATGTGGAGACCTGCACACAGATAGGAGTCATAAAATAGCTGAACCTTATCGAAATGAATGCTTGTCGTTTCTTGGAACGTTGGGCAGTCTTGGGGTTCTTGCGATTCGCATGCGCTAATTTGCCACTACTTGCCGAGTACGAATACGCCAGCGATTCAAGTGCTGCTGCGTGCAACACCTTTGCGGAAGCCTCCTATAGTGCGTGTGTTCAACTTCAATCTCACCAGTTTCTGCTTCTGTGTTCTATTGGGTCACCTACCACAACATCAGCCTACCTACATCATGAAACCAACCATGTCAAATGGCGAACACGAGAGGATGCAGCAATACAGGTCTTCTGATGCTTCATGCTCACTCTCGGATCTCGAGGAAGGACCATCGTCAGAGGAGGAAAAACTTCTCCAAACCGATCCCCTTTCAGAAAACCACCAACCATCAAGGAGCTTCTTGAAAACCCTCGAGTGCACAGGCACCGCATGGATAGCCGTACCAGTCATGATTGTTGCTCTCATTGCCGCCGTCTTTTCAATTGCAGCAGCGGCATCTACAGAGCTCAGTATATCTCCAAAGACACAAGCAACATCTTTCAAGCAATTCCCCATCAAGACGGACGACTTGGGAGACTACATCGAGTGCCCGACAGAGTCTCCCGAGGCCGCCAAAAACGCAGGATGCTCCTTCGATGTGCTCCTGTACGGCTGGCTCCCAGACGCGTGCTTCGACGCCGACATGTACCGCGACATCACGACGGACGCCGACTACGGCTTCTACCTGGACCGCGAGGGGCAGCGGCCTATCGCCATGGCGGAGCTGATGAAGGGCGACTATGTGCAGTATCCTGAGGCCTACGTCTCGGTCGAAGAGCACTGGCAGCACTGCACCTACATGCTCAACTCTTCCCTCCGCTTCCGCGCCAAGGAGCCGCCCACCGCCCTGAATCTGCACCTGGATCAGCACCACATCGGCCACTGCCTGAAGTTCTTGTTGGATCCGGCTACTACGCGGTCGCTAGAAGTGACGCAGACCCGAGCGCTGTTCAGCGCTAAGCGACGATGCTACCTTCGACAGCATGCTCAGTTTGGCTGAGTCAGTTCGGTTAGCTGGGAAAGGGGGAGAAAGAAGAAAACATGAGCCTTGGGCTCAGTGCTTCGTCTATAGAGCACACTAGACGAGTCAGCCCTATACTGGCGGAGTCAATGTCTGGGTTCGGCGTCAGGAGTAAACAGTCCGTAGCAAATGGGGCAAAGCGCATTCTGCGTGAGGCCGTGAGTCAGCTTTAGAGCAGCGAACAATTCATTAGTATAGACTAGACCCTGAGATCTTCGGCGTGCTCGTCATGTCAACGGTGCTCAGGAACCACCTCGTTAGCATGACGTCAGGTGGGCCGGGCACGCCATATCTCGTATAGATACAAGCAATGATGTGGAGTACGGTCGGGTAGATAAGCTTTGATAGATTAACTATTTGCCGAAGATCGGCAACCACCGGCTATCAACGATGACCGGAGAAACCTTGTCAGGTACCCGCTTCGGAAGAGGAAAGGCTTGGTTAGCGATTTCCCTGGATTTGAACAGCCGTGTTCGATCGCGGTACACAGCGTTGTAGTGGCATTCGTATCGGGACGTGAATAAGGTTTAGTAACCGAAGCACTAGTCTCACCAGCAGCGGCTAAAATATCGCACCGGCACTCGACTCATGGGCTGAGATCATCAAGAAGTCGTGAGAACCTCAAACAATGGTTTACACCGGGTGGATTGAAATCTTTTCATTAGCGTGATTTCGACTCAAGGTTTCGTCTCTAGAATATTCGTGAGTTGTTATCGCCGTGAGCTCGTGATAAATATCCCTCCAATCAAAGCATGTGGTTTGCGATTCAAGCCACCAACCACTTCAAACTTGGAGAATTCCACTTCTTCCAATCTGCGGGTATTCTTGCTGGACCCCTTCAACTTGTCTATCTCTTACCCCACCATCCAGTTCCCAAGTCGCCACAGCGGAGAAGAAGTGACACCGCAATGCCAAGTATCGAGAGTGCAGATGACCTGGAAAACTCTAGCACGACACTCTGCCATGTCGAAAAGACAAGCCAAAGTGTTGGAAAAGCGGGGTTATTTTCATTTTGCTACTCTATACTTGGGTGAGTGGTGTTTGCGAGAGCCATCCGGTGCTGTGGAGTAGTGTGTCTGATCGTCTCCAGATTGCAACTCGTTTGGAGCACAGTGTTCGCTCGGGGAACCGTAAGATAAATCGAGTAGTTCCTTAGCGCACAACGCCCTTACTAACAGCAAAGATTTGTAGGACCATCTAATTTCGCTGGGTGTTCCTGAGTATCTCACACCAGTGGCGTGGATCGCAGCCCCTTTCTGCGGAATGGTCCTGCAGCCCGTCTTCGGACTGCTCAGCGACCGTTGCAGTACTCGATGGGGTCAAAGGAAGCCTTTCATCCTCTGCGGCGCTGTAGCTGTGGCCGTGTCCATCACTGGTCTTGCCTGGGCCGAGAACACAGCGTCGTTTCTCCGCAAGTTTTCTGCATCACCGGACATCGGAGGCGACTCTGAGCGAGTGCTCCGATGCGTCTTGGCGTTCATCTGGATCTGGGTGCTGAACATCTCCATCCAGTCAGCGCAGATGGGCATCAGAACGTCCATTGTGGAGTCGTGCTCTCGCGAGCAGCAAGGCCCGGCTACCGCGTGGAGCGGTGTTGCGGTGGCCGTCGGTAATTTGTGCGGCTACCTCCTCAACACGCTGGAAATCAACCGCGTTCCGATGTTTGGCGCAATGACGCCGTTCCAGAGTTTGTGTGTGATAGTATCGAGCCTTCTCGTATTCCTGGCTTCCTTGACCTGCATTTTTGCTCCACGGCCGAGCATTGCTCTGCCTGTTGGCAAGAATCTTCGCCTTCGCCATCTTGCCCGAGAAGCGGTACAGACCATCACCGGTGAGCGAGGTTCGCCTCCGAAGGTCATCAGGCAACTTTTTGAAATACAGTTCTACTCCTGGATGGCCTGGTTTCCCGTCATGTACTACCAAACCAGGTAAGTTGTATTAAGCATCCTCGGGTCTGATGCTCGCTGACGGCAATGCCCCAGATATGTTGCCGACCTTTACTATTCCAGAATGTATTCTGAACATCCGTGGATGGGGGTGAGTGCGCTTGTCGGTGTTCATGAAGACGGCGTGCGCATGGCGTCGGGAGCGGCAGTGGGGTTCGCTCTACTCTCTTTGGTCACAGGCGCCCTCGTACCATACTTCTTTCAGAACTCAGTTCATAGCCCTCAAAGGCGTGGAGGAGCTGTTCTCGGCAAACTTCAGGGACTCACTTTGCCAGATCTGTGGATTATCAGCCACTCATTCTTCGCAGCAACAATGCTGTGTACTCTTTTCGTTCGATCTGAGAGCGCAGGCATGCTCCTTATTACCATGTTGGGCTTTCCTTGGGCCTTGACAGCCTGGATTCCGCACGCCATCTTGGGCATGGAAATTGCTGAGAGGCAGCTCAGTTCTGTAGGTATATTGACGGGCTTGCATAATTCGTTTATCTCCGCCCCCCAGATGATATCTGCAGCGGTTTGTACGGTAGTCTTTAAGGTCTCTCCATTAATTGGCAACCACGAACCAATCGTAGTAGTTCTTAGACTAGGAGCTTTTCCCGCCTTAGTAGCTGCGTATCTTACTCTTAAGCTAAGATGATGTTAAGTAATAGAATTTAAATACTATGTTATATTGTATTTATTTGCCGGCCTGTTAAAAGTTGTGCTTTGTTGGCTACTCAAATAGCAGCTGCCTCGAGTTTGTTTTAAAGTGCCAGTGCATGGCGGTGTTGAGAACGAAGCAACAACCGGAGCGTGACAACTATGGTACCAACTGCGATTAGTATAAATACGTAGTATCATACAGAATATTATATCTATAGGACTGTACATGTACGCTAGGTCGAGGTGACTACTCTATTTAGCATGGCGTTGTCCAACTAATAACGTCCGCTTCTTAGCCCCTGCCGACGCACGACCCATTTAGGTAGGTTTGGCGAGACGGGGTGTCCGGAACGCCGCTGCTGCAACCTCTCCCCCCTTCTCCCCCACCCACCCTGCTCAACACGCCATGGAAACGCGCATGTCACGCTCTCGGTCCGGCTGTCAGACCTGCAAGCGCAGGCGCCGTAAATGCGACGAGCAACGGCCTGAATGTGGCGTCTGCGGCCGCGCCGGCCTCGTGTGCGGGGGCTATGCGCAGCAGCTCCAATGGGGGGTGGGCATTGCCTCGCGCGGGAGATTCAGAGGTGCGAGCGTGCCTACACCTCAGAGTATGTCCGAGAGGGCAAGAGGGCGACAGAGGGATTTGATGAGGATGCGGCGTGCTGACGGGGAGGAGTCGGCGAAGGGTACCGCTGATGGTAAACTGCAAAGGACAGTGCTTGTAGGTTGCAGACTGTGAGTGAAGAGCTTGCTACCTGGCATCTAACGTAAACGTAGCGAGAGTGCCATTCCGCTCCTGCAGCAGGCATGTTGCAGCAAGAGGACAGCCAAAACCTGCAGCCTGGAGGTTTTTTGTCATCGGTCCGAGAACAGCAATTATTCCAAGACTGTAGGTTTCAGTTTGCAATGCGCCAAGAATGGGCGGCTAACACGTGAAACAGTCGTACAGAGTGGCCAGTACCAGCTGTTCTCCACCGACATCACCGACAGCCCCATCTCTCAAGCGATTCAAGCCTTTCCTGGGTATATCAGTCAAAGCAGAGCCCTCTACTACATTTGCATTTGCATCCAGCTACACCTCAGCCAACACGTCGATTCCGAGTCCAGCCATTACTACGGATACGCCCTCCGCGCTTTTCGCGAAGAACTGGACGACCCGCTCCGAACTCAGCATGACGGAACGCTGGCCTCGGCCATATTTTTATGCACAGTCGGCGTTCGTTTCCCCTACCTCAGCTACACAGCTACCTGCTAAGCTAATGACAGATCATTACCAGCACAGACTGGACAATCCACCTCCACGGCGCGAACTCCATCCTCGAAAACCGTCTATCCCACGTCACCACCACCACCGCAACTCTCGATTCCCCCAGTCCAACGCCCCCCCTCTCCGCCATGACGTCCACCATCCTCGAAGCCCTCGGCTACATGGACCTCCCCCCCTTCACCTTCGGCCGCAAGTCCCCGCCCCTCAACATCTGGGCCCGCCACTGTCGACGCTCCCCGCGCTCCGAGGAAGACGACCACGTCGAGCCTGTCAGCGGCCTGCCGTGCAGCCTCATCGACGCCTTCGCCGGCATCGACGACGACGACGACGGCGGTGGCAGCGAGCAGCGCTTCTGGGACTGGAAGGGCTACCCAGGCGAACCGCTGCAGTGCCAGCTGTGGGAGGCGTACCGCTTCGCCGGCATCCTGGACGCGCGGGCGCGGCGGCGATGGCCATGGCGGTTGTCAGCGTCGGCGTCGGCATCGTCCACGCAGGACAGCACGGTGGCGGCGGAGAGCGGGAGCGCGAGCACGGCGCTCGTCCTGAGTCGGCTCGTCAGCGCCGTCGATGCGCTGCATCGCGGTATCCTCCTTGGCAGCAACGGTGGAAGTGGAGGTGGAGATGACGGTGACGGCGGCCGCGGCCTGCTGGTCGTCAACGCGCTGGTCTACCCGCTCTGGCACGCGGGCGTCGAGATCAAGTCTGTTGACGGCTTGCGCAGGTGGCACGGGCTGGTGGATGGGTGGTGGGCCTTGTTGGCGGAGAGGGAGGGCGAGGGCCGGATGCGGGATTTGGCGTGGGCGTATGCGGCGTGCTGTGAGGAGAGGAGGGCGGGGAGGGATGGGCCCGTTGACGACATTGTCAGAGAGCGGGGGGTGGAGGTTGCTTTGGTTTAGAGGACGGGATTGAGAGGGGCTGAGGAAGTGGTTGTGTGTGGTGATTCGAAACAACCGGCAAGGGCTCGGACGGGGAAGATGGGGTTTGCGTGTGCAATTGTCGCCGTCCGTCGCATCCGGGAAATAACAGTGCCCCTCGTTCTGCGGTCAAAAACAGCGGCACAGCCTCACCGTTGGCGTCATGGACAGAAAGAAGTTGAGAGGGAAGCACCGGCGCTAATCTAGATCGGGCATGTCGACGCACCGGGCTATGGCAGCCGTTGGCCCGTGACTGCTTCTTTCCCCAGCGTCGACATGCCCTGTTTGGATTAGCGTTCGCAGCTGGCAGCAACGGCGTGCGTCGACCTGCCCAATCGAGAGTTGCATTGTATACTACCAGCTGGAAGGGGCATTTTGAGCTCGCAGATAAAAGGTAGAGGAGAGCGCCACCTGAGATGCTTCGACATCATCCTCTGCAATTTCAAGATGCGAGCTTCCATTCTTTCATTCTTCCTCGCTGCTGCCCCGGCGCTCTGCACGCCAGCCGCCAATTTCAATGTCACCAAGGAAACAGCAGCATCCTACCAATGCGGCGACGCTTGCTACTCGATCCTTCAAGACACCATGGCAGCCGACCGTGGTTTTGTTGGCACAGACTTCGACAACGATTTCTACGCCGTTGCCAGCAACTTCTCGACTGCTCAGCCCGGCGATCTGCTCAAATTGAAGCCAGTCGACCCTGAAACCCTCACCGTCATCTCCGGAGTCTCTGTCTATCGCATACAATACGTTTCCGAGGACCTAAACGGATCCCATGTCCCCGTCACCGGCTACATCGCTCTTCCATTCTCTCTGCCGGAAAGTGGAGCCTTCCCTCTCGTCGCTTTCGCCCACGGCACGATCGGCGCGAACGCCGGCTGCGCCATTTCCAACGGCCCCAATCTCTTCGACTACCACAGCTGGAGTCTTCTCAGCGAACGTGGCTACGCCCTCGTCGGCACCGACTATGTCAGTACATCCCCATTCGCGTCTCTGCCCAAACCTCAACACTAACAAAAGACCCTCGCAGGCCGGCCTCGGCACAAACCACACCACCCACAAATACTGCGCCTTCCCCGCCCACGCCGCCGACCTCTTCCACTCCATCACCGCCGCCCGCCAGGCCTTCGGCGCCGTGCTCTCCAAGCAATGGCTCTCCGTCGGCCACTCGCAAGGCGGCGGCGCCGTGTGGAAGCTCGCCGAGGACATCTCTCACCTCGCCGCCCGCAGCAACAACAACCCCGACGCCGCCGCGAACTACATCGGCACCGTCGCCCTCGCCCCCGCCACCAAGGTCGTCGACATGGCGCACGCCGCCATCGCAAACGCCCTCGCCAGCCCGGACGACATCCACGCCAGCTCCGCCGCCAGCCTGCTCCCGCTGCTCGCGCAGGCCGTGCAGCGCGTCTACCCGTCGTCGTTCAACGCGTCGGCTCTGCTCGGCCCCGTCCTGAGCGCGCGCATGGACCTGGCGGATGCAGCGCAGCTGTGCGCGAGCGGCGTGCTCGGGCTGACGCTGGATCTGGACGCCGCACAGCTACTCGGCGGTATCGCGTCCATCACGAACACCACTTCCGCGCTGCTCAGCGCGTGGCAGGACCGGATGGCGCCGACGAACGGCGCGAAGGCACACGGGCCGGTGCTGGTGGTGCAGGGCGTCAACGACACGGCGATCCTGGCGGAGACGACGGTGCAGGCGTGGGAGGACGCGTGCGCGGCGGGCGGCGAGGTGCATCTGATGTTGTATCCGAAGCAGGATCATTCGGGGTTGCTGACGGCCGCGGCGCCGGATTGGTTGAGGTGGATTGACGAGAGGTTTGGGGGCGTGGGGACGGACGGGAAGTGCACGAGGGTTACGAGGGAGGCGTTTGATTATAAGTATGTTAAGGCGGAGCCGGAGGTGGATCCTGATAATAACTCTGTTAACTGAGGGACTTGGTTGGGTTGGCGGCGAGGGGCTGCTGCACTTCGTTGGGTCGGTTGTCGTTGGGCGAGGAAACGATGGCAGACACTTCAATCGGTTTTCCCCTGCGGTACGTTTTTTGAACTCTGGGTTTACGTTGTGGCCGGCCGTGAGATTTCCGTAGATGTCCTTCCGGGCCAATTGAGTGCGTTTGCGCTATGCGCTTTCACCTTGTCATCTCTGAGGCGAACACATGCGGGGCGGAATTGATGCGGTTATCTTTCGGTTTCCCACGATTGGTCGGTTTCTCGAATACCGGATGCTGACAAGAGGGGTAATATGAACGAATCTCACCAGCGGTCGAGCTGCGGGGATGTGTCTTGGCATTCTCACGGATATAACATCTGGAGGAACTGCTTACAGCTGCATTTGAATTCCGTTGTTATAGAATACCATTCCCCACACTAGTCTTCCTTAAACTCTACGGATGTTAAAAGATGGCTCTAGCGTACATCAATGGACGCGTCTTTACTCTCGATCCGCAGAAGCCTTGGGCAGAGGCGTTTATTGTCGACGCATCCGGAAGGTTCGCATCCATCGGCACTAGCGAAGAGATCCGGACAACTGCTATTCGAGAGGGAAATGTAGCTCGGAACCTTCGCGGGAGGTTTGTCATGCCCGGAATCCACGACGCCCACACCCATCTACTTGGCGCAGCAACGCAGCAGCTCAGCGAAGCATTGATCGGCACAAACTCCGACCACTTGACTCTGGGCCCCAACATCAAAACTGCATCATGCCATTGCGAGTACGCCCACACCCTCGGCGAGTGGATCGTCGCCAGTTTCTACTCCGCCTTGCAATTCCCGGACGGTAAGGACTTCACCCTCCCGGACCTTACGAGAATCAAAACTGACACATCCCCACAAGGCCAACCAGATCGAAAGTACCTTGACACCGAGTTCCCCGACACGCCAGTCGCCGTCCGCGACCCTTCCCTGCACAACTGCCTGGTCAATACGGAAGCCCTGAAGCGGCTCGGCTACGACTCCGCCAACCCGCCCGAATTTCCGGGCGGTCAATTTGTGCGGCGCGAGACGGGAGAGGTCACGGGCGAGCTACTCGAAGCAGCATCCGGCGAGCTCTGGATGAACATGCCTCAACCACCAGCAACCTTCGTCCGGCGCGCGCTCGAGCACAGCATGCGCGTCTGCAACAGATACGGCATCACGTCCTGTCAAGAGGCGTCTGCGAACACCGCGTACCTGAAGGCGCTGCGGGAGATAGAGATGGCGGGCGGCATGACGGTCGATTTGCACACGCACATCGTGCACTCGCCGGCGCGGTACGCGCAGGAGGAGGCTGAGGGCCTGCAAGCGCTGTTGCACGTCGCGGATGTTTTCGAGTCGGAGTGCGTCAGGACGCGGTTTGTCAAGTTCTGGCTGGACGGCGCGCCGCTGCCGCCGCATCTGACGCAGAGTGATCTGAGGGAGGATGGGAGGCCGGATGAGGCGATGATATTGGTTGACTGGGACACGTTGCTGGGCGCGTTGGTCAAGTATGATGCGAAAGGCTACACCTGCAAGATCCACTGCGCGGGGGAAGGCAGCGTGCGGAGGGCCTTGGACGCCATTGAGAAAGTTCGCGAACGGAACGCTGATGGACCGAGCCATGAGGTAGCGCATTGCAACGCCGTGCATGAAGGTAATTATTGCCCTCCTCCTCCCATCCACGGAAGAACGGGTTTGCTGAACCAGGGTAGATGACATCCCCCGCTTCAAACGACTCCGCGTCACGGCTGAGATGTCGCCGGCCATCTTCCACAGCCCCGAGGTCGCGCTCGTCCCGCATCTGCTGAGATGGCCCTTCCGCCAGATGCTGGATCATGATGTGCGCATGACCATCGGCACGGATTACTTTCTCACTCCGACGCCGAATCTGTTTCCGACGCTGCAGGCTGTTGTTGGTAAGCTTTCGGCCGAGGAGATTTTACGAGCCATCACCATCGAAGGCGCGAAGGCGGTGGGACGGGACCATGAGCTCGGTAGTATCCAGGAGGGGAAGCTCGCGAACTTCATTTCTGTCGATAGTGATCTCACGCAGGGGGGTTTTGAGGATGCAAAGGTGTTGGAGACGTGGCATCGTGGGAAGTCGGTGTGGGCGTCTGGGGATGTCTGAACATACTCACTACAGCACGGCAAGCATGACCGCAGTGAAAACCTGAGATCAGTATCGAATACATTGCAGACTGCCTGGATTTAGATGGACCAAGCTGTTCCAGCCATTGTAGTTGCCGCAGACGCATAGCTCGACGCCCCGGTGGAGGTATCCGTCGTTGGTGAGGCGCGGGTACGTGGCTATGTCCGGATGATGCAAGGTCTGAATTCCGGAAACCTAGAGCAGGCGAGGCATAGCCATGAGGCTGCACATCATCTGGTCGTCCGTCATGGCCGTGGGGCAGCCTCCGGCTCGTCGCGGCGCTGGCACCAGACATGACAAAAAGCAACACAATGACGAGGGAGTGGTTGACTGATGATGCAGTCTCGAGAGGCCTGTCCATGTCTGCGGGAACACTTTTTTTCGATTCGTTAGATGATGAGCATCTGCGAGATTTTAATGGATTTAAAGAGCTGAGGCGAGTATGTGTGCGGTCTATGGCATTCGCAGTCTTTTTCCTCGTCGATGCCGAAGACAGCGAGGAGGCTGAGCACGGTGCTTTGAAAATGGTTTCCCTTAACCCTGCTATAGTTCCGTTAATACCGCACGGTCGGCCGAGTATACTATCGAGCAGCGACGAATATACGCAAGCAGGTGAAGACGCGTATGTATACAGCGGGGGCGGGATTCTCGGAATCGCACTATGATATCCTATTTCGTTTAGCTGTTTCCGTATATGGCATAGTCAAAGCTTCGCCGGTGATCCGCGCAACGCTCTCCCATGTACTCGTGTGACCGCGATACGAACACCTCAAACAAGAAGCGATCGCCCTTTCAAACCGTAGCACTGTAGTATATGTAGAACTGAGCACGTCGTAAGCACTACAATGTCGTCTTCAGCATGTCGGGGTCAGACGCGGTACAGAGCTACGAAAATGGGGCAGCGATGAATGTCGGGAACGCGGACGACGACCCCTTCGGCCCACCGGCATTACACTACACCCTGCGCACGCGCAAGAAAAACATCGCCCGGTTCTGGACGCCACTGCTGCTAGACTGTTGCGTCATCCCGGTGGCGCTGTACTACTCCCTCCGCTTCTCGACGCGCCTGTCCAACGCCACCATCTTCGGCATCACCACCGCCCTGACCGGCGGCACGCTCGTCCTCGAATTCTTCCTCCGCGGCTACCATCTCTGGAAGGCATCCTCGCGCTGCCGGCCCAAAGGCGCGCCGCGCGCCTACTTCGACCACACGCACTGGGTCTTCCTGCTCGCCATCCTCGTCACCGTCGCCGAGCTCGTCGTCGGCAACGCCTACCCCGACCCCATCGAGCGCCTGCTCGCCATGCCCGCGCCCAGCGTGCTCTTCGTCTTCGCCGCCGACGTCCTGCTGCGCGACCTCCTGCACCTGTGCAAGGCCAAGGCTCCTTGCCGCATCTCCACCTGCCCCGCCGGCACCGCTTTCCGCCCGGGCATCTACGCCGTCGTTGAGGATATCGTCGCCACCGACGGCGGCGGCGGAACAGAGTTTAGGGAGGACTTTAGCTTGAGGTATCGGAGCAGCTACCGCTTCCGCCATATGCTGCGCGCGCTCTCGCTGTTCTGGAGTCTGGGAGGAGTCGTTACCGCGCTGGGCACGTCCGCTCTGGTGTGGACGCTAGACGTCGATTACGCATATGGTGTCGGCTGGGTCGCGCCGTTCGTTTGGGGGTTGATCTGGACTCTTCTCACACTGTATTGGGTGCCGGTGTGCTTGAAGCTCGAGTACGCCTCGTGGGCCGAAGTACGTAACGGGCCTGCTATGCTATAGATGTATGATATGGGAATGACGGTACAAGACAAAATTGAAAGTTTCCACGACAAATAATATAGACATGAGAAGGAAGAGGTAGCGTTGGTAAAGAGCGCCGCCAATGAGGCTAAACAAATAGAAGCAAAGAGTTGTTAACTGTTATTGTAGGAAAGATGTCTAGGAAAATCATTTTTATATGCTCGTGTTTCTATAAAAGAAGCTTTGGCTGACAGGTAGAGTCGTTACCTGTCGTAGTTACAAACTAAAGCAGCACAGACAACATTTCCGCAGTAGCTCTCCATGCCTGTCGGAGAGCTTAAGTGCCATTTTTCTGTCCTCGATCTCGAGCTTTAAGGCCGGAATATCCACTAATAAGTTCTGTCTTTAAGCCGATCATAGAGGAGCAGTCCACTATGCTATATACGCTTTGACGGAAACAGTAAAATTTGTTCCTTACGCGCAGCTCTATTTGCACTACAAATGGACTAGGTAGTAATAGAGATCTTCAGCAGTCAGTACTGAAAATACCGGCGACACCCTCCATTGGCTGACGAAAATTGACTCATATACACTTAATCAGTCTATCTAGCATGTGATCATTCATTGATAGAGTGTTGCTATCAACGCTTTCCGCGTGCGCCAGTGTCTCAAAATGTCGCGGTGAAACTTGGTTGCCTTCCGGTGTAGTCGAGAGCGAGGTGCGATCGCCGATCCCGAAACTGAACGAGTAGCTGGGGATCTTCAAAGATTCGCATAAGGAGTTGCTCGGATGATATGGACTGCGACGCAGTCTTCTTTCGGCGATGAGCGCGTAGGGTATACGGGGTTCAAATTGGAATATCAGAGACATGGCCGCACGAGATAAACACAGAGGCCGCAATTGATGCAGTTAGCAGAGCCTGGTCCGGCGTCAGACATGATTTCTAGCGAGGCTGGCCAGCCAAGTATTGAGCCAAGCAAGAAGGCCTCCTGCCCGGCAAATCAATTCCATGTGGCGCTGGAAGACACGGCGAATGAAACAGTCCGTTACTCATTAGTGCTACCTCTTAGCTGAGATTCGCCTCAATGATCGACATCTTTTGTGACTGGACATCCATTCTCACTTATACGACTTCGACCCCGCTCATACACCCCGCACCCTTCAGCTTCCCCACCAACGCCACGAACGTCCCAAAACACTCTCTTGCAACCTACATTATCACTGATCATCCTACCACTGCGTCCGTCTTCTTACCTCGCTCTCGCACGACATCTGTTAATGGACACTACCATCGGTAACACCCCTCCGAGCCCCGCGATCATCCACTCCACGAGCCTGACTCGTGGGCGTATGTAGCTCGATGTACACATCTTCGTAGCTTGGGCCACTGCTCCGATCAGGGCAGAACGCTGACGTAGAACACCACGCCAAGAAGGGAGCAGTAGTCAGACTGACTGTCACTGCAGACAGCGTCAATAGCGGAGCATGAAGACGCAGTGAAGAACGCTTCGGCTGTGCTAACCAAATACCAGGAGACAGTCCTGATTCTTATCCTGACTTGCTGTTTCCTGATATAATTGCACGCTCGCTCAAAATGTTCGGGATTGCTACATTGAACACCATGGCTGACCACCTGCGTAGTGGGCTCGGATTGTGCAAACGTGGGATCGGGGGAGTCAGTTGGCAATGCAGGGGGCGAGTGGCTTTCAACTTCTTGTAAGCGCGGGGTAGCTGAACCCGCTGCTCCCGATTTTGATTGCGGCTCAGCCCATCACCGATCGACTGACTTCACATGTTGAAAACAGCTGCCGGTGAAAGCCACGGTAGCGGGCTTCATTGCCTAGAATCCGAGAACAATCACCCATCGAGGCTGTGCTGCCCGAGGCCGCCCCGTGCATGCGCAGGCGACAGAAATTGGTAAAAGCCAGCAAGCCGCAGAAAGCAAGGCTATCCAATTATCGAAGGATTTGTTTCCTTATCAATGCGGGGCTTCACAGCTGATGCTTACATTGAATAAGCAGGAGCCGGGTTTACCATCCGCAGCTGACAAACGCAGCAAGCCTCGTCACTCATATGCAAGCGCCGAAACCTTTGTCGCGAATACGAGCATAGAAATTTCCAACTTAAAGGCTTAGCTGTTAACCGACTGAACATTCTACCTAAGGTTAACTTTCTCTTTCGCCCTACTACTGAGTTAATCACTGCCCGATCAAGCTTTGCTATTGTCACTCGAGGACTTTCTAAAATGGACTGGACGTTGGACGAGCAAACGAGGAGGTACTATTACTATGACGACGACACGAACGAAACTGTGTATGACGATGGCCGAAGATTCGAGTACGTATTCCTTCTTTGTTACTAGCCTAAATTGAATCCCATGAAGCTGCCGCGTACTAAAATTGGAACAGGGGTGCCAGGAGCGATATGGAACCGGGCAGAGCAATCTTACTTGATGCGCCTTATGACATACATGAACACCCAACAGGATTATTCCCGGAGAGAGCCGACGAGTTCTCAACATCCTTCCCTTCAGAACCACTCGACGAGGCTCGCTATAAATTTGTGAGGGACCTAGGTGAAGGCACGCAAGCGACAGTGGGCGAGTACAAAGATGGAAAAGAGGTACTCGCCATCAAGACCTACCAGTTCCAGTCCTCCACCAACGAACTCTACCACAACATCCAGCGGGAAATCGAAATCATGGGACGCCTTTCCAGGCAAGAAGAAGCACACGACTACATGGTCTCCCTCATCCGCTGGCACAAAGACCCCGAGAAGCACGAGATCAAACTCGTAATGAGCCCAGTTGCATCGCAGGGAAGTCTTTGCGATCTTCTTCTCCGCCAGTTTGACGAAACCACCGAAGTCATCGGCGAACAGTTCCTCCTCAATGCAATCGGGAACCTGGCACAGGGCCTCGCATTTATCCACTTGTCGTCAATGCGCCACAAAGACATCAATACCCAGAACGTGCTCATCCATGAAGGTCGCGCCATTTACGCCGACTTTGGTATCTCACTGATCTTTAATTGTTTGATCTCGCCAACGGGCGCCTCGTTCAACCCCACTGAATCTACCCTGTACGAGAACGCGTATGCCGCACCCGAAATAGTAGACGGCGCGCCCAGAAGCACAAAGTCGGATGTGTTTTCTCTGGGATGCGTGTTCTGGGAGCTTTTGGCTGCGAGAAGCGTGGCGGTGTTGGGCAGAGATGATTACAAGATGGAGACGGGATTTCATTGGGGAGAAAATCAAGCAGATGGGTACGCGAGGAGGGTGCGGGATCGGAGTCTACGTATGGCTTTTGAGAGCATGAAAGAGGAGGACGGTATGCAAAAGTATGGGCGGATTGTTGATGTGATTGAGATGATGGTGAGCGAGGATCCAGATGAGAGGCCTGAGGCTGATGATGTCTTTGATCTAATATTTGGATAAGCGCTCGTCTGGTGGGCTGATGCCTAAGAACTGCAAGTCATTGTATTGTCTTCTCCATCTTAAAGAGCACATTGTGATCTCTAAAAGCACCATCACAAAAGTCAGGAACAGTGCGGGCACGGGGAAGGCGAAATGTTGGTGTAGAGTGACCAGCATGTTTACCTTCATCGTCTCCACTTCCACGGTCCCAGTATACTTCATGCGCCTTGTATCATGGAATTTGTAATGCTTTTTCTGAGAGTACCACACTGGTTTCATTATGGAAATCAACAAGCTCACTCTCATCCCTGGAATTCCTGACCGAAATATGTGTGGATGTCGGCACGCGAGTCTGTCCAGGCCGACGCCGCAGCTATTAGACGCCGTGATCAGACAGCATTTCAACCAGATTCTGGTGCCCTCCGGCTAAAGCAGCACGAACAGCATTGCCGCAGTGTCCAAAAGCGCTGGCGTCGGCTCCGTTCTCCAGCAGTATCCGAACCACGGTATCGTGTCCTCTGTAACATGCGGCTTGGAGAGCATTCCCAAACTTTCCGCCTTGTGCGTTGATATCTGCGCCACTTTCAAGCAGCATCTTGACCACCCTCTCGTGCTCCTGCCATGAGGCGGCCTGAAGAGCATTTCCGTACTCTCCGCCTTGGACATTGGGATCCGCTCCTTTATCGAGTAGCATCTGGACTACGTTGTCGTGCCCTTCCGCTGATGCAACTTGGAGAGCATTTCCATGATAGCCGCCATGGGCGTCAACATCCGTGCCTTTGGCAAGTAGCATCTGAAGTACGCTCTCATGGCCTGGACATGACGCAGCAACAAGAGCATTGCCGTAAATACCACCTTGAGCATTGACGTCTGCACCCATCTTGAGCAACATCTTAACCATCCGCCTACGGCCCTCGAATGAAGCAGCCTGAAGAGCATTACCATATACGCCGCCCTGAGCATTGACATCGGCGCCTCTGTCAAGCAGAATCTTGGCTACTCTCTCCTGTCCTCCGGCTATAGCCGCCTGAAGAGCAGTACCGTGGTCTCCGCCACGCGCGTTGATATCCCCACCCTTGTCGAGTAGCACCTGCACCACCTTCTCATGTCCTGCGAATGAAGCGGCCTGGAGTGCATTGCCGTTGTGTCTGGCGTGAGGATTGTCCTTGGCCCAGTTCACAAATAGCTCTTCGATATCCTTCTCGTACGGTCCGAAGCTGGTAGCTACTACAGCCTGGATGGAGTCCCCGAAGTGGCCTTGCTCATTCATGTCGGCGCCGGCGGCGAGTAGTATCTCAACTACCTTTTCGTGGCCTTCGTATGACGCAGCGACAAGCGCACAGCCGTAGAAGCCTCCCTGTGCATTGATGGAGGAGGCGTCTTTGTTGATTATCGTTTGAACAAGGTTCTCATCTCCTTTCGATGAAGCGAGCTGAAGTGCATGTTCGTTCTTAATCGTGGCGGTTATAGGGCTCGGATTTTCCATGTTGTTGGCTCTCTTGAATACTAAAATATGCATCAGGATTTGGGTGAACCTGATATTGAATTAAATATCGTAAAGGTATAGTACAGTTACCAGGTGGTGTTGATTAAAGATTTCGGCAGTAGTAGATGTCACACGGATCAGTTTTGATGGGTTTTCAGGATGATACAAGGTGTGAGGCTGTATATATTTATTCTCGTATTAAATAGCACAGCCTCGTTGTTTTAATAACGGGTATTCTCTTTAGTGGGGACGGTGTGGCTTAGACGTTCAGCCACAACATCTCGCTTTAGCCTCCCCCCGCATCTCCGGATCATGGCACTGATTTCATTATTCATTTTTTAGGCTTGCCATTACGGAAACAGTTAGTCCCTGCCATACTAGCCTGCAGTGTAGCGCTGTAAAATTTCATTGAGACAATTATTAAAAAGACTCCACATACACTTTGTATGGATATATTAGTATACTGATTACCAATGTCTCAGAAATATAGATTTCCACGACGTGGTGGAGGTGGTAGACCGTCTTTCTCTTCCGTAAGACACAAAATTAGTCTATCACCTCCACCAACCGACTCGTCCTCTTCAAACGCTTTGAGCGGAATTGCCTCTGCCCCGGAAGATCTGCGCGCTCCACGCTCTTGATGATCGACAATATGCTGTACTACAGCCTCGCCGCCTTCCGCAGAGAACCTCTGTGCATCATCGCCCTGGCAGTCACTCTGCTCCAGAGCGCCGCCCTGCGCTACGACGGCGCCGTACCGCACCTTCTTTTCCCCTACCGCGCCCACCAACCCGCCCAGTTCTTGATTGCTCCCCGCTTCCGCCATCAGCGGGCTCCTGAATGCCTTGGCCGTCTCCAAAGGGCTCATCGAGACCACACGGCCAAGTTGCCACCAGCCAAAATACAGCGGCAGCACGGCGAGGACATTGATGAGCATAACACACAAACTAGCGAGCAGGTAGTACGGGTTCAGCCGGTAGATGACGCGGCCGACTTCCTCGGTCCCGGGCGTGGTCTGAAGGGTCGAGCTGTTGGAAAGGCCGATGGATGCGCGGAAGATAAGCTCGCGGAGGGCGCTGCGGATGTCGGGCATGGGGTTGGAGTAGGTGATACTGCAGTTGTTGTACATGCCGTTGGTCTGGTACGTGTAGCGCATAGAGCCGTTTCCCTGGACCGACCAGTAGGGGAGGCGTGCTTGTAGAGTGATATTGCTGCCGAATAGCTGGTCCGCGACGAGGTAAAAGCCGCCAGCTGTCGAAAATTGATCGGCAATTGAGCCGCCTTCATATCTCACTGGGCTGATAGATAGGCTGTCGTTGGCGCCGCCTGGACGGAGGCTAGCGGTGTTGTTCGCGATGGTGATGGGATACGAGACTGTGGCTAGGCGGAAGCTACAGTCGACCGTGTGGAGGACGCCAATGCAAGCAGAGTCATCCTTGTACTTGACACTGGCGTTAAATTCTGCTGCTGTTTCTCTTGAAAAGATAATGCTGCCAATATTCTCCTCAGTGCTCGTAAAGCCGCCGCCGCCAGGATTGACTTGGAAAGTCAAGTTATAAGGCGTGGTGCCTTCTGTACAACGCTCGTCGAAGCCAGACGCAACCACGCGTGTGGCACAAACTCCTCGGCACCCGGTTGCGTTCAACCGTATGTCATTCCGGGACTGATAGGCGTTGAAAATCTGGCCGAATTCGTGGGTGAGAGATGTCGGATTGAAACTACGAACAGGGATGACTCCTGAATACCCGTACGGTATATCCCTGGTGCTGAGCTGGGTGGTGATGGTTGTGTTCCGTAGAGTAGACATCGTGATGACTGAAGATGAGCGCTGAAGCAAAGGCCCATCAACAGCTACCAAAGTAGTGATAATACAGGCGAGCGCAACGGTGTTGAATTTATTACACGACAGTAACGACTTGCTAAAGCTGGTGGCGTACGCCCAGGATAGGTGGAGGTCCTTGAGAGTTGCTCCATTCAAAGCCTGTCTCCACCAGAAAAGTGCGAGGCTCTCGGCCAAGGCGTAGCGCAGGGCCGAGTTTGCGACCGCGGATAGGATGGCCAAGATGACGGTAGGCTGCAAGGGATACTTTGCAGAGGGCCAAGAGTCGATATCCTTGCCGTTTGATTGCAGTAGTGTTCCAAATGCGGCGGCACCGCAAACGACGGCCGTGAAGAGAGCTAATAATCCAGACCAAGGTATGGTTCTGGTATTTCCTGTCGACCATTCTTTGCAAGTCTGTAGAGGTTTGTGTGATGCGTGCGCCATGGTGAGAAGTGAACAAGGCTAGAGGATGGGACCCCAACTGGAGGGGCTTCTCCGCCTCTTAAGTTTTCAGATCCCATGCCAGTGGCACGGGAAGGCTGTTAGAGGAACGGAGTTATTTCTTGAAGCTTCAGCCCCCGACCGAAACAAAAATATACATCTGGATTAGGTAGTAATACTGTTCCTTCTGAACGAGTGACTAAAATCTCACCTGCAGATTGTGCACGCAAGGCTTTGCCTTCAGGCAGCAAATGAGGCTCGTCTTCACGCACATACCCACCAATGGCATCAAAGCTGGCTGAGAAATGCGGCCAAACGTAGCTGACAAATAAAAGCAGAATAATCGATAGGTGTAGCCACATTTATGATGGTGGTCAGAATAATTACCACAATAGTCGGGGAGGAGATCTTCAAATGAACAGCACCACGAAAGTTCCAACCGGGGGCTGATGAATTGAAGTTTGTGTACTCCGATGAAACTGAAGATTTAACACGAGTATTCTGGCGTTGGGGTGTAATGCGAACTGATATATGACACTTCTGCACTCTGAAGACTTGTATCATTCAAGCTGACCGCTGCGCATCTCATGCATACAGGTGAGTGGGGATAGCTTCAGCACGTTGCTGTCTTTGCCAGCAAAATAAATAAGTAGAAAAGCCTTTCAGAATGTCAATTCTCGCAGGGTGAACTGAGACCGAACTTTGGCGCCCGCAAAGCTTACAAAAAAACCTGAGTATGAACCTTTTCAAATCACCAATCGCTTGGAAACGCATTAGAAATATCTCTCCCCATTACCAATAGCAGACTTTCTATTCTGAGACAAAGGAAACTAGCTTTCCGTGCCACTGTCTGTCCCACCACTAACATATCCACCAACAGAGACCATCAACACAGCGGCATATGCAGTAACAATTGCCAGCCTGTCCTTGATATCCATTGCCCTTGGCAGTAAGCTCAGGAACCAAATACGGATGATCTCCGTTACGAGCCCGATGAATCCAAGGACACCAATCAAGATAAAGATGGAGAAGGAGATGACTATCAGGATACTAACTTTAGTACGATGCGGGTCCAAGACAATGATGAGCATCGGGACTATAGCAAGCAGGCCGCCAGCTGATGCTATCATTATCTTAAAGATTTCAGCAACCAAAATGGCTACTATCGTCTGAACTATGTCTCGGACTTCAGCGGTTTTTATAAGTATTAGCAGGACTTTTTCCCATCGATTCACCGGGTCAGAAGGGCTGGTAGTCCCAGTTCGAGTTCGAGTTCGAGCCTGCATCCTTTCCAGATCATCGACTGCATCGCCTACCGAGAGCCCTCATGTTAGCCTTTCTATGCCAAATCGGGGTAACGCTCCATTGATTTCATGCAAGCGAACCAGGAGGGAAAAAAAGTCGGATTCTGTTGCTTACAATAGTTATGCATGGTTTTACGCACACAGTCCAGATCATCTATACTCAATGTTTCCTGCCCGAAGATCCTTTTGCGAAGCTGCTCAAGTTCTTTGTGGTAACGGTGGATAACAAGCTCCTGTAATTCGAGGAAAACTTCGAAATCCATCTCATGGCTCGTCCTCTGGGCGATGTTGTGGTCTTTAGTGGGTAGCGTTGTCGTCTTCTCTACCTTTTCAGGAGCCGTATTTCCACCCTCAAGATTCGGTGCTGAGTGCCACCGGCGGTCATCCGGCTTGAAATTTGTGCTTCTGAGTTGATATAGCGACTGAGTATTTCGTATGCGAGATAACGCTGGACTCATTTAGCTATGACGCATGTGTTTTCGACAAGTCGTTTTCCTACCTTTCGAACGACTGGAGGACACTGGTGGATTCTCAGTCACTTCTTCCATTATTGATGGTGTTCTTTCGACACCAATGGCAGGCTGTGGGTCCATTGAGAGCCCTGTGAGCTTCTTGTTGAATTTCTTTAAGCTCCTTCGTGAGAATACTCGTAAGGCTTTGCGGAGACCTTCATGCGGCTGGCTGATGGGTCGAAATCTAGGAGATTCATACCAAAACTACCAATACTCACTACGAAATTAGGGTCATGTGAATCAACAGAAATGGAAAATTTCAGCTTGCATTAGACCCCAACAAGCTTTGGCCAGAAAATGCGTTTTCGCGTGTTGGCCTTACAGCCTTCTTCACCGAGGAGTTCGTGCCGGGTCGCCGTCGAGTTTGACTCAGCTCGAGGAGCATGCGATTGAGGAAATGCTTCTTATATATAGCAAGCAATAGAACAGTGTAACGTCCGGGTGTTGCCTTCAGCTCGCTAGCGTGCTGACGGGCGTTAAGCTTCGGCCACCACCGCATGGCTATTGTCCGAAATGCGCAAGGCAGCTTGCCGAAATCATTGGGCAACATGATGGCTGCAGAGCCGCGATAATTCATGTCAGGCTGCACGAGGCTTACGCGGTGAGGCATCTACGACAGCAAGGCAAGGCTAGAGTTGTTGCACATGCAGTCATCACATATGCGGTAAGCAATTCAATCGTGCAGAGCTAATATATTCCTACATTAGGGATGCAGCGGATGGAAATGGGCCAGTGGATGGCAGTATCTGCGAGCACACGTCACGGAAAGGCCAGGTTCATCATGCGACCGTCAGCAACGCCAACACCGTGCGGCCTCCCTCACACCTTGAGAATTGCCGCAAAATGTGCATAGAAAATCTTTTATGCAGCTATCTTGTATTATATGCCTCAATGAGCACAGGTATCCCATTTAGTTGTGCAGATTTGGTCTAGGCTATGTGAGTGGGGGCGCTTGAGGTGCCCCGGATTCTGTTGTGCAGCTTAGAAGGCTGCAGAATGCAGATGTAGGCCTTTTGGCGCTTCGCCCCATGTAATTCACGGACTCGGATCTCTGCAGCCACGTAATAGTGAAAAGCTTGGCATGCACTCACATTGAAAAGAGCATTCTCAAATTCAGTGACCTTAAGAACTATAGCTTGGATAACATTCCTATTTCGATAATGTTCCTCGTCCGTTCCGCATCGCTAGACGCTAACATTTGTTGGGAACCTTGTTTGCAACAAACTCCTGCGAATTGATATGCAACATCAAGAAATTTACTTCTACATCGCATATCTGCTGGTTATGCAACGTCGGCTTTGGTAAATTCTATACTGCCTGCGTTTGATGTACCCGACTCTAGGCTGTTCTTCTGCTGCTGGTGGCTGGCGTAAATATCTTCTGTGTATATTACAGAGCGGTGGGTAGCCCGAAAGAGTAGATGCTAGATAACGTGGCCTGTTACACCATAGTCAGCTCCTGTTCTGGTCTGCCCCGCGGCCTACATTAGCCGTCAGCCGCACGATATGAAGGTATGCAGCAGGGATGTCGGAATTGACACCGTTGAAAGTTACAGGATGACCCCGATCATGACGATAGTTTACATTTCTTGTAGTAAGTCACTGCTGCACCTGATGAAAGTCTCAAGCTTCCAGAGCAAAGATATCAGCTACGAAAACTTCCACTCGAACGCAGCCATTGCCTGGAAGTAATGCAGTCAACCCATGATAGAAGAGATAGTTCGATATGCTGTAAATGCCTCGTGGGAAATTGTGAAGGTTATTCCCTCTCGTAAAACAGGCGTCTGTAGCACGTCTTGCACATTGGCCTTCCGTCTGAGCTTCGCAACAGCTGTGTTCGTGGCTGGTCGACGTGGTCTCTAAGCGTCGCTTGGTTGTCTTAAATTGTTCGGAAGCTCGATAGTTTAATCCTGACTGCAAGTACGCATATTTGTAGACTGGGGAAGCTGCTCTGATCATGGCAAAAGAGATGGTGTGGAACTCCTCGACAAGACGACCGCGCTTGCCAGAATCTTTGTCAGCGCAGACAGTCTATAGCGATTCCCGAAGACGGAACGAAGAAAGACTCGGATGGAAAGTCTCGGATTGTACAGACCATTAGGATGGCGGGACTGCGGTAAGAACAGAAGGCTCATCTCATTTTCCATCAAGCAGCGTAGGTACAATCCTAAATATCCACAACTCGGCACCCCTCGTGCCAACAGCAACGTCGTTCCCGGACACTGTTGAGCGGGCCGGCCGATACTTAGCAGGCAGCCAAAGCACAGGCTTGTTCTCGTAAGTGATCCACTCCCCACCGGGCGCTATACCAACACCCTGGAACCGGGCGCGCTGCTGCGATGGCGGCGTACCAGCGTCCGCCACTGGCGACGGGGCAAGCGCAATCGTCCCAATATCAACGCGCACACACGAGGACCCCCCCGTCCCATCATCATCAAACGCGATCTCATGCAGGAACTGCCCAACATACAACACCTGCAGACACACCCCGCTGCCGGCGTCCCACACCCGGACGTGTTCATCCCACCCCGTCGACGCCAGCCTCGCGCCGTCAGCCGCCCACGCCACGGCCAAGACGCTGCTCCCGTGCCCCTCCATCGTCCGCAGCCGCTCGCCGCTCACCACATCCCACACCGCGACCAGCCGGTCCCACGAACCCGAAGCCAGCCGCGCCCCGTCGGGCGAGAAGGCCACGGCCGTGACGCCGCTCTCATGGCCCTGCAGCGCCCGCACGCACTCGCCGCTCGCTACATCCCAGATCCTGATCGCCCGCCCGCCCGACGCCAGCTGCGTCGCGTCCGGCGCGAACGCCAGCGCCCGCACCGTGCTGTTGCGGCGGCTGTGCGCCTGCTCCAGCGTCCGCACGCACGCGCCGCTGCTGCTGCGCGCGTCCCAGATCTTGATGACGGGCGACCAGCCGTTGTCGTCTGACCCCGCCGACGCCGACGCCACCAGCGCCGCGTCGGGCGACCAGACGACTTGCTCGACGCCGCTGCCGAGCTCGCCGTAGCCCGACAGCGTGCGCACGTGCTCGCCGCTCGAAGCGTGCCAGAGCTGGATGGTGCCGGACGTCGAGGCGGTCGCTATTAGCGGCGTCGAGGGCGGGGAGTGGGAGATGGAGATGGAGATGATGCAGTCGCTCCAGGAGGGCGGCGGGGCGACGCACGTGGACCAGGTGCTGGGGGGCACGGCGGCGGGGTGGACGGAGACCCATGGAGGGGCGTGGTGGGGGGAGTAGAGGGTGCGGATGGGGCTGGCGGCGGGGCTGAAGACGAGGGCGGAGGCGTAGGCTTGGAGGGGGGCGTGGGAGATGGCGGGGGCGTGGGAGGTGATGAAGTGGTGGGCGTCTTCGACGAGGGTGTGGAGGGGGGAGACTGCTGCTGCGTTTGTTGGGGGGGAGACCAATGTTTTTTTCATCAGCTTTTCCATGGATTCGACGCCTCGGGGCATGTCGTTGATAAGGCTCAGGGCCTCCAGCCAGTAGAGGTACTTCCGCTTTAGGAAGTCGTGCACGGCGCCTTCGTCCTGAAGGCTGGCGCCCGTGTGTTCGGGTGAAGTGAGGGGCTGCGAAGCGTCGAGGTGGTCTATCCAGTACGAACATGCGTAACGCGATGCAGCTAACGGGTCCGGATCTGGCCGTCTGACCTGCTCGGCGAGATATCCCGGCTCTTTCAGGTCGTACATGTCTCGATGGAGGGTTTGGGACATGATTTGGAGCGATCTGGCAAACATGTTGTAATGCGTGGCGTCTTCCCATCCTGGCGGGAAGAACTTGTCGAATGCCTTGTAGAATTCCTCGTCGAGGGCCGTGCATGTCTCGTTGAATGTCTTGTCGGGTTTCCGGTTGGCTGATTCTTTGATAAGAAAGTCTTTTGCGGACTGGTGCACAAAGTAGACAGTGCCCTCTCGCACAACAAGGAACGAGCTGCAGGAGCGAACAATCTCCTGAACCGACTTCTGCATGGATTCCTGGTCGTCAGTTGCGTCATCAACAAGAGCCACCAATTCTCTCATCGTGACCGGTCGGTAGGCAGTCGCAACCGAAGCCATTACCCGCTTGCAGAGATCAGTGTCGCACAACTGACCTATCTGCACAATCGCCCGCCTGTACAGAGAGTCAAGCCCGGGCGGAAAGGCACCCAAGGCATCCTTAACATTCTGTTGTGGAACCTCTCTGAGATTCCGACAGACCAGTGCAACCCAGAGAAAGGTGGCGTTCGCATTCGACGCCAAGTACTCTAGCACACAGTCTCGAGTACTCTCGTCGTAGTTGTTCAGATCCGCGAGCTCAGACACCTCATGCTTGATCAAGGTGCCAACGGCTGCCGAGATCGACTCTTTGTAGCGGTCAACATTCAACCTCGTGGCGTGCGGGAGACGCACGTAGACCTCCGGCGAATAGCGGCTTAAGATGATGAACTTGAGGGGTGAGAGCAGCTGCGACGTCTGATGAATAAAGTCCAGCAGCTTCGACAAGTCCGTGGTGCACTCATCGAGCGCATCGATAACCAAGTACGTCTCTTTCAGCCGTTCGTCCTGCAAAACGGCAGTAAAGAGCTTCGACAGCGCAACCCACGCATTTGCACCCTCGAAACACTCTCGCCCGTCAAGCTGGTACTTCGTACAGACGTACGAAATGAGCGACGGCTGCTGCTCCATCAGCAAATACAGCCAGCCTCGCAGCACAGCCGTGGCGCTGTTGACGCGCTCGTCTCCGGCCTGGCAGAAGAAGTAGAGCAAATTGATCGACTCGTCCGACTTTTGCAGCTCATCGATGATCCCGCATAGCCCCATCGTTTTCCCCTTCCCCGCATCGCCCGTGACCCACAGCATTCGGATTCGCGAGTCGTCTCCGTGCCGCCATTCTTGGAACACGACGTTATTGACGATCCAAGCGTACGCCTCCTTCAGTAACCCGCCTTGGAGCTCCTCGATGCGCTGCTTCTCGGCTCGAGAATCGGTGGCGTGTAGGGCTGTTAGACACCTGTGGCGCTTTTTGGTCTTGTGCGCCGGCTTTTGCTCCGCTGAGGTGGATGGAGAAGTGGGATTGCCGGCCATGGCTGGTGCGGAACAGATACTTCAACTACGGGAGCATCGGTGTAGGGACTCTTTTGTGCTCGAATTATCTGGAGCCAAGGCCGTACGCCAGTCGCCTAGCCGACTGTTGCCTCAGATGATGATGATGATGATGGATTCATAGGTTAGATATCTCAGACTGTTGCCTCAGAAGCTTAGGCTGATCCTCGGATCGGATGAAAGTCTGACGACTTTGTCAGCAAAGCTGACTCAGCCAACCTTTGGGGCAACCGTTTGTTCCGATTTCTACGCTCGTCCGTTGCTTTCCTAAATATGAGCCCGCCACGTTTTATCCACAGTCTGGAATTGTTGGTAATACTCCAGTTGCTTAATGGCAAGCTCGTACTGGGCGATCCATGATATCGTGCGGATTGTTCTGACTTTCCGCCAACATACCAATGTCTTTGCAGCTGTCATTGACCGGAGACGGTGCTGTTGCAGCAGCTTCCGTTGACTTCGATCCCAGGAGAAGGTGCTACCTGAGCTGGAGGAGCAATGGAACACTAGCGACTTCGCAGCTGAAGAGATAATTAGTACAGCAGATAATGCAGTAGCCAACATAGTACATGTGGCAACGATAGGTAAAATAGTATGTGGAGCGACCGCAAATGAAGCAGCAACGTATAAAGCAATAAGTAACGCGACGGAAGTGGTCGTACGTCTGTTAAATCCAATAATTCGTTGCTAACCGTCGGACTGGAGCCCGTGCGGCTGAAGGAAGCAATGTGAGCAGATGACGAGAAGGATATAGGCTTGTATCTTGATGCGTCTCTATTCAACAAATTTTCTGATGGCGACGAAAAACAAGTCTGGCAAGTAAAACACTAGCGAGGACGGCTCCAACTTCACAAAACTACTTACGGCGGCACGGACACAGGATGACGTATAATAGATATATGTTTCCTTTGCACCTCGCTCGCCGAAGTATGTAACGCTAGAGAGGAGGTGAGATAGGTTAGACGCAGCCTAAAAGCGGGGCCGATTTTTATGCTTCTCGGAGCGCGTCCTTTTGCTGCCACGGGCCGACTGACGATCGGCCCTTAATTCCGGCTACGACTCTTGAAAGCACAACTAACTCAGCTATTACTGCAAATGCCTATGGTGCACAAATTGGCAATTGAATACTTGGCAGAAACCCCGATGATGATGGTGTTTATCCAGGCGAGGTCTTGGAAATAGGTTGAGGTGCTATTACGGATGCCGACGGAACGCTTGGGCCACCGGCTTTCAGCGACGACGTCTGACCCGTTCTCTGTCGCCCAGCAAGTGCAAGTTGCCACATGTTCCATTCGCCTACACAAGCAGCGTGTTTCTTCCAGTGGAGAGCCTCAGCCTTTACCGATCCAGGGGCGCAGTCCCGCTGTTAGTGCGAGAAGTGCCGCATCGGCAGACGGCAGACCGCTCTGTTTCGTTCGTTAGGCTATGTATCTGACTAGCTAGTTGATGCGCACGTTTATTTGAACTTGTCAGAACGCAACTAGTAATGTTTCAGCCAAGACAACCAGAACAGTCTCCCTATACAGAGTCAGGTACCAGATGGCTCTGTTTGTCACGGATACGGCTGGTTCTCTTCCCGACACCTCCCACTAACACTGAACCCATTGACGTCAACGTCACTCCACCTTCCGTCCAGGGCATGGATGCGGACGGACGCGTCGATTTAGGCAAGCGAATTATCAGCGCAACATCCCAGCAAAGATATCTCTTGTCTGCGGCCATTGATCCTGCCAAGTATTGTAGGCGAGCAGTTCTGAATCCACTTGACTGATTCAGCATGCCTACCTCCGCTCCCGGCCTGAATCGTCGGTTCACGATGATGTGCTGTCCGTTTGAATCGTAGGTTGAAAGGGATGCGCCGCACTTTAAATAATGGACAGCGCATCACCGTGAACCGACGATCTATACACACCCACCCATCCTCCCTCCATTCGTTCTTTTATCGCTGAGTCCGAATCATGGACTCGTCCCGTTCGTTTTGCGGTCTCAAGAGGCTGCTGGTCCAGTCACTCCTTTTGGCTAGCACCACGGCCGTCGCAGCTGCCCAGGATTCGCTCGAAGAATGTCTCGGCCAAGTCAGTGCTACCTTCGACGGCGAGCCCACCTGGGCCAATGAGACGTCGCCGTGGCAACTGCGCATCACGCCCAAGCCCATCACCGTCGTCCACCCCGAGACTTCGGACGATATTGCCACCGCCCTTTCTTGCGCCCAGCAATTCTCCCTGAAAGTAGCGGCCCTGAACGGCGGCCATTCGTACGGCGCGTACGGCCTGGGCGGCAACGATGGCGCTCTCGTCATCAACATGGAAAAGTTCACCGACATCAGCTACGATGAGGCCACCGAGACTCTGACGTACGTTACCCTTTCCCTCGCAACTAAGCCACAAGTTAACAAGCAAATAGCTACGGCGGCGGCAGCCGTGTCGGGCCAGTGGCCACATGGCTATGGAACAACCACGGACGCCACTTCCCGCACGTGCGAGCCAACTGGGTCGGCCTGGCCGGCTCATCCATCGGCGGCGGCTTCGGCACGACGTCGCGGATGCTCGGCACGCCCATGGACTACCTCTCCAGCGTGGAGTACATGCTGTACAACGGCAGCATCGTCACGGCCTCGCGCACCGAGAACCCGGACCTCTTCTGGGTCGCGCAGGGCGCCGGCTCCAGCTACGGCATCCTGCTCTCGCTGACGACCAAGACATGGAAGCCGGAGCACCAGCTCGTCACCAACTTCACCATCTCGCTGCCCAGCAACACCAGCCTCGACACGGGCGTCGACGCGCTGCTCGCGATCCAGGACTACGCCCTCACCACCGCCCCCGACACCTTCGCCATCCGCTGGCAGCTCGGCACCGCGCCGCCCTTCTCCGGCTCCGGCTACTTCTACGGCGACCCCGCCGAGTTCGACGCCACCATCGCGCCGCTCATGGCCGCCCTCCCCGCCGACGCGACCCTCACGACCGCCGTCGAGAGCTTCTGGGACATGGAGGTCATCGCGTCCCCGGCGCTCAATGGCTCCGCGGATACTTTCCCGCCGCGCAACATGTACCTGCAGGCCGTCGTGCTGCGCGCCGACCAAGGCTTCACCAGGGAATCGGCCCGCGCGCTGTACGAGCACACGACGTTCGCGTTCAACCGCACCGACCTGACCAAGTTCGGCTTCCTGGACTTGTGGGGCGGGAGCCCCGCGAAGGCGCTGCAGGACGGCGACACGTCGTTCGCGCATGCGGACAGCTTGTGGCTGGTGCGGTGGGAGGGAAGGCTGCAGACGGGGTTGAGCGAGTGGCCGGCGGATGGGATTGAGTACATGCAGGCTGGGTTCCGGCCGTTTTTGGATCAGCTGAAGGAGGAGGGCGTGCCGATTCGCGGGTTTGTTAACTACCGTGATACGGAGTTGAGCGAGGCGGAGTGGAGCGAGCGGCTGTTTGCGGAGAATTATCCGCGCATGAAGGAGATTAAGAAGGTGGTGGATCCGCTGGGTATGTTTACGACGAATGATCAGAGTATTCCGCTGCCGTAGGTTGGTAGTGCGGGAAAGGGATTTGTAGTATACTTCAATCTTATCATTTCGCCTTGATTGCGTAGCTGAAATGACGGTGTAATGTCTTGGTTGCTGTGTCAGCGTTGGCTCCCGTTATTCTAATGATACCTCTCAATGACCTCTGTAATAATAAGATCTCCTGCAGAAATAGCGTAGCCCACTGATATATTCCTTCTCTCGTCACAGTTGTCAAGTCTACACATTTACTTCAAAGAGCACTCGTGCCACCAAAATCTTCCTTATACGCTAAACTTGTACATCCCTTTCGTAATTTTAGTCCCGCGCATCGCTCAACGAGATACGGAATAACATCCTCAGAGGCCATAAACGACGCAATACTCAGCGCAGGATCGCTAAGGCAACTATTCGTGACGAGGCCAGCCTCATTGTTCCATAACAGCTTCAGTTTCCAGATAGTCTCACGAAGCAGCGTACTGTTGTTAGCTAACTTTAAAAGGCAAGTAGTATTATATTATGGAAGGAAAAAGAGAATAAGTTGATCATTAGACTACAGGATAAACTGAATATACATACAAATGAGTGAAGCTCGAACACGCGATTAGTAGGTGACTTGCTACTTTAACACGTATATGAGAGGTGTACCTTATTAAAGCTCTTGCATATCCACCATAGAACCACCGTGATTAAGGAGTGTGTTGGCGATTTTGCCATTGCCCGATCTTCGCTGTCAGGTTTGCTGTCGAAGCTGCACAGATGAGACGACTTGTCGCGTTCAGCTCTCAGAATCAGGCTTTTTGCTGTAATCCAGCTCCGGCCCCGCCCTGAGCGGACCGGTCTTGGCATCGATCTCTGCTTTCTCCCGTGCAACTTTGGTATACGGCACCCTCAGCTTCACAAAGTGCGCCGCCTTGGCAATAGTGCCCATATTCTGCACCTTCTGATCCTTTGACCAATCTTTCATGTTCATGTACCCTATCATGAGCTGAAGCGAGTAGTCCCCTGAATAGAAAACGTCTGTGCTGTCAGTATCGCCTCCAAAGGATTTCCCAGCTTTGATGTTGCGAAACCTGGTAATGGCGTTGTTAGTGGGAAGCTATGTGATGAACCACTTTCTTTCGTAAATCTTACCACCTCATTGTTATCGTGTCGTGTATCGGCGGACCAAATCCATCGTCTTTGAGGTTTTCTACCGGTTGAACTAAGTTAGCATGAGTAGGGGGCCCTCCTGTTGCCTTTCTCTCTGCTACTGAGTGGCAAGAGGCACAGGCGGAAATGAAGTTGTCCGCTGAGATTTGGCAACGGTTAGTGTCTTCGTGAGCTCAAACGACTCACAATACTAACCAGGTCCATTTAGTCTCTCATTCCATCCCCAGACAGGGCGTTTTCCATGAAGAGAAGTTCGTAATTTTGTAGCCTTTGGATTGATCCACGACTGTTGCGGCCTCTGGCCGTTTTCGTATCTCTCCTGTGTGAGATCTGGGTCATTTCCCCACTGCAGTCCCACGGGAACGATCCTGTCCCATGGCTTTCGATTAAAGGATCAGCTATTGAATCCCTTTGGCCGCGCGAGGGGGGCTGGGGGCGGCTCACTTACATTTTTGTCGGATCGACGGCCGTCATACATGAACGTGCCAAACACCCATCCTAACGGCGCTCTGTCATCCTAGACGGCAAAGTCGACCTGAAGCAAGCGAACCTCTGAGGCTTCATCATACCGCACCCCAGGTTTGTCCGGTGATTGGGCAATGACCTTCAATTTTCATTAATCACAGCGAAAATTATCATGTTAACCAGGAAGCTCACAGCGGGGAAAGCAGGGGATCCTTTCATCGTACAAACCTCCTCATCGGTAGCGTCGGTCATGAGGACCTACGTGTTGGGTCAGCTGGAGAGCTCCTTCAAGCCATATCTCACTGGTCAAGCTTTACTTTGAACACACAACTTCCTTTTGGGAACTTTATGTCAGAATCCCACTTCGGGTTGCTCGGATCCGCCCACATTGTGCCAAACACAGTGGAGGCTGCAGAGAATTAGCCCTTTCTCATCTGGTGATTGGGGTGCGCTATAAATACCAACGCTATTGAAGAAGCCAATGGCCCATGTCTGTAGCACGCGATGCTGGTTGTCGGAGAGCTCCAGGATTGGTGTCGGACGCTCAAAGGTCAAACCGCTGAGCGGTTCTCGACCATTATCGCCGTAGTTCATCCAAGACGCATGGTACCAGTCCCACACCTGCAAATATTCGTGAATATCTCAACGTTGAAGAAACTACGCATAACGACGGTGCATTTACCTTGTTTTCGTGGACGTTGAAGTTGTTGTTGACGTTTCCCTCGAAGCAGTACTCCTTAACAATAGCACAGTATCCTCGGGGATCTTTCGTAAAGTCGACTAGAGTCCAAGGCGCATCAAGCATCGGATCTGACACCGGAGGAGGGATTGACGGATCGAGTAGACCAGGCACTCGTCCGACTTTCCTGTCGGCTGCCACATCCAGAGGTGCGGGGTAGTCGTTACGAATCTTGAATAGCGGCTTCGACCAGTTCGTAGGAGGACTGTAGAGTGAAGAGTTGTGGAACATCTCCGCCGCCGTGTTGAATGTTCCATGGCTGCTGTCTGGGGAAGAGGATGGATTTCCCCCGCCCGTTGCCACCAGCCCAGCTGCTCCGACCGAAGTGGCAGCACCACTCCCCGCCAGCAAACGACGAGACAGGCGTGGGAAATATCGCGATGCCATTCAGCGTAGTGAATAGTAGAATGACTGATAAACGGTTGAAGATGAGATACTGAATGATGGAGCGGGCAAATATAACAACAATTCGGTTCAAAGAGCAAGCGCAGTATGAGCGCTCCGGGACCCCTCTCTCCGTTTGTGGGGAGCCGCTGCCATAGATCTCTGATTGAGTTCGAAATATCCGGTGTTGAGGCAGTGCCAAGCATAATTGCATTCCAAGGGTCGCCTCCGCGCGCCAGCTGGATGAAATCCCTGGGTTTGGCCCGCATTAAAATCATTCCTTTCCACGAGCTCTGGCTCTGAAGGATTATCCCCGCGTAAGTTGCCGTTACACGATTGGCAGGGCTCCAGTAAGGGACGCAGTGGGCAGGATCATTAGCGTCGTCGAATCCCGGACAGGCCAGTCCCGTGCCAGCACTAGGTGCAGATGAGCGGGGCGCGACAGTTTTTGACAACAACTAGAAAGCCACAATACTAGTACCAAATCTTACGGAAACATTACAAAAGGGTACTCCGCTCCTTCCGGCCAATAAGACCTCCCCTTCCAGATCTCTTTTCCGGGCACTGAGGCATCGTAGATGATCCAGGCTGTATATGTTCTCTTTCTGCGTCCAGCCCTCCACGCTACCATTGAGCCTGCTACCGGATTGCTACCCACTCGGGAGGAGGCGGTACGGCTGCGGGAGGATTAAACCCAACGTAGAAAGACGCCTGCGCAGGGGATTTAAAAAAGTGCGATATATTTATCTTAGGATACATATAAGCCTCCCAAAGCCCGCCTCCGCCTTTGCGCTAGAACCCTCAATCCGCCCAGGGGTGGCCGTCGGGGCCGAGCTTCGCGCCCACGGCCACGTTCAGGAGCTTCTGGTCGACGATCTCATCGACATGGTCAAGGACCTCGTCGACATCCCAGTTCGCGGACAAGAAGGTGCCCGCCAGCCTCTCTGCGCGGGGGTCGGTGGCCAGGAAGAGCGAGAGGCCGGCGGTCAGGGCAGCCTTGTCCTTGGCGAAGGGCGTGAAGCTGGGCACGACCATGCCGCGGCCGTGCTCGGCCTCGACGAGGCCCGGGTGGACGGAGAAGACGCGCAGGGCCGGGTGCTCGAGCGCGACGAGCTCGCCGAACTTGATCTGGGCGAGCTTCGCGGCGGCGTACGACGACATGTTGGGGGCGGAGAGGAAGGCCGCGAGCGAGACGACGTTCACGACGGTGCCGGAGCCGCCGAAGAGCTTGGCGTAGAAGTGGGTCGTGAGGAAGGTTGCTTTGACGTTGGTTTCCTTGGAAACCTGGTGGTCAGCTCTAGTGCTGCGCCGACGGGGCGTTGGTGGTCGTGGATATATACATACGAAGTCCTGCCACCAGGCATTGGGACTGATGTCCTTGATCCCGGCATCGTGGTGCATGGTGCCGGCGGCGTTGACGAGGGCGTCGAGCCTGCCGTACTTTTCCTTGACGCTCGCGAAGAGGGCCTCGACGTCCTTTTCGCTCGTGACATCGGCGGCATGGACAGCAGCCTGCGGCAGGCCGCTTGCCACGTCGTTCAGCGCGTTGGCGCTGCGGCCCACAAGCACCACGGCTTTGGCTCCCGCCTGGCTCCACGCCTGGGCGACTTTCTGTCACGCGCTTGTGTCAGCCCTCGCTCGCTCGCGTCGGCGCTGCTGAACTCACGCTGCCGACGCCCCCGCCCGCGCCGGTGACGATGACGACTTTGCCGGCGGCGCTGAGGCTTGGGTTCTCGGGGTCGATGGCCGCGTAGGGGCTGCGGCGCATCGTCTTGGTAAGCTGGAAGGGCTTGGTGAAAGCGTCGGCGTCCATGTTAATGTCGTAGACGTGGCCGAGTGTCTTTGGATGGTTTGGAGAATTCTCAGTACTGCAAGCGTCTACATAAATGCTGAAGACGCTGCTCGGTATTGCGAGTGTTTACGGGATCCCTCGGTTCTCTTCGGGCTCCGTGTAGCGTCTGTCGGTCGTTGTATTGGTAATCTTGCTGCGAGTTGTTGTGACGAAGTGAATGCCTGACTCGGATCCTGGATGGCGCCATGGAAATTATCCGAGCTCAAATGCTAAACTCCTTGGAGTAAATCGCGCATCCCGCCGGAAGGTTGGATTGGGATGGGTGTAAAAATAATGATATATTCTATGCTAACTCTAACCAAACGGCGCGAGCGTGACAGGTGGGATGCATCTGCTCAGGCGGCCATCAGTGCTCTTCCATTAAGCTTCTTGTCCCCACGAACCAGCATTAGCACCGTCGCCAGGAGGGAAAGAGCACCGGCAACCACAACAAGGACGTAGACGTCGCGCATGGCCTTCACGATCCCGCTCACTATCGACGCGCGGGTAGCGGCGGAGAGACGGCCGAGATATGCGGGATCAACCCCTGCGATGATCCTAGAAACGTCTTCGCCGCTAGCCTAGGGAATAGCAGTAGCCACATCTGTGGTAGCCTTGTTCAGGAACATGGTGTTCGACACGGCCACAAGAATCAGCATGTCTACGGTCGCGTTCTCCATAATGACCACGGGTTCGTACTACCAGAGTAAACAATTCAACGCCGACCACACAGTACGTCTTCCAACTGCTCATGACGCCACAGAGCATGTTCAAAATTGGAATAGGCCGTCTCGTCCCCACAGGCGTACGCCTCATACAGCCCAGCAACACCACGCGCCGCAATCGGGAGTTCCAGACGCCATGGCTCCCAGCTCCAGCCGACGTCTTCAACCTGGCCAGTGGAAAACTCGTGAAGCAGGATTCTGACGGGACTCGAGGCCATGGTGCGTGGGGTCGTGCCGCCTTCGGCTGTGAACTTGATCTCGCCCTTTTCTCCGTGAATGGTCCACGTCAGAAAGGGCTCGCCGGGGAAAGGCTGGCCGCGACGGAAGCCGACGAGGAGAGAAGCGCCGTCCTGAATGCATTTTTCACCTTTCAACGAGGCGGTAACAAAAACAAGGTCTGGCACGTTTGACTCGATAGTCTCGACCGTCGTGCCTGTTTTTGAGGAGATGAGCCCGACTTTAGGCCGCTGCAGCTGATGTCGGCTACGGATATCATGGGCGTCCCCAAGAATAGATTGCACAAACCCCCACACTATCAATTGTTAGTGAAAGGAGTATGGAAGCGTGACGAACCCAGGAAGCGACGCTTACGGTGACCGAAAGCAATTGTGATCATGTTCCCTCCCACCTCCAGTTGAGTAAAGTATCTTAGAGGCTCGGGGATTGCATCGCGATCACTGGTACCTCCCCTTGCCTTCACCTCGGAGCTGAGAACCTTACCAATGCGGCCTTCTTCAAGAATTTCCCGTACCGCACGGAGGGGAGCAGTAACAAGCCCTTGCAGGCCGATTACAGTTCTGGACCCCCGCTCTCTAGCCAGACTAGCTAGCTCACGCACCTGCCAGATATTCGACGCAAGAGGCCATTCCACAAAGACATCCTTGCCAGCAACGATGCTGTGCTTGATGGTCTCGTAATGCTTGTCGACGCGGGTACTACACACTACGAAATCGACGTCAGCATCCCGAGCCAGGTCGTCGGGACTGCCGTATGCTCGTGTGCTGGCTGGTAGTCGGAACGCCCTGATCGCTGAGCACGCAGACTCTATGCTCGAGTTGCAGAGGGCAACGATCTTGTACTTGGTCTCGCCGCGAGGAGAGAGGAGGTAGGGTAGGTGGGCAACGCCAGCCCAGCTGCCGGGGTTTGTGGCAGATAGGCCGATGATTGCAAGCCGGATTGGAGCCATTGCTTGATGATTTCAGGAAAAGAGGCGGGCTGGATGCAGAATCAAAAATATTTTACTGGCTCTCTCGCCGACGGGCAGTTGATCGATCTTTTAGGCTAAGGCTCCCTAGGTAGTCTACTCGCGTCATAAACCTGCCAGGACCCTATCATCCGGTTCTGCATTGATCGGCAAGTAAAAGCGATTCCGAAGGCAACCGGCTTTAAGCCAAAATCCGAGGATTACTTAGACACCGATTTATTCGGCTCATTTATGCCCCGCCCCTCTATTTTAGCGCGTCAGTCGGTTGCAGTAGCGCTAAAGGCTGGTCACTTGGTTTGATGAAGGAAAATCAAAGAAAGAGCTGAGAGCTAACAGATCACTTTGATGCATTCGGACCGTCCTCGATCTGGTGCGCGACTTCGGAACGCCGCCAACATGAAGATTTCTACCCATGAGCTCCACGTCACCGCCAGGCGGTCAGGATAAATTTGTTGACAGCATATCTTTATCCACCACAAATCCAGATTTTCGCATTCTACAAGTTCTACACGTTCTACAGTCAACCAGGCCGACAATCTGTCAACATGAGCTCCATCGGAATCATCTGGACCTACCCTTTCAACCCCCGGGCTATGAAGGTGCAATGATCTTCATCCAGCCTATCCCTCTCTCGACCCTGTTTCGACTGACCCCAGAGCAGATTGAGGCCGCAGCAGCCCTCAATGGACGGACGGTCGACTATGTTCCGAACTTCGTCATCGGGCAAACGAACAAAACCCCCGAGTTCCTCGCCGATTTTCCCATGGGCAGGATTCCGACGTTTCGGTCTGCAAGTGGCCTCACGCTTTTCGAGTCGGACGCCATCGCCCAGTACGCCGCCGAAAGCGGCCCCGCCAGTGCCCAGTTGCTGGGTGTCACTGCGGAGCAGCGCGCCGTCATTCGACAGTGGATCGGGTTCGCCGACCACGAGCTGTTTGAGCCCCTCACCACCTTGATTCTCTGGCGCTACGGAATGGCTCCATTCAACGAAGAGGCGGAGAAGTCCGCGTTCCAGAGACTCAGCGTCTCCCTCGAGGTTCTGGAGGAGCAGCTGCAGAGTCGTCAGTACATCTGTTCGGAGCGGTTGAGTCTGGCGGATATCTCTGTTGCCGCGGGCCTATACTGGGGTTTTGCCCAGGTCATCGATCGGGAACTCAGGGCCAAGTACAGTCAAACTACGGAGTGGTATCTGCGAGTGATTCAAGATGGACGTATCAGGTCTGCCTTTGGCGAGAAGAACTTCATCGAAGTCAGGAAAATTAGTCCCAGACAGTAGCTGCGAGGCAATGTAGTCGGATCACTCACGTTGGCTGTTATGAGGTAACTTAAGAAATGCATCAATACAAGAGAACTCCTGGGTCGAATGTGGATGATACGTGTTTATTGCGCCTGAACCAAGCTTCCTCGAATATCAAGTGCTATGACGAGATGCGTAACGCATGTCTTTATGCAGTTCTTGAGAAAGGACGGCACTACCAAACGGCGATTATCCATCGTATCCTCCATGTAAGATATGAGGCCACAACAGAAAGTTCAGATAAAATCTCGCAAGTTACGTCATGAAGCCCAAGGAAACTAGCATTTCTGATCTGTACCGAGTGATTTATCAGCAACTGGAAGCTTCCGACGTTGGGCTACGGTATATAGTCCTTCTAGAAAGCTCTGCCGGTACTTTGCTCTGTTTCATCTAGCGGTAGGGACTGCAGGTTACCACCATCCTTTTCCGAAAGCACTCTATCCTCTTTTTCAACGCGCATCCACGGTCCGCCTCCTCTATCCGGGCGACATGTCGATCATTGTCGGTATCGCTGGTCTCACCAGCAAGTTCGCCCAGTGCGTGGTGAAAGAACTGCAGGCGTATCCGGATGTGACTGTCAAGGGGTTCTGCAGGAGCCCGCAGAAGCTGTCACAGAAAGCTCTCGCAAAGTACAAAGTCGAGGTCATTCAGGGCGAGTTCGACGACGAGGTGGCCGTCCAAAGGTTCGTCCGAGGAACCGACATCGTCATCTGCTGCTACTTTGGCGACCCCGACGTGATGACCCGAGGCCAGAAGATCTTGGTCGATGCTTGCGCTAAGGAGGGTGTCCCGCGATACCTGCCCAGCGACTTTGCCGTCGACTACACCAAAATTCCTGCCCATGAGTTGTTCCCTAAAGAGTCATGCAGGGTAATCAAGAACTATTTGGTGGAGAAGAAGGTCTCAGGAGTGCACGTTCTGGTTGGCGGTTTGATTGAGACTTTCTGGAGCGGATTTTTCCAAATCTACGACGCTGAAACCAAAACGATCGCATACTGGGGCACGGGCGATGAGAAGTGGGATCTGACGACATACGAGACCGCTGCCGCCTATACTGCAGCTCTGGCAGTCGACAAGAGCGCCGTTGGAGTCTTCCGGTGTAAGTTGAACTTATCCAACACAGCCTCCCATGGTGGACTCGTCTGACAGGACAGGAATAGTCCGGGGCGATTGCAAAAGCATCTCGGAAATTAAGAGAATTTACGAGAAGATCTATCAGTCCCCGCTGCACCTCAAACGCCTCGGATCCCTGGATGATCTCTACAGTACCGTCAAGAACAGGTTCGAAACGGACCCGAACGATGCCATGGCCTGGGCTCCTGGGTAGGCTTTTCCAGTGACTCGCCTTCGCCCGAGCATGCACTAACAGCCATTCTCAGATGTTTCGCTTACTGGTGCACAAACGGTGTTGCAAGCCTCGGCGATGACCTCGACAATGAAAAGTACCCTAACATCGTTCCAGTCAACATGGAAGATTTCTTGAAGACCCACAAGGAGGAGGAAATTGCGATTGCGGATCAGTATCTTGGTTTCTAACTTCATCAGTCTTGATAAAGCGGTCAGTAGTCCAAGCAGTGAAGTTGCGCCAGTACCATGCAAACCCGCTGTAGGATTTGTTTCGTTCGGGAAGCCTGGCGTCATAAGGGGGGCATGGACTAGAAAATTAGCTTACAAAGATAGAAATTCAATCTCCGAAGTGGTCCTTGGAGCCTTTATGACTTGTGATCGGTGACTAGTAATGTTTTCTCTAAGCAGATTTCGGTTCGCGCCTTGCTCGCCCGAAGTGACGCCTCCGGAGTGGCCTACCAGAGGCTTGCCAACCAAGTCAGAGGTGTGCACAGAATTGCGTCACGTCACAACGATAGCCAATAACCGACCGTGTAAATATCTTTCTTACCTTCTTAAGTGAATCAAATGGAATATTAATGCACGCTTATGGATAAATCTCAATTAGCACCATTAACTGCAGCCGACACAAGTTGGTGGGGTGACCTTTGGGCTACAGAGCTGTGGAGGCTGTCTCGTAAAAGGAATTTCATGCTTGCTTCTGATCGGGTAGTAATATATTTGGACCGGCAGCTACGGAATGGCGGATCATGTAACATTATATCATCCAACGATCGTGAGATAAATACGGACGAAAGTACGTGCATGGAAAGCTTTTGTTCGGACAGCACGGAATAATCCTCAGAGCCAAGCTAACATTGCACCACTTCAAAGAGTGACAATAATCTTTTTGGCGGAGACACCTTTGCGCTGCACGTCAAGAGCGTTCTGAATGTTCTCCAGGCCGTGACCAGTCACGGAGGGATCAGGCTTAGCCTGGAACGACCCGTTGGCCAGGGCTTCGGGAATGAACTTCTTCCAGATCCATTCGCCAATGTGCTGGTTGGGCTCTTGGACGATAGCAAAGGCAACGACTGTACCACAGTGTTAGCATCTCTTCCACGAGCAATTTTCGCAGCCCGGTCAATGCTCACCGTAAACAGGTGCGAATCGCTCGGTGCTCTTATTGCTGGGGAGGACGGCAGCAACGGGAACTCTCTTGCTGAGACGGTCAAGAATAGCAGACACGGCATCGAAGCTGGGATCTTCGCCAATGGCATCGTACACACCAACGAAATCGGTCTCGGTGAGAGTGTTGGCGATATCCTCAACCACAGTGGGGGACCTGTAGTCGAAGACGAAGTCGGCACCAAGCGACTTGACAAACTCGTGGTTGGCGGGGGAAGCCGTGGTGATGATAGTGGCGCCCGAGGCGGCTGCGAGCTGAATGGCCGTCGCACCAACGGAGGATGCACCGCCCCAGATCAAAACTGTCTTGCCGTTCTTCTCGGGCTTAGTAGCCGATGGCAGAGGCAGGTTGAGAAGGTCCTTGGGGTACAGGCCGGCGCAGGCAGTCGAGACAGCGAGGGGGAGAACAACAGCCTGCTCAAAACTCATCGAATCCGGGATTGGGGACACCAAGGAATCGGTAACGACCGTGTAAGTTTGAAAAGCGGAGTTGGCAGGGTTTCCCGTCATCAGGCCATGGCAGTGCCTATTTGTGACGTAAGTAGAGGCAATTAGTCCTGGAAAGGAGGACTTACGCCATGACCCTGTCTCCCTCCTTGAACCGGGTCACACTGGTGCCAACATGCTCCACCAACCCAGCGGCATCCTCGCCAAGGATGAAAGGGTACCGAGACAAATACCTTCCGTAAGCCCTCCACGGCATTAGCGTCATCGAGGCACCGAGGCAGGGCCGAGGACATACTGAATCTTCCAGTCGACGGGGTTCTAGCACAGTCAATCATGGAGGAATTTTCAGAGCGATAGCAACAGGGGGAAACTAACGATGGAGACGGCGGCATTCTTGATGACAATCTCTCCAATGCCTGCAGTTGGTTTAGGGGCCTCCTTAATGGTGAAGGGATGCTCCGAGGGCGAAAGGAGCCAGGCAGCTTCGTTCTGAATCATCGCGATGGAGATTTTCACGTCCAGGTGTGAAGGACTGGAGATGATTGTAGGAGCCTACGGGGTATTTATAAAGGATGCATAGGAGCCTGAAAGCTGTCTTACTAATTCTAAAGACATCAAATCTGTTTTTCTTGCATCAAGACAAAACGCAGGAGTACCAGCACCCGGAAAAGAGTGAAGCACTGTCGGCTTAGGCGGCACACACGGCTCGCCATATGACGGTGCAACCCACCACCTATCTCGCAGCTATGACGTTAAAACCGCTAAGTCCGATGCTTTCCAACGGTTTTCGGTCCTTGTAAGGCCGACATGTGATGATGAGTAATGAGGCTTAGGACTGTCTTATAATAATATCTATGTACTCCTCGCCATCTACACTCTCCCACCCTCCTTCTCTTTCGACGGTGGGCAATGTACCAGTCCTCGCTTACCCTGACGACCGGAGCGGGCGGGGAGAAGCCGTTCCCCAACTGGTCGCTGGTCGCCGGCTATCTGATTGGCCTTCAGGGCCTGACACGCAATTTATCTCTCGACCTAAAGCCCATCCGTGTCAGCTTGGTAAGCCCTGGAGTGGTCAACACCCCTCTCCACGGTCTGGGTGGTGTGTCTGATGAAATGAAAAAGTACACGGCTTTGGGCAAAGTTGGGACTCCAGAAGAGGTTGCGGAGGCCTAGCTCTACTTTATGAAGGACACGAACGTTACTGGCAGCTGCATCAGCACCAATGGTGGTGCTATCCTACTCTAAGCGGCTAGATAAGTTGACCAGCTAGCATTCATAATGGAGGGAAACTTGATGGACTCTGTCAATCAATATTTCCGACTCCGCTTGCCTTGGATTTTGTGAATATGACGTACTTTCGTTGTCTGAAATTTACCATTGAGGGATGGATGCTTCCTTTCTAGCGCTCTCTACGCCTGGAGATAGCTAGCCTGCGGAGATACGTCGCCCCGCGGTCGGACTTAGTGTTAATTTGGGAAAATCTCTTCAGCCATCATCTTCAAGACCTACGGCACTGGCCTGATTACCAAGACACGCTTCAAGCATCGTGTTAATTTCAATTACCTCCAATTTCCAAGGCGAGGAAGAAACTCGGCTACTCCTTGGACGAATAAGATGCCACCTGACCCAGCCCAGCCGCCTGCCCCAATCGACCGATTGATTACGCCTCGCTCTCTGATACCCATCCAGCGTATGCCTCAGCAGGCGCATGCAGGTTCGGGCAACGATTGGACAGGAATCACTGATCCAAAGGTGAGGAAGAGACTACAGGATCGGATCCATCAGAAGAGAAGACGTTGGTCCACCCTTCGCTCTAGTCAATAGTCTGCACTGACCATGGTACGCGCATAACAGGTGAGCGGCAGAAAGCACGAATGACCCTCTCGGCAGCCACAGGCCCTCAGGCCGCGACTCTCCTGCAGCAGGAGGAGCTTCCCCACGCCTCTTGCTATAACGCGCAGCAGGGCGTCATGGTTGCAGCGCCGCAAGCCCTGCCGCTGCACATCGCCTCCTTCACCGCCTGCGAGCCCGACTCGGAGCGCACCGAGCAGTTCATGCAGCAGTTCGCGGCCGACGCGCAGCGGGCACTCGACCACCACCTCCGGCTCCATCAGCAGCAGCAACAGGGGGGCTCGTCGTCGTCGCCGCCGTCGCCGCGAGCGGACCTGCTGCTCAGCCTGGTCCGGTTCAACACGACGCGGGCGATCGTGCTGAACGCACGGGCTATGGGCATCACGGCGGCGCTGATGATGGCACCCGAGTCGCGCTCGCTGCTGCCGTCGCTGCCGACCACCACCGCCGCCGAGGGCGCCGCCGCCGACCTTTCTTCTGCTGCCTCGGTCCTGCCGCTGCTGCTGCCGCCGAGCCTGCGGCCCACGGCATTGCAGCTCTCCGTCAGCCACCACCCCTGGGTCGACGTCCTGCCGCTGCCCGAGCTCCGGGACAACCTGTTGCGCCGCGACGAGAGCACCTACGACAAGAAGGAGCTGTGTCGCGATCTCAGGGGGTTTCAGGCCGTCGAGGATGGTCGCTACGGTGGCATGGTCGTGTGGGGAGAGGCGTGGGATCCGCGCGGCTGGGAGGTGACGGATGCGTTTGCGGAGAAGTGGCCGTGGGTGGTTGAGGGGTGCCACGCGTTGTGGGAGTCAACGGCGCATTGGCGAGCCGTACGGAGCGCGTCACTCTAGATGCGTGCTACTTCCCGAAATGGAACTAGTATCTTCATTGTGGAAGAAGCCGGGCGAACGATTCCGTTGTCGTTGGCCGAGAGATCGCTGTTGTCAACGATCTTGAGTTCGGGGACCGCATATGCGTCAGTGCTCAATGCCAGAGCTTTTTGTCGGAGCTGATGACCGTTTTGGCGCCCAAAAAGGTCATTGTTATTGTAATATGCTTTGGCGCTAATGCAACCCACTGACGCGCTAAATGAAGATCATGCATCGCGTCATGTGGCGTCAGCCGTTGAAGCACGTCCCCTTTGGGTAACCTAAGCAATCAGCTCAGTCCTCGGAATTTAGCATTCTTCGCTTGATTTCGATAAGAGAAGGAGCAGATAACCGGGACGCGGCAGTATCTTTAAACGAAGACCGAAAACTAGGAAAATAACCCTCCCGCTATTGGCAAAAGTCTCTCGCATAGAACCAGTCTACTACGTACCAGTATCAATTCTCTCATAACCACCTCCACTGACAGCGCTTACAGCATCGACCGACTCTCCATCTTCGAACGTTCTGAGTGGAATTGTCTCTACCCAAGAAGCAACAGCCATAGCCAGATTGTTGCATTCCATTCAGTAGCACTGAAACTCATTTGTCGGCTTTGGGACGCTTCATGCCGTGCCAGATGAAGCTTTGTCAGCCCATCGCAATGATTGAGTGCGTGCGCCTGAGATCTGTTGCCAAGGGTTGAAAAACAAACTTCGAAAAAAGAGTAAAATTCAGCTCCCATTTCTGCATGGTCTTTAGCAGTGTGTGCTAGTCAGCCAGTGCTTCAGTAATAATATCAGTAACACCACTTCATCAATCAATTTGATAGTTTGGTGAGCGGTTATTCAATATTCGCTGAATTCAGCCTTTTTACGTTGGCGGTATGGAGTGCGGGGTACCTCAAATAATAGTCAGCACTCATTGTATGCGAGGTCGAGGATGAGGCTGAGCTGTTCATCTGATAGGAATTTGCTAAGCTCATAGTATCTTAATTGTCATTGTCTCTCACAGCTGCTCTGCCTTTCCCCCCGTCCTGCAGAGCATTTTGTTGCAGCCTGGTCTTCACCGGTGTGATGATACGTAATACGTGGCACTGCCACGGTGGTAGCCTACAGATCCCTGCACCGCCGCAGTATAATGCCCCGCTCCCCTCACTCGTCTTCTTTAACGACACTCAAGTCTTGTCCTGGATCGTTTCAATTCACGCTTCTTGGCTGGATGCTATCTTTTTCTACTTACGGCCTTCTACCTTCTTCGCTACGTTACTCAACTCAGTCAATACCTTTGTCGCGCGATGAAGCAAGTTATTCCTATCAAGGCAATCAGAGAGCACGTTTCCCTTGCGAAAGATCGCACAACCGTTTTCCTCGACAATCACCGCGTACCGATAGCATTTACCCCGCGCCACCGCCAGTCTACAGTTTTACCGTTCAATTCACGACTGTGTCCGGACTGCCAACGATGGGACAACCCCACGATCATCTTCAAACCCACCTTCGAGCCTACTATCATGTCACTGGAAAGAATCTTGTTGAACAAAGAATGTATCACCTGCCGAGTAATTGGCTTCGTAATTCTGGACAAGCTGCACGCAATTGATCAAGACTTCCATGCGGTGTCAAGTATCAGAGCACACATGGGCTCTACTTTCCTTCTGCAAGATGTGCAAATCCTTGATCCACATGGGAAGCAACAACACATTCTTGAACTTGTCAGGCGAGGGAATTCCATCAGATGTATTCTTTATCTTCAGATACAGGATATCAGGACGGACCCCGAACCACGTCTCTCAGTACTGTCGTCGCATTTGCTTTCTTCTCCAAGCATGGGCGTCCAGCTTTCATTGTCATATCAGAGTGACCCAACTCGCTTAACTCAAGTAAAAACGTGGGACACGCCATTCTTCAATACACAACTTGTAAAGACATGGGTAGCCGAATGCAAGCATCATCACGGAGGCTGCAAAAACTTTGAAGCGGCCATGGCGCCCGGGTTTCGACTTATCGACATCGAGAAGCTCTGTATTACCGAGCCTCCGAGCCTACCGTCGTTTGTTGCACTGAGTTACATGTGGAACAGCTCCCTTGGTGGAAAAGACTTACAATTATGCCAGGCCAATCTTCAGCATCTGCAGGTTCCTGGTGGAATTAATGTATGGGCACTACCCGACGTGGTAGCAGACGCTGTGAGGCTTTGCGGAGACCTTGGGGAAAGATATCTCTGGGTCGACAGGTTATGCATCGTTCAGGACGACAGTGCCACGAAGCATGCCCAAATAAATGCCATGGGTTCAATTTATGGCATGGCTTCCCTGACAATAGTTGCTGCAACAGGCTCCGCTCAGGACATTGGTCTTCCAGGAGTGTGTGGGAGGCCAAGGAAAGCATTCATACTCAACGACACACGACTGTTCAACTGGAGATCGGAAAAGGTGGAAATTAATCCCTGTGTTACTGTCGACGAATCTGCGTGGAATACAAGAGGCTGGACATTTCAGGAACGGATTCTGTCATTACGATGTCTTTATATCACAGACTTTCAGGTCTACTTCAGTTGTCCCAGGGTCTTGTTTCAAGAAGAAAAGGGTGCCGTATTTAAGAGAGATAATGATAAATGGGACAGAAGGTATCCACCCTTAAAGCCTATACGTCAATGGATCGTCAAGAGGAATGGGCTGAATGTATACTTCAACTATGTCTCTCAGTATACGACCCGAAATCTCTCGTACCAAACCGACATACTGAACGCATTTGCTGGCGTTAGTCACATACTATCTGTCCAATTTGGAACCAGATTTTTCTTCGGCCTCCCGGAGAAATATTTCACGCAAGCATTAATCTGGTCTAACCCGGGTTATGAAGTACGAAGGTCGGGCGTTCCAGAAATTCCCAGTTGGAGTTGGGCGGCATGGTCAGGACGTACCCACTTCTTCAATCTCTACTCCGAGAGGTGGCCTATTGATGAAAAGTCTACCGGTGTACTAGTCAAACCTCACATACAGGATCCCAAGGACGACCTCCAGCCTCTAGCCGTTAAGGAAACATGGTTTGGGGAGCAGGAGGGCGTGTTTCCAGACCAGCAACGAGCCCGCTTAGACCAATATGGCTTCAACGAGTGGAAGTACATGCCAACAAGATCCGAAACAAACTCAGTATGGAAGAGCTGCATGCAGAATCCCTGGGAATTATATCGGCACACAAAGCTTGATCCAGAAGCTTGTAGACTCGCACACAACTATCCTGGATGCCTGGTATTTAATACGACTGCAGCCACTCTATGTTTGAAGAAACCTCCTCCCGACAGGCAAGACAGTACTAGAGTTCTCGATGAGCAGCCTCAATTGCGTTTACATCTGTGTGATGAACAGCGTCGCGATATCGGCTGTATGACCATAGGTGAGCAGTGGGCGAAACAGATGATTGATATGGAGGAGAAACACTCTTTTATCGTTCTATGTGCGGGACTACTCCCAACTTCTGAAAGAAGGCGTCTTCTGTCTAGCCGTCCTCTGTACTCTGGTTTGCAAGTGGAGAGTCCTTGGCTCCTTATGGTTATGCTTATTCAGCGGGATGGTGGTGTCGCTCGTCGCCTCGGCCTAGGGTACGTTGAGGCGAGACTCTGGGGTACCGTGGACCCAAAGTGGGAAACTGTAGTTCTGACATAGTGCCACGCGCTGGGCTAATTGATTGCGCTGAATTCAAGCCAGTGAGGGACAGGCCGCCCTCTGCTGTCACCAAGTCTCTCTTTAGAACAAATCAACGAAATACTCGCATGGCCGTTTCCAAAAAGGCTTTAATTTCTGCAAAGATCTATAAACAGTGAAGCAATTGACTTTGAAGGCTTCGAGGGGCTCACCTCTCAGACCTTTCACGACGGCTGGCTTGTGGGTGAGCTACGGAATATAGACACGGATCGCTAGCTACATTGGAAAACTACGGACCCGACGAATACCTTGGAAAAGTGGACGCTGTTTTGGAATGGCCGCTACTTCTTGCTTTCCTAACATCCGAGCAGCCTGCTCACGGACAGAACTGCTTACGCTCGAGTAGTTAAGTTCATCCCCACTCTTGCTCTATTTTTGCCGCTGTGCTCAGTCAGGGCTTAGTGATACCAGGATCTCTACTTTAACTTCTGGGTTGTTATTGCGCAAGGATCTCATCGAACTTTTAGACAAATCAACGGTCGCTTTGCCTACCCATGGATTTACTTTCGTCTTGTTCGCCGCTTCCGCAGAGCCCTACCGCCTTGGCAATGTCCATACCGGGAGATCACCACAATCAAACCCATCTTCAAACCGAAAACGGCTCTCATATGCAAGGATTCAAGAGCACGCCTTGCAAAAAGATAAAGTAGTGCTGACATCGCATATGTAGCGTCGTCCATACCCTGTAACAAAGACGTGGCCATCATCACTCCACCTCGGCGATCCATTGATGTTGCGGGTACCTTACCCAGACGCGTAAGGCGGGGAAAAGTAGATCTGGAAATACAGCGAATAGAGTGCCAGGATCAGACGCGGCAAATCAATAGCATAGTGCAGCAGAAATCGTTCCCTATTTGGGTAACCATCCCGGCTTAAGCAGCGGCTAAAACAATCATGACCATGGGGGCCAAACCGAATCCTTGTCCAGTTCACGTCGCGACACATACAACTATTTAATCAGACAAGCAAAAGTTTTGCTGTGATTAGCCTTCATCATTTCGGTCGCAGCTTTTGCACTGGATTCCATCTCAATTGCTCCCCGCAGCCATGGAAGAAAAGAACGACAGTCCGGTGCGCAACAAGCAGGCCATCAACGTGGCGCTGCTCTCCCAAGAAGAGGCCGACCAGCTGCGGTCCCAAGCCCTCAGTTCTGACCGGGCAACCCTTCCAGCAGGGTACTACTCCAGCATCCGCATCGTGGGGACATTCGTGGGCATCGCGATATCCCTCGTCGCCACCTACTTCGCGTACCAAGCGGGGGCGTCGGTGATCATCAGCATCAACAACGACATTGGTCCGAGCGAGAACTCATCCCTCTTCGCCATCGTGTGGAGCGCGGCGCAGCCCATCTCTGTCCTGCTGTTCGGGTCCCTGTCCGACCGCTTTGGCCGGCGCAACTGGGCGCTGGCCGCAATGATCCTCGGCATCGTGGGCGGCGCCGTAGCCGCCACCGCGAAGACGATGAACACGCTGATCGGCGCTATGGTCTTGCTGGGTCTGGCATCTGGCGTGCCGGCGTCGTACCCGCTGCTGACTGGGGAGTTGGCGACCAACAAAGGCAAGTTCCTGGCCACTGTGACCGTCGTCGTGCCGAACATCATTGCGACCGGGTTCGGTCCGTACATTGGACAGCGGCTTGTGGTCTACGCTACGTGGAGGTGGATATTCTACATCTACATCATCATAATGGGTAAGTAAATCCTTTCAATCTGCTTTTGGTTCCCGCTGACTCTCTTTGCAGTCCCCGCCACCGTTTGCTTTTACCTCTGGTATCACCCACCGACGTTCGTGCAGCTCCACGGCCACAACTTCAGGCGCTGGGACGCATTCAAGCGCATTGACTTCGTGGGTGTATTTCTATTGACGGCAGGTTTGACACTGTTCCTCCTGGGCGTCTCCTGGGGCGGCACGACGACGGCGCTGACCTGGGACTCTCCACGCATCCTCGGGCTCCTGATCTCGGGAATCCTATGCTGCATCGCCTTCGTCCTCTATGAGTGCTTCGTCCCCGCATTTCCCATTGTTCCGATGCGCTTTTTCCGAGACGTACGTGGCTTTGCTTGCATCAATGTCATGTCGGCCGTATTCGGCTGCATCAACATTGCCGTCTTCATCCTCTGGCCTTCGCAAGTGATCCACATTTTTGGAAGCACCGGCAGCTGGGAGCAGACAGCATGGATGAGCTGCACGGTCAACTTCGGGATATGGACGGGCATTATCATCGTGGGACCGCTGTACCATATCATCAAGCACATCCGATGGCAGCTTGTTGTCGCCACTGCGTGGATGTCCATCTTCCTTGGCGTTCTCACGACGGCCAACAGTGGACAGCGTGCTGCTGCCATCGCCGTCTCATTTCTTTCCTGCTTACCCATCGGCTGGGGTGAGGTTGTCACCATGCTGCTCGTGCAGTACCTCGTCGACGATAAAGATCTGGGCGCCGCTTTCGGTACGTATGACTCGTGCCTATCTCCCCTTGACTCGACGCACATCCTATTTTGCGCCAGCCCCTTCATTCCATTTAGGATGCTAATAGATAGTAGCGGTGACTTCGGCCAATCGTACCATCCTTGGCTGCATTTTCACATCCGTCTTCTCTGCCATTCTCACCAACAAACTCCCACAACAATTATCCTCGAAGCTGGTTCCAAACGCCATCGCGGCAGGACTACCTGAATCTTCGGTTCCGGGTGTTCTCGCCGCCGTTGCCGCAGGGAATGACACCGCTCTCAGCCTGGTGCCCGGCATGAATGACCCGGCTGTTTTGAAAGCCGTGAATGAAGGGGCAAGCAATGCCTGGGCGGGCTCGTATGCCTATGTTTACTACTGCGCCTTAGCCCTTGGGCTGTGTTCCGTCATTGCTGCCTTCTTCACGAGGGATATGGATAAGTATCTGACGGGGCATATTTCGCGACAGATCTACACGAAGGATGAGGGAGCTGTAGATGTGCTGGAGAAGGTGGAAAACTCTTAGTGCTCGTTCAAGCGTAGTTTCCTCAACGGAGGTTTATTCAAATTTTCATTTGAACTGTCAAAAAGAACTATAGAGGAGTCAAGGCCAGGGTTCCAAGTCCTTTTGAGTGTTGCGGAACGGGTCGTCGGCGTTTTCCCCCCCGCTCTCGGCCGAGAGCAGTAACGCCGAGCACTGCAGCGTTTCCGGTGCGGGGCATGCGCTCGTAATATGCACCTACTAGGTTTCAGTGTAGATCAGATGCTCGTTACGTGTAGTAGAAGGGTTGATCGACTGTCTCATCTGCATTGTTTACACTCGGACCCGGATGTCATCGAAGCCGGACGTATTTTCGAGATTTTTGCCATAGGGGAAGAAATATATAAAGCTTTCAGAGCGATATGGTTTGCGCCACTTCACAATAAGCTTAAATCGTTTCCGCAAGCTACTAAGCCATCATGGAGCCACATCCGGCGTTGTCCACCAAGTCAGTCGTTGGCTATATACAGCCTTCAACTTTGGCCGCACTCTTTTTCAGCTATGTTCTAATCACCATTATCTACCGCATCTTTTTTCATCCGCTTCACCGCATTCCTGGTCCTTTCCCGGCAAAATTCACGGAACTATGGCGAACTCGCAAATACCTGGCCGGGAACTGGCATTCGGACATCCTCGAGCTGCACCGCAAGTACGGGCCCGTGGTGCGCATCTCTCCGAACGAAGTAAGCTTCGTCGACAAAGAAGCTCTCGCCCAGGTCTATGGCTACACCAAATCAGCGAAGAAGGTACTGCTTCTTTATGCTCACTCCATCTCGTCGCCAAGCCACTGACACTTTCGCCCAACAGACCAGCTGGTATGATACGTGGAAGGTTCCCGGTGCAGACACCTCTTTCTTCAACGAGACCGACCCCCGCCACCACTCTTTCCTCCGCAAGCGCGTCTCGGCAACCTACTCAATGACGGGCATCCTGCAAATGGAAAAGGGCATCCAAGGCGTCTCCGACCTGCTGTGGAAGCGCTTCCGCGAATTCTCGCGCAGCGGCGTCGTCGTCGGGCTGCACGACTGGGTGCCGTACTTCGCCTTCGACGTGGTGGGCCAGGTGGCGCTGGGCGGGCCGATCGGCTTCATCGAGGCCAGCAGCGACCGCGAAGGCATCATCCCGGCCGTGCACAGCTACTTCTTCCTCGCCTCCAACATCGGCTACCTGCCCGGCCAGACGCGCGCCTTCTTCAACCCGGCCGTGCAGACCGTCCTCGGCCTGCTGGGCGACAACGGCGATGGCGTCAACTACCTCAACGCCTGGATGTCGAACCAGATGCGCCTCCGCCGCGAGCGCGGTCCGCCCAAGGACGGCGAGAAGGGCGATATGCTGGATCACTTCATCGCTATGAAGAGTACGGATGGAAGCCCGGCGCCCGACAGCGCCGTGCTGGCTGAGATGGGCAACATCATTGGTGCTGGCGCTGACACGACGGCCATCGGCATCCGCTCTGTCATTGGCCAGCTGATGCTGCATGAGGACTCGTACAAGCGGGTCCAGGAAGAGGTTGACGAGGCGTATCGGCTTCACGGTTTCTCGGATGAGCCTGGTTCTGGTGGCATTCCGTTCTCTGTTGCGGAGAAGCTGCCTTTCTTGAACGCGTGTGTCAGGGAGGCCTTGAGGCTGCACCCCAGCATCCTGTATCAGCTGCCGAGAGAGACGCCCCCGCAGGGTCTCACTATCAAAGACTACTACATCCCTGCTGGCACGACTGTCAGTATGAGCCCGTTGTCTCATAACCGATGCCCTGAAATCTTTGGGGAGGATGCGGATGCCTGGCGCCCTGAGAGATGGATTGCTGGAGAGGGTTCGACTGAGCAGCGTGTGAGGGAAATGAACAAGTTTGACACCACTGTAAGTCACCATCCACAGCAGCAACTCTGCAGATACTAATGTTGAATTGTTCAGTTTGGCTACGGCTCGCGCACTTGTGTGGGCAAGAATCTGGCTTTGGTTGAGATTCACAAATTCACCGCCCAGTTGCTGCATCAGTTTGATGTGGAGCTCGTGAACAAAGAAAGACCGTGGGTCTTGAAGTCCATGTGGTTTTCCGATCAAGGTGAAATGTTCGTGAGGATCAAGGAGAGAAAGTGATTGGAGCGCATAGATATGGAGTGGAAGTGAAGTCAAACTAAGCGATATCTGTTACGGTAAGAGGTTCGTACGCACGGAACACATCGTTAGGGATATCGTTCTGCCGAAGTCGTCATTCAAGTTCGTTCTCTTGTTTCTCATTTTCCTCCTTACCAATTTCTTCTTGTAAATAGAACTATGTCGATTGCCAATTTATTTCGTTTCCTTAACTGTCTATGAAATCGATATCTATAAACTTGAAGCGATATAGTCCAACAGAACCTAAGCCTCAAACTCCCGTAGTTCGCGAACGATGTCCGCAGAATACAACCACGCCAGCTCGCCATCACCACTGCTCTGCCACATTTCTCCGTCCTTCAACTTCGCCCGTTCCTCAGCCGGGAGGCGCGTATTGTTCAACTGAAGCGTCAGCACAATAACCTTATCAACCCTCTGCTGCCTGTACCTCTGCCACCTCGCCACCTCCTTCAACCACTCCTCCCTTCCCGCCCCCTCAAAGCCCCCCACCAACTCCGCAAACGTCACCGCATCCTCCAGCGCCTGACTGGCACCCTGCCCCGCAGTCGGCGGAATCGCATGCGCCGCATCCCCCAACACAACCACACGCCCCGCCCCCTCCTCCCTCGCCGACGCCCAGCTCTCCAACTTCGGCACAAAGTAAAACGGCCAGATCCCCAGCGTCTGCAGCGGAATATCCTCCAGCGCCTTCCTCGGCGTCACCGACCACTTGCCCTCCGCATCTGCCTGCAGCAAGCCCGCCAACTTCTCCTTATCCGCCGCCAGCGCCTCCCACCCCGCACGGTCCTGCTCGGGGAACGCGATCTGCGTGCCAGCCAGCAGCTCGGACACGCCGTCGGGCGTCTGCGGCGCCATGACGAACGCGCCGCCGGCCCCGTGGATGGAGAACGGGGCCGGATAGTCGTCCGGCAGCCCCGCCCGCGCGCGGGGCGTCGCGAACGTCACGGCGACGCGGCCGCCGTACGTGGCCGCCGTGCCGGGCGCGACGTGGTGCTGGCGGACCTTGGAGTGGATGCCGTCGGCGCCGACGAGGAGGGACGCCGTGCGCGTGCCGAGGCCATTGGCGAGCTCGAAGGTGACGACGCCGGTGGTGGGGTCCTCGGATGTGATGTGGGAGAACTTGTGGGAGTAGTGGATGGGGATGGCGGCGGCGCGGGCGGCGGCGCGGAGGGCGAGGAGCAGCGTTTGCCGGTAGACGCGCAGGCAGTCGTAGCCGTATTGCGCGGCGCTGCCGAGGTAGTACGAGTCGGTTGTTTCTTCTTTCTCGTTTTTGAACTCGACCGTTTGGAAGTTGAAGCCTTGGGAGCGGATGCGGGCGTACACGCCGAGGTTGTCGAGGATGCGGAGGGAGTTGGGGGAGAGCATCAATGCGCCGGGAGTGGTGGCATCCTCGGGGCGGGCTTCGTAGATGACGCAATTGATTCCTCTTTGGTGGAGTGAGAGGGCCAGTGTGAGGCTGGCGAGTCCGCCTCCAATGATGGCAATGTTGGACTTGATTGGTGAAGACATTTTTTTGATATGGTGAGAAGGTGTTTAGGAAGAATGCTGGGAAAAGCTTTGGTTGATGGCCGTAGTTTTCAGCTGGGGAGAGTTAGGTCTTATATCACCTCCCAGCCACTCTCTAGATATGCAATGCAACCATTTAACCGCCGTTCTGGACCTTCATCCTTCTGCTTACATGCTTTGAGTTGTGGCGTGCACTGCCCTGTATGCCAAACTTGGCACACCCCTAACCGGTTAGCGTCGTCGTCCGGATCCGAGTGGTGGTCGGATCCGACGCTTTCGGATCCGGAACTTCATGTATATAGGAACCACGGTTTTCACTGTCAGATAAACATCATCCAACACAGACACTCCATTTTACAGAACTCTTATCCAATACCTAGCCATGCATTTCTACATTCTCGGAGGAAACGGCCGTTCTGGCCAGCTGGTCATTGACGATGCGCTGCAAAGAGGTAAGCCCCCTCACGATTTCGGTGCAAGCAGCAATATTTAACATCTCAAAGGACATACCGTAACTGCTCTCGTCCGTAATCCCGGTTCACTTCAGCCACGAAAAGGCCTTACTGTCGCCAAAGGTAATAAATTATTGTCTCACGATGTTTGACGACCCCGCTAATGAATTTGCAGGAACCCCATTGTCCAAAGAAGATATCGAGGCCTCATTCTTAGTGCCTACACGTCCTGACGCCGTCATTGTCACTTTGAACTCAGCACGCGCCTCGGACAGCCCTTTCGCAGTATCCATTGCCCCACGCCGCATGATGGCAGACTCGCACGTCAATGTCACCGCCGTGATGCAGCAGCATGGCGTATCCAAAATTGTCACCATGTCGGCCTTTGGCGTGGCAGACTCGGATCCTAACGTCTTCTGTGCTATCCGTGCAGTTCTTCGCAAAACGAACATGAAATTCCAGTTTGAGGACCACGACTTTGTGGATGAGGAAATGAAGCAGAGCGGAGCAAACTTCGTTCTTGTGCGGCCAGCCATGCTGACCGAGGGTGAAGATTTGCCAGTACAGGTTTTCGGAAACAGTGGCGAAGGAGCTGGTTGGATTCCAAAGATTTCAAGGAAGAGTGTTGCACATTTCATTCTTGATGCCTGCGAGACTGGTACATGGGATCGCCAGACGCCTGTCATCGCTAATTAATGTCTTTGAGAAGAGAGACAGAGGGAGGAGATTGAATATCGTACTGCTTGTTTGCTTTGATGTTTGGGTTTATCACGGATTAGATTTTGGAGTTTTCATGTTAATAAAATAATCAAAGCCCTTTTTCATACGTCGAAATTGTACAGCGGAGCAGGACAGACGTGGCGTATTATTTTCAAACCAGTTGATCAATCCAACGGCACAAAAAAGGCTTCTAAAGCCAAGCCTCGTCGATATGAAGCAACCAGTCCGGTGATGGGTCCAGATCAATGTCAAAGGCATTGTCCGACATTAAAAGTCCACCAAGATCAACGTCCATCATTAGAGACTCCCACTGCTCGCCATTCTGAGTAAATTGTAAGCAACTGCAAATAGTTGGAGCAGTAGATTGCACCTACCTCTGTCGAGTCGGAAAGTCTACCGCGTAAGGAAGTGAGCGTCTCCTTCAACCCTTTTCGTACCATGTCCTTCTCTTCTTCTCCGCTGCTTCTCGCCTTGGATAAAGAGGTCGATATGCTCAAGGCAAGAATGTTTTTTAGACTTTCACGTTCATGAGGAACGCTCTCTACAAATACCTGAAGAAATGATTCAAGAAGCTGGAACAGTTCGGCAGTATCCAGTGGCGAATCAGTCGTGTTGGATGTAGAATGATCAAGACGCATGCATATGAGCGCCACGGCTTTGTATATGGCATGCGTGAACTCAACAAGGAATTTACTGAGATATGGTCTCAGTGCATTTCTTTCCTCACCCTCTGGTGCAAGAAGTATCAGAGAAGATAAAATATCGGCAGCTCCCTGAACACACGTATCATTGGGAATATCCTCTGTTGATAAGAAGCGCTGGAGAGAGAGGAGCAGGACGTTGTGGAACGATTTTAGGGAGACAGCCACGGACTTCAACCTGGGGTTCATTGCTGCCATACCAGAATCCACCAGCTTTGGGAAGTATCCCATAGCATCTTGCACATCATCCCACAGTTCTCTTAATCTGACTCGGGATGACTCATCGCGTGCGCGGCTGAGAATGTTGACCATGTCAAGGCGACTCTGTAATGAACACCCGAAGAAATCCTGGACTGTGAAGCGGAAATCTCCTGTCAGTGAGCCAGACAGGTACACACCGAGGTCCAAATCATCGGCACGGGTTCCTGGCATGCAGTCGGTGTCTTCCGGACAAACGGCCGTTGGCATCCCATAAGACAATGAAGCCCACAAATCCATCTCGATGATGCTCCACCACAGTCTCCGTCGGAGGTCAGCTTGAAGGGGAGGAATTGACTTGAATTGTCTCGGGTCGCGGTGGAGTCCTAAAACCATGGCGGCTCGAACGAGTGCATTCGTTGCCTGCCAATGCTCTTCGGCTGGCTGGCCTCCGGCCTGCTGAGAAAGGATGCTTAGAGCTCTTGTCTGCAAGACTGATATTTCGGCACGGGATTTCCTTGAGAGAGAATTCAACCACGTATCGATGGCGATGAAAGGATGATGGCTAAGCCATTGCTTCGCTGCTTCCTGATGAGGGTTGTCTGAGAATTGTAGGTGATACGCTGCCAGCCCCATTGCCGCGTACACTTGTGCTTCAATACCGCTACAGCTCTGAGCCAGATCAGCTCGGTTCTCCATGAAATCAGAGTAAAGCGGCATGAAAGTTGGTCTATGCAAAATGACTAATCTTTCCTCGTACATGTCGAAATAGGTGTGGACCAGAGCATCACAGGCGCCTTTGCATGGTAATTTCTCTTGTAGCTGAAGGATCTCATTTTTCTCGCTCTCCAATGATGAAGTCTTGTGGCTGGGCTGAGCCTTCATCAATCCCTGGACGTGCTTTGCCAGAGACCACAGATCGGGGTCCACGGATGGCTGAAGGATCGACGTAGCCGTGCCCTGGACTCGATCAAACAAGCCGCTTTGGTATCCGGTTCCGTAGTAGCGGCATCTGTTCCCCTTAAGCGAAAGGATTCCAACGGGTGGCTGAGCGCTCTTGTGAGATTTGTCGGAAGACGATCCACTAGCAGAAATGATCGCTTCGAGTGATGTAACTCGCGCTTGGAGGTCTTCGATGATGCTGTCCTTTTCTTGTAAAGCGGAGCTGATGGTATCCGGCCCTAACCTGATGCGGACATTCCTCGAAACTTGGCCCCCATTCCTTTGGGGCTCTGCTGCCTGTGGGGAAGAAAACTCTTTGTCAAAGACGCAGAGCGTTTCACGTTGCCCTTTGATGCATTGCTGGCACGGGTGGGTCCGGTCACACCGCAGCTTCCTTTGGCGGCATTGGCGACAGGACAGAGTAGGTCTTGGCCGTTTCTTCGGATTTTCCATTGGGCGTTCGATGGGCGTTTAGCAGCAGAGCCTCGGCGGCTGTGCAAAATATCAAGGCAACCCCGCATTCCTGCCAAAATCCTCCCACGTGAAAGCAGTTTCACGATTGGCCGCCCGCGGAATCCGCGCAACATGTCAGCGCGGGGATCGCCGGGGCTGGCAAGGCAGACTTTGCGAATTAAAATAGCTTGTCGCGCATAAGCGTGTGTCATGATCGGACGGCAGGATGAGGCCTGATGGGTCCAGGCAACAGCCACCAACCGCAGTCTGGGCCCACTTGGCTCGTATTCAAGCTTTGCTAAGCTTTTTGCGCGCACCAAGCGCCCTCCCCGTGGTACCCCTATTTTCCTGACTCGCCCCCAAGGCTGTGAAGCTTTTCGAAATGCTTCGACGTTGCCTTGGCTGTGCTGCAGTTCTTTGTTTTGACTTTCCTTGCCTCAAGCTTTTTTTTTTGGTACGGGATCTGTTCCCACTCGTGGGTGGGCCGACCAGTTTAAACCGGTGATTCGGCGGTGCGCTTGCGCTTTGAATTGACGGGTTTGCCGGACCTCCGTGTAGCGTGCCGTATCCCACAAACAGGCGAGCCACACAGGCAACTAACACGAAATCAAACGTTTCACAAGCTTCCAGCTGAAAACGCCCTTGCAGCACTACTTGTGCACCATCCCTCGGTTACACGTTCGCAAATCCCCGCGAGGCTCTTTTCAGGCGGCTTGGGCGTGATTTTGACGTGCCTGACGCCATTGGTAATGGAATGCTATGCTAGTACGCTTGGCACACGTACAGGCAACGGCTGTTGCGAATGGGGAAAGGGGTCTTGTGATCAAATAGGAAGGCTTGAATAAAATATCCCTTTTACGAGTCAGCGCTTTCCATTTTGCCTCGGAAAATAAGGATGGGTTGGTCTGAGCTTGTAGAGAATCCCACCGTCACAGGTCGGTTAGGTGGATCAGCCCGGCCGGTGAAATTCCTCGAATCCTGCCTCACAGAATCCACAGCTGCGCTTCCCCGTGTTGCACTTGATGCACGGTGCACAGCCTTAGTGCGCCGGGAGCGCGGTGGCGCGAGGCTGGTAGCTGACCACATATAGCTGCTGGCACCCAGGCACGCGACCCGCCCGCTTGTGCGCGCCCCCTTCGAACTCTGCAGCCATGAAGATTCCCTCGTTCTGGCAGCTGAAGGCCAAGAGCCAGTTTGCGCTTTGTTTCGTTTCGTCTTTTGCTGCCAAACTTCTCCATCTCTACAGCCACCGGTCTTCACTACCCATCCTACTAATCGTTCTCTACACTCCGACATTCTTTCTCCCTGACGTCATTCTGATCCTCTTTACCAAGTTCATCTACCGCCAGGACAGAGGGAAAATATGCAAGATCTTTGGAGGGCTCTACGCGTGGGTACCTGATCAACACTAGTAGTATTTGTGGCTGACCTTGATTTAGCCTATTTACCGTTACTGCCTCGGCTTCTCAGATCTCCTTCTACATGACGACTGGCGGTGAAGTACAATGGATGGCAGCTGGAAACCTTGCCAAGGATCCTGGTGGCCTTCGTATGCTTCTATCTGAGCTCCCGAAATTCTTCATCTGTATTCTCGCCTTCACCATCGTCTCATGGCTCATTGCGCCCCGCTTCGATGCTGTCACGACCAATATCTGCAAGACTACCAGCCTTTCGTTCCGGCAAATGTATCGATGTCTTAGAGGACGGCCTCAGCTTAACGAATACCAGCCACTGGACGAGAATTCTGACAAGAGGTAAGTTGAACCATTTACTGGTCGTTCTACTAAGTCATGCTAAACAGCAGCTCCAGCATCCCTTCCCGCGAAGAGATTCCATCGCTCCGGAAATCGGCCGCGACTTGCGTCACAGTCCTGACCATAGTTATCACCGTGCTCATCCTACAAATTGTCCGCCCGAGGAACCCGCCTTATGCTCACATGAGCGGATCTCTTCCGATTACGCTTTTTGAGTCTCTCTTTTTCAGCCCCATCAACGGCGACTTCTGCCTACCGTATCCCACGCGCCATGTCGAGTTCCCCTTCGAAGAATATGCCAAAGTCTCTGGACATGCGCCGCCAGCCGAGTGGAAGCCGATCACCGAAGAATGCCGCCGCCACCACCATCATCATGAGAGGCCTGATGAACCACCTTCACCGATTCACCCCATTGCATGGGAAGAGGCTGCACACGCACCCCCAACACCGAGGGGAGATGGCCCGCCCAGGCACGGACACGATGGGGGCTATGATCCTTCCTGCGATCCGCTCAAGCTGTCAAACTTGGACCAGAGCCCACTTGATGCTCTGATGGAGGCCGCAAAAATCAAGCACGTTCTCTTTGTTACTCTAGAAAGCACCCGCAAGGATATGTTCCCTTTCAAAAAGGACAGCGCTGTCTATAACAGCATTCTCTCGTCATACGGCGCCGGTAAACTCGACGCCGCAGAAGAATTGGACAAGAAGCTCAAGAACCTCACAAGAACAGCCGCCTTCCTAACAGGCGAGTCCACCGGATTCGGCCAGGACGACGTCCTGAACAGACCCTGGGCATCCGAGTTCAAATCCGGCCACGGCGGCATCAACGTCCAGCGCGCAGTAACCGGCAGCGCCTTCACCCTCAAAAGCCTGGTGACCAGCCACTGCGGCATCGACCCGCTGCCCGTCGACTTCACCGAAGAAGTCCGAGGCAGGATGTACCAGCCCTGCTTCCCGCACGTCACCGGCCTCTTCAACAAAGTCCAGAAGCCCGGCTCCAGCGCAAGCCACCCCTGGGACGCCGCGCTCGTGCAGAGCATCACGGACCAGTGGGACTCGCAGTACACGCTGGACGACCAGATGGGCTTCTCGCCGGCCAACGTCATCCTCGACACGACGATCGAGGACCCCAGCGCCGCGCACTTCCCACCCAAGGAGCCGCGCTGCAACTACTTCGGCTACCCGGAAACCGAGTCGCTGCCCTACCTCCGGGACATGTTCGTCAACGCGACCCGCAGCGGCCGGCGCCTCTGGGCCAGCCACATCACCAGCACGACGCACCACCCGTACGCCGTGCCCGCGGCGTGGGACGGCGTCGAGGAGTACGTGGCCAAGCGCCGCTTCGCCGGGCTGGAGAACGAGGAGTTCGACCGGTACCTCAACACGATCAAGTACCAGGACGGGTACCTGGACACGCTGATGACGATGCTGCACGAGGTCGGCGTGCTGCGAGAGACGCTCGTCGTCGTCGTCGGCGACCACGGGCTGGCCTTCACGACGCCCGACGGCTCCAAGTCGACGTTCGAGAACGGCCACGTCGCCAACTTCGCCATCCCGCTCGTCTTCGTCAACCCAAGCCTGCCGCGCGTGCAGGTCGACGCGCAGACGTCGCCGACCAGTATCCTGCCAACCGTGTTGGACATCCTGCTGCAAACGAAGTCCCTGAGCGAGGAGGAGAGGGGGGTGGCGGAGAAGCTCCTCCCGCGGTACCAGGGGCAGTCGATGGCGCGCGAGCAGAAGTGGAGCGTACCGACAATCCAACAGGAGAACGCCCCTACGCACCCGCCCTTCACCAACGTCACCGGCCCGCAGCCCTTCCACTTCTCCGTCATCAACCCAGGCGGCTCGCTGCTCGCCATCTCCCAACAAAACTCCTCGTACCGCCTCATGCTGCCGCTGTGCTCGACCCTGCCTTTGCGCTTCACGGACCGCGCGACGTCGCCGCACGAGACGGAGGAGCTGATCGCGTGGAGCTCGCGGGGTGTCGTCGACGCGGTGCGCAAGAAGCACGGCGGACAGGCGGCCGAGTGGGTCGACTTGGCGCAGAAGCTGGGCGAGTGGTGGGTGTGGGAGACGCGGAAGCGGTGGGGCTACGATCAGCCGGCGCGGAGCACGGACAGGGGCGCTGCAGGGACGGGGGCCGCGGGCAGGATTAAGAAGGAGCATTGGTGGGAGACGTGAAGAGGAGAAAAAAATCAAGCATTATGGAAGGTTTAAGGCGTTATGAGTGGATAAATTCTAATTTTTTTGTTTTTGCGGCGAGGCGTTACGATGTTATGCGAGATTTAATACACTTTGGGATCAGGGTGTGGCGGAAACAAGTGGCCACCACGCCTGATTGCACAAATGAAGAGATTCATCTGAATTTTGAGTCATCATATACTTCTGTGACGGCTGCGCCACTAGAAGTATGTTTATCGTATTACTATAGGCACCTCTGATAATCTTGTGAGAAACTTTCTATGGTCATTTTCCAAACGCGGTACCCATGCAAAATACCCGACTCGACGAAAACCAGCTTGCTCCCCTTGTAAAACAAGTCCCTGGATGGCCCATCTGGCAATGAAAGGTAGGCGCAAGTACCACAACCTTGCTACGTCATAGACGATTGGAAGACAGAACAGTTCGGCTTCCGAGCTCACAGGTTGTACGTCGTCAAAGACAATGAAACCTTCTTCCACCGGGATACATTCGGCCGTGCGGGAGTTTCGAAGCTGACATAGTGGGAAAGTGTGTGCGTTGTTGATATGTTGAGCAACCCTCTCACCCAGCATTGGTACGGCAAGACGACCGTTTAAGCTTAAGCGGCCCTCAACGACGATGCCGGAATGTTCCCTTGTCGATGTGCTGACTTGGATGTCCGACACTAATGTTTCGGCATTTGAATGCATCTTTTGTCCGTTCTGATCCAAGTTTCCTTCCGATGAAGCCCAAGACCATGATGGCGCACGCTCTTCTGCCAAATCTCGACGCCTCGGGTTGGTCATCATCCACAACAGGCTTCGAGGAAGCGAAACAGCCCAAATCCCCGCATGGTATTTGTCGTCTGCTCCGAGACTCCGCAACTTGTCTCCCATTTGATTGGCTAGTCCGGATATAGCAACCAGCTTATCGTGGTCACGGGTCAAACAGCGCCCAGAGTATTCGTGCACTGTTTGATCCCATTCAAGCATGCAGTAACCAACTGCATCCAACTCGAAGTGCAGTGGGGGCATGTTGGGAGCTTTCAATGCAACATTGAGTGGAGCTTTCCACAGTAGTTTCTGTTGGTCCATAGAAGCAGAGGCTGACTTGAAACTTGGCACGCCGGCGGGATACGCTTCACAACAGGATGTGGACCTGCATTCCCAAAAGACTTGTTGTTGACCAAAGTAAAGGATCCTTTGAGAGAGGAGCTGCTCTTGAAGTATCCATCCACGCTTGATTGCAGGAGAATCGAACCGTTTCCCCCAAGTGACAGCATTTTCGGATAGGAGATAAGGCAACTTCTCTGACTCACTGCGAAACGCCAAGGATACCTCAGTTGGAGCTATATCAGAGGGGTTTCGGGTAGAAAAGCAGCCGTCTGAGTCATCAGCCGCTCCATGAGCGCATACTGTGACGAATGCGCTCGAATATACATCTTGCATTTGGTTCGACTCACAAAACCAGTCTTGGGGTGAATCTTGAATGATACACAGGCGGTCCACCCACAAGAACAGGATTCCAAGTTCATGTGCAATCTTGAATGCGTCTTGTAGAGTCTTGGGCAAAGAGCTCAGAAAAACACCGGATTTGAGCATTTCGAAATTTTCCTGGGACAATTTGAGCTTCTCTTCATCGTCTATTCCCCAGCAATAGCTGAGCGCGATGTACTGAACCGTTGGACTCAAGTCCTCTTTGATAGCAAGGGAGAAACTTTTTCCGGACGGGTCCAGCTTTAGCAGTCTCGATGGCACAAATTCCTGGGGCTGCTGACACAACATATGACTGTGTAGACAGTTGTTGAGCCAGGTCTTCACCATTGTCCAAGTCGTTGACGAGTCTGTGGATCCTTCGAGTGGAGGATATAGCCTTGGGCCATCTTTACCCATACTGTGTTAGCTACTTATTGAAGGTAAGCTGATTCTATGTTTACCTTTAAGACCACAAAACTTGAATTCCCGCATGCCCAACCTTCCATTGTCAAGTAGAACCGAGATGGTATCTTGCCTGATGAAGAAATACGAGAAGAAATCTCTCTTTCTTGGTGTCACAGCAGTTGCCTCCGAGGCCATAAGGGCAAACATCACGGCACAGATCGGACATTCCTCTTCCGCAGATTTCTGTAGGGATTCCACGTTCCTATGATGACCAAACACGTACTTGAAGATCTCCGGTCGATCCGTCGGGGTTTGGCCATCAGAATGCATCTCAAGCTTGGCCTGAGGTTTGCGATAATTCTGGAGTCTGGATAGAAAGGTCTCCGGGGAGACTCCGGGTTCTGCATCGAACATGAAAGCCATGGCATCCGCCGGGTCGATATCGGAGCTGTCTATCTCCTGGGTTCGTGGTGTCCTCTGAGGGTCCCAAATGCCATCGAATGCTTCGCGACAGATTTGACAGATCATTTTGAATGAACTCTCCTGGCTTGATGTGGGTGAGGAGGCAATGTATTGTTTCAAGTGAGGGGTAAAGGCCGACGATCAGCGCACACGAAAAAATTTCAAGGCTGGTCCCCCACTCTAGGCAGGCTCAAAAGGGTTAGTCTTGAGACAAATATTCTGAGGTGTTGTGGTGATTAGATTGTAGTGGCTGTTACGAACCTCAGGAGACAAGGGCTTTACAACCCCGCGGGTCTTACTAAGACAATAGCCGGAGCCTACGTAGGAAGCGCGCCTATAATGACCCCGAAAGCCAAGTGCTGGTGCGCGTCAGAATTCCCACAGGGAGATATCCGCATGTGGCGTTGTTTAACGGGCGATCTTATTGAAACGAGACTACTACACTGTCCACCAGCGAGCTATTGGTTGATTTCATAGATGGAAAGACTCACTCGCATTTTTTTACTCATCACCTGTGCAATTCAATCGTAAGATATTGATTTTCACTAAGTTCGGGCTGTTCCGGGGATGATCACTTGCCCAAGTACGATTGTCGGAATGATCCCGGCCGGTGGGTTGGGCATTTCGGAACCGTTCCGGCGACCGGAACGACAAGATAACAGGAAGCAAAAATTCGATGCCTGATCTTCTGACAAGTGCATAGCCCCTCGGAGTATGGTATAAAGGGACTTTCAGTGACTCGTTGGTCCTGTAGCCACAACTGCGCGGTGTACTTCACAACAATGTCTCTCGATATATCCGAAGCTCCCACCGACAAGGATGACGCTCCGCCCCACGATCGAGCCTCGTCAGCGGAGGACGGATACGAGGCAGGCGTATCAGACCTCGACAGCGAAAGCCTGCACCAAATTGCTTCTCGCATTTCCCATCGATTGCAGGGGAATGCCGGTCCCAAGGATGTCCTGGCCAACGACATGTCGGCTGCGGCCGATGCAGAGCTCGATCCAGACAGCACCTCGTTCAACAGCGCATACTGGGCTAGGATGATGCTACGAAAAGTCAAAGGGGTCGGAGGAGGTTTTCAGCGATCTGGAATTGTGCTGAAGGACGTCACAGTCAGCACTCGTTGCACTTCGGAAGATCTCCGCAATGCCACCGTCGCGTCCGTAATTCCGATGGCAATCAGAAGTGCATTCCGCCAAAGGACCGCACCAACAAGAAACGTCATTCGAAATGTCGATGTGCTGGTGAAGAGTGGGGAGATGCTTTTGGTGCTCGGACGGCCCGGGAGCGGATGCTCGACGCTGCTACGGACCATATCCGGGGACCTGGAGAACATGACAATTGAGAGTCCGGCGATCATACACTACAACGGCATTCCACAAGTCCATATGCTCAAGGAATTCAAGGGCGAAGTATTTTTTTCTGAACTGAAAACAGAGACAAACTGGCTAATATTACCGCAGGTCGTCTATAATCCCGAAAGTGACCTGCACATCCCACATCTCACCGTGAAGCAAACCCTGGAATTTGCGGCCGCAATGAGGACACCGAGTCCCGGAACAGAAGATTTCTCGAGGACTGAATGGGCGCAGACCATGGCGCAGATTGCCATGGCCACTTTCGGGCTCTCGGGTGTAGCCGACACCATAGTCGGCAGCGACTTCGTCCGCGGCGTATCCGGGGGACAACGCAAGCGCGTCAGCATCGCCGAGATGGCGCTCTCTCTCGCGTCCATAGTATGCTGGGACAACTGCTCGCGAGGCTTGGATTCGACCACGGCGCTCGACGTCATCCGCACCTTCAGGCTGGCGGCGGAAATCCTCGGCTCCTGCCAGGTGCTCACGCTCGAGCAGTCGTCAAACGCCATCTACGATACTTTCGACAAGGTTACGGTGCTCTATGAAGGACGGCAAATCTACTTTGGACCAGCTGCAAAAGCCAAGGAATACTTTGAGAGGATGGGCTGGATGTGCCCTCCACGCCAGACGACCTCGGACTTTCTTACTGCTGTGACGAGCCCGGAGGAGCGCACACCCCAACCTGGGTTTGAGAGCCGTGTGCCGAGGACAGCAGATGAGTTTCAACGATACTGGAAGAGCTCGGATGAGTACGCTGCTCTCTGCCACGAAATCAGCCTGCATGAGGCAGAATATCCGCTCGATGAAGCCAAGACTGCTCGTGATTCTAAAGAGACGATGCGTCAGAGAAATATCGACCATGGAGCATCCGGATCCGCCTCTACCCCGAGCCTCACGCTGCAAATCAAATGGTGCTTGATCAGAGCGTGGCAACGAGCTATCAACGACAAGGCGTCCACCCTGACCGCCGTCATCGGCCAGGTCGTGCTGGCTCTGGTGTTCGGCTCCATGTTCTACCAGACGCCCGACGCCTCCGCCGGTTTCTTCTCCAAAGGCGCCGTCCTCTTCTTCGCTGTCCTGCTCAACGCCCTCATCTCCATCACCGAAGTCAACAAAGTCTACGCCCTCCGCCCCATCATCTCGCGGCAGGCCCGCATCGCCTTCTACCGGCCCGCCGCCGAGGCTTTCGCGGGCTTCCTCCTCGACCTGCCCATCAAGTTGATTTCCGCGCTGTGCTTCAACACGATCCTCTACTTCCTCGTCGGCCTGCACGGCACGCCCGCCGCGTACTTTACCTTCTTCCTGTTCAACTACCTCGCCGCCATCACCATGGCCTGCATCTTCCGCGCCATCGCGGCGAGCACGCGCTCCGCGCCGCAGGCCCTGGCCGCGTGCAGCGTGCTGATGCTGGCCATCGTCATCTACAGCGGCTTCGTGCTGCCGCGCGCGTCCATGCACCCCTGGTTTGAGTGGATCAGCTGGATCGACCCCGTCGCTTACGCGTTTGAAGCTCTCATGGCGAACGAGTTCCACGGCCGCGACTTCATCTGCTCCGAGTTTGTTCCCGCGTACCCGGAGTTGTCCGCCGGCGCGTTCGTCTGCGGCGTGACGGGAGCGGTGGCGGGCCAGCGCACCGTGTCGGGCGACACGTACGTCGAGTCCAAGTTCGAGTACTACTACAGCCACGTCTGGCGCAACCTTGGGATCCTGTTGGCGTTTCTGGGTGCTTTCCTGGTATTGTACCTTGTGGCAACTGAGTGGAGTGCAACGGGATCGAAACTCCAAGCCGCCTCCAGACCCGTTCGGAACAGCAATCACGCCAGCGAGAACTCAACGGAAGACGAAAACGACGGCGGGTTGGAGAAGGGCGCCGAGGCACCCCCTACGACAGACGATCTCGACCCCACAGAAGAAGAGGAACAAATCACGCTGAACCACGGCCGCACCTTCACATGGCAAAACATCTGCTACGACATCCCCATCCGCAACGGACACTCGCGGCGCATCCTCGACGACGTCTCAGGCTGGGTACAGCCAGGCACGCTGACCGCGCTCATGGGCGTCTCCGGCGCCGGCAAGACGACGCTGCTCGACATCTTGGCCCAGCGTAGATCCATTGGCGTGGTGACGGGCGATCTCTTTGTTGATGGCATGCCACTGAGTACGTCATTCGCGCGGCAGGTTGGCTACGCTCAACAACAGGATGTCCATCTCGAGACGGCGACGGTACGTGAAGCCCTTCGCTTCAGCGCCGTTTTACGTCAGCCGGCATGGGTATCCCGAGAGGAGAAGTACGCCTATGTCGAACGCGTCATCAAGATGCTGCGGATGCAGGACTTCGCCGACCGTCGCGTGGGAGCGCCGGGACAGTCGTTGACGGTGACGCAGCGGAAGCTGCTGACCATCGGCGTCGAGCTGGCCGCGAAGCCTGAGGTGCTGCTGTTTTTGGATGAGCCGACGAGTGGGTTGGATTCGCAGAGCGCGTTTTCCATCGTGTCGTTGATGCGGCGGCTGGCGGACCACGGGCAGACGGTGTTGAGCACGATTCATCAACCCAACGCTACGCTGTTCGGGCAGTTTGATCGGCTGTTGTTTCTTGGAGAGGGCGGCAAGACCGTTTATTTTGGCGACATTGGGCCGCAGTGTTCGACCTTGCTCAAATACTTTGAGAAGAAAGGAGCTGGCAAGTGTGACATCGAGGAGAACCCTGCCGAGTACATCTTTGATGTAGTTTCGGGGTGCAACGGAAAACAAAAGCGGAATTGGGCTGATATCTGGAAGGGCTCCACCGAGTCCACCGCCATGATGGATTTGCTGAGCCGGATGTACCACGAAAAACAGGAGGACCGTGAATGCACATTGGCGGACAAACTGAAAGACTCTAGGCATGCAGCTTCCTTCCCCAACCAACTCCGCACCGTCTGGAATCGCACCTGGCTCCATTACTGGCGCTCACCGGGATACGTCTGGTCCAAAATTGCTTTGGTCATTGGATCTTCGCTTTTCAACGCCTACAGCTTTTTCGACCCGGGGAACTCGCCGCAAGGGACGCAAAACGCCATGTTCAGCGTGTTCATGCTCACAGCCGTGTTTGCGGCCATGGTCCAGCAGATCATCCCGCGTTTCTCGACGCAAAGAGAACTGTTCGAAGTCCGCGAGCAGCCATCCCGAACGTACGCATGGCCTGTCTTCATCATCGTCCACATCATCATCGAAATACCTTTTCAGGTACTCATCGGCATCCTCGCATTTGCTTGCTTCAACTACAACGTATTCGGAATCCTCTCCTCGGAAAGCCAGGCGCTTGTTCTGCTCTACGCCGTCCAGTTCTTCGTCTTCGCATCCACCTTTGCACACATGGTCATCTCAGCCATCTCCAGCCCCGACACAGCCGGAATCCTGAGCGTTTTCGTCTTCATCCTGACTCTCGTGTTCGACGGCGTCATGCAGCCGAAAGATGCTCTGCCCGGATTCTGGATCTTCATGTACCGGGTATCGCCACTGACTTACTGGATATCCGGAATCCTCACTTCAGGCTTGCATGGTCGAACAATGAAATGCTCCGATTCCGAAGTCTACCGTCTGAGTCCTCCGATGAACTCCAACATGACCTGCGGAACCTACCTCTCCGAGTATCTTGCAGTCGCCCCTGGATACCTCCGCAACTCAGATGCAACGGAGGATTGCCAGTACTGCCCTGTCACGACGTCAGATCAATACCTTGGGGCTTCAGATATGCTTTGGACGGATCGGTGGAGAAACTTTGGCCTGGGATGGTCATACATTGCTTTCAATATCTGCGTGGCAATTCTGTTTTTTAGATTGAGGAAAATGAGAAAGACATAGCTTGGGTGCATTACCAAGGTAGGATGCGGTAATATTCTAATATCTTTTTACTTTTGCGAATATCACTAGAGGGCGAGGAAATCATCAATGTGTTTGAATATTCAACGATATCAGCAGAATATTTTATAAATTTTATACCCACACTCATCTCTCATTACTGGCCGTGATGCTACATAAATATTTAAAATACCCGAAGGAACCCTCAAACAGCAAGCCACTTCCATTGGTAGACATTGCAAACACGAACCGAATATCAGCCCAAAAGCATGAACGACAGTTCAGCTAGCTAATACGCCTTGTCTGCCTCAGGAGACTCCACGGCCATGTCCCTTCCATCCTTTTCAAACACAATCTCCAGTTTGTTGTCTTTAGTCGCACGTATATTTACAGGCTCCCGGAAAGCAGAGAGTGTTTCGATTCCTGCACTGGTATTCCGGAGTCTGTCGGTGGGAGTGGAGAGAATGGCCAGGGCAGTAAGCTCAGAAATAGAATCCCAAGCACTGGAACTTTCGGGGCAAATCGATAAGATGTAAACGATAGAGAGAAAGACGTAAAGGCTGTACGCGAAAAGCACAACCAGCGCGATAATTGTGGGGATACCGCGAGGAGAGTATGCTAATCCCACTGAAGTAAGATCGGCATCCAATCGAAAACCACGATATTCATTCGTCGGTGATACACCCCATGGGTTCTGCGATGTTCCGTTTTGAATCTCTGTGAGATTTGCATCAAAGCTGTATACCTCCTGAAGCGTTGTAGCATTGTCTGGGTTGCCGACTATGCTCCATGCCGCGGTAAGGGTTTGAGACATTGCCGCAACGAGGAGCCCGGACAACAAATCCTCGGTTGTAATCTTGTTGTAGCTTTCCTGAAGGGCTTGGGGCATCAACATATCAAGAAGTGTTGTGTCAGGGTCATTTGCGGAGGGCCAGTTGGATAGCAAGAGATTTGCCCATTCCGAGGATATCTTGACTGCTGTCTTTGGCCATGCTGTAATGTTACTTTCGGCTCTCGGCGGATTACCATCAACAATTACCATGATGTCATTGGCCCATGAGGCACCGATTGTGCACGCAAAAGCGTTATAAGAAGGACTTTCGGGCGTCTCACCGCTGGTACTAGATGTTGTTTCTAGTAAGGACGATGGAGGAACAACGATAGCAGCAATAGAAATTGGTAGCTCCTCCACATTCACGTCAGCCCAGACAAGGCGCCAATGGAGCGATGGCTCAATGTCTGGAATATCGACTAGGGAGTGATTCGGAACCCCCGGAAACTCAATACCTTTGGTATCATAGGGATTCAAGGTCTCCTTGCACTGTGTCCATGCAAAGGCTTGTTTGCTGTGTGTCGTAGTCAGTCGGCTGAAGCTATCCACTTCGGCGAAATCCAAACTTCGTGGTCCATTTTGAATCTGTATTGAAGTGGAAATGAATGCTTGAACCAGGCCCTTTGTAGTTGCAGTTGATACCCGAAAGCCTTCGTTCCATCGTCCGATGAGAAAGTATAAGAATATAGACTCTGTCTTTTCTGGCCCCAGTGTAAGAGGTATGTACCTGCTGACGTCACCATAATCTTCTCTCGTAATTTGAAGCGGTCGGATATCCCCGTTGAACATGGATCCAGCGATGCCGGGAAGTCCGATAGCAGACCCAGTCTTCACCATTTCAAGAACTGTTGGTATCGCGCGCCATGGACACTCCAGATAAGCGGCAGTACCTGAGTTCGCTCCGGATGTAGCGAAGCAAGAGCTGGGAACATGGCTCTTGTTCAAATGGAGGGGAAATAAATCGTCTTCTGAGCCTTGGAACCATACTGAAACTGTTCCGAATGGAAATGGTTGTTTTCGCGGAATCAGCGCAATGGCGATTGACGGACCGACGCTAGCAGCAAGTATAACGTTGAGGCCAATGAACAAGGCAAATTTGCATCTTCTGCAACGCGAGCACCAGTTTGCTGACAGTGTTCCGATGAACTCAAGGGACCACAAGTAACTGATACTGGTCGTTTGAAGGCCTGCGAAGAGGGCACCGAACGGGATCGCTTTTTGTCCCAGAGCTTGATGCCGTATGTGGAACAACACAAGGTGTGCAATAGAGGCCTGTGTGAACAACTCAATGGCCTTAGCCGTGAATTGCAATGCGGGCATCGATGGCGCTTTCCTCGGATACCAGGTGGCAAGATTGACCGAGATCAGGAGGACTGCAGATAACAGAGGAACAACGTGGACACTAGACCGGACAATGGCCACCGATCGCCGTCGACTGAAAGCAATTTTCGGCATCTCCTGACTTGTCTTCCAAGGATTCAAGGATGTGAGTGATAGCAGCTGTAAGCTCCGTAGAAAAGCTCGCAGTAGCCCTTCAGCGCGCTTTGCTACGGACGGCTGGGACTTGGAATGACAGGGCAACATTCTTGAGTAAAGTGTTAGTACTTTCAAATGTACTTAATGGTCTGAAAATTCGCACCTGATGGAACTGTGTGTGTCTGACTGCAAAAGCTGTTCCAGCTGGCCTGCCACTTCGGAGCCTGCGTTACTTTGCATTGAGGGATCATCTTGAGAATGATATAAAGGACTAGCTCGAGCCTTAGATGTAGTACTCATATTGCAAGTACGCGTGGTGGTGAGTTGAGTCTTGCTTTCTTCAAAGTCAGGAAAATTTTGAGAAACGGGTTGTTTTGCTTCTACTAGGTGCAACAGCTCACACTTATAGTCGCCAGTGGCACTGGGTAATTTTACACGGCTTGTAGCACTACATATGCAATCAGCTCAAGTCAATGTGGCGTGATGTTCACGTTCGAGACAAGAAGGTAGCATGGGCTACGCTATATTTAGGCAAGGCAGACGCTGTTTAGAGCTGAAAGCGATACACAAGTTGTAGACTTGTTACACCGGCCCTTGCATCTTCCGTTCAACTTTTCACCAAAGTCGCACATTATAGCCCTGCAAGGGAATTCACCGTAGATCGAATTATACTAGCCTGCATATCGGTGTAATGCCAAACATTGACACCGATTTACGCCACTTGTATCTCATAGACCGTGACTGCTACACGCCTGATCATGCAGAAGTCGCCACAATAGTAGCACCAAATATAGTACTAGAATAGTAATGGGACCACTTCATTCTGAAATAAATGCATACTCTGCACGACCACTATAGGTTATCCTCCAACGGGCTGAGTCCCTGCGCCGTCCCAATCTTACTCTCAAACCAAAACCGCACCCTCTCCACATTCGCGCGATCCGCCATCCACGCGCCAAACGCCGTCACATTCGTCCCCGGCATATCAAAGATATCCGGATACGCAGCGGGCTGGGGCGAAAGATCCTTCCGCGCGCTCCAGCCGCCCGACGCGGTCTGCCACTCCTCAGACAGTATAAACGAGTGCAGCAGCTTCGCGCTCTCCGGGTGCGGCGCGTCCTTGAGAATAGCGCCCGTCTGCGGCCACGACACGAACGGCGCGGACGTCTCGGGGAACGACACGGCGAAGGGCGCGGCGGCGTTGAGGCCGCGCGAGCTGGTGAAGGTGGCGGCCCACTGCGTCGAGTTGTCGCCGACGATGGTCGAGGGCGTGCGCGTGCCGCGGACCCAGCGCGGGTTCTGGGCGAGGAGCGAGTCGAACCAGGCGTAGCCGACGTTTTGGAGGCTGTGGGGGGTTGGGATTTCGTGTTAGCGAGGGGAGTGGCTGGGAGGGGGGGAAGTTGGAGGGGGGAGATAACGCACATCAGGTCGAAGGCGTACAGGACTGCGTCGTCGTCGTTGGGGTAGGTGAGGACGATCTTGTCCTTGAGCTCCGGCTGCAGGAAGTCGGCGTATTCCTTGATGGAAACGTCGGTTTTGGCTGTGTTCCACACGTTCGACCAAGCGATGACGAACAGTCCACTGTAGTATCCGTCGGGGTCTTTGAATTCGTCGTAGACCTGATCCCAACCCAGAGGTTTGTACTGTAGAATGGATCCATCCTCCTTCCAGCGCGGGTAATCGTGAAGGGTTTGGAGGATAACGCTGTCTACGTAGACGCCCTTGTCTTGGATTTGCTGGTCGAGCTGAATTTCAGATGTTAGCTGCAGCAGATTCATCCCGGATTGAAGTGTCTTACGTTTCCATCATGGTACTTGGAGAGGTCAACAGTGACGTTGAGAGTCATTCCGGGGAAACGTTTCTCGAATGCCGCCTTAAGGCTATCCCTGCTGTTCTTTTCATCTCTGGGAGGGAGTTAGCAAACTGCCATGCCTTTAGTTCAGTAAGCTTACCCTCCATGCCAGCAGGTGACAACGCCACCCTCCTTCAGGGCTGCTTCATGGATCTCATCGAGCGTACGTGTTTCAACCTCGACTTGAGCCAAGGCGGCAGTGGCGCCCGCCAGAAGTGCAAGAAGCTTTGCTGAGACCATTGTGCCTAAGGAATTGGTGTACCTCTGTTGCTGTAAACATCCTCATTGTCACATATATATACTGGCCATCGGTTCCCACAAAAAAATCAATGTGCTGCGGTCTTTTCCGCTGGATTTCCTACTTGGTGTGAGATGAGCCGAGCGCGGGTGATCAAGCTGATACCGTTTCCTTAGGCAGCCCACGATGCTGGTAGCTTAGGGAGGTCCGAGCACAGCTGGAATAGCACTGCAATAGGAAACAGAGATCCAAAACAGAAGATGCTTGCGCCATGATGATATAGCTTCGTCTAACGTGAACTCTTAGAGCAGCCCCTGTGTGAATCATGCTGCGGAGGAAACAATTCAAAATAGGCAGCTGGACGTCCGTCACGCCTTTTACTAGTCCATATGGAGTAATTTGCCAATGGTGAGTGTTTCAACAGACTTTAGTAAGCTACGGAATTCCGCCGCAGTCTCCCGATTATCCGAGAAACGTCTGGATAAACGACCAAGCCAAGCACGCAAGACCGACAAGACGCCGAGAATACACAGTTACGTTTTCCATTATCTTTATTGCAATTGGTTGGACTTATAAATCAATCATTTTAATAAGACGAGATTTATAGAAGATGCGCATGACTCTATATCTAGGTCCTCATAGACTTAATTAATCTCCAGCTCGAAGAAGACTTAGACGTCCCTTCGCATGACCGACCTTTTAACGGACACGAGTACGATACTGCTACCGCTGGGCAATGTGCTCCTTAACAACGCCAACGCTGGTGTGACGTGGTCGCTGCTTGGACCAACGTTCCGGTGGGCTGAAGGCCTAGACCAGCCAAGGCGGCGCGCGCACAGTTGCGTGTGGTGGTTTGTGCTGTGAAAGGACAGCTTCCCATCAACCACCTTAGACTGGACTGCATCGAGGAGCTCTGCGAGCGACGGCGAGGCGCCGCTTGCGATCACATCACCGCCTGACTGCCGCACTTACATCGAGTACCTACGTGGCTGCGCAACGTCAGGCTTGACATGCTTAGGCGCCATGCATTTGACTAAGCGAGCGCATGCGGCGAGAGTGACTACAACTCAAACATTAATGGTAAAAACTTGAAAATGGGGGGCCTGCTTCGTGTGGTCCAAGCGTGGTGGGTATGCGGAGAAAACCTACTGACATCGCCTCAATCGTCATTTGTAATTTCAAGTCTGTGCCCTACGGTCGACTGTCCCCTGCATGTTCGAATTGAAATTTATCGGCTGATTGCCGAAGCGCTTTCGGGCTTCACATTTGAGAACTTCGAAAAGATGAAAATTGGTAGATGCGGCGAGTTGTAGTAACATGCTACTCGTCGGAAAAGAATAATGCTGTAGAAATATCAGTAAAGGAGCAAGCCAAGCAAACGGAATAAGCAATCAGTAAGCCGTTGGCCTCTTAGTAAACCATGCTTGGCGGGCTTATCGATGCTTATTTTGCCAGTGAAATTAATTCTATCTATACTCGAACACGGTCTGTTATCTTTTAAGTGTCACGAGCCGCTGTTACTTGGTTTCCAATACGGCCATGAGCTGGCCTCAAGCGTACAAATACAAGGCAGCTTGCCAAGGCAGATAGCCGGCTGGCCACCGCCTCAGATCGCTGCGCTGGCTGGCACCAGCCACGCCACCAGCCACACACATGCATGGCAAGGTCGTGACATAAACGGCATAATTCTCGATACTGAATGTAAGCGTAAATGTATAAATAACTACGGCTTAAAATTGTATGAAAGCTACCACTTAACATCATCTCAGCCTTAGAGTAAGACGCGCTGCTACTAAGCTAGCCCGTTCCATACCGGGGATTTGCACTCGCCAGTTAGCTAGAATGGTGCATATAGAGTCCGCTTAACAGCCGTTTGTGGTGCGAAAAAGGTCGACGACGCTAAAATAATGCGTGATGTTGCCCTTATTCTCGTAGATTAAGCTTGAGACTCGTCACGTTCTTGCGCGGGTCTTGGCGATTAATCTTACTAGAAAAGGAAACTTTCGGCTCGGAAAGATCAGTGCCGGTTGAAAGCCGGCTCCACCGGATCTCGAAAACGAACGGAATTGCGAATTTGACTGCCGGTTGGAAGGGATGGCGCTTGATGAAGTACAGTGGTGAAACGACACTTGACCGTTTAAAAAGGGCTCTCCCACTTCATGGTCTCCAGGCATACGCTCATCTTCGGCAGCAAAAAGCCACCAGTCATCATGGAAACATCCACAATATTGAACTCTCTCAAAGACTTTGGCGTGATGCGCTGTTGTAGCGCAGCTGCAGCATTCGTAAGAGCAATAATAACACCGTCACGAAGGGATGAACTGACATGCATGCAGCTCCTTGCCAGCTTTATTGCCACAGTATTCTACAATATTCTGTTCTCGCCACTGAAAAAATGTTAGTCTGCTCTACATCGTGTCTCTATTCACCCTACACTGCTAACATACGATTCAGTTCCGGGCCCGAAGTTGGCTGCTGCAAGCGTTGTCCCATACTGGTACAACACACTGTCTGGGAACAGCATGATTTGGTTAAAGTCCCTCCATGAGAAATACGGAGATGTTGTGCGCATTTCTCCAGATAGGCTTAGCTACATCAATCCTGAAGCCTGGAGAGACATCTACGGGCATCGCACGGCTGGCCACAAAGCAAACCCAAAGGATTCCCGTACGTATCGCAGGGAGAAAACTGGAGTGTACTCCATTGTTTCCGAGCCAGATGATCAAAGGCATGGCGAAGTGCGGTATGACTGAATAATGAACCCACCAAGCATCTCGAAGCTCATTTTATCGGCACAGAAAAATCTTTTCAAACGCGTTCTCGGAGAGAGCTTTGAAACTCCAAGAGTCCTTGATCATGAGAAGCGTCGACAAGCTCATCGGAAATATCCATACAGCCATCAAAAACGATCCCGAGGTGCGCCTGGATATCGTCAAGCTTTACAACTGCACCACGTTCGATATCATGGGGGAGCTTACGTTTGGGGAGACTCTTGGCCTCCTTGACAAGTCAGAGTACTCCCCCTGGGTATCTGCTATCTTCCGGAGCGTCAAGGCCATCGAGTTCGGCCGGCTATCTCTCGACTACCCAATCCTCCGCCGCATCATGGACATCGTCCTCCCAGCTTCCATCTCCAAGGGCGAAGACGAGCACTACAAGTACTCCTCAGACCGTGTCGACCGGCGGCTTGAAAAGGGCGCCGACCAGGCCGATATCTGGAACCTGGTGCTGCACAAGAATGAGGGGGTACTCAACCTGGACGAGATGCATGCGAACGGTATGATCTTCATGATTGCGGGTACAGAGACCACTGCGACTCTTCTAAGCGGACTCACCTACTCTCTCTTGACGAATCCTGACAAGCTCCAACGGGCGGTGGAGGAAGTAAGATCCCTTCCGGAGGACCAGCTCAACCTGGAAGTGTTGCCGCGCTTGAAATATCTATCTGCATGCTTCGACGAGGGTTTCAGGACTTATCCTCCAGTTCCGACGGCCATGTTGCGCGAAGTTCCCGAAGGTGGTAATGTCATATGCGGCGAATGGGTTCCCGCCAAGGTATGTTACTCTATTCCTGATTACAGTGAAGTCTGGATGTGGTGCAAAGCTGACATCAACAACTCCCAGACTCGGATTGGCGTCCCTCAATATGTTGCGTATCATTCTGCGTCTAACTTTAAGGACCCTGACTCCTTTGTCCCAGAGCGGTGGCTACCAGGAACCGGTTATGATGACGATAAGAAAGAGGTCCTACAGCCATTTTTGTATGGCCCTCGTAACTGCATTGGCAAAAAGTACGTTCAAGAATCACAGAAGCGAGTATTGCTGAGTGCTGATCAAGACATAGTCTCGCGTACCACGAAATGCGTCTTATATTTTCAAAGGTCCTCTGGCACTTTGACCTGTCTATTTGTTCTGAGAGCAGGGAGTGGACGGATCAGAAGGTGTGGTCGTTGTGGGACAAGCCTCCACTCTGGATCAACGCAAAGAAGGTTGAACGAAAGTGACTTGTTCATGCATCTTGTACTCAATTCCTGTAATTGCGCTATTTTCCGAGCTAGAACATTGCTAAGCTCGGATTGCGAAGCTACTTATTTTTGTAGACGGGTAAACCTTTCCAAAACCGAGGACGCTCGGAAGCCAGTTCGAGCCTAGTACAAACAAGGAATTTGAAACACTCATCACTTGGCTGCACTAACCGCTCACGGTAGCATTATTCGCCAAGAGGTCACGAGTGTGCGCACGAGCCCTACAACCAATTCTCCAGGAGAGCATCGTCGAGCCACCTGCCATCTTCCACCAGCATGCTAAAGGGCGCTGGCTAACCACAAACTTGACTTTGGTAGTCTGACACTCCCAAGAACAGGCTAATCCGACAAAGGATCGAAAATGAAGATTCGTCAGACGACCGTCTGCCACACTTGCCGGTCCCGCAAGCTAGCAGTATGTTGCAAACGATTCGTATTTGGATCAATACATAGATGAGCTGATCCGAACTTCAAGTGTGATGGCAAGCGGCCGGCCTGCTCTCAGTGCGTCCTCAGAGGGCACAAATGTGCGGGGTACCAGCATGATTTGATCTTCGTCAGCCACGGACCGGCTAGTAACGGGATCTCCAAGCCATTCCGCCACTCCCAGCGGATGATCCACCCGACTCCGAAGCGAGACGCCTCACCAGGCGGCTCGGATATCTCGGAGAGCCTGTTGCCGAAGCGCGCCCCGCAATTGACATGGGAAGTTGTATTACACGTGCTCGCCAAAGAGTATGCGCCGGACTCGACGTTACTCTCATCACCGTACATATCTTACGCTCCTCAGGACTGCGTCTGTGGCATGTGGGTTGACAGGTTTCTCGAACTTCCTCCCTCGGCGGCGCAGGAGCCTGTTGTTCATGCTGCTTTGACGGCTCTTGGCGCCACAATTCTGAGCAGAGGGTCTCGGAAGAATGTGTTACAGGACATAAGACTCGATCTCCACATTTCCGCATTGCAACTCGTCGCAAAGGGGCTACAGGAATCAAAAAGGCCTCCCACACCTGAATTCTGGATAGCGATCCTGTGCTTAACCATGACTGAGGTAAGTAAAGCTGACATTCTAAGCACGGCCCCAAAAGGAATGACCAACATTGTGTATAGCTACTCTGTCCGACCTTCCCAACCGCATGGATGATGCACGGAAGCGGGGTAGCGGAGTTGCTGCGTATGTCGGGTCCAGAACACTTCGTATCCGGCGTGAATCATACCGTCTTTCTTCCGTGCAGATCCATGTTGGTAAGTGGCAGAAACTTATGTTGCGTAATGTTGAAGCGAAGTTGCATCTAATCTCTGCTGCAGATCTACCAAGGGATTCTTTCTCGGAAAAGCGTATTCGTAGCGTACGAGAAATGGCAAACGGTACCATTCTCCGTCCACCGACCGAACGAAATGCAGCAACTTCTCGGCGTTGTTGCCCCCGCCACTGCATTACTCGAGAAGCTCGACATCATCAAAGCTACTCCAAGCGATGTTGATATACGTGCCGCCCAAGACCTCCGCGAGCAATTCGTTGCCGTCTTTGCAGCGTTAGAGAAATGGACCCAAGGCTTCCATGTCCGCCATAGCCGCGCCGCACCGCTCTACTGGCAGCACAGGCAGCACTGCACACCATTCTCCGCCATGTCTCCTTCGCGACAGACATCTCAACGTGCAGCCAAAGAGGCGGTGGAAGCCACCTTGGGTGATGACGAAGGCGACATCTGGTTCCCCACAATCCTGACGGCCAATGTCCTGACCAACATCTGGTCATTCCGCGTCGTCATCCTCATGTCTCTTCTTACGCTTGACAACCTAATCTCCACATGCGCTAGATCTTCCCACTATACTGCAGCCACCGTAACTCTCGACCCTGAATCAAAACTGACAGAGGAGAGAAGTTCTACGGAACTTCTCGACCTAAATTTCCTGCCAGTCTCAACTTCTTCCTCCGCCTGTCCTCTGAGTAACCCTCTTGCCAGCAGCGCCAACATTCTCCGCATGGCACAGCGGATCCTCCAGAGCGTGCCATACCTCCTGCAACCCGGAGCAGGTTTCTACGGTGTGAGCGCGGCGGGTTTCCTGGTCAAGATTGCGCATGAGGCATACCAATTCGTGGCCAACAGGACCCAAGAATTCCAGCAGCAGCAGCAGCAGCAGCAGCAGCAGGAGCAGGAGCAACGACGGCAACATCGGCAGCAAGCTCGGAAAGGAATCAGGAAGTGCCAAGGCACGATACGTGAGCTGGAGGGCCGAGGATATCCCTATATGGCTTTGTTCAACGGGCGATATTGAAGCAAAACCGAGGGGCAGTCTTTAACTTTCAATTCGCTGGCTAGAATAGTAGAAGGCGGCTGTGCAAATGACATTTCCTGGATCACGACTCAATCTGCATTGGGTAGCAATGTACGAACCGTTTTGTTACCGCATTCATCGATCTTGGCCATGCACTCGTAAGTGGTTTGGCAACGATGCAGGCTTCGCTGGTTTTCATACTGCTGGAGGTGCTTTTACCGCTATCAATAATGTCATAAATGGCGCCGCGCAGTGTCTTCATACGCGTGCCAAAGTGGTATTCGATTATAGTAGAGCTTTCGACTTCACCCCACTAACGCCAACATCTGGCAACTTGAATACCCTTCTCGCATTGCCGCCCATAAAGTCTGCTACAACCTCCTTTCTCAACCCGCCCTCCCCCTCTATGAGATGCGTACCAACGCGCTCAACACACTCCTTCCATTCCAACTGCGGAAAGTTAGTCCCAAACATGACCTTCTTTCTCCCCGTCGTATTCGCAAACGTCAGAAACTCCGGGGGGTAGAACTTAGGCGACCAAGCACTCGTATCAAGATAGACATTCTCATGCTTCCACGCGACCGCCACCGCCTCGGCCGTCCACGGGTATCCCAAATGCCCACACACGATCTTCAACCGCGGAAACGCGAGCGCGACCTCGTCCACATACGGAATCGGCCGACCGACCTCGCTCGGGCATAGCGGGCCGGTATGTCCAATCTGCGTGCAAAATGGAACATCGAGTTCGATACACTTGACGTACAGCGGCAAATAGTGCTTATCGTTCGGCGGCAGGTTCCACAGCCAGGGGACGATGCGTAGGCCCTTGAAGCCCTCGGTGGTGACGTAGTGGTCGAGCTCTCTGACGGCGGCGACTAGGTCGCCGAGGAGGTCGACCGAGGCGAGGCCGAAGATGCGGGTTGGATACGCGCGCGTGTACTCGGCGACGGCGGCGTTGGAGAAGATGGTCTGGCCGGGGCGGTGCCACGCGGCAAGGCAGATCTGCGCCACGCCGGCGTCGTCCATCAAGGCGATGAGCTCGTCGGGGGTGAGTTGGCGGCGAGTGTAGTCGGGATTTGCATGGCTGTAGGCGAAGAGACGGGCGATTTCTGGTATGGGGTTCTGGAAGTTGAGGTATGAGGTATAAACCATCACCAATGGCTCTGGGCATTGACGCTACTTACACCAGTGGGGTTGGCCCAGACATCGACAATAGGACAGTTCAACATGTTGGCAGGCTTTAGAACGAATTCAATAGTGCCTAACCGAAGGCGTCAAAGAGTCGGCTAAATAGTAAGACTGTATTGAGATTAATCAACAACGAGATGCCTCGGTCCGAGCCAATGGCAATGAGAAGAATTCCCACCCCGCATTATGCTTTGAATTTAGGTTCACTTCGGCAGCCAATAGATGGTGTCGGCGGTATTTGCAGTGCTGACTACCATTGGAAAAAACAATGTCAAAGGCGTACTGGTCAGTCAGCCACCACACAGGTAGCTGATCTTACCATGTGGCAGACTCAATGCAGCGAAGCAGGTATATTTGGACTACCCCTGGAGATATTTGACAACACGAATGGAGAGATACAAGAAGGTCGGTTGCCGTATATTCTCGTTCGGTCGCCTACGACATGCTTGAAGCTCGCTCGCTGTCCTGGAAGGTCATTTCAGGGACCTCCTAAGCTGGTATTGGTCTTCCACTTCCTGCCAAATCACTTACCCGTTTATGGATGAGGTGGGCATCTTCACGCCTGGAATGGTGGGCCCTCTTACCTCCTGCGCATTACCATCGTTTTTCTTATCTTGGAGGCCCTAATGCTTTGGTACCTGTGCCCATTATACTGTTCATCAATGATATATAAATGCATGATGCCGATTCGACGCCTGAAAACCATATCGGAACGTGACAGTTTCCAATTATAATAGCGTAAGATCTAAAATCCGATTTATGGTCAGAAAGAAAGAACGATGGCAGATGGGACAATTTAAAATATACCCGGGAAGCAGGGCTCTGGAACACGGAACGGCGTACCATTGAACCGAACCTCCTCTGCAATTATTCACATCGTTGCTTTAAAGTTTCTGTGCACGAGGAAACGTCGGATAATATACGATCAAATCTACAGAAACACTCGGTAGGACTGCCTCCTCCATTATGGACTTGAATCTAAAAATTATTCGTGGATGTTCCAGCCTTCAAACTCGAGATCGAGGATAGAAACGGTTTGAATCTGGTTCTCAAGCCCGCCGACAGGCATGAATTAACATTTGAGAGAAGAGTATCATTCTTTGCGCCGGCACAGTCAATGCAGCCGCCATCACACGCCAAGGCAACCATTCAGATAGGCTAGACTGTCCTGCCATCGAAGGGGTTGAACGACCATAGAATATAGACGCCAAGATATTGGAAAAGCTCTATTCAAGACTGATAAAAACAGGATCTTGAACCTGGGCAGATATCCTGCTATGTCCCAGTCCACGTCAATCAAATTTTACTGATTGTCTGCATGCATGCTGAAAGGTTCTTCTCTCCCAATTTGGCCAATAGTTCAGGGCTTCAGAAAGGCAAGGAAAGACCTCCGGCCAACTGTCACAACATCATGCTCGAATTTGACACTGAATTGAACGATTCCGGGTGAATGGATTGCAAGAATGAGAAGGACTCAACGGTGAAGATTTCGTGCCAGCGACTCGATGGTAGCCAAGAATTTAAGACCAATCTGCGCAACCTATCCCAACGCATACGCACAGCGTTTCGATTCACCAAAAACTATGGGTCTACAACGGACCATGATATGCCTATTCTTCAGCGCTTTGAGTCAGTTGCTCCCAAAGTTAGCGCCATGCGCATAGAGAGTAATAACAGGCCCTCGGACGGAGATGGCGATTCGTGCATCCCTCGCCAAGGGCTTAAGGCATCCCGAAAGCCAAGTGCGGTGAAACAACGCATTGCTCAGATGCCAGGAGTCGTGGCAAAAAGTATATTTACGAAGGCAATATCACCCAATCCAAATCATTCAGGCGGGGAGTGTTGAATCAGGACCTACAAATGAAGGGCTTCGGCGACCTCTATGTTTGCGATCTATCTGTTTTTCCATTCAGTCCAGCCACAAATCTATCACTCACTTTGACGACACTTTCTATGAGTTTGGAAGATCATCTGGCAAAGTAGGACTCGGGTTTCAGTTCAGGTGCTTCGTTAGCGTTTGGACACGAATTGGCCAGAAAAATTGCTTCATGGCGCCAAAGAAACAAAATTGTAGCAATTCTCCATTCTATTGGTTGCTGGTTAAGCTCATCTTATTTCTGCCACGTTGCTTCGAATATTTATTTCTACAAATTGAAATCTATCTTCGTCTATAGTCGTTTCACAAGTCCAAATAATCCATCGCGTCGTTTTTTATAGCTGAATATTACCTTGTCAGGTATTGCCGATTAGCGGGTGTGTGAAAGTGTGCAGCATCTTCAGCATGGATTTAGGCTAAATTGGCCTGCGATTCTCTATCTTCGGGTAGAGATGCCAGTGTTCGTCCTTATCGAGTGCTACGCGCGAGGTCGAGTCAAGCTTCGAACGCCTGTGCACCGCGGCTTGCTGTCATATCCGCGCCCGAAGACGGTCATGACACTGCCACGGCTGGGCAATAATGTGCTGTCTTGCCAACGTCAATGCCGGCGTGGCGTTGTCGCTGATCGGGCTGACGATCGGGTCAGCACAGACACCTAACCGAGCCGAACCCTGTTAATTAGCTCAACAGCACTCCCCAAAAAATTGCAGGGATGGCTTGTAGGGGTCAGTAAAAGAGATGGTAATGTCTCCCTTCTGGTCAACTACTAGGCCTTCCAGACCGTCAAACGTGGTAGTCTACATCGTTGCATCGTGGAGGCCGAAACACTACAATGTCGTTGTTCCAGACCCATGTTTCTAAATTACTTTAAGAGATTTATGCTTACATCAATAAGCCGTCGAGCTTAAAAGCACCTCAGAAATATACATTTCCCTTATTTGATTAGGAGAACTATCGAAACGTTAGGCCTCGTACAAGAACGATCTCAATTTCTCGATGGAATGTTAGATTCAAAAGTATTTACTCCGGTCCTCCAAGCAACTGATATTTATTACAGAACGTGCAACACGATGCTGTAAGGCCAACCAAAGATCTGCTCGCAGTCATGACTAGAGTTTTTCTTCGCAATTCCTGTGACCAATGCCGCCAGGCCAAGGTTCGATGCGCATTCGAGCCTCCAACGAGCTCGTCCTGCCTCCGGTGCATCCGCCGCGGCAGCGATTGCACCCGCCATCCACCGCTACCACTCGGCCGGCGACCATCGGCATCCAGCTGCGGCATTCGCCGACGACGGAAGAACTCGACGCGTGCCAGCGGGGCGCCCCCAAGTTCCAAGCACGAGCCCATCACTCCAGAGTCAGCCAGCACCATGTTGGGCAGCCTCAGCAGTCCCACGATTCCCCATGGAGGTGGTCTGGCCTTCTCGATCGGCACGCCCCCAACAAGCGGAGACAGCTCCATGGGCATCGACGCGAACTGCTGGTATCGACCCACCCCCTCCGCCACATCCGCCACTACTACTGCTACACCGCATGAGCGGCTGCTCGCCGCGGCCACCAACCCTCCTCCGACAACGGACGCTTCAGGTTCGACAAGCGAATACGCGACGCTCCCGCTCGAATGGTTCAACATCGATATCATCCAGACCCCGATCTGCGTCAGCCCCCCGGACGAGCGGAGCGGGAGGAGCCTGCAGCCGCCGTCGGCTACGGCTGCGGCAGAGGAGGCTCTGCTGCCGCCGCCGCTGCCCAGATCGCCGCCTGGCCGTGGGCGCCGTGGACCACTTCTTCCCGGATGCGAAAGCGAGGGAGGCTTGTTTCTGCGAGACGATGGCGCAGCTTGTCAGTGTAGCGAGGACGCCGCCGACGCCATGGCAGCGCTGCTGCAAGGCGGCCGCGTTGTTACGGCGCTCGACCATGTGCTGCGTCACGCAAATGCCGCAATGGCGGTGTTGGCGCGGTTTCTCGTCTGCCGTGGCCGTCACCAGGAGTCAGACCTGCTGCTGATATGCTTCTTGGCCCAGAAGGTGGTCACCGCGTATCGCCAGGCGCTGTGCACGTGCGGCGCATCGGTAAGGAACGGAAGCGGCGTCCAGATCCCGGAGATTCGGGTCGGATCCTATAGGATCGTAGGCGAGGATGGACTACTGTTGATGCGGCAAGTGGTGGTCGTGGAGCTCCGGCGACTCCGGCGAATGGTCGAGCAGCTGCGGGAGACGATGCGAGACGGGGGTCGTGGCGGCTGCGCTAACGCCCACTCCTCTTCTCTACTGCAAGGCTTCCTGCAGGCAGAGCTTAAGAGCGTTCTGGCGCAGGCGGGATAGCGTCATGGCGGCGGCCGTGGGACGGAAGGATGCCGTTCCCGGCTCAGGCCGTGCCGTTTTAAAGGATTGCGGGTGGCTTGCAGTTTGAACGTGCCCACAGCTGACGCGAGCCTTGCGGGCTGACAGAACATGCTAGATCGTGATCAACGGGTTAGTAACGGAGGCGAGGCCGTTTAGCTTGACGTAAGGGAAAAATTACAGCGAGATAAGCAAGCATAATAATGGTGGGTCCAAGATATTGGCATGTTCTGGACCGGTTACTGCAATTGGACAAGTTTCAGAGTCTAGGCCTCCATGCATGATCCGTTCTCGCGGTGGGGTGTTTTCTGTGGTAGCAAGATCTAAGCCTCGGCGTTATAGTGCCTGATTGGCAGCGATCACCTTTACATATCGAGATTTGTGCTCGAGAAGCGGTAAGCCTTGACACGCCGTGCCACAAGCAGAGCAGAAGTGTCCGGTAGATCATGGCGCCATTTGCAACAAAACGGGGTGCGGGACCCTGGATGCCAAGGACGCGGAAACTTGCCTACTTACCACAAAGAGGGTCTTGGATGGCGGATCGGCCCACCAACCCGAAATCCCGATGGTAGGGAACCTCGGGACTACCGCCTTTTCCGTAAGAGGATTCAGCCGCTTACGACGCACTGTGGCTTCTTGGCTGCCTGGCTGCGGGCCGTTCCAACGCTAGCGCTCAGGGACCGGTTTACGGCTTGTGTTCTAGCGCCTAGTTTTAAAATTTTTTATCCACCACGTTTTAATATTTAGATGGTGGCGATTCGTGTCTCGTATAACAGGTGCGAGAGCTCATAAAGGTAATCAGTAGAGAATGTCACGAAGTCGTTGGCCACAAATTAAGTATCAGTCGTTTGGCTGTGAGAGGTTTACAGTGCCAGTATACTAGCTGTAAGCCGTAGGAATTGGAAAGGCATCGACTTTTCTACAGCCATCGACCACATTCGAGGAGGGTGCTGCATTCCGAAATGTTGCTCTGTGCGCAACCCAGCCCCTGCAGGTTACGCCGGTCCCCCCGCCGACAGATGTAGGCATCAACCAGACCCCTGGATCAGCACGTGTGCTTGACAAGGGCATTCCGCCAATCAAAGTCCTCGTCTAAAGCATGCAGCAGGCGACGGACATGAGGCTGGGGATACGATTGCACGTACTCGGCTGGGATGCCTAATGCAGCGTTTTAGAAAAGTCAGGACCCTAGAGACTTGCATGGGCCACAATCCTTCGAACCTCACTATGCAACACCTTGGTTGGTTTTCCCCGGGGCGACTAGACGATAGTATAAAATACGACTACCTGAGTCAATGGAAGCTGTCGCAAGCCACGGAGTTCAGGAGGCGACTAGCTATAAATGCTTTTGCAGGCCCAATTCTATCGTTCGTGCGTAGCCTCGGAGAATTTGTTTGAGCAATGTCCAAGGCCCCTAAAAAGTGGACTCCGGAAGAGGATAGAATTCTTCTGCATCAGATATCGCTCGCCGGTACGTCGTTACCAGGCACACTACACCGGTCCCGACTGTCTAACACCCCCCTAGCCAGCCAAGGAAAAGCAAAGGACTGGACTGCCATTGCTGAAGCGCTCCCCGACCGGAGCAACAAGGATTGCCGGAAGAGATGGTGCAACCACCTCATTGGCGGTCTCCGCAAGGGCGCCTGGGAGCCGAGCGAGGATCAGCGTCTTGCCATTGGTGTCAAGGAGCATGGGCAGCAGTATACCTCACTTGACGAGCAAAGTAATGATATTCGGTCGTACTGACACCCCGTACAGGTGGCCGCTCGTTGCCGAAGAAGTCGGAACTCGCAGCGCAGATCGTGAGTAGCATTCCCAGTTGTCTCTGGCCAACTTTACTGACTGGAAATTAGAATGCGCGAAAAGATGGCATCACTCACTGAACCCGGATCTGGATCACAGCAAGTGGACACAAGAAGAGGTGCGGAGCAACGCCTTCCTCCGAGGAAACAGGGGCTGACCTGCCAAATTTCAGGAGCGAACACTGCTACATGCTGTCGAAAAACACGGACGCGCGTGGAAGGAAATCAAGACAAACTACTTCCCGGGAAGAGCAACCAACAACGTGAAGAACCGGTGAGCGTTCCGTCTCTCCCACGCTGCCTGTAACGCGGTTCCTAATCACAACGCCAAGGTATGTGACATTGACCCGAAGACGAGGATCTCGAGCGGGATCAGACACCATCCAGACATCCCAACGAGCCGGAGATGGCGAAAGCTCGGACGATGAAAGCGAGAACTCGTCGGATGAGCCTGGCGACACGATCGCGGTTCAGCTACCCCAGGCGGAGGCGAACTCGTCGGTAGCACCCCACGACATCATGAATACCACTGCAACCACTCCCTTCGATATTGACATGTTCGCAACAACCGATGCGCCCAGCGTGCAGCCGTTTGGTGCCATAGACGTGCCCATGACATCAGGAGATGCATTCATGTCCATGACAGCCATGGATTTCGATATTCCAATGGATATCCCCGGACTGGATGATTCCTCAGATCTGACAACCACAAGCAGTTCTGCGATTCACAATGGCGATTTGCCTGATCCATCCTCGGTATTTCAATTTGATCCAGAGCGCGATCCACAGGGCCTTCGCCTCGATATGACCTTTGATCCGCAGCCGTCACACCAATTCGTTTTGTCTATCGAGAACCCGTCAATGGAGACGGTCACAGGCGTCATGGGAGTGCTCGTGCATTCGAAGACAAAGTTCCGCATTGAGATGAAGTAGATTTCGTAGAGCGTCTGGTGTTTTGGGAGTTTTGATTTGAGGAATTGGAACTGGCACAGGAAGGACAAGAGCTATCTGCGGCAATAGAAACATCGACATTTAGCATGAGCGCTTCAACATTGCTACGCGGTGACTATCATGATTGGAAACGAATGTGGATAGGAAAGGGAAGTCACTACTCCGTATAAATAGAAATACTGTTTGGCGCGTCACAGCAGCTCTGAATCCGGCAAGACAACCTCGACCAATCCGACCTGGCTCCTGCAGTCCCAGATCTTGCGCAGCCGCAGCCCTGCACGCTCGATGATGTCCTTGAACTCGGCTGGAGTGCGCTCAATGCCGTTGATGATGGACATCATGGCCAAGTCCCGCTGGTGCGAGTACCGCATGTAGTAGCCCCAGTTCGCCGGGAGCGGGGCTGGCGCCGCTGGCAATTCCGAAGTTCCCAGAGTAGTGTTCATCACTTGGTCGCTGTGGTGTGTCAGTATCATCGGCGTGGAAAGTGGACGGAGAGCATGCTCACCAGATCAGAATTCTCGACTTCGGGCCCATGCTTGGGCGGATGGCCGACAATATCTGAACACAGTAGTCATCTGACCAGTCATGGATAATGTAGCGCAGCCAGTACACCTCTGCACCTTGAACTGGGTTCTTGTCGAAGAAGTTGTGCGGAGTGAATGTAACCCTGCCCTCCTGCAGAGCAGAAGGATTCTCCTTGGGCCACACCTCGGACTCCGCTTGCTTCAACACGGGAGCTCGGTCTTGCACGACGAAACGGAGGTTCGGATACAGGTGGGAGAGCTGCATGGAGAAACCGCCGACGCCTCCACCAACGTCGACCACCGTGGCTCGTCCTAGAGAGTCCCACGGGTAGTCTTGCCAACCAGTTAGCCGGGGCATCAGAGAATAAGCTCTGAGGCATATATGACTCACCGTACAGGTGCGCCTTTCCAAACACGCGTCCGCCTCCAAGCATGGCAAGACCAAACACGGCGTGCTCAGGCCGAGGGACCAGCTCCTCGGGAGATTTTCCCGCCACCGCCTTTTCCAATTCTGCGCCAAAGGGACCAGGATACGCGCTGTCAGTCTCGCCGGAACCGCAATTGCCATCCTGAAGGCTTTTGACCGTGACCTTCTCCTCGAGCCACTCCCACCGGGGCTTCGATGTATTGACTGCAGCTTGAAACGCAGTCTGCTTGACGTCGTAGGAGGAGCCCTGTCCGGAAGTGCTAAGGTATCGTGGAAGGTAGTCGGAGGCGCTGTACAAGTCAAGGCCACTGGGAAGAGCCGGATTAGAAAGCAACACTTGAAGTGAGAACGCCGTACAAATACTTACAACAGCAGAATGTATGCCCGGAGTGGCTCATTCCCCACTAATGCCGCGGAGACGTTGTTATTGGCAAACGTGTTTGCAGAGGTTTCGCGGAAGATGTGGAGGGAACAGAGACAACGCAATATGCGGGCTACTAAAGTCAGCTCGACTCGCGTGTAATCAGAGAGAATGGGCCAACGCACATAGCTTTCGAGATTCGATGCCAACCGCAGCAGAAAGAGTGTCGATGTGCACACCTGCAGCAGGGGATGCAGCCAGCAGATCAGGGATACGCTTGTCTGCAGCGATGTGCAAGCACCTTGCTTCGTAGTACTGGGATGACACTTCTAGAAGCCTGCCGCTTGGCTGGCTCACAAGCTCCGTCAGCTTCCCCGCCGCGGAGAGCAATGTCCTTTGCGCATCGAAGAGTCGCTTGTCAGGGACGGTCGAGTCTGTGGCGACGCGCTTGTCGATAGATTCATTCAGCCCCAGAATGGCGTTGATGGACGATTGAATAAGGTTGCCAAGCTGGCGGAGTTCGGAGGCTGCGTTAGAATCCATGCTGAATTTTAGCGAAGCTGACGGTATTGAGAAACTGGAAAAATTAACAAGTCCCAAGAGCAGAATGGGCTTCAGAGTATATCAATTCAAGAGTTGAGACCAGAGTAAGATACTTGGAATGGAAATACAATGGTGGACAACAGGAGCAGTGGTGGTGTGAGTGCACGGGACCGGAGTACTACACTGAGCTCGACCTGTGCAAAGAAATACTGACAGTGCAGCCGCCATCAACACTGCACGTCCAACCAGCAAGCATGGCTAAAGCAGTTTCTCCTCACACGTGGCAGCGAGGCTTCAGGGAGCCTGCGTCGGGTACTCCATGGCAGTGGGGCCCGGACGAAAACGACGGGCCGGAACAGTACGTCACGCCTCCCTCCAAGGAAGTAGTGTCCTCGCCAGTGCACAATGATCTTGGAATCAATGTGCAACGCACATGGCCCACGCTCTACGATGGTACAAACAATCCACATGGAATTCCCGACTGGTGGAAGCCTGCGAGCGAAGTAGATGTGCTCATCTGCGGCGGTGCGTCTACCATCCACTGCATCTGGTATCTTCAAAGCTGACTCTCCTGCAGCCGGACCAAGTGGGCTAGAAGTAGCCCTCAGCCTGGTGAGACAGGGAGTGTCCTTCCGCATTATAGGTGAGCCAAAGCCAACACCAGTTCTACGGCTCCATAGCGTTGACACCAGTACTATGCAGACAAAGCAGAAGGCCCTCTCGACGCGGGCCGCGCAGATGGAGTGCAGCCCCGTTTCTTGGAGATCCTAAACTCATGGGGCCTGGCGAAAGAGGTGGCTGAAGAAGGGCCCATCATCGAACGCACGGCCATCTACAAGGACGGCAAGAAGCTGTGGTTCTCGCGCTCACACCAGTGTGACTCGCGCTACCGTGGTCTGCACATCATCACCCAGGGCCAGGTTGAGCGCATTTACATCCGCGATCTTATGCGCCACCGGGTGCTGGTTGAGCGTAACAGCACGTTAAAGGACTTCCATGTCTCAGAAGACCAGCCATATCCCGTGCAGATGACGCTTAAAAACGAGCGCACCGGCGCCGAGGAGACAATTAAGGCGAAGTTTCTCGTTGGCAGCGATGGAGCGGCCAGCATGATTCGCAAGAAGCTCTCCATTCCTTTTGACGGTATGAGTACCGACATCTACTGGGGGATCATGGATTGTGTTTTCGAGAGTGACTATCCCCACGCTTGGGTGTTTGGGTACGTCTCTTTTGTCATATTTTCTTAGAACGCTACAGCTAAAGGTTGTCAACAGGTCAGTCATTAGCTCCAAGCATGGCGGCTGTGTGATAATTCCGAGAGAAGACGGGTACATCAGGTTGGTGCAGCAATTCAATTCTTGAGTACAGCTGAAGCTTACCAGCAAATAGATTGTACACTCAGCTCGATGTCTCACAGACTGGCCCAATTGCAGCTTCCCGCCAGGCTAAAGACCCGTCGTTTGCCGAAGCAGGTGGCCGTGTTGACGTCCACTCCATCACCCCGGAAGAGGTTCTTGAGCAGGCCAACAGGATCTTTTCTCCTTACAAACTCAGATTTGCCTCTTCACTTAGCTGGTTCGCCGTGTGGAAGAGTATGTTTTGTTGCATTATTGCCCACAAGCACTGCTGATGAGATGACAGTATCTGAGCGAGTGGCGAGAACCTTTTCATCCCCCGATCTCCGTGTGCACCTGGCTGGTGATGCAGGGCAAGTACCAACTGTAGCCCATGCCCCAGAGTATATGCTAATCAAATGTATAGTCATGTTCACAGTGTCATGGGAGCCTTCGGGCTCAATGCTTCCATCATGGACTCGAGCAACCTGGCGTGGAAGATGGGCCTGGTCGCGCAGAACAAAGCCCGTCTCGAGACGCTCATGCCAACCTACAATCTTGAGCGCCGCGAGCATGCCTGCCGCATCATCGAAACCTCTGGCGAGTATCTCCGCTTCGTCTGCGCCACCGACCTCTCCATCGCCAACGTCCGCAACCCCGAAGGTGCTGAAGTGCGCACTGATGGAACTACGACGAACGGAACGACCAAGAACGGCACGATAGCGAATGGTACAGCAACCAACGGCACGAACAAGCCGCAGACCCGCGAAGACGACCTCAAATTCCTGTCTTCCTTCTTCGCCCGCAACGGCCAGTTCCTCCTGGGCGTCGACGCGCCCTTTCACGCCTCCGTCCTCACCCCAGCACAGGCGGAGCAGAAGACAGCCCCACCACTCGCCGTCAACAACGGCGTCCGCGCGCCCAACCCGCGCGTCTGCTTCTCGACCAACGAGACGGGCTACCTGTACGACGTCCTCGCCGGCGCCGCGCGCTTCCACCTCGTGCTGTTCGCGTCCACCCTGGGCGGCCGCGAGGTGCGCAGGCAGCTGTGCCGCTTCGCCGAGAAGGCGCTGAGTCCCGATGGCTTCTACCACCGGTACGGCGGCACCGAGCGGTTCAACTTGGTGCTCGTGGTGAAGCGGCTCCCGTGGGAGATGGACGAGGTTGTGGGAGGGAGTCAGGAGTTGGAGGCTTTGAGGAAGTGTGCGACGGTTGTGTATGATGACCGTGCGCCGGATGAGGATGCTCATACGACGTGGGGCGTGAACCATCGGACTGGCGCACTGGCGATTGTGAGGCCTGATTTGTGGGTTGGGATGGGGGTGCAGCCGGGCGAGGTGGAGAGGGTGGAGGAGTACTTTGGAGGTTTCCTTCTTTCTTGCAAGGCTCGTGAGACTGAGGGTATGTGACCGTGGACGGAGAATGTTGTAGTTAAGTTGTTGAAGTTACGAATCTACTCTTTGCAAAACAAGTCACAGTGCAAACTCCAGGAACATTTCATAGTGATTCAAGACTCGGTTGTTTCTACAGAGAATTACTCGAAAAAAGACAGCATGTCCGGCCAACCATTCTGCACGGCTCCTTTTGTGGCTAATTACTGTTGGAACTATTCCCGTCCAAGTCAACTCAAGAACAGAAAATATTTCAAATGTATTCAAGATTTCCGGACGCATATGCATGACCTAGCAGCCCTTTGGATTTTATTTACGCTGTTAAGTTGGGATTTCTGATGCCCTTTGAAAAATTTGCAGTCGAATTTTACAATCAAATATATCGGCTCATAGTTTATCATGTCTTTAGTGCTTCCAAGGACGATCATGTCTAAATGTGGAAGCATTATAAGGAAGGCGAAGATAAACGGTTCGCATGATTCAGCAAGCAGGCTTGGCGGACCGGAGTGCGCGTAGGCCAGAGTGATGCACATGTGTTATCAGTTGTGACGCCAATTATTGAAATTGATCAATTGTCATTCTGTATCTTACTGTTCTATAACTAACAGAAACGGACTGAGAAGAAATAAATCTGAAGAATGCACAAAATAATCCTCAATCTATGTGTAGGGTAGCGCGGAATATATACCCATTAGCAGGTAACAAACAGCAAAAAGCAAACAAAGAGAGGCGAATATCATGGAATCCACTTGATACTTCGTGAGAATCGTCACAGCCCTGCTTCCAGAATCCGACACGCCTCCTTCAGAGCCGAAGAAACGCTCTCAACCTAAGGGAACCGTTAGTCAGAACGAACAAACCATACAAAGGGAATGGGGGATGGAACTCACATTGTTCGGCGCAAACAAATCAAAGTGATCACCGTTCACATCCAATACCCGTACTTGGCCTCCAACCAATCTCTCCCACACCTTCACAGACTCAATTCTCGCCCCCTCATCACTCAGCCACGGATATGACACACCACAGAGACCCTGTGTATCAAATGTGCGCTTGCACTTCAGCATCACGACAGGGACGTCTGCACCAGCCGGACGCGGCTTGTACCGGCCCAGCAGCTCGGCGTTGCGGCGGAACTGCGCTTCGACGCAGCCACGCGTCTTGGAGGCATTGGCCCCGGCTCCGCGGCCGGCAATATGCGAGATAACGGCCGAAGGGAGAGGCACATGGTCGACGGGGGCGGGCGAGTCAATGAGAACGACGCCCAGGACAGCACGCGGAGAGCGGCTCTGACGGAGCTGCCGGGAGACCTCGAACGCGAGCACGCCGCCGAATGACCAGCCTGTTCGTGGTGTGATTGTCAGCATTTTTTTTTGCCCGGTTTTAGCCTAGAGTGAAAGGGTTTCTGCTTACCGCCAAGGACGATGGGCTCGGTGTGATTCATCAAGCCAGAACGCTCGATGTAGAGGGCCGCCAGATCTTCGAGGCTCTGTATCGCCGTGTCCACACCGAAGAAGTCGAGGGCGAAGATGCCGCGCACACGCCGGTCTAGCGGTGCCAGGCGCGCGTACGGGTTGCACAGCCCGCTCCCGTCGTGGAACAGGTACAGCGGGCTGCTCATCAGCCCGGAGTATCCCGACTGCTGCTGCAGCTCAGCGGGGAACTCGGACACGCCGGGAGGAAAGGTGGGGGGACGATCATTGGAGTCCCTGAGGGATGATGAGAGCGCCGCCGATGATGCCGATGATGACTGCGGCGGCGACGTGCCGATTGCCGCGGGCTTCTCCCCGCCACACACCAGCTCTTGCAGCTGGCGGACGCGCAGAGCGGGCACTGCGGCGTGGCTGTCGTCGCCGAGCTGGATGCCGAAAGTGTTGGCCAGGCCCGTTGCCAGCTCGATAGACAGTAGCGAGTCGACGCCGAGCGAGGCCAGGTCGGCATCTGGGTCGACGTCGTGCAGTGAGAAGCCACATATCTCCCTGCAGAAAGCGTCGAGAGCTTCTACGTCGTTTGAATTGGCCTCGTCGACCGGAGACACGCAGGTGCTGCGGCTGGCGTAAGTCTCGTCCTCGCTAGATTCGGATGGCGTTGGCACTCCTCGCACTTCCCCCGAGGCGCCAGCGATGACCTGCTCAATCTGAAGCAGCGTGGTGCAGTCCTCCAGATCGGCTTTGGATATTCTCAGGTGGGCAAACTCCTGTTGCAACGTTTGCACCAGCTCAATGAACATCAGAGAGTCAATGCCCAGATCATCCAGAGTGCTGTGTGGATCGATCGAGCCTTTGATTCCGCACACCTGAGCAACCTTCTCATGAACTGCACGAGAAGCACTTGGCTGGCTCTTGGGGCGGCTGACAGTGGCCAGAACCGGGGCACGAGGGGTATGGCTTGGTCTGGCTGCCTCCAAAGGTCTCTGTATGGCGCGGGCGAGGTGAGCCTGGAACGCCTTCAGACGAAGCCGCTTGAAATGCATGCCATGTACTGCAGCCAACACCTTCCCGGTGTCGTCGAGCGCATATGCGTCACCAATGATGTCGTCGTGGCATTCGACAAGGCTGCAGTAGACACTCATTTCCTGCCCGTATATCGCCATGTTGTTGGCTGGAACCGTGACGCGCTCTACCTGGACGCAGATGCAAGCCTCGTCCGGTCTGATTTTACTGTTGGCGATGAAGCCTGCTGCATGGAGAAGAGTATCGGTGAATGCAGGCGGGCAGACGAAGCCTGGCACCCCCTCCTGAGGCAGCTGGAAACTTCCATATCCCTCGAGGCCGGATGTCGTGATGCTGATCTCCTTGAGCGAGAGATACGGACCGGAGTAGGAGACTACGCGGGGGAAAACCACCTCGTAGATGATCCGCGACGAGAACCTGTCTGCTAATTGAGCCGATGCCCGCTGCCGCTTGATGTACGCTGCTCTGCGTGTGAATTCCTTCTCGATGGCCGCGTCAGTCACGTCTGCCGCTGTCCCCGAGCAATGCGGACTGCTGCTGTCTGATTTCACTTGGAACGCGCTGCCATCTGCACCAATGCTGGTGAAAACGCTGTAATCTGCGTCATCTGTGTATACAAGGGGCCTCTCGAAGGTGATGTCCGTGAGCTCGTGGAAAGCCCGTTGGGATTCGCCTTGTCGTGAAGAGTTCAGTGCCTCGAGTGCCAACTCAATGTAAACCGAGGCCGGGCAAAGTGGCGATCCGCCTACTGAATGTGCCTTGATGAAATCCTGCAAGTCCGACACCTTGGCTTCAAATGTGGCGACGCCTGCATTGTCGCGAGTGTGGTTTCCGTTTAGGAATTTGAATGGAGACTCGGATGGACGAGAGTCTTCAGTCATGCCCGTAAGACTACTGCTGATTGGTTCCTTGTATGGAACTACAAACGTCGATAGCGAGAGGGGATATCGTGGAATGTCATCCAAAAACGTTGCACCTGCGCCACGATATACCTCTCGCCACCGGATCGACTGCCTTTGCAGATGCAGTGAACTCAGAGCGGAGCTGAGGCTGACCCATGGCTTCTCGGTGGGCTTGAGTGAAGGGAAAAAGGAGGCTTCCATGGTCTTGAGGGTCGACTTTGCCATGGGAAGAGCTGTTATCCGTGTATTAGCTTTAGTCTGTGTTGTGAAAGGACTGGAACTTACTGGTTGCTGCGGGGCCAATTTCCAAGAATACCGTGTTGCGGTCATCCATTGCCCCAGCCACGCAGCCGAGTGCTGCCTCGAACTCGACCGGATTGCGCGTGTGGTTGGCAAGGTACTCCGCATTGATGTCATCAGCCTGCAAAAGCTTGCCGAGACAGCTTGAGGCCACTGGAATATTGGGAACGCTGACAGTGACTTTAGACGCAGCCTGCGTGTACTTGGACATTATTGGATCCATGGCGGCGGAATGGAAACCGTAGGGGACGGCAAGCTGTTTGGCTCTGATGCCGGCTGACTTGCAGAAAGCCACGAGGTCCTTGAGCTGGTCCAGCGGCCCGGCAACAACGCAATCGCTGGTGCTGTTCTTGCATGCAACGGTGATTGAACACAGTCGAGCGTTCTGTTCAGAAAGGAGAGCCTGCATCTTTGCTGTAGGGATGTTGCAGGCCACCATACCCGAAACAGCGGGAGCGCACAGCTCGGTCATCAACTTCGCTCGCGTGGCCAGGAGGAGCAGGGAATCACGCATTGACAATGCACCTGAGATGGCCAGGGCTGCGAACTCTCCAACACTGTGACATATTAGCGTCTTGCCTATATGGTCTTGGGTGCTCTGAGATGTTACCTGTGCCCAATCAGCATGTCTGGCTGCACGCCCCACGACATCCACAGCTTGGCCAGGGAATACTCCAGGACAAAGCAGGCGCACTGTGCCACGACAACCTGTAACTTCTCGTCGAGCTTGCCGAATCTCCCGTCGTCGTCCCCAATGAGCGTTTCAACACTTGGGAAGCCCGCGTCAGTCAGGACGCTGTTGCACAGAAGTACTTGTTCGGCGAAGACTGGAGCTGTCGACAGCAGCTCCGCACCCATGCCCGGGTAGACGGCACCCTGTCCCGAGAAGACAAACACATTGGCGCTTCCATGTGGGGGCGGCGACCACCGGCTCGGGCATTCTGCTTGCTGCAACTTCCGCAGCAGCTCGTCTGGGGAGCTTCCCGTGACTGAGATGCGATACATGTCGTATTCCCGCCTTCTGGCATTTGCAGACCAGCAGAGGTTGGTGGGATTGCTCTTGGCAGTGCTCCTGCCGATGTACTCGCAATAGGCCTCTCGCAGCCGTTCCAAAGCATCCGAGGTCTTGGCTGAGATGTTGAGGACATGGCAGGAACGAGCAGGTGAGACGTTCCGGTGCGGTGGCGCTTGGTACTCCTCAACTATCAAGGCTGCGTTGGAGCCTGCAGCGCCGAAGTTGTTAAGAAGTGCTCGTCGGGGTGAATGGCCAGGGGCCTGCCATGGGCGAGCTGTGGTGGGAACGACAATATTGTGCTGTTCAATGGTCGCCAGACGGGGGTTGAGTGTCTTGAACGAGGCTTGCGGTGGGATCTGTTTCTGCTGCATCATGAGAAGCAGCTTTGACAGCCCCGCAGCACCAGAAGCTGCTTCGCAGTGGCCCATGTTGCCCTTTATCGACGACAGGAAGAGGGGGTTCGTTGGTGATCGCGACGGTCCAAATGCGGCCTGCAGACTGCTTACTTCTGCAAAATCTCCCGCTTGTGTGCCAGTTCCATGCGCCTCGACGACGCTGATAGTGCTAGGGTCAATCTTCGTCTTGTTGAATAATTGTTTGAAGAGGCGAGCTTGCGTTTCCGCATCCGGGTGCGTGATAGACTTGGCAGTTCCACACTGGTTGACCTCAATGCCCCGGATGACGCCATGGATGCGGTCTCCCTCAGCAACCGCGTCCGAGAACCGTTTGAGCACGAACAGTCCACAGCCCTCGGCGCGACAGTATCCGTCTGCAGACGCATCCCATGGCTTGCATTGTCCCGTTGGGCTGAGAAAGTGTGCGCGAGAAAGACCGAGGTACATCTGAATACATCAGCAAATGCATGGCAGCGGGATGGTGGTGATTGAGGCTTACATCGGGACTGGAGATGACGTTGACGCCTCCTACAAGCGCTGAGCTACAGTCGCCAGCCTGTAGAGCTCTGCATGCCTGGTAGAGCGCCACTGCCGAGGAGGAGCACGCTGTATCGATGACCACGGAGGGACCCTTCAGCTGGAACGCGTACGAGATACGCCCACTGAGAAATGCCCGCAGCGTTCCTGCGGAGATTAAGCCAGCTGTCAGTCAAGGGGAGAGCTGTGTTGGTTACACACCTGGGCTGTAGTAGACGTCAATATCATCGCGTGTGTTGTCTGTGTAGTCTCCGGTGGCAACGCCAACGTACACGCCCATGCTGTCTCGGCAGAAAGACTCAGTGGCATCCGGAGAGTACCCTGCGTCCTCCAGTGCATCGAGGGCTGCAAGTAGAAGAAGACGTTGTTGGGGATCCATCGACTTGGCCTCTCGTGGCGAGATCTGGAAGAAGCCGTTGTCAAACTCGAACGGATTCACCAGAAAATTGCCGTGTTTAGAGCTGAGCTTCCGCGTCGCCTGCTTCCTATCGGCATCCTTCTCGTAGTAGTCAGAGATTTGAAATCGAGATGCCGGTATCTGAATACTGGTCAGCACGAACCATACCAGCCAATGCAGGGAAAGGAATTTACCTCTTGCAAAGCACTCAGACCTTTCTCTAGAGTATCCCATAGCTCCGCCGTTCCTTTGCCGCGTGGAAAGTTGGCACTCATGCCCACAATTGCGATGTCGTTCGGTGATGGCGCTGACTCGACGTTCGAAATTCCATCCGCGATGCGCAGGCGGTCGCAGCTCTTGTTCTCTTTGAGAGCCCTCAAGAGAGACTTTGCATTTGGTCCCAAGGCCAGGATTCGGTACGACAGATTGATGTCTTCATCCAGCCTCGCATTCGCGAAGGATACCAGTTTTTGTGATGCCAACCACCAATCAACAGGTCGGACGAGTATGCTCTGCAACGCAGCTTCCAACAGGGAAACCCCATGACCCGCTGCATTCAGGTACTCTCCATCACACGTCGAGCGGACCGGTACCTGCAGTGCTTCCCAGGCAGGGAAGTTGATTCCCCGCCGCTGGACGTCATCCAGGACCTGTCTCTGGGTGTCGTGCAGTACAGGCCCGCCATGATAATATCCGTGTACATTCGCAGGGAGAGAGGGTGTGGATTTGGGGAGGCTGTTTGCCCTGAAATCATCCAAGGCTGTGCCAGGCCCGGTAAGAGAAAATGCTTTCTCGGAAAGGACCGCCGCGATGCGTATGGGAGGAGTTTGGTTTCGCTGCGGACGTCAGCGGCTCTTCTTACCTTGCCTAGGTGTGGGTCGGGACTTACTGCCTTGTTGTACTCATTCACCAGACCTTCCAGCTCGTGTGCCGGCATCCCCAGCACCGTCAAAGACCAGGAACTACCATCCCGAGAACCGCCTATCACGCACCGGCAGAAAAGGCCATTTCGAAGGCCAATCCAGAAGGAGAGGCGGTATGCATGCACAGCCGTGTCCACAAAGTCGGGAGATCTTGGAGACAGACTTGAAGCGGTGACAATCGCTGCAAGGACGCCGGAGCAAAATCCGCTGGTTTCCACCAGTTCAGGAGGAGAGTTGAGTGCTGATTCGTAGGCAATGAATTCGAGCATCTGATGAATGAACAGGGTCGTTCCTTGCACCACCGGATTCGAGCACAGTCTAGAAGGGGGATCGACAAGGCTCTCTGGTGTGTTGAAGGATGACCGCATGTCATCGGGCAGGCTTCTCTTGTCATTGTCGTCAAGAGTATCGAGCTCGGTGATGAGCGCTTCGTGGCAAGCCTTGAGGAATGAGTTTGCCGTGTGTGACGATGCCAGGATATCCCCAGTCCGGGTGTTGACGTGGTCAGGGCCAAAAGAACTGGAGCCTTGACCAGCAAAGAGGAGAATGTCCCGGTACACCATTGTTGAAATTGAGACTTGTGTAGTATGGACGGGAATGTTGAGCTCGGTGTGCGAGTGGAAGACGAAAAGGACACAATTATAGGCAAAGCCACGCACGCCTCGCCTCCCACTTTCCGCTTGTAGAGATATGGTCTTGTGTCAGGGAACGTTTCGTATCAGATACCGTCTTGGTACAATGACCATCCACTTAAGCACTGGAGAATACTATTCTCCAGGGCTTCAGAACGGGCCTGGTAGCCTTTTACCACCGAGGACATAGAGCATAGCTCAAACTGCTGTTTTCTTACAGACGCAAGGCTCGGATTCATCATCTCCGATAATGCTGACTGTGGCGTAAAGGATTGCGAGGCTGAGGCAGGCGGTGTCAACTTGCACAACGGCACGGACCCGCGTATGTTCATGTACTCCGGCCCCAACGCATTGCTCCAAGAGGATGTTGAGCCGCTGAACCGAAATTCTGATATGGGGTTCTCTGGATATAGGCCTTGCGGCTGCCTTGTGCCTTCCGTAGAACCAAGTGTTGACCACTGACTTCGTTGTTCTGGCTCACAACACAAACATCAACTTCTGAATTATGGGCAGCCTAGAAGATCCACGACTCAAACGGGCTAGATTCAGTCCTGTCACGCCACACCCCCAGGATTTGGAAGAGGACACCATTCGGTCTCTGCCAGACCTCATCGAATTCAATGCCAAGACCAACCCGGACCACATCTTCTGCATCCAGGCAGAGGCCAGACCACCTTCAGCCAGCGGAACACAATTCGGGACACGCCAAATTACCTTCAGAGATCTGAAATACGCTGTTGATGCTTGTTCCGAATGGCTGGTAGAGAATGTTGGACAATCTCGAATCCAAGACTCTCGACCGGTTGCTCTGTACATTGAAAGTGACGTTGGTCTCTTCATCTATCTTGCCGCACTTCTGGCAGCAGGAATTCCGGTATGGGTACCACAGTCCCCACCTTTGTCACAGTGCTAATATATGCCGCAGGCACTGCTTCTATCGGCCAGGCTCAGTACAGCGAGCGTCCATCATCTTCTAAAGGAAACGAATGCGCAATCCATTCTGCTGTCCAAGCGGACGGAGCATACTATCGCAGCCGATGTTAAAGAAATTGCCGAAATAATCCGCATTCAGCCTTACACTGCCTTCCTGCAGTCCTCCCCCAATGATGAACGCGCCCCGACCAACAACATGTTGCGGCGGACCCCAGCTCGCGAGCACGATTGTAACGCGCTGATACTTCATTCGTCGGGAACAACTGGGCTACCAAAGCCCATCCGACTTGCTCATCGCTACCTCCTTGGATATGCGGCGTGCCACCTCTTTCCAGCGGATGAGGCCATTGATTGGTGTAATCTGTCCACATTACCTCTGTACCATGGCTTCGGCTTGCTGGCCCCATGCCTCAGCCTGTCAATTGGGATGACATGCTGTTTTCCACCGTCATCAACCATCCCAGCCGCACACTCAACCCTGGAGCTTCTTGAAACGTTCAAGGCAGGGTCACTCATGACAGTGCCCAGTATCCTGGAAGACATTGTGAACCTGGCTCCGGCGGAACTTGCTTCCGGCTTTGCTCTCCTCAAACCCCTCAGCTTCGTTGCGGTTGGCGGTGGTCCTCTTAAACCCGAGGTCGGCGAGGCTCTTGTGGCAGGAGGAGTCAACGTGCTCAATCACTACGGTGCCACTGAGATTGGTGCCATTGCCCCGATCTTCCGGCCGGGCGCGGACTACGACTGGAGATACCTGCGTCTACGGAACGACTTGGGTCTTGAGCTCCAGCAAGCCAGCTCAGAAGGTGTTCCAGAACACGAAATGAGGTACAGACTTGTTGGCTATCCCATTGGCTGGAACAGGCCTTTCTACATCCAAGACGAGATCTTGAAAAGGCCTGGTTCCAAGCACGTCGAGGTGAAGATCCTTGGCAGGCAAGACGACTTGATCGTGCTCAAAACGGGAGAGAAGGTGTCTCCTCAGGGCATCGAAGAACTTTTAATGAAGGACCCATCCATCAAAACTGCTGTATGTGTCGGCCAAGGCAGGTTCGAGCTGGCAGTCCTCATTGAGCCATCAAGCACAGCGCCTGCAGATGAAGACCAACTGGTTGAGCATGTGTGGCAACTCGTGTGCCTGGCCAATCGCACCGTGGACCAGCATGCACAGATCTCCTCCAAACACGCAGTCATTATCAAACCCTCTCACAAGGTGATTCCACGATCCGACAAAGGGTCGGTGATGCGCAAAGAGGTCCATGATCTATTCGAGCAGGAGATCAATGCAGCCTATGAAGCCTTGGATCTGGAGTCATTCGCATCTTCGGCAGCTCTGAACACGGAAAACCTGGAAGACGGCATCATTTCCTTGATAGGGACAGTTCTGGGCCAGGATGTCTGGTTCCGATCCGAAGATGATCTATTCGAGCTTGGCATGAATTCTTTGCAAGCCACCCGCCTTGCGCGTTTCTTAAATTCTTCCCTCAGCAAACTCCTACCACGAGATCGAGAAGATGTCCGCATTGCAGCTCCCTTCATATACCAACACCCATCGGTATCATCGCTGGCCAAAGCAATCCATGCAGCGCTGTCGAGCAGGAGTGAAGATGTTGCAGACATGCAGGACCGGACAATCCAGATGCAGACTCTGGCCGACGAGCTGGTCGAAGAGATTCGCAGTGACCAGCCCAGAAACAGAATCGCCTTTGATTTTGTTGACAACAGTAGTGTTCATTACAAAGTTGTTCTTTTGACCGGGTCCACCGGAAATCTTGGCTGCCACATGCTCGGACGACTGGTCAGAATGCGTCAAATCACGCGCATCATCTGCCTGAACCGGGTAAAACCGGGTGGATCCGTGTCTGATCTGAGGGAGCGCCAGGAGCAGGTCAACGCTGCTGCCGGCATCGTCCTGAATTCGGAAGCGTGGGACAAGATCGAGTTCGTTGCCGCCAACACGCAGGCGCCCGACCTCGGACTCACGCAGGAGCAGCGTACGCAGCTCGCTCGCACCGTCACCCATGTCGTGCATCTGGCGTGGCCAATGGACTTCAACAGGAAGCTCCACAGCTTCAAGCCCCAGCTGCAGGCGCTAAAAGCGCTCGTCAGCTTGTGTCGCGATGCACACCACGCCCGAGGGGGCAAATTCAACCCGAGACTCGTGTTTGCTTCTTCCATTGCTGTCGTCAGGCACTACCCGGATCTCACCGGAAGCTCGGTGGTTCCAGAAGAGCGGTTGCCGGACCCGCGCGTTGCAGCGGCCATAGGATATGCGGAAGCCAAGTGGGTGTGCGAAGAATTTCTCTTCCGAGTGGGGCAGATGTACGCTGACGAGGTAACTCCGATGGTTGTTCGTATCGGTCAGCTGAGCGGTCCTGAACGGGAAGGCATCTGGAAGACGGAGGAACACGTCCCCGCCCTCGTGAAGGCGTCTCAAATGATATCCGCGTTCCCAAACCTGAAAGGGGTATGTCCAACTCCCACAGTCTTTTGCCGCCATTCTCTAACTGGGCGCAGAATTTTTCGTGGCTTCCAGTCGACCGCGCAGCAGCAGCTCTGTCTGACATCGTCTTGCAGGACCAGCAGATGCCAAACCGTTTCTACCACCTTGAGAATCCCATTCGCCAACCGCTGGCCGATGTAGGCACCTTTGTCATTGATGAATTAAAGCTCCAACAGAAGAGACCCATTCCATTTGAGAGCTGGCTGGAACAGGTGGCCGCGACAGGCTATGCCTCCAGCCTCATCAACTTCTTCCAGAACGAGTTCCGGAGTCTCGCTGATGGATCTACTGCACTGGAAACGAGTGCTTCGAGAAAGGCATCTCTTTACCTATGGGGAGAAAGTGGAATAGGTAAGGATCTCGTGGTGGAGTATATTCGCAGGTGGAAGAAGCTGGGATTTCTTACGTAGATGATGATTGCTCTCGCCACATTTCAATTAAATGATCATTCATTGCCTTCACAAACTTGTTCGTAATACGTACTTACCTAACGAATAAGATGAAACAACAATACGAAGTCTTCTCACAGACTACAGTACCGCAAGGAAACAACACAAGGATCGTTGACCACAACTGTCTGTCCCCTGACTTGTCTGAGAACAGTGACCAACGCTTTAACATCCAACTCCGGTGCATCTCTATATCCCACCTGGAAATGTTTAAATCAATTTGGTTGTCGAAGAAGCTTTCCGTTGATTCTCGTACCTACTTTACAACCTTCAAATCACGAAAGCATTCTAGGTATTGATTTATTCCACACCGGAATGTTTCGAAACATCGCTGCGTCCAATTTCACTCCTGTTCTATCATACAGCACGCCCAGCTAACTCAAAAGCCAACGTTCTTGAGGAAAGAAAGCGTGTCTGTCATCAGATCCTGTCCACTGTAATGATAGAGGATGAGATGCCCAGTTTCAGGATAAACCTTGATGTCATGCGTGGATGCCTTGGGAAATTTGTCGAAGAGAGCATACGGCTGGCTGCCACAGACTTCGCCTCCACAGAACGTCGAGTCTCCTGAAGACAGCACGAACGCCAATTAGTGTCTACATCAGAACGCTTGGGATTGTTGGCTGGGCAAACTTACTTTCGCCAATTCCCAGAAAAACAGGGCCCTTGTATTCAGGAGCATCGACAAGGTGATATGTGAAGGTCATGGCGGCACCAAAGGAGTCGAAGTCTCGAGTGTTCCTGCAACAGTCATGAATCAGCAAAGTTACCGAGGCGGGCTTCCGAAGGAACTCACCAGTCAACCTCCAAAATGTTGGGATCGTAGGCGCCAGAGAAGCACGCGGTGATGCGTCCCTCGCGCGTTGACTGCGTTTGATACGTCGCCGGCACATGACCCCACTTGTCCGGATCAATCTGCTGTGCGGGAGCTTGCAGGCCGGACAAGAAGGCGGGATAGATCCACGACGCGTCCCACGAGATGCCATGGAGCACGATGGCATCGACGTCGTCGGGGTACTGCTGCGCGAGCGAGTTGGCCACGATGCCGCCGATGGAGAAGCCGACGAAGACGATCTTCTTCCACTTCTTCCCATCGACCTCGCCACGCCGCAGCTTCTGAATCACCTCGTGGATATTCTCAACGTATGTCTGCGTCTGGGCCTCGAGCAAGCCGTCGGGGAACGTGCTGTTTCCGTTGCCTGTTTCCGCCGCCGTCAGCTGAATCGATCTTGCTGCTTTTGCTGCCGGGGCCATGTGTGCGTGCTCACTTACCTATCAAGTCCACTGCCAGTGTAGGATAGCCCTCCTCGCTCATGCGTTTGACCCAGCTGTACCGCTCTGGCTGGTAGGGCAGGTCCCACATGACTTTGTTGAATGACGCGCCATGAACGAGGAGCTGGATCGTATCGGTGTGGTCCTCCTGTGCCTTCTCAACCGGAGTGCACAGCCGGGAGGAAAGTGTGTACTCATTCGAGACGAGAATTTCCTTGCGGGCGAGCGCATACAAAATGTCGGCGCTGTATGCGCGGTCTTGGAAGGTTTCGCGCGTGGTCCGCTCGACGCTGACATTGATGTCGTAGTCTGTGCAGGACTGCGAAGAGGTTGCGATTGCTGTATATTGGGCGCGGAGAGCCTGGGCGGCGAGGAAAATGGTTGATGGCCGCATGGTCACGATTCGCGTACGAAAAAGCCGCTGGGGCTTTTACGACACAGGCCGCATCCAGCGATAAAATAGCGATCTCATTGCTGAAAATTGTGCTGCAGAGGTGTTGTTCCCTGGTGTCGATGCAATTGAAGCCCGGCGTAGTAGAGCATCATGGTGTGCCCCAGACCGGAGCATGGTGGGGAGCGTCACTGTGTGGGTCTGGGACCGGAGTACAGCTGCATGTGGGTGCTGCCTAACAAGCCCCGCTCAATACGAGCATTGGGCCGAAGAAAACCAATTGAAGACAATATCTCAGATGCAGCTAATAGCCCATTGGGCCAATCAGATTCTGAGCATGAGCCGCATCAGTGGGTTCGCAAGTAGATGTTTCCGATCTGTTACCGATGCAGAAGAACATGGATGGAAAGAAACGGAACTCAACATCATTCAACATGTCGAGGAATTGCTACATTATTCAGGTCTGTGGCAGCAAATTACACTATATTTTGGCTTCATTCCATTCAATATCGTAAGGATGCGCATTGATTTTGCGGTTTTCCACTAAATGCTACTGTCCTGCTCAAAGTTCGCCATCTGAAACTTGCGTAACAAACGTGCTCTTTCCTGCCTCCACTTCGGAAACAACAACATGATCCGGGATCTTTCCGCCCTTGAAGTAGAAATCTGAAACTACAGTTCCTTCAGACCACCACGCTGTTTGTCTGCCGTCGGTACCAACACTGAAGAAGATGTCCCCTGCACCGACGCGCAGACAACGCCCAGACGGGACTCTTAAATCTCCTACAAGCATTTGTCAGCATGTGTTATAGTTTGAGAGACATGTATCAATGCTTACCAATACCAGCGCTCATCAGGATGAGAGATGGCTCGGGTGCGGGATGGGCGGGCATGAAGGACTGGCCATAGAAGATGTACTGGTAGGCAGCATCGAAGCCGCCCTCCCAATCAATCCGAAAGGCGTTGTCGATTCCAGGAAGGTTGGTGGAGATTGTATCAACCTGCCAGCACTCAATCGTATTCTCCCAGTGCCCAGACGCATTTTTGAACTGTGTAAGGGCCGGAAGCACCACCTGACCTGGATCTGTGCTTGTGGGGCACCGGATCTGACAGTCTTCGATTGCCAAAGAGCCCTGAGCTTCAATCGGACTCTTTGAAAAGAAGGAAGGAGTGGCTACCGCAAGAGCGGCCTTGAGGCAGAGAAAGAGAGAGAATCTCATGGCTGCGATTTCGCTTGTGACGGGACAAGGACGGAGGCGTGGACTCAGAAGAGTCTTGGGTCGGGCATATGTAGATGGGTACCCAAGAGATGATTTTCATGACTTCATGACTTGCAGCCGAGCCGCGTTACAGCTTCACTACCCGGGTTGAAGTTGTGCCTATGGTAGAGAAGCAGCTAGAGCGATGGCGTGAGCAGATTGTACGCCGGTCCGCTTCCAGCATTCCCGCCCCCAAGTGGTTGGTCCGAAGCATCCGCGCCGAGAAATTTATACCGCGTAGTCCCACACACAAGATGTGCCTGCATGCACTGAAACGGTACCTTGCAGTAGCTGTTCATCACCATGGTCTCTTCCAGCATCTCGATTGGCCTTTCGCTCAGCGCTTCGGCGCTTCTTGCCCGTGCTGCCCCAATTCAGCAATGCGTATGTGATCATCTTCAAGCATGATGGAGCCGATCCGCGACTGACGAATGGATTGCTGTAGTGTACCCTGCTTGCCCAGCAGTACCCGGAGGATGTGTTCGCACGCAACTCGTCCACGTGGACGGCTCAAAACACGGACTTTTGGTGTAAGCACCCACCGGCCCGGCCCACCTTTCATACTAATTGAGATAGCTGCCACGGAGATCCGCGACCCCTCTTGTGTGTTTCTTCCCGACTCTACGGAGAAGGTGGCGGGTGCTGTTGCACTCTTTGCGCAGAACGAATGCAAGTTCTCCATCAAGGGCGGTGGGCACAGCGCAATCCCGCAAGCTGCCAACATTGATGATGGCATCCTGATGCCCATGGAGCGGATCGACGTCAGAGAGCCACACGCGGATGAGCACTACATCAGAGTTGGCGCTGGTGCAAAGCTGGGCACTGTGTACGAGGCTCTGGATCCGCTCAACCAGTGCGCCATCATCGGTCGCTACAACAAGGTTGGCCTCGGCCTCGCGCTTGGCGCAGGCATCTCGTACTGGAGTAACAGGGAAGGGCTGTCGATCGACAATGTCATCAACTACGAGGTTGTTCTCGCAAACGGCACCATCGTCAATGCCAACGCAACCAGCCATCCGGACCTCTTCTGGGCGCTGAAGGGTGGAAACAACAACTTTGGTGTCGTCACGCACTACAAACTCCACACGGTCGATACGGAGGGCGCAGTTTACGGTGGCATCATGTACTATCCGGAGTCTTCCCTGGATCAGGTCGCCGATGTTATCTACGACTATCACGTGCACCAGGCGGTCGACGACCTGCACACTCACACGCTTCCCCAGTACGGATTCAACGGTACGACCAACGAGACGATCAGCTTCACGCCCGTGGTTTACAACAGAGCGGTCGACGAGCTGCCCGACATCATGAAGCCGTGGATCGAGGTCAACTATACCAAGAGCACGCTCAAGAAGCGCCAGTACACGGACCTGGCTGTTGAGCTGAATGACGGCTTTGCAGATGGCTTAGTGTACGAAAACTCTGCTTTCCCCTGGCTCAACGTCATAGACTAACATGTTGCAGTCAGGAACAACGCGTCTTTACCGTGTATGCGGATGCCCAGCTGTACAAAGACCTCTGGTGGAACTACCGGGTTTGGCTGCAGCAGTTCCGTGATGTCGAGGGCTTTTATGGACTGCATGTCAACATGCCCATCACGCCGCGCCAGGTTCAGCAGGGAGTGGAGAAGGGAACAAACGCGCTGGGACTGGATGTAAACGCTGGAAACACGACGCTTGGAGGTGAGTTCTCTCCATATTGTGGAAAAGAGAGTCTAACGCAATCCGCAGTGATCTACTTTGGTGTTACCTTCAACAAGATGGAGGATGCCGAGCGCGTGCTTACCGCGCACGACGAGTTTGTCAAGTCTCAGCAGGAACTCGCGGCCAGTCGTGGCCTGTTGCACCCTTACATGTACGTGTATCCTATTTGGTTGATTTACCTTGTGGCCTTACTGACATAGCTCTGTGACAGCATGCTCACGTATTCCGGATGGAACCAGGAGGCCATTGCTAGCTACGGCGAGGAAAATGTTGCCAAGTTGAAGGACGTGGCAGCCATTTATGATCCGACGCAGGTTTTCCAGCGTTTGGTTCCCGGTGGTCAGAAGCTACCAGCGTAAAGTTGAGTGGGCGAAGGATGCATGGCATGGTGTGCTTCCAATGCCTGCTTGAGGCCTGTCATCGATCTTTGATCTTTATTAGAAAGATATTCATTGTCTTCTTTACCGTCCCTGAATTGGGGCGGGGACGCAGTTCTAGATTTTCAGCTGCGTTTTACCTAATGGATTTTCAATTTGATCTGCCGTCTCGATGTTGGTGCGGAAATGTTCTGGGCCATGTGTGTGGAGTGTTTTGGTTCACACAGACGCTGGCGCAGGGTAAGTAATTTGTGTAAGGACCAAAGGTAGCATTTTTGTCTCTTTGTGGCGGATTTCACGGCTGCGGGGCATTTAAATCCGCTGCAAATGTCACATTACGTCACATGGTCAATTTGAGAAGCATTGTGCGAGGAGCAGGCCAAGGAACAAGATGGAAGGGCGGCGGCGTCCCGGCGGAGCGGAGCAGGGAACAGGAAGGGCAAATTGTCTCGGTTAAGAGAATCACAAGCTACAATGAAGCGGATTTAAAGGCTTATAGATGGATTTAAGCAACGGACTAAGGAGATAAGACGGAATTGCTATCCTTGCAAGTCGGTGCCACCCCCGATGTGCTGCCAGGCCAAAATCTGGGCGCGGCGTTGGTCGTGGGCACGCAGCTCGGCGGCAGGCACGTCGGGGCCAACAGCCAGCAGAGGAGGCACCTCCGGGCCGGCCAGGACCTTGACAATGGCCTGTGCGCCCTTGAGCGGATCACCCTGCTGGGCACCGTTGAGACCGTCGAATGCGGCGCGTATGGGATCCAAGACGGCGTCGTAGTCGGAAATATGGGCCTGTACTTTGCGGCGGTGGCCGGGCTGGAGGAAATTGGTGCGGAAGTGGCCCAACTGCACCAAGCACACTCGCACGCCCAGCGGCGCGAGTTCGTCGTGCATGGCCTCAGTGAGGGTTGAGAGAGCGGCTTTGGCGGCGCAGTATGGCCCAGCGTTGGGCGAGCCGCGCAGGGCGCCAATGCCGGCAACGTTGGCGATGACGCCGGCCCGCGCGCGCCGCATGAGCGGGAGCACTGAACGGGCTAGCCGCAGCGGGCCGAGGGCAATCGTGTCAAAGAGCTGCTGCAGCTCGTGGTCGCTGCGTCACACATCACCATCAGCCATCAGCGCCCCTGGCAGAATGCAACCCTCACTCACCTTGTCTCCTCGGCTGCGCCCTCCAGCAGGTACCCCGCCGCGTTGACCAGCACGTCGATGGTGCCCTCGCGCTCTGCGATGCCTGCCACGGCCTGTGCCAACTGCTCGCTGCTGGAAGTCACGTCGAGCTCCAGCGCGCGGCACCCAGCACGCACAACGGGCTCCAGCCGTGCGGCGCTGCGGCCGACGGCAACAACTGTGGCAAAGCGCGCAGCCTCAAGGGCAATGGCCTGGCCAATGCCTGATGATGCACCTGTGACGACCCACACGGGGCGACGGACAGAAGAAGCCATGGTGGAGTCGTGTCGTTACCCAGCAGCAAAGCGGGCCCCCGCCTGTTGATATTCCCAGCGCCTCGGACCGCCGTAGGCCTGTAGTACGCCGGGCCGCAGCATTTATACCTGCTGCGAAGTCCTTGAGCACAACCTATCTGTTTTACAACCCCGCCATCTAGCCTACACCATTTTTCATCCACGTTCGCATCTCCCCAACTCTCCATCACCACAATGGCTCCCCGCGTCTGGCTCATCACTGGCGCCTCGTCAGGCTTCGGTCTGGAGCTCGCGCTCATCGCCGCTGCCCGCGGTGACAAGGTCGTTGCCGCCACACGCTCGCCGCAGAAGCTGGAGCATCTCAAGTCCAAGGGCATCACCCCGGCGCGCTTGGACCACAACGAGCCGCTGCCTAAGGTGCAGGCTGCCATCGACGCCATCATCGCCATCCACGGTACCGTCGACGTCGTCGTGAACAACGCCGCCTACGTGCAGACGGGCATGCTGGAGGAAGTGCCCGCTGCCGAGGCCGAGCGCCAGTTCCAGGCCAACGTCCTGGGCCCGCTCAACGTCTACCGCGCCGTGCTGCCGCACCTGCGCAGCAAGCGGTCCGGCACCCTCGTCACCATCGGCTCCATGGCTGCCTGGTACCCCATGCCCGGCTGCAACCTGTACAACGCCTCCAAGGCCGCCCTGCGCTGGCTCGGCATCGGCCTGGCCGGCGAGGTCGAGCACCTGGGCATCCGCCACACTCTGGTCGAACCGGGCTTCTTCCGCACCGAGCTGCTCAACCCCCAGGCCAACATTGCCATGACTACTCCCGAACAGCGCCTGCCCGACTACGCAGACCTCAACAAGTCCAACGACGCCAACTTCGCCGCCTTCCACGGCGCCCAGCTGGGCGACCCCAAGAAGGGCGCCGAGGTCATCTACGACGTCGTCACTTCTTCTGGCGTTGCCGCCGGCCGCCCGCTGCCGCCTTTCCTGCCGCTGGGCAGCGACGCCAGCACCGAGATTGCCAAATCCGCACAGGCTACGCTTGACGCCATCAACGAGTGGCGCTCCATCAGTGCCCTGAGCGACCACAAGTAGTTTAGTAGTAGTACTGAAATTTAAACTCTTCATCTTCCCTTGCCAGCTCTTGCAAAGCGTTGAATTCACAGCATACACTACTTACCGATGGCAGCAATTTTTGTCACACATGATGGACCGGAGTAGCAGCCACTGGCCTCATCTTTACTCAGTACAGCAGTCAAACTCTGAGCTTTGAGGAACGTGTTCTGGATGATAGCCACCTCCACTGTTTTCCAACACAATGTCAAATCTGCTCTACCATCTTCATCGAAGACGCCATGCGGGATTTACGTGTTGATTTTCTTATACTCTGAAAAATGCAGTCATAACATTCCGCGCTGACTAAAGCTGCATATGCAAATGGTTTATTTATCCACTAATTGAGGGCATTCTCAGCCGTACTCGGCAACGAAACCGCTACCAGACTATCATTTACTCATCACAGTCAGTCTTGGACACGATATCCTTCCACGCATCCAAATCCCGGCGGTTCCTCTCCAACGCCTGACCAATGAACCCCACCGCATCGTTCCCCAAGGCCAACCTCGGTGGCAGGTCCTTCCCCTGGCACGGCCCAGACCCCGTGAGGGCCTGCACAATAACACGCGCGCCCTTGTCCGGATCGCCCGGCTGCTTCTTGTTGTACGCCGCCAGCGCCGAACGCGTGGCTGCCACCGCCGAGCCCTCGACGGTATCAAGCTCCGCAACCGTCTTCTTCGCCACCGTCTTGCGTCCCGATCCCTCGTCCAGGAAGTTGGTGCGGAAGTAGCCCGGTTCGATGCAAGTTACGCGGACACCGAAGGGCGCCAGCTCCGCGCGGAGGGACTCGGTGTAGATGGCAATGGCCGCCTTGGTCGCACAGTAGATGCCCGCGGCGGGCGAACCTTGCCATCCACCAATGGAGCCAAGGTTGGCGATAGTACCCGTGCGGCGCGAGCGCATCGACGGTACCACGGCACGGAGGACGGCGAGCTGACCGAAGACGTTGGTCGCGAATTGGCGCTCTATCTCTTGCGCACTGTGCTGTCTCTCAGCTTTTCGTCCGGCAGAAGATGGCCACAGGGAAAGCTTACCTGCACTCCTCAATGGCTCCAACCAGGATGTAGCCTGCGTTGTTGACCAAGACGTCGATGTCACCCACCGTGGAGCGGACATCATCGACGACGGCCTGGATCTCGGCATCCGGGGAAAGTACGTCAAGCGTCTTGGTGACGATGCCGCGCTGCCGCAGGTCCGCGAGCTTCGACACGTCGCGCGCCGTGGCCACGACTTTGTCACCGTGCGCCGCAGCCGCCAGCGCGATCGCCCTGCCGAAGCCGGACGAGCAGCCTGTGATCAGCCAGACCCGAGCCATTCTTTTTTGTCCTGCAGTCGTCTTGTAGTTTGATTTGATTTGATTATTCCTGCTACTTCGGAGTGGCAAGCTATGTTTTAAGTGTTTAGAACTATGTTTCCTGCCGGACCGGAGTATATGTAACCGGCGTACAGATTCAATGTAGACAACAACCTGGATGTAATACTACTACTGTGCATCGGCCACGCAAACCCGGTACATGAAGTAATAGAGGACTGCTCTGCTGTGTTTGCAGACTACCATCGCTTGCTAAAAACTCTGCGTTTAAATACAAGGTTTGGTTTCGCGCTGCCTTTGAAGAGGACGCAAGAGGTAGGTTGGCATCGTGGAAATTCCAAAATGTGCCAAGCATATGATAATAACACTCGACGATGTTTGAATGTTGATGATTTTAAGAAACGTGAATTTTGCCGGTTGAATGCAAGCTGGTGCTTCTTCCTGGATGTGTTGCGTTGTTCGTTTCTCGCTCCACGAGAACTCGCCCACGCCTTGCTTGTGGAAGCATCCCTATTCATACGGAGCTTCAGCCTGCCCGCCCCGTGTCAGATAGGTGAGTTTTATTCTGAAGCCACAGCAAACTCACTCAGACTAAGTTGAAAGGATTCCTTGTAGAGGAGCCGTAAATGTTGGCCCCACTGGAGTAGAAGTGCGGGTTCTGTTGAGATTCCATCACTTTAACTGATATTAAAATGGCAACGGTGAGGGCTTGTAAAATTCAAGTCATGGTTTGATAGATTCTCGCCTCGGGTTGCCTTAAGCGATACGCGAAATTTGCTTGAGACATTTAAACTGCACAGTGCAAAGACACTAAAAATGCACAGTGCAAAACTAGCTTATTACAATGTATGCCCCACATGGAGTGTGAAAGAGTCGTGGCTGATTGGTACAAGCCTTTGCACCGACGGCAGACCGGAACGAGTTAAGATAGCGGCGTCACGGTTTCGAATACCCTATAAAGAGGACCATTTGGTCTACGCTTTGCCCGTGTACTAAGACCCCACTTCCGATAAACAACTTACCAACTACAACACTCGACATGACGGACAACCACTTACCAATTCCGGCACAACTCCTGGGTGGAAGGCATGATCCACCTGAGATTAACCTCCTTCTCCAAGAGTGTGCCTCTGGAAAGCTCGAAAAGGTCCGTGAGATCTTTCAAAGCTATCTTATCAGGGTCGCCCGGGAGGAACGCAACCTGCGGAAATTTGCCACCGTCCTGTTGACTGCTGCTGGAAAAGGCCGACCAGACATTCTGTCTTACATGCTACCCTACTGGCTCTCAGCTGGATGTCCGTTCCTACCCCACTCACTTGTTTGGGGGGGCATTGCTGCAAAATCTGTTGCCGTTCTCGAAGTTCTTCTCGACTTTGGATGGGATATCAACGAGCCAATGTCGAGAATTGCTCCACCAGCTCTTTAGTAAACTTCTATTCTATCCCGACCCTTTCTGTTTTGGGAGCTGATTTTAACTGTTTCAGCCTCGCTTCGAAGGATTGGGACCTTACCAATTGGTTCTTCGATCACGGTGCTGACCCCAATGCAAGAACCTGGATGGACTCCACTCCATTCTCGTTCGTTATTGAGCACGCTCCATTGCACATCATCCACTTGTTTTTTCAACGCGGTGGTAGCGTTGAGAAGGGACAGCTAATTCATCACGCTGTACTGAGAAAGTCGGATGAGATCGAAGTTGTGGATCTTCTTCTCCAAAAGGGTGCGTCGTTGAACACGATCATGTACAGCAACGATCCTGAGTCATACTACCAATGGGTTTTATTTGGCATCGGTACACCTCTCCACGTAGCTGTACATAGGGGACAGGTAAAACTGGTATCTCATCTGCTCGATAAGGGTGCCGACCCGTCTATCAAAGACACCAGAGATCGGACACCTCTATATTGTGCAAAGAACCATAACCGTACCGATGGCCGTATCGAAATAATTCGTCTCTTGGAGAAAGCTGGAGGAGCGGTTTCTACTAGCGCCTAGTGTATGGTTCTTCACGCGAAGCGCAGTGCATGGTAAAAAGACTTCTCTACTTACAATCAGACTAGTCGAATAAATATAGCTCACCATACTTTGCCTGTTTTTTTTTTAAACGGTAACATTGTCAGACATGTTAAACTATGTAAATATTACATCTACCACGCCAGCTCCCCCTGAGCTTCCTAGGAAAGTTCCTTCAACATTTGCGAATGCCGTTAGGGCAGTTCCAGCCTCCTGATCCGGCCGAACGGCTGTTATGACGAGATGATCGCCGTTTTGAAAGTCCAGGGTCCAGCGTGAGGGGTAAGTGTTGTTGGTAGAAGGAGAAGTCCATGTATTGTTGGTGTCGGCATGAAGAGTGTGGGTCAAAAGCAGGTCTCCATGCGGGGTTCTGGCCGTGGCCAGACGGCGTTCGGTTGTGCCGTAGTCGAAAGCCCAAACACTGAGGCTCGTCTTCGAATCCGGGAATCGGAGTCCGAACCAGGTGAAGTTTGAAGGTCTTCCGGAGCTCCACTGGCGGTCGTACCAAGTAAAAGAGTTCTCGGGGTCGATTGTCAGGGCGTTCCCCGCGATTGACAAGGTTCCCTCCGTTCGGCAAGCTGGAAGAGACCATTGGTTCGTGAGTCCTGAGCCCCAGAGAAAGGTTCCAGTTCCCAAATTCTGGATGGCGGTAGATGTTGCATCGAAGCTGATGTTGAAGGAGTAATCAGTAGTCGATGCCCAGGTCTGCATAGAGGACACGGCATCTTCTGTGGGTGCGCTGAAACCGTAATCTCCAAAGATGTATTGCACAGGGCCCTTTGTGGAGTTTTTCGGCACCACTGCAGCTTCAACCACGAAGCTCTTCCAGTATTGACTTGGGTCGGAGATGTCAAGCACTGAATGCCTGACTTGTGTTCGCTGAGTCAGGGTCTGGACATGAGACATGACAAAATATTGTTTGGAGTCGGACGTGGTCAGGAAAGAGCCGACATAGTAAGAGCCGCCCAAGGTTTGGGATTCGGTAAGCTCGTAGGTCGTGGGTACTTTTGGCTGTAAAATGTCAGCCATGTTAAGTGTGGATTAAATCTGGCTGTACTTACAGTAAATGGTGACGCATCATTGTCTGGATTAAACTTGAAGCCAGTAGCACTCGAAACGAGCAAAACAGCCAATGAGAAACCCCTCATCATGAACAGAATTCTTGTGGTCTGATATCAACAGCTCATCTGCATTGGTAGCCTTTTAAAGATTTTGCGGGGTCAACATGAGCCTCCGGTTTCCGGTTGTTTCCGGTCCGAGCATTCCGACCTCCTGAATGATTATTGTCCGGGCTTGGCGGAGGCTGTTTCTGGTCTGTTGGAACTTGGCAATTCGCTGAAGGTTAAGCCACACCGCCGTTTCGTTGTTGACCCCGCAGAGGCTTATTGCGGGCACACTGGGTGAAGTGGCGGGTAGATCCAAAGGGTGCGTGACGTGCCGGCGGAGGAGGAAGGGCGTGCGTAGAAGACGTCATCAGCTCCGTGCGCGCGCAAAGCTAAAGTGCAAATTGAAAAGGACCATCCGAGGGCAGTGTAGCGCTGCCGGATTGCACGGTGGTGGTTACGACAGTGACAGAAACTCGGCAGGCCAGCAACTTGCGGGAGAGAAATAGCGTCCAGTCAAGCCACAACCCCACTGCCGAGCGCCGTTCGGATTGTAATGTCAGATTCTCTTGCCCGGTCTGCGTACGAGATGAAGGAGATACAATTTCTAAGTAGCTTTGAGTGCAGAAAAGTATTTACGCCTAACTCCAAGAACCATAGAACCTGATCTTCGCTATAGCTATCCTACAGTAGATTACCCCTCTAAGAGGAGTTTCAATTTCTTTCAGTGCGCCTTCACATCGTCCGGCCTGCCCTCCAACCTCGCCTCCCCTGACAACTGACCCTCCCTCCACCACCACAATCCGGCATACACGGCTCCAGGTCCAACCAGCACCTGTCCAACAAGCACGGCCACGGCGGCGGCGACAGCGTTCTTGGTAGTGGCGAATCCCGAGCGGCGTAGCTCCCACACGGTGTACAGCTCCCACAGCAGAATGGCGAGGGTCGAGAAGGCAAAGTCGTACTTGACGAAAATAAACAGATGCTCCTCCCAGTTCGGGGCGCTCCACGGCTTCAAGGGGTTCGGAATGTCAGTGAACATGTTCGCAAAGGTGACAGTTGGCAGGCTCGTCAGGGCGACGAAGGCAGAGAAGGCGACGTGCATCAGAGCGGACAGCCAGAAGGCGACCTTGTAGGCGTCCTGCAGCACTGGCACGTCACGTTTCTCGTAGACATCGAAGGGGCCCTGGGGCTTGACGGCTTCGAGGGCGCGCTTCCCGAGGTTGGTGAGCAAGGCCACCCAGACGGGGACGAACTGCCAGAAGGCGATGGCGCCCTGGTGCGTGTGCGGGTTGGCGTAGGGCAGGAACATCAAAATAGAAGGGACGGCAAAGCCAAAGATAGTGGCCGGGAGGACAGCGCGGGCGGCGGCAAGCGGGACAGGGCGACCGATGGCGCGGGTGTGCGTCGAAGAGGAAGTGAGGTAGGTCGACAGCAGGAAGTACAGCGGCGCGATGGCACCGATGCCCTGGAGCTGATAGGCAATTCCAAACAGCACTGGCAGCCCGAGGATATTCATGCGGTTCGCAGCACGGTATCCCTCGACGGTCCAGATGATCAGCACCGGGAAGAGCAGCGCCAGCAGGTAGGCGAACTGGGCCGGATGAGACGGATCCTCGCCGTACACCGAGTCCCCGAAGCACGCCGACAGCAGCGCGAGCATGCCGTCGACCGGCCCGATGCCCGTGTACCGCTTGCGCAGCTCGGCGCCGTTCAGGAACGTCTCAGTCGGTGCCAGGTCGAAGTCGATGCGCATCCCCATCTTCGCCACCGCCAGCAGCCCCGCGAACACGGCCGCGCCAACCTTCCAGCTCACGGCCTGCACCGCGGCCCCCAGCGGCTGAGCCGGCAGCTCGTCGTCGTACGGCTCGAACCGTGGCCGCCGCGGCATCGGCAGCATGGGCAGCCGCGCCGCCCCCGTAGCCGACTGCGCGAACATGGCGAGTGAGCCTTCCGGGGGAGACCGCGGGACCACCTGCCGCGCGATGAACTCGTGCAGCGGCGTCTCGAACGCCATGAAGGCCTGTTGCTTGTGCCCGGCTTCGACGAGCGCCGACACCCGAGCGTGCCGCGCGTCCTGCGCCCTCTGGAAAGCGGCAGTAATGGCAGCGTCGGTGGGGGCGGTCTTGGACGGGGTGGATTTCAGCATGGTGATGATCTCAGTGGCGAGGGCGGCAGCCGTTTCGATGGCCGAGTTGCCGCCTTGGCCCGAGATGGGGTTGAACTGGAGGAAGCTGTCAGTGAATGTCATTTGCTGGGGCCGAAGGAGGGTACGCACCTTGTGAACTGAGTCGCCGGCGAGGAAAATGCGGCCAAAGTGCCACTTGGTGCACACGAACTCGGGCAGAGCCGTCAGGACGGCCGACATTTGGCTCTTGTAGAGGTCGCCGAACTTGACCCCTTCCATGATGACGTCGTCCCAGCACTTTTCCGCCAGCGCCTTCTCCTCCTGCTTGCTGAAGCGCCGCGGGATCTCGCCCTCCATGTTGCGGAGCGTGCGCTCGTTCTTCAAGAAGAGAAACCAGTATATGCGCCCGCCCGGTCCGTCAACCACGAGGTAGCTGCGCCCGTGGTTGGTGATCATGTGCGACGACTCTTTCTCGAATCCCTCGACCGGGTGCGAAATGCCGAACATGCACGTGTAGTCGCACGTCACATCTGCTGTCGTCAGTTACGGCTGTCGTCGAGCATGCTTCGGCTGCTTACCTGTCTGGTCTGACTTGGGGATGTAGCCAGGCGACAGCTCATCCGCTAGCCGCCACATTTCTTTTCTGACCGTACTGTGCACTCCATCGGCACCGACCAAGATGTCCCCCGTGTATGTCGACCCGTCTTTGGTTGTGACTTCGATCCCGTCTTTCAGTTGCTTGACGCTGGCCACTCGCTTATCCGTAAGGACCTTGGACTTGTTCTGGAGGTGGTCGTAGAAGACTTGGATGGCCATCTGACGGTCGATGAACACCGGATCGTAGCCATGCCTGTAGTGGTTAGCTCCAATCCACTGAAATATGCTTTACTCATACCTTGCAATAAAGTGCTTCGAGGCATCGTGAGTCTCGCCAAGAACCTTTCCTTCGGGTGACTTGATGTACATCTCCGTCATCTTGATGTCGAGTTTCGCCCGGATTCCGTCAAAGCACCCGATCTGATCCAAGACACGGCAACCGTTGGGGAAGAAGCCAATGCTGGCTCCCACCTGCGGTGCAATCTCTGGGTATGCTTCGAGAACGAGAAAGTCGATGCCGAGCTGCTCCAGCATGTTGGCCAGTACCAGCCCGGCTATACTGCCGCCTGCAATGATGACTTTGAATTTCGGGTCTGCCATGATGAGATGAACGATGAGTGTCTGCTTGTGTCTGCTCCCACTCGGCGGCCAGGGACAAGATATATACACTTCACCCCGCACAGCGACATTGCTATAGCCGGTAGCCACCGGTCCACCACTATCCGAAATGCCAAGCCTTGAGCCGGGCCGGCCAGCGACTAAAGCCCTCGCCGGTGCCCATACACTCCGAGTCCCGAAATCCGTTTTCGGCCTTTCGATTCGTCCACTTGTGAGGGGCCCGCAAAACCCAGGAGAACCCCCGGTTACCGCCGGCTCCTGCCGGTCAGCCGCGGAACGCAAACGCGTACTTTTAAAAGTAATTAGAGAAAAAGAATATAAGCGGAGCATCCGATTGGTAGATTTGCCATGAATAGAAAAAGCTTTCTAAACACGCTTACCTGCATCCTCCAGTCGAAAGACTTCTGGGACAGTCCCCGTCCAACAATGCTCTCGCAATGAGTGTCATAACCAGGGATCTGCAGTTTCTTGCCACATCAGGAGTCTTAACACTTCTGCTCCTGGGAATTTCCTCGCTCGGCTGTGGCAAGCACGCCTGATGTCATGCGGTTGCCACACGGAATGGTAAAAGTCAACCACTCGATAAAGCCTCGCATTCCCGTTAATGTCGCGCACCTTGTAAGTTCTCTCCCCCATAATCGAGCTACCATGTTCATGTTACTGTGTCTCTAGCCAGCGATATGATATTGCAACATTGTGGCGGTGCATCTAAGCGTCAGGGGCAATGCTTGGGCCAATGAATAAGGGCTTAGTCACGTGCCGGTTTACGCGACGGTGGACCTCGACGACCGAGGAGATACCCATGTACTACCACAGCTGCTTTTCCCCATCCGATTTTCCAAGTTAACTATCTACTCGCTATACCCAACGGCTACCCCTCATGGGTTGCATTGACGTTTCTGACACGCCATATCTGCCCTGTGGGAGCGGGAGCTGAAATGGACGCGATAGCACCCGTCTGAGACAGCTCAACCACAGCCGTTGGAGCCCAGGCAGCAGCAGTGGCGTCCGCATCGTTTAGCCTGGGCTCAACGAGTTCCTCGATGGGCTGCGTCTCTTGCTTCAACAGCACTATGTCCTCGTTCATGCCCAGCTCGACCAGCTCCTCATCGCTGAGGTGCAGCTCGATAAAGAGATCTGGATCCAGCTGGAGATCTTCGAGGTTCATGCCGTCCATGTCAGTCTCAACGACATCGAGACTCTGGAGGAATGTGGTGTTGGTGCCCATCGCTGCGGGTGTCTCGTCTCGCTTCAGCCATCGTGCACTGGCAACATCTGTGGCCGGGTTGAAGTATCCAATGAGTCCACCAATCTGGTTGCACATTCCTGCTTCTGTAGACCAGTACTCCTGAGCGGGCCAGTCATATTCCACAAACATTCGGGTTCGTTCTCTTAGTTTCTGCTGATAATTGGTGTGCGATGACTTACGGGTCGTTTTACAGAATTCGGAAGCCGTGATCATGAACAATAACTAGGTTGTCGAGGTTGCTGGTGAACTTGTCCGTGTAGGTAGCTACACAATTCGTTAAGCGGGGTCTCTCAAAGGATGTTACCGCAAGATCATCTACTTACCCCAACATTTCAAACCACGCGTCTGAGAATCAAACTATGGGAGATTACATCAGCTTGGTTTTACTGTGTTGTAGTCTATCCGTCTTATCCCGTATTTCTGAATGAAATGATTGCCGGTGGATGCTGCATTGTGCCGATTATCGCCAGCTGGAGGGTCTCTAAAGCGCTAGGTTACAGGCGGCTTAGGCTTTCCTCTCGCCTTTCGAAGCTCGCTGCAAGGATAGTAGGATGCCAGTTGCCAGAGCGCCCAATCACTTATAGACGTATTAGTAGATCGTACTGGTTAATAAGATATACTTAGGAATACGTAGATAAAATATTAGATTTAAGCTAGTTATCACTTGAAAATACGGCTAGTAATATCTAGTATTATTCGACTAAACTTTGAAAATCTCCGCCTCATAGCGGGCGAGAAAGTCGTTTATCTTAGCCGACTCCTCGCGGAGACTGTGAAGCGATGTTTGAAACGTGCTTGACAAAGACTGTAGCAGCTGTGTAATAAGTATCTGTCCTGTCTGTAGCCGCTCTACCTTCTTGTTTACCTTTTCATGGCGTGCACTCAGCTCCGCCAATTCCAGTTCTAGCTTCTCAACCGCGGCCTTGAGCCTGTTAGTATTGGCTAGAGAAAAGGTTTTGATATCCCCACGCAGTCGCGCATGTTCTTCCATTTGCGCGTTGCATTCCTTGCTTTTTTCCCTGAACGCGTCCTCGAGTGGCTGTTGGTCATGTTGCAGGCGGTGCTGTACTGCCTGCAAGACCTGCGCGCACACCTCCGCATGATGCTGTTTCTCTTGGAGGAGAACAGAGTACTTAAATGGCTGGCCCCGCGACGACGTTGCGAGCGTAGCGATGAAACGGTCGATTTCCATCTGCTCCGTCACTTGAGTATCACCGGTTGGCAGTATGCGCCGCAAGATCAGTCGCCACAGCGATACATCGCGATGGTCCTCTGATGATGGTGGAAGGCCCGAAATATGGTACAGACCCTCGCCCACCACTGCTGGGGTGTAATCCTCGGCGGAAAGCTATCTGCGTGTGAGCATAACACAGCAAGTGTGGGGAGAGAGCCTGAAACCTACGACGGTAAACCGCTTCACTGCGAAGTCCCAGTCTCCCACATCGAGGTGCAGGAATTCTTCAGCGGGGTCGCGCTCGCCACGACCCGGCCGAGGAGCATGAAGCGTAGCAAGCCGAGTGTCCGGGTCAAGATGTAGCAGGAACGTCACGTGATGGCGAAACTCAAGCACTGCCAGCGTTGCATTATCCTGATCGCGTTGGGCTTGAATCCGTTCCTTAAGTGTTGTGTTGGGAAAGGAGAACCGGATGACCTGGATGGACTGAGGTGCCAGATGTCGCAGGATGTTGAAAGCAGACCCTACGGGATGGCGGATCTGGCTGGACTCCGAGGCCCTCTCTGACGTCCTTCGTCTCATTGTTGTGGGAAGGTTGAGGTGGTGGGTGACTATGAATCGATAGCCCCCATAATGCGAATGGGGGGAAAGGGGTCTTTCTAGACGATCGTCGCGGGCACGCTTTGCACTCTATGATGACCATGCGCACGGGTATGAAGTAGTCTTATCAACCACACTGTTCGCCTGGAGCCTTGTATAAGTTTGTGGTTCTGCTTAGGTATTTTTCATTTCAAAGTCCGCGCCCGGATCACAGGTGCCACCCTCCATGTTTACCAAATTTAAAATCTCCTTCTGAAACGCCAGAGGCACTCCCCTCATCAACCACATTTAATCTACCAATCCACTTTCGCCGTCTTTACAGTCAACAAAGTGGAACACCAGCTCCGGTTCCGCCCTTGCAGCCCGGAGACTGCTTTTCTAGCTTAAATGCAACCTTCTCAGCACGATAGAAATAAGCTCCTCGGGCCCCGGGGGGCGCAGTCCGATGCATTTCAGAAGCCTCGCAGTGTAGTTTTTGCACAGCACGTCCTGCCTCTCCCGCTGGAACGGTCGGATGCGAGCGTGGAGGTTAAAAACTTTAAGTGAGTTGACTTCGTCCTGCGCGATCTTGAATTCAGGAAGAATGACCAGGCAACATGCACACGCCGTGTGATGGAAGAACGCCCAGATTGCGCGACTGCAGCCGCGGCACCGTTTGATTCCAGTTTCGGAGCATAGAGTTTGGCAGCAACACCGACATGCATGTCATCGGGGGAGTCAATGCCACGTCCGATAACATAGCCACGAAGCCCAACAACGAGCTGGATGCTGTCCATAGTCAAGCGCGTTTCTCCTCAGCTACGGTGTATAAGACTGTTCTTCGCCTTAACGTATCCAGCGTAATCTAACTTAAAGACATAGTTACTATTAGTAAAGAAGACCACGCCATTACTAAAAGTAATATTAGTAATATTCTATCCGCTTTCTAGTAGACTCGTATCGTAAACCATTTCTAGAGAATTAAAAGTATACTATAGCTATTAGTACTAACGTATAAACGAAACTTATTAATATTTAAACCTAGCTAAATTTAATTTCTATTATCTTTTAATAGAAGATTTTTATACTTTATCTACTATTATAAAATATTTATAAAAGAATAAAAGTTTAAAACGCGGCGCTAAGCGAATTTCCGCGTTAAAAATTAATAATTATACTTATTACTTAGTATTTATTATAAAATAACTATAGAAGAATAAAAGTTAGAAACGCGGCGCTAAGCGAATTTCTACGCCGAGAATTAGTAACTACGCTTATTACTTAGTATTACTACTAACGGTTATAACGCTAAGACTATACCCTTATAAATATAACCGCCCGTTATAACCTACCTCTATATAACGATTAGAAATTACGGTTATAAGATAAAGATTTTTTTATATATATAGTATACTTATTTATAGTAGATAGAATCTTTATAGTTAATTTTAATTATTATCTTATATCTCTCTT